AAGTATTATAAATTAAAAATAGCTAAGATATAGTTAAATATTTTTTAAGGAAGTTTAAAAATTATTATAATTTCATTAGAATTTGCGTTTTTAATATTAATTTAATATAGTTTTTAAAATTTAAAGAAATGCTTTTATTATTTTTAATAAGGGCTTTTAAATAATATATAAATTATATAAATAGGTTAAGTATTAATGGAGAAATAATTAAGTATTTAAGTAAAGGAGGTATGGTTTTTATATATGGGCTTTGGGTTAGGAAATGAAATTAATTTATAATGTTAAATGGGGCGATTTAATTGGTTAAGGGCTTATTAATTAGTTTAATTAAGTAATTAATTAAAAGGTATATCTTTAAGTATAAAGCTTATTTTATTTAAAAGGTTTAAGAAGTAGTGATAATTAAGGGTATTATATAATATGCGTTTTCCGTATTGGGTTAGCGTTGCCGTTTTAGGTTAGCTCCGGGCTTATAATCTTTAAAATAATAGCGTTAAATGCTTAGTTTATTAGGCTAGCTAACGTTTATTTTATAGGAGGGAAGGCCCCTATTTATAGTTATTATCCTTTATACAGTGGCAAACGTATGGGGAAAAGGATATCCCGTATTAATAATAGCCTAGATATCTAGAATATTCCAACACAGCCAAGGCGCCGCGTAATTAATTCCGCTTGGCAGATCGCCTCTAACCGTCTTGAAGCTCCGGAACATTCATCAGAAAGGGAGCAAGGGCCTCTCCTTAAATGCACGCAAGGTCAGCTGGGCGTCCCCTGGGATTTCTTAAAACCGTTGAAGTTATCACATCGATCAGGTTCAAATTTGACTTGCAGTCGGAGAACGCAATCATCGAATGTTTTTATATTATCATGCCTTGTAGGGCGAAAAGCAAGGGTACAAAGTTCTTCGTAGACTAGTTGTCGTTGTGGACTGAGATTGGGTTGGCCGGGCTCTTGCGCTGGGACGGGTATCCAACACTACATGTGCCACCATGCTGCAGTAAGAAAGACCACCAGCAAGGCTCCTTGGATTTAAGCGCAGCATTGACACTGATGACAAAAAAATGTCAGAGATTGCGAAACGTGCCAAGAGAACCTCATGCTGCGTAAACTTACTGTGATCTCGGCGCCACTGATAGTGCATCCTGAGGAGGTCTCTTTCGAGCCGCAGACTTGGAGGCCGCTAAGCAGAGCCTGGCAGGAGTAATCTGGGGACTGTGGTAAAAAAGATTGGTCAGGTCAGATGCTCATATCTTTTTTCTTTGGGGGCCGGGGGGGAGTCAAACGTACACAACCTATGGTCCGAGATTGGCAGGCGGCCTGGGCAAAGCCAACGGCCAAGGCCGACAGAAGGAGGCTGGTGACAGAGAACTTCATATTTGCAGAGATGTCGTGTAGTCGTGTTGTATTAGGTAGATGGCCTATGAGATACAGAAAGAGTAGTGAATAAGGATCCGGGAACGCTGCAATCGGCATTTCCTACCAGGGGGAGGGGGGGTTTCCGTCAACATGGCACCACTATGTCAATGGAATAGCGACATAATAGTGACATGCAATCAAGGTTCTGACATGCTTTTTTATGTGTACATTGCATTATTTACACGTCACTAATATGTAGTCATTCCTGACATGCTGTGACATGATGTCAACCCTTGACATAGGGGTAAAAAAAAAACCCTTTTTTTTCCTCGTCCCCAACCTAACTACTTATTTAATTTTTACTAGCTTAACTATTTACTATGGGAGTATCTATGGAATTATGGAAATATTTAAAAATAGAAATAAATTTAGAGTTAATAGGATTTGAATCAGAGCTTTTAACATAGAAATATAATGATATTGGCTGATATACAATCAACGTTGATATCGAATCAATATTAATATGATTTAAAGCCTTGATATAATTTACTTTTGATAGTATTTTAATAGCCATTTACTAGCATTTTGCTGGAATTACATAATTTCGATTGAATGTTAAAACATGATTGCATTGCATGACCCATACAAAGACCCCCCCTCCCCCTGGTAGGTTATTGTAATTTGAAATCTGGGAAGTATCTGCCTACGTATGGCCCCTATTCTGCATATGTTTAATAACCAAGAAGATGGATATCTGGGTAGAAGCGCATTTCTTGGTCGTCTGAATTCCCTGATAACCCGCCTTGTTGCGAGTCAGCGGTCCGAAGCGAAAACTCTCTTTGATTGCTGTGACGAATAGGTGAAACCCTTGGTGCTTTTTATATGTCCCGAGTTTCGCCTCCCTCAGTTGCTGGACCCACTCTCACTTGTCCTATACGTGCCAGCAAACCGCCACTAAATCGTATACGTGATCCATATAGGCAGATCTCAGCAAGTTTCATCGAAGCCGAGTGTTACAGGTGCCGATGCTGCATTTGAACCACAATACATCGGAGAGTTGTAAGTCGCCTACGGATGAACGGCTCCCCACGTGGATACCTGCCTGCTATGTAGGTGACTCAGGGAGTCGAACGCTAAGGACGCTGTGGAGTCTGTGGGCTGTCGGTGATAATTACATGGCAGAAACACGAGTCGTTGTCGGCCAATCACCGTTATAGCCTGCCAACACAGCCAGGTTTGGTTTGTGGGCCACGGTTAAGCCTGCGTAAGAGGAGGAGGAATGTTTGGTCCCGTATCGCTGGGAATTGCTGATCAATCCGAAAAGAGCAATTATCCCCATCAATGGCCTCACTAGATTCGACAGCTGAAATACCAAGAACAGCCCACAACATCGAACAACCAAGATTGCTCGCCCTGGGTTCCAGCACCAGTGGTCTTCAGGTAGAGCTGTGGGGATAGCACTCCGATTGCAGATTCCTCCTTGAAATATAGGAGCCAAACGCACATGTGAGATCTCATATGTCAACACAGCCAAGGCAAAAGTTGTCTCAGACAAGCGGGAATGTTTCTGCTATTGACAGCATTTTTACTCCCCGGGAGGTACAAATTGTGGCCACTGTCTCACAGGATGTTGTTCCCCTTGACAATGATCATACTCAGATGTTCTTTAAGCACTTCAGTGCAGCAATCTAATCTTCATCTGGCTAAAACGTTGGATGGCCAAATTACGGTTACATTCCCCAGGCCGGAAAGGAAGTGTAAATGTATTCACACATCTGCAGCCATGATGCGTAGAACGTGGTCATGACCTACGATCTACCACAATCACTCAGCATGACGAACCTTTTAACAGATACTTTTCATCCGATTTTGAAATCTTTGAAGGCTAGTCGAGAGCAAGCCACCGTTGTCGTCACAATGCAATTGCCAACCTCCAGTTCAATTCTCACTTTCTCACCCCATTTGAAGGGCTTATAGGCAAGCCAATTCCACCTGCTATCGCCGGAACACCTTCTACATTGTTAACAAGTGGCTCAGTGGTAGGTTGAGGTGTTTTCGACCGGAGGGTCGCCGTTCAAACCGAGCCCGGTACAAAAAATATCCAGCACTGGAAGAGAGAGTAAAATCCATGACGGCATCACAAAACAAGATGGGGTTTTCCGCCTTACAAGGTTCTTTTTGGCCCCCACGTTAGCTTCAACCGCGTCAGAGCAACTTGGCTGGAGGGTATATGTACACATTGTGTTGTTGAGTCTGTCTGTTAGAGATTGGGGGCCATAACGCAGAGATTCAGTGCCATCAAACCAGGACGGCTTGTAAAGAAGCATCTACGGAGAAAAATGCGATGGTCTTGAGTGTTTTGTGCAGTCCTGTCTATATGTGTCCACCCCTTGGGTTACGTCCGAGACAATGTGGCACTTCTTGTGAGGGACTTCAATTATCACCTTACTGCACTCACATTGCTGCCGGCTTCTTCACGCTTGAACGAGCTATCGCCCAAACCTCTTGCCTGTTGACTTAACCAGTGTGTTCTGAGTTAACTGCACTCGATGTCAATGCTGTCTGTCGAAGAAACCCAACCACTCAGTACTTTCAACAGCACACGATGACTGCCCAACCGTGTGTCCACAGAGCCCCTTTCTCAAATTCTTGGCCCTAAACTCCCACCCTGATTCAATACCCCCCTCCCCCTGGGTCGGCTTTCCCTGTTCACCGCCTTGCCATTTCTCTTCATACTTGACATTCTCGAGCTGAAAGACTTTGAAGGATGAGATTACATGCAATATCTTGCGTCTCCGAAGAGGGCCTTCCCTGGTCATGACACAAGCTTGATCTAGAGAACTGAACTAGCACACCCTGCGCTGATGGCAATCACCAGCACACTAAAAGCGCGTCTGAAATACAACACGAGCCCCTGCATCTGTCGGGCTGCTGCCTCGTATTTGCAAACAACCTCGTTGCTCCAAGCTCTCGTCCAGCCTCCTCTTATTTTGGTCACGCCGAACGACGTGCAACGACCGGGAGGCAACAAGGTGAGCTCGATTGCCGATAGATCATTTTCAATTTAGTGATGTATTTCAAGGAAATCAGCCACGCCAAATCAGCCCAGTGTACATTAACGCCAGGACTGGTATGCTACTTGTCGAGGAACTTGGGCCGGAGACGTATTGAGGAATCGCGGGGACCAAGTTCCACGGCGTATTCCGCGGCCACGGTAGATGCATGTGGACCTCGTTTCGCACGGGGCCGCAAGTCAGCTTTGAGCTCGTCGAGTGTCCTCTGGAGTACCGGTGCGAAATAACCCGACAAACTAGCCCTACTGAGGAGGACATTCAGCGAGATAGTAAGGTGCAGTTGAGGGTTGCTCAGATCAACCTGCCAGCATATCAAGGTGACACGAGGGGTACTATTATGTACTGCTTATATTCTCGGCGCCCGGTTGCCGAATGGAGATCCTGGAACTTCTCGTTTTATATCCACGCTATGGATGTGCCCCAGCTCAATCGAGTGTGCTGAACAGCTGTGTCTCAAGTCTGTTCAACATCTTCCGGCTCACTTGTCCCGCCTCCAATATTTCAGGAACGCGGGCCTTGCTGGTATGCTCCCGCCTAGAATGTGAAAATACTGAAAAAAGCTTGATGCTTTCATACATCATGGGTCCATGACACTGTGTTGTCGATGGCCCACTTATGGATGCTATCAAAGTTCCGGCACGTGTGCAGCGTGCTGAAGTCGGGCCAGAAGTCACCTTCCTCGTAGCCGTACTCCGGGTACTCTCGGAAGGTGAATATGCCGATGTCACCGGTGCACATCAGATTGATCCGGATGGCCTCGAGGCAGTGGTCTAGAAGGACATGGTGTCAGCACGTCATGATTTGTCAATGTATGTGGGAGAACAATTGACTTACCGACGTGGCCCTTGAGGCCGTCCTCCTCTTCCTGGATGTCACTGTAAATGTTGACATAATACTCCTTGTAGACGTATTGCCTCAGCAGGTTCAGGCAGTGCAGTTGATGGAACACCTCGACTGCAGCGCGGTAGCCCTCCTTGCCGGTCTTTGGATCCGTCACCTTCAGTGAGTTCCTGGGCAGTCCTAGTCTGTCCAGCTCCTCTTCTGATATCATTTGGTCGCCCACTGTTCAAACAAAGTCAGCATATGGTTCTATCCACGGCCCAGACAGGACACTTGACTTACTGTCATTGGCTATGGAGTCCCACGCCTCATCGACCTTGGGACCATAACCGACAAAAGGACCCTCCACCATGGGTGTGAGATTGAATCGAACTGTGTCATATTTCACGATGGGGGCCACCGGTGCTGTTTGATGTTAGTCAGGACAGACCGAACGTGGGAAGATGTTTGATTGATGCATACAATACGACGAAAATTGTTGTGTGACCTGGAGGTCTGATGGCCTCGCCGTCCTGTTGCAGAAGGACAGCGTGAAGAGGGTCATCGATAAGGTGAGCAGGACTGCGTGCCCTATCCAAGGCCAGTGCTTGGATAGAAAGTCCGAGGCTCTTGTCCTGGCATTTCGCCCGAATTTGTCGTCTCCTAACCTCAGTGCTAGCCTGTCCTTCTCGTATATTGTGGACTCTGAGCTGCTCCGGCTCTGTTCCTCGTCAAGAGGTACGGCCTGGTAGTCTTTCGCCATTGGAGATAATAGAGGGTATTCACACGCAGAGTATGTGATAAAGCGGAACGATGAGGGCATGCCAGCTGCTCGGACGAGACAAATCAGAAGAAGGGAGTGAAGAGAAAGAGAGGAAACGCCAGGCTTCCTACACTAGAGGCCGCACGCCAGGAGGGACTTGGCTACTTTGGTCAAGGCGGTCTCGAGGCGTAGATCATACGGCTAGACTTGCCAGACTTGCTTCAGGTCGCTTCGTCTTGCCACGTCGGCGGGGCCAAGCCTTTGAGAGTGTGTGATCAACGTGAATGACGGGCAATCAGTAGTAGGGGCGTTTCCCAAGAAAAGATGTGTTGACTCGGTCAAAACGGCACCAGCGCAGCGGTTCTGGAAACAAAAGAAATGGGAGCGGCGCATACCCATTACTAACCACCACCATCCTCGGGAAAAGGCACATCGGCCCCTTTGGAGGTTGAGACGTCTGATGTTGGCGGCGACATGGGATGAGACATTGATCGGGCCAGGGTGTGTTTGAAAGGGGCACAAGTGGACAGGACGAGCAGGTGGCCACTCGGTCCCAACTTGGCCTAGCTGCCTCGCTTGGTCGCGTGGCTGGCCGATGCGTTACGACAGCGAGGGGATTCGGGGGCCCCACAAAAACCATCACAACGGCGATAAAGTTGGTGGGTGAATGTGTGACACAAAGCGAAAGAGAGAGAGAAATAAAAGCTCCGGCACTTGGACGGCTCTGAAGCCAACTCTAACTCGCTTGAGGTGAGGATAAGTGACGTGCAAAAATGCCCGAATGGCCGCTTGTGGTTTGGAGCCAATGCGAACCAGGGTAATGCAGCCAAGCCGCTGTCGCGGGAAGTTTGAGCATGGGTGGCAGGCGAAGGTAGGTTACCTGTTAGAAGCACTGGGCGTTTCACCTGGGCAGGCTTGGCTCCAGGGCTCCTTCCCAGCATGTCAGTCAAGCTCGTCAAGCTCGTCAAGCCCTCGCCCTTCCACCCCCTCGATCTTCGCGTGGGTCTGCTCATCACGACCGTGCAGCAGCATGCTGAATGTTCTATTATTCCATCCTGGGCCTGTCCTCCCCACATCGACCACGGTGGTGATTGGTGTCTCGGGCTGAGAAGGCGCCAAAAGTTGCAGTTTCAGCCGCATCCCAGTCTCCAACACCCCGAACGGCAGGTTGTGCCCAGGGCGGCTAAGAATTGATGGACATGATCCACTGGATGCCAGTGTGAATCATGTTCGCTGCTCGATCTGGTCCTGGGGGTCATGGGCGCCCACCGCTGATCTGGGGTACTGGAGTGTGTGGCGACATCGCGCATCTCATTTGCGAGATGTGTGTGAGATCTGAACCTGACACAGCATGGGCCCGTACCATTCAACCACCCAGCCAGCCCGCTCAACGAACCCCTGGCGCTGCTCGTGAGCTTGATGGAGCCGCAAAGCTTGGCTTTCTGCAAACCTCCACCCTTGTGTCGACGACGGATTGCCCGACCACTCCCCGTCCAGCTGCAGCACACTTGGTTATGCTCAAGGGGTTCCTGCAGCAGCATGGGCCTGGGGCACTCGTGGCGCCCTCATCCCTGCCCGATCGAGCACGAAGTATACGCAGTTACTCCGTGCTGCACATCGCAGGCGTCACGATCCTCGTCGGACGTCGCACTCGGTCCTTCTGACGGGCTTGTGGGTCGTGGAAGAATGTTCGACCTGGCACAGGCCAGCAGACTTCGTCCCATCCCCTTGGTCCCAGCATGTGGTCTACGATCTAGAGGGCAGGGACCAGGCCCGGCCGACACACCAGCAATGCTCGCTTTCCTCAACACAACCCCCATCCTAACCGCTTGTGGTGGCAGTCGAGAAGCGCCCTTGATGAGACCCTCGCCCGCGCCGCCCCACTGCCGTCATTGCCGTGTGCCTGGGAGTCAGCGTCCATCATGAGACATGACTCTCGGACAACTGGCTTGCGCAGATCAGGTTTGACATTGTCGCTTTCGTCCCAACTCCTTGATGATTTCGTCCAGGGACGAGGTCTAGGGCTGTTGGGCTCGTCCATCTTCGTCTTGACCATCGGCTAAACGGCCAGCCTCGCTCTACTAGCGCCTTATTCCCGTTGGACTTCAGGAGTTCCCAAGGCGGGCAGACCAAGTGGCCACCTCCGTATATAATAGTTCAAAAACCTGCTCACTCCCCAAACTTGCTCACGCCACTCTTCCTGTTCAGTAGCTGAGCTCATTTCGTTCTTGGCATCGTCTCATTCCCTCTCCTTCACCAACTCTAAGTCACTCTTTGACCCGCTGCCGGCCAGCTTTGATAGTACGATACCTCAGGCAGGAAACATACGACGCCATAATGCACGCCCCTTCAGTCATCAGCCTCCTGGTCTCTGGCCTCGCCGCCTCCACGGTTGCCGGCTTCGACCTGAACGCCCCGGGTGCCTCCCTGTCCCGCCGCAGCGTCGCCCTCGTTGCTGCCGCCGTCGGACCCGCTCTTGCCCTCCCCGCTGACATCTCCATCGAGGCTCGTCACCGTAAGTGTTTCTCCCCATGTTCTTTGTGGGGAAATCACCTGCTCACAAATTTGTAGACCAAGGCAAGGGCAAGAAGAAGAACAAGGCCGCCGCTGCCGCCAACAACAAGCGCCAGGAGGAGGACGATGCGGAGGATGAGGATGAGGATGAGCTAGAGGAGCGCAGCCTCGAGGCTCGTCATCACCAGGGCAAGGGCAAGAAGAAGAACAAGGCCGCCGCCGCCGCCAACAAGCGTGACGTTGAGGAGCTTGAGTCTCGCGAGCCCCACCACCAGGGTAAGGGCAAGAAGAAGAACAAGGCTGCCGCTGCTGCTCGCGATGTTGAGGAGCTCGAGTCCCGCGAGCCCCACCACCAAGGCAAGGGCAAGAAGAAGAACAAGGCCGCCGCCAACGCCGCCCGTGACGTCGAGGACCTCGAGACTCGCGAGCCCCACCACCAGGGCAAGGGCAAGAAGAAGAACAAGGCCGCCGCCAACGCTCGTGATGTCGAGGAGACCACCCAGCAGCTCGAGTCCCGCGAGCCCCACCACCAAGGCAAGGGCAAGAAGAAGAACAAGGCCGCCGCCAACGCTCGTGATGTCGAGACGGTCGAGCAGCTTGAGACCCGTGAGCCCCACCACCAGGGCAAGGGAAAGAAGAAGAACAAGGCCGCCGCCAACGCTCGTGATGTCGAGACGGTCGAGCAGCTTGAGACCCGTGAGCCCCACCACCAGGGCAAGGGAAAGAAGAAGAACAAGGCTGCTGCCAACGCCCGCGACGTCGAGGAGATCGAGACCCGTGAGCCCCACCACCAAGGAAAGGGCAAGAAGAAGAACAAGGCTGCTGCCGCCAACTAAGAGGGCTCCAGCCTGACTTCTCCAGCCTCTAGTCGCTCGGAACACCGAGAGCGATGAGGGTTGAGAGGGCACGATTAAAATACGGCGGCGTCTCATTACTTCAAACGGGTTGTCCAAATGCCACTTTTACTTTATACTAGGTTCGAAATAGTTCTGCTCGACGATACGGTGTGCTGTTAATGTGTTTCGGGGCACATGGTCGTCCCGAGCTGTGCTACGAATTGCGGATGCTAGACCCGAGAAACTACAAATGTAACGAATATTATTTGACCGAAAATCTGGTGTTCCCTTCTACATAGTGATATCAAATGTGTGCGTGTGCAGACCTGTGTGCAAAGTGGCACGCAGAATGGACTCGTGTTGTTGGCGGGCGGGCGAAAACATGACCAGACATCGTCGTGTAAGCCAAAAAAAATGACCCACCCTGCAACCAGGGATCCCGCCCCAAACAATTCTTTAAACGCTACTGCTCATCACACGCAGACGGGCTCTCGGCATTTCCCAGGATGAGCTTAATGGCTCTGGCCCCTCAGGCATTGGCCTGCACAAGCCTGTTCTGGCCGCTCATCAATGCTGGGCAGTACCAGAGCCTGGTTACGTCCCCCCCCCCTGAACTTCGGGGTCTGCCGAAACACGTTCAATGCAACGGGGATCGTGCCGCACCCCAGACTCAGGCCCGACAGTACTGGCGCCTAGGGTACTGCCGGCTAAACTCCGAGACATGTTATACGGAGGTTATGCGCTCGACCGGGCTGGAGGATTATGTGCTTACAGAAGATGTCAGCATGGGTGCGAGGGAGCAGCCGCGGCGACGATCAGGATGTCTCGTCATGATATGAGGGAAGACAAACAATCGCACACGGTTGGTTGGTGTCTTTTCTCGCAACAAAGCCGCATGCACACACGTATGCACACACGCATGCATCTCTGCATAGCATGAGCAAAGTTCTAGGACAGCACATGCGTTCCACCATCACCATCGCCCAGTCACTCTCCGGACCAGCCCAGTCCGATGATCCAGTCCACCCACCAGACTCCAAAACAGCGGGATTAACCTTTCGCTCCGCAAGCCGGACGAGCACCCAAGACCTACCGAAGAAGCCAGTTATTTAGACTGTTCTGGCGCGGGCCCTGTTCAGCCCTGCCAAGCATCCAAACGCAAACGAGACTTTCTCAAGGACAGCGCAAACACCAAACACCAACATCTATAGTCGCGCTATCCCGCGGCGAGTTAGTTTGACGAGGCTTCCTTTGCTAGCGAGGTCTTGTCCTCCCATCTTCTCTGACGGAGGCTTGATACGTATGCGCGGCCCCTCAAAAAAGCCGCCAAACCCGTCCCGTGATGCCTGCCACGACACTAGGATATGTGAGTACGCAGGTTGCTTAAGGCTGAGTCCCCCAAGCGAGGGGAATTAGCAGGCACTGGTAAGTTCAGATGGAAAGGCAGTGATACAGACCTGCTTCCGGGAATATCAGATGCGAGGAGGAGAGACCCGATTGGCGAGGGTGATCGTCCGCGGAGCGGAGGGATCTCTTAGACTGCGTCATGCTTCCACACGAAACAGTCAGCCCGCGGCTCAATATCCGTGCACATTGAGCTTCCAATGCTTGTCTGTTCCATCTTCCTCTACGATCGCCCGCCCGACCCATCCTATATTGAACCACCATGGGGTAATTATTGGGTACTGCCGCTCAGAATCCTCCTCCACAGGGATACCACGGCGATCACCCGGCGTGCGGGAGTCAGCATTTTGCACGGCGGCGGCTCTCCGGGGATGACTAGTTTGCTGTGCTCGATGAACAAATCCTGCTACTGGATTCGTCGACCCAATTGCGGCAGCGCGGGTCAAAATCGCCCTCGGAGCCGGAGAGCTGCGGTTTTAAGGTTCCGGGAGTCCATCACCTCGCTCGAACCCGCCCTCACTGCTGGCCACTTAGGACCACAAACGAGTCAATCGAGTCCCCATGGTCAACTGTACCGACGCTGGCAGCGGAACCGCGTCGGTTCTAGCCTCGGAATCGCGTCGAAGTCGCGGGTGGCTTTCCGTGGGTTTATCAGCAGCTTCAAGTGTGGCCGGCTTGGCTCATTGGAATTGCCTTGCGTATAGCTCCAGGAGGGTGGTACGAAGGAATGAGTTGCTTCCTGTCGAAGCTGTGGGCTTTTTCGGCGCGATCCGACACGTCGCTGACCAGGTCAAGACCGCCTCAGCTGCCCTCCCACGTGTACCAGAGGCTCAGCCTGGGGTTGTCCTCCGTGTGCCAGCCTCTTTCGTCGTCCGAAACGGAGGGCCAATGACCAAGACCTCTTGAGTCGCGGAGCCTCCAACATTGTAGCCTTCAACGCACTGCCTGCTATAACAGTCCTGCCAGCGCGTGGCCGATTCAGCGACCTTGACATGGTCATCCTTCCTGCATTTTGAAGGCTGCGATGGTGCGCAGCAACAAACCTCGCATCAACCACCACTCGGCTCACACGATCCGAGCAAGCCTGTATTACCAATCCACCCGCACGTAGTAGGCCGGGAGAGTGATCATTTCAACGGACCTCTCCTTCGCAAAGGTTGTCCGAGTAGGTCAACATCCGTGAGGTCCCACAGAGCCGTCTATTGCCCTGTCAAGGATGAGGAGCACAGGGTGTCGCCACATAAGCAAGGTTCTTACCTACCCAGCCCTCTGAGTTAGTGACGAGAGTGGTAAAAATCATGGGCAAAGTCTGCTAGATGTGGACAATCGGGACACCCGCGCAACTGTGCTACAAGGTATCCGTGACGGTGAGGCACCCGGCAGGCCGGACATACGGTATCCGTTGGGACGCAGTAGACAACGCATATTCGAGTGCAGTAGTTTTGCGCGAACCTGTGAGGGTCTCATGCGTGTATGGGTGCTACTTGGCGGATGGGACGAGGTGGTCTGGAGGGGATTGGCCTTCTGGACTTTACGGAGTCCCGAACCCTCCTCGCCGACTTCCAGAAGATTTGTTCGTCATGCACGACGGAGTTGCAAACACTGGCATTGTCTGTATGCAGAGTGAGGAAGGGTTGGTTCGCAGGCCCGGCAGCTCGGGTAGGGTCACATCATGGAGGAGCAATTGACGAATGGGGTCGGCGGGATTTATCTGATTGGGAAGGGGCCATGGGAGGGGTCAGCGATCGGCAGGAGCATGCCGCCTAGCTGTCGAAGCTGTCGCAGCTGTCGAAGCTGTGGAATGTGCCACTCAGAACCTTGTCGAGCAGGTAGGCGGGTAGGGCGGGGCCAGCAGCTCAGAGAAATTGGCAGCCAGCAAAAAGAAAGGCAGACCCTCACATCTCGAATGAGGCCACTTTCCCGCATCGCTCCCGCCAGCTTCCGAGCCGGCGCCACAGCACGCCGGGGAAGGCCAGCAGCAAATCAGAAGCGCGGTGGGGAGGCCAGGTGCTCCACTCGTCGCGCAACTCCTGGCGCGGTTGCACGACTGACAGCAGACGGTCATGTCAGACGCCTGTCTTTGCCCGATCCGGGGCGCGTTGGCATGGTTTGTGCGGCCGGCGGTGGGAGCCACCCCATCTAAACATCGTACTATGGGGGCCGGGGTTGTGTGAGCGGCCGGTGGGGATTCCTGCAGCTAGTGCTGGCCGCTGCGAGTGAACCAGAGGAATTGAGTTGACGCAGGTCCAGAGAGACCCTGAATAAATATCAGAACAGACGGCCCCTCGCAGCCTGCATTCCTCCCGGGTCACAAGATCTTGCATTTGCCACCGGATTTTGCGAGACCCTGCCTGCAGTTCTTTGCTTTGGCTCTTTGCTCAGGAGGCACGACAATTCCGGGTGGGTGTTGTGTGCGTTGTGTTTCTTGCCGCGGTCGTGCATCGTCAAGCACAAGCTTGGACCCTTTTTTTTTTTCTTGGTGGTTGAGCGGCAGTTCGCACTCTACGGAAACAATCGAGTGCGAATCTCCTCGGCCCGGGGTTTGTCTCCAGGCAATTCCGCCGCGCCAAATTCCAGTCGCAATTGTCGTCCCATCCTCGAGGACGATAATATCTGTGGCTGGCCGGTCAGTCAGCCATAGTCTGGTCTGTTGTTTGTGTATTTGATGGTACACAACCAAGGTGGGAGAAGAAGGCACTTCTAGGACCGCCAACTCCTTTCCCGCAGTCAACACGCCCTCCCGAGTCGACAAGGGAGCCATCCGTCCACGCGAAGCGAGTCCGTCACCACCACATCACCATGGATATCGTTCTCGAGGTCGTAGACACCCTCTTTGGGGACTACTTATACGCGACACTCTATCCGGCGAAGCCTGCACCTTATGACTTCCCACACCCCCCGTCCAACGAGACCGTCAACGACAAGACATTCTCAGCATGGACATATCAGCCGTCGACGCACTACTTCTCCCTCGAGCCGTCACAATATGCCTACATGAGCCAATGGCCGCGCGATAACATCTACCGCCAGGCCTTGTCCCTGTTTCTCATTGTCTGGTAAGCGACGCCCCCTTGTATCAACTCTTTTCCCGAGAGAACCTCTCAATTGACCATCATCTCCTCAGGCTTTTCGGCCTGGTCGTATACTTCGTCTTCGCCAGCCTGTCGTACGTCTTCGTCTTCGACAAGAAGACCAAGGAGCACCCAAAGTACCTGAGGAACCAGGTCGCCCTCGAGATCAAGCAGACCATGACCTCGATGCCCTTCATGTCCATCTGCACCACGCCCCTGATGCTGGCCGAGGTGCGCGGGCACAGCAAGCTCTACGACACGGCCGCCGAGGCCCCCTTCGCCGCCTACAGCTGGGTGCAGTTTCCCTTCTTCGTCATGTTCACCGACTTCTGCATCTACTGGATCCACCGCTGGCTTCACCACCCGCTCATCTACAAGAACCTGCACAAGCCGCACCACAAGTGGATCATGCCCACCCCCTTCGCCTCCCACGCCTTCCACCCGCTCGACGGCTTCGCCCAGTCCTTCCCCTACCACGTCTTCCCCTTCTTCTTCCCCCTGCAGAAGCTGTCCTACGTCTTCCTCTTCGTCTTTGTCAACTTCTGGACAATCATCCACGACGGCGAGTTCGTCTCCGACAACCCCGTCGTCAACGGCGCGGCGTGCCACAGCATCCACCACCTCGCCTTCAACTACAACTACGGCCAGTACACCACCCTCTGGGACCGCATGGGCGGCTCCTACCGCAAGCCAGACCCCAGCATGTTCGACAAGCAGGAGAACATGTCCCAGGCCCAGTGGGAGAAGCAGAGCAGGGAGATGGAGAAGATGGTCAAGGTCGTCGAGGGTGTCGACGATAGGGCGTACCTGCCAGAGGCAAAGAAGACCAGGTAGAGGGGGTCTTTGTGAAGACTCCGCCGGGAAGCTGGGAGGGGGTGTGTGGCGCTCCTCATGACGGCACCTCTCACTCGACGGAATGAAAAGTATTGACGTTCTCACGCCCATTGAAAGAGACCCAAGGACGTGGAGAGACACGAAACGAGATTTTTGTACATAATTCAGGCTCCCGCCCAGGATATAGGGCTGTACGACACACTAAGGGATGGCTCTTGAAGCTGGTCGGCTCCCAACCACCGTCGTCAAGAGGCCATCACGATACCTCTCCTCATTTTCTGGAGATGGACATCAGGAGCATTGTAACCCTATTTTTAATAGAATGAATTAGAGACGAAACCCATGTATTGTGCAGCAGTCTGCAGTGGGATCGGAGACACTTGCCCGTCAAGCACACTGACTTCCTCCCTGGCATGCCGGCTCCGTCTTACATTGCTACGGCGGTGTCATACGGATGGCTGCCTCATGGCACAGCAATTATTCGTCATTTCTTTGGGCCAGGTGGACTCGCACCGCGGGTCTTCCACCTCTCCGGCAGCCGCGTGCCCATCTGCAGCTCCCACGACTTGCGGTCAAACCTCCCGGCCTTCAGGGCCTCGTCGTCCCCGGCATGCTTAAACGTCATTCCATGTTCATGCACAGGATCCTGGCCGTCCGTAAATCTTATCTCACACGACACCGCCTCGTAGGCGCTTGTCTCGTACCGGGCGAGCTTGAGCTCGTCCCCGGCCGACTGGACAGGGTAGGCATAGCCCGTCACTTCCTGGCCGGGCTCGCCGTCCACGAGCGCGCGGTACTGGCCCCAGCTCGCGAGTGCGTAGCCGGTAAGCTTTGCTGGCCGCAGTGCTGGTTGTTGCTTGAGGCCGAGGATGTGGCTCAAGATCTTGGGTTGGGCCAGGGTGCCGTAGAAGAAGCAGTAGGTTGGTTTGTATTGCTGTCCAACAACAAGTTGTCTTTCTATACGGGGCTTCAGATAGTCCGCCGACACTGAGAGGCTGTCAAAACATGCAGCATGCGTCTCGGTGGCCGATTTGCTGCTGTACATGATGGGTCTTCGCGGGGGAGGAAGTGGAGGGGCCGTAGGTGGCGGTGCTTTGCGGCCATCGGAGCTCATTCTGGACGTCTTGTCTGGTGGGATCAACGGCGAACTCAGTGGTAGCAAAAAGGGATTAACAAGTCACAATGTGACTTCATTGCCCAGGTTCAAAGCCATGTCTAATGGAAATGCTGGCGATCTATTCATGGCCTGAAGTTGGGGCTTATGTAAGACTGGCGACTGCAGCCAACACGCCTCGACTTATTTTCGCAATAGACATGTTGGTGCCTAGGAATTAAGAATGGACAACTAGCCAGAAGGTCTGTGTTATTTACCCAAGTTTAAATGACCTGTCTGTGCGAATCCTGGCCGGTCATAAATGACCTCGAGGGGGTGCTTGTGGAACTAATTAGCAACCGGTGACTATACCTAATGTCAGGGATCAAAACTGGGAGCTCGTGCAATGGGGCCTTTGGGGCCTGGTAATTTCTATCGGTGTTGTTTGAGCTGGTATTATCAAAGTGGATTTGAGGAAGTACTTACGCTCCTGGCCTTAGATCCTGTTATTCAAACAAAGTCCAGCAGAACCTGTTCGACAAGAACTGCTACTTCATATTTTTACGTATGTTTTTGGCATTATTTGTAGAAGGATATTGTGGAATTAATTAAAGCTACTATCTAAATTTACTTCAAACTCTTTCCCGCTAATTAATGATTCTCCCCAGAAATCTAGAACAAAAAGTACACAGTAACAAAACATCTCTATCTCTCTCCCCTCACAATAGACCGAACCAAAACACCCGCCCTATCAAGACACTGCCGGTACGCCTCGACCTTGCCCACGTCGCCCACGATCGAGATGGCGACGCTGCCCTCCTTGATCGAGTAGCTCATCCACAGCGCGTCCTCGTCCCACAGGCAGATGGCCGCGTCCTCGACCTCGGCCTCGTTGCGCACCTGCAGGACCTTGCCCGGGAACGCCCGCCAGAACACCGGGTCCGTGAAGACGGCCGGCTTCTCCGCGCCCTCGGGCACCATCCCCAGCAGCGTGTCCCACATGCGCAGGAACGCCCGGCCCTCGCTCGCCCGCCGTATCTGCTGCTCCCACTCGCCGGCGGCCCTGCAGAGCAGCTCCTTGGCCCTGTCGTGATTACTGCCGCTTCCCCCCTGTGCCACCTGCAGCGCGGCCTCGCAGAACTCGACGACCGAGTCCGTCACCACCTGCACCAGCTCCGGCCGCCCGCGGTGGAAGTGCTGCGTCGACACCGGCTCCCAGCTGCCCGGGTTGTGCCCGAAGTGCATCCTGTTGGCGAGCTGGATCGCGAGGTCCATGCACGCCTTGGCCGAGACGCCCGTCCCCAGCGCCGCGCTCGTGCCCAGGGACCGGATCGTGTGCAGCGCGTACCTCTTCTTGGACGTCTGCGTGGCGTACGCCGTGCGCAGCTCGGCAATGTGCGCCTCGATCTCGGGCGTCGTCTGCAGCGTGAACTGGGCGACCGGCAGCGGGTCGCTGCTGCCGCTGCGGGTGGTGGTATTTGCGGCTGTCGTGTCGTGCGACTGGATCGCGTCGTGAATCCGCTCCGTCATCCGGATGATGGTCAGGCCGTCCACCATGGAGTGCTCCGACAGCTGCGCCGAGCGGCCGTTGGCCGAGATGAGGAACTGCGTGCTCTTGTCGTGCCACCTGTTCAACCCGCTGCCGACGTAGCACTGGCGCACCCGCTCCTCGTTCGTCTCGGGCCGGCCGTCGTCGAGGCAGACGAGGAAGGCCGCGGCCTCGATAGCTTGGAGGTATGCCTTGTTGGACGGGCCAAGGGCGAGCAGCGCGGCCCGGTTCGTGGCCCAGGGGTCCCGGAAGTCGGTCGTCAGCATCCCAGCCCACGAGTCGTCGTCGAGGTCACCGCGGCCCAGGATGGCCTGGAAGGCGTCCCTGAGGCTCTCGTACGAGGCTTCTTCTCCGTTGTGCCGCAGCGGGACCGTGAATACGTGTCCCCGCCGGAGCACGGCGCAATAATCGTTTCCAGGATGCCGCTGCATCTTGTCGCAGCCAGGGTGCGGCTCGCGGACGGTGTTGAACATCCAGTCCCACGAGTACTTGCAAAGAGGCTGGTTGCCCAGCCAGTCCGCATCTATTTTCCTCTCTGCAACCTCCCTGGCGAACTGAAACGCCACCGTCGAGACCAGTGCCGCCCTCTCTGCTTGGGTGTGTGGCTTGGGGCTGTCGTGGTGCGTGTTGAGGAAATTGCCCCACGGCGCAATAGGATGTCTGCGAGAAAGGTACAAGCCCTTAAGGTGCATTTCTGCCAGCCAGCTGTCTAGATTAGGGTCCTTGGCCCTCTGGACGAGTTGGTCGTACATTTGCAGTCCGAGGCTGCCTGGCGCCGTGAAATCGTCCACCGCTTTCCTGAGACCTTTGAGCTCCTCAGGGGTCTTAGCAAAATGGGAGACATTCTCCTCGAGGTACGCCAGAATCTCGTTCAAGTCCGGCAGCGGATACTTGGGCAGCGTCTTGGCCGCCTTGCAACATTCAAGGCCATGGAAGGGGGCCTTGGTCTTGTCAAGAGGGGCAGTGCCGTTCTCAGCCTGCGCGACATCGACTGTCGCTGATCGAACCTCGTCACTGATTATCTTGGACCTACTTGCGACCAAAGACGCAAGTGCCCTGACGCTCGGCGCGCTAGAGATATTGGATGTCTGCACGGTGGCCTGGAAGGCTCGGAGCAGCCAGTTCTTCAGCTCGATGGACACCAGGGAGTCGAGGCCGATTGTAGCCAGTGGCTGGTTGACAGGCACGTCTTCGATGGACTGATCAAGGAACACGGCGCACTTGGCGACAATTGTCTCCGTGATGATGGCCTCCGCCTCCTGGATCGTTTGAGCGTTCCGCAAGGCCGCCTCCACATCGACGGCCTTTCCGGACGAGCCTTCGCCCGCGCTTTCTTGGCCCGTCCGTGCCGGGTAGGGAAGCTGGCTGAACAAGGGGTTGGTCAAGCAGACATGTTCGTCCGCCTCCACCATGCTCGCCCTCGAGAGACCCATTATGGACTGACTGCACTGGTCTAGGTGTGACTGAGGGCTCATGGCGTACTCGATGCTCCGGAACACATCGTCAAACGAAACCATAATGACGTCCAGCCTGTTTGTGCTCGAGCTCTTCTTGACAGAGTCAGACCCGGCCACAGCTCCCAGGTTGATGCTTATGTAGTGCGTATTGTTACTGTTCTTTCCGCTGCCGTGTGCGCGGGCAAAGGCATCTTGGAACTCGTTACCAGCGGCGTAGTTGGCCTGGCTACCGTTTCCGATATGATTAGCCACAGACGAGAGGGTGAGGAAGAAGTCAAGCTGGGGTGAAGCAAATGCCTTGTCCAGGTTGATAGTTCCAAACACCTTGGGACCTAGGGCCGTTGCGAAACCACTGCGGCTCATGGAAGTAAATGGACGGTCTTGGAGGACCATTGCAGCGTGGACAACACCCTTGACTGGTGGCAAGTTCTGCTGTCTACAGAAGTCGGCACAGCGTCTAACGTCAGACTCCTTGATAACGTCACACTTGACAACATGGACAACGCATCCGCTGCCACATTGGTTTTGCAGTGCCATGTGGTCCTCGTTGCTTATACTGCGCCTAGAAAGCAACACGACGTGTCCAGCTCGGTGTGATGACATGAATGTCGCCAGACGCTTTCCCATGTCGCCCAAACCGCCTGCGATAACGTACGTGCCATCTCTGGCCAGTTCGAGGGCCGGGGCTGCCGCTGCGACAGTGGTCACGGCTGCGTCCTCGGGAGACTCGAGAACGATCTTGCCCGTGTGCTTGCGAGATGCTATCAGGCGGAAGGCGTCCTCGATACGACCAATGGGCATGGAATTGATGGGCGTGGGCGGGCGCAGCACGCCCTCCTCGAACAACTTGACAAGAGACGCGAGGGTCTCATAAACAACCTGGGGCTGCTCGGCGCCAAGCGTAACCAGATCTACAGAGGCGAAGGTGACGCTCTTGTCAAAGTTGCTCATCCTGATGTGGTTGCCCTTGTAGATGTCCGTCTTTCCGATCTCGACAAAGGTACCGAGCTTAGCCAGGCAGTCAAAGGCTTCGCTAAGCATCTCTCCAGACAGGGAGTTCAGCACACAGTCGACACCGCGGCCCTTTGTGTGCCGTAGGATGCCTTCTTTGAAGGAGACGGCCCTCGAGGAGAAGACGTGGCTCTCGGGGATGCCGTACGTGTCCATGACCAACTGCTTCTTAGCTTGGGATCCAACCGTGACAAAGATCTCGCTGGCGCCAGCGTACTTTGCGAGCTGGATGGCTGCTTGACCTACGCCGCCCGTGGCCGCAGGGATAAGGATTGACTGTCCCTTTTTGAAGTGAGCAGCCTCGAATAGAGAGTAATAAGCTGTGGCGTAGACGACAGGGATTGTTGCCCCGGCATTGAATGGCATGTCCGGAGGGAGGACGTGGGCGAGATGGCCGCTGATGCGAGGCTTGCTGGCAAACGGCGAGGCGCCGAAGCCGAGGACCCGGTCGCCTTTCTTGTACCTACCCTTCATGTCCTCTCCAACGCCGGTAACGACACCAGCTACCTCGCCCACCATGTTGACGCCGGCACGCATCTGACCGAGAGCAACGAAAACGTCCTTGAAGTTAACACCGTGTGCTCGCGCCGAGATCTCTATCTCCCACGGCTTAAGCTGGATCTTGCTGCTGCTTGAAGCGTCATCGACGAATCGCATACTTCCCAGCAGACCTGGCGTGCCAACTTCCAGCTTGAGCGGCCGGCCGGGCTGGTGGTAGGGCACGCCTGACTCCAGAGGCAAAGCATTGGGCGTCGACGTCGCCGTAGAGCGTCTGTCGGCCCAGGCCTGGAATTTGGAATCAGTCTGCAAGCGAGGGATGAGAAGCTCGCCGTTGCTGTATCTCAGCTCGCGCTCGTAACTGTCCTCCTCGCCAGACATCGACGCCTGCGCTGCCTCTAAGAGACGGCTGCAGAGGTCTCTGACAACTGTGAGGTCGTCAAGTGTGGTCGCCTCGTCGACGTCGATGGTGACGAATCTGGACGCACCTCCGTTTTCGCGGCGCAGTACCCTGGCCGTACCTTGGATCATGGATCTCTTCGCGCTGATAGCTGCATCGTCCCTGGTCTCCTGGAGCGAGACCCACAGCACGTGGCTACCGGACGTGAGGATGTTCCTGAGAGCATCAAATATCTCAGGCCTCTCGTTCAGCAGCAGTCCATGCTCTGAAACGTCTAGCACCATGACTGGATCGGTACTGTTCCGTTGTAACTTATCGGCATCTGTGATCAAATCTAGGCAGGCCCATCCGCGGTAGCCTCTCAATTTTGAGGCTTCCAGGAGCGACGCCGTCAGCCTCTGAATTGACGGCGAGTCCTTGAAGCCTTGGATAATTCCCACGCCAGCAAGTGGCGAGGACGATGATGGTGATGGAGATAGGAGCGCCTGCTCGAAAGCTGGGGACTCAGTGGTCACAGACGAGACCATAAGGGAGGAAATACCACTTTCCTGGCTTTGGGTATTCTGAGCACAGATGTCTAGGCCAGTGAAGCCATGCTGGCGAAGCAGATCGTCCCACCCATTCGTGGTTAGGAGAGGGCAGTGGCCGAGGCGCTCGTCTTCAAAGGCCCACCAACCAGAGAGAGTTCCAAAGACTATGTTGATCGCGACGCTTAATTTGGTAAGCTCAACGACGATGAGCTTCCCACCGGGTCGAAGCAGCTGCCGTGCGTGGGTAATGGTGGCATTCATATCTTTGGTAGCGTGGAGGACGTTGACAGCTAGTACGACGTCGTATGACCCGGCCGCGTAGCCCTGGGTCGACGGGTCCTTTTCAATGTCGAGCACGCCAAAGTCAATGTAGCCCAGCCACTCGGCGAACTTGCTCTTGGCATGATCAAAGAAGCCGCCCGAGATATCGGTGTAGGCATAGCGATCCAGCCAGATCTCGCCGTCCTGTCCTTTCAGGGTCTGGAGCAGGGGCATAGTTGCGCCTCCCGTGCCGGCGCCGATCTCGAGGATCTTCATGTGTGGCTTCTTAAAGGCCAGCAGTCGCACGTACTCGGCCATCTGTTGGTAACTAGACGAGGAGATGCCGTTGGCGTATAGCGAGTCGAGCAGGTCACCCTCCCGCATCAGGGTGAGCGGGTCGCACTTGCCGAGGAGGATATCTGCGAGCTTGCGACCGACGCGGGCGGCCATCTTGCCTTCAAAACCGAAGGCCGTGGCATTCTCAGCGGCTGCCACAACGCGGGCCTCGTCCTCAAAGCTAAGGTCGGATGTGAGATCTTGAAACGCGGGGGAAATGCTGTATGCCTGCATCCAGTTGAAGAGCTTCTGCAGGTGGGGAGCCGCCACCACGGGAGGTGTAACAGTGCCAGGCGTGCTGGTGGTAAGATCTAACTTGGAAAGGGCGTGGCGGATGAAAATGGACGCCGCCTGTTCGATGTTGGAGTAGTAGTCGTTGAAGCCCTCGTCAAAGCCCTGCTGTGTTGGTGAATGCTCTCGATGTGTCTGCTGGTTTTGTGCAACCATGTACATGAACTTCTCGTTGCTCAAGAAGTCCACGTCCACATCCCAGGTCATGCGCCGAGGCTGCTTCCCTTGATTGCTCGTCTCGTCCGCCAAAGGCGCATGTGATCCCAGCCCGAAGGATCTCAAGACGTACTGGGCCTTGATCAGAAGAGACAAGTCCCCAGAGGTGATGTCTTTCTGGAAGACATAGGCGTCAGTAGTGCAAGAGCGCATGTCGGTCAGGGACCGATTCAGAGTCGCGGCAACGTATAGCTCGGTTGTGGGCTCCGAGAGGCTGCTGCTCATGTCGGCCCGGATGTCCATGTCAGCCACCGAGCCGACTACAACGGGTGCGTTACCGTTGTGTAGCTTGAACAGGTGAGCTCCAATATGGCTGATGGCGTCTAGAGTCGAGGGATGGACAAGATGCGGCTGTGGGCTGTGACCTGACATGAGATTAGGAAGGTTGGGCACTGTCAACTTGGTCCAAGCCATGGTCTGGCTGGTACCAATGTGCAGGTCACCCAGCAGTGCAAAGCTGGGCCCGTAGAGGTTGCCGGTATCCTTGAGGTTCTGGTAAAATGTGTTCCCATCTACCATTGCCTCTGCAGAGGTGCAATCCTTCTGGATCCCTCGGAAGGCGACCTGATGCGCCGAGTCCTGAAGGTCGTGCTCAGAGACGGTCTCGACGTTGTTATCATCTTGGGTGTCATCAAGGCCGACCAACCCACTGCAGCTTTCCTCCCAGGCGCCGTCACTGTACATAAGGATGCGGAATGACTCCCATCGGCCACCGCCAGCCTTGCATGGGCTGATTGTTAACTGCAGCTCAATACTAGCATTTTCCTGATCCACTGGAAGCGAAATTGCTTTGGCAAAGTTAACATCACTGACCCTGAATCTCTGGATTGTGTTGGTAGTGCCAGGGACAGCAGCTTTGCTCTTGCGCATCTGAGACAACTGCTTCATGGCTTCGATGACCATGCACACGCATCCCGCGGCCGGGAAGATGATAGATCCATCGATGACATGGTCTCTGAGCCACGGCAAGCTGTTCGCGTTGAGATGGTGGCGCCATCGCGGCTCCTGCTCGCTGCCTGCGGGATCCAACAGCCCGCACAGGTCATGCCAGGCAAATTGGCGGAGGCGGTGCGACGAGCTGACGCGGGACTCACGCCAGTAGGGAAGCGAGTCCTCGGCGAAGGGGTAGGCTTTGAGGTCGGGTATAGCCTGAGGCATGTGATCCCCATGCCCAGACAGCATGGACGACAGCTTCTTTCTGTTGATGGGGACGCCCAGCTCGACAAGGTGGCCGAGGAAGGTGAGTGACGACTGGCGCGCATCTGTCTTGCGTACAAGTGGGCAGAGATACGAGAACTTGAAGTCGGGGGACATAAGGGTCTGCTTTGTTGGTCCTGCAAGAGTGGGTGCAGGCCCGATCTCGACCAAGACGAAGGCATCATCACCACCCGTATCAGCCCGCTTCAGCTCGTCGCGGACGTGGCGTAGGCCCTTGACAAATTGCACAGGCGAGACCAGGTTGTCCACCCAGTACTGCGCACCAAAACCATCATTCTTGCGCTCACCCGTCACGGTGGAGAAGAACGACACGCCCTCGCGAACGGGGCTGCTCTGCATGTGTGTTGTCGAGGACAGGTACGCCGCCGTGGCCTTGTGCATGCGGTGGGAGTGGTATGCCTGGTCAACACGCAGCTTGCGTGCGAAGATGGACTGCGCATCAAGTACGGCCTTGAGCTCGTCGATGGCGCACTCGTCACCCGAGATGGTCGTGCTCTCTGGGCTGTTGATGCAAGCCACACAGATGCGACCAGTCTTGGTCTGAGCAACGTATGGGCGCACCGCATCTTCACCCAGTCCGACTGCCAGCATGGAGCCTGGCGTCGTCTGGTCTTTCTTGGCTTGGGCCGCACAGAAACCTCGGTAGTATGAACTGGGAATCTTGTCATTAGCGGTACTGCGTGTCGCGTACAGGATGAACGGGTAGACTTACACCTGGACCGCAGCCTCATGGCTCAGGGCCCCGGCTGCGTAGGCTGCGCCCACTTCGCCGGAGCTGTGGCCTACAACGGTTGTGAGTGTGACGCCGAGGCTTCTCAAGAGATCAACAAGGGCGATCTGCAGGCAAGTCGTGACGGGCTGCGCGATCTTGGCGTCTCCAAGCTTGGAGTACTTGTCATCGGAGCACAGCTGCTCGCACAGGGACCAGCCTTGCGCAGACGCCCCTAGACCGTGAAGGATGGCCTCGGACTTGAGAATGGACTCCTCGAACGGGGCCAGGGACATCAGCTCGCGGCCCATACCAGCCCACTGTGAGCCCTGCCCGGTGAAGACAAAGGCCAGGTGCGGCGCGCTCGAGGACTTGGACGGCCGGACGCTGGCGAGCGATGAGCTGAGCTGCTCGACATCTGAAGCGATGATGCCAGCTCGCCAGGGAAGGAGGGTTCTGCGCGCCGAGAGGGTATATGCAAGGTCATCCAACAACGTCTTTTGTGCTTGGCTGTCGGACCCGCCGCTGCTGGCGTGGGAGGAGACCCATTGCCGTATGTTGTTTGCTGAGGCTTTGAGGGTCTTCTCCGAGTTTGCGCTCAGGAGGAAGAGTTGGGGATGTGGCACGTCCACCCCATTCGCGGTGGTTCCATTGACAGTCCCGTTGATTTTGATCCCATTAGACAGCGCCGCTGCGTGGCCATTGCGAGCCCTATTGTTTCGGAGCCCCAACGACGCAAGAGCACGGCCAGAAGCGGCACATGTGCTCAAGTCCTCGATGATGACGTGACAATTCGTGCCACCGTATCCAAAGCTGTTTAGAGACACTCGGCGAGGTCCCTGTGGCAGGGGCGTGGCTTCCCGGGCAATCTGGTGAAACGACGGGCACTTTGTCAGCATACCTGCCTTGCCTTTGCATTTTACTTGCCTCTGCCTTGCCGAAGGTGGAAGAGTCGAAATAAATGGTGAGATCAAGGGGGGTCACTCACTTTGATGTTCCTTTCGTCCAGCTTCAATGACGGCTTCGGGTCAATTAAATTCAACTGTGGTGGGATTACTCCCGTCTTGAGCACCAGAATCGACTTGATTAGACCTGCAATACCCGCCGACGCCTCAAGGTGTCCGATGTTGGACTTTACTGATCCCACGTAGAGGTCCTGCTCTCGATTTCTCTCCTTGCAGAATACCGAGTAGATGGAGCCGATTTCCTCTTTGTCGCCAATTTTGGTGCCCTGGAAAACGCAGTGAGTAACTCATTTGTCAAGTCACTCACTCCGAGGAGTGTGTCTCAATGTGGTCATTGGGGATCTGCTCATTCTACGTACCGTGCCATGAGCCTCAACGTATGGGGTATGGCTCGGGTCCAGACCGGCCTTTGCATACACTTCCTGCATGAGGACCCTCTGGGCCTCACCGCTCGGAGACATGATGCTGCCCTCCGTACGGCCATCCTGGTTGATACCAGAGCCGACGATGACGCCGTGAACGGGATCGCCGTCAGCAAGGGCCTTGTCCAGGAGCTTGAGGACGACGGTGGCAACGCCTTCACCGCGGGCGTAGCCGTGGCCACGAGTGTCGAAAGCGTAACAGTGGCCATCGGGGTTGACCATTCTGTGGTGTGGGTGAATGTTGTTAGATAATTGAGACGTAATATAAGATGTGATGGTGATGCGTGATGTAAGGAAGTGAAGAGAATCGAATGACAGGACTGTACCAGTGGAAGGGACGTCTTACCCGATAGAACTCATATTGACAGACTGAGCAGGATCTATCAAAAGTTGTGATCCACCAACAATGGCCATGTCGGATTCGCCAAGACGCAGGCTCTGGCATGCCTGGTGAAGGCAGACCAAACTGCCAGACTAAAGGATTTGATGACAGCCGGTCAGCAGAGTGTTCAATAGAAGTCTTGTGTCCATTATTTGATAACTTACACAACCAGTGTCAAGGGTCAATGAAGCTCCCGTCAAGTCGAATACATAAGAGATCCTATTTGACAGCATGGCCATACCAGTACCAGCAACATGCGATCCACTGACCTCAGCGAGGTCCTTGTAACCCATCCGCTGGTAGTCGTAGGCGAACGCACTGATGAATACGGAGGTATTGCTGCCACGTACGTCCTCGAGAGGCAGGCCTGCATTTTCCAGCGCCTCGTAGGTGGTCTGCAACAAGATGCGTTGTTGTGGGTCCATGGCATGTGCCTCCTGCGGTGGTACCTGAAAGAAACGGGCGTCGAACTTGGATATGTCGTCCTTCAGAAAGTAGCCGTGCTTGGCCGCCAGGGACTCAGCGGCTCCCTGCTGGGCGTGGTAGAAGGCATCACGGTTCCAACGATCGGCCGGAATAGGCCCCCAGCTAGAGACGCCATTTAAAAGGAGTTCCTCAAGTTCTTCTGGGCAGCTGGCGCCGGGAAAGCGACAGCTCATGCCAATAATGGCAACAGGAGATGGAGCAGTCATGTTGTGATCTATGAAATAACTGCCTCAGGTGACGAATTGGGAAAATATTAACAAAGATTCGGACAGGAGATCTCGCATGAACTTCGGAGGATTGCCACAATGCAATCGATGCGATCAAAGTCCAGCAGAAATAGCGAGTGTTGAAACTGGAGCTCGATGACCGTGTAACAGGGCTTCCCAGTGAGCCAGTAAATATCCTACTTCTTATATTACGGACATGCCGACATTCTACAGAGTACATATCTAGGTAGCCCTCAAGGATACCATTGGAGGAGCGGGACATGTATGTTGCAGATCTTGCGAGAACTGGCGCATCCCTTTCCACGACAGAATCATGTGAAAAACAGTGTGATTTGGGGGTTCCGTGGTGAGTGGGGGTTTCCGTGACATATCGTCACAGTTTCAACGATGGTTTGCGACAACATGTTCCATGTGATAGATTGTACAAATTCTTGAAGATCCGTCGGAAGCAACATCTTTCAGCCACCAGATAGCAAGACATTAGGTACGTTCTGAAGCAACGCCAACAGCAGCGATTGAGACAAATTAACAATAGCAAATATTCTTGGAAAATCAAAATAAGCTGCTGGGCCGTAAAAGAAGATCACGATGGTTACTCGGACGGTACACTGGCATCTCATGGCAAGTTGAGATCATCAGGGTCGCAGTACATATATCCGCGGATTACGGCATCATCCGCTGTATCCACGTTGAGATTGAAAATAGGGAGCGGTCCTTGGCGCACGTTGAAACACTGATCGCGACATTTGAAAATCAATATGAGCAAGGCAAGACATTTCAGCCCTTGGCTCCTTGGTATGCTTGGCTTCTACTCAGACAGTGTCGGAGTCTGAAGTCAGTCTCTTTTCATCTGTATATAGCCAGGGTACAACTCTTCACTACCTGATTTACCGGTCTCTATTTCGAAAATTTATAACTCTAAATAATAAAAAACCATCGCTAGAATTCATATTCAATGTTGAGCAACTTTATGTATATTTATGATATCAGACACCCAGTAGTTTCTGCATAAATATAGCCGAAACTCAAGGGTCTTGGCGGTGTCAACAGCCCTACACGGATACTATTGCTCTCAGCCTGCTTGCCCAAGTGAATGTCTATTGTGTCGAATGGAATGAATGTGTCCAGAAGGTCCGTGCATGGAACGCACCGTCTATTATACATGGATGTAAAATAGCACAATCAATAGCCAGACGAGAGTCACTGATAGATCGACAGAGCTGTGTCAGTGCCCTTCCCTTCTCGGCAACAGTTTCCCAAAATTCATCACAACCCTTCGTCAGGGAGCGGTGAGGTCCTGCCAAAACGCCCGTCCACAATTCCAGCCCCTCATAGGCATGCCACTGTGCTCAACAAACAAATCCGGCCCTCCCTACCTGATTTTCCAGTCCCGATTTTTTGTGTGAAGCACGGCAAGCCGAGAGTACTTATCTTCCTCACGGGAGCTATCTACGCCCTTTTGCTCTTACTTGAGCAGATAATTATCCAACTGTTATGAAATGTAAACTTCCCGGATATTAGTTCACTACCTTTCTCAGTTGAACCCCCCCCCCCCCCTTTTCCTCCTCGAGCAAAAAAATCCAACTGCTACATCAGCCATGCCCTTTTTCAGCCGCTTTTTCCTTGGTGCAGACGAGCATGTCTGTATGCCAACGGTGCCCACAGACGAAATATACCCTGTGCATTTTTACGACGACACCCAAGTCTTTCGCAAGTCGCAAGGAGTTTGGCTCATACGTTTCGACGACGTGTTGGACCCAGAGATAGTGCATGGCAGCCTCGAGCGGCTGTGTACCCTCCCAGGATGGCGCAAGTGTGGTGGAAGGGTCAGAATAAATGTAAACCCGCCTCTCGTCGTCTTCATTTTGCTCTCTGAGCACCGGCTGTGGCACTAACGTGTGTGATCCTCACCACCAGAAGAAAACTGGCAGACTGGAAATACACGTCCCCGAAAGGTTCACTGCCGAGAGGCCAGCAGTGAAGCTCACTCGCCTCTCGCACACTGACATAAGCATCAACGATCACCCGCTGGCGTCAAGACTGCCCAGAGAAACGTCCACTCCATCTGTGCAGGCCAGTCCAGAGGAGTTCCTGGATCTCTCCGTCACCCCCGAGACTCCCCTGACCCTTGAGGACTTTCTCAACTCTGACATCCCCCAGTTCAACATGCACATAATCTCTTTCAAAGATGCAACAATCGTGTCGCTGACATGGCCACACCTCCTCGGGGACATCATGAGCGTGGCCAGCGTCTCCGAGGCGTGGAGCCTCGTCATGGCGGGCCGCGAGTCTGAGGTCCCTGCCTTTCTCTCAGCCACGAACGAGGACATCCTCGAGACCGCCGGTCAGCACCCAGACTTTCAGGACAAGCACATACTGGAGAACAACCGGCTCGCCGGGGTGTGGTTCTTCATCTGGCTGGCCCGGTACGTCCTCGACATGATCCGCTGGCCCACCATGGAGCTCCGCACCATCTTCCTGCCGCCCAAGACGGTGAAGAAGCTCAAGGCCAGGGCGACGATGGCGATCAAGGCAGGGCTGCCCGAGGCAATACCCTCCAACACCGAGCAGGCCACGCCCTTCGTCAGCTCGGCGGACGTCGTCTACGCCTGGCTGGTGTGCATGGTCGGCCAGGCGACCTTCGCCCTCACGTCCCGGCGCTCGATCATGATCGGCTTCCCCGTCGACATCCGCGACCGCGCCCCGTCCATCTTCCCCAGGGCCCAGGCCGAGAAGGGCGTCTGGGTCCAGAACGCATCGCCGCCGCTCCTCGCCCTCGTCACCGCGCAGGACGTCCACGCCGACCACGCCGTGGCCCGGGTCGCCCAGTCCATCCGCCACGCCATCAACACCCAGGGCACCGAGGACCAGGTGCACGCCCTGTACCGCCTGTCGAGGGCGGCCTACGAGAAGCAGGGGCTGCCGCCCATCTTCGGGGTCACGAACCAGTTCCCCATAGGCAATACCAACTGGACCAAGGCGTACCTGCACGACAAGCTCGACTTCAGCCCCGCTGTTGTCGAGAGCGTTGGCGCTGACGCCGCTGGGGGTAAGCGGGCATCTCCGGCTCGCAGGGGCAGGCCTGCGTACTTCCACGGCAATGAGCTGAAGCCCCGGGACAAGAGGGAGAACCCTCTCTCCCGAAACATAATATATACGATAGGCACTCCCGAGGGTGGCTACTGGGCTATGGGCAAATTTCACCCGGTTGTGTGGAAAAGGATCAGGGAGTCATTGTCTGAACTTGCGTGAATATCAATATGAATTAGCTGTTTCGCTCAGAGAGGCGTCATGATAACATTACTTCTGTCTGTTGTTCTCTATGCCCTTTGCGAGATGAAAGGTTATTATGCAAAATCGTAGAATGGGGAACGAACATTGAAAAATGGTCTCGGAGGCCGCCTGAACGTCCAAACCCCCTTTCCAAAGAATAACAACCGAATAGGTTCAGGCGATGAGATTCAGATTATACGTACCAATTCGGATGTGTTCCATCTGTGATATGTGTCATGCCACAACAACATTCAGCCAAGCCAACCAATGGCAATTTACCTGTCTGGTCACCCCTGGAAGCCGTTTGCCCCCAGACCTAAGAGAATCACAGGGCCAGAATTGGCTGCTCGAGGAGGGATCAACTCAGAATAATTTTGTTGTAGACTTACGCCTACAGTGGGCCCCCTCACTCTTAAATTTTCCAGTCTAGTATTGACCATTTGGGCTGGTCAATCCGAGCGGTGGTGTATGCATAGGATGGACAGCCCAAGCAACATACGGCACCTACCCAACGTACCCACGTCATTGGGATCATAAACAGAGATGAGTACGTCACCATCTAGTCGAACCTCGAGCATGCCGGCTAAGCTGGTACGTACGCCCGCCCTGCCTACCATCGGCAGCTTCACGCCTCCCTGTGGAGTGCTCATCATAACACAACACCCTTGTTGCCGAAACAGCAAGACTGCCCGCCGCATTGTACACGCTCCCTTCTATGCCCAACATAGCTCTTGCCGGGGCTTTCTGGCCATGACCAGATATCAACGCTCTTTCCCATTGCTGCGATTGGGAACTGTGAGGGATAGTGGCTTCGCTTGCCTTCCAACCTGTCTTTGAGAGGAAGGAGCTTGCCTCGGTAAGCCGGAGCAAAACATCCTTCCCGAGTCACCCCCCAGTCATGACATGAGACGCTGACGAGTGCCTTCCCAGATGATCAATTGGCATCTGTCAGGCTCCACGGAGAAAGCGGTTGGCAACCTCATGTGGAATTTGTGGTGGGTGACACTGCTATGGCACGGCCTGGCAGTTCGCCTTGGGGCCGCATCTATGAGACAACATCTACCCAGGCAGTTTGTCAACCCAGGGATTAGAGTGAGCACACAGCCCTCCCTCGACGACAAGACGGGGCACTGCAGTGCTGGTCAGCCCGCGGCGGGCCCCACTTCCAATCTATTTGGTCACGATTCCGCCTTCGTCGTTGCGTTGAAGCATACCAGACCTTCGACATGACTAGCAGCACAAAGCTGGCGTCATGCTTCCATCGCCAGCACCTCTTTCTAAGCCAGCCTCTCTCTAAGCCAGCATCTCTGTGAGCCGCTACCTCTCTCTGCCACCATCACTCAGCCAGCATCTCTCTGTCAGCATCTCGACCAGAATCTCTCTGACAGCATCTCTCGGGTGTCTCTCTGGGCCTCTCTCTGCGCCAGCATCTCTCGGACAGCGTCTCTCTATGAGCGTCTCTCTTAAACACCATCTCTTTCAGCCAATATGGTTTTCTGCCAGCAAACATCTCTGTCAGCACGGCCCTTCTCCAAAACAGTTCTCTGCCAGCTATTGCTCTGCCAACACCGCCCGTTGCTAGTCATTGTTCTCAGCCAGCGGGGCTCTCTGCCAAACACCCACCTACCAGAGCTGTTGGGATTGGAGGCTTGGCGCAAGGCGCAAGGCGCAGAATGTTGCGCGATGGGGATGTGCTATGGTTTGCCTCAGGGGCTCGCTGCAGGGTGGAAGTTTAAGATCGTGCGTGGCCATCCGGTATTGCGAGGCAGTGGTCAGGAGGAATCCAGGCACCGCTTCTAACTTCTTGTAGTGGAAGGGATTGGGGGACATTATAGGAACGGGAAAAACAATTGATGTGTGTGAGATGAAACATCTCGCATTGTTACAAGGCATGTAAGGTGAAGGTGGCCAGTGGGGATGGGCCCCATTTCCGGTCTAGGCGCAGTGAGGGCCAGGAGGTTTTGGAGAGGTAGCAGACTGGAACCCGGCTTTTGAGTACCTTGGTTATGAGAAATCACAATTCAGCTTCAAAATCACTTGCCTTCCTAGTAGAACTATGCTGTTCCCGGTCACCTAGCCAGCTTATCTCCTCGAACAGGCATACCTCGCCGGCTTCGCGTGAGCACTTGAGTGATATCACAGCCAGTCTGGCGGTACTTTGATGTATCTCCCGCGATGAAAAAATGTAAGTATGGCAATTATTTTCAATGTTGTTTCCCCCAACTGCCGGTTGAGATCTTGTTCTCTCGCTCTTTACCCAGTACTCAGCATGGACTTGTTCCTACTCAATCCCCATCATTCGAAACATCCCGTAGGTCACGAGGGCTACAGCTCCTCCAGTGATGGCGGCCCCTATGGCATCGTAGAATCTCGTTGGGACGTAATTGGGATCTCTCTCCCGACGCTTCCTGTCCTCCAATTTCTCCCTGAAATACCTGTCCCATTCCTTCTCTCTTGCCATTTGTTCTTCCCACATACGCATGCAAGTCCGGCAGCCACAGAGCATACTTAACCACTCACCACGGCGTTTGCGCCGACAGTGCCCTGGACAGCAATATCGGTGCTAGTACCTGTTAATCAGCTGCTACGGATCCTGAGGTAATACATTCTGGAACAATCCAAAACATGACAGACGGGGGACCGTGAGAGGGCAAGAAGGGTGCTTACGCAATGGTTCGGAGGCTCCTGGCCGTGGCAGCAGTCTCTTCGATATCTTGAGCCACTGTAGCCATGGCAACATCGATGCGGGCTGTTTTCGGCCATCTGAATGGGTGGTGGGCTTGTCATTTTCAGCACGTCTGGTCGGGATTAAGGTTGTGCCGCGAGTCGTTCCCTGAACGTTTCAAGATTTGAAGGTGCCCTATGGTGTTTATCAGAGGTCACTGTTGGGATCTGAAGAAGGTGGATTTGCGCAGTTCTTGGAGACATTTAGCACACTCGGGACCCCATTAAAGATGTTAGTGATAAGATGGTTGTCATGACGGCTGTGACGGCGCTGCGGGACATGACTGCTGGTGTGACTACAGTGCGTACCTAGGTAGGTCACAGGTTGGGTGCGTGCGCTCCTAGTTTCCGGCTAAAAAAGAGACCTACCTAGGTATTTGGCCTGCAATGATCGGAAATTGTTGAAATAGATGTTGCTGTCACATCTGTACTGAGACATACAGAATCCATCGAGCATATTGACTGTGGTTTTCATACTGCATCAATATGCTTCAGGAGTCGGCTGTGACCTAATGATTTAGCCAAGGGGCTGGCCCGGCCCTTGCGTTGATATCGAGCTCATCACTGTGGACTACGAGACGGGCAAGCCGGCCGCAAATTCCTATGGTCTGGTGTGGAAGAATCTGGATAGGTACTAGAGAGTTAATGGGGAAAGAAGATTTCCGTTGAGGAGGTATGCGTATTGTTCCGGATCAGTTGTTTGGAGGGGGAGGGGTGTGTGTGTTCCGGCTTGGTGACAAGATCTCCTCGGAAGCATGAGGCAGGCAGTGCTTGGTGAGTTGATCCTTTCAAATGTACGCAATGTACTGCACTTGACATACCGCTGACGGTAGGTTCAAGATTCGCACTAATGCAAATCCGTGGCTAATGTTCTCATGCTGTATCATTCACTTGAAGGCACCACCCCTGATCGGTTCGCCCTTCTGTCTGTTCAGATCCTTTGGTTGATCTTCAGGTCTTTTCCATCTTTCTCGCCTTACTCATCGGGGCAGCGGTGTGGCTTCCGGACCTGTCCCATATCTTGACTGAGGCACATGCCACCCCTGGCAGGTCGTTGTTGTTTGGAAGCCCGCTGTGGACCGTGGCCTAACACTTGGCCTCATGGGCCAACATCACCTATTCATTCTTGATATATTTTTGGAATAAGTCAGTTGGATCAGCTGACAGTAACTCTATTTGCAGAATCGAGATTTTTGGGTTCAGTTGTGGTTTTATTGATTCCGTAAAAACCAATTACCCACCCAGTAGCCTTCTCTTCATGCATAACGTTACTCAATCACAGACGGATATCTTTTGTTCAAGGTAGGCTAGCTGTTTCCGAACATACACCTCTAGGACAAAAGAAGATATCAGATAGTTGGGAAACTTTCAGCTGCAGGATGTTTGGGCTGAATTACGCACCATCATCTTCAGAGGTTGCTTAGCATTTCGTATGTGGGCCACTTTAAAAGAAGTTTGGAAATATATTTCTGTCCGCCTGGTCGAGAGGAGAGTGAATCCTGCATATCATTTCAGGTATGAGATAGCAAATGCTACATATACCGCTTCAGGACGAGTGGAGGAGGAATCCCTCCCTTTGTCAAAAGTCATCCGCACACAAGTTATGTGGGCGACTATTATAGTTGGCCGTGAGACCCTTTGGTGGACGGACAAAACACGACACTTCAGCCTATTCGCAGGCGATATTGGTAGAGTCAAAAAGACGACCGCATTGATTGCTCGAACGTCAACCACGAATCTGTCAATAGAAGAGAAGTACAAGATAGGAAATCCGGCGTCTGCCTCGCACAACGTGTGCATTACTGTCCCCCCAAAACGGGAACCAAGGGCTGAAAATCAATGTACCAAAACAAAACCAGGTGGCCCACACGAGTCGAACCAGCCAGGTATACCAATCCGTCAAACGCCGTCGCAAGCTGTCCGCTAAGAAGAGATACGACAAAGCACAAGGCTTGATCAGCGACCATTGCCTCCCCTCCCTAATCCCGGCCCAACCCATCCATCGCCCCCCACCACTATTTCCTCAAGAGAAGCTGACAAATTTCGGGTCCCTCGGCCGTCCGTCCGGTCCGATACCGTTGTCCTTGAACCGGTTCTCCATATAGACCTTCCTGGCCTGGTCGAACTTCATCCTCCGCTTCTTCATGATCTTGAGGATCTCCTGCTTCGCCGCATCATCCAGTCCCGCCCTGCCGTCGCCATCCGCCACGTTTCCGGTGAGGTCGAATGTAGTTGAAGACAGGCCGGCCTCGATGTCGCCGGTGAAAGAGCCCGGCAGCCGATCGTAGAGGTACCCGCCGCCAGGGAGGCGGATCTCGGAGACGAGGTGCGACCACCGGTCCCGCGTGAGGTACAGGACGGTTATGGAGACGAGGAAGAGGAACACAGTGGAGTAGAGGATGTAGGCCATGGTTGCGGAGATGGTTCTGCGATGCCCTTCGGGTATACGGAATCGCTTGGTTGCGTTCAGAATATGCGGGAAGTTGGGCTCGGTCGGCTTCCCGGGTGAAGATCGGATCGATCGGGTGATGGGGGCGACCGGTCGATGTTACGAGTTGGTTGATTGAAATGAGAACAAAAGAGAGGTGATTAGAATTGCTGTAAGCTAGAGACGCTGTGCCACGGGTTTCATTTCCATGTCGGGAGAGCGAGGTCTCCAAATGCGCATGATGAGGACGCGAAGGCGCAGGAACGAAGGACGAGATGGTTGGTTACAAAGTCTCAGTCGCAAAGTTCCAGCGGCCCGAGGCTGACGCAACCCACCAACCTGTCGCGTATCAGGCGCGGCCGCTAAATTGGACTTTTGGCAATCCCCTCGGCGCCAAGCAACCTGGCAGGGGGGGGGAGGCCGGGTTGGCACCCAAAGGGGGGAGGGAGGGTGGTTGTCAAAAGTGGTCTGTCCCAAGTGGTAACCCTGGGGAAACTTACGTAAGCGGCTCCCACAGAAAGAATCTCCCCCTAGCAAAATATCACCAGCACGGCCAACGCAGTGTCGACGACAACGAGATCAGCCACCCGCCCTTTGACGCCCATTCCCCTTACGACCTCATCGATTTTCTCAACACATCACCGTCAACATGTCTCTTCCTAACGTCTCCGCCGATCTCGTCTGGGAGATCACCCGTACGTGTCACCGAGCCAGTCTTGCAGAGAGAAATACCCAGGCAGGAGCACCATTCGAGCGCGGCGCCTAACATTGTGTCATAATAGGCAACAACAACTCCTACCTGGTCAAGCGCAACACAGGAGGTGGTGTCCAGTTCTCCCGCGACCCTCTCAACCTGGCCAACAAGAACTCCCGCAAGGTACGAACCGCCTGATGGGAATTGGTGATCCCAACGGTGCCCCGGGGGGTACTGGGCAAAACTCACCTGTCGATGGAGGCTGATCAATTGGTCCACAGCACGCCGGATACGTCAACGAGAAGGCCGTCGGTATCTCTGCCCAGGGTGACAAGGGCGTCCACGTCGTCTCCAAGACCAAGGCCTCCAGCCAGCCCGCAAAGAACGCCCACAAGCGGACCTTCGGCTCCCACAACCGCAAGTACGTCTACGAACCTGGAGGCCCAAAGGGCTTTCTCCCCAGACTTAGCACCGGAAACCACCAAGCTAACACAATCCCCCCCTACACAGGACCTTCAAGAACATTGCCTCTTCCACCGCCAAGTCCGGATACCGCCCCGACCTCCGTGAGGCTGCCATTGCCCGTGCCTCCGCCATCCGCCGATCCCAGCGTCCCGTGAAGCCCGAGCCCGAGAGGAAGCTGCGTGGCAACGCCGCCAAGAAGGCTGCTCAGGAGTAAATTCCTTTCGAGTAGTACTGGGAAAGACATACTGGACTGTTGATTGTCAACGAGCCCGAACAACGTTTTGACGGGACCATGGCATCGCATCTGAAATGGGGACTACTTGGGGGATCTCGAAAGAGCCCAGGTGGTATGGTCCGGCGGGATATGCGGCATATTGAATGATATCATTACAAGGAGTCAATGGTTGAATGGTCAATGCGAATGAATGTGGAATCCACACGGTCTGGTCTCCTGGACCGATGCGGTCTGGCAGGCTGCGAAGCTGGTATGGCTGGAGCACTGCTCCTCGGAAAAGGGCTCCGTGCTCCGTATTGAAATAAAGTGACAAGACAAAGGCCTGACTGTGCGCGGTACACAGCACGCTGCCGGCTGTGATGTGCTTATCGTCCCGAAGAGCGCCCGAGACTCTCATGTGCTTCACAGGCCTGCATGTTCCAGCCCCCAGCATGAGCCAGCTGACCCGCAGGGAAATGCCGCACATGGTTTGACCACTGACATGCCTCATGTTATGAAATGCCTCGCGGTTGGCGCCGTTGCAATCAAATTGCGCAACATAGACATAATAAATGGCAATTGTCAGAAGTGCAAGAGATACCGAATATGCCCGAAGTTCAACACGGTAGCCGAGCCTGAGCCTCGGGACGGCTCCCATTAGGTAACCGTACCTTGGAACACTAGACAAATTACCACATTCTGAGCTTGGTATTGAAATGTGACTTCATTCAGCACATGTGTATGTACGTACACCTTCACATGGCATGGACGGAGGGGTCGGAGAGTCATGCAAAGCCCCATTCCGAAGCTGGGACCCAACCCGCCTGAGCCCAGAAACATCGTGAAGATAGCTACCAGACAAGGGCTGCCAATAACGTACTCTGCGGGCTTTCTTTCGGTGTCCGGATAGACTTGAATTATGGAGTGGGAGCTCTGTTGAAACTCTGCCCAGCTGGTCCTGTGCACCATGTCCCGTTTCCGCAGGTTGAGACTCGACCGTGTCAGCGAGACGGGGACTGCTTTTCTTTCCATTCTTAGCACCTGCAGCCCTTGCGTACCCCGCCATCTTACCCCAAAGCCCACCCCGAATCTGGAGCTCTCCCCCCTGACACGACCTCCTTCGCCGAGCACTGCCTGCACCGGGAAACAGAGCCAAGGTGCAACAGGCGCGGGAGCTGCCATCATAACCTCAGCGACCCCTCTCTGTTCATCCCCCCTCAACAATCCTCTCTCTCGCTCCTCTCTCGTGATACCTTGAATACTTTTCACTCCCACATCCGACAGACACCCACCAAGAACTTTTGTTGCAAGCCAACATCAACAGCCACAAGCCTTGTCACTGGTCAACGCCTCTAATCAGCGATACCCCACCAGAGCTCTTTTCGCCGTGAAATCGGACCCCTCACTCCAACCTACCACCCTCACAAGCTCAACTAGGTCAAGATGGTCAAGGCCGGTACGCCACCACACAAATCACAAACAACGCGGGACTCGAGTCTGTTTGGGCTGACATGTATCATCGGAAATAGTTGTCGCTGGTGCCTCTGGCGGTATTGGACAGGTTCGTAGGCGGCCGAGAGAAGAATCTGATCTCTTTGACAGGAGCTTCCGCTGACCGCCACCTCTTCCGCTAGCCTCTGTCCCTGCTCCTGAAGCTCTCCCCCCTCGTGGACGAGCTCGCCCTCTACGATGTCGTCAACACACCCGGCGTTGCCGCTGACCTCTCCCACATCTCCTCCAACGCTGTACGTTCTCCTCCAACAAACCCCTCATATCACAAGGCATCTTTACTGAGCTGTCACATAACAGAAAGTTGGTGGCTTCGTGCCCGCTGGTGGCCCTCGGGACCCCGATACCAGCCAGGCAAAGGCGGCCCTGAAGGATGCCGACATCATTGTCATCCCTGCTGGCATTCCTCGTACGTGCTGCAAACACCAGTCCTTGTGATTTCGAGGCCCGAGAAGCTTACAGCTGGCAACAGGCAAGCCTGGCATGAGCCGTGACGATCTCTTCAACATCAACGCTGGCATCGTCAAGGGCCTCATCGAGATCGCCGCTGAGGTCGCCCCCAAGGCGTTCATCCTCGTCATTTCTAACCCAGTCAACTCCACCGTGCCCATCTCCGCTGAGGTGCTGAAGGCCAAGGGTGTCTTCAACCCTCAGCGCCTGTTTGGTGTTACCACCCTTGACATTGTGCGTGCCGAGACATTTGTCGCCGAGATCGCCGGCAAGTCCAACCCGCAGGAGCTCACTGTTCCTGTCGTTGGCGGTCACTCGGGAGAGACCATTCTGCCCCTTTTCAGCCAGGTCACTCCCAGCGTCACTATTCCCGACGACAAGTACGACGCCCTCGTCAACCGGGTCCAATTCGGTGGTGATGAGGTCGTCAAGGCCAAGGATGGTGCTGGTTCGGCCACTCTCTCCATGGCCTATGCTGGCTATCGGTAGGTTGAAATATCGCGTAACGGAGGGAATTGTTCTGACAACCAGTAAGATTCGCCGAGAAGCTGCTCAAGGCCGTGAAGGGTGCCAAGGGTCTCATTGAGCCATCCTACGTCTACCTCCCAGGCGTCCCTGGTGGTAAGGAGATCGCTCAGCAGACTGGCACCGACTTCTTCTCCGTGCCCATCGAGCTTGGCGTGAGTACTTGCGAACCCCGTGGAATAATGACACGCTGGCTGACCCCATCCTAGCCCAACGGAGCCGAGAAGGCCATCAACCCCTTGGGTAACATCACCGAGAAGGAGAAGCAACTCCTGGCCAAGGCCATCGAGGGCCTGAAGGGCAACATCGACAAGGGCGTCGCCTTCGCCAACGCTTCGCCTCAAAAGTGATTTCCCCTTTCACCTCTGATTCTCCGCCGTCTTTTTTGGACCTTCTTCATTTTCTTCCATCTTTTGACAACGCAATCAAACCACCGCGGCCAGCCCATGCGACTAGGCAGAGTGAATCTTGCGAGATTTGGCGAATGAAATCAGTCAAGAGTTAGTTGCTGATCTGTTGTCCCTTCTCTTAGGTTGTGAGTGTGTTGGCAAAGAGGTCGAAAAAAATGCTTCTGGGTAGTCAGGCCGGTACGGCTTGACATGTGTGGATCGGATAAACGAGCTCAGCGGCCTTCGCGCTGACGTGGACATTGGAGCCAATTTCTTCGAATCTTCTCCATGTGAATGAGGAAAAGGGTATAGACGGGCCCGATCATAATAAATGCCGTCAAACACACCACATTTTCCGTTTCACGCAGTGTAGATGCATGACCGCTGTAAATCTGTGCCGCTTTTGCATATGATGGTAGCAGAATGAGGGCTGGTGCAAAGCACACGAAGCGATCCAGGGAGACTGTTCATTTCGTTGGAACAGTCTTGATCTGAAACACTGCACCAGGTAATTCGCTCGTCTCGGCCTGTACTGTCGCGTTGACGCCCATTGCCGCCAACGCGCCTCTCACGACGCCACAAGGAAACCATAGAAACTATTGCTTTGGTATTAGTAGCTTATTCTCGAGGAAAGGGAAGGCGTACGGGTGGTAGGGATTTGGCATCATACCGGCTCGGCTCTCTGAACCGCCCCTCCTCCAGCCTCCGTGCTCATCCTCGAGAACGGCCGGAACGCATTGTCTGTCAAAACGTAGACTCCCTGAATAATTGAATCAGCAACAGCCCTGGGTCGAGAGCAATAGAGCACCGTGTGATGTGCTAAAGGGAAGCCACCCAACGTACCCGATGGTTCGTCTTCAGGTTGTCGATCTGCTTGCGGAAGACGAGCATCCAGAGGTCCTTGCAGAGGAACTTGATCACGTCGAGGGTGTCGTTGAAGCGCGGGCGGTCCCTCGAGAAGCTGCAACCCGGGGGGAAATAGGTGGGATGTCAGCTCATGTTCCCACTTTTCCCGCGGATGATATCGGGACGCGTGTTGCTGTTAAGGGAAGGTAAGGGGGGTGGACGATAATGTGAGCTGCTGCTACTACCACCGACACCACGCATATCACATCGCATCACATAAGAACGTACCGCTCGACGAGCCCCTGTCCCACCCGGTAGCCCAGGGTCTCGAGCCGGTAGAAGACGGCGTCCCTCTCCTCCTCCTCGTCCATGGTGGCGCGCGGGGCAGCCGCCGCCGCCGCCGGGGAAGACACGTCCTTTTCTGCTGCTGCTGCTGATGATGATGTGCCCTGTGCTGACGCCGACGCCTCCAGCTCGTTGGTCACCCTGTAGGCCATGGGGACCAGCTCGATCAGGAGGAAGTCCAGGCACGAGGCGCTGAGGAAGGTGGCGGTCGGGTCGCCCGCGTTGTAGGGGGGCATCACGGCTTCGAAGGACATCTTGGGCTTGCTTTGTCTTTGTTTGATATGGGGGCTCGCTGTCGTTGGGACGGACTACTCTTGCGTTGTTATTGGATCAGATTCCCCGGTGGTCAAGATTATTGGGTAGGAGAGGCGCGCCCTCGTCCTGTTCGGTAGGGGGTTTCTGGCTCCTGTCGGTGTGGATGGGGAATCGGCTGGTTTTTAAACTCTAGCGAGTGCAATTGAGCGAGGCGTATCGTGATCGGCGTGTTCACCGGCGGAAAGGTGTTCCTGAATTCGGGCAGGCGAAGTTGACTGATTACCTCTGAAGAAGCTACGTCGTATGCCTCCGGTACGCAGATACATGCACACTTCTGCCCTGGGCGAGCAGCCCGCTGCGACCAGACCCCCTGCTCCTCGGAGCTGTGCTTATCTTATCGGCCGCCGGGGCTTATGGGCTTCCTGTGCTAGGTAGGTGATCCCTGAGGTCCGGGGGTCTCCACAACGTCAACTCTGTCCGACACTATCACGGAAGGAGGGAGTTGGCCGGCAACAAATGGTCATTTTGGTGCTGGCTTGGGATCTTGCTCATAGTAGAGCGTCCCTGAGCAGTTCTCAGGTGGCTCGAAGAAATTCACTTTCACATTCTTATTTTCCCGGACCAGGTTCCTCTGCCAGCTACGGACAATTCTCACCTATACGTATTCTCCAGTCTACCTTGCAGTTTCTGTGTGCGTGTGTATGTGAGATATATTATACAGTATAGACTATACGCTCTCATGCTGCTGAAATACCTGACATATGATTATCAGCAGCGTCACAATAAGTCATGGTGGACTACATAGCCCTACCCAAAATCGAGGTGAGGCCTACACTCTTACAAGGGACAGAGAGTACTTTCATTTATACAAGCATCTCTGGGAGTCCAGGAATCTCGGCATCCACTTCTCTCACTTCTTCCCGTAGATTGCTGACTGACAACCGAGGTTCCCTTGCTCGCAGCTGCACGCTCACTTGAGCGGGAGCATCAGCAGGCAATGCCTGCATGAAGTGTGGCTCATGAAAAAGGAGGCCGGCGAGACTGACCTCGCGGACCCTCTCGTCGAGATGCCCGACGGCAAGCACGACTACAACCTCAAGACGTACGTTGAAACGTAATCCACACCCTTACTCTCACTCACATGTACATAAAAAAGGTTCTTCCCCCTGTTCTCCTCATACATCTACCACCTCGTCAACGACCTCGCCGCGCTGAGGCACACAACCTTCTCCGTGCTCCGCGACTTCGCCGCGGACGGCGTCGTCTACCTCGAGCTGCGGACCACGCCCCGTGCCCTTCCGAGGTCCGGCCTCGATAAGGAGGGCTACGTCGAGGCCATCCTCGCCGTCATCCGCGAGTACGAGGCATCATCATCCGGCAACGGCAAAGCCACGCAGCTGCACACCCGCCTCATCCTCTCCGTGGACCGGCGCAACACCCCCTCCGAGGCAGCAGAGGTGGTCTCCCTAGCCCGCCGCCTCCAGCCCCTCGGCGTCGTGGGCGTGGACCTGTGCGGGGACCCGCTCCGGGGCGGCGTCGAGGCCCTGCAGCCGGCGTTCGAGGCTGCCCGCGGCATCCCGGGGCTGGGCGTGACGCTGCACTTCGCCGAGGCCGAGGCGAGCGGGTCCGACGCGGAGCTTCTGATGATGCTGCGGGAGTGGCGGCCGCACCGGATCGGGCACGTCATCCACCTCAGCGACGCCGTCAAGAGGGAGGTCGCGGCGTACCCCGGCGGCCTGGGGCTGGAGCTGTGCTTGAGCTGTAATGTCCGCGCCGGCATGGTCAGTGGGGGATTTGAGGGCCACCATTTTGGGGAGTGGTGTGAGTTGCCTGTGTTTTAATGTATATGTATACGGGACCACCCAGGGCCCGGATGTTCGTTCGTGTTCGCGAGGCTGACGAGGAGCTGTTAACAGGGAAGGTCGACGAGTGCACGGTGGTGCTATGTGTGAGTTGGCCGGCTCTTTTCCTCTCTTTGCCGTTCATTTCGCAAAGGTTGATGGCAAACTGACGAGGAAGGTATAGACCGACGACGTGGGAGTCTTTGGCAGCCCGCTGTCAAACGAGTACAGGCTGGTCGCCGAGCACTTTGGCCTGTCAGAGCCCCAGATACGCACTCTGGCGAGGAAGGGCATCGAGGTCATCTTCGGAGGGCCCGAGGAGAAGCAGAGGCTGAGGGATATTATGGACTCGGCATCATGAGGTCCAGCTGATCCACCACCATTCGAGAGTCGGTGCTCTCTGTCCCGTTGGCTCACTCCGTGGCGTTATGTGGGACAAGCGATCAGGACACTCCTCGCAGGATCTAAGCGATCCGAAATCTTTCAGCTTCGAAGCCTGTGACGAAAAGACCTTCAAACTATAAACTCACTAGACTGGCCGCCCGTAGAAGAGTCTTGGGCATTACTTGACACAGATCCGTTTTGTAGCAGTCCAGACTTCGTCCCGCGGGCTGACCTGCGAAATCCCTTTCCGCATTTCCAGTCACAATGTCATAATGGCAAAACGCGAGACAAATCAGTTCTCGGGTTCTCTCATTGCTCTAAAATTTGAAGACGCTATATGCACACGCTGAATACCAAAAGATACTCCCGGTTCAAGCCCCCCGTACTCCGTCCGTATGCAGGTAAAAGCGGTATGCGACGATTGTAACCCACTCCGCGACCTCGAGCCGCCGTTACTCTTCACCCTGGTCCAGCTCCGTCGATCGGTACTTGATCTGCAGCGCCCACTTGTTGCCAAAGTCGATGCCCCGTCGGATCTTGGTCCCCGCCCTCTTCCACACGGCGGCACCGAGGCCAATGTCGACCAGGAATAGGCTCCAGTCGAGGACAGAGTCGTCCGTCACGTGGCCCGTGACGGTCTCGCTGTCGTCAGCGTCCCCGTACGAGATCGCCTCCAACAGGCCCTTCTTGGGCGCGCCGACTGAGACGACGTACCGCGGCCGGATGTACAGGCTGTGGCCGTCCTGTACCGTGGGCTCGCCGGTTGTGTGGTCGATCCCGGTCGGCACGTCGACGGCGAGCACGAACGCCTCGTTCCGGTTCGTCCACTCGATGAGCTCGTAGACTGTGGCTTGCTCAGATGCGCGTAGGTCTTCGAACGGCGTCACGTGGCCAAGCAGTGCGTCGATGATCAGGGTCACAGCCATGGGCGGTGCTTGGGGGCGCACGCTCCTCGGTGCATCCATCGAGATGACGGGTATCGACGCTTGCCTCACGTGCTCGAAGAGTTCGCTCTTGCTGCACACCTTGCCGCCGAAGCTTTTGAAGAGTCGTAGTTGTCTGGTCATATCCACCGACAGGTCCCGCTCTCCTCTTTCAATGCCGACCACGCACAAGATAACATTAACTCCCTTGCACCGTAGATGACGGCCTGCAGCAATCGAGCGGTAGCCAGATTTGTTATTGCCTGCCAGAATGACGACGGTCGGCGAAATCGAGGACGGGTCGCCTTCCGCAGCTGCGAGCCGTACCTTGAGTGCCGGGTCTGTTAATGTGTGGAGGCCGACTTCTGCAATTCCACGACCAGCATTCTCTGTCATCATATCCTCCGTGAGGCCCAAGTCATTCTGTGCTATGTTCTCAAGATTGAGCATCTGCAGCGGAGACAAGACCTCGACGCGGCGGTCGCTCTGAGCGGCGTAGAAGCCGGCGGAAGAGGCAGCTGTCGGCAGCTGTTGCGGATCAGCATTTTTGGCCTTGCGCCGGCCTTTGGCAGCATCGCGGACACTTACGCCAGAGTTTACCCGGCTTGGTACCTGACCGACTGTGGTAGCACTGGCCTTTCTAGATTGCGACCTCCGGCCAGAGCTTTTGCCCTCGCCTTTGCGAGAACCCTGCCTACTTCCAAGTTCTCTTCCGCTCAACCGTTCGCTGCCATTGCGCATGCCGTCATCGGCCTCGCTCTTCCAGAAATCATCTGGAGGGGCTTTATCTGGCTTCGATGACGGAGAAGACATATCCAGCACGTTCTCAGTAGGATGCAAGTTCTTGCCTCCAGCCGTGCCTGGCTTTGGCCGACGGTTGTGGGAGACCAGGCGTGCGGCATCCTCAATCTGGTCCTTCTCTCGCATTTCAGAGAATAATGTACGCTTGTCGAACTTTTTCAAGCTTCCTTCAAAATCGAACTCGGGCATCTCTTGCACGTCCGTAACGTCCTCAGAGGCCCAGCCATTGTCGTTGGCGTTTCCCTTGGTCCGTCGCAGTGCTTTGTATGGTTGGAAGGAGGCTGTGTCTTCCAGCATTGGGGTCTCTCGCCAGCCCTTGCCCTTCTTCCCTTGACGCGCTCCTTTTGATGGGGTTGCCTCTTCCACAGGGACATCTTGCGCGTTCTTCTTTCGGTTTCGCTTCCGGTTTTTCTTGGACGCGCCGGCCTGGTTTTCCTGCAGTTCGGCTGCAGCTTCTTCCTCAGCCACGGCGGCATCAGTATCAGCCAGTTCAGCCCGTACGTTCAGACCCTCCATAGATTCAACGAGGCTTCCTTTAGGGGTCTGCTCCCTGGATGTCTCTCCAAATGTGACTTTCGGGATTGGCGAACGCTGCACCTTGTTGTTCGAGATTGGGCGGTTGGAAAAAGCCGATAAAGGTTGCGTTGTTTGTGGAGAGGCGCGGACCAGAGGCGCCTGGCTCACAGCCCCTGGCGATGCTCTTACGGGCGGCTTTCCCATCGAGAGGATCGCAGGGTCGACAAAAGCGGGCTTGGCCGGCTGGGGCGCCGCAGGGGCTTGCTCTTGAGCAGCTGCTTGGAACAGTCCTTGCAATGCTGGCGCAAAGGGTGCGCCCTGTTGATTCGGCTGTTGCTGCGGCTGTGGCTGCTGCTGATGACGAGGCTGATTATGTCCCTGGTACACGGAAGCGTGGTGGGCTGGCGCAGTGGGCGTGGTAGGCGAAGCCATGCTCTGGCATCCAGATGGCGCCGGATGCTGCTGCACCTGCGCAAGAGGCGCGGCCGGCGGGGTCGGCTGCTGGTAGGGCTGCTGAGGGCCGGATTCTTCCTGTATTTGGAGGTCTGCGATATCACCAGAAGCGATCACGATCCGCCCGCGCCAGTCCTTATTCTCGATCCACACATTGACCAAGGTGACATTTTCGCCGGGGACGAGCCGTTCGATCTTTCCAGTCAGGCTGATAGGCGGGTTCTTGAGCCTCACAAGGACTGACCAGCCCGCCCACGCCTGAGGGTTCTCCATGTTGTTCGATGCCACGGGTCGATGCGACTGCCTGGCGCCGGGATTTCGTAATTCAGGAGCACGTGGGGTTGCACAGGTGACGATGACAAGGACCTTCGGAGGCGAGGAGAGACGCGGTCGAAGTGCCGGGTCAGTCTGAACGTTCTCGAGGGCCGATGTGGAAGTTTGCCGGGGATAAGGGGATGATTGCCGTCTGCAGTGGTTTGTGGGATGCGGCAAAGGACGTCGCGCGACGGACTGAGAGCTTGGGCCTCCCTCTACACTTTTCGTTATCGATAAAAGAGGGACCCACCAAGAGCTTCCTCTGTACGCTCGCGTCCGCCGCCAATAACTGCATTACCCGGTAATAGTGGAGGGACCTTGATGACCTCCCAAGCTCTCAACACTTCTGTCACTACTCGACCTTCCCAATGCTAACTTCTCGACCGGTCTCAAGATGACAGCTCTGCCAGCTCTTACAGCTCGTGTATCTGAAGAGAGTAATAGCAGGACAGGTGCAAGCAGAGCACGCATGTCGCAGCCCATCTACCCTCGATTCTCAGGCCAGACTGAAGACGGAAAGCCTCTCTTGGCTCTCAGCTGTTCGCAGACGGTATAACTGTCTCACATGAAACACACATTGCTATATGCCATGTATCTCACTGTTTCCCCAAATACGCATGTCAATTACGACCGCATTGGCTAGAACGTTGTGATGTGTACATTGGATCATTGCTGCTGCAAGCAGTGCCCCAGTCAAATGAGCTCCTCCGCGGCCTCGGCTTCTTCTTTGCCCTTGCGCCGAGGTGGCCAAACAGCTACATAGGTACTTTCGCTTGCATAATTGTTCCAGCATAGACATCTAAGTGGCATGCTTTTTAGAACTCTGTGCCTTTGGATCACTGGCCTTAGACACTTACTCCTGCAGTGGGATGATGAGATACCAAAGATGAATTGGGCCGGAGAGTGGCATCTGAGTTCCTTCCGATAAATATTTAGGTGCACACCTGTGCCTCTTGGCTTCCAGTGACTCCTCCCAAAGACGTCCTCATAAGTCATGCACTGAACACTCCGGTCGTAAGGGTATTTATTCTGCTGGTTCCTCATGCATACATCTCCCTCAAGTCTAAAATCCATACGATGCCATCGCCTCTTCCTCATCATTCTCATCGGCCATGCTCGTGAGCTTGGCTGGCTTCGCTGTCTTGAACGCAAAGTTCGCAATGGAAGAGCCGGTCTTCTTCTTGAGGGCCGACTCCGCGCTGTACAGCTTTTGGTAGAACGACACGACGCGAGGATGTGCCATGACTTTTCTCCTGTCGAAGCGGAGAACCTGCAGTCCGTCCTGGGTGACCGCTCGACTGAGAGCAACATACGCTTGGCCCTTCTCAAAGACCTTGCCTAGGTCGACCTTGACACGCGCGAGCGTCTGGCCCTGGGCCTTGTGAATCGAAAGGGCCCAAGCCAGTATAAGGGGCAGCTGCTCCCGCGACGCTTGCACCTCGCCAGTTGGTGTCTCCACCTTCCAGGGCTCCGAGCAGCAAAGCATGATCCTTGCTGTTCCATCAACAGCATGGAACTGTACCAGAGGGAACTTCTTCTTGTCGGGTCCGGCGTTATCAGACAACTGTCGACTGAAGGCAGCGAGCCTCTTCTTGACCTTCGGGTCCACGTCATCTCCATTCTCCTGCTCCTCATCAAACATGCCGCCCGAGATCTCGAACGCGCTTTCCGTGGAGAATCCAATGACGGTGCCTAGGGAGCCGTTCACAAGAGTTTCATCCAGGTTTTTGATCAACATCACTTGAGCTCCCTTTTTGAGCTCTAGTACCTTAGGCGCCATCATATTTCCCAACAACTTGTCGCGAATGTTGGGGTCTCCGGCGTCTAATGCCTCGTATCTGTGAATCTCACCAGGAAGCTCTCTCAGTCTCCTCTGGTTGGAATTCTCAACTTCTTGCCTCGTTGGGAACCTGGGACATGTCAGCATTGGGCTTAGTTGGAGAGGGAGATGGGGCAGCTCACAGCTCGGTGACCTCCAGACCGTCATTGAAATGGATTGGTCTAGACATCTTTTTGAAGGTCTCAACAGTCTGTTCACTAATGTGACCGAGACGCATCTCATTGAGCATCTGAGCGAAGACTGTTGGGTGTTAGTAATCAACCAGTAACCAACACATCTTTTGCCGGTATGACCGGGGCATGATGCCTACCTGGATCCTTTTGACGGAAAACCTCAGTGAGTCCAATCGTGTGGTCAATCGAGGTGTTCCAAGTGGCCGCCTCAAAGGCGAATTTGGTGTCCCTGCTGTGACTGTCCGGAACGGGAGGCAACTGGAAGAAGTCTCCTGTGATGACGAGTTGGATACCGCCCCAAGGCCGGCCATTGTTGCGGATGATCCTCCCTACTTGTGAAAGCTTGTCAAAAAGGTCCCCGTCCACCATTGAGATCTCGTCGACGATCAAGACCCTGGTTCTCATCCAGCGGTTCTTGGCTTTGCCGTTGCGTCGAATCTTCTTGACGAGCGTTTGCGCGTCGTCCTTGCCTAGGCCAATCCCCGCAAAACTGTGCAGAGTCATGCCTCCGATGTTGCACGCCGCCAGGCCCGTCGAGGCAGTAACGGCGAGACGCTCTGGATCCTTTGCGTACTTCTTCTTGAGGTCCTGAATTATGGCCCTCATCAACACGGACTTTCCGGTTCCTGCAGGACCGGTGAAAAAAACACTTTGTCCCTTCTCGCACACGAGCTTCTTGACATACTCCTGTTCGTTGCTCAGTGAAATCGCTGATTGCTTGACAGTGTATGATTTGACAGCTTGCTGCATCTCTTCCGCAGATGCTTCAGCGCCAGTCACACCGGGCTTCTTGGATTTGTTCTTCAATAATCTCTGCTGCTCCTTGATGGCGCCAGGAGTGAGATCCCACGTCCGCGACTCTTTCAGCTTTGCTTGAGGTTTCGCAGCTGGGGTTGAGGTGCCATGTGTGGAAGATGGTTCGACATCATTGTTTTTCTTGTGGAGGTACTGTGGTGGCAGAGACCGCTTCTTCGGGATTGGCTTGGAGGACGGTGCATCTATGTCTTCGGTGAACGCTCGTTTGGCAGTCCTCTGGGAATCGGTCGATTGGGAGACAGATTGGGCGGGCTGAAAGTGAGTGGGCGAGGACTGAGACCAAGATAGCACGCTAGTATCATCGGTGGGAGGCGCATCGACAGCTTTCTTGGCAGGTGTAGACTTGGGGGGTAGGGGTGGCAGAGCAGAAGGGCATTCGTAATCCAGATCCACCTCATCGCTGAAGTCGTCGTCGAAATAATCGATGTCTTCCACCAGCTTGCCCCGCGTCGGAGCTTGGGTATTGTCTCCGGTCAGGTCTACGACATCAGGGCTGTCCTCAAACGAGTTCTGACTGTTGTAGAGCGAGGCGAACGGCTTGCTGTTGACCGTACGGTTGATCTGAGGAGGGGGATTCATCGACTGTGAGGAATTGGACGTCCGAGGCTGGAGAGGGCCGGCGGGTTTGGAGGACTGGCTGAACTTGGAAGAGCCATTGAAAGAGCCGTTGTTCTTCTGGAACTGGTCTTTGATGCTAGCATCGCGTCTGGGGCTTGGGCTGCTCGAAGGGAAGAGCTGCTTGGCCAGAGGCTTCGCAGGCTGTGGTGCCTTGTTCTGGGCCGCGTATGTAGCATTTGCACGCTTGAACATGCTCATGGTGGGCGGTGGTCGATGGCGTTGGTTAACGGCATGTGCCTGTGAGCAGACGCGGATGGCAGCAGTCCCAGCCCAGGTCCTTGTCCTCAGCCGACTCAGAGATCCAAGGGGGGAGAGGCCAGATACGCTTGCAGTCATGCAGCGCCGATGCAGATGAACTGGCGAAGTGACTCAGGTGGGGAAGTCGTGTTGCAGCATTCTTTGCTCCTGCTGGGCCTCCGGAGTTGGTCGCTCGGTCCTGTTCCAGGCGCTTTAGAGTTTGGATCGCAGCACGCTGTGAGGGGACAAGCGCGTCGCCCCTGCCGTCGACGCGACTTGCACGGCCGATTAGATAAGGAGGGGCTGCAAAGATAAGCGGGTTGGGACAGGGGTCTGACACCATCGCTCATGGATTCACGACGCCGCGGTCAAGGCGCAAACAAATTGACAGTATCTCAACCTGAAGCCCTGCAGTGTGGGCTGCTCTACGCGAATAAGCTTGCCTCGCAACTTGAACATTCCTTAGCCTATCAGGAGAGGAAGGGGCATGAATGGAGGCTGCAACACTCATCCAGCCATCATTCTTGGTTGCAGCCAGAGCTAATCCCTTCCCCTCAGCCTCCTCGAGCAATCTATGTACGCATTTGCAACAGGAGAGGAACACGTTGAGGAACAATTTCATGCGCTCCCTGACGAGACTAACAATGCTCTTGGATGCTGATCTTGACCAACCTGGCTAGGTGCCCACACAAACGCAATTGAAGCATGCGGGGACATGAATACAGCATCTTTTCGCAAAGCGATATAGACGACTCAAAAACCTAGCATCCCCGAGCAAAAGATCAGCAATCCAATGCGCCGGCCTGCCCTGCTGTCAGTGGTGCTGGCCAATCATTATGCCTGCCATCCAAACGGCCCAATGCAGCAGCAATCTGGGGGGTGGCCAGTCCGACAACGAGCCTCCTCTGAGCCGTGTCGCATGTCGCATATAGCAGACAACTGTAGCCGAAACCCCCACGCGCGGTTCACCACTCCCCCGTGCGACTGCCGGGGTACAACGGCCGGTCCAATCACCAGGCGCTGGCATCGAACACGCCCGCCTCTTAACCTCTTCCGAGACCAAAGCTGCAGTTGAGAGGTACTCATCATGGGCCGCCCGTGGGGCCGCTCGGGCAGTCCGCTCGCGAGAACCTGCGGCCCTGGCAGCGTGCGCATGCTCATCTCAACACAAGATTCCAAAGTCCAATTCCCGGGCTTGCGTACTGTGTATAATCACTTGGCGAGAAGCACACAAAAGGGCTCGGCTCGCCGCTCGATCAATCAGATACGTCTGCCCAGCGTGCCAAGTCTGCGCCGAGAGGCTTAGACCGGGCCCAACTGTCAAGTAGACTGCCAGACGAAAGGGCAACAATCAGACAATCGGGCGTTCGGCCTGAGAGCGAGGCAGGGGCGGTGTCCTGGTGGGTCGCCTGGCCCCGTTTGTGACGTTTTGCAGTCCGTCGATCGCCTCTGGCCGCATTGCGGGGCCGCGGGGAAAAAGGCAGAGGGTAACGACTCGTGCACGGCGCGAGGGAAAGCCTGGCGGACCGGGCGAATCTCACCATGCAGTCATGAATGCGATCAGATTTTTGTCGTGGGAGTGGAACTGGTCATCCCGAGTCCAGAGCTCTGGACCTTCGGATGGCAGAACCAGGGCCCTTGTCAGTCGGTCAGTCTGGGTTCGGTACATACGGACCCAGGGGGCCTCGACACAGGAGCCGGGGATCCGGTTGGGCGCTGAAGGTACACGTACGAAAGTGGCTTCAGTCTGGAAGACCATGGACGCTGTGCCGATATCCAGAGGCTTCCAGGGTGCCCAGTAGGCCTGACTCTGAATGGTCGAGCACGTCCTGTGCCCGGCCCCACGAGGTTGAGCCGCAGTGCAACCGTCCACATGCGCAGACTAGCAATGTCGTGCTGGGGTACATTCATTGCCGTGCCGTGGTGTTGTGATTTATAGACCGTCACTTTTCAGAGAGCGGCACGGAGAGATATAGATAGATATCAAGTGCTGTACCACGCAACAAGGATGAGCAGCAGCCAGGGCGGCGTGCATCAGCTGCCGAGTAGCTTCTTTTAGATCTCTTGGATCCAACAACAGGCTGGTTGTTTACCACAAGAACTGATCCCACAGGATGGACGTTTCTCGCTTGTGCTGGAGCCCCACAGCTCCTCGCGATCCGTCACCGTCCCCTTCAGCTTCATGGTTCACGGACTTCCGAGGCTCAGCCCAACCAACAACTGTGGATGCAAAGCACAGTATTGGGTAGGGTAGAGTACTGGCCGCTGGGCCTCGATCTATCTCATCTTGCTTCATCTCTGGGTCTTGTGATGCTTGGGATGCTTGTGGTGCTTGTATGACCTTGGCATGCACTCGGCGTTGGCTGGTCTTGTGTGAAATGTGATCAACATCTCTTGGTGTAAGAAGGGCAGGAGGATCACAGTGTGCTCACCTCCCATCGTCGACGCTTATCGGCCAATGTGCGTCGCCTCGTGGGAAGAAGTGGGAAGACTTGCAGCACGCCCGCCGTGCCGCTGTGGAGCATTGTTCAGGGGCCGCCCTGCTTGCAGCTCCAGTGGCGGTCGGGGTCCCCACCCTCTGGGGCCCATCCGCTGCCACTAAAATAATCAATAACATGCAGCTAACAGTAATCGCTCGAGAACCAGAACCTTGACAGACAAACGCATGGGCAAGGACTAAGTTTTTTCTCTCACTGTCTGATGCTTGATTCTCGTTTGGCCACTCGGATTATATAGGTAAGGGAACACTCCCTTCGCAGACCGAGGCCGAACCTTCCAGGGTTTCTCTCCATCCTCGGCGCCAGAACCCCAAAACAGCCTGGTCGCAAAACATTGTTCTCTTTCGACCGAACCATTTTACCGGGCCATTGGACTACCGCCTGATAGGACGTCACCGCGCAGTGTGTGTTTTCGGTGCTGCTGTTGCTCTGCCAATCCCGCGCCAAGTTCGAGACAAAAGTCAACGACCCGGCTCGACCAAACTCAACCCACAATTCCGACGTCGATGACGCTGCTGTAGCTTTTTGCTACCGCCCCACAGCTGTTCTCTCGCGACGAGAACCAAGTGACTCGGCTCGCGCGGTCTGGCTCGCCTCACAGATACGAAATATTCCCGCTGGGCCTTCCGTTTGCGATTTTCATGTATCGACAGACCTTCGGATTTGGGCCACGATCGATCGACTGGGGAGTCGCAAGCCCACTGCAAGGCTCTCTTTGGCTGACGCACGTCCACGACGACAGCCTCCACCCCTCGAAATTTTAATAGGAAGCCGCGTTGTGAGCCTGAACCATCTTCCTGGACCTCACACCCCCCTTCCCCCAGGTGCCCAATTTTAAGCCGCCAACATGGCTTGGGACCACCTGTCTATCACCAAGCCACACTTGGTGTATATTATCCTCGGTGGCTTCACCAGCCTGTTCATGCTCTGCTCCTCGGTGATCAAGGAGCGAGCCTACATCGGTGAAGCAACCGTCGCCACTCTTTGTGGAATCATATTCGGGCCTCATGCGGCCGACCTCATAAACCCCATGTCATGGGGCAGTACCGACATCGTGACCATCGAGTTCTCCCGCATTGTCTTGGTCGTGCAGTGTTTCGCCATCGGCGTCGAACTGCCCAAGTTCTACATGGAGAGGCACTGGAAATCCGTCGTCTTCCTCCTTGTCCCGGTCATGACCTTCGGGTGGCTCATCACTAGCCTGTTTGTCTGGTGGATGGTGCCCACGCTGAACTGGCTCGAGAGTCTGGTCGTCGCAGCCTGCGTGACCGCTACCGATCCTGTCCTTGCCTCCTCGGTCGTTGGCAAGGGAAAGTTCGCCAAGCGTGTGCCGAAGCATTTGCGAGACCTCCTGTCCGCCGAGTCGGGCTGCAACGACGGCATGGCCTTCCCATTCGTCTACCTCTCCCTTTACCTGATCCAGGACAAGCTCTCAGCCAAGGATGTCACCTTCCACTGGATTGTGTACACTATCCTCTACGAGTGTATCTTTGGCGCCGTGTACGGCTTTCTTATTGGCTATTTCGCTAGGCATGGCATCAAGTACGCTGAGAAGCACGATCTGATCGACCGAGAGAGTTTCCTTGTCTTCTACTTTGTGCTGGCCCTGTGGTGCGCCGGGTCAGGCAGTATCCTGGGTGTTGATGATCTTTTGGTCGGCTTTGCGTGCGGTGTGGGATTCTCCAACGACGGTTGGTTTACGAACAAGACCGAGGAATCCCACGTATCCAACGTCATCGACTTGCTCATCAACCTGGCATACTTTGTCTACTTTGGCACAATCATCCCCTGGGAGCAGTACAACAGCGCGGCCCTGGGTTTGACGCCGTGGAGGCTCGTCGTCATAGCGATATTTGTCATCTTCTTCCGCCGCATCCCCATCATGATGGCACTGAAGCCGTTGATCCCAGACATAAAAACGTGGCGCGAGGCCCTGTTTGCCGGCCATTTCGGCCCCATCGGAGTCGGCGCAATCTTTATCGCCATCCTTGCACGCGGCGAGCTGGAACATGACGAGCCCGTGCCTCTGTCTGACGTGCCAACCGATGTGAACACTCCGCATTTCTATCTGCTCACTCTTGTGTGGCCGATAGTTACGTTCATGGTCATTTCGTCCATCATAGTTCACGGCTCATCTATAGCTGTCTTCACGCTCGGCAAGCGGATCAACACCCTGACCATCACCATGTCGTACACAACGGCTCCCGAGGATGGACCATCTTGGATGAACAGGCTGCCTAGGATATCATCTCAATCCAAGTCGCAAGCCAGGACCATGTCAGACACTGAGGGTGATGAACTCAAAATGCCCGACTATCCCCCGGGAACCTTGCCTCCAATTGGATATCCTGGCAACTTCTTGAGACGTCAGAAGGAGGAAGATCAGCCGAGCCGACAGGGAAGCCGCGCATCGTCACTTGCAGCACGCAGACGCAGGAAGAAGTGGGATGACGGCGTCGGTCCCGGCGGCCCCGTGTCTCAGTCGGCAATCTTCCCGCAACGACGAAGCCAAAGCGAGCAGACATCGACCACTCTGCGTGACAGCCACTCTCCACATGACCAAGACAAGGAGACCCCCACAGCGTCTCGCAGGGGCTCAACCATGGAGGATCCCGAGAAACGTGCTGCTATAGAGAGGGCCGAGGATGAAGCCGAGGAAGAGCTGGAGAAAGAGGCCAGTCAGGAGGCAGCAGAGAGAGAACGGTCGGGAGAAGCAGGTGGTTCTCATCGCAGGCAATCCGAGATTGAGATTTACGACGAAGGCGATCACATCATTGTTGAGAACCGCGACGGTGACGTGATCGCTGTCGAGGCCCCAATCGAGGAGGAATACAAGGAACACAAGGTGCAAGACCTGAAAGAGAAGCTGGAGAAGGAGGCGGGACCGTCTCAATGGACTTACGATGGGCTGAAGAAGAGGATTGGTCATTGGCGTGACGAGGAGGTGCAGAAGCGGAAGGACAAGCAGAAGAATGAGCGCCGCCACGAGCCAGCCCGCGCGTACCAGTTCGGCAACACCATTATTGTCGAGGACGAGGACGGCGAGGTCGTCAAGAAGTACGAGCTGCCATCCCAGAAGGGTGAGGGCAGCGGTGCGATGAGCCAGGGACTCAAGTACATGGGCATGGGAGGCCTGATCAAGGGCACCCCGAAGCCAGACGAAGCCGGCGAATCCAGCGCCACAACTGCTGAGGCGCCTCAAGGCCGGCCCAGGTCGGACAGCAAGCCCGGCGTAGCCCGCAGGCCGACGTGGGTCGAGGCCCTGGGAGGGCGAGGCGGCGAGGCGCAGAAGGAGAAGAAGAAGAACGTGGCCGAGCAGGAGATGGAGGACGACCTCCACATCCGCTTCACCATCGACGGCGTGGGCCAGCGCATGACCAAGGACAACTTCATCACGGAGGTGCGCAAGCTGGACAAGAGCACGCGGCGCGAGGTCATCGAGCAGTCCACGGCCTCGGAGCGCGTCAAGACCCTGGCGAAGCAGGAGGCCACCACGCCAGGCACGGCAGGGACGGAGCCCAAGTCCGCTCGCGGCAAGGCCATCAGCTCGCCCCAGCCGGCCGCCGGCAGCTCCACCAAGCCGGGCAGCTCCTCGCGGAAGCAGAAGGCGCCCGCCGCCCCAGCCGCGATGGCCGGCGGGCTCTCACCCGACTCGGCAGACAACGACACCTCGCGCGAGAGCTCGTCCAAGGCGGCAGCCGCGCGCCGCGCGTCCCCGCCCGGCTCGTCATCTTCCTCCGGCAACGTGTCGCCTGGGGAGCGGCGGCACAGCGACGACGCGCCGAGCCACGACGAGCCGGAGACGGCGGTCGAGCGGCGCCGCAGGCTCGCGGTGCTCAAGGGGCTCGGCGGCGGGGAGGGCGACGAGGAGGAGGGCGAGGCCGCCGAGACGCCCGCCGAGAGGCGGCGCAGGGAGGCGGCACTCGGCGCGGGTGGCGATGCGGATGACGAGGAGGACAGCGACGACGACGACACGCCCAGGGTGCCCCCTGCGCGGCGAGGTATCAGGTTTGCCGAGCCGGAGCGAGGGCGCAAGTGAACGGACGAGAGAGCCCCCCGCGTGTGATGTTGGAGCTGCTTCCACCCACCCTTCGTGAGTGAGATTTTTGGGGATGCCTGTTATTGTGTGTTTAATGTCTTGGCCCGGCCTGAGGTTCGACGCGCCTGTTGAGAGTCCTTTTCGGCTGGGCCTGTTCATTGCATAGCGATGGGGATTCACGATGGCTTGCTTCTTCTTTAGACGTCGAGCAAGAACTTCTTCGGCTGTAGCAATATCTTCTTTTTATTATAGGCATGAGCTTGGAACGGGCATGAGCTTGGGTGGTAAACCCTGTTACGCATAGTTAATGTATTCTAAAGTCTAGACTGGTACTCTGATGTTTTCTTGATTTCCCAATCTCAGGCAGGTTCTCCACTCTGGTACTTCAGGCCGTTGCGTATGTAGAATGCAAGAAGTGAGCCTATTTGGGTCCCTTTGCAGATGGACTTTGATGTTGAATTGGACTTGTCAGGCAGCGATGCAGTGTCTATGTAGTTTCTACGGAGTGGAACTGTCATTTTGCTATTCTGAGCAATTGTGACTTCTAAGTTCTACCACAGCGAGTTTATTCTCCATGGCTCCCCACAACCATCCCTCTTCACCTCAAATCCAAGCAATACTTAAAGTCATCCGCAATACCGTGATCAAGAAGAAAAGGAATCCTCCCGCTGTGTGATTCCACATCTAACATCCAGCTCACGCGAAGTGGTTTGTTCTGTAGTTCTCAGTCGTACACTCAACAGTCGTTTCATGGAAACCATGGCGCTAAAACCTCTCACTAATCTCCACAGGTCAAAACGTAGGTTTAGTGACACATTTGCTGCAGTCTTTTGGTTGACACTGCTCTGGCATTTGTAGTCTCAATTCCCCGTAGTAGCTCTTAGTGACAGTATTTCTACAGATAGCTTCCTGCGGCAAGTCTTCATGTTCCGCAAAAGGCCTACGTAGTGTCATAAGTCCAAAGACATCTCTATTCACGAGCTGTTGATCTCGTCCGTGCTCAGTATTCTCTGTCATTGGAAGCAAGTGTTGAGTCTTGTGATAGTGTGGCACTCGGGAGCTGGGTCAGTGAGGCAGGTGCCTCCCTTCAGACATCGCGGCCGGTGCTCTGCTTAGTCGTCAGTGTCTTTCTTTTGTACCCCCGAAGTTGAGCTGCCTAGCATGAACCAAAGTGAAAACAACAACTCCATACTACGTGTATTGAACACCAAAGTTCGTCACCACCCAAAGCGTTGGCCCTCTTTGTCAATTGATGCACACACGCCCAGGCGTGTCTTTAGCGTCTCATTCTATGGGTCTCAATGGCCCGTGCGCAACCTTGGAATGATGGATTTTAGACTCAGATACTTTCGCTGGGAGCTCAATATTCCTCGACCTGCACCTCAACCTCCTCAACCCTCAATTGCAGACCACCTCCTATCCCCAATTACTTGGTGTGAGATCGCCGTCGGCCTCTTAAAAAGCGACCGCCAAGTTCAGCAAACGGTCCGGCAGCAGCCAGCGACCGAACCGAGCGAGGCAAGCTACGTCGACGTCAAAACCAAGGACGCCGACTCCGACTACGACTTTGTCGACGACTTCGACGCCGAAGCCAAGATGGTGCAGCTTGTCGAGGTAGAGGACGAGCACTTCCAGCACGCCCAGGAGGGCCCTGTGGAGGACGATGGCGACTTCACCGATACTGGTACGTTTTGGTTGCCTTGCTTTTTTCCAGCCCTCCCAGCATGCTCGCCTGCCCGCCTTTGCGCGCCGTGCGCTTGTGACGCAATCGGTCAAAAAATTGAAAGCATCACCATCACCGACCGCACCCGCAGCCTCGCCTCCCACGACAAACTCACCGTCTGCCCTTCGATTTCCAACACCTCTCTCTCCCTCAGCCATCATATCTCATGTCCCAGACTAACCTCCCGCCGCGCGGCACGACAGACTCGGAAATCTCCAACGACTCCGACTACGACCCGTCGCAAGAGACCCTCGCGGAGCGGATCTCGGCCCTGCGCGACATCATCCCGCCGACCACGCGCTCCTGGTTCTGGAACAAGTACCAGGCCACCCACCGCGTCGTCAAGGGCGTCATCTTCTTCGCCGGCCGCTCCATGTGGTCCATCTCCGTCTCCGCCCTGCTGATCGGCGTGCCCTTTGCCCTGTGCTGGGCCGAGGAGCAGCAGGTCATCGCCATGGAGCAGGAGGTGCGCATGCGCGAGATGGGCGCCGACGTGCTCACCGCCGGTGGCGCCGGTGGCGAGGGCAGCACCGCTGATGTTGTTGGCCAGGCCCTGGGCAAGGAGGGTGGCGTCGAGGTCAAGGCTGCTGGCCTGTGAGCGGTCCTTCACTGAATTTCTTCGCTCAGTGAGCGCGAAGACGGACCAAGGGAAAGTCAGGCAACTTGAAGGCCATTGTGGTGAGTCCTCAAGAGAGGCTCGGTCTGCATTATCGCATTGTACAAAAATCATCGTCGGTTTGGGTACGAAGGAACGGGTTGGTTGGTTCCTTACCACTTGCACAACGACTTGCATCTGAAGAGCACACCTTTATGAAACGATGAGGTCGGCGACGGGCAGCACTGTCCCGCGGGAGGACGACGAATGAAAACGCGAGGATGCCAGGCGAGACTTTTCAACATGCGTGTACATTAGCTGGAGCCTGTCTCTGCATGGCAAGTAACCGGACAAGGTTCAAACGGGGCGGACTTGGAACTCTCATCTCTCCCAAATGAGGCTGCGAGAGGGTTCTCGTGTTACATAAACCCTTTCTTCTTCTTTTTCTCCTACTTTTGCATGAACACGCCTCGGCTGGTTTGGAGGACCGGCTGAAGGTAATGAAAAGGGGAAAACGGAGTTATGGAAAATCTGACCACCGTCGTCATTTTACACTTGGCCTTTTCAGCACCATCGTGGCTTTGTGATTCTCGCGCGACCCAGTGACGTTAAGACTTGCGGTGAGATGATAACCGAGAGCTTAGCATGCCATAATCTTCACATGCGTCTGAAGTCGAAACCGCGCGTCAAGCATCTTCCGTTTTGAAAAAGCTACGGGGACTTATCTCATTTAGGACAAAAATCTTTGCTTTCATGTATTAAGACTGGGAACTGGGATTTCAACCTCTCCTTCGTCCTTGTATACGTCACACATTAACCTCGTGCCAACGTCATCACTATCTCACCGCAGTTCACTGAAACCCGCATACACATAGAGGAAGGGAGAAGGAGCATAGTACATATGATAGCTTCATTCTCTAGAACGCCGTTCGATGTGCTGTTTGTTTTTTCTAAAGTAAGGGAAAACTAGCCTGTAAGGGACTGAGTAGGGGGTATTTTTTGCATAGCGACGTCATCAAATAAAAAAAGTCCATTGAGCTCCCGACATCCTCCGTTTATTTTCTTGTCGAAGGTCCATTCATTGCACACCAGTGGGGTGGTTCTCCAGGTCGACGGCCTCGACCATGGACCGCTGCTGCGCGCTGTCCCGCGTGAGGTTGGTGAAGTACTTGAGCGCGTCGCTGCTCTCCTTCTTCACCTTGAGCGTCTCCTCGCGCTTCTTGCCGAGCTGCTCCACCGACCGCTGGAGGTTGAAGACGACGTGGTCCTTGGGCGTGTGCAGCACCTTGCGCACGGAGCCGGATATGCGATTGGCGTTGTTGTGCGCGTACTCTAATGCCTCCAGCTGGGCCGAGATTTTGGTGGAAAGGCGGTGGGGCAGGGAATGGGGGATTTGGCTGAGGACGTAGGCGCCGGCGGCGACAGCTGCGAGGTTTATTAGTATGAGCCCCACGGAATGTATCAGGGAAGAAGTCACGTACCAGCAACAACCATGCCAGGGATGATCATCCGGCGGAGGTTGTCGTTGCCCATCACCCGAGCTACGCTCAAGGCGTGGTTCATCCAGCCAGCACCACCGATCATCTGGGTGCCAACTGCTGTCGCCACTGTCAGAGCCATGCCCGTTCCAGCCACCTTCTCTTGACGCTGCATCAAAGTCGACCAGTCGACAAAGTCCCACAGCTCGGTCGGGATGTCGATCTGCTTAGCCAAGACGTCGCGTCTGCGCCGGAACATCACATCCGGGTGGAAGTTGAGTCCGGTGTACTCGTTGCCTAGGTGCAGGATACCGAGCTGCTTGATAGCATTGACGCCACCGACAGCCTTGCCACGTGCATACTCCTCACAGTCGTTGACACAGGCCTGGATACCGTGCAACATTGCCTCCTTCAGACTTTCAGCATAGTCGAATGCCTGGAACAGTCCAGGGTAAGGGACGTCGAGATCCTCATCGGCATGCACAATTGCCAGGTTGAGACTGCTGCGTGTGTGTTGATAGACGTCGTCGCACGTCTCGTCTATCGTGTGGTTCACGTCATCAGTAATCTTGTTCTGGGCCTTCTTACTCGCTTCCAACTGTGGCTCGAGTTCTCGGAGCTCCTTGCCCACCCGCTCAAGCTCTGATTGAGCAACCTCTGAATTGACATTCGCCAAGGAGTTCACGTCGTTCAAGATGTTGAGCAGGTAGTGCTTGGCAGGTGCCAGCTTCGAGCGTGCTCGCTTCTCCAATACGAATCTTCGCAGGGACTGTTCGAGATTTTGGAAGTCCCGGAGCTTTTCTTTGTCTTTGCCTTTGCCCTTGGGGTCGCCGCTTGGGTCATCACCACCGCCACCTCCACTCGAACTGCCGCTTCCACCTCCGTCAGGGCCGCCCGGCGGAGATGGGGCCACAGGGATCGCATTACTGGACACGAAATGAACGAGTTCTTGTGCTTCTTTGGAGGTCCTTGGGCTTATGCCGGAAACTTGGTCGAGTATCATCTTCTGGCATCTTTGCTGGTCTCTAATCATGTCAAAGCCATTGACAACGATGAAAAGATATGCCTTTTCTGCCGCCGCTGCCCACAGAAACTCCTTGGCTGACTGGGTGAAGTGGTTGGCGGCTGAGACCACAAAGACCACAACGTCAATCTCTTCCTGCCTTGCGAACACGGCGGTGGTCTTGGTCGTGTCCGAGTTGAGACCAGGTGCGTCGATGAGCGCGATGTCGACGACACCATTGTTGAGCAATGACTCGTCGATAGTTCGGACATCCTTGACGTAGACCTTGCACATCATATAGGCGTCGTTGTCGATGACAATCTTCTCAAGCTCGTACAAGGCATACACGTCGTATGTTGTCTCGTCATTCCGGTCGTACGCAGCATCCTTGTGGACTGCATGAACCTCTTCGATGCCCGAGTTCTCCCGCGCATCCAAAACCTCGCAGAAGATGCTCGTGCAGGGCTGCTGGTCTTCCGGTAGGACCTTCCTCCTCAGCAGAGCGTTGCAGAAAGTGGACTTTCCAGCGTTTAGATCACCTGTAACCAAAACTTTGCTGGCTGTATCTTCGATTCGCTCTCGCAGGTTCAACAAGTGCTTGATGCTGGAGCTGATCTTGCCGTCAAGGAGGGCAGCGATTGAACCCTTCTCCAGAGAGTGAACCAGTTGCGTCTGATGTAGAGCACCCAGCTTGAGGTCCAGCTTCAGCACAGAAAACTCTTGGGCGATCTGGGGAGTGACCAGTCTGGGCTCCGCGGCCGGCCGCCTCTCAGCTGCCCTGCTCGACTCGGCCGCCGCAGGGTCCTCTCCCCATGTGGCGGCGCGCCTCATGGGTGGTGGTGAAGCAGGGGAGGAGGATGCACCGGTGAAGTCGTCGAGGTGGGAAAAGGTTTGTTGGTATCTGGGCCTCGAGGGCGACGTGGGTTCGACGTCGGATTCGGCGCGCTGGACGGAGGGATAGTGGGCGGGCCATTTTACATTCTCCTGCTGAAGCTCCTTCAGAAGATCGATGACCCTATTGATGGCACGGTTGAGGGCCCCGCGGTGCTGGTTGTACCAGAGCTGGTGCACGGCACTCGGCTGCATGCGACGGTCGGAGCCGGCTGAGTTGGGCGTGTCTGCGTGTGTCGCGGAGTCCCAGGCGGGAGAGCCGGGCAGGAGGGCATTGCCAACGCCACCGCTGGCAACAGAGCCGCCGTAACCAGAGTCGCGCTCGAGCAGCTCCTGCAGGTGTGCCGCGTGCTTGGAGGTTGACCCACTCCCGACAGTCATGTACGCGGGCGGTCTCGCGTTGCCGCTGGGCTGATTCGAGACGTCATCGGAATTCGAGGGCTCGTCGTCGGGTCGTGCCACGGGCGACTTGCCTTTGCCGTTGAAGTAGTCTTGACTCATTGTGATTCGTAGGTGTCCATCGGAGGTGATGGCGGAGGGAGGATGGTGGGAGGGATGGAGCAAAGGAGACAGCCAAGGATGACTCTTATTTTTCGCGGAATGGAGCTTCAATACCGTGACTTCATGCAACGAGAGGCGAATGGCTCCACGATTTTTGTCGGTATCCATGGGTTGGTCGGGGCGGATTTCGATGACATAAGCACGCCGAGGCAGCGGCACTGTAGCAGCAGGCAAAGTAGACTTCCCGCTGCGGAACATTTGGCCTGCAGCAAACCTACGTGCTGTAGCATGCAGCGCAAGCAGGTACGTACAAGCCCAGACCTCGGGACCTTGGCGTGTGCTTGCGGCAGCCTATCCCGGCCGGACGCCAAGTGGGAACACTTCGACTGTCAACCTTGGATTCCTGTCGGTGACGAACGCACCTCTCGCTGATCTCCATCGACAACAATACAACACCTCCAGGCAGACTGATCCCCAGTGTCCCCCGTACGATTTCGATCCACTCCGACCTGTGTTACTGTTGTCTCGTTGAACCGTCGCTCACAACATCACCATCCGCATGCACTGATAGCGCGATACCGACCTTATCACGCACCCACACCCTGGCCCCGGTTCAGGCGCCATGAACGTGAGCAGCAGCATACAGTTTGTGAGCAGGACGGCGAGGTTCACTTTCTAACCATCAGGCCTGGCTTGCAGATCCTAGAATGGGCATTCGGAAAGCGCATGACGCCCGCCGAGCGGCTGCGCAAGAACCAGCGATCTCTCGACAAGGCCATCCGTGAGCTCGATCAGGTCCGAGTCAAGCTGGAGAAGCAAGAGAAGACGCTGGTCACGCAGATCAGGCAGAGTGCGCAGAAGAACCAGATGGGCGCCGCGAAGATCCAGGCTAAAGATCTTGTCCGGACGAGGAGGTGCCGTCGCCCCTACCGCTGAGCCATGAGTGAGACGGAACACTGGCTGATCCTTGTCTCTACAGGTACATCGAGAAGTTCTACGGCATGCGGAGCCAGTTGCAGAAGATATCCCTGCGCCTACAGGTACACCAACATTGGCCTTACGACTAGAAAGAGGATAGCAATTACTGACTTGCGTTGCGTAGACCTACCGGACGAATGAGCAAATGATGCAGGCGATGAAGGGCGCCACGATGGCACTAGGCAGCATGAACAAGAGCATGAACCTGCCCCAATTACAAAGAATAGCTATGGAGTTCGAGAGGGAGAACGACATAATGGATCAGCGTCAGGAGATGATGGACGATGCCATCGACGACGCTATGGACACCGGCGTGGAGGAGGAAGGCGACGAGGTCGTCGAACAGGTCCTTGAGGAGATCGGAGTGGACCTGAGCCAATCCGTAAGTGCCCCCACGAGACTGGCCGTCGCTCATGAACATGGCTGACTCACTGGTTTCCTCATCAGCTTGGCGAGACACCATCAGGCCTGCCGACCACCGCGGTGCCAGAAGGCAAGGTAGCACAGGCGATTGGCAGTGGTGGCGGCGGTGGAGCTGACCCTGGCGATGATGATCTCCAGGCTCGCCTGGACAGTCTGAGGAGATGATGCGCTCTGGAACACCCAGCCCATGGCAGTGGCATTTCTAATGAGAAGCTCACCTCACTGACGGTGATATCACATGCTGGCGTTGAGGATTTTGCCCACGGGGAGCAGGTATAGGCAGTACCGTTTTTACTTCTTGTGATGGGAAGCAATGACTCGAGCTCTTGTTGTCTCCGCTCAAGCTTCAGTGTCAGGGTCAGCTCCAGCCTGGGATTGGTCTTCTCATGAGTGGGGCTGAGTCGGGCTGAGTCTCTGCAAAATAATACAGCTTGCTGCCATCTATGAGAGAATTTTTGTTGAACTGGAGATGTGGCATTGCCCTAGCCAAAGGGGATAGGAAAGCCTGCGAAGACTGAGTGTTCTCACTTATCGCCAATCCAGCCAGATGTCTAACAATTACTCAAAAGTCCAAAAAGTTCATAGAGTAACTTCCCCAGGCAGCAGATGTGTGCTAGGCTACTAGGTACCTAGGTAGGTAGGTACCTACATATGCAGAGCTGCCTGGGCGGCATGAGGGTGCCTGACATGTTGTACAATTATATAGTCAACCAGTCTACTAGGGACTAAGTGGGAAGTAGCTTCCATAGCTCCCGCCCGCCGCGTACCCACAAGAGCATATTATGTGGGTAGGTGTGTGTGCCAGGTGATGTGATGACGAGGTTGGCACTGCAGTTGCATTTTGGTGTTCAGCAAGGCCAATATCCATACCTGGCTGGGTAGCAGTCCAAGGAATCCCACTGGCCGGAGGAGCTGAGGGGATACAGATGCTTGCCGCTTTAAAGTTGTGCGGCGCTTATTAGCACCTGACATGCTGCATGCTGCAGCATAGGTACCTAAACGAATGTGTGAGAGTGTTGGGTAGAATAGCCTGGTCCGGCATTATACGCCAACCTGATTGAGACTAGGAAAGCGCTGCTGTTGCTGGTGTGGTGGTGTTGTGTGCCTGTGTGTGTGCTTCCGTTGCGTTGTGTATGTGACTGACCTAGGAATGTCAACCAGTTTCCAGTTTCCAGCCCAATCCGTTGCACCTTCCGCCTTTCACCCTTCCACCCTCCTCCACCAACCTGCCTACCCGATACCTGCCTTGTTGTGTATGCAGTAGGTGCCTCACTCGGTCATTCAGTCAGTCACAACCACAGCCAGTCCTTTGATTCTGCAAACAAACCCGCCCACACACCCGCCATTTGTTTCGCACTTGCTTGTCCACGCCCCAAGCTCCCTTGAAACCAGGACCCCTACATGGGAACCTAGTCGCCCAGCGTCATTGCATCATTACATCATCCAGTCTTTTGTCACCCAAGACCCCAGACCCCACCCCCGAGTTGCCCATTGTGGCACGCGTGGACCTCGAACCTAAGAACACTGACACCCAGCTGACTGCTAGCCTGTCTGCATTGCTATCTGACTGTGAGCTTGTTGTTACTGATAGCCATCGCCCCGTGAGGTCACTGAGGTCAGTGAGAAGAGTCCAAGCCCCTTTGGCCGTGCGTGCCCGCCGCCCAGGCTGCCAGGCCGCAACCCGATTCAGTCGTCTATCTATAGTTCACCTGCGCAGCTGGCTCCGCTCCGTTGCTACCGCGGGGACTCTTCGCCCTGCAACCAGCGAACTGCACACCTACATCACTGCCCGCATTCCTACAGCAACCACGATCTTCAAACCCACACCCACCTGCTGATCTCACCGCAGTACACAAGTCAAGCCCGACAAGGATTTCCCAGGCTTTGGACACTCTTACCGTCTCGGCTTCCCCATCATCAACACCCCGCGACAGGACACGACACGACACGGCACACACAGGGACGGACACGAAAACGCTACGCGCCCAACACCACTTCCTGCTAACCTGCACCCGCACAACGTCATCCCGCCACGACAGCAACAAAAACCCCACACCTCAATCCCCTCCATCCTTAAGCAACCTGGCAGGATCCAAGCGGCGCAGTCTCTCCTCGCACGGAGGTCTGCTGTTCAATAAGATGTTTGGCGGCTCATCCGGCTCCTCGCCAAAAGCAGAGAGCAATCCCAACACCACCGCATCCTCCAACCCCAAGACGGACAATAAGTCCCCCTCGCCCTCGCCTGAATCCCCTGGAGGGGCTGCCGAGAACGGCTCCGGCGGCGCTTCTCCTATCCCGACCAAGAACACCGAGCAGGTCACGACCGGAGAGAAGCGCAGCGGCAATGGCAGCCCCCCAAGCACCTCCGCCACACCTAAGAGGAGGAGCAGTGGTGTAAGCGGAAAGGCCAGCAGCCTCATTGCGAGCGCCAAAAACACTCTCAATTTCGCCCAGGGGAGCGGTAGGTCCGGCAGCGACGCGGGTTCCACAGCTCAGACGCCCATCCAGAAGCTGGGCAAGGATGATCCGTCTCTTGTCGTCCCCCAGGGCCAACACAACAACGCTGCCGGCGAGTCACTCCCAGGGCCCAGGTCTACATTTCGCGTCGGCGTTTGGGAAGATAGGAATAAGAAATGCCGAAGGACCATGGAAGACACCCACGCATTCCTCTACAACTTCCTCCACACCCCCGCGCCTGCTCTTGCTCCCGAGACGGGTAGTGCCAAGTCTCAAGCCTCCTCCGACGAGACCAACTCGCAGGCCCGTGGCGAGGGCATGATCGAGACGGACAACGGCTACTTCGCCATTTTCGATGGCCACGCTGGCACATTCGCCGCGGACTGGTGCGGGAAGAAGCTACACATCATACTAGAAGACGTCATCAAAAAGAACCCGAACGTGCCTGTACCGGAACTGCTGGATCAGACCTTTACGACCGTGGACACCCAGCTCGAGAAGCTACCACTTAAGAACAGCGGCTGCACAGCAGCTGTCGCGGTGATGCGTTGGGAGGATAGGGTGCCGAGCAACTCTTCTCAGACCGGGTCCCAGTCGATCGCACCGGCGTTGGCCAAGGCGGCAGAGAAACCCTCTGAAGGGGCCGACGCGAAGCCTGAAGCCAAACAGAACCCAGAGGCCGAGCATGCCAAACTGAAGGGCATCGCTTCCAGACAACGCGTCCTGTACACTGCCAACGTTGGCGACGCGCGGATCATCCTTTGCCGTTCTGGCAAGGCCCTGCGTCTGTCGTACGACCACAAGGGTAGCGATGAGAACGAGGGAAAGCGCATCTCCAACGCCGGTGGCCTGATCCTTAACAGCCGGGTCAACGGCGTTCTGGCCGTAACTCGGGCGCTTGGCGATTCATACATGAAGGATCTGGTCACCGGACACCCATATACCACCGAGACAGTGATCCAACCCGACATCGACGAGTTTATCATAATTGCGTGCGACGGTGTAAGTCCCACCCATCTGCCCTGTCCATTGAAGTCTGCTGACAGCGCCTCTAGCTCTGGGATGTCTGCTCTGACCAGGAAGCTTGTGATCTTGTCCGAAATGTCCAAGACGCGACAACAGCTGCGAAGCTGCTGGTGGACCACGCACTAGCTCGCTTCAGTACGGACAACTTGTCGTGCATGATCGTTCGGTTCGACAAAGACGCACTTGTGGAGAGCCAGGCAAATAGGGCCAGTCGCCTTGGCGTCGAAGGAGATCGCGTACCTTCGGGCAGCAAGATCAGTGAGACGGAAAAGATCGTCAGCGCCGCGAAAAAGCAGATTGCAGATGGTGGCCCTGCTGTGGGCGTGTCTGCGAGCAACAGCGGCAGAGGTCACGACCCCATACCCGCGTTGGATGACGAGAGTGGAGAATCCTTTACGCCGACAGCGATTGAGGGCTCAGTAGAGGAGGAGCCGGCGCAGATGGATGGTGAGGTTCCAGACCCTGCGTCAGGCAAGCCAGTAGACTCCAAAGAGGTCAACTCGGCCGCGGTGTCGAAATAGTCTTGACGCTGAGTTGGACCGCCATGAGATTTTTGTTCCGGGCTTTCTTTTTGGAATTCTACAGGTCTCAAATCAATCAATAGGCGCCGTTGAGGAGCACCGTAGGCAGGAGTTTGGCAATAAGGGGGCTCCACCAGTGGACACGGCATGATGCGAGAAGAGAAACAAGAGTGTGGACAGTGTCGGATATCAGGCCGATCCGCCCGACTCTGAGCCTTGCAGCGGAGGGAATGGAAGCTCAGGGGCAGAGGGAAGACACAGGCAAAGAAGAAACAACTCTGTCACTGTCATTATGCTTTACCGGCGAGGAGGCATGGGCACATGAAAGTTGTGTGATGTATATGCTTTCAGCATCCCTAGGTATGCCGTTATGCCTTTTTTGTTCTCTATTTTGGTGCCGTGAGACCTCCGACTGAACTGATATGGGCGCTTCCTGTATCCCCTTTAAGGTAGCTTTCTAGAAGGAAACGGCGTGAGTGTTCAATGGAACGTTCCCGAAACCAGATTGCGAGCGACCTCCCACGGCGATGCGTGATGCATGACAGATGGGTGATCTACTTATTTTTGCATTTTATTAATATTCTGTATGACCATCGTCACCGATCTGGCTTCGAGGGTGATCCGGCAAACCCCCCAATGGATATCCGGCTCTACAAATTGGGACCAAACCAAATCTTGGGGAGAAGGGGAACCGAGCCCAGAGCCCAGGGATCTGGGAAGGGCAAGCCTGCCCGATGCCGCCACATGGGGTCCAAGGGTTGGTTGGTTTCGATGCGTGGAGTGGGTTTGACGTTCGCACTGACCACCTGCTCATCATTCATCGCTTGGGACGGTCTCAGGGGAGAACTCTAACAAGTAAATGTGTTTGTGTGTGTGTGTGTGTGTGGCGGCTGTATGCATACCTCTCTCACTAGTCACCGAGACAGGGACAGTAGGGGCCAGCTACAATACCACGAGGTTGATCCATCCGATCGGACTTCCCACAGCAGATAGACTCTAACGCGCAATGAGTTTGTGCCTGGGCGATCGCTCTCGCATCAGGCCGAGCTGCCGGACCTGCACGGCAGTGATCCATTGGGCCCCATGGCCCCCATCCCATCCCATCCCATCCGATCCCATCCGCCCATGCACCCACGCAATTCATCCGCCCACCAGGCGCGAGATGGGCAAGGTGCTAGGGCAATAACGCCGTGGGCCTCCGTCGCACTCTCCGAGGATCTTCGAACTATGGGGCTCACCCAATTTTAAGATGGGTGAAGAGGGCGTTGCGGGTTTAGGAGGGGGAGGGGTGATTTTTTTCCCCTCTCATAGGGGCAGATGGAGGGGGGCCGGAATGGTATCAAAGGGGGGCCAAGCGGAGGGCGAACCGCGTGGAGAAGCGGCGCGCGACGTGTCACTTTATCTCGATTTGATGCTCGTTCATGCACGTTGGAAATTCGAAGGGTCTCACGCCATGTGCGTTTGGGTAAGAGACAGATGGTGTGAGTGAGCTGTACTGTCAGCCTGTACCGTGAAGGCTGATATTGCACGGTGTTATGCCACGGTGCTGCAGTGCGGTGATGGGAGAGTGATACACCAGAGACAACAGCCCGTGGGACCGGCCCCAGTGTGCCTGGAGGCCCAGAGGGCAGATGAGCAAGAGCAAGCCGAGGGGAGATGGAGATGGGGACGGGGCCCTCAGTATTATTAGCTATTAGCCAACGAAATATGTGGGTGAAAAGGAAGATCATGCATGCACGTCGTCTGGCCTGCTGTTGATCCGTGGATCGGCAGGTCATACTTTCCCACGCGTGGCAGGGATCTGGCGGTTTGTCAAGCAGTGTAGTCGAAACAATGACAATGACTGGAAATGGACTGGGAGAGCCAGAGGGAGGTTGACAGGTGCGGAATGCAACGTGCGCGAAATTGAAGCTCACCCAGTCATTTTGTTAATCACTTTCAGAAGCATTCGGTTCCTTTCTCATGGCGGGGAGCGGGCCCCGGGAAGGGGATGGGGGCATATGGGGAGGGCACTAACTAATAACTCACACTTGTAAAGGGGGCGGGAGGACGAGTGAGCGGGCGAGCGTGCCTGTTAGTGGGGACGACATTGTCTGTCCGCAAATTTGATTGTACGAAAAGAGTCTGAGGGTGGTGATGAGCACGTCCAGCGACGGCGAGGCGGGCATGGACTGAGTCCTCTGTAATCAGCCAGGCCCTGCGTGCCGTCCCATCGGTGATTTATGTCCGAGGTTTACGCCTGCCCGGCGCAGTTCATGGGAAAGGCAACCTGACAAGTGTGTGTCTGTACCCAGGTACACGCAACAGCAGCACAGTCCAGTTGGAGGACCCCGAGACCGGGCGCAACAGGGGAGCTCCCTGTCAGAGCAAGCAGCGCCAGGATTCCAAACGCGTTGTGGCTCCAGAGTCCAGACGTCTATCTAAAGTAGACCAGGAAGGTGTCGTCAACCAGAGGGCATGGACTGGCTACTTGACACCCATGATTATTATCAGTTTAAGACTCATGCTCATGTGCCTGTCCCAGGGTTGTTGTCTTCGCCCTCTTCCCTGTCCACGGCCGCGGTCACGTCCGGTTGCCAGCCAGCCTCACGCGTCGGTGATTTACGGTGTATATGAGAGTTATTGGCCAGGATATCATCCAATCGCTCTCCTGCCGTATAGCGGGACCTAGGTATATAGATAGATACACACACATACACAAATACACGCAACTGGTGCCGCTACTGCTACCAAGCACTGCTGCAAGACGGAAGTCTGTTTCGGACGAGTCAGAAGCGAGTCCTGCGTCGGCTGTCATATCTCTCCCCCACAATTACCCAAAGAGCTTCTTTTCCGACAAACCACTCTGCTCCCGCGGGACGCAGCTTGCCGCCAGGCTTTTCATTTTCTTAATTCTCCTTTCGGGAACCTTGTTTTAAGATTCGCCGTACCTTGCCCTTGCGCGGTGCAGCCCTGCCTTGTGTCGCAATCCCGGCCTGGGCGTGCTTGCTGAACCTGGTCTTCCTTTCCCTGACCCGTCCTTCCCTGCGATTCCCTGGCCCTGGCCTGTCCTGCCTGCATGCTGCATTGCTGCATTGCTGCTGCACGCCTCCCATTCTTTCATTTCCTTATCGATCGTCGATTTCTCCTTCCCTCACTCACTCGACGTCTTTTTTCCGACATCCCAACCTGTGACGCCCAGCCCACCGGCCACTGCCCACCGCCCGCTGCCCGCCAACACGGTCCTCCTCGACCCCAAACACAGCGCGCCCAGCCTGCCGTCTCCAATGCGACTGCACTTTGGCTGAGGGAGAGTCTAGAGGAACCCATGGTCGCGACCGTTGCGTCTGCCGCCTCTGCCCAACGGCCCCGGCTTAGTACCTCACCCGTCGCCAGTCACGCCCCTGAAATTACTCCCGGTCTCGAGAGCCCGCCTGCTCCCCACCACCACCACACAGCGCCGACACTGATAGCTCTCGTCCGGCCACCAACCCCGGCGACAAACGCTGGGCTGTCGTAGCGCATTGCCCATCCGACGCGACACTCGCCCTGTACTGATCGCCACGCTGGCTCGCAGACATGTCGCTGAATGGCCTGGACGCTGCGGCCGTCAAGGAAGCCTACGAGGCCGCGGTCGCTGAGCCCGGAGGATGGTACGTGATGCGCAATTTCTCGTCATACACGGGGCGGATTCCGCACCCCGCGCATGCGCAATGCTATGCAATCTTGTGCACCTGCTCGCCGGGCCATATGTCACGTCAAATTGTGCAAACACATCGCTGACCCCGCCAATCGTGCCCGCCTACAGGTTCCTGCTCAAGTACACCAGCCGCGATGAGGTCGACGTCTTGGCCAAGGGCAATGGCGGCACCGTCGACATGCGCAACAACATCGCCCAGTACGAAGAGACGTCGCCGTTGTTCGGTCTCCTGCGATACCGCCGCAGGAATGTGATCATCAAATACCTGCCCGAGGGCTGTTCTCGATTAATCCAAGGTATGTCTCAGCCGTCCCTATTGTTTTGTTGCCCTAGCTCCGGTCCAGTATACGGACCCCAGCTCCGTGCCTCTGCGATTTACTTTTAGGGAGGACCTGCTGACCTCTTCACTCATTACTCGTCTGCAGCACGACTCGCCGTCCACTTTAATGCGGTCTGTGAGCGATTCGCCCCTTATGACACCACCTTCGACATCGCCGAGGCCAAGGAACTGAAGGACACCAAGCTGTCCGCGGCTTGCTCCCTGCACACGGCATCTGAGTCCGCATCGTCTTCCACAAGCTCACTGCGCCGGAGGAGGTTGATGGAAATAGCTGAAGAGGAGGAAGGGGAACAAAGAACAGCCAAGAGACAGTCCACGGTAGAAGAGGAGGAGGATCATCAGTCAGATATCGACCCGACCGAATCTCGGCCGCGCTCGCCTATCACTGGCCCACCCGTCACTCTCGACCCGCAACTCGCCTTCGCCAGAAGCATCACAGTTCGCTGGCAGCACAGAACCCCCCTCCTTCATCGGCGCCCCGAGACCGGCCTCCCCGGCCAAGTCCTTCGAGACGGACACAGGCCGGCGCCTGTCATCGCAGTCCTCACGGCAGGATTACTACAGCTCCTCGTCCTATTACAACAAACCAAGAGTGAAGCTCGGGCCGCGCCCATCGATCGATCCGGCTGGCAAGCAAGGCAGCTCTGGCTCTGTCCGACCGGTCGCGTCCATGCCCGCGAGCCTCAAATTGTCTTTTAAGGGAGCCAAGAGGACCAAGACGCAGGACGACTCTTCATCCGTGATCAGTGAGGAGCCTGGGGATAACGCCTTCCTTACGCCAACGACACCCCTTCCAGGGGACTCTTCACTCCTCCAGGCCTTGCGACCACGCACCAGCGGCGGAAGGCCGTCCACCAGTTCCGGTGTGTCGGTCAAGTCACTGCCGTCGATATCAGCTCCTAGCAAGAATACTATGACACCTGAGAAGCTGCGTCTTATGAAGGCCATGCAGTTACGAGAAAAGAAGAAGATGGCAAGCGCGCAACCGCCCCCGGTCCCTTCGGTCCAGGTGACAGCCGACCCTGAGGAGGCTGAGACCGCAGTTGAAAAGCCCGAAACCAGAGACGAGACCCAGACTTCTGCAGAAAACGACCAGGCTGTGGATCACCTGTCCCTCACCAAGATTGAGTCCGAGGGCGATAACTCCTCTACCATCCCGACCGACCATGCCTCAGTGCGCACGCAAACGGATTCTCGGCCACCTTCGCCGATATGTGCTTCCTCGGAAGTTGGCGACTCGACCAAGGCGTCGTCCGTGTCAGATTCTACAGAGGAAACAATTCAGGGACAAGGAGACAAGAATGAACAAGAACATGAGAATAATACAGGGAGCGCGCAAGAAGCCGACACGCTCAAGCAAGATGATGCACGGCCAGGCGAAGCCCCTGCTGCCGGCCCAGACGACGCTGGAATCGAGAGCGGCCCGGGAGTCGAGGGACAAGAGGTGTCCCAAGCGCCACTGACTCAGACGGAGCAGCAGCCTGACACAGAGGACGCCCAAAGGGAGGGTGGAAGAGAAGGCAACACTTGTTCAGAAAGACCAGCCTGCTGAACATAGTTTTATCCCAACTTCCAAATTCGCCAAAGCCATGAACGGCCAGGCCGTCGTGGAGCCCATGGGTCCGGACCCACATGAGGTTACATCTGTACCTGGAAGGATTGATGAGGTGGGCCCTGCCCCTGTGGACCCTGCTGCCGAGAGGACACAAGACGGATCAGCCGCATCACCGCCCAAATGGAACCTCCCAATTTCAAAGTACTCTACCCATGATTCCAGCAAGAATCTCGCTCCTTCCCCCATCCCAGCCATTGTGACTTCCTCGACCGACACGCCTGATGGAGACCACCAGGACCTAGCCAATGCAGCAGACACCATGGAAGCCGAGAGCGCTTCCAGCGAGAAGCGGTCTAAGAGACCTGAGCCCATCAATACGGACCTGGACCTCCCCGACAAGCAGCCAGTACAGGAGGATGGACAACCCGCAGGCGAGCCGCAGTCCGCGACCACCCAGGAGGCCAAGCCAGTCATAATCGCCTCTCCAGTTGCCTCTCCCGTCACCGCCACTTCACAAGGTCAGCCCAGCGAGCCACCGACACCACGCATCATGCGGACCGTATCGAGCCCGATCCAGAGCCCACAAAAGCCGACCCCTGGAGCCGGACCCCCGTCCGCGAGATCCGTCTCACAGGGTGCAGCATTCCACTCGAGAATGAACCAGCAGTCAGCCTCTCACCTGGGGCCCCGACCGCCTGGCAAGCTCTCGGGTGGACTTGCGTCGCGCATCAAGGCCTTTGAGCAGCTGGCGACTAAGCCCCCCTCACCTGGCCTGCCCGTCGTGTCTGCCAAGGACCGGCCATCGTCAGCGTTCTTCTCGGTCCGAAAGAACAGTATCAGAGATGGGGCCCAATCCCCTGCCGCGCTTGAACGAGCAAACTCTGTGAGGGGAAGGTCGCCAGGTAACTCGCTCGAGACGTCTCCTGAGGCTATTATCAAGCCTTCGCGGGAACGTTCTGGGTCTGTGGCCAGTCGCTTGTCGGTATTCGAAGGCGGCAATGCACCAAGGGGAAGGCCCGAGTCGATATCGGTGACAGCCAGGATTGTCCGTGACCCCGGTCCGACTCTCCCAAGGCCACAGGAGACTCCGCACGACCACGAGAGCAGCCCTCTGGAGCTCAGGCAATCGCCGCTGATCGTCGACCACCGGAAGGGTGCGGAGACCCCAGAGTTGGAGCACATCCCGGACGCTGCGCCGCCGGTGCCGACGCCTCTTGTTCACGCGGGTGAACCCCAGCCACGTAAGTCGCTCCAGGAAAGGCGATTGTCCAAAGCTGGATCTCAGGCTGCCGGTGATGAGCCTCGGGATGGTCATCGGCCGGGGCAACGCACGTCCTTGACCATGGCCAGGGACTTCCTCCGGGACTCGATGGTTGGCAAGGACGCTGCGAGCACGCCCCGGCCGCTATCGATGCACCAACATCATACCTCTCTGATGGGTCGTCTGAGCATCAGCTCTAAGCGCACGTCTTTTGGTCCTGATGCTGCGACATCGCCGGTGAATCCTCTGTCACCAACCTCGACGGGTGAGTTGAGCGAATCCGGTGATGACAAGAAGTCAAAGGAGGGAAACCGAGCAAGCCGCTTCATGCGACGTCTGTCCAGCTCATTGAGCCCACGCAAACAGTCGACTCCAACGATTTCTCCCACCTTGGCTGAAGAAAGCGTCGCTGATGTTGAAAAAGCTACACCGCCCAGGGCCATGACAGCACCTTCACTCCCCACGGCGGCCCCTCTTGCCGCCTCTTTAGGCGACGTCAACGTGCAGTTCCCCGACAACCTCCTGTGGAAGCGACGGACGGTCTCGCTGGACACGATCGGCTACCTGCTCCTCAACGCCGTGCAGGGTGTGACATCGATTCGGGAGAAGCAACTTAAGCGGTATCACCTGAGCGAGTTCAAGCCGCCCTACGCGCCCGAGATCGAGTTCCAGGAGCTTCCCAACAGCGTGTGCTTGGATTTCATTGACGGTTCCAGCCTACAAATCGCATTCCAGGACCGTGCCGGACAGCTCAATGGGCTGCACAGTAAGACCACCCGAGAACCGGAGAACAAAGTTAGAGTTTACTAATCTCTTGCCATAGCACTCCAAGAAAACCACAAGAAGCACATCTCTTCAGCGTCATAAGCGACACAAGCCTCGAAAGATACCCTCTCAACCTGTTCATACTGGCCCGCCGATTCGGACGGGCGGCGGCCCACACATCACCTCAGCCGAGGAATTCCTTATGTCTTGCAAAGCGAACGACTCTTGTGATCGAAAAACTCTTGACGACCCAATATCACCTTTTTAATCTGCTTCACTGACTCTGGCCTCGGTTGGGCGCCAGTTTGATTTAGAAAGCCAGCCTTCTTGAGGAAGTCGCCATTTTGGAAGCGAGCGAACTGCGGTGATTTTCTATTCCCCCAAAACCATAGGGAGGTCGGTCCATAACGCGGTGTTGAAATTCTTGATCCCATACCATACCCCAAATATAGTCATTCTGTTTTTATTTTTGTTTTTATTCTTGTGCTTCTCATTTGTCCCCTGAACCATCACGGCCATCGCCTGGAAAGAAAAAGAACTGGATTGAATCGTCACTTCACGGCTGAGCCCCAAATTCTCCTTTTTTGCTTTCAACGGATTTGATACCACAACACAAGCATACCCAGCCTGCCTCGCGAGGAATACTCTTTCCTCCCGACGCTCTACCGATTTATCCAATTTTCTTCACTGTGTTTTATCCCGCACGCGATGCTGAGGTGTGCTTGACTTGGAGGGTCTCTCGGCCCTGGAGGAAGGAAGTGGCGAGAGGATGAGGAAGCGGTTGGAAGAAGCAGAGGGGACATAATCTAGCATCACCATCACGAGGCATCGCCCTGGCGGGGTTCGGGGGGAACGGCGGGCGGCGCCAGCCATTCGGGTCTTTTCACATGTTTCCTTTCCTTTTCCACCCGGGGACCAAAACCAAACCCCAAAACAACAAAACCAAAACAACCTGTATATACGTGCATTAATATTCCCCCCTGGATGGAAAATGGCGGGAGCGGTCGGGGCCGCCGCGGGAGAGGATGCGGTCGGTCAGGCGAGGGATAGGTGGCACTCTCTCTCTGTGGAGGTGCGGAGGTAGTGAGTAATTGAGAGGAAGTTAAACAATACCTTTGCTGGTACGAGGGAGGGAGTGTGAGTGCTGTCACACTTCCTCTCTTGTATGAAACTACGCATGGCCTGGCTGAAGTGAAATGCCGTATCCTGTTTAAGTTGGTGTGCTACTTATCTAACTCTCAAACTCCTGCCCAACTCTGGCGTATTGAGAATGTGGTTCGTGTCAGCATGCTGGAATCGATGGATCATCATGCAGGCTTCCTCCATTGGGGGGAAAGGGCGGACTGAGTAGGATGACCCGTGGGAAAGGTGTGAGAAACATTTCGTAGACGGAAGGAAGAAGGAAAATATTGGCCAGAATAAGGACAAGATCTACTACTCTGGTGACATGTCACTTTTGTGATTTATCCTGGCCGGTCCGGAAGGTGTCGTTAGTCCATCGGTGGTGGCTACTGTGTAAGTTGATCGGACGCAAGACATAAACAAGCTTTTGCTAGGGGCGGGATTCAAGAGGCTAATAAATCCAGGTGAAAAAGCAAACCCCCTCCTGTGTAACGGCAGCCACTCTGTTCTGGAGAGACATGAAAAGGGGGTAGTTGGACGAGCTGCCATGCAACTCGGACGAGGGAATGTGTGTGCGACTGACCGATCGCCTATGCTGCAGCCTACTCCTTGAGCTATTGGCCGGCCGGCCGCAGCGGTGAGATGACTCCTCGCCGAGCATCGCGGATCAGCTCTAGGTGTCAAGTCGATCCTGCACACCACTTCGTACATTCAAACATCGACCACTGATATATTCCCCGAAGCCTCCAAGGCCTACCAGACACAGCCCTCACACACTCGTTCACTCACCCATCCACGGAGATATAGACATAAAACTCGCACTCACATTCTCACCAAAAAAAAAAAAAAAAGAAAGAAGAAAAAAATGGCGGCCACCTCCAACCCCCCAGACACGGCCGCAATAATCCAGCACGTGGACTTCGACCCCACGACAGCCCAGCGCGTCTCCCACCGCGCGGTGCCCCAGCAGCCGCCCACGGTCCAAGAGCCAGACCCGGGCTGGGCGTCCGCCTTTGCGGAGCTCGAGTCCCGGATCCGGCGAGCGCTGGGCGGCCGTGCCCTGCACGTCGGCCACGTGGGCAGCACTTCAGTTCCCGGGCTCCCCGCGAAGCCGGTCATCGACGTCGACGTCGTGGTGGCCGACCCGGCGGACGAGGCGGCGTACGTCGGGGCGCTGGTGGGCGAGGGGTGGGAGGAGCAGAAGGCTCCCGGGACGGGACTGGGGACGGGCATGGGGCCCGAGGGGGGGGACAGGGGCGCTGGGTTGCAGTTCATACTGCGCGAGCCCGCCTGGCTCCAGCACCGGTTCTTTGTCTGCGCTGACCCCGTTGCCAATGTGCATGTCTTTGGGCCGGGGTGTCCTGAGGTGGTGAGGCACCGGATGTTTAGGGACTGGCTTGTCGAGGTGAGTGAGTTCGAGCGAGGCGAATTGCTCCCCGTGTTCTCCCCCGCCCGGTGAGCAGACGGGTCTGCGGATCAGGATGAGCATGTCTTCGTGATGACTGTACTGGGGAACGGCGAGGCTGGGGTTTGACTCTTAGGAACCCTGGCTGACCATTTGTGCCCACTGCCGCGGTGGGACGAGCAGCACCCCGAAGACCGCGACAGGTACGCCGCGGTCAAGCGTGAGGCTGCCGCCGCGGCTCGCGAGGCCGGAGAAACTGTCCAGGACTATAACCTGCGGAAGGAGTTCGTCATCAGGGAGATCCTCGACCGTGCTTTTAAGGCGGAGGGCTTGCTGCAGTGATGATGTGGTATGGTCTTTTTTCTTTCAAAGGGACGTTCTCACAGGTGGCTTGCCCCACAGTCTCTCAGCAGCCCTGCGGTTGTACATTTTCTGGGGAGTCTGGTTGTGGGTTCAAATTGTGGTATTCATAGACCTCTGTCCCATCGCTGCGCTCATATTTGGCTAGATGATATGGTAACAACAGTGACTGCTGCACATGTGAGCATATAAGCTCTGGTGTAAGCATGACAGTGATATGACAAGTTCGTAGCTTCTGCTTAATGCGCAGCTGCCACAGCCATTTGGCTCGAGGTACTGCGGTGACACGGTATAGCTGTTACTTTTAGCCATGGCCTCATTTTATAGGATGTTCTTCTACATAATTGCGCTCGTTAGATGGCCTGGTATAGGATAACCTCCTGTAGGACAACTTCGTGTAGGATAACCTCCTATGTGTCAATCTTCTATGGGATGAGCGCCCGTTGCACAGCCTCGTGTGGGATGACCTCCTACGGGATCACCACTGACACCCATAGGGTAATCTCTAAAGTTTGACGACGGAAATATTGACGGTGAGGACCTTTCACTGACCAACATGGTGTCCAATTTCCAGGCCAGCAGCAGCAGCAGCAGCAGCAGCAGTCATAGATACACACTCCTTGATCGCAGCGAATGCCACCTACGCTCCCAAGCTCTTCAAACGTTCGCAAGTGCCTGACCGTGTGTACTATCCTCCTCCATCTGGACCATGAAATAAATACTGCGCAGCGCATTTAACGTCACATATCAACAAGGGACCATCACTGAGGCATGAACATTTTCGAATTTCTTCTTTTCTCGTCTCGACCGAGCGTCTCCATCTCAGCAGCGGCAGTAGTACTAACATCGTTCCACGTTCCGATTACGCGCTCACTCACTCACACCTCTTTCTATCCATCTCAAAGGACACCCACTCCCACACCGTCTCGCTCACGACCGCGCCTCCTCCAGCTCCAGCTCGAGCTGCCGGATCCTCTCGCTCTGGTCCTGCGACCCGGCGGACACGACCCTCTTCTTGAGCGTCTCCACCTCGCCCGTGAGGTGCGCCATGGCCTCGCCCTGTGCAGTGATCTTCTCGCCCTGCGCCGTGATGACCCTGGTCTGCGCCTCGATGAGCTGCTTGATCTGCTCCAGGGACGCCTCCACGTGGCCCGACCCGGACCCGGACTGCGAGAGCGCCGGCGACGGCTGCGGGCTACGTGCCGAAGAGGCGAACGGTGCGCTGGACTTGATGGGCGAGGGTGGTTTGGCCTGCGCTGGGGCTTGCGCCTTGGGTTCTGAGCGGACCGGCAGCGCAGCTCTTGACACTGGCTTCTGCACCTCCTCGAAGCTGGACGTCTCGGCCTCGTCCTCCTTGTCCTCCTCGTCATCCTGGAACTTGGACGCCGCTGCAGCCATGGAGCCCTTCTGCTGAGCCACAGATGGCGGCGCCGCGCGGACCGGCTCGGGCTCAGGCTTCGGTGCAGGCTTGGCAGCCGGGGCAGGGGTTGGTGCCGGCGCAGCTGCAGGTGGCTTGTAGTCGGCGGCGACCTCTACGGGAGCGTTGCCCTCGTACTTGCTCTCCAGGTCGATCTTTGGTGGGAGCGCAGTCTTGCCAGAAAGCCACTCCGAGGCGGACATGGCTGGCTTGGATCCTGTGCATGGCGGGAAGATGTCGCTTTGGAAGGTCTCGGCGCGACGGGGGACGGTGAAGGAAATAGGCTCGATGTAGAGGTCGTTGACGGTCTTGTAAGCCCGCATGACCTCGTTCTCGTGAAGCTGCAGAGTGGTTAGCACTTTCGATTCAAGTATATTCGGGGTCGCCTCGACATACGTTAACGCCGCGCTTAGGCATGAAGCCAATGCCTCGTTGCGGGTCTCCTGACTTGTACTCGGAGAGGAACTCGAACTTGTCGTTCTCGTACTCGAAGTATCGAATGTTACCGTCGCTTTGGGAGCAGCGTTAGTCAGCGTCATCGAGTCCTGGGTGGAAGCTCCCAGACTTACCCCTTGCCGGCAAGGTACAGACAGTTGGTGCTGTCATCCCAGAAAGGCATGCAGACACCAGAGATGGAGTCCAGGTTGTTGAAGCCACCGATGGGCTTGTCACTACCCGGCTCCCACAGCGCAAGTTGGCGGTCGCTCATGCGGGAGAAACCCGTCGTCGCGATACGGTTGTGCTCGCCCATCCAAACTGCACGGCTGTTCTTGGCGCCCTCGTGGCCGGGTCCGACATGCGCCGGCTTCTCCTGGCGCACATCCCAAACGCGCAGCTTCTTGTCTCTTGAGGTCGTGACCAACAGGTTTCCGGACGCGTTCCATGACAGGGATTGGACGATATCGTTGTGCTTAAGCGCCAGCGGAGACTGGCCGGTGCTGATGTCCCACAGCTTGATGGTGAAGTCACCAGATGCCGAGGCGAGGATGTTCTCGGCAGCGGGGTTGAAATTGACCTGGCCGACCTTCCTGTGCGATTATTAGAGACATCCGACGCGGTGCCCTCCCACAATGTGGCCACAGCCAGAGTGCGACATACCTGGAATGTCCAGCTAGCTTGCTTACTGGGGTCACGTCTGCGGGCTCTTCGGCGTCGGTGAAGAGGCTGAAGTCCCTGGGGACCTCCCATATGAAGATCTTGCCATCGTCGGAGCCAGACGCAATAATACGGTCGTTGAAAGGATGCCAGTCGGTATCCAACACAACAGCTGTATGTCCACGGAAGAGAGGTATGACGTCGGGTATCTTTCCCCTCTCATTCAACGGGATGACCGCGAATGCGCCACCGCCACCAGATTCCCAATTGACCGAGAGGTATTCGGGGTTGACCTAGATTGTCGTCACGATCAGCAAGTGTTGGACGTCCGCGATCTTCTTATCTCCTGCGCGCGTGCGCACCAAGGTATTGACGTCCATGTTGATCGGTTCTGGGCGCGTCGCGCGCGGAATCGGTGTGGAGGAGTGTCGGGACTGGACTGCTTTCGAGGGGCTTCCGAGGGATTTTGGACTTCTCTGGACTGGAGGAACTGAATGGGGGAACTCAAGGAAACCACAAAAATACCCTGAATTCTATTAGATGCGCGCTTCGTATGCTGCGGGAATGTGGAAGGCTACTCACTTCACTAGGTTCGTATCCCAGGCATTCCTACTGATGTGGAGGTTGTCGTAGCAGAATTCCTTCCGGGTCGGCTTGCCGAAGACGTGTCCTGTTCAAACAGCGAAGCGCAAGCAACGTCAGCAACGAGGCCATCACCAAACAAATCCACACGGGACAAGAGGCGCCGGGCGCCGCGACGCGGGTCGATGGAGCTTGTCCCGCCCTTGCTCGCATGTGCACGCGACCAGGGGTGGGGGAACAACGAAGGGGGTAGAGGGGCTGGCTGTAAGACACTCACGATACTTCGACGCGCGCACGAATCGGCCAGACATTGGTGCTGGTGGATGTGGGGGTGGTGGATGGATTCGACAGTACTCGGCGTCGGGGGGTTGCTGGGTAGGTAGGTAGGTAGGTTAGGTATGAAGATAAGACAAAGTGAATCTCGAGGGAAGGGAAAGCTGTGCAGCTGTATGAAGGTGTGGTTCAGGTCGGGTAGGTAAGGTAGGTAGTCTAGTAAGTAAGTAGTCGAGGTAGAGCAAAAGGGGTCGTCGCCTTTTGGGTACGTAGGTATGGAAACGGTGGCCAGGTCCAGGGTAGGTACATGCACAACGTCGGCGGCAAGACTAATAGCCAGCTGAGTGGGTTTATCTTGTCTCCAGTCCCCTCTTGTCACCAGGCCATGTACCTGCCCTACCTACCTACTGGTGACTGTCTGACTGTAACAGACCTGCGTGGCACACCCCCCAAGCACTCCCAGCTTGCTTTGCATAAACAGGCGGCCCCTCCATTAGTTTCACCAATGAGGCTGAGAAAAAGGGCGTGCACAAGCCAAGCAGAGCCCACCCGCCCACCGACCCACCTGTGGGTTGCGATGGGCACATTCAGGGGTTGATTTACTGATTTGTTGCGTATACAATACAACACCGAAATCAAACATCTATGCCGATCACCGTCTCCTGGTGTCTTGCGAGTCTATATCATGTATAGTAGGATTACAATGCAATCTACGCAGAACCGGCCCCGTGGTGAACAGGACCCGGTGGGTGGATGAATAGGTGAATGCATAGGATTGTACCTTGGGTTCACCCACCACCAGTCCTGACCGCCGTAGCAGGCTCGTCAGGCTGCCATGGCGCAGATAATCTATTTACAGTCGGCTTCCCTCCTTCTTGGTATTTCCCTTTCATACTCGTCCGTACGCCTCGTCAATCGAAATGCAGTCAGTGCCCCACACAAGACAATCCACCATTTCCCCGCCAGGCAAAACTCCGAATCCCCAGACTTGAACGCGTCTTTGATGGCCGGCCATGTTGCAGTCCCGCCGCCCGAGTCAACGCCATTACTCATCGCCGTCCTCACTCCGCGCAGCGCTGCTGGCCCCGTTGGTGTTGCTTGCCGAGTTGTTGGTCAGCTTGATCCTCGGCTGCGGCGTGCTGTTCGTGGTCGGCGCAGCTGACGTGTCCTTCTGTGACGACGAGTCCTCGAGCTCGTTCAGCTCAGGGTGCTCTTGCAGCTGCTTCTGATACTCTTCCAAGAAGTATGTCTGTGGTCATGTCAGTCACGCGGCCGCAAAGAAGCCAGTTATCCCATGCTGGCGAGCAATGCTTACCTCAATCGTTGTGGCGTCCGTGTGGATCAGGCTGCCGTCGTCATTGAACAGCCTGCAGTTGCTGCACATGAGCTCGACGTCCTTGCGGAAGTCGCCCAGGCTCTTGTACTCCTCCTTCTTGATCTTCTTCTCGATCTGCGTCATGGCGATTGGGTTCTGAATGATCACGTAGTAGTCTGCCCAGTCCCTCTTTGGGGGCAGCTTGATGAAGGGACCAATGATCAAGCGCTTGGGCGGCCCGTCGTCCTCATCGTCCTTATCGTCCTCATCAGGCTCTGGGTCCGGATCATCGACCTCAAGCTTCATTAAGCTGTCGTAGAGATGGCGCAGGCTCCGTTGCAGCACTTGCCGTTGCTGAGGGTTGACTTTGAGGTCCGCGCCGTTGGCGGCACCCAGTGACTTTGGCCGCCCTTGAGGGCCGCGTCGCTTCTTGGCTGGTGGGGGCTCGTCCTCGCCGTCTTCAGCCTTTCGTTTCTCAATCTTGATGCCGGGCTTGCGGCCTCGCTTCTTCACAGGCGTCTCCACTTCTGGTTCTGGCTCCTCGGAACTGGCGCGACTAGCTGCCGGAGATCCCTCGGAGCCATTGACACCTGACATCCGCTTGAGGCGGTTAGCCTCTCGCCGCTCTTTACGGGCCTGTTTTCTGGCCGCGGCAGCCTCTGGGCTGTCGTCGTCGTCATCGACGGCCAGGAGCCACTGCTCTTCAGTCAAGCCATCGTCATACCGGACCTTGGTCCTCTCACGAGCACCGCGGCCGAGTGAAATCTCGGTCTCCTCGGGAGCATCTGGGTTTTCGTCGTTGAGATAGATGTCTGGGAGCTCAGCTTCTGTCATCAGACGAGGTACTCCCTTGCAGCCCGGCGCAGTGCCGTAGAGCGCGTCTTTCGACCTGACTTCATCAATCTGTTGGAAACTCGCGAGTTCATCGTCACTCCGTGCGAGGATCATGTTCAGTTCTTCGTCGTCCATCTCCTCTTGCTCGCCATTTTCTGCCAAATCTGCAGATTCAAGCAGTGTCCGGAGCATGGCGTCACGGTCAGTCTCAGAGGACTTGTTGTCGAATCGACCGGCCTGGATGACTTTGCCGTCCATGTCGAGCTTGAACCTGGCCCGCTCAAGAATCTTCTCCTCCACTGAACTAGAGCTGATGAGACGAAGAATGCGGACCTCGTTCTTCTGCCCGATACGATGAGCACGATCTTGGGCCTGCAAATCCTGATGAGGATTCCAGTCAGAATCGTAGATGATGACGGTATCTGCCGTCTGAAGGTTCAGACCCAGACCACCAGCACGCGTCGAGAGCAAGAACATAAAATAAGGGGAGTCCGGCCGGTTGAACTCGTGGAGCAGCTCGGAACGTTCGTCTGACTTGGTCGTTCCGTCCAGGCGAAGGTAGGTGATGCCACGCCAGCGAAGGAAATCCTCCATGATGTCCATGATTGCCGTCATCTGGAAGAACATGAGTACACGATGTCCTGTAGCCTGATACTTTGGCAAGATGCGGTCCAATAGTTCAAACTTGCCAGCAGATCTCCACAACAGATCGTTGCTGACGTTGGCAGGGTTCATCTGGTTCTCGACCTCGCCAAAGACAAAAGGATGATTGCAAAGCTTTCGGAGCTGCATGATCATGTTGCTCAGACCCTTCGCAGTGCTCTTGCCGCCCTTACCGTCGCTGACAGCAATCTTATTGTGCGTGACCATTTGCTTGTAGAGACGGGATTGCAATGCTGAGAATCTGCACTTGATGACCTTCTCGGTCTTGTCGGGCAGGTCCTTCTCGACGTCCTTCTTCAGACGACGAAGCAAGAACGGACGCAGGACCTTGTGCAAACGACGAATAACGAGAATTTGCTCTTCTTCTGTCAACTCCATCTTATCTTGACCTCCGGTGTTGGCGAAGGGAGTGTTGAACCACTCGTCAAAAGTCTTGGCAGACTTGAAGATGTTGGGTAGAGTGAAGTTCAGCATTGCCCACAGCTCAGACAGGTTGTTCTGCAGAGGGGTACCCGTCAGGATGAGACGGAATCTGGTCGAGTAGTACTGCTGGATGGTGGCGCTCAGCTTAGAGTTGGAGTTCTTCATGCGATGTCCTTCGTCGATGATCATGTGGAACCACTTGATCTTGCTAAGAATGTTGCGGTCCTTGATGATGTACTCGTACGTGGTAAGCAGGACCTGGAACCTGCCCTGCCGGATCTTGTCCTGCTGCACCTTGCGAGTGTTCGGCGGGCCCTTGTACACAACCTTGGAGACCGAAGGGGCCCACTTGTCGAATTCGAGATTCCAATTGGTCAACGTGCTGAGGGGGACGATGACAAGGTAAGGGCCCATCTGCTGCTTCCTCTCGATGAGGTACGTGATCAGACTGATCGTCTGGATGGTCTTTCCCAACCCCATTTCGTCGGCGAGAATGCCGTTGAGGTTGTTGTTGTAAAGCGAGATCATCCACTGGAGACCCTTGATCTGGTACTCCTTCAGCTTGCCGCCAACGAGGATGTCTGCCTGCTCCGTCACCTCCTCCTTGATGCGATGGGCAACAGCGTAGTAGTCGATCTTGCGGCCACCGCTCTCCTCGTCTTCCTCCTCCTCCTCCTCTTCGCTCTCTTCCTCCTGGACGACGTCGCCACCGTAGCGTTCTGCAGCAGCTCGCTGCTGGGCCTTAACCGAAGAGGCGAGTTGATGCAAGAAGCCGTCGGTCTGGCGCAAAAGATGGGTAATACGCGTGTCCTTGGCCTGGTCGAGAAGCTTGAGGTAAGCCTCCTCATCGTTGGCCTTGAGCGCTTGCAGACGTTGCTTAGCATTTCGCTCGATGCGCTTCTGCTCTTCCTTCTCAATGTTGAAGTGATGGTTGTACATCAACTTGCCCATCTTGCCCATCCTATTCTGCTGGCCCTGGGCCGTTACCTGGATCTCATTTCGGTGGTTGAAAACAGCATGAAGGTAGTCAATGTGCTTCTTCTTCTCGCGGTTCTCCCTGGCGTCCCGCTGCTGTTTCTCAAGCTTCTCCGTAATGCGCGCCTCCCGCACGTTCTGCTTCTTCAAGCGTCGGTACATACTGCGGTTTGTCGTCATGGCGAGGTTGTCATAGCACATCATCTGTCGACCAATCCTGTCGCGCAACGCTCTCTGTTTTGAGTACAGCGCGATCGACTTCATCTCGATGATGGCCTTCCGTCTCAGAGTATCATCAACGGCGAGTGTGTCTTGAGAAGTATCCCAGTGTGCCAGGTTACCGGGTTGGCTCTTCAACTCGTTATATCGAGTGCTCATCCTGTTGAACACAATCTTCTCACGGTCTGCCCTCAACTGATCAAAGTCAATGCCGTGGGGGAACAGGCCAGGGATGAAAAGCCGGCTGTCGTGCCGTGCGTGTTCGAAGAGGCCGACAGTCTGCTGCAACATCTTCTCAGGGAGCTGCAGCCTCTTGAACTTGGGCTCTTTTGGAGCCGCAGGAGTAGCCTCTGCGGGTTGAGCAGCCTCGACACCGTTGGGCCCAGCTTTGCTTGGGGTTTGTGACCTGGGGCCCTGAGATGTGGGTGTGGCAGAAGACTGCTGAACAACAGATGCCGGCCGCTTCTGGCGAGACTGAAAGATTGACTGCTGCAGGTTGACGGGCACGCCGAAGTTCTTAGACAACATCTTAAATGCCTGAATCTGTTGCCTTAACAGATTCAGATGAGCAGGAGTGAACTGTCCAGGCGGAGGGCCAACGGGAGATGCGGCAACCGCTGCTTGGCCATCACCGGAGGCGGATGGCAGAGCGGAAGCGCCGAGGTTCGACCCAGGGGCCTGGGATGTCTGCACACCTGGCTGCCCATTGTTCTGCCCGGCAGGGCCGCCCGCTACACCTCCATTGGTAGCCGCGGCTTGCTGCTGCTGTTGTTGTTGTTGCTGTTGCAGCTGTTGTTTCTGTTGCATCTGCTGCTGCAGCTGTGCTTGCTGCTTCCTTAGCTGCGATTGCTGCTGCAAAGCCATGAGAAATTGCTGGGTCTTGATGAGCTCCGGATCGTTGGGAGGAGTGTTGTTCGCCTTCAATTGTTTAAATCGCTGTACATTGTCTGTCAACAAAGAAAGTCCTCTAACACTGCGCCAAGGGGGTCCATGTCATAGGCAAACATACATCGTACATGTCCTTAATCTGTTGCTGCGTCAAGTTAGCCGGAAGGCTGGCACCCGGGAAGTGCCCCGGGGCCGCCGCAGGCTGTACGGAAGCCATGATTCCGGGTCAACGAGGGTCGGTCTCAAAGGATTGAGAAAGATGTTTTGCCACGAGGACCAAGTATTACGTTGAGTGCATATCTGTCAAGCAACGCGCTAGGTATGACAAAAGATTGACAAAAGCACGGCGTGGTGAATGAAAGACCAAGAAGTATAGCGGATGGAATCAGAGGTAGCAGGGGCGCGTCGAGACCGAGGCCGAAGGGCGTGTCCGGGTTGTGCAGTGTCGAGCTGGATGGGCCAGGACGGCGCAGTGCAGTCGAGGCTGGGATGCACAAAAGGGCCGTGTCGCGTTGACAAAAAAGCCGTATAGCGCGAGGTCGAGGGGTTGTTGCCGGTCGGCCTTTGGGTGCAGGTTTGCTTTGCGATGCGATGCGACCGACGAGTGGGAGAACTAAATGCTTGGTGCGCGCGGATGCGGATGCGGTTGCGGATGCGGTTGCGGTGGGGTGGGATGCGCAGCAGCAAGGGAAGGGAAAAAGGCTGGCGGGCGAAATGGAAAAAACGCAGAAGCTGGCCAGATCGGGGGTGATTTGGCGACAGGCTGCACGAAAGGCGCGGCAAAATCGCGTGCAAACAAGTTTGCTTGGTAGTTTTTGATGGTTGTCGATGGCTGCGGGCGGTTTTGCGATGCGTCGCGCTTCGCCTTTGGATGGAGTGGGTGGGAGTGCTTGGTGATTGAGAATGGGTTTGACCACAAGGCACGTCGCGGGCGCTGGCTGCTGGCAAGGTTCGTAGGCAGGTGCAGATTTCTGGAGGCCTGAGGCAGCAACAGATTACCCACCGCTGCACGGGCCATACGCTAGGGGCCAATGCAGCCAATTGCAGCGAGGCGCGGAGGGGCTAACCATGACGGGACCTCTCTTCGGCGACTTGCACGAGGTACCTAGGAACTTCAAGTGTAGCCCCTGCATTGCTTACGCCATCACTCACCCTTGCAATCGCGTCCAAGCAGGCAGGCCAGGCCAGTAAGTAGCCCGTCACTCGGCCGTGATTAGCACGTAGCTTAAAATTATGGCAACAAGACGAGACAGGGGATGCTCCAATTACTGCTGTAGATAGATATGCATCTATTCCTCCCTTATCGCTTGACCTTCTTCTTATCGGGTCCCTCTTCCTCCTCGTCACTGATATCTGCATACTGCGTAACCGGCTGTGTTTCCTTCCACGCATTCGTGAACAACGGGTCTTTCTTGGCAACATCCGCATACTTGAGAAGCGCCTCCCTGGGATCCTCGTGCAGCATCTTGCTGAGCGGGATGTTCTCCTCGATGTGCTTCTCGTCCGGCTGGCTGCGCATGAACGGCGTGATCTGCTGCACCTGCGGCCTGCGCGGATCAAGAGACTTGCCCGTGCCCGTGACGCCAGCCTTGCGCTGCTGCGCTGACAGGGCCCCCGGCGCGATGATGCTGTCGCCAGACAGGCCAAGCGTCTGGTCCATTGTGAATGCCGGGTTGTCGTCGACGTGCCGCTTCTTTGGCGCCTTGCTCATTACATCTACCGCGCCGCGCTGAGACATCGACGGGTTGTAGAGGACATGCGTTTCTGCGTTTGCGGAGCCCGTAACGATCTGGTTGAGCTTCGGGTGCCATTCAGTCACGATCAACGGCACGCCCGGTGTGATTGGTGTGACATGTTCTGCTTTGAGGTTGCCAGGATTGAGGATGTGAAGATGGCCAGATGCTGATCCAGTAATGATCGCCGTCGAGTTTGGCGAGTATTTGATATTGGTCATCGTGAACCTGTCCGACGTAGACGGATGCTCGACCGAGACGAGGGGCTGTTTGAACTTGCGAGTATCCCAGAGCTTGATCAGGCCATCGCCGCCTCTTGTCACGACCATCCGCCCATCTGAACTGATGTCTACGCCACCGGTCCAGGTGTCTGGCTTGTGGGCGTCTCGAACCTCCGCGGTCGGTCTCGTGAATGGGCCGTTGCCGCTGTACATCACCAGCGACCCATCCAGTGCAGCTGCAACCAGAACATTGCTGCCGCCCTGGGCGGACGCACCCCATGCCACTGCAGTCATCCTCGTCCGCCCCGCAGAGCCGGCCGCTTTGGATTTGAAGACAATAACTTCCTTCTGGCTGCGTTTGTTGTTGATGTCCCATATTCGCAATGTGCTGTCCGTGCCAGCTGTGACGCACAGGTTCTTGTCGGTCGGGTGCCATGTGCCCGTTGTGACCTCAGAGACGTGACCTTTTGTATTGTGCATGTCCCTCAGGTACATGTCCCCCTTCACAAATTCCGTCAGGATGTCTCCGTCCCTCGACAAGATCTTGGCCTGTGGATGCGCCGAGATACACAATAATGCACCTCCCGCGAGCGGGTTGAACTTGACGAGGTTCAGCGGGTATGATTCCGCTGCCGTGGTAGAGCTCTTAGTCTCCCATGGGTCAATGCTTCGGAAAGCGCGCAGGGTGGTCGGCGTCATCGAGGCAAAGTCGTGGAGCTTGACGGTGCCGTCCAGAGAGCCAGTCGCTAACCTCGAGCCCGAAGGATCGACGGAAACGCTCGTCACGGTCCGTTCGTGGGTCTTGAGGACGAGCTCGTGGGAGACGGGGAATTCATCTTCGTCTTCGTCGCTGGACGAGTTATCCGAGTCATCGTCGTCGCTGTCGCCATCAGAATCAGATTTCGAGCGTCCTTTGGATCCTTCATCGTTCACCTGTGGTTGGTCTTTTGGCTTCTCCGTGGTCCTCCTGCTGCGGTCTATCTGCGCGGCTATGTCTGCATCCTTGGACTTCTTCCCAAATGAAGTGGGGAGGAACGCTCGCATCGGGTCATCAGCCGCTAGCTCTGGCCCTTCGACCTCGTAATCCTCGCTGTCGCTCATTCTTGCCTCGCAAGCCGTGGTGGCTGGGCGTAGTTCGTCCCGCGATGAAAGACGGGATAGGTGTCGACGTCGGGGAAGTAAGGCCGTCGGAAGTTTTGGTTGGTAGAACAGTAAAACAAGAGATGTGAGGTTGGAATCGAAAGTGTAACGATCAAGATTAAATGCGCCGGCAGGCACTAGGGTACTGTCAGTCGATCTTTCCAGTCTACCCTCGCATGTAAATAATCCTCAATTGCTATGCACCCTACAACAGGTACTGCCGCCTGCCGCCTGGACCCTTGCAGGGAGCTCTCCGACCCGCCAGAAATGCCCCGCGAATGACGTTCACCTGTTATCAAATCGCTCCCTCACCTCCGTCCATCATGGTCCCAAATTCGCCTCAAGCCTCACACACCACCACAATCCTCTTCTTCGCGCTCATCCTAATTGCATTCTTCCCAGGGATCTTCCACTATATCTGGACCTTCCCACTCAGCCTGATCTTCTCTTCATCTTCTACGCCAACATATAACAGCGGCGACCCGGCAGCAGACATCAAGATGGGCTCGTGGTACCAGAAACAGTTCACCCTCCCCAGCAAGTCGCGCGGCTCGTACCTTGTCACGGACCACGTCGTCAGCTCGCTGCCCGAGCTGAAGCAGTACAAGGTCGGCCTGCTGAACCTGTTCATCCAGCACACGAGTGCGCTCAGCCTGAACGAGAACTGGGACGACGATGTCCGCGCCGACATGAGTGATGCTCTGGACCGGATAGCACCTGAGGCTGGCCCAAAGGGAGAGGAGCTATACCGCCATTCCGCTGGTAGGACTGATCACATTGCCACAAAAAGCGTAGGCATGTCATGTACATCGCTAACACGAATGGACAACACTAGAGGGCGCGGATGATATGCCAGCTCACATCAAGTCGGCACTAGTCGGCGCGTCAGTTACGATACCGATCCGAGATGGGAAACTGGCCACGGGTACCTGGCAAGGTATATGTACGAGCTGCCCTTTTATTTTGTCTTCTTTAATTCATTTCCAGGGGGGTATGCTGACCCCAACTCTTCAGGGTATCTCGAATTTCGAGCAATGAAGCACCAGAGACGTGTTGTCGCAACGATTCAAGGAGAGAAGGCATAGAGGTCAAGCGTTCTGCACGTGTAATTACGGGGTTGACCGTTGAATTGTAATTGCTTGCCGAAGTGAGCATCGACTTTCCAAACCAGTGTGATTGTCTTCTTTTACTCGCCCACCATGCTTTGCCTCGGTCGACTCCCGGGCATTCCATTCCTTCCATGGAATTCCCACCTTGGCTCTGGTTCTCGCCTCTTCATTCCTGTGAATGATGGAGCATTCGCGTTCAACAGGTAGGTGCCCAGTTGGGTATCATTAATTCCATTGCCAATGTGCAATTGCCTGCCACGGCAATGCTTCGGACTTAATGTATGCAGGCGACTCCGATGCACCTCAATCCTATCTTGAATAGCCCAACCGCCATGTGAAGTGTAGCCAGCCGTAAATGTGAGGCTCCAAGCATTCGAAGCATTGGTAGCTCACGCTAGTCACTCGCGTCTGCCGCTCTGATGAGCCTTATTCTGAACGCTTCCAAGCTTCTGCCAACCATGTCTACTCTCGGTCTACTCTGGCGCATCTTCCTCCTTCATGTTGACGTCGCCACCAGCCAAAACTTGGGTCTTTGGTTCGTAGCCATCCGGCGCCCTACCACCAGGGGTCTGAGCAACGACCTTACCGTTCTCGTCGACGAATTCGAAGTTGTAGCGGCTGAGCAGGTGGGGAATGGCGGAGAGCTGAGGTCCGTAGCGGGCGGTGTTGTCGTAGAGCTCGAAGAGGGGGACAGCGAGTAGCTTCATGTTCTTGGGGACGCTCAGGACCTCTGCAAGGCAAGGGGGTCAGTAAACAATCCGGATTGGGTGCTGCGGTGCACTTGTGCTTACTGGTCTCTGGGAGCTGGATGAAGTAAAGCTTCTTGCACTCCTTAGGCCGGGTCACATGGGCAGGGACGAAAGGGTACATGAAGGTCTCGAAGTTGGGGCGCCACCATTGGGCAAGGCTGTCGCCGATGTGCCAGTCGCCCGCCGTCTGGCCGTCTCCCAGGCTGCCGACGGGAGCCAGGCGCTCGTCAAGCCTCGTCTTGAAGCCCTCGATCTCGTCGTCCTCCGGGCGCAGGTAATCTCCAGGAAGCTTGAAGAAGGCATTTGCGATCTGGAGCATGAGGATGTGGGGGTGATTGTGCTCGTGGCAGACGAGAATGCCCTCGCAGGTGCGTCGCATGCCATGCTTGCTGTAGTGCTCCTGAAGGCGGTTAAGTCGAGCGACCACACTGGGGTCCTCCTCAGGCTGGGTCTCCTTGACGCCGAATGTGTAGTTGGACAAGGGGTATAGTCGGATCGTCTGCGGTTGGTTCGCTTCGAAGGGGCGAGGGATGATGGGTGGCTTCGACGACTTCATCTCACCGGGGGCGATTGTGGACATGATGGCGACCTGGGGTGAGGTGCTCGTGAGATGGATGCCTTGTCTTGAAAGTTTAAGGCCCAATTTGGTCAAGGATTAGTCTGGCACAGAAATCAGCGGTGAAGACGAAGAATTGCAGTGTTTAGTACGGTGAGGCTTGAGGGTGTGAGATGCAGCCTTCCGAGTGGAAAGGAGCTCCAGCTGTAACGTGAAGCTCCAGGGAAGTCGCGATACTGCCACGGATTGATTGCAACTCTACACCGAAAGGGGGTGGGCGGTGAAGCTTCCCCGGTGAGTGAGCCCACTACCGGCTCATTTTCCGGGGCCCCTAGTCTCTAAGTCAGTACCTGAGTACCTCGGTACTCTCCCAGGTGCCGTCTAATTGACAGGGATGCCGGCATGGCGACGGACCTGTGTGCTACATAGTAAACCTCGATTGTAATAAGCCGCCTTGGTTTGACAACAACACCCTGAGGACAAAATCTGGAAATAAACCTGGGGACCCGGACCTTGACTGAAATTTCCGGTGGTCAAGACCGCCTCTTTCGCAGCCAATAATTGCTTCACAGGTAGTCAGATTGGGTCGATAACTGCATTTACCCGGCGGCCGCAGACGATGATGACGAGGATGAGGATGATTTCCAATTCGCTTGGCTTGTCAACCCATCACGGCCGGCTTCACTGCCTCGAGCCTCCGGTCCTACCGGAATCCTCCCGGCATCGTCACGAGGCTCGCGAAGGAGAAGCACGCACACGTGGGCGATGGAGGAGCCGCATCGGACTCAGACAAGCTCACATCCGGTGTCCCGAGTCCGGGTCGGCCAACCTTCAAGCAGCCTCCCGCAGGGTCGCTTGCCTTGTCCAATAGCGTCACCCTGGATAAATCAATGGCGCACCTAAATCGCAAGTGGCCCCGCATACGTGCGTCTTTGGGCTTACCACTGCCAGACATGCCAAACAGCATGACCAGCCCGGCTGCATATCGTGGTGGTACTGCTTTAGCTTCCGCTGGTTTATGCACGAGCATATAAATTGCGTCTGAGGACTCGTCTCCAACTGACGCCATGGCTTGTATTGAATCCAACAAGCCTTTTGATTTCCACTGATATGTTCCAAATCCAAAGAATCACACTAAATTCTCCAAGATAATTTGATCAATCTCACAAAATGGTTGTAGTTCCAGTTCTCACAGCCGAGGAGAAGGAGCACTTCCTCAACAATGGCTGGCTCAAGTAAGCCCACAAATCCCACTGGCAAGTCCCTCCGTCTGGAGATATCTGACAGTTGCCTTCCAGGATCCCCGGTGCCTTCACCAAGGAGCAAGCCGCCGAGGTGACCAAGGACGTCTGGACCCGCCTGGGCATGGACCCAAACGACAAGACGACATGGCACAGGGTGTGGACCAACATGCCGCACCACAACTCCTTCGACGCGCGGGACTTCGCGCCGCGGGCCTGGGCCGCCATCGCCGAGCTCTGCGGCGGCGAGGGCCGCATCGACCCGGCCTTCCGGCAGTGGCGCGACAGCCTGATCGTGAACCTGGGGTCCGCCGAGCGCGAGGGCCAGCCCGACCCGCCGCGGGAGCTGCCCCGCTGGCACGTCGACGGCGACTTCTTCGTGCACTACCTCGACTCGCCCGAGCAGGGGCTCCTGGTGGTCCCGCTGTTCACGGACGTGCCGCCCTCGGGCGGCGGGACCATGATCTACCCCCGGGGGATGCGCGAGGTGGCGGCCCACCTGCGCGACCACCCGGAGGGCGTGTCGCCGCTCATGGTGCCCCGGGGCGAGCCGGGCTTCAAGATCGACTTCAGGCGCGACGGGGACCTGAAGTGGTTCGGGGAGGTCGCGTCGCGGGGGGCCGACGGCGACTTCATCGAGGTGTGCGGCTCCGTGGGCGACGTCTACGTGCTCCACCCGCTCATGATGCACGCGAGCACCAACAACGCCCTGCGCCACGTGCGCATCATCACCAACCCGCCCATCGCGCTGAAGGAGCCGTTCCGGTTCCACAGGGCCGACGGCTCCGAGTACAGCCTCGTCGAGAGGGCGACGCTCAGGATGCTGGGGAAGGGCGAGGGCGAGGGCCTGGAGGGGTGGGAGATCACGCACCCCAGGGAGGCGCTCGTGCCGGAGAGGATGCGGATCCAGGAGCGGTGGAAGCAGGAGGAGCTGAAGAGGCTGGAGGAGCAGAGGAAGTTAGGGGGGAAGCCCGGACCGGCCGCTGTCACAGCTTGAGAATGTTCGTACGTGGTACGACACAGAAGTAGAAAATACATGTCACACAAGTGATGGCTTTGACGTATCACTCGCACAAAGGTGCTCAATCGAACTCTTTGGCTACCAAGAACTTGTTATTAAAGCAGGCTTGCTAAATCCCTACCCTCCCTGATGCCTCCTTAACCTGTAAATGCGAGGCCATGACTGCGGCCTGTTGCAAGACACCATCCGTGTCGGGGAAAATAAAAAGACGAACCACAGCAAGGGAAAAAAGAGGTATACATGAAGAAAGGCGGGAGGAAAAACACAAAACAGCCACGCCGAGAAGGGTATCTCCCCTCCTTTTTCCCTTGCCTTGTACATGCCCTTGTTTTTTGGTCGTTCCTGAACTCCGGAATGCATGTTTCTAAATGACTCTAACACGGCGCTCTTTTCTTTGCCGAATGGTGCCAGCAACAGCAACAAATCCTGCTGTGCCGGCAATTACGGGAGATGAAGTTGAGGATGACAATGAAAATGAAAGTAAAACACTGCAGCAAAAGAGAAGAAGGAAAAAAACCTTTTCATGCATCTGATGCTACGGGCTCCGATGCCCGAGCCATGGTTCCGCCCTATGAATCCATCGACCACTCTTTCCTAAGGCCGCTCCTGAGCCCGTACTCGCTCCGTCTGGCAACCTTTTCCAGGTGTCTTGTTCTGGAGGATCTCTTCGTGCCGTTGCCCCTCAGCTCGGACACCCGCCTGGACATTGTCGATTTTGGCGAGGACGTATCGAATTCAACATCCTCCTCCGGTTCGACGTATTCCTCGCCTTCAGCACCTGTTTTGGCTTTCTGAACTGGTTTGGTCAATTCGAGGTCCTCCGCAGTGGGCGGAGTGCGGTTGGCGGGTCGGAATCCGACTGCTTTCACGGTCGGTGAGCCATGTACCCCCTCCTGTCCAGTCTTTTGACGCTTGGTCGGGGGTCCGGAGCCGCTTTCGTTGTCGGTGGGCCCGCGCTTCTCGCGGGTAGCCTGAAGAACTGGCAGACGACGAGGTGGCTCTTTCTGCACGATTAAGCCCTGAACTGCTCCCAGTTCAACCGTCTTTTGCTCTTGGGGCCGCTGCTCTGTAGAGACATGCTTTGTGGTATCTTGCCCTGTGGGACTCTGCCCGGTAGGAACCTTCTGCGCAGACTCTTGTTCCGCTGCCTCCACACGAGAGCGTGTTTGGTGAGCGGTCGTTTTTGGACGTGCCCTCTTCTGGCCGGAAGAAGAACCCTACTTCTTGTCTTCCCGCGCCGGCGAAGTGTCAGCTTGCAAGTCCGTCGAGTTCTTGCCACGTGATTTCCTGCTTCCCGTGGTGTGCGTCCACCCACGGATCTGTGTGGGCCCGTGGGACGGCGGTGGTGCAGTAGCTGAATAGTCTCTGATGCCTTCGTATGGATTGTACATGAGGGTCCGTAGCTCTGACCCATTACTGTCCCAGGTCTCGGCCTGTCGAGGTGCTGGTTTGATCTCGCGGTACTGTTTGTTATTGCTGTTGCTGTTGTTGCGAACGGACGATATGCTACCGCTGCGTCTTCCTGGAGAGGTCGAGACTGCTGAGTGTGTATTATGATACGGAGGAGGGCTCTGTAGAACCTGAACCTGTTGCCCGGGGCCTTGGTCATACTGCGCCTGGTGATGGGCTCCCATTGCTGACCCCGGTGGATATGTATGTTGCATGGAATAGGGCGCCGGCTGCTGATGACCCGGTTGTATCGCTGGCTGGGCCATGTAACCTGGTCGAGGGCCTTGCTCTGTGGACATCAACGGTTGATCGGGTCCATACCCGTTCGGAGGGTAGGGCTGATCAGCATATGCCTGGTGGTGAGGCGGGGGAGGATAATGTGCTCCTTGGTCATTGGGGTTCATCCCAATGTGTTGGGGGCCTTGGGGCCCTGGAGTTGCTGGGTGCATCAGCTGGCCTGACCCCGACCCACGGTGTAGTGGTCGCAACGGTGGCAAGGGCTGTGTCTCAGCTCCAGCTGGGTTGCTGAAGGGGGTTCGTCCAGGTGATCCCTCTGTAGCTGCGGCTGGTCTTGGGGCGGGGGCCAGGGGTGGTCCAGGATACTGCGTCATCTGAGGAGGCTCAGGATAATGCGGGCCCTGAGGCGGACCCTGCGGTGTCGGGGTGGATGGGGAATTAAGGGCAGTCTGGAAGAAGCTGGGCTGTGACGGCTGTTTTTGCTGAGCCTGCTGAGCCTTCTGATGCTGGAGAGCTTTTGGCGGCTGACCATCCTCGAACAGCTGCGGGTCTAAGAGTGCGTCGTCTGTATTTGGTACTGGAACATATCGCTCATCAGATGCATGGGGCAACGGCCGCGCCATTTGTGGCTGTTCGTAGGGCACGTCTGCCTCTCGATATCCATATGACTCGGGGTGCGCTGGGGGAGGATTCTGGCCCTGGTGACCAGGGGCTGGTTGCGGAGCCTGCATCGCCTGCATCATGTGTTGCCGTTCGTGCGCAGTCTCTGGTCCTCGGTAGGTAAAGTGCTCAGGCGGCGCCAGGGGGGACTGCGGTACCTGCTGGTCGTGGTAGTTTTGATGAGGCTGTACAGCGTACGTCCGATCCCCGCCCATGAAGTGTTCTGGCATGGCGAGCTGAGGGCCGGATTCCTGCTGAGGGTCGGGGTAATCTGGAGGCTCCATCGCCTCATCCGCTTGCACGAGTTCTTGAGGATCCCGCAGCTGCTTGGGACGGACCGGCTCAGGCATTTGGATCGGAATCTGTGGCGGCTCTTCGACATTGGAGCTTGGTGCTGGCTCGCCGCGCGGTTCACCGGCGTCTCGAATGGCGATGTCTGCCAAAAACTTCATGGCCGAGTTATCTTCGACAGGCGGGGTTGAAGCTATAGCAGGGGGTAGATTGGAATTGCCAAAGATGTCTCTGACTGCGTCGTATGGCCTTGACATAGTTGAAGGTCGTGACAGGGCAGGCGAGGCAGTCTGCGCTTCCTGTGCGCTCTGGGCTTCTTGTGTGTCTCGGGACTCCAAGGCAGAGCCAGCGTTGACGAGCAAGTCGATGTTATAAGCACCCAACTGCTGGTCTTGCTCATCTTGGGCCTCGTCTTCTTCCTGCTCGAGTTTAATCCGATGGTCTTCCCGTTCATTCAACAGCCTCTCCGTCTCGGGATCGTAGAGATCGTCTTCTGTCAGGTCTTCTTGGTCCATGAACTGACTCAGCATGCTCTTTAGGGTCTTCTTGACATAAGCCCCCTCAGCCTTGGCCTTGGAAATAGACCGAGACGTGTGAATTATCTTGCCGTCGGGTGGTACAAATACAGTAGGCTTCCAGCCAGACTGATACGGCCTGGGTGGTTCTTCGTCGTTGACGGAGCTTTCCATGAAAAGGCCGTACTTCGGGTGCAGCTTGTGCTTGGCGAGCAAGTCTTGATCGAGGTCACCGTCGGCGTACTGTGTCGCATCGTACGTCCAAAGGGTGCGGTCAAAGAACATGGCATTCGAGTTTGGCTGACCCAGGAACCTCTTGCGCTTGGCCTTGGTGGCGCCACGACTCTTGTCATTGGTCGAGTCGCGGAAGCCGATCTCGTGGGGCTCATACTCGAACAGCGCAGGAAGCATGATGCGATTGTTGGGCATGTCACCAGCCCTGGCTCTCTTGTTGATGAGCCTCGCACCATACTCGTCGGGCTCTGCTGCGCCATTGGGAAGTGGAGGCATAGTCTCATCCTCCCCAACATCAGACTCCTCGGCCTCAGCCGATGGTGACCTTGCAGGGATCTGCTTCCGCTTCCTGCCACGAGTCGCCGCCGTCGGCTCATTCGGTGGTGACGGGTTGTCGTCATTATCGTCAACGGGTGAAGGCGAAGGGGGTTGGCTTGCAGGCTCATCAGGGGCCACTGCAGAGAGTAGACCGCCGATGTGGCGAGGAAGGTCTGCGCCAGCCTTGTTCTCGAGAGAGCTCACAGGCCGCTTAGGGGTGGGTTGGCCCTCGAGGAGGTCTGCGCCCTTGCGCTTGATGGGGGTGCGGGCAGCTTTAGACTTGTTTGTTTCCGAGGCCAGCTCTGGATGGAGGTGAGGATATGGAACTTCCACACCCCTGAAGATCTTCCGGTAGATGCCTTGCTCGGCAGCCTCCTCTGTGGTGATTGACTTGTAGTTCCAGGAGAGATCCGGTTTCTTCAGAGTGGTTAGGCACGAGCACAACCCTGAGCGGGGATCTGCGATATGGAAACTTACGTTTATTGAGTCCCTGGTCCTCTGCAGGTCCTCCAGTATGTCGAGGCGTCTGAGCTGGGCGTCGAAGTAATCCTCAAGGAGGTCATCCCAGCGGTTCTGAAAGGTGTGAGCTGGTGCGCCGGTGTGCAGGGAAATGCAGTGAGGGAATGAATGAAAAGACCATGATTAATTGATTGAGAGAGTGGAGGCTTACATGAAATGATTCGCCGGTGTAGACCTGTTTGGCGTCCCACTCGTGGTGTGCGGTTGCGGTGCTGAGCTGCAATTTTGCTTCAAGCTCCGACAGCCGACCTTGGAGTCGCTGGTCCAGGAAGCGGGTGATTTCGGCATACTGTTCGACCTCGTGGTGGGCGTCGAATTTGGACTTGAGCAGGTCAATATTCCGATCTGCAAGCTCCTCGAGAGCCGGTCTCATGGCGGCTGCCACGGTAGCATAAGCATTTTTCAGGTCGCGCTGACGCTCGTGAGCAGCTTGGGCGCGAGACGTCTCGTAGACCTTTTGGCGGCCCCGTCGCCCGGCTGTGGGTTTCCTGCCAGCGCGAGCAGAAGCAGCTCCTCTGGCAGAAGAGCCTCTGCCTCTGCCTCGACCTCTCTTGGTCGGGCTGGGTTGTTGAGGAGCAGGGTCACTCATGGTGCCATTCAAATGGTGAGGTTGTAAGTAAGTGCAGGGTGAGACGGGGGAAATCAGGACAGGGTGCAAGAATGGTGTGTCAGGAAATGCGAGAAACGGGGACCTGACGGGCAGCCGTGAGGACGGTGAGTCTGGGCTGCGATGTTTTCAGCGCCTTGGAGGACGGGCGAAATTTGGGCTGGCGATGTGTAGTTTCTGTGAGGAAGAAAGTGATGTGATGGCTGCCGGCTGGGCTGGTGGACGGATTGGCCGTGGGTGTGTGTTGGTCTAATCCGCCGGGCGGGATAATGACAGCAGAATGCAAAGATGGGCACAAGGCCGTGTCGATGAGATCAACAAAGGCGACTGGGCGACAAGAGGGCTTCAATAGAACGGCCGTACGCATGGACGGGCTGTTCGGGGCGACTGTGGTCAGGATATCTTGACTGATGCTGTCGCCATGTCAGTGTCAATGCCAAAGGGGATCCAATCCAATCCGCTACTGTCTGGTGGCTGCTGCTGGGCAAGAGGTACAAGGTACTTGCGGAGATTTTCGAACTCAGCACCTACTTTGCCGCTTTGGGTAACAAAAAAACCTGACTTCGACACCCTGGCGCTCCGGAATGAAACTGCAGACTGCCCTATGATCAGGAAACAATGGCTTTTCTTTCTTCTTGGGACCCTGTCTGGCTCATTATCAGATTTCTGAATTGCAATTGTTTCCCACGTCGGCAGCAGTGTCTGTGTTGGTTTTTGAGTGACTGGCTGCCGCAGCAGAGGCTCCTCCATCACCCAGAGCCAGTGCACTCCCCTAGTCCCTCTACTAGTTTGCCTCCCTACAGTAGTAGTAGTACTTTGGGTTCGTCCTTGGTCCCTTGCATCTGCCCAACTTTTTTCTAGAGAATACAGAATCTGCTTATATTTCACTGCTTTATTGGCCCGAATGAGTCGAACTCGCTGGGGAGGCAGGTCTACAACATCACGTCTGGCTGGTTCTGCCTCGAGGAGAGCTCGACCATCCCCGTCACGGGGCTCTTGGCGTCACAACAAAACCAACGCTGGCGGCAGCTCTTGCTCACCTCATCCTCCGGTTTTGTTCGTCTCTTTTTTCACTTTCATCCGCTGCTTATCTTCTGCCGGTGGAATCCACACTATCTGTGCACGGGATCTTTCTCTCCTCCTGCTGCTGCTGCTGCTGTCTCTGTTCGAGGAACTCATGCACCTCATGGTCACGGTGTCAGGGGAAACGCCCTCCCCGTGGCCAATTCTCCAACGGCAGTTCTCTGTGGGATACCCTCAGTTTGGGGTGGCTTCCAAGGTTCATCTGAACAGCAGTGCTGAGCCTCTAGATTTATATGGTATCGCATGGCTGCCTGTGGAATAATAATACTGATTGTTCCAGTTTGTATCCGGGGATCATCTGACTGCGAATCCCCATACTGTGGTATCTCCTTATTTACGGAGTCAGGGCATCTCGTCTCGCGTCGCATGCCGTAACGGTGGGGCTGTCACCAATTTATGGGGCTTCGGAACAGCCACAGCCATTTCTGATTCAGAATCTCCTATTTACATCGATGATATCTGTGAATATGTCTCCTTTTCCGCCTCAAATGAAGATTTGGCCTGCGTCTCGCTTTGTCTCCGTGTGAGTCCGGCTTCAAGCTCCTCCATTACGCTGGGAAAAACGGTCCGCCCTAGAACTGGTCATGTACCTGTATGGTTTGAAAGTATCGAGTACTTTGGCATGATTATGTCACCATTTGGCCGATTCTGGTTGGCTCATATCCCTGGGGCATCTATTTCTGGGGACCAGGGTCGACTAGCCTTCGAAAAGCGGGCTCGGCCGCGAGTGCTCATGAAGCTCATCAATGCAGGAGATCCATCCGGGGTCTAGTTAGGATTCTTTTAACTCACTCGCATGTCGCCAACACCACAGTCGTAAATCGTTCGTCTGTGGCTAGAAAACATGTCAAAAAAAAGGAAGATCGTGCCGCAGAAGCACAAGCCAGCCTCCCACAAGGCTCAAAACAAAGACAAGAAACCAGCCCACAAGACCGGAAAACCGGAAGCCAAGTCTGGCAGCAGCAACCCTAAAACTCATGCTCGGGATCTCGAGCCCACCATTCCTTTCTCGCCCGAAGACTCCATACTCCTCACTGGCGAGGGCGACCTCAGCTTCTCCAGGGCACTTGTGGAGCACCACTACTGTGAGAATGTCACGGCGACTGTGCTGGAGAGGGACCTCGAGGAACTCACTGCCAAGTATCCTCATGTGAACGAGAACGTGGAGCTCATCGAGGCTGAGGGAAGCAAGGTGGCGTATGGGGTCGACGCTAAGAAGATGGGACCGTGGGCTAAGAAGTCGGGCAAAGACTCGGTTGGCATCATGGACAGGATAAGTATGCCTCCCTGTGCCCTCGTCACTTCCAGGACAAACACCGCTAACCACCCCCTGCGCAGTTTTCAACTTCCCCCACGTGGGAGGCAAGAGCACAGATGTAAACCGTCAGGTACGGTATAACCAAGAACTGCTCGTCGAGTTCTTCAAGCGGGCGCTGCTCTCGCTGGCGCCGGGCGGGACCATCATCGTCACCCTGTTTGAAGGAGAGCCGTACACCCTCTGGAACGTCCGCGACCTGGCACGCCACTCGGGGCTGCAAGTCGAGCGCAGCTTCCGCTTCCAGGCCTCCGCGTATCCGGGGTACCATCACGCGAGGACGCTTGGTGTGGTCAAGAACAAGCAAGGAGACGTCGGCGGCGGCTGGAAGGGCGAGGACCGCGCTGCCCGGAGCTATGTCTTTGTGAGGAAGGACGAGGTGCCGAAGGCGATCTCCAAGAAGCGCAAGCGCTCGGGTGATGATGATGATAGCGACGATTCAGATTGAATGTGGGGCAACGCCAGTGTTGAGTTCAATCTCAGACCAGTCTGTGGATAGCCACATTGGCCAATCCGTGTCATCGCGTCGTCAATCGGTCAACCGGGATACGCTGGTCTGCAATAGAAAGCAGTCACTTAGCACTCTCGAGACGGAGAGCCTGCGATCGAGCTTGCAGAGGTAGCAGGAAGCTCGGAAGACGCAGACCGGGCAACCGGATTGAGTGCGTCAGCTATGAGATGTCTTCTCGACACTTTTAGTATGTGGCATGTGAGGCACGTGGCCCGCATCACACCGAGAATACAGTCACGCGTGTGCGAAGCAACACCCTGGGTGGCCATCTAATCCACGCCTCTGCTGTGACGCTCCAGGGCCCAGCTTCCTCAGAAAACGGGTCAATTAGATACGGCTAACAGCCAGTACGGAGAGAATACCTCTACCCGCAAAGGACTTCGCTGCGCGAAGCGTTAATTCTTCTACAACGGTGGATCAAGGCTCGACGGCGGCTTTTCAGGCCCATCATAGTATGGGTGTCCTGAAGGTTTGTCCCGAACATGGAGCCCATTGTTCACGGTCATGGAACGAATGATATAAGCTCAATTCCCAAATACTTGTTCTTCTTATATTGATACACACGGTTGACGTCCAGGCTAGACAGCTGCGAGAAACGTCGTGGACATTTCTCACAAACAAATCGCGGCCTGTGCATTCAAACTCGAACCACCACGATCACACTCCATGGACATCGTGTTACGTGTCCAGACCGAAGCAGCCGTCAGACTACATCTGGCCCTGTCATGGTGTCATCAACCGGCCAGACCTGATACAAGAAGTAGAAGAGGATAGCAGGCAGTACAAAGGCCCCGGGTGACACCAGGCTCCCCTTTTATATCTGCTCCGACCGGTCAAGCTCAGCTGAGCTCGGCCACGAGGGGTGCGCACGAACCCGGAGCCCGGCCAGGCGAGCGACTACCAAGCACAAGAGCAACATGGCTGCCGTTCCGCCCACGCCAACAGCCAGCCCGTGTCATACTGTGCCTCTCCGGGCGGCCGGCCGCTCTGGTCTGCACGTACCCGTAATTACACAGCACATGCAACACACCCCATCCCGTCTGCAACTAGATCCCCCTTTTCCAAAGCATACATCAGCGCCGGATATATCATAAGCGCAGGTGGACACACTGTGCTGGATACTTGCGAGATACAAGAGATCAAGGGGACGGGGTGGGTTGAGGGGCTTGTCAAGGACGGGCCCTCGAAGCCGTCGGCGTTCCTACATTCATGTCGTGATGCAGGTCGCCGGTCCTCCTCAAACTTCATTCCACTGTGCTACAGAATGCGGTATGAGGGACGTCTTGTCACCACTGGCATGCGCCTGGGTGTATCCTCGCCGTTGAGACAGCTTTCTTTTCGTATCGTCTCTTTCAGCTCTTCTACCACTCCTCGAGATGCTGTTCCATGGCTGTATCTTGAGGAAAGCGAGGAGTAGACAGAACTGGCGAGCCTGCATGGTTCTAACCCGGTGCGGATCTGATGAGGGGCGCCATCTGCTGCTGCTCTTCCTCCTTCGACCCCAAAGCGGTCATGATCACCCGGCCTTCTCGTTCCGACCTCCATGCTCCCCCATGCGATGCACTGATTGCGGATGCTTATGGGCGGTAGCGAACGCGCACACCCACCCACACATGAGCTGGGTGGCTCTCTGTTCGCTTGTCACTTCGTCGAAGGCCCGAAGCGGACATGAACCACCCGCGCCCACGCCTCGCGCTCCCGCACTGCGAGGAACATACATATGTGCAGTGCATAAATATGCACGCGCAGGACGACGGAATCGACATCCGATCGGTCCCCTCGCTGGAGATCTCCGCTCTTCCCACCCTCCCCATCCCCCACGGACCCAGGCTAAAATTGCCCTGCGCACAATACGATACATGTCACTCCTTCTCGTTTACTGGGGTGTGTGTGTGGGGGGGGGGGAGGCTCAAGAGCACATGGCCACGTGTGCCCCCTCCAACAGAGAGACAGACAGACAGACAGACAGGACCAATGCAAGGCGACGAGTCGATTCGAACCTCCCGCGCGCCGCCAGCAGCGCCTCCGCAGGCCCATCCTCGCCCTGCTCCGTGAAGACACCTCGACGGGTATGTACATATGACAGCTGCAAGGGACGGCTTAAAGGGCAGGTGGGCAAGCAGGCCTGCACGCGCACAGGTATTCGGCCGCGGGATTCGTCAGAATACCCTCGTACTCTGGCAATATTTGCTGCAGGATCTCTCTCTTCCCAACGCATGAGCGGGAGCGGGAGCGGGAACGGCGGCGGCGGCGCAGCACTTCCCCGGGCCCAGGGACGGGGTCTGGGAGATATGGCGGGAGGGATTTTGTCTTGTGACTTTCTCCGGGGGCGCATGAAAACGAAATTGAGGTTGCTTGCGCGAGCGAGCGCGCGCTCGGCCTGGCGACTGGCTCCCATGTAAGGGGTACACGCGTGGCGAAGCAGTTGGGCTGGTTGGTTTGTACCGGTGGTCTGGTCCGTCTGAGACGAAGCCTTGTGCGTCTGACTGCCTTGGTCGGGCTGGGTGTGTGTGTGCATGCTTCGAAACAAGCTGGACAAAGGACCGCCAGCTTGGGCATGAGACAAGACGGATAGGTATGACGGTGGCGGCAAGGGGAGCGTCATGGACTGGCTGGGCCAGGCCGGATAAGCAGGCAGCGACTTTGGGGCAGAAGGCCGTTCCTGATCACTTCTCATAATCATGCTCGCGTACAGCCCTGCGCCCCCGGGGTAGGCATGCTTGCCTGCTTATGTAGATGGGCGCACACGTTTCCACGTATCCCCTACGCGACGCGCCTGCGGAACCTGATCACGCCACTGCTGCGGTTCAGCACCTTGCCAGGTCCAGCTATTGAAATGGAGAGTGGTCCCTCGGCAGGTGGGAATGGAGACAGGGCCGTGGGCGTTGGTAATTCTTTCTGCTGTGTGGGAGGCATGTCGGATCATGAGGGAGACTGTGAGGTCCCATAGCACTAAGGGTTGTATTGCAAGGCCATGTAAGCAAGCTGGGCTGAGATACATGAACATCCAGCGGCTAGCAGAGCTAGGCTTCTCATCAGCTGTATATGACATGAGATGAGGCCCAGCAAGCCACAGTAAATAGAAGAAATGACATGGACCATCCAGCGGTCGCTCCAAGTGGTTGAATTCACATTTCACCCCCCCCCCTCCATCCCGGTGTTGAAACTCAGCCTTTCTCAAACCTCATGCATAGAAGGCGCCAAGCAAAGAATAAGGGCAGCCAGCAATTGTGTAAAGCAATCCCTGAAAAGCAACGCAAGAAAGACGGTGAAAACAAAGGCCCAAGATTTGTCGCTGGCGCCAGATGGGCTCCTTTATGCACGCACGTATGTACCGCGGTTGAACCAGAAGCCAATTATCCCCATCCCAAGAGAGATTCAAACGTTTGGACCGTCCCTAGTCTGGAATCGGCCTAGGTATTCCTTTCAAAGGGACACAACGCAGTGCTTTGGGACAATTGCTCAAGTCTAGTCGACAGGCTGATTTTCTGCCCTTCATCTGCCAAGAACACGGCCCAGAAGTGGATCGGTAGACGTAGTAGAAATGAACTCGAAATGCTGGCTTGGCTGGTGTAAATTAATGTTCTCCCTAGTAGCAATAGAAAAAGGACTGACACACGTAAGACCCGTCATTCTGTTCGAGCGCCCATGCCCCTACCATCCCGAGGTTTCCGTATGTTTTATCCTGTTGTGCTTCGTTTTCGATCTTGTAACCCTTGCGCTCTCCCTAATCTCTATAAACTCATCCACCGTAAGAACACCGCGTGTGCCTTTCTGATAGTAGGGCCAAAATAGCACGCGAACCAGCCCGACCTCGTCAGAGGGCCGTGCACACACGCGTATCCCTGACACACAGTCTCCGGGCTGGGAGGATGTTTGACCAGGCGCCCAGATGCGTCTCGTCATTTCGTCTCTCCCGCCCGAGATGCGTTGCGCAGATACGGTCTGGGGCGGATTATGCTCGTTCGAGTATTAATAATATCAATGATCGCCAAAAGATTGTTTTCCGCAAATGTTTGAGGCCCGAACAAATAAGGGAGAAGTAAGAAGCTGTCCTGTCGTTATCCAGCCGCTGGCTATACCATCTATTCCTGTAGAGGCGGAAGAAAACTTTTTGCAAAAAGCCGACGCGAATGTGTGATGATGGTCATGAGTGTCGCCGAATTGCGACTCAGATCAAACGAGGGCTGCGAAGCCAAGTGGTGGTGTAAGAGAAAATCACGTCAGCCGGCCCAAAGTGTCGAGTTGCCCCTCGGTCAAATAAATCCCCCTCCCTCCTCCGCAACTTCGTGTTCACGTGTTCCAGCGTTTGTTGTGGTTTTTGTTCCCAGCATACTCAAAACTGCTGCCTCCTTCATCGTGCAGCTGCCCTCGGCCCAGCGATTCAATCTTCAGGCTGGGCCCGGACAGACTCCTGGGGTCGTGCTGCTGTGGGAGATAATTTGGAAAGCTTTGTGTCGGATGAGAATGGACAGAGCCCTGTGGGACGCTGGCTGTCCGATAAATGCTCGCAGGACCAGTGTCGTAGGAGCCTCGCTGCATGTTATCGAAAGATGCTGCCTCGACATACTGGGGGGTCTGTGCAAGCGGTACAGGCTGCTGGTGGACGTAGGATCCTGATTGGTGTGCCTGCTGTTGCTGGTTATCAAAAGAGGAGTACATGGACGGCGTGGTCGGCGGATTCGTCGCCTGCCAGCTCGGGTACAAGCCGGATGCAGTTGCGCTGCCATATTCGGATGGCGAGGCATACAGAGACGGCCGCCGGCTTGAGGCGTGGGGATCCGGAAAGTTCTCCTGTAACGGCATTCCAGCCGCTTGCTGGATCGTGGATTGGTTGCCCATAGAACTGCCCTCCACGAAATTTGGCTGCCCGGAACTGAGGTCTGGCTGCATCATCGACGACTGGTGATGGTATTGATGGCCGCCTCGCACCGGAAGATCTCCCAAGAATGGTCCACCCTGCAGGTTACCAGCTGGACTCGGCTCACTACTGGGAGCCACCAGCAGAGCGTGATCTGCGGTCTTCGGAGTCGGATCGGTCGCCGATGCAGGGTTTTGGTCGGCGTCGTCGTCGTCCTTGGGCACGTCGTCCTCTTCATCGTCGGACTGATAATTATCGGGAACCTTGTCATCTGCCATGACCATGGCTTCATACTCGGCGTCTATAGATACTCATGTCAGCATCTCCAGGAAACTCGCAGCTTGAGTGTTTTGCGTACCGATCTCCCCGTTTTTGTAGCGCTCTTCGTAGCGAGCCACCTTGAAGATTTCCCTGAGATACGGCTTCTTTTTGGCGTTGTTGGGGTTCTCTACATCCCCAAAGAAACTCCCAAGTGCCTCAAAGGTCGCTTCCTCCAACTTGCTGACATTCAGCCCATGCTTCTGGATATCTTTGTGCTGCAGGTGGTTTGGCTCCGTGATCATGTGAAGAATATGGTTCAGGAGATAAACACGTTCTGTCTCATATCAGATCTCACGTCCACTGACAGTTGCAAGTCGAGGATGACCTACCAGGTTTGTAGAGGTGATCAGGCTCCTTGTGCCGTACCTTCTCGTCTCTCGATGTACCCCAAGGCTTCGGCCACCAGTCTGGGGCTTTTGCGTCTGCACCGGTGTACGGGTGGTTGGACTGCTTCTTCGGCGCGATCAATTTGACCCATGCCTTGGCAATTAACTTGCAAGCAGTCTGTTGTATGTTCTTGAACCTTTGGTCGCAAAACTTCCAGACCTCTTCCTTGTTGCCGACCCTGATTCCTTTCTTGGAGAGTACCACCTGGACTGCTGGTAGGTCGTCTTCCAATGTGACATCTCTCCTGCCAGACAAACCGCCTCTCTGCCTCTTCCGAGTCCTGTAACAGGTTTCGTCGTCGTAACCAAGCAGTCCCTGGGCGCGCCGCCGGTCATATTGTCGACGGCCACCATATGCGGAGCTCATGTGAGGTCGAGCTGGGTCTCCATGCGCAGGATAGCTCTCTTCGTATGAAGGACTCGGGGCTGAAGCAAGAAAACGTCAGCAAAATCGTGTGAACAACGTCGGAATGCGGTTGCGTACTTGGCATCACCCTCCCGGTTGTGTACCATTTCTGATACCCATCGAGGTCGATGTACTTTGACAGCACTTCGGAAGTCGCAGCTTCTTTTGGCCCGGTGAATCTCACCAGTTGTCCATCGTCTCTGATTCCTGCCATGATGAAATGCTTGAGTGGGATGTTGCAATATTCGTCAAGCATCGTGCAGATGTCCTAGGTACAGCATCAGTGTCCGTCTGCGGACTGGTATGTTTAATTTCTTACCATGGGAACCCTATGCTCGTATATGGGATCATTGGGAATTCGGGCTGGCATCCTGTCGGCCGGATGCCAAAGGCGCGACGATGGGTGGCTCGGCTGAACCATCTTCGCGAAATTTAGACGTGTGCTGCAAGCGAACGATCAAAAACCCAGATGCACACCGTGAATGTGACAGGGAAAGACACGTTTCACTCCGTGTTAATGGCCTTATATGTGATGTTAAGCAGCCACGCGTCTCAGAGGTAAGAGCAGCACGAGATATCCATAGACTGGGAGTTCGTCAGCAATGGCTTATCGTATTAGTGAGGCTGAAAGAAAGGCACGAGGACATGGGTTTGGTACAAGCCAGACCTTGACCGATTTCCTTTTTGCCTCTCTAATATTTGTTTACTAAGGTCCCAAAATTGACAGTGAGACAGGCGACAGCCAATACCAAAATGAGGACAGGATTGGGGAAGAAGTCTAGACTGGAGTCCGGATACAAATGAAAGAAATGAATGGCCCATGAAGAATTGTGACTGATCCCGACTGATTTGTCTGGCAAGGAAGCAGGCTTGGGTGGCGTGTATGGCTGATATATGTGCGAGGGTAGGCCTAGGGTAAGCAAGGTCAAGAAAAGCAGGCCGTACCTGAAGACAGCAACTGCCGATAGCCCTTGGTTGTCCCCTCGACAGACGGCAAATTTCCTGACAGCCAGCCAGGTCGAGTTCAAACCGCAGATCGCAGGCACAAGTCTTGCGTGTCTGTTGGAGCGGAAGCTTGCTGAAGCCGAGTGGGACGGGAAGCGGATATGCACCAAACTGACACCCCTGATGATGGCACGATCGACGGTATCGATCTTCTGCGTACTGCCTTACTGAGTGTGATTAAAGTGACAGAGGGAGGCCCATCGACAACAAAGACAAAATTGCTGGCCTGTGTCAGATCGGACCGTATTGCTGCGGCCAATTCCAGGATTGCTGGTCCTTGTACAGGCGCTTGAACAGACGGACCAACTCGCTGTGATCACTTTCCCAGGAGAAGTGGGCGTCACAGTCTTCTTTGTCTGCTGTACGGCTGTGAAACATCGGAAAGCTGCTCGCCACTTGCCCACAACGGCCTCCCAGCACAGGAATGACAGCGACGGTCCTGAGCGCAGAAGTCAAGGCGTTCGATCAAATACCCCAATGCCTCAGCTCTTCGTCGACGTGGACGCGGAGAAAAAAAGGTCCTGTCCTTCCGGGGACAAAGAGACTGACACGCGCAACAGACGGCGACAAGCCTGAGCTGAGTAAATGAGAGAATAGGTTTTGGAATAAGCTCGGAGAGGTCGGGCGAAGTATCGTGTCGCGCAAGAATCGAGTGGGACAGACAGAACTCGACTGCACCAAACCGCACAGCCCCGTTTAATGAGTTGTGAGGAAAAGAGATGAGCGGATTGTTTCTCCTGCCGTGTTTGGCAGCCCAATCAGTGTTCACCAGGGTGGCCTGGTGGTCGCGGCAGATGGCAGGCGGGTGGAGTCTCTGGGGCAAGGTACCAACAGACAATGTCGAGTAGTATAACCCAAGGTGAAGATGCAGTGAGATCGAGTCCGTAGGCGAGAAGTGGAAGCGGCAAGGTGGAAGGTCCTTGGTCAACTGTGCCTATGGTCGCTGCTCACCAACCGTGACCGGAGATCGAATAGCGCAGAAGTGGGATGGCGAGAAGAGATAGACCTGGACTGACGCCTGCGGCGGCAAGGGAGATGGGGATACGTTCCGTTGGCTGTGTTACCGAGAGGAGCGATCGAGCCCTGCTAGGTCCTGGTACTCTTCGGCGGACGGAGAGGAAGAAGGCGAAAGATGGACTAAAAAGCTGGGCTTGACTGCGAGGAAGGGAGTATGTAATGTAGGTCGAAAAGATTGCGAGTGCCACCATATGTACTGTACGTGTGATGGAGTGAGTCCCTTGTGGTTGGCAAGGATACTCAGATAAAACAGAAAAAGACATCCGCGGGCTACACAGACCCTTGTCCCATGCAGGAGACAGTGGGGATTCCACAGAGCCCAGTGCGTATTATGGGCCAGGAGACGGGTGCTGAATCTCAATCGTTGACCGGGGCAGAGGCCATGCTTCTATGGGATCGTAAAACCGGGGAACAGCTTCAGATGGATCTCGGCAAGGTCGGTCTACTGAACTGCGACGGGGGCGATGATCGGGGAAGAGCCGTGAAGGTGATGATGGTAAACTGGCTTGCTCTGCCAGGCAGGGTGCCGTACAAATTGGAAGTCTGCCAAACGGAAAGCCCTGGTTATAACGTCAATCAAGAACGGGTGTGATGACACCTTGTACCGTACTGTACGTGCTGGGGGAGAATGGAGGAGGTGGTCCAACAAGAGCCTGTGTTTGGGTGGGGAACACGGCGACTGGTCGAGGGTGTGGGAAGGGCTTTGCCTGATGCATGGCGGGCTGCAGCATGTACATAGTAGCTCGATGGGTATACAGCGCGCCCATATTGGCTGCAAGTCGCACAGTGACGAGAGGGGATCTAGCAGAGGGAGAAGAAAAAGCAAGACAATTGCTGATACTTGCGGGCCGGATAAGAAATTCCGGTTTGTGGAAGGCAAAAAACCGTGGAGGTCCATGTTCACTTCAGCTGCTTGCTCGACCTCCCGCCCTCGCGGCTCGCCCGTCGGTCAGCATGTCGAGAGATCAAGAAGGCTGATCTATCGAGGCCGATAAGGCGTATTGACATGTTGTCCTCACGCTTAACTCCCGGATTGCATACGGCACACCTCGACATCCTTGGGTGATAGCAGAGCCAGCACTGTCGCGCCTGCGGTCATACACTTAGAGTTGTCGGGGTACAAGACCAAGTCTGTGGTACATGAGTACATAGTCCTGAGCTTTGGAGGATAAGCAGGGTGGGAAGCAGCCAAGCCTGGCTGGTTGAGGATCTTGCTGCAGCCACCGCAGATGGCGAAAATGGGATTTTAGATGGCCCTTGTGCTCGTAGCAAAAGGCACAGGTAAGGGCCAGGCTTACGCAGGCTCCGGCGTCAGCTTCGGCATCGCACATCAGGGTCGACGGCGCAGCAGCTTTGTTTCCCACGCGTGTGAGAATACTCTAATAAGAGAGGCATCCCCTGGTGGGGAGCCATGGAATGTCTTCTCCCACCGTTGTGGTCGTACTGTGGTGGGCATGAAGTGGACCACCATCAGTCACCCCCCGATCCCAGCCAAGACAGCCCCGGAAGCGCTCGAAATGTGAGCTTTCACACTCGTGGCCGGGACCACTTTTGGCGGCCACCGGGTGAGATGCGCGACAGGTCTGGATAGCAGTCAAGAGCAGGACAGGGAGGCATTGCTAATGGACGTGAGCAATGGGGAGGGCTGAAGAAGGTCGAGTGAGAGCCGCACCAGAGAGAAGAGGTTTCCAGCAGCTGCTGGAAGCACCGGCGGAGTTGCGGCATTAGGCTGTGCCGCACAGGAGGAGCCAACATGCTAGAACAGTGGTGGAAGAGAGCAGGGTACAGCAGGATGGTTGTGGGCGAGACAGGCAGACCAGCCTGGCGAGGCGCCTGCGAGAGGCGCGAGGCCTTCACACGAGTTGGTGTGAAGGTGTGGTCAATGGTGCCCTGGCTCCGACAAGGGCCTGGTGTGAGACTCTGGGGACACGCTATGCCAAATTGGCAACGAGGCCTGTGCCAGTACCCAGAGCCCAGAGCCAGAATCCACACCTGCGCCCGGTGGGTCTTCTGTTGGAATGGGGGGCCGCGACCGGGACTAGGACAAGAACTGTCTGTCTGTCCTGTGAGTGTACTCCGTACTGCGCTGTAGGAGCACAGTAGGGCCCTGCGGAAACGGTCGGTCCTATCGCGACCAGACTGTAGTAATCCAGCTCCACCACTGGCATGTGTGCGGCAGCCTGTACAGTCGTGGCGATGAAGGCGGTTGAAGGTGCCTTGGCAGACGCCGGCCAGAGAGAGAGAGAAGGGGGGGGGGGAGACAGAGAGCGACGAGATTGGGAGACGGAGAGAGTCAGCCAAGTTGGACCAGTTGGATTGTGCGTGTAGACAGCGTGCCTGTACTCACTCACCTACTAAGTACGCAGTACACGGTGTTCTGGACCACCCAGGTACTGTACTGTGCAGTGCAATAGGCCAGATCTCGGGGTGTAGACAGGATGCTGTAGAGGCCGGATTTGTGGATTTATTCTCCTGTGCATTGATGGATTGGAGTGAGTGTGCAGCTGGCCCAGCCCAGCCAGCCCATGGGCACGAAATCCGAAGGGTGCTGCTGGGCTCTAGCAGCACATACAGCAATTAAACCCGCCCCTCAGTTCCCACCAACTCGGGAAGCTCCACCGTCAGTTCCATCCCTGCTCCCAGAACGGGCGCCAGTCGGCAGGATTACGTCAGGGCCCCCCTGTCGCCTGTCCCTCAGTCGTGCCTGCAGTCTGCAGTCTGGAAGTCAGAGGTCTGCCCTGCAGTCTGCAGTCCGCCTGCCTGCCTGCCTGCCTGCCTGCCCCTCTCACCTCATCTTCTTCTGATCCGCTTCCATCCCAGGCCGCTCTCGCTGCCCACGGCGGCTACTTCCTTCCCTTGCGGGTCTGGGGACTACGTGACGAGTCAAATAGAATCTTGGGACTCGACGATCCCTCCGAGGCAGCTCGACTGGTCTTGTCTTCTTTCTTGACTTGACTTGACTTGACTTGACTTGACGTGACTTGAATTGGCCTCAGCTGTGGTTTGAGATGGCGTGTAATACACATCAGCAACATGGATTGAAGAACAAAACTGCACGCAGGCACGGCACGGCACAGTCTCGAATGATTCACACGCGGGCAAGCTAAGCCTCCCTCCCCTCCACTTCGCAGCAGAGCACCCCGTGGTACATGTGTACAGGTTCAGCTAGCTGTGTGTACGTCCGGCCAAACCTGCCTGCCCGCCTGCCTGCCTGCCTGCGCACACTCATGAGCATCACCACCACCAACCAACATCATCACCACCCAACTGTTCAGACAGCCGCGCCACGCTGCCCCTCTCCGTCGGCCCATGTCCTTCGTTCGGCAAGCCGGGGACCGCTTCTCCTGCGAAGTACTGTACTAGCATTTTTTGGCCATCCCCACCAGCCCTAGAAACCAAGGCGACACTCCACCGTCGGATGCCCCCCACATTCATGGATGCGGCCCTCCTCGGCGGTTGCCTTCCTTCGCAAGAAAAACCCGTTTGTAAGAGTGGGTCGGCGCGTTTGGGTTTTTGATCTCGATCTCCCTGCCTCTACGATTCAGACGGGAGACATTTGATCAGTCACAACGCCGGCGTGATGCAAAGGATGTTGCCGCCGCCCCCCGCAGTAGTGACCGCCTGCTGGGAATACCTTCCGTCATCAATAAAAATCCAGGGCCGAGACAACGGCATCTAGTCCACCAGGTAATAAAAGCATCACCGCAGCATTGCAGCAGCGGCATTCCAGCTGTTGACTCGCCCACGGTACAGTATGCCGCCAAGCTAGGCGGACGGGATCAGCCTCGGAACGAACCAAAGAAGAAATCCAAATTGCCAGCCCAGGCCCATCAGGGGGACACAGGCGCCCGGCGCCATATCGGAAGCTGCTCCCTAGCGAGAACCGTACAGTAACAGCACAGTGATCCTTGAAGATCCGGGCCCGTGGACCGCAGCTCGCCCGCTGTTGCGATCTCTTCCCTAGCCCTGCAGTGGCGGGACGGCGCGATACTACACACTGTAGTAGTGGGCCTCATGTTCGTGCGGCCCTCGTCCCGAGTGGTCACCTGTTCGCTTACTGCACGTTCTGGGCCATCCTCGGCAGACAAAGAAGCAAGCGTGCCCGTATCCTACTTGGCAACCTCTATTTCTTCATGCCAGCAGAACAGAGCCGACTGATGGCCGCTGAAGTAGGGTGGCACGACCCCCCACCCGCAACAGCAGCCGCGTGTGGGAGTTCGGGGGGAGGGGGCGGTGTCGAGCAGTTCTGGCACTGTAAATCCATCAATCTTGTGGGCACCTCTGGGAACTTGGTAGGCAGCGCCGTCCCTGTTTGGGACACACCAACCGTCTTATATGCATCACGATATGGAAGTACTGGGCATGATCTGCCGGATCGGCACCAGTGCGTCTCCCGGGGCAGGTCAACTTCCACTTCCTAACTAGCCCCGGTCGTTCGTCCGATTCTTCCAATTAGCACCGGCGCAATCCCAGCGTGACCCTCGGGTTCACGCGGGCACAGTGACCATACCACAGCATGAGGGGCGGTTTCTACTTTCGCAGCACCGCTTCGTCTGCGAGGCGTGTCTTGTGGCTTGGGGTAGCCCCAACCTCCCTCACCGACGATGCTGCCATACCAGCCCTTTAATTTTCTTTTTACTTTACCTCGCAGTTTCGCAGGCGGCAGCATGTTGTTATGTTATTATCGGGCGGGAGGCTTGAAGGATCCCGAGTTGGTCGTGTTCATGTGCAGGGCTGATGTGTTCCAGATCGAACTCCGTATCTCAAGCTGAGACCCGAGTCTTGATCTGAGTCTCTGCTACCCGATCGACTTCATCGCTACACCCGTCTCGATTCGGCGGCTCTTCCAGATTTCGAAGCCCGATCAAGTTTGCCAGTCACAGCACCAGCGCGTAGATTTCGACTTTGCATTGTATACGGCGTCATCGTCCACGCCTGGCGAATGTTTCAGCTGCCTCATTCAATTAACATCGATCTACCCGATGGTCACTTACAGTTGAGCAGCATACTTTAGGTACTGGACGTGGCTACCACTTTTGGCCTTCAGGCGTAGCAGACGAGTACATCTCGAGGCGTATCAATGGCTCTGTCCTCGACTACGGAAAGGTCTATGACTTCTACTTGCCGGACCAGCAAAAAATACCTTCAGCGTGCAGCACTGGCCTCAGATCAGAGTAGATCTCATAATTCGGGAGCTACCGATATCATTCTTACCTGTCGAATTTTTTTGGAACCTCACTGCGCTCACGTTGGTGTTTCAGCCCTCCTCAGACCGCACCAACGCGGGCCTTCACCGGTCTCGATAGCCTCTTGTTGCCGGACAGCCGCCTTGCAAGGGCACTTCGAAAAGGGTGTGCGTGCCTCGCTCATCATGTGGCCACCATTACCTGTTGATGGGTGCACCATTGTACCGGGTCTGCTGCGAACCCTGGTTCCCCATGGTGGAGTGCCGGACTGGAGAAATGATGAATCTGTGGCTTTCAAATCTGAATTATCCCGATCCATCGTTTCCTTAGAGCCGGGCCGACTTCTAAAGATACTGTACCAAAACTCGGACGTACCCTCGCCCTCCCCACCACTTCAGGCACGTGAAGATGGTGATAGTGGCTTGCTGCTTGGCCTATGTTGGTGAACTCGAACATGCGAGCGAGCCCTTCTTGTCAACGTGTTGGAGTGCGTCATTTCGGATCCGTGAGTTCGGGTTCGTTGTGCAGATGGCCCAAGTGCACGACACCTACCAGCGATGGCAGGTATTCTTGGCTCAGAGCTGACATTCTCGACTGTCTCATGTGCACCAAGTGCCAGAACTCGGCCGATACTGTACAAACGTTGCGTCCTGGCTTCCAAGCATCGAAGCAGAGCCGCGGACACTGCTACAAGCACCTACCTACTCTTCGGCAAGTTTGTCTCCCCTTTTCCATCTCGCATGAGGAAGTCGATGGGCTCATACGAGGTCTGCTCCTGGCCCAGTCCCAATCAAACCCTAGCGCGCTGGGAGGCTCCAGCGATGATGATCAGCCATTGCTTCCGGAAATTGGCTAAGTCCAATAATGGCGTGATACACCACGTCGCGTGGCTTGGTCTCCATCCTATTGTTACTCTGGTTTGCCGGCTCGGTAGAGATTCCGCCATCCGAGAGACGATACTGCAAGAGCCACGCCCCCGCGGAGCCTACAGGGCCCAAGGCAGCTCAACGGCCCACAAGCTAGTGAAGGGTACATCGTGGAGGCTTGCATACCACAGTACACGTGTAGTAACTTGCGCCGTGCTGCCATGATGTCCGCTCATGTTGGTGATCGTCGGTGTGAAAGGCTCACAGAGTCAAGGACAGTCATCCTGGATGGGGCTCAAGGGTACAGGAGAGTCACAGGGCGGTCGTGGCCCCACATTTCCTGTCAAGAGCGGGAAGCATGGACAGAGTCAAGGAACAGGGGTTCACATAAGCTCACCGACGTTCGAGGCTAATCCTCTCGTCCCGACAACACCTCTTGACGACACCATGAATACGCTGTCACTGAGACCATGGGACCCTCTCAAACCCCAGCAACCCTCAGCGAGAGCACTGGTTCATCTCAGGTCAAGTCTGCTCCGCCAGCCCCGGACCTGACTCGAGGTGGAGCTGGCCTGGACCTCCTATGTGGTCTGTTCGCACAATATTGCACCGCGTCGCAAGCACAGAAAGCACAAGCAACAGCGGAAGCCAGTCTGACCCTCCAGCAGCCGGCTGCCGTTTTTGGCGATAGTGGTCCACCCACCCACTGCCGGGATTGCGCTGGAAGCATGGTTTCGTCACGAACCACACAGCTCGCGATGTAACTCCCGCCCACCCTGCTGTCACGACCAACGGCCCAAAATTGATGGGTCAAATGCAGGTGCACCCAGCTATGCTGTGTTCCTCTCAGGATTGTGCATCACTGGTTGGGATAGGCCGGAGTGTCGCGAGCCAGCATTGAATGCCACTATGATACGACACATGTAAACTGCATCGCATTCGGCGGGGATGCAGCACACCCACACCAAGGTGAGTCTGAGGCACAGCGTACCGCTGGGCAAATTCGTCCCATGGTGGGACGCTACACCAGAAATTTCCCGCGTGCATTTGGACAATTGGACCACGGGCGCACACCAAGTGACGATTTCTCGATATCCTGACAGCAGAGACCACCCGAATGGCACCTAATCTGCTTGACACAATTTTGTCCTCGAAGTCCTGGATGACAGCCCCAGACCCGGAGACCACTGATCATGCTGATAGCACGTGGTCCAGTCCCTTAGTAACGACAATTGGACCGAGGGGTTCCCTGGAAAGTGGGAGAAATGCTCCAGCCTTTGTCAAGAACGACCAATTACGCATCTACCAAGGGCATCATTCAAGGCCCAGCCAGGATCAGGATCAATTCAGCGACTCAAATGGAGACCCGCTGTCAATGCCGCAGCAGTGTCCCGAGAATACGACAATGCTGTGGCCTGTCTGCCTGCCGGGCACAGTTCGACATCGGGCATGAGAAGATGGACTGTCGCGACGGCCGCGTCCTGATCTAGCGCCAAGACAATGGCGGTCTCTGCCATAACTCTTTCGCCAAATACAGAAGGGCTGTCGGGCGGTGAGGCCCCTATTCCCGTCTTCACCTTGCACGGCTCATGGGACCCCAACAAGCCGTGGTCCTCGATGGAGCCTGGAGACCTGGCGCCTGTGCTGCTACCGTAATCTAGGGCAAGACGCCACAGAGGCCTCTGAATACTGCAGCCCAAGCTGGCTTGCGGGCAGCCGTTACTACCCACTTGATCCAACGTGGGCTTGCAAATACAGACGTTGCATCAAAGACCCTGGGGAAATCTTCAACCACCGTACCACTTCCCGTACCAGCTGCTAACAGCATTACTCATCCTGCTGTGTTCAATACCTTGTTTTTCACGGGAGATGCAATCAATGCAACAGGTAAAGAGAGCCAGAAGGTCTTTCTGCATGCCACGCCAAGTCAACAGCCATAACCCCGTTTTGAAACCTTGTGCAGCCAACCCCCCCCCCTCGTCATGCATGATTGCAGTATCGACGGCATGCACAGTCCGGAGATCGGCGCGAGAAACACATGCTGTGACACGCGACTAAGTGAATCCAGCCGTGTTCGCTGGCAATGTCGATGGTCAGCTGGAGCTCCAATGGTTCCCGCCGTGCTCGCGATTTCGGGGGTGTCAGCACATGCCTGTTCCCACCATCGAGGCTGCCGGTTCAGCCATTGTGTACAGGTGTCAGGCAGAAGAACGACCCCCACTTGTGCGACGGGCGGACCATTAGGTATCATGAGCGACTACCGCTCATTGCTACCTATCGCCCGCATTCTTGTCTGGTGCAATCAATCTTCGCGGCTTTTGTGCGCCCCATGTCGCCGCTCAGTCCTGCTCGCCAGCTCATGCCTCGCCCTCTCGATCCGGGACCGCGAGGAACCTCCATTAAGTCCTGGAAAGCTGCGCGGATCGCAGTAGAGACCTGCTGCACAGATTTACGTGCGTGGGATGGAAACTCCCTGCGGAAAGGACCCTATCGCATGTCCTTGACGTCTCTGAAATATCTCACGTACTCCGGTACAGTACACACCAGCAACACGGAGTGACTCACGTACCATTCGATTCTACAGGTACATATTACCAAGGGGAGGTGCACGCTCGCGGTAGTATTCGTGCAGATCCGCCTCCCACAGAAGCGTTGAATATCTCGTGGGATTCTTTTTGAACTCTTCGTTTAAAGTTGCCTCGTACCTGTGGACCGCCGTTGATCCTTCTGGCCTTTTTTGTGGGCGGTTCAGCTCTCCGCGGCAATGCTAATAAGGGCATTGGCTCGGTTGACTTTCTGGATTGATGCCCTAGATGTGACTTGGTATTTTCCTCTGCCTTGCGTTGTCTGACTCTCCTTCCCTGCCTCCTACGGTCTTTCATGGGGCATGGAGCCTTTGATGGCGATTCACAGGCCGCGAGTCGGAATGTGGGTAAAAGGTCTGACCACCGTGCCGCCCTTGTCACATTTGTGTGCTACGCAGCGCAAGGATGAAGTCGGAGAAAGGCGTGGTTTCACCGGACGGCAGTTATTGCTCCAGTGCTGATAACCTCAACAGGACGCGCGACTATGTCTGAACTTGCGTCGAATCAATTACCTGGCCAAGACCAAGCGAAGAGATGACAAGCTCAACTCGCATCGCCTCAACGTACAGTACGTAGCTATGGCGTGCTGTGACTTCATCATGATCCGGGCGGAACACGGAGACGATCCCCGCCGCAAGAAATTAGACTGCCGGTACCAGCCCAGAAACAACCAAATAAAACCACGAAGCTCCGCCATCCTGGCATGCTGAGGAGATACATAGTACCAAGAGGCGGAGGACCCCTCTCTCTCTCGGGCCCCTCCTGTGCATTTCCGAGAGGTGGATCTCTGCTGTCAGAAAGGAGCTGTGCCGCACGCCCATGATCCAGGGAATTCGACCCCCTCCCCTTGGGGGGTTCATTTTCCCAACGGGCGTCCGGGATTTCGACTGCGCGGGAGCGACCCCCCGGTCTCCCGCGTTGCCTGGCTGGTGGTGTGCGAAAGAGAAGGAACTTCCTTTTCCCAGGCGAAGAGCCCGCGACATCCAGCCATGCGACTAGCTCACCGTCTCCCGTGTGTGAAATAAGCCACAGAGTATTAGGGAGATTGGGCTGTATCTCGGAGACTACGAAAAAGAAAGAAAACACAAAACAAAAAAAAAGAAAAATGATTGTCCCGGGGCGCTGAGACTACAGATCCCCAGCGAGATCTCGCCCACCCCCAAATCGCTCCCCGGGGTTTGGGACGGGAGGGATCTAGGGGCCAAGCAGCAGCCAAAGCAAAGCACAGTCAGTCATTCGGAAGCAACTCCATCCGCATGTTCCGACACTTGCTTCTTCTGCTTTTTCCCCCATGGGACGGAGGAGAGGGAGGGACGGGATCGCGGTGTGTGGACGCGCATCTTCACCCTTTGTTTCTGGTTATTTTGCTTTTCTTTTCATCTTTTTTCCTTTTTGTCACTCCTTCTTCCCCAGTAAGCAAGCCACCGCTTACGCACGCAGACACTCTCTCGGTGCTGGTGCGGTTACACAGCGTCCCTAGTAGGTCACTGGAGAAGTCTCATCCTTCATTCTTCTCCCCTTCCCGGGGCTCCATCTCGCCTATCATGTCTGGAATCCACACACCGACGGAAACCCGTGGTAGAGGGGGGCGCCCGACTGCCCCATCGGGGGATCTGGTGGTAAGAACTATGTACAACCAACAGCATCGACGAGACACTCGTCTTACCGTCCCCTCCCGACGCCACCAACACACACACACACACACACACACACACAATCAGCCCCGGGGGGAAGGCAACCACCACACCACACCACACCACACACACACACACATACACACACACACCGAAATGCCTGCCGAGATTTGTGTGAATTCCCATCCGAGATCTGAGATGGCTCTTGTTTGGAACTTTTATATGGTCAGAGCAGGCTGTACCTGTGTAACTACATGAGATTCCCTCCCCCCCAAAAAACACAAATGCTTTGACCCGCTGCCTGCCGGTTTCATGCATGCTTCGCTCACACTTTTGCCCTGCCATAAATGCCAGTAAAAAAGACCACGACACCACCAACACCACTACCATTCGCACAGGCCTAGGCCCGAGGCGATAGCACTCTATCTGGGTTCACAACCGCACGTAAATACACACACTACACACTACACACACACACACACATAGCACATGACCGCCCCTCCTCACTCCCCATCCTTGTCCAGCCCGGCCTGCTTGACCAGCGAGTAGAAGACGCCCCTCCGGGCGACGAGGTCCGCGGGCGTGCCGAACTCGGCGACCTCGCCCTTGTCGAGGACGACGACCCTGTCGCTGTCGAGGATGGTGTTGATGCGGTGCGCGACGGTGATGATGGTGCGGTTCGCAAAGAGCGGGCTGCGCAGCGTCTGCTGCAGCATCGCGTCCGTCTCGACGTCCACCGCCGCCGTCGCCTCGTCCAGGATCAGGATGTTGGACGGCGTGAGCATCGCGCGCGCGAGGGACACGAGCTGCCGCTGGCCTTGTGAGAGGTTCGAGCCTGTGTGAGAGCGCGGGGGCGCCGGTGGTCAGCCATCATCATCGTCATCGCCGTCATCATACCATTATCGTTGTCATCACGTCGTTTATTTTCCCCCAAGGCAGTGAGTGTGTGTTTGATTTCCGCGTGAGTTTTTCCGCTTGGGTTACTCAAGCATTGGGGACGATGATGTAAGACGCGAGGCGGGGGGGAGAAGGGGGAAGGGAGGGATGGAGGCGAAATGGAGCGGGTTGGATCTCCCGAGCACACATCGTCGGCTAAAGAATTTGAGGTGGTGGTGGTGAGACGTTGCCGGCTGTAATACGAGCCAGATCGAGCATGTCCAACCAGGTCCCCAATGTGCGTACGACGGGGTCTTGTCCAGGCAGGACGTGTGCGACCAGAACGTGTGCCACGTGAGGTGTGCAAGGTATAGCGGATAGCGCGTTGGATGTGGCTCGAGTCGAGAGGAAAATCGAAGGGGGCAAGGAGCCTAGAACTTGTGTGGATGGCCACGAGACCAGATTTTCCTGCATGTAATGGAGATCATGCAGGCACTTCTCTTTTCGGATCACGAGGAGAGCTGTAGATGAGAGATGACGGCGATTGCCAGCCAGCCACCCGCCCAGAGAGGCTCACGCTCGACGAGACCCTCGGGCTTGGGGCTCGCTCCCCGCCCAGTGCGTGCTCGGATGTGCCAAAATGGGGCGGGAGACCCAGACCGCTGTTACAAGTGATGATGCTGTGCGAGGCATGGTGCACGAAAGGGCCGAAGGAAAGCGAAGGAGAAAGGTCTAGCTGTATGGCCTGTGGACTCACCTGCTTCCTGTATCCGTGCTTCGAGGCCACCGTCCATCTGGCTAACGTGTGCCTTGAGCCGGGCGTGCTGGCAGTGAAACGGTGTCAGTAAAAGTGGGATCGTACAGCCTAGCAGACCGAGGGCGCCACCGCATAAACGTTTTCTGCCATGTGGCAGGGCGATTGGAGAGAAATCGGCTCCTGTGTAACGGGCTTACCTCGAGAACGCTCCACAGCTCGGTATCCTGCAGCATCTGAATCAGTACTCATGATCTCATTGCCCGGAAGAGGCTTGAAAAGTGTCAATCATGTCGGGGGGCTTGGTGGTGGCAGTTCCCAATTTGTTCATGGAGGTGGGACGAGTTCGCCCTTCTGGGCATTGGGGGACGCCAGAGGAGAAGGGGGGTGGGTGACTTACATCATGTACATGACCAGGGTCCAGATTGTCCCTGACCGTCCCTTCGAAGAGGGCAGCATCTTGAGGTATTATCGCCAAGCGGCGGCGTAGGTCCAATAGACCGATGCTGGACGTGTTCAGGTCGTCGATCGATATGTTGCCGCTGGCCGCCTCGATGATGCGGAACAAGGCAAGCGTCAGGCTGGACTTTCCAGCCCCCGTGCGACCCACAACACCTATCTTCTCATGCGACTTGATATCTAGCTTGATGTTCTTGAGAACAAGGTCCAAGCCCTCGCGGTACCTCGCACTGTAGTTGTTGAAGGAGATGGTGCCGGAGGCGGGCCAGGCAGCAGGCGGCCGCTTCTGAGGGTTGATCTCGGGTGCCTCGCTGGGGAGTCTGGCGTACTCGAGCACTCGCTCCACAGACACGATGTTAGTCTCCACCTCGACGGTCTGGCGCACAATCCAGTTGAGCGAGGTCGTAATCTGCAGTGCATATGACATGGCCAGACCGACCGCGCCGGGGCTTAGCCCGCTGTGGCTCGCGACGGAGAGGATCGAGAATCCTGCGGCTGCGAGGATGACCACGGCGCCGATGAACTCGAGGCGGATAGCCAACCATCTGTTGGCGCTGATGGATGGGAAGAAGGCCTTGAGATTAGAGTCCACCCGCCACTCGTTCTCACGCTCGAACCGCGGCTGCTGACGGTAGGCCCGAATTGTGGAGATGCCGCCCAGTGACTCTTGGAAGTGAGCGTAAATCGGGCTGCGGCTGACACTGTCCAGCCGCTTGAGCTCCCGAGAGGTCCTCAGGTAGTACTTCTGGATCCAGAGGTACATGGCCGTCATCGGGAGAATCACGGCAATGAAAGCGGGTGTCGTGAAAGACACAACAGCCAGCGTGAAACCTGACTTGGCCACGTTCACGAACAGCATGTTGAAGGTCCTTGCTAGAACCTCGTCCACACGATAGATGTCAGACGAGAATCTGTTCAGGATCCGGCCCGCGGGCGTCGTGTCGAAGAAGGACATGGGGCTCCTGAAGATGGCCTTTGCCATGCGTTCATGCAGTTTTCGTGAGGCCTCGATGGAGCAGAAGATCCACAGAATCAAGGTCTGGACAACCGTCAGACTGGAAGAGCCAATCCCGAAGGCGAAGTAGATGCCGATATATTTTCCAACATCGTCGTTCGCACCAACACGAGAGTTGGTTTCCGCCCAGTCCTTCAGCCAGAAGTTGCCCGCGATCTGAGCGGTCTGGGCGGCCAGCAACGCGATCAAGTACACACAGACAGCGAAGGGGTCATTCATCTTTGCGTATTCGCCGTAGACGGACCACTTGACCTTGCCTTGCTCACTGTGTTCCTTCGCCTGCCGGGTCTTGCTCGGTGCGGCCTCCTCGTCGGTCAGCTTGCCCCGGGGACCTCGGAAACTGGCAGTGCTCGCCCTTCTCAGGGTGGCCATGCTGTCGGAACGCCCATTTGATTTACCCTGACGTGGGCCAGGGCGGATAGCCTGGAGAGTTGCAAGCCCTTCTTGTGCCTCTTCCATTTCGTCTTTCTCGCGCTCGTCCTCGATCGAGGAAATCTCGCTATCGAACGACCCATTACCAGGGCTGTCGGCGCTGGCTGGTCCCGGAGTTGAGGGGCCCGAGTCTTGACCAGCGGACTTGTAGATATCCGCAACGAGGCCGCGCATGGCTACCAGCTGCTGCAGAGTCCCTTGCTCGACAATGCTGCCTTCTCGCAGCATGACAATGTAGTCGGCCTCGGCCAGTACGGGAATTGCGTTGGTAGCCAAGACACGAGTCTTCGAAGCCAGCAGGCCCTTGGGGCCGAGGACATTATCGATGATATGACGCCCAACGTGAGCGTCTACCGCAGAGAGAACATCGTCCAAGAGGTACACATCAGACCGCGCGTACACAGCGCGGGCCAGAGCGACACGCGCCTTTTGTCCGCCGGAGAGAGAAATGCCTCGCTCCCCGACAACTGTCTCATCTCCGTCCGGAAGGACGGTGAAGTCATCAAGCAGCGCGCATGCCTTGACTGTCTTCTCGTAGAAGTTCGAGTCGTACCGGTAACCAAAGACGATGTTCTCTTTGACCGTGGCATTCATGATCCAAGGGGTCTGGGCCACGTACGCGACTGCGCCGTGGACCGTGACATTGCCCTTGACCTTGTACAGGTCCCCTATCAGGCTCTGCAGGAACGACGACTTGCCGCTTCCTACCCTGCCCACAACGCAGGACAGTTCTCCCTTGCTAGCGGAGAATGTGATGTCCTGGAGGGCGTTCTTGTTCTCGTTGTGGCGGTCCCACGAGAAGGTGCCATCCTTGACTGAGATGGTCTCCTCGCCGGGGTCTTCAACGGCTGGCTTCCAGGTGATAGCATCAGGTTGCAGCTCTTCCGCGGTCAGGTAAGCAGTCAATCGGCCGACTGCTACAGTAGCCTCCACAATTGATGATATCACCATGGGGAAGACTGCAAGAGGGAAAGACAGAAGGTTGAAGAGCGCCAGAGCCGGGAAGACAATATCCGTCGTCAGAGGCTCCTTGTGAGTGAGCACGAACACTGTGAACGTGATACACGACACGAGGAAAGGAGTAGTGCTCCAAGTGAAGTTGGCAACTGCCTGCGCGGCTCCTATCTTGCGAAGGGTCTTCAACTCCTGCTCGTTCCGCACATAGTTGAGCTTGTTCATAAAGGCAGCTCCCCAGCTGTACAGCTTGATGGACTTCATCATCGCCACTATCTCGGCAATCAAACGGCTTCTGGTATCCTTGTTCTTCATCTGCTCCTTCTGCAACGTCTTCATGAAGCGAGCCACAATGCCGTTCAGGGGCACCATTGCGAGCATGACACCCACACCAGCCATCATCGACCAGCCCACCAGTTGATACAGCGAGATCATGCAGATGGTGATCTGGAACGGGGCAGACCACACCTGCTGGGCGAATTGCGCCAGGTCCTGCAAACGTTGCGCGTCCACCGCCATGTAGTTCACGATGTCGCCTGTCGACTTGGCCGCGCGGCCTTCGTTAGATAGCTTCAGGGCCTTCCGGTAGATCGAAGAGGTCAGACCGGCCTTGATCCGCATGCCCGTGACGAAAGTGCCCTGGAAGTACTGGTGGATCATGCTGGTCTGGAACACAGCGACAGCAAACATGGCTATTGCGATCGAGGCACCCTTGATCACAGGCTCCGGTTCCTTGCCCTCGCCGTACGAGGCGACGAAAGCGATGAGGAATCTCAGCAGCTGCGGCTGAACAAACGCCGAGATGTCGTTCATCATCTTGAACACACCGGCGAGCGCATATGGGCCGCCATACGCATGAAACAGCGCGATCCATAGTGACGGGCGCTCGCGGTGCTGCAGCTGGTGCTTCCACGCCGTCTCGAAGGCCGACCCCGTCGCCTTGCTGGTATCGCTCTTCTGCAGCCCCCACAGGTCGTCCTCGGTGAGGTAGTTCTCGTAGCCGAATTTCATGAGTGGCGTCATCCACGAGAAAGTGAGCCGCGAGAAAATTGTCGCATACTCAGCTGGGCACTCCTCCTCGTCGACGAGGGCCTCGTACTGATCGCTCCGCTTAGGCCACTGCCACTCCACAAGAAATGCGACCACCGAGACCCCAAAGCCCACGCAGTAGGTCACAAAGTATGCCTGGTTCGAGGCGTAGATCTGCTGGGAGATGAGGGATCGCAGCTTGACGGCAAGAGCTATGAGCAGGAACAGCCAGTAGAAGAGGACGACCCCGTTCGCGTTCCGCAGCCTCGCGTGTTCGAGCCATTGTATCGAGAATATGACGGCAAGGGAGGCTATGGTGAGGGCTGTCGTCCACACCCTGAAGTCTCCAAACCATATATTAGGGTAGTTGATAATCTGGATGACGAGCTGGGCGGTGAAGTCGGCGATGACGAGGGCTAGTAGACTCTGTCGTGCGCACGCAAAATTGTTAGCCAAGCTTCTTTCTCTTTCTTTTCTCTCCACCAGGCAGACAGAGACAATGCAAAGCCAGCCAAAGCGCATTGCGCTCGCATCCGTACCTGTTTGGTCCAAAAGTGCCACCCCTTGACCACCTCGGCCGGCTTCCTCATGCAGCAGCCACACCACGGCCAGCAGCCCGAGGACGAGGCCGAACAGGGCGACGGAGGCGACCCAGACGTCGAGGAAGCAGGGCGTGAAGTCGTAGCGGAAGGGGCTCAGGGGGCCCCAGCCCTCCTCGTTACCGCATAGCGGCTGCTTGAAGTCCTCGCCGGCGGTGAGGTAGCCCCGCCCGAGCTCGAGGCGCTGCGGCCGGTAGCCGGTGAAGGAGCCCGAGGATGCGAGGAGGGCGGCAGCCTGCTGGGACGAGGGGTCGTCGTCGCCGCCGAGAACGAACTGCATCTCCGAAGGGGGTGTGGTGGTTCTCGGTCGTTTGCGCAATTGTCACTCGCGGTCTGAGGACATGCTACGGAGCGCTGTGCCGTTCGTTGGTGGGACCGAGGCGCTTTTGGTGTGTCTACAGTCGCAGGTCTTGTCTTGCCAGACTCGGTGGTGTAGGACGGCAACGTGCCCAGAGACAAGGAGAGAACAGAATGAAAAAAGGTTAAGTGGTCCCGGAGGTTTGGGTTCGCCTCTTCGGACGGAACACTGTTACCACCTATGATGGGCCTCGGGGCTGAGAAGTTATTAGATCCGAGCCGATGACGTTTTTTGTCCTCGTCATTCAACTCGTCGAATATAGTTTTCAGACGGCACTAGTCCTGTCAGTCCATCCACAGCTTCTGTTCTGAAGAGGTTATTTTTCTTTTCTTCTTCTGGGGCTGAGCAAGGTGCCTTCTCTCAGCACTGTACAGTTCGCCCTGCAGCCAATTGAGCAACCCACGCCGCCGGTCAGGCAGACGCATGCTTTGTAATGCACACATGAATCTTCGCAGTTCTGCGGGTGCATTCTGGGAGGGTCTCTTGGTCAAATGGGCAAGCTCCTCCGGCTATCGGGGCGCGGGACTCCAGGTGTGGGTCGCCGCCTGTGCCTGATAAGCGGGCCAACCCATGCAGGTTTATGCAAGGTCTCGGGAGCCAAGCCGTGGCAGTCACTGTTCGTGCCAGTAAGGTTTGGTATCTAGTGTAGACTACCTATCCGAGCCCTGCCAGCCTGCTTCGTCCGTCACTGATCACGGTGCATCTATCTCACTTGCCCTGGCAGCCCACCTCCACAAGGCTGCTACTACTCTAGACCACATGCTTGACGGATCTCAAGACGATCATCCCGAGGCGCATTGTGGACCTCGAATGGACCGTGAAGTTGGCCAGCAACCTGATCAACCCAGTTTTCAGCATTGCATGTGGGATTTTCTCGTAGCCATGAACTGAGACAAATGTCACCAGCACTCATTGATTCGAAGAGACATTATCAAGACCAACGCAACGCCGAGGTATCTTCATCAGGTCGCTCATCGTACAGGACCGACCTTCATTGACCATGCAATAAGCTGCGCATTCAAGTATTACTGCCAGCACAGGCTAATCCTCCAAGAAATGGCCGGGGCATGAGTACACTGCCCACCCAACGTATCTTCATTGTGTCATCACGGTAGTCTGGAGGGCGGCGGATCAGTTTTACTCCCATCTCCCAAAACCGCCCAGCACCACGGGGCAACGCCGTCTTCCCAGCCCCATCCCACCTGAAATTTGGTTCATCGTAGATCTGTACTGGGGAAGTAGCGTGGACCCGCGAATCCTTTCGCGAAGACACCTTGCACGTCGATATTGGACCTGTTGATTTATTCAGCGTCAGCATTTTTCGACAACGATAGTCCCATAAGGTCGAGAGCACGCCTGAAGACACCTTCTCCTGAGGTGCTGACGCCTAACGCCGCACGAAATGGGGTGCAAACAGGAGAGACTTGATCTCGGAATACGTACGTCGGATGATACATCTTAAGAAGAATATATCTCCCCGAAATTGGAGGATCAAATTTGATGGTGCACCTATTCTTGTCCTTCTCGATGTAAAATTTGGCGTGGGGTGCAAGCAGTTCGCCGCCGACTGCCCTCACGGCCTCCTGGGTGGCAAGCTGAGATGCCTCGGCGGCTTCAGCCAGCGTCATGTCCTGGGCGTCTCGGTCCACCGGCGGCGGCGCCGGCGGGGGGCTGCTGTCATCGTCATTGAGCCCCATGTCGTCGTTCCAAGGAGCAAACCCGTTCTCGCCGTCCTCGCTGTCATCACTCTCGAATGGCAAGGGGCCAATCCTATTGGGCGGGGGTGCTTGCCGTCGAAGCAGACGGGGCACAGGCGACTCCTCGGTGTCACTGCAGTCTGTGTCTATGGTCACAGGGAAGTGTAGAGGTTCGACCGGGAACACTGCTGCTTTGTGCTCCAAAGCCTCCTCCAGACGGGCGTTGAGGTTGATACGCCTTTGACGCGAACGGCTATTGGACATGTCGTAGTTGTGCCGTGCCCGTTCCCCGGGCGTCCTCGTGTCGTCGCGTGGGACGTATTGGACTTGGTACTGGGCCGTCCTGTTGAGAACTTCGTCACATGCCATGGAGACAAACACCATGCCCTCCCGAATTCTGCTCAAAGTTAGCTCCTCCCCCTGTTACATGCGATTGGAGTCAGAGACTTACGGTGAAGAGTAGTTGGCACTGGGGGCCCTGATCACCAATTCTGACAAGGTGAAGACGGTGGCGCCCTGGTGCTTCAGCACAATGTTGCAGCGGTTCCGTTTTGTGCAATAGACAGAATTGTCCCTCTTGAGAATGCTCTCCGGGGGATTGATGTTGCTGTCGGCATACATCCCACCATCACAGCTCTCAATCTCCATCTTCAGTTGGCCAGGCTCGATCTGGCCAAACCTGCCATAGCGGAACCCTTTAAAGCTAGACCCTGTCCTCTCAGAATCCAGCTTACGCCGTTTTACTCGACGGCTGTCCTCAGCCTGTTCTGGATAGGGAGTATGTGAGTGGGATGTCGGGCTCAGAGGAGATGACATCATGGCGGTATTGGTGTACTCTAGAAGTGCACGCAGTTGCGAATTCGCATCGTCCAAATCGTACTCCAGGTCTTCGAAGCTGGTCGGGTTCGACGTTCGATTCTCAGAAGTTCGGTATCGGTCAAGCCATCTCTCGGCAAGTCGTTGGCGTGCCGGGCGTCCACTCGTGCCGGTGGGTGTGGACGTTGCAGAGCCTCGCCGCGTGCCTAGGGAGCGCAGAGGTGGCAGGGCTGTCGCGGTGGCCAGGCTCGCGAAGCTGGGCAGGGCTTCTGAGTGCCGCGGTGCAGGCTCTCGTGAGAATCTGCGCTGGAGGTCCCGTTGGTTGGTAGACATGTTCCCGGGAGAAGCAGTCTCCCCGTCGCTACTTATCAAGCCTAGACGGGGCCTTGGTCCCGTCGTGGCTCCTCCTGCGGTGGCCTCAGAAGCCTCTCGTTCCCCGCCAGTGCGCGAGTCCCCGTCCAGATCTCTTCCGATTTCCACCCTCTGGAGTAGACGGTTTCTCAACAGGCGCTGTCGCTCGTGCCGCACTCGGTTGATGATTCGTTCCAGCTCGTCGTCCCCTCGTACTTCGGCCTGAGAGAAGTCTAGTAGACGGCGTTGGTCTTGGTACTGGGATGGTGTTTCGAGTTAGAGTGAGATGGCGATCGCAGGTGCTGCTGTGGGCGAAGGTGAGACCGAGCAGATGCAGGGTCTCTATCACTCACGGGCATTTCAAGACAAAGATGGCAGTGCGGGCGAGACGGCCGCCAATAAAGCGCCGCACCTGCTCCAATCGCTCGGGACGGTGACGTGGGGTCCAACAGCAGAGGCTGTTCGCTGCACTGCGTGAGTCGTGAGTCAAAGCCGTAATTCAAGGTGCAGAGAGTGTGATGTGGGTTGGGTTGTCAAGATGGGACGGCGAGTTGTGACGGGGTTGCATGGAAGAGTGGTCGTTGGTCGGTGGCCGTTGAGAGGAGGGTGAAGCGCGACGTCAATGCCGACAGGGACCGCTGAATCCGGGTGTGCTTAGTCTGGTCCAGTTTGTATTTCACAAGGCAGTAGCAGCCCCTCCCTCCAAGTAGACGCAAACCATCTCTATAAGCGGATCGTCCGTCATACGCTACCTGCCTGGGCGACAAGGTCGGCAGCCCACTGGAATAATTCAGAAACAGAGCCTGCAGTGATGAAACGACCCGAGGAAATCTACGTGACCAAGGAGCAAGAGGCATACGAGACTACCTGCACCAGATAACAGACTGCCAGGCGTACACAGAACAGGAGGATATCCTGTCGAGGTCTCCCGCAGTACAATCTACAGAACGGGTCAAGGCCTTCCGGGGGTTGGCAAAACGGAAGCTGGCAGATATGGACGAGGCGACGAAGGCAAATCTCAGAGTACCTACGGTAGGAACGTAGTCCGAGCCATTGGAGACCCCTGCTCAGTAGGGCGAGATGTGTGGGCGGGTCAGCAAATCCACCAGGGGGCCCACTCCTATCGCCTTGCCTCCCTACGTAAGTACCTGGACGGGTACCTAGGTACCTAGGTGCTTGGGTGGCCCAGGGTGTGCCATACGGCTGAAGAGCTGCCTACCTACCTACCTACGTAACTGCAGGTGCCCAGGCGGTTGGTGACTGGTTGGAAGCTTGCAACGCAACGACCCTGAGCTTCAGACAACGGCTTAGACATTACGATCTGCCACCTTTCAACCTGGACAACTCCCATCACGAGTCGGTCGCCCTGAAGCTCACCGGGGCAGGACTCACTGTGTTCAAGGTGTGCCATCGAGCTCCAGAGTCAAGCTCGGCAGCTACAGGCTCACAGCAAGCACCGCGATACGTACCGACAAACTGACCTCGGGACGCTCAACGTACGAAACTTCAGCTGCCCGAGTGCAAAGGGCCACGACTGAAAGCAGGACAGACGGAACAGAAACACAGTCCTTTCATCCCACTTGGGCCTCATTCCTCGTCTTCGAGAGCACTGAACCTCTCTTGGGAGGTTGTTTGAATCTCTGTGTCCCTTTCAATCCTTCAGGCCTCATTGAGATCCCAGCACCACTCTTCCCACCTCACTCACGATGGATCACCCGGAGCAAACGGCCCACGGCCAAGAGGAAAGCGCCTCCGCGCACACAAATGCCCAGCCAGAAGGTTCCAGCGCGACGCAGGCACAGCCAGCACCCGATGCCAATGCCAACCCCATCCAGCATGGCGACTTCTCGAATCTCCCAATGCAGCCTGGGATGCCACCAGACCTGAATCTGCTCTCCATGTTGCCACAGGACGGAAGCCTGCTGGGACCAGATGCGCTGATGAATATGCCGATGATGATGCCTATGATGATGCCCGACGGCTCGATGGACGCCAACGGCATGTTGAGCATGCCTCAAAACGGGATCAGCAATGGTAAGTCCACCTCTGCGTCGTCAAGTCTCCCACAACTCACACCTTCGTAGACGAGATCGCACTGTATGACAGACAAATACGCCTTTGGGGTATGGCCGCCCAGCAAAAGATCCGCAACGCGAACGTGTTGCTCATCACAATGAAGGGTCTGGCAAACGAGATCGCCAAGAATCTGGTACTGGCGGGCATAGGGTCCTTGACCATCATCGACCATGATAACGTTACCGAGGCCGACCTGGGCTCTCAGTTCTTCCTCTCTGAGAAGGAGGGCCACCTAGGAAAGAACAGGGCCGAGGCAGCGTTGCCTCAAGTCCAGAAGCTGAACCCGCGAGTTACTGTCATCGCCGACACGGACGACGTGCGGTTCAAGGGCGCGAGCTACTTCGCCCTTTTTGACATGGTCATCGCGACTGACCTGGACCCCGATGCCTTGAACATAATCAACACGGCGACGCGCCTAAATATGCGGCCGTTCTACGCTGCTGGTACACATGGACTTTACGGCTTCATCTTCGCCGACTTGATCGAGCACACATTTTCGATTGAGCGGGAGAAACCCAACGTGCCCACTGAGTTGAAGGCCGAGACGAGAACACGGCAAATCTTCCAAGTCGACTCGAAGAAGGAGAACGGGAAGGAGATGGAGATCGTCTCCAAGAAGGAGGTCTATAGCACTTGGTTGCTCGCCAGCGACGGCGCGTTCTTACCTGAAGAATACACCAAGAGCAAGCGACGCCTTAAAGCCGTCAGCCCGGCCTTGTCGTGCCTTCGGGCACTGTGGGAGTTCCAGACTTCCCATAATGGTCGCAACCCGGGAGCGAACCAGGCCGACCTCGCGGCATTCACGAAATCGGCCACTCAAAAGCACAAGGACCTCCAATTGCCTGGGGAGACCCTCACAGCTGAGTTTCTGCGAAGTTTCCTGCAGAATATTGGTTGCGAGGTTGCCCCCGTTACTGCCATACTTGGGGGACAATTGGCGCAAGACGTGATCAACGTACTCGGCCAGACCCAGCAGCCAATCCAGAACACCGTCATCTTCGACGGCAATACTATGGAGGCCAACCTGTACCCTCTGCACCCCGAAGGCGCTCTTGGCGCGTCGCTTCTTTCCATGGGGCTCGGCGGGATTGCTGGAATCCCGGGGATGGGCAACGGGGACATGAACGGGTTGATGGGTGACCCATCGATGATGCCTATGGGCATGCAACCGATGGACATGGGGTTCAACGGCGCGCCCATGGCCACCGCCGGCGTGCAACCACAATTCAACAGCGCGGGAGCTGGCACAAATGAGGCCCAGACAAACTTCACCGGTGCAGGTTCGGCCCCAAGCACAGGTCCGGGTGCAGGCGCTGGCGAATCACATCCAAGTGGCTGATTGTTCTCATTGATTGGCAGGAAGGGTCACATGTGAGCAAGAAGCTGCATGAGGCCTGCAGGAGGTGGGTGCTGGTTGGCGAATGCGCAGGAAAACGGTCTCGACTGGCTGCACTGCGGATATCAATATCTGGAGAGGGATGCATTTGTGGGTACGCATGCCAAGGGCTAGGGAGGAAAATGTACAGTAATAATGTGTCGAGATACCTTGGGGACACGACGGGAATGGCGTTGGCTACACAGTAGATGATGAAGAAACGCACCGGAATGAACGAAGCATTGGCAACTCGAAGCTGAATGGCTGGTCCAGCTGAGCCCCACCGCCCGCGCCGATGATGCTGAATGACTACAACGCGGGCCTTCCCGTTTTGGGAGATGCTTGGAGGGGTGGTGGCGATGCGGCCAGAGGAAAAGCAAGCGCCTCACCTGTTTGACAGCTTGACTCACCGGCCATCATTATCGATCCTTACTCCGTGTGCCTGCCTATCGTGCTACCTATCCGCCTGAACCAGGGCCGAAAATAGACGGTTCAGACTGTTGTAGTCATTCTAAACCAGGCTGTGTAGAGAAAGAAAAAATTGGGTGCTCACAGTCGTGCTCACCTCCCTGCGGTTCCGAATTTCGTCAACCTGAGCCACTGCTTCCTTCCCTGCCGACGATTGCAGATAAAGGTCGACCCTTCCCGGCCGCCCCAAAAATTCTCTATCAGCAACACCGCAAAGCAACTCTGCAAAAGACGACCCGTCTCTATCCTTTGACTCTACCCATTCCGACCACTCCAGAAACCCCTTACGAACAGTAATTAAAAAGGAACACACGAGCAACCACAATCATGGCGGTGCGAGCACAATTTGAGAACTCCAACGAGTGAGCATCTACCCCGCGGCCCCGCGATCCTCTCACTCAAGGTGCCCGCGCTGACTTGACACCACCTAAATCGCAGGGTCGGAGTCTTCTCTACCCTCACAAACTCCTACGCGCTTACGGCCATAGGCGCAAGCGAGAACTTCTACAGTATCTTCGAGGCCGAGTTGCAAGATGTCATCCCCATCGTCAGAACCACCATCGCCGGCACCCGCATCGTCGGCCGGTTAACAACAGGGTAAGTCTTGATGCACCTGGCCCGGGCTGGACTGGCCCAGTCTTTGTCACTCGCGGTTCGCGAGCATGACAGGACGGCCAAGACGAGCAGCCTGCTGACTTGAGTACTCCCAATAGCAACCGGAAAGGCCTCCTCGTCCCCACCAGCACAACCGACCAAGAACTCCAGCACATCCGAAATGCCCTCCCCGACGAGGTAAAAATTCAACGGATAGAGGAGCGCCTCTCGGCGCTCGGCAACGTGATTGTCGCAAACGATCACATTGCCCTGGTCCACCCGGACCTGGAGCGCGAGACGGAGGAGATTATCGCAGACGTGCTGGGCGTGGAGGTGTTTAGGCAAACGGTGGCCGACAACGTTCTGGTGGGATCATACATGGCGCTCTCAAATCAGGGTGGTCTGGTGCACCCCAAGACGTCAATAAGCGACCAAGATGAGCTCTCCAGCCTGCTGCAGGTGCCGCTTGTGGCCGGCTCGGTCAACAGGGGCAGCTCGGTGGTAGGGGGTGGTATGGTGGTGAACGACTGGATGGCAGTGACGGGGCTGGATACCACGGCGACGGAGCTCAGTGTCATCGAGAGCGTGTTCAGGCTTGGCGAGGGCGCCGCACCCGGCAACATCAACACCAACATGAAGGAGACTATGGTGGAGTCCTTCTACTAGAGGCCTGAGCGGGTCGCTTCCTGGACAAGAGCCTTGGAATATCTTTTGAAGCGGTATAGTCGAGCCTGTTTGTAAAAGATCGGCTCTTATTACCACAGCGATAAAGCTACATTGTCCAAGAGTTGACGTTCACCATCACTTCTCCAGGAACCCGTGACATGGCAGACATTGACCGTCTCAAATGTTTGGACCGAGGGGAGCGAGCATTCCAACTGCCTCGTGATCAAGCTGATCAAGCTCAGGATGATCAATCACTCAGGTCTCGAAACGGTTTAGGTGGCCTACCAACGAGTGCGCCTTCAAAAAGCAAAATAAGTGCCAATGTATCTTGGGAAGGCTCAATTCTGGAATGTAGCTTTTCAGTTGCCATCTGGATGCGAGGTAGGCAACCAGACACCAGACAACCAGGACTTGCTTCCAACCAGGCTGCCAGGCTGCCCATGGCAAGCAAGGCTTGCTGCATTCAGCGTCATAGCCAGTTCTGGTGGCCGGTGGACCCCTAAAATTCCATAGCAACCCAGCCACCACAACACACACCCAGTGACGATGCTGTTGCATTACCTTGGCAGAATCTTGAATGCAAGAAAGTATAATTCTGAAGTTTCCGACTCACCCGTTGGTTCGGCAGCCGTGGAACATAACTGTGAACCTCTCTCCCATAATGCACTACTGGAGAACACAAAAAGCTCTCGCTTCTCTCTTCGCACTCCTCACTACTCCATTTCGGCTCTTGGTTCAACTCCGGACCCTTCCAAGGTTGCAGTGAACCCCACCGTTCCATCGCTTCGATCGCAACAAAACGCGCATGCTGCAGTGCAAATAGCCCTCGGAAACGAGAAACACTGCCTACCAGGTCAGGCAGGCCGGGCAGGTCGAGGGCTCGATACGTCACCGAGCTGTCGTCACCGAGCACTGGCTCAGACACACAAAAGAAGATCGGAACTGCCGCCATATACTGGGGTTGCGGCCCATCCGCCTACTGCCGCCGAGGTACTGTGTGGCAGAGAGCGAGACAGCACACAGAGAAGAGAGAGACAAGCAGCAAGGGACGGGGACGAGAAACAGGGATTGGTCTGCTACGAGCTGCAGGCCCGGCACGTCAATCCTAATCGGGGACCCTGGAGGGTTTATGCAACTGCTCCGCCTGTGCAGGGCAGCTCCCAGATCTCACCTGCACAATACACTGCCATCCCGCCCGAGTCCCTGCCGTGGCACCCGCCTGCCCGTCTGAGGCAACGCATCGTCGACGGCCCTCTCTCTAAGCTACTGCTCGGCTTGATGTTTTAGCCAGGCACACGCCAGGCACGGCTTAAAACGACTCGTTGTTCTTGGTCAAAGACGGTGTGCCGCCGCCTATTTTCCCTTACACAACACAAATCACGCCTGGCCCCGCGCGACAGGGGACACCAGATAAACCGGACGGGTTCTCCTTTAACGGACCCACCACGTCCCCACGAAACCTATAGCCACCATGCTAACGTCCGCCCTCGATCCCTCTCTCCCAGACCTCCCAGACCGGGGCCATCTCTCACCGCGTCCGCCCTCACCAACAGAGTTCCGATGCCCCCCTGCTTCTGCCGGGCTACTTGATCTGGATCATCGTCCAGCCAGTTCCAGCTCTCTCGACACGCACTCACGAGCACAAGCCCCCCTTGACCACGTTTTCTTGCCTCGCCCCTTACAGGAACAAGAATACCACAGTGGCTACTGCCACGCGAACGACCGACAAGTGGAACCCGCTCCTCTCGCACCTGCTCCAGCACACCGCACGGAGCACGGTCGAGGCTCATCACTCACCAGCTTCCTTCCTGCAAGCATCAGGGCGAGGCTGCAGTCACCACCGAAGCCATCTGAGGACCATCCGCCTGTATACGAACAAGACATGGGTTTAACCGGCGAAGGAAGGAAGACCTTTAGGCAGTCTGCCCCCCAAGGCTATCCCACGACGCAAACAGCCCAACAAGATCCCGACGACTACCCATCCCCGGAGACGACTCCAAAGAGGCTCGTCAGGAGTCAGACCGCCGGTCCCACGGACAACGCTCCCAAGAACAACGACAGTCCCAGCTCCAGCACCCGCCAAGATGTCTCTGCTCTCCATGTTCTCGAGGAATACACCCGTCGTAGTGACGCAAGCCGAGCACGACGAGCTGCTGAATATGAAGGTGGAGGAGGCGCTGTTCCCAGCCGGCTCTCCGAACAGCAAGGACACGTTCTCGCCCGCCGCGTACAAGAACCTGCAACAGCAAGCCACGGGTCTGTTGACTAAGATGCAGAACGCTTACCGCCAAAAGGCACAGGCGCTCTCCGAGCTTGAGAAGGAGAGGGAGGCCGACAGGGACGAGCTGGAGGAGGCCGAGACGCGGGCCACGCACCTGAAGTTCCAACTCGAAGACATGGCGCACAAGGCGAACGAGCAGGAGCGCCACATGAAGCAGCTGATGGAGGAGCTCGCCGCGGAGCGACGCGCCAGGGCCGACGACCAGTCCATGCTCAAGCGGCTCCCGACGGGGCTCCAGTCCGAGGCGGGCAGCACGATATCGGAGGACCTGGGCGTTGACGACGCCGACGAGATGCAGAAGCGCAAGTGGCGCAAGAGCAACGGCACCGACGTCAGCTTCGAGACGGACGACGACAGCATCAGCTTCGGGGAGGGCGAGAGCGTCTTCTCGCGCCCACGCAGCCCCTCGGCCTCCACCTTCACCACCACTCGCGGCGGCGCCGACACCGGCAGTGTGATTGACATGCCACTGCCCACGCCGACGTCCACCCGCGGCAACGTTAGGTCGTCGGTGGCCTCGTCCAACCGCAAGAGTACCTCGCAGATGAGCACGTTCCAGAAGCTGATGAAGGGCATCTCGGGCGACGACGGCTGCCGGAACTGCAAGGGCCAGGACGCGAGCGTTGCCTGGGACACGGTCGGCCTGCTGAGGGACGAGAACAAGACCCTCAAGTCGCGGGTCGGCGAGCTGGAGGACTGCCTCGAGGGCGCGCTGGATGCGGTCAACGGTATCGTCTTATGACAGGGCCCCGTCCTCAGCGACAAGGATTTACAACAGCGGCATAGGGGAAAGGATATTTCTGGGTAGTTTTCTTACTTGGGGTCCTTTCCTCTCTTTTCCTCCTATTTTTGATGCAGCGAGAACCCACAAATCACACCCCACGGAGTTGAGAAAGAAAGAGTAACCCAGCCTTGGCTAAAATGGCTTTCCTTGCTTTGGCTCACCCCCTTTTGCATAACGGCGGCGCTCGCGGGCTCTTCTCTTTTCCTATTTATTTTACCTTCATGTATTTCAATTCGTGGGGAGGGATCGTCATGCCCTAACCTGTTTATCCTACTATTATTGTATGGAAAAGCATGTTCTTAAAACTCACATATCTTTTTTTTTCTGGCCGGCGCACCGCCCTCTCTCTCAATCTTGTACCACTCTGTGCCTTCCCAGGCTGCTGAAGGACTCGCCCATGTTTCATACCCCCCCATCAATTTGATAGATCTCGGATACTTTCTCATAGTCGGTCAAGGTGCGGAATATCAACCAATGGCGGCTTGACGCTGCTGGAAACTTACTTGACAAATGTCCCGTGGCTTATTTTCTGTAAGCTACTGTTACTGCTCCGGTGTCGTCACTGAGAAATCCCTGGTTCGGTAAGCCCGTGTGTGTGAGATGGCAGCCTGCTTGGCTCAGAGCATCTCGTGCCAGTGTCCGTGTCTTCTTTCCATGAGCAAACCCATACTTGGCCAAATTTCAAGGGAAGATGGCGCCTATCCTGGCACGGGATATTCCACGGAGACCCAGTCGTCGTTGCTACTTGAGTGAAGCTTTAGCCCAATGCCTGAACATCTCGCCTCATGTAAAGTGAAATGCAATTGACCAACGTCAGTGAGACTTAGTTCACAGGTGAGAAGGCATATTGTGCCACCCCAAGAACGGCACTTGCGTTGCTCCACCATCGCATCCTCTATGCCTCCTAGAGTCCTCCCACTCCTATGGACCTTACGGTACGTCGTGCTCATCCTGCGTGTCAAAGCGTCTCAAGATCTTCCTCCAATCATGAGATATTTGGTTCGAAGGAGCTCGAAGCCAGATCATCTGTTTGTTGAATATCACCTGTCCCCCTTAGTTGGCCTACCATGTTACGGCGTAGTGGTCATGAATCCCGTATGTGTCCGATCGCCGGACTATCATATGCATAGCACCGAATAGACTGCTGCTTCCATGGCTTGATGAGTGTCTTTTCGCAGACCTGATTTTCTCGTCTAATATGTACACCGGAGCACTCTCCTCGTTGTTCCCGTCCAGCCAAGTTCGTTTCCCCGAGTCTCCAGAACAGACCTCAGTGGTGCCCCTCGCTTTGGTGCTCATCGTGATGCTCATCCTGCAGGAACGCGTACTCGTACCCGCAGTACGCAGCAAACGCCACCGTCGCAATACCCAGGCCGGGGAAGGAGCTCTTGAGCCGGTTCCATCTGCTGAAGAGCCCGGTGTACCGCCAGTTCTCGCTGTGAATTTCCCACCGTCAGTCGTGCTAATTGATCGTCGGGGGTGTCTCGTGCAACTGACTATCGCTCCCATGGGTCGTAGCGGGGCTTCTCGATGGACTCCTTCAGCTTGCGGATGTCGAAGCCGGTGATGTTGCCCGTCCGGCCGTTGACGGCCCGTAGTATCCTGGCGGGTGTTTGGTCAGTCAATTGGGCCTCTGCAGCACGGAGAAGAATGCGTGGGCGCACATGGTAGGTCGCAGCAGCATGGTGAACCAGTTCAGTCTGTCTACAGCTTCGCTGGTGGTTTGTATGAAGGGGGTCGTGAGGTTGGAACTGTCGAGTTCGATTCGTCGGACCGAGCAGCAGTCGCCAGGTTGGAGGCACGCCAGGCTTGTAGTGCCAGCCGGGGCATGTACCCACGTACCCGCCAGGGTGAATTTAAGGTAGCTCGGGCCCACCCGGTTCTGCGGCGGCGGCGGCGGGCAGCGACCCGCACTGGCCCAGCCGTGGAGCTGTCTGTCAAGTGCTACCCGTGAATTGCCCATTCGACATGCTGAATTGCATCCCAAGATAGACCTCACAGCCGCAAGACGAGGCACACAGCGAACCCCGATCACCAAGAAACGACAACACTCTTACCCAAACATTCTCATACGTGCATCCTCAATCAGCTGAGGGTGTCGACCACTGCCCAACGAGCATCCGACTCTCGTTCACAGATGCGACCGCGCGCTGTCCACTTCAGACTGAACACGACCCCCGCGACACGACCAAGACAGGAACTTGAGCCTACAGAGCTGGGCGCAAGTTGACGATGCCTCCCCAGATATCGAGGTACCAAAACGGGCCGAACAATGTCGCTCCATACCAGCACCAGTTCGCCGGCCTAAACCCAGGCCACTCCAACAACTACACTCCACAATTGGGCGGCAATCCCTCCCATCTGAACCCGAACGCCCAGATCCCTTCCTTCGCTACGAACGGCAATGTGCTCGGGCTTGGAGGAGGCATGAACTCGGCCGCCGCGAGCTTCGGCGTCGGGCACGAGTCGGGCCTGGGCGGCCAGGCGGCCAGGATGGGATTCCACAACGCGACGCTCCAGCATCCACAGCACGCCCAACAACAAAGTCACTCCATGATGGGGGATCAGCCTGCTCGCAATCAATTGGCTAAGGGCCGGATACGAGAGGTGTGGAAACATAACCTGGAGGACGAGATGGCTGTGCTGCGCGACCTGGTGCAAGACTATCCTTATATTGCTATGGTGAGTCGTCGCATGGTTCCGTCCGGGCTTGGAACAACGGGGGCGTGCTGATCTGACCATCTTTCGCAGGACACTGAGTTCCCTGGCGTGGTTGCGCGGCCAATGGGTGCATTCAGAGGCAAATCCGATTACCACTACCAATGCCTGCGGGTGAACGTGGATCTTCTCAAGGTCATCCAGATTGGCATAACGCTATTTAACGAGGACGGAGAGACACCCGCGACAAGGCCAAACTCGACAAACTCGACAGAAGTCGGCGGCGCAGGGCGGAAAAATGCGAACCAAAACCTGGTCCCACATGCCTGGCAATTCAACTTCAACTTCTCACTCAACGACGACATGTACAACGAGCAATCGATCGACTCCCTCAAGCATGCCGGGATTGACTTTGCGCTGTTGGAGCGGGACGGGATCGATCCCAAGAAGTTCGCGGCGCTGTTGATCCCCTCCGGTCTGACCCATTTCGAAGAGGTCAAGTGGATATCCTTCCACGGAGGCTACGACTTTGGCTACCTCACGAAGCTCCTGATGTGCGAGCAAATGCCGAACGATGAGCTCGAGTTCACGAAACGCCTAAAGAAGTATTTCCCGAGCGTCTACGATGTCAAGCACCTCATGAAGCACGCCATCAAGCAACACAACTCGGGCCTTCTGACGCCTAGCGACCCGAGCACGACAGAACTGCTGCAGAAGTTCGAACAGAAGTCCGGCCTTGAGAGCATAGCAGAAGCCCTGAAGATTAAGCGTCTCGGGGCGGCTCACCAGGCCGGGTCGGACGGACTTCTGACCGGCAGAGTCTTCTTCTCTATGCGAGAAAAGGTGTTCAACGGCGACATCCCCACGGAGCAGGTCGGCAAGATCTGGGGTCTGGGCGTGCCGGACATCGGCGCGCCGCTCGGTGCGGCCCAGCAGCAGTCGGCGGCGGAGAGCACGCCGCCACAGCAGGGCCAGAACAACGGCGGCCAGAACAACACCGAGGGGACGCCCAGCACGCCCAACCAGGGCAGCGCGGGCCTGGTCAACACGCCGGCAGCACAGTCGCACAACACGAACGGTGTCAGCAGCATGGGGCCTATGACGCCCGGGGGTGGCGGTGGGGTCTTTGGGAGCTTCCACATGGGCGCCAGGTAGAGTGATAGCCCCGGTGGGGGTTCGGCCAAGGACAACGAGGATGGGCAGGAGAAGGAGCCGCCGCCAACCGTGAGTTAGCGGCCCATGAACCCGGAGGCAGCTGTTTTCAGGTCGCGGACGCAGAACCGGAGCTTCCCGCCTTGACGGATGTCTCTATTTTTTCGTTCCAAACAAGCGTGTAGTAGTGAGGCGGCCGGTCGTTGTATTTCCTGTCTCCTGTCCCTCCCCTCCCTTTCCCTCTCACTCTCTCTTTCTCTCTCTCTCAGCGCGATGGGAGGGGATTGGTGTTCTTTTTTGGCCTCTACGACCTTTTGTGCGTGCGTGCGTCTGTTTGCTTGCTTGCCTTGTCTTCATTTAAACGGAGTTAAGGAGGGGGGAGGGGCGCGTGGTCTGAAAGTTGCGCAAAAAAAGAAGATTCTCGGGGGAAGGAAACAAGCCCTCTCTCGGAAACTTTTGGCCAAGGGTCTCTGGTTATGGAGGGGCAAGGGCCAGCTCTTTTTAAAACCTTGTGTGTACCCATATATTACTGTTCGTGTATTTTTCTCTGCAAGGTCATCGTTTTCACTGTTTCTATCTTTCTTCTTTGTCTCTGCCAACGGGGTATGGGTGTGGATACCTGGTAAAGCACAGCGGAATACATGCATTTTCATGAACAAAACACCACCGCCGCCACTAGTGCACGTGTGACTGCGTGCTCTGTTGCTAAGTTTGATCACTGAAAGTAGAATTCTCATTGGCCGATTTCTATGGTTTCCTCAATCGGTCACCTATCGTTCCGTAATGCTACACCGCTGGCCTACACCTTCACCTTATGAATATCCCTTGTTCGAAATTCCCTTTCGATGCCAGAAAGAAAAACGCCAATTTCCTGCCTTCCAAAGGGGAAAAACCATGACCGCTATGCTGTAGGAGAGAAAAGAGATGTGTGAATGGAGACAATGTCTCGCGGGCCGGATCCGCGCACACACGTTGCTCTTGATCAAGGCCCTCGACAGCCTCGCGCAAGTTACGTGATAAATACCTTCTTGAGCTTGTCGGCCGTGTAAACGTCCCCCGTGCGCAAGTCCTTGACCTTGCCCGGCGGCAACCCCGCCTTACGCGAATACTCCTCGAGCTTGGCCTGGCCGTAGACGCGGCCGTTGGGCAGCAGCATGAGGTCGGGCTCGACGTGGCTCTGGGTGTGGTGGGCGTAGGGGACGTTGCGGGCGAGCTCGTTGAGCTCGGTGGAGCAGATGGGGCAGACGGAGCTGGTCAGGCTGGTGTGGTGGGACGGGGTGGAGGAGGAGCTGGCCTGGGCGCTGTGGCAGGCGGGCGTCTTGAGCGCCGAGAGGCCCGACTGCAGGGCGATGTGCAGCAGCGGGAAGGAGGGGAGGCCCAGCAGGGCGTTGTGCGTCTCGGTGAAGATGTCGGCCAGCTTGTTCCACCGCGACGGGTGGTACATCTTCCGGTGCTCATCGTCGGCCGCGTCGGGCGGGAAGGCGAGCAGGATGCCGGCCTGGCCGTACTCGTTGGGGAAGGACTCCTTGAAGGGGTAGAGGAACTTGCGGGCGAAGACTATGGCCTCGAGGAGCTTCTCCTCGTCCTGGGTGCGCACGAGCTCTATGTACTGCTGGAAGCGCAGCTGGAACTCGAGGTTACTCTGTTCGGAGTGGAGTCAGCAAGTGTCAGTGACGGCTCTGCGCCATTTGGGGTTGTACATGGTCGACCTACGTCCATCTTTCGCAGCTCCTTCTTGTTCTCCGTGCACCAGTCGAGCGCGTCCTTGACATTCTTGTTAAGCAGGCTCTGTCTCACCCGGTTCATCTGCTCGAACGTGTCGATATCCACCAGGTCTCCGACGCCCTTGTCCTTAGCAAGAGCCCTCGCGCTCTGCCCATAGCCTTGCCTCATAAGGTAGTCGACCAGCAGCCGGTCGAGCCTCTTCCGGGACCAGTGCTCGTACTTGACGTCCTCGAAGGCGTGCATGTGGCCCAGGTCCGACAGGTGCTTAACCCTGGCGCCGACCTGGCGGTATAGCCGGGCCTCCTCCTGGTCGCAACCCTCCAGCTTCCGCTTGACGCCGCGCACGCGGGCGATCATGGTGTCGAGGTTCCGGAGGACTTCATCGGGGCTGGCGCCACCCTTCAGGGCAGCGTTGGCGGTGTCCTTGAGCTCCTTCTTGATGAAGGTGCCCTGTTTCTCGACGACGAAGTGTGCGGAGCGGAAGTTCTTGTGGAGGAGCTCGTGTGGGAGGCGGAGGAGGGGTTGGTCCTGGCGTGAGGAGGCTCGGCGTTAGCTATGTCGCCCGGCAGGTGATCGCCGTGTTCAGCGTGCCGTTGCTTGCAGAGGCGTGGACTTACCAGCAGGAGATGATTGGCATGGTCAATCTTAGTGACCGAGTGGTCGCCCATTTTGAGATGGATTCAGATGCGACCTATGTATGGTGAACAAACGCTTCCAGACCTGACGTTTGGTCGGTTTCGTAGGGGAAGATGCTCTGGGAGTGGGCGTTACAATGACGCTCCCGAGGTTGTCGTCGAGCTGATAAGCCGATAAGGACCTCTCCTTATTACCACCCCGAGGTGTGTGGCTTTGGTATTCCCAAGCACTGACTAAATGTAATGCAGGCCGAGGGTGGGAAGCACGCACGGCACGGTACCACTGCACCTCGTAGAGAAATGCTTGCTTGTCGAGCTATGTCTTGTATTACCCACTTAGGTCCATGCAATCAATACTGATTATCCAGGTCCGGCAGCTTCGGCCGAGAAGAGATGGGAGCTACCGCCCTGCTAAGATTGACTGCACCGGCTACATGCTGTAGATGTCCTACTTCCCCAGCAGGTCTTCCTCGTCTTCCTCGTCCTCCTCGTCCCCATCCTCATTTCTCAGCTGGGACTGACAGGTCAGATCGGGGATTGAATGGGTGGATGCACCTGAGATGAGCATCATACCGAAAACGCCTAGTACTTCTGGAGAGATGGTCACCACAGCACGCAGCTAGGTCTAGGAGGGATACTTTCCCACCTTGGCAGCCTCCACACCATCTCAGTCGAGCCTGCCCAGGTGTGTATCACTTGACCCAGCTTGGCAGACAATCTCGTCGTGAGCTAGTCATCCACGGGGCTTGCACGAGTGAGTCTACGTGATCAGCGAGGGAGCATGAGTTGAGTTGAAGGGTGTCGGTCCAGCTGAGACAGCAGCCTCGTCACGACCCTCGAGTCGGCTCCAGTCAGAGCTATAATGACATAGACGGTGTGGTGGGTGGGGTGTGTGCACGCGTGTGTGCATGCGTTGACTGCTGTATGGGCTAGACCATCCACCCTGGTTTGACTTTCGGAGGCTCTCACGGCTGGATGGCAAGCAAGGCATCTTCTGTCCACCGACATGCAGGGTACCTAGGCATGCGCCTTTCAATATCAGAACGTCAGCCAGCCGAAACAGTCAACTGCGATCGGCCAACAGCCAACAGCCCAGCAGCACGGTCTACCGGGTGTAGATGTGTCTTGTCTTGTCTTGTCATATGAATAAAGCACCATGCAGCCAGTATCTCACCGGTCTCGGTCTCGTTGACATTTGCAGGCCGTGGAGAACCTGCGTGCATCCTGTGCATCCTGTGCTTCCTTTGCACCCTGGACGTTGTCACCCCAGATACTTGCGATCTTCACAAGACACCTGCGACGGAAACGGGCCTGGGAGGCCGGGCGGGTTGGCAGCGGTTGGTGGGGTTGCAGCACAGGAGGGGGGTGGGATGGATGGGGGGGGGGATCATGTTGGGTGGGAGGCAGGCCAGGTGGGGTGCGTCGACGCTAGAGCTGAGGTCGGGAGTGGATGATTCAGGCGGGCATGACCGCCTGTGAGTGGCCAGCGAAGGTGTGACTTGTGGGGACCTGGCGCCCCCTGTCCGAAGAGCGAGGAGCCAGACGGACTCGACAGCAGTCACCCACGCTCAGAGCTTGCTGGTGCTCTACTCGCTGCTCGCTGCGCGCTGCGTACGTGCTTGGCCTGAGGCCTTTGACGGCGCGGTCCCCCCTCCACCCTTCTTCAAAAGGCCGCCGGGTTCCCTCCAGACAATCCTCCAGCTCACGTGAATCTCGAATCTGGTCACGAGCATCCACCCCCCTCCAGCGCGACGAGCCGCCCGACAATACAGGTATGCATTCATCGCCATCTGCCTTTTTATCCTCGGACTTGGTCGAATCTGACTCTCGAGAAGCAGACACGGCACCCGATACCATCAGATCCCCATCAACGCCCTGCAACGCTTATTCCGACCGCGTTTTGTCGCCCGCTGCCGCCCAGACTCCCGCTCCTCTGCCTCCCCTATCAAACGCAATCAGCACCTGACTTGCCACATGACAAGAGGGCGATCGTGTAAGTAAAGGCGGTCTCGATTTTTAAACCCCCCATGCCGTCAAATCAACCTCCAGCATCGTGTCCAAAGGTGGATCCCAGACCAGTTCCGCATCAGCATTTCATATCCCATCTTGAGTTTCCTCGTGTTGAACGTCCTTCCTGTCGCCCAGCATGGTCTGGCCTACCTGTCCTCAAACCTCGACAAACTCGGGCCAGCCCTCGAGCTGCAACGCACTCCGTCTGAGACATGCCCAAGTAGGCGTGCCCAAGCAGGCGTGCCCAGGAGCTCAAGTGAGCCTGACGCGATGTCGACGAGAGCGTCAACATGTGGTCCAACAAGGCTCGAGTGGCCTTGTTGCATCATCTACCTGCGCTCCTCGATGAAAACGCACCTCATCCCAACCAACCAACATGTACGACTCGTCTCAACGTGTGCCAACTCAAAGAAGCACTGCAGCGCCCGGCGTGATGATTGTGTCCCAGCTCCACCACGTTCTCTTTATGTTCTAACTGAGCCGGTCAGGCACACGGCCTTGAGGAGCCCAGCAACACAATGTCTTCAGAGCTCGCTGCGCTGGTGATGGCGCACGTTGCGAACCCGGAGCCCGATCTCTCAGCCCTCACAAGCTCCCCGCCTCAGAAACGAAAGCGCCCTGGTGAGACCTCACCAGACGTGCGCCGTTCCAAGCGAAACAACATGGCCAGTCCTGACCCAACGGACGCATACGTCAATAACGCAATGGACACCGCCCAAGCCGCCGCCGCCGGCGTCAATGTCTCCGACTTCAACGCCCTCCAGCAGGCCGCGGCTGGTAGTGACCACACCGATGCGGCTGATCCGGCCAACGCGTCCAGCACCGCGGCTGCCGCCCTAGTCTATCCTACCATCCATGCCCCCCAACCATCCGAAGAGAACTTTGCTGCACAGGTCACTGGTGACCATGAGGATCAGCATAACATGGACCTCGTCCCATACACGCATGATGTGTCTCAAGCAGATGGCCTGCCCATGGACCATCAGGCACTAGCCAACGTTGCAACCACCCACCAGCCGCCAGATCCCGGCATGCGCCAGATGGACGACATACCAGGAGCCCGTTACTCCACAACGCCGAACCCAAAACCGGCTGTTGGTTCCGAGGAGTGGCACAAGATGCGTAAGGACAACCACAAAGAAGGTAAAGTCATCCGCAACCTGAGGCCAGCCAGCTTGATGAACCGGTGTACTGACAACGTGTAGTGGAGCGCCGTCGGCGGGAGACTATTAACGAGGGCATAAATGAGCTTGCAAAGATAGTGCCCGGTTGTGAGAAGAACAAGGGCTCGATACTACAGAACGCTGTGCGCTACATCACCAAGCTCAAGGAGGATGAGCAGCAGGCGGTTGAGAAGTGGACGCTGGAGAAGCTTCTCACAGAGCAAGCCATCGCCGAGCTCAGCTCCTCGAACGACAAGCTGAAGAACGAGTGTGACCGTCTCTTCCAGGAGCTGGAGACGTGGAAGCGGGTTGCGCAGAGTGCGGGCCTGTCTCCAGAAGGCAACCAGAACGGGGACGGCGCTGATCAGAGCAACGACCCGAAGCCATAGGATGGCTCCTCCGGGTGGCCGTGATGAACGCATTCCTCTCTGCTTCTTCTGCTGTTATTAGGTATACCCTCGTGGTGATGTACCCGTCACCACCTTCTATTCAACCAACGGAGTTGCGTTCATCTGATCTTTGATGGCGAAGTGTTGGACATTTTAGGGCGAGCTGTTTCCACTTCGAGTACAGGGCGTAAGGGATGGAACTTGGGGGCAACTCGGGACGTGTGTGCTTGTGTCCTTGCATACTTTGATAATGGCATGGGTGCTGTTTGTTCCGGCACAGCAACTGTTTGTTTGCGGCGATGGAGCCATTGGAAACCCATCTCCTCCGAAGCACGGTGGTTTGCTTCCTCCTGTAGACTTCTTCTAGGCATTGGCGTTTAGGGGAGGCATGGCAACGCCCACAAGGATTAAACCGAGGTATCGGATAGCTTCAATGTCCCAGAAAGAGGCATTGCTATAAGCTACTGCCATTTTCAATCTGAGCGCGTCCTCCTTGGATAAGTATCATACATAGTGAAGGGGAAAGGAAAGTGGCCATGCCGTGGGAACTCCCAAAACTGTGATGGAGGAACTCGTAGCCCAAGTACTCGAGACATTGAGTACCAAGTCCCTAAGATCTGACACCATCTTACTGCTTCGGGCATGTGTAACCCTCATCGCAGTGCACAGAGATCACCTGCACAGGTGATTGAACGACGATTTGCTCCGCCGCATGGACATTCCCTTTTGGGCCACAGGAGTGTAACAAGATCTTTGGGGTTTGGTGGTACTGTGGGCTGGGCTTGGGCTGAGGAGATCTGGCCGCCGACCGGCCCCGGGCATCGGCGGGGCCCACGATTCGAGAGACGGGCCGGGCTTGCTTGCCCAAGATGGGAGAGGATGAGATTGGCAAAGCGAAACTGCTGGCAATAGTAAATGCTAACACCATGACAGAGAGACGAAGGCCGGTCCGGTCCCAAGGGCACGAGGTCGAGCAGCCGGATCATCGCCGGCTGGACATGCCTGAAGCGGAAAGGCGTCGACAGGGGCCCGGCGAAAGCTTGGCCTCCGCCTTTCGCTAGAGACCGTTTTGAGACGTCGTCGACACGATGATGTCTGTGAATTTCCAGGAATTTTTGTAGAATTATCTGTAGAAACAAGAAAACACGTATGACTACCTGAGGAGATATAGACTGGTAAGAGAATACACAAGAGACTTGGATCTCATTATTGCCACGAAAGAGATGCATTTCGCCGGGGACCTTCAATCTGGTGCTGGCCCCGGAGAAGTCAATTGGAGCTGCAGGTCGCCACTCCACTGATAAGCCGGTAGCAGCCCACCCCGCGATAGGTAGGCCTGTGCGAAATGCGGGACCCCAGCTCGGGAAAGCTCCCCTCGTCACTGTCGCGGCGCCGCCCTGGAGGGACGGGCAGAGAGACGTAAATACTCCCCCTCGCGCCCACTTCCCACCCTCTCTTCCTGTGTGCCTTGTTTGTACTTGCGACTTCGTGGTGTACTGTACGGATCCAATTGATCAAGTTTTTTACCTAGTGGTTTCTGTGACACAGGATTCCCTGCAGGTCCCTCATCCAGTCCATATTTCAATCTTTCGGCGAAATACCGCTGCCCACCGTCCCCCCTTCTTCGACTTGCGAGACTCAAGACTCAAAAGTATAAAACAGCCCGCCATGTCCGCCCTCCGGACGCTGTCACGGCGCACTGCGTCAAGCTCTGTCCGCCTCGTCTCGTCTCGTTTCGCCTCTCCCGCCCTCTCTCTGTCCAGCAGGTCATTCTCAGTCTCCGCCAGTAACATGGGCCGCTTCGATGGTGTCGAGCCCAGCGCTCCCTCGGTCAAGACGGCTATTCCTGGCCCAAAGGCCAAGGAGCAGATCGCCGACCTGGACAAGGTCTTCGACACGAGGAGCTTGAACATGCTCACCGACTACAAGTCCAGCATTGGCAACTACATCGCAGACCCGGATGGGAACGTCCTCCTTGATGTGTAAGTTACCCCAGGTCACACCTACGCTGGACTTCCCCAATGTCATATGTCAAGCACAGGGCATGGGCTAACGCGGTGTTACCTCGGTGTGTAGGTATGCGCAGATCGCATCTATCCCCGTGGGATACAACAACCCTCACTTGATCGAGACCATGAAGAGCCAGGCCGTGGTCAGCTCTCTGGTCAACAGGCCCGCCCTGGGCAACTTCCCTCCAAACGACTGGGCCGAGATCCTGCGGTCCGGCATCCTCAAGGTGGCCCCCAAGGGCCTGGACCAGGTGTTCACGGCCATGGCTGGGTCAGACGCCAACGAGACGGCTTACAAGGCGGCCTTCATGTGGAAGCGCCAACAGCAGCGTGGCGGCGCCCACGTTGAGTTCACCGAGGAGGAGCTGAACTCGTCCATGAACAACTCGTCCCCCGGTGCCTCGGAGCTGTCCATCCTCTCCTTCAAGACCGCCTTCCACGGCCGTCTATTCGGCTCGCTCTCCACCACCCGCTCCAAGCCCATCCACAAGCTCGACATCCCCGCCTTCGACTGGCCCCAGGCTACCTTCCCCCTGCTCAAGTACCCCCTGGAGGAGCACGTCGAGGAGAACCGCAAGGCTGAGCAGGCCTCGCTGGCCGAGGTCGAGCACCTCCTCACGACCTGGCACCTGCCCCCGTGCGCCGTCATCGTCGAGCCCATCCAGTCCGAGGGTGGCGACAACCACGCGTCGCCCGAGTTCTTCCAGGGCCTGCGCGAGGTGACCAAGAAGCACGACGTGCTCCTGATCGTGGACGAGGTGCAGACGGGCGTGGGCGCGACGGGCAAGTTCTGGGCGCACGAGCACTGGAACCTGGCGACGCCGCCGGACATGGTGACGTTCTCCAAGAAGGCGCAGACGGCGGGCTACTACTTTGGCAACCCGGAGCTGCGGCCCAACAAGCCGTACCGGCAGTTCAACACGTGGATGGGCGACCCGGTGCGGGCGATCCTGTTCCGGGCCATCATCGAGGAGGTCGAGAAGCACGGCCTCGTGGAGCAGACGGCGCGCGTCGGCAACTACCTGTACGGCAAGATCGCGGCGCTGGGCGACAAGTACCCGGGCCAGTTCGCCAACCTGCGCGGCAAGGGCCAGGGCACCTTCATCGCGTTCGACAACCCCAAGCGCGACGAATTCCTCAAGAAGGCCAAGACCCTCGGCATCAACATCGGCGGGTCCGGCGCGAGCGCCGTGCGGCTCAGGCCGATGCTGACGTTTGAGGAGAAGCACGCAGACATCCTGGTCGAGGCCCTGGAGAAGATCGTTACGTCATTGCAGTAAATGCAAGGGCAACAGGGTGTTATATCTGTTGTTAATTATTATTATGGCCGAGGGGTGACGGCAACGGTGACGGTGACGGGTGACGCAGGAACGGATGGATTTTAAGGTTTATGAGTTGTTCAGCAGGCATGGCCGGGATGGCTTCTATTTCTCTTTCTTCATGTTCCCTATCTGGAGTTCAGTGCGTGCAAGACATCAAAGGGGGTTGGAGGGGGGTCGGTGACAGCATATCATCGCCTGCATTTGGTTTTATTGGTTTTATTTTGTACGGGAATACTCATCCTCGGGCGGGCCATCCCCTGCGTCGGGCAATTATCTCACCAAAGTATCACGGCTGAGTCTCTAGGTCCAATACCGATGGGCTGGAATCTGGCGATCTCGCGCGCGGGCGCCATGTTTCACGCTGCTGCCAATGTGAGTAGCGTGTGTAGCGGGTTTGTGGTGTATGCGGTTTATGACCTCCTCGGGCCTTGGAAGCAATATCTATCCACACATCCAGCTAAACAGGGGTGGGCCTCTGTGCTGCGTGTAAGCCGTTTCCTGGCGCCGAGAAGGGCGCAAGTTACAGGCATGATGATAAATAACACCCAAGGCCGGCCCCGAGGGCCAATAATTCTTGCGACGCAAGGCCCGTTTGTGGTGACCCGGGGTTGTCAAAGGCATTGAGTCGTCGCGGCGCGGGCTGGAGGCATGATCCCGCCTTGGTGGTGCGGCAGAACCATACTATGTAGAAGTTGCGGTGGCAGCCTCGCGCGTGTGGCGTCATCCCGCCCGAATAGGGTTTGCCGGCGCGGTTGCGACTCTCTGTCTGCCTCGCTTCACGTCGCTTCGCTCGAACCCCCTGGATTTGCTCAGATTGGCTGCAGGGCACCAACACTGCAGGGCTGACTTTGCCGGCTGGCTAGGGGTCCCTTCATGCCTGACCGCGATGTGGTGGTTTATCACGTACATTGGGCTGATTGGTTTATATTTCGCTTGCTGACTTGTCCGCAAGCGACACCGCCTAGCGGTAGTAACATTGCCAGGTAGGCTGTTCTTATGCGTTGGAGGTTTTCAAGGCTGAGGATTGACTCGCCGGCCTGGGCCAGGCTGTGGGTCTTTTCTTTTGGTGTTGGGCAGCATGTAGTGTTATCGATGAGATCGGAGACAAAACCTGATCGACGATTAGGGGCCGGGGGATTGATCGCGAGGAGGATTAGGAGGGCCGCATGCTGCCCAAGTCAACAAAAACGGCTCGCAGGCCTGCCGCTGTCTGGCCTGTGCCACGACAGCGGGTTGTGCAGGCCCGGATGCTGCGAATGTCCCTGCTCGCTTGATGTCGGTGCCACATGGGAGATGGAGAATCAGGCCGACGGATCAACTACCGAGTACTAACAACATGATCTCCCTCCTTCATTCTTGCTTGTCCATTTCGCTATGCGATCATGTGAGCACCCTGCCAAGCTAACCAAAGGCCTCCAAGTCTCCATGATTGGCGGCAGGGCGGAATGAACGGAACCGGGGGATCTGAAATTGGGTTATCAAAGACGACGTGTGCGCTTATTTTGAGTGCCATGTCGAACCGGGGAAAAGTAAGCAGCTGTGATAAGCAGCAATGAGCAGTGAGTTGCAGTCAGGCCGCACCCATCAGTCAGGTAAGCAGGCATTGAGGATTTCCAATCTCCAGGGCCGCCAAGGGCCAAGAAAGCTTTGACGAACCATCCACCCTCGGCTTGCAAGCAGGGACGACCCGAATAAAAGATCCCGGGACGAGTGAAGTGTCCGCGCCAGTCCCATGTCACCAGACTGCTGCCGCGCGAGGTACGGCGCAAGGGACCATTGTCGTGAGCCGCCCACTTCATTATGCGCCCACACACAAACACGCACCGGCACGGTGGTCGATACAAGTGCCCGACCGCAGGTTTGTTCTGGAAGGCATGATGGAAGGAGGGACAGGCCGGCCGGGCGAGGCGAGGCTGGCGGGCGATGATGTCGTTGCCCGGGCTGGCATAACGCAGCAGCCGGCGCTCTGTACACGTGTAGGGTTGATCCTCTCTCTCTCGCACCGCGCCGGCGCGGAGAATTCTATGCAGGGCTGCAGGCCAGACACAGCCGTTTGTTATGCCTGTGAAGCATAGCGTGCGCTCGCCGGTGACGTTTGACGTCGATGTCGTCGTGATCATGAGAGTGTGTCTGTAACCAATGCCGATCGAGATGCAGCATGCGGGCATCGTGACATGGGCTCCCACTGTACGGCACAGTTACGGTTGCATACCGGGTCGTCCGGAAGGGCCTGTTAGCGCCAGGGGACCCGTTGCGTGGGAGTCGCTAAGAAAAGCGGGTAATTGACAGGGAAAGGAAAAAATAAGGGCCCTTTGGGGAGCGACTCTGCGCTGGCTTCGCCTCGCGTGGTCTGGCTCAGAGGCCGAGCCCGTCATCTCAAAATTGATATGAAAGTCCCAATCTCGCTCGCGAAGGCGTGCCGTCCCATCTCGCCCTCTCCAACCCCATCTTATCGCAAGTTTCTTGTCTTGCCGACCGTCCGTGTCTGATCTCCCAAACGGCAGGCGTCTCGACGGCAGCTCAGCTCATCCTCCCTACAACAAAGTTCCCCAGTCAAGTCGTCGAGTTCGCCCTCGGCCACATCCCACCGGCTCCCTTCGCACCCCTCGGCCGCCCCCCTTTCGGCTCCCGCAAAAAGGAAAAAGGGATCGCCGATCACGTCGCGCCCTGTCTGTCTGCCCCAAAGCTTGCTCCCTGCCAGCCAGTCCAGGTGCATGAACTCCCCTGCCTGAGGAGAGAGCAACGCACATACCCCAAGAGCCGCGACCTGTCAGTCGATTCTTATTAATTGAACCGTCCTGCCCGGCACTGACGAAGAGCCAGGAGGGAGGAAACAAACAAATCTCGGCCCTCGTCCTCACCCACACAGAACATCATCAACCGGCTTGTTGTACTGCAATTGTTGTGCAGCAAGATAGAGACATACCTACACACACAGTCTCATCAGCAAAGTGAGTAGGAGCAAATCGGGCGCTAGCTCTCGCGTCGCCACTCCAATCCATCATCCCCAATCCCACACACGCCTTATCGCCGCGCCCAGGGCAGGAATTGGCGGTGCGCGCTTCTTCTGCGCCTCCCCGGCTCCTTCGTGCCTCCGCGCCCCTGGCACTGGACTATTCCGGTGCACCCGACCGTGTTCAGTCCAGCCTGCAAAAAAGCTGCAACCTGCAGGCCTGCAACCTGCGCCGTGCACCTTCCCACGCCTTCAATCTCTTCCGTCAAAGCTTCCCCCGGCCAGCGTCGTCGGGTTGCTTCTTCTTCACCTCCTGCACAATCCCGCCTTCGACCATCTCAAATCACACGAGTCTCCTCCCCTGTCTGGACCTTTGCCACGCCAATCACTTACCCAATCTGTCCGGGCAATCTTACACAGAAAACTACCTTCGCACCCAACACCTCATCCGTCAGCTTCTTATTGACTCTTTTTCCCCTAACAGCTCCTCAATCGAGTCGAAGCCACCCGCTCGATTGAACCACCAAACGGCATCGGCAGAGCACCACACCCACCTACCGTGAGCTCCCGGTCTGTTGAGGACCGTTCAGAGATGCCTACCAAGCTATCGAACCCCTTCTCAGCCCTCTCCAACATGACGCCGCACGAGAAGCTTGGGGACCGTAGGCTGTCCCAGTCTCGCACGAACCGTCTGACTCAGCTCTTTTCCTCGTCTCCCAAGAACAAAGAGCAGCCCTCTGCTCAGCAGTCTCTGCTGGCTGTACAGCAGGTCGCCAATTCGGCCCAGATTACCGCTCCCTCATTATCGCTGCCTACCATCTCCCTATCCACCGCGACCGCCGGCGAGGTCAACGACGATGAGCCCTCAACAACCCTGTTCCAGCCCCCCTCAGACGCAGAGGACAGGAAAAAGAGGCGCGCAGAGGCACAATTTGGCCCTCTCTTGCATCCGAGCCACAGATATGTTAGCAGGCACCGCGGCGGCACTCTGGATCCACCCATCGAGGACGAGCCTCCCTACTACTTCGTCCTCACCACGTACATCAGCTACCTGCTCCTGATCTTCTTCGGCCACGCCCGTGACTTTTTCGGCAAGCGCTTCGGTGACCAGAAGCGTTACAGCAGTATCCGCAGCGGCAATGGCTACGCTCCCCTGACAGATGATTTCGACAGCTTCTACATCCGCAGGCTGAAGAGGAGAATCGACGATTGCTTCTCCCGGCCCACCGTTGGCGTTCCCGGGCGTTACATCACACTGGTCGATCGTATGTCGACCGACTACAACCAGAGCTACACCTTTACCGGCACCTACACCCAGACCCTTAACATGAGCTCCTACAACTACCTTGGATTCGCCCAGTCCGAGGGCCCTTGTGCAGATGCCGCCGAGGAGATCGTCCGCAAGTATGGCATGGCCACCTGCAGCGCCAGGGCCGATGCCGGTACATCTGACCTCACTCTCGAGGTCGAGAAGGAGATCGCGCAGTTCGTCGGAAAGCCTGCTGCCATGGTCTTCTCCATGGGCTACGTCACCAACGCTGGCACTTTCCCGGCCCTTGTCTCCAAGGGCTGCTTGATCATCTCTGACGAGCTCAACCACGCCTCTATCCGAGTGGGTGCCCGTCTGTCCGGCGCCATCATCAAGTCCTTCAAGCACAACGACATGGTCGACCTGGAGAAGAAGCTCCGGGACGCCATCTCTCAGGGGCAGCCTCGCACGCATCGCCCTTGGAAGAAGATCCTGGTCGCAGTCGAGGGTCTGTACTCTATGGAGGGTAACATGGTTGATCTTCCTGGCGTCATTGCCCTGAAGAGAAAGTACGGCTTCTACCTTTACGTCGACGAGGCTCACAGCATCGGTGCTCTTGGCCCCAGAGGTCGTGGCGTCTGCGACTACTACAAGATCGACCCCAACGAGATCGACATTCTCATGGGTACCCTGACCAAGTCCTTCGGTGCCAACGGTGGCTACGTCGCTGCAGAGAAGCCCATCATCGACAAGCTGAGGAGCGTCAATGCTGCGACTCTGTATGGAGAATCCGCGGCTCCTGCCGTCCTGGCACAGATTCTGGCCTCCCTCAAGATCATCGACGGCGTGCTGGCCCCAGGGCAAGGAGACGAGCGACTGCAACGCATCACCTTCAACTCGCGCTACCTCCGACTCGGGCTCAAGCGACTTGGTTTCATCGTCTACGGCCACGATGACTCCCCCATCATCCCTATCATGCTCTACAACCCGGCCAAGATGTCTGCATTCAGCCATGAGATGCTGAAGCGCAAGATCTCGGTTGTGGTGGTGGGCTACCCCGGCACGCCCCTGATCAGCTCAAGAGCCAGATTCTGTGTCTCGTCTGCGCACAACAAGGACGACCTGGACCGTGTTCTGGCCGCCTGCGACGAGGTCGGTGATATCCTGCAGGTCAAGTTCTCGTCAGGTATTGCTGGAGGTCTCGAGGAGCCACTGCCCACGGGGGTGTCTGCAGAGGATGAGAAGGAGTGGCGGAAGGCGAACGGACGGGAAGTCATCCAGCCCCCACGCTGGAAGTTGGAGGATGTGATTGACTGTGGCGCGCGTGATACCCAGTTGCCTCTGCGATAGGTTCTGTTCAGGAACGTTATGTGCGGGCACTAATTAATGTCTATTATTGTTTAGACGATACCACCTTGAGTTGTGTGTGTGAAGAAGAAAAAAGCTGAGAAAAGACACCAAAAGAGGACGAGCAAAGGGATCCCTCAACATGATGACGGCGTTTTTCTATCTTTGATGTATTCGTATATGAAAACCCTTTTTCACTTCTACCATGGTTCATGATGTTGGGCCTTGCGAAATGCGCATTTACGTGGGGATGGTTTCCAGGAACGAAGAATCGGGGGCGCCTTTTTCTTGCTTCGCTCGCTCCAATGATGGCTGGGGTTAAGGGGGCCCCTGGGAAAACACCTTTTTATATCTTGCATTCTTGAAGCAACCGGCCATTCGCTAGAGCACGGATGGATGACTCCTCTGGTTGGAAGACACAGAGAGAAATTATAGATAGTCGTCAAGAATACGACATTCTAATACCCCTCACACATGCTCTCCTCCGGCCGGACCTGATCATCGCTCCTGTCTCTCTGCTTTTGTGTGTGTGTGGTTCATGCTGTGTCACTCGACTTCCGCTGTAGTCTAATGCGGGATTCGGGTTAGATTAACGGCTGTCACACTTACATTGCGGAGAATGACATGTTTGTTGTACATACCGTCTGATGACTGGTTATGGTGAGGTGAGTTCAAGCGGTTAGGGATCGAGGTCACTACTGATGCAACAGACGGAGATCATGAGGAAGGAGATCGTGCAAAGAATACTGTGAGGAAGGAGATCATCGCTGAGGTTCATACTGCTCAACTGCTTCAGCTGACAGAAAACCCAGGAAATTTTGTCATGTACTTGACTGGTACAGAAAACGATCACGAAGACTGATACCCGGACTGATGACCCCCATAAGTGATAGCAGAGGTTATCCCACCATATGTCATTCCTACTCGACGTTCAATTGCACAAAGTTTCAGTCACCCGCGGATGTCTGGAATCAATGTGACCTATGTATCTGATACATCATAGCCAAAAGAACAATGAAAAAACACACATGGTCATGCCGTCTCTGTACTTGGGGTGAGCACTGTAGGTACTTGGATGTGGCCCGTGCGCTTTCCTTTCACGCGCTTGATGACTTAAATTGCCCCTCAACGCGTGTCCCAGCCGCGATAGAGCATCCGTTTAAAACTTCTGGACTTTTCTGGGTGACTGGCCAACACCAAACAAATAAACGTGGAGATCGGTTTCCTGATTCTGCACCAGTGACTTGATCAATCTCCAAGTTTTCTGGGGCATGGCTGCCTGAAAAGTTGATCACCGACACTGCCGCTCTTGTGACACACCTCGCTAGTGCGCTCATGTTACTGGAGCGAGCAACCTCACGACATTATCGCAGCTGCCACACAGACACGGCATCAACAGCTACTTTTGCAACTCACCTGATGCCCAACAGACTAAGCCTTACACCTAAAACCACCGAGCTCATCTCGAGATGAGCTCGTCCAAGCGCCGCCGACATCAGCAGCAGAGGCTCGCCTTCGAGGCTGTTTCTGAAGCCGACTCGCCAGCCCTGGGCCAAGGGCTTTCGCCTGCAAGGGTCAGGTTCCAGTCACCCAACAACGGGAGCCCAAGCAGTCGTTCAGTGCGCCCACCCAAGATGACGCGCTCCAAGAAGCCAAAGCAGCAGACTTTGGATGCATCGCTTAGTATGTATAGCTCACGTCGCTACTCGCCCTCCGATACGGGATAATATTTGTGCTTCGGATCGCTTTGTACATTTTGGCTCTTGAAGGTACCATATTTGGCAGTATTGTACACGGCTAACTCAGACCCTCAGGCAAAGCAAAAATCAAACAGCCAAAAGACGAGGAAGGTGAGGATGATAATAGGCCCCTGTCACTGGGAAACGATGTGAAAGTTCGAAGGAGGCAACCGCCTTCCCCTCCTCCCTCGTCTTTCATGTCAAAGTCCAACAGAGCACACCATCACGTCGTGGATAGTGACTCGGAGACTCCTGTGGAAGAGGACGGAGAGCTGGATGACACGGATGGCGAAGGCCCCTCAAGACCCGAGATCATCCGGAGACGTCTCAACCGCCCGGCCAAGAGAAGCGGTGTGCCTGTCATCAACTTGGATGGCAGTGACGATGAAGAGCCCAACGTCCGCTCATCCCAGTCTCTACCGAACCAGGCCGCCGTTAGTGATGACTCCGACGTGCCGCTGGTGACCCCACGGTCGAGCGCGCGTCAGAAGGGCCGGGTGGTCTTGAATGAGGACGAGGACGAGGACGAGAATGAGGAGGATGAGGAAGACATCCAGAGCCCTACGAAAAGGCGAAAGCTCACCCGCAACACTCGTCGTGTGAGTCCTGTGGCCAGTAGTGATGGTTCAGACTCGGACTTGAGCCTATCAAATCGCCAAGTCACTCCCCAAAGCAAGAAATCTGGTTCCTCGCAGTCCTCGACTCGTAAGATGAGATCGAGCGCACGCAAGGGTCACCGCTCTGAGAAGGAAAAGAAGATGGAACTCTTGCGCCGCAGGAGGGCTGGGGAGAAGGATCTCACCATGTCAGACCTAGAAACGTCTGAAGAGGACATCGATGAGGACCAGGGTGCTCTGTATGATACGGACTCAGACCACCAGGTCCTTGACGTGTTCGATGACGAGTCGGACGCTGGACCCTCGGAAGCTGCAGCACCTGCCAAGAAGTCCAAGAAAGCGAAGAAGAAGCAGAGGAGCAAAGCCTCGGGCAAACGAGACGCGGGCGGCGACGAAGGCACTGAGGACAGCGAGGGGAATCTGGAGGGCTTCGTCGACGAGGATGACGACACCATCGGAGTCCCGGATGAGGCATTGTACCAGATGCCCTTGGAGTTCACGCGTGCCTCTCGCAAGCCCCTTAAGGCTCACTTCAAAGACGCTGTGGAGTGGCTCGTCCACCGCCGGATCAACCCTGGCTTTGAGAGGGACGATGAGGTCTACAGGACGGCGTGGACACGACTTAACGACGAGGTTATTGGCCTTGCGAACTCGAAGTGGGTCTCGTCTTCCTGGAGGCCTGATTTTTACCGGCTCCTACGGGCTCGACCATACATCGAGCAAGCCGAGCTCGGCTATGGTCATCTCGGCACCGACGTGGAAAAGTGCCAGGCGGTAAGCAGCTCCCCCGTGTACCATTTGATCCTTCCCCAGGTGCCAAACCTGCTATGATTGTGGTCTGTCTCATTACTTGCCTTGCGGCCCTTTGGTAGGCCCCAGGTTTTGAGACAGACTATGTATATATCGCATCTTACCCCAACACCTAATGTTATTACACTTCTTCCTCAATGGGTTGATAGCTGACTGTGTATGCTGCTAGTGTGGACGGTCGAACCATCCGGCAACGTGGGCTATCAATTTTACGGGAAAACCATATGACAGCTACACGTTGGACGAGTTGGACAATGACACGACCACCGACTCGGAGGATGAGTCCAATCATTCAGAGCGCCCGGACCGCGACGCACACGGCAACGAACTCCCATCCGAGGACAGGCAGTTCTTCGTCGGCACGGTCTGCAACAGCAACGCCGAGATGGCCCACAACCTGCTGCACTGGAAGCCAGCGCTGCGGGACTGGGTCGGCAACACGCTGGAGAGGGAGGGCTGGCTGGCGCCTGAGAAGCTGGCCGAGCTGGACAGGATGAAGTCCAAGAAGCGGCGCAAGGTCGCCGACGGCGTCATCGAGGACTGGGACGAGCGCGGCATCATCAAGCGCCTGTACGGCGACTTCAAGGAGAACATCCGCAGGGCCGAGGAGAGGGACACCACCAAGTCGTCGAGGGGCGGGCGCAACTATACCCGGTAGTTCAGTCGCTCTGCTCGCTTGTGCGGCGGTGTTTCTCGGCGTTTTCTGTGCTGGAAGTTGCTTTGGAAACTGGGACGGCATACCATTTCTTTGGACAGCAGCTATTCCTCCTGGCTCGATGCTGCCCGTCTTGTTAGCGAGGCACGAGTGTTCAGGATTTGATAAGATCTTGAGTTCCTTCCTGGCCCCCTAGCTCTATTTCATCACGACAGGCAACACGTGTCAGTCTACGGAGCCTCCTTGGATCCTCGCATATCGTCTTCTACGGGCAAATACGGCTGCCCAGGGTGCATGATCACCTACGCCAGATGAAGCACGCCTTGCCTTAACCTTTGGCATTTGCTCTCTGGCCCACCACGCCTTGATCTGTGATAATCGCAGAGCTTGGCTGGCCATGGAATTCCAGGGGGACAAAATATCGACCTGATGATGATTGGACTTTGAAGTTTGAGCTTGCTGCTCGCCTGGCCAAAACGTGGCCACTGGGTGGGATCGATGCCCTTATATTGAAGAAGGGGAGGAATTGAGAGACTCGCCCAACCATCCCAGGTGTTGTCGAACGAAATGTACATATCATGACTACTTCGCACCCGGGACAGGGCATGCTTCACAGGGGAGAGTCATCGGGCAAAATTCAGGTGCCATTTGCTTGCCTCATGAATCCGGAATGGTTCTTGTGTGGTTGATTAGAGGGCGGATTTGATGCTCACACGAGCTGCTAGTTTCTAGGGCAGGATTCAGCCCCATCACACAGAGACGATCCCACTAATTCATGACGATATTTCCGATGACACTACTACTGAGTGATGGCCCGGTCCTGCTCGACTCGATCCCGTAGCTGGAAGGAGCCCTAGGAGTACTGGTATTCACTTGTCCAGCTCCGACCTCCCTGTGACATGGCCTCCTACATTCCGTGGGATAACCACCAACGGCATGATGATCGACTGCCTCTCAGGAGGGGAATGTCCCCCTTTTGAAATTATAGAACAACTCACCCTGATAAAAACTCCCAAGCTTCTTCCCTCCCTCAGATAGATGTGTAGCAGAAACGGCGAAGTAGGGCGTTAGGTAGGAAGACAACTGAGGGCGGGCCACAGGCCGGATATGTCATCGTAGGGGGGTGGAGTAAATTTGTGCTAGCCCGGCCGTAACTTGAACCGTTTTGATCATGTAGATATTGTAGTGACTGCAGTATTGCTATGCGCTTGGGAAATGCTTCTCGGCCGTCTGTCCGTATCACGTCTATGTCGATGACTTCTTTCAAGCTTTCCAGGACGCCGGTTCTCCTATGGCTGAAAGGTTGAGTCGTGTCACGAGAGGAGCATACGGGGCGATGCTCTCAAGCCTTGCTCGCAATTGTTGTGAAATTTGATTATCATGCTGCGAGTAATTATCCCACGGGATATGGGAAGCCATACCAACCTTATCCCCTTCAATCACCTGATGTGTCCGTGGCACGGCTGGCCTGTCATTATCCATAAGTCTGTCAACCCCGTTGACATCGTGTTCACGGAGGAGTGACCACCTTGCTGTCCACGACCACAACCACGACGGAGTCCAAAACACAAAGAGGCGTGTCCTGGCAGTCTAGAGGAAAAATTCGTTTAAAAGACATGTCGTCTGACGACGGAACATCGGACCGTCCGGGCTGCGGTCTCTCGCCTCGCGGAACCGGGGGTAGACCGCTCCGTCGCCGACACGGATGTTGACAACTAATGCGTCGGCCCACCCCCCTCACCGGATATGTTTCGGCACATGCGCATTGGCTGCTATCCGGCCCCGGCCGTGTCCGCGTTTTCGTCTTGGTTCTTTCTCTGGTAGGAAGGAGCCGATGTTGTGTGCATGTTTCATCCGTACGCTCCATGCAACGCCCATCCCGGCTGCGAGGGGGGTTGAGCGTCCTTGCGACAACGTAACACGATCGTACGATGCCAGCCCGGCAGGCCCGGACGCAAGACCCATTCCGCGAAGGGTCTCCCGGCTCACGAGCATCACCCGCCGCTCGACGCGATCGGAAAGGCACCCGGGGAAGGGGGAATGACTGATGGGGAGGAATGGATGTGTGTTTAATTTTTGTCCCAGAGAATCGAGAGAAACAAGCCCAGAAGAGATACCCGCCAGCGCGGGGTGGGGAGGACCTCTTCCGCTATATCGAAGACAATTGAGTTCCCAGCCATATCAAAACCACAAGCCGTCTGTTCATTCATCCATACATCCATCCAAGTCCCCGATCCCACCACCCCCCGAGATCATGTCCAGAATTCGACCGTCCGCCCGACCGCCCATCCGTCCGTTGTGCCACCTTCCTTTCCTTTACCAAGATCCCCCACACCCTCGGTCTCGCAGCCCCCGTCATCCCCGCCCCGGGTTCCCCATGTAGGTTGGGGGAGGGGTGGGGGGAGTGGCGATCCCGAATGAATATACAATAGTCGATGAGATGCTGCTGGGCGCGAGGGCCGTAACCCGTCCAGCCGGTGCCCACCGCAATGACAAAACTGTCCCTGTAAATACACCAGACACCACGGCAACCCGCCTCATATGATGCCGCCTGGCGGGTCGTAGCCGCCTCTGGTGGATGCTGCTGATCCCAGGCCTGCGCTTCCGGGCGCCTCCCCTGCCGCGTCGGCCTGGGCGTTGTTCGTCTTCCTCAGCATGAACATTGGCTTCTTGCCCTCCTTGTCCAGCTGCTTGAACAGGATCAGCGGTTTCTCCTCCAGCCCCAGGCACCGCTCCTGGTCCCCGTATACGATATAGAGGGCATATTGGTCCCATGGTGCGTTGATTTGGTATTTCTTGAGCGCGGCCGGTAAGACCTTGTAGCATGGGTCGTCCAGGCTCACCCGGAACGACTTGAATATCTCGACCGATGCGTTGCTCGAGCTCGGCGTGTCGGGGGCCGGCGTCTGCCCCCGCCTTGGTGCAGCGTTGGGTTTGTCGCGCGGATCGTAGCCGTGCTCGTTCTCACGGAAGGTGGATCGGCTGGAGGGGGTCGGCTGGTCGGCGCGGTAAGATCGGGAGCCAAGGGTGGTTCCGCCTATGCTCGGGGGCGACGTGGGTGAGGGCATATTTGGCGACGGGTAGGACGGCGAGGTTGCGGTTGGGCCGTTGGAGCCGTTCATGGCGGCCAGATGTGACGACGACATGACGGCCCTCTCTGCGGCGCTCGATGGGTCTAGTGTCTGTTCCACGATGCTTCGGTCGTGGCTCGTCTGTAGATGCGAGGGTGAGGTGGTCTTTGGCGTCGTGCCGAGGACGATCCGCTTGGTCGAGTATTGCCGCTTGAGGCTGGCAGACTGACTGCCAACAGTGGACGGCGTCGGGGCCGGAGGTGACACTGTGGTGTCATAGCTGTATGATGATTGTTGCCCATTGCTCACGTTCGGTAAGGGTTGTTGGGCGTCCTTGGCCAGGCGCAGAGCGGGCAGCATGTCTTCCCGTAACCTCCGGAAGTCCTCAGCGAGTTTCCTAAAATCCTGCTCGAACAAGTTCATGCGCTCGTCCCGTAGCCTCAGCTGTTCCACTAGATGTTTGATGTCTTTCAGCGTCGCCGTGGCATATTGGGCCTCGGCGTCGGCAGCTGGAGAAGAGCTGTCAGCATGGTCTCTGTAGGCTCTAGATGGAACGGAAACCGCCAGAGGCGGCGATTGGGCCCAAACGTACATAATGGCACATAGTGATCATTTTCTATTGGCACGTCCTGTGCCTTCTTGACATCGTAGACGCTCTTGAGGACGGTTAGTCTGTGGCCAACACTGGTGATGCCCATGGACTTGAGGTCATCGTGTAGCAGAGCAACCAGGGCCTCTCCGACAATTTCGTTTTCTGTTGAGGTGGCGCGTGTCAGAAATCTAGCGACAAGCAGGACGGCAATGACAGGCAGCAATTAAAGACGCACCAATGAATCGATCCGAGTACTGTTGCAGGCCGATGGTTGCGATGAAGTCGGCGACCTCGTCGACGCTCCATTCTGATATGATGGTCTCGGGCAGGCGATCGGCGCTCGATCGATAGCCGTATGTGGTAGGGGTGTGTTCGTTGGAGGGAGGATCGGAGTCGGTGGGCGAGATGGAGGCGTCGGTGGCGTCTATTGGGGAGCTCTCGTGGAGGTCTCGCTCGTACTCGTCGTCGGCATCAGACTCGGCGTATGCCGTGCCTGTGTTGAAGCTCATGGTCGGGGCTGATGCTGGCCTGGGCTGGGCAGGGCAGGGCAGTCAGTGGTATCTGGTATCGGGGTTGCCAAGGCTGGGTCGATCTTGAGACAGGCAGGTGGAGGTCGACGATGGAGGGCTCGCTGAGGATGGAGGGGGAGGCAGGGCAGGACAGGACAGGGCCAGGCGAGGCGAGGCGAGGCGCGACGCGGATTGTCGAGGGCAGATTAGGTTTGGCCACAGGTACGGACAATGTGGACTATCGTGTGGTATGGCACGGGTAGGAATGTGTATGTATGCACCGTATCTCGTCAGGCGGAGGGCGGTAGTGGGTTTGGGCTCGGGAGCTGTTCCATGAGTTTAGTTTGAGGAGGCTTAGCTCGTCACCATCGAGGTGCAGCAGCCAGCAGCCAGCAGATCCACAGCCCACAACCCACAGCCCACAGCGGCTACAAGGAGGGAGCCTCGCGGTCGCACACACGGTGTTGGTGGGTGCGGGCCTTGTCTCTTTTTTCTTGTCGCCGGCTGCAGAAGCGGACGAGGGAGCGGGTGACCGTGTCCGTGAACAGGATTGTTGGGTTGGATTGGGTTGGGCTCGAGTGGAGTGAGAGTGCGATTGCGGGCGGGATGCGGCTTTGCAGGTGGTGTGGTCTTTCTTCTCTTGTCTCCGGAGGGCCCTTGTTGGCTTGGTCGAGCAGCAGCAGTTGAGTAGCAGCAGCAGAGGAGGAGGAGGAGGGCAAAGAGGACGACAGGTACGGCTCGGCACAGTGCAGGCGGGCGCTGCACGGTGCAGGATGGACCAGTTCGGTTCAGCAATAGTAATAGTATTGCAGCAATCAAGGAACAGCCAGGTCAGTCCCGTCGGGGAAAGGCTGGGACAATATGCTGGTGGAGACGGCGTGAATCGTGGGAGTGGATTGGCCCGACAGTGACGGTGGAGACTCAATGGCCGGGTGGGTGCTGCTGTTGCTGTTTGCTGGGTGTTGGTGCTGCTACCGGAAAGAGTGATCTTACTTTCTTTTACTACTCTCTACACCACAGTACAGTACACCGGCCTGCTGTCACAGTATTGGAGGGACTGGACATTGCTTGCAGGCGGGCAAAGATTTGGATCGTCGGCCAGTCGGCCGGCCAGAACAGTCCGTCAACCAGCGACCGAGCCAGAAAACGGTAGGCCGTTGCTGCTGTCTGCTGCATGCTGCCAGGGTAAAAAGGTACCTGGACTACCACCACGTCCCCTACGGTAACACAAGTACCTCACCCAGCACAGTGGGTGGAGGGATCTGAGCAGGGTCAGGACTTGTCTTGTCTTGTCTTGGCTTGCCTGCTTCTATCCATCTCTCTGGGGCAACTTGGAAGTGATCTGGCAGGTGATGGATAGCCTCATCAACCTGCGACCTTGATTGATTTGAGAAGCACTGCACATTCAGTATTCCCGCTGCCAATACCACCCACGGCATTAACGCCAACGCCCTGCCACGGGCGCCCCTGGCCATCCATGGAATGAATCAATGGGTGAATCCGACCTCTCGTCTTCTCCCCCTCCTCACACAGCCTTGACTCTGGCGGCGGCTAGTCGAGTGATTGGACGACGGACCTTGCAGGCCCCTCCTATCAACGGCTGCCAGGACATTGAAACCTCTCGCTCGCGTGCTGCTCCTCCTCCTTCGTCTCCTCGTCTCCTCGTCTCCTCCTCGACCTTCTCCGTCGCCGTCCTTGACGTCGTCGCCGCCAACTCGTCACTACTAAGGAATGAGGCTTTTCGCAAGTTTCACATTGTTCACAACTCAAGTCAGCCATGGCCACTTGCTTGGCCTCCGAGGCCCTGGGACGAGACAGTCGCAAGCGTCCTCCTCCTGCTCCTGCTCCTCCTCATTCTGACCTCATTCATCGCTTGGACGCCCACTTGCAAGTAAGTCGTGACTTGTTATCCTTCGGGCCTACCGTGAGGCGCAAGACGACTTGACCTCGTTCGAATCCCTCGGCATTGAACCCGCCAGGAGAAGCCCGGCCCCTTGCCGTTGATCGCCGCTATTCCAAATCTACTGGCCCGTCCGCCGGAAGGGACTCGTAATCGCCTTGCGCGCCTAAGGGTAGGCATTGGCTGCGTCCTCTGTCCCGGTCGGGCTGTCATGCCATTGCCTAGACTTAGGTACAGCAGCCCAAGCCTTGTCCGCCGTCATCCCGCACTTCTCGCCAGCGCCACACTCTACCGCCCCGAGTGGCTTCTGTTCGCCCACGCCATCGTCGGTGCCACTACTCTCTGTACGTGCACACTACGTGCAACGTCCCGTGTGCATGCGGTATGGCGGCCAGTCGGGCGCAGACCCTGGGCCCTGCAGCTTAGCAGGCGTGCAGCCCTACATGCACTTACACACATTCATACAACTACTGCAGACCACATCCTTCATGTGCATGCCCATACCGCCTTTTTATTATTCTCCCCGCCGGCGTCGAGATGGAGTATTTCTCCCCTCCTTCACATGCTTCCCATATATCCCCGTCATCCACAAGTTGCCCGAACCCGTATAGGAGGCACCGGCTTAGCTTCGCTCCCGGAAGTATAAAATAGTGGGCACCGGCCCATCTGCGGGTCAACAACGCCTAAACATGCCCACGTGTGTTACTATCCAGCTCGTGTACTTAACACATTATTGAGCTTTCCATGCCCCGGACGGTGGCGATAGGCCGCGAGTCCCATCTCAGATGGCAAAAAAAGAGAATCTTTATGTCAATGTAGCCCTTCAAGCTACACAGCTAAGACTTAAGATCCACGCGCCTTAGGACACGGAGAAACTATTCCATTGGCTCTGGCCAACCACAAGTCCCAAGCAGCCCGGAGCCTCCTCTGCCAGCCTTGCGCCTGCCATCGGTGCTCGAAAACATCCGGTATATCAGGTTCACGAGATGAGCCTGCGTAATAGAAAGCAGCAAGGCTGTGTGCTTTGGCAGATCATATCCTGGTCAGCCTGGTCGATATGGAGGCGTCCGAGTCAGCGCCCTCTTCTATTTCGGTGCTCCAGCACTCTGGAAACCCCCCGTGGGGCATTATGGTGATGGGGGCTGATAAACTGATTCGGGTCGTTGAGAGTGATCGATCATGTTGTCGCGTGTAGATCTCTCAAGACACGGGTATTTAACAAAGACCATAATCCTGCTGGGCTGCTCACCTGCCTGATGCAGTACATCCATTTTCCCGACTTCGAGTATCAAGTTCGTCCGTATTGCATAGACTGGTTGTACATATAAGATCCACCACGTAAGGCCACGGTCCCGGCGAGGCGCATACCAGGACTCCGCGTTGAAGAGCTGGCACAGACTCGCACAGAGCAATACTTGTCCATCGATTTCATCCGAAGCGAGACCCTTGTCAACCAAAGATGCAAGCATACGCCATCGTCCTCGCCATCCTCGGCCTGGCCGCAACCGCTCAGGCGGGATGTGGAGGTGTATATTCAAGCTGTCTCACGACGAGGGTACTCGTATAGGGCTGCATGCGAGACGGCTATGGGAAAATCGCCCAGCCTATAGGCAAGTGGTGACGTATAATATCAAAAGGCTACTTGCTTGAATTTAGTGAATGGCTGAAATTCTTCAATACCTCCGAACATGCCTGCCACATTTCCTTCCTTGCTCGGCTGTCAGAAGTGTGCCTGTTCCAGCCTGAGAAGTCGGTCCTCCACGCGAATACGAACCAAACCCGCGTCCGTCCCTGAGACATCTTCCGCCGTGGATGATCACCCGCAAAAAAAAAAAAAAAAAAAAAAAAAGTGTGAAGCCGCCTGAACAAATTATTCCTTCCAATGGCCTGAGTAATTACATGACGGAACGCCGTTCGGAGAACCCCCTTTCCACCCGGGACAAGCTTTCCCACCACACACGCCCATATGCTTGGTACGCACTCACACTCACCCAACTCGCTCACTAACAAGCTCGCACGTAGTTGATGAAACGCCCGGGCCAAAACCCAACCGCCAGCCCTGCGGGTTTCACCACCACCGCCCTCAAACCCCCCGGCCAGCACACACGAAGCAATCTATCAATTGATTATAGTCAAGCTTGCGAAGGTGGGCAGGGCGCGCGGAAAGTGAAGTGACGGCTGCTTGGTTCCAAGACCGGCTCGTTGCACTGGATCCTGCAACTCTCCGCCCTGACTTCTTGGCCTACCTGCTTTGGGAAGCCTTTGAGCCATTCCCTCCCACCATCACCAACAAGCATGTACAGAACCGAGTTGGGCTGGGCTGAACGTGGTGGCAGTGGAGGATCCACAAGGGTTCGAAGAGGGTTAGGTGCCTAGGTAGGATATCGAACTTGCCCTTCTCGGGCTGGGGTAGAGGTGAGAGAGCCTCATCATACATCGCACGACACATCGGATGACGGTAAGCCGGCCGGCCACTCCGCGTGGCAGAATCTCAAAAAAAAAAGAAATGTGCGCCGACGCAGCTACATCACGGAAACCGGCAATGTGTGCTCACCACGGAACCTGACAGGAAGAGACAGATTATTAGATGGATGACTGGCAGAAAAGCCCTACGTAGCTACCACATACACCGTGCATCCACACGGCCCGGCGCAGGGCTGGCTAGTGTTCCTATCTAGGTACGCTGGGCTTGCATCAGGTAGATTAAACACAAGGTGAGCGTACCAGGGAAGAACAAATAGCCCTCCTCGAAAGGACCGATTATTCTGCTATCATCATTATTACTAATAACGGTACCTCCCACCAGAGAGGGCAAAGGCAGCAGGGGTATGCTCCTCGCCTATAGTGGTTCCTGCCATGGAACTCCCCGTCGAGCCTCATTGGGCCAGGCAGGCATCAGCAACACAACGCAGTCTGCCGGGGTTTTACCACAATTTAGTCAGGGGAGCTACGTGGAGCACCGGTTCCCTCCCGCCGTACCTACAGACTGACTGACTGCTACAGGCAGGAAGTTGAGGCTGAAGTTTGGGGAGGGGAGAGGAGTTGTAAGAAAGCAAAAAGAGAGCCCCGAGAAATTATTCTTCTGCATTGTTCTCCATCCTGAGTTGTGTGACTAACTGTGTAAGTGACAAGCCTCTCCGAAGAACAACAGTGTCCAAGGAGGGAAAGTAGATAACCTATGCCTCATGGGAGCCACTACTCCCTCATGTCTCCTAATATCTCTTCACTCTGGGGATTCAGTCCCTTTAGCAGAGAAGCCACTGGTAATTATACAAAGTTTTGTTGGGTTGCCTGTGACACCAGGCAACAAAAGACGCCTGCACAGAGGAAGAGCCGAGAAACCAGAACCAGATGATAGATAATTAGCCCACACCTCCGAGAACCCCCTTCCTGCTTTGTCCGATGCAGCAACCCCTAGCCTTTTTCATCGCCACCGATTTTGAATTTTCTTCCTGGCTGGCTCATCGCTCCGCAGCGCAGCCCAAGGTGTCTATGCCTCTCAATGCCTGCTGCTGCCGCTGTAGTACTCCCTAGCCCGCTCGTCGTTCAGCTCCTGGCTCGACTGCCCCACCCCCTGCATCTCCTCAATGTCCGAGATTGTGTCATTGAAGATCTTGACCAGCTGGTTGAGAACCTTCATACGGTTCCACTCATGCCTGGACAGCCAGATGTGGTCCATCAGCTCGCGGTTGATCTGCTCCAGCTGCTCAATCGTGCACCCCGACGTGCGCTCCGTCAGGTCGTTCAGGAACTGTTGAACCTGCCCGTCGTGCACCACCGGCATGTGCTGCGACGACGACGAAGATCCGCCCGAATTGCGGACTGACGAGTTGTCAGACACGGATACGGGGTCGTTGAGAAGGTTGGGGAGGCCGATCCTAGAAGCCCTTCGATCGGTTGGGACCTGGGAGGAAGTCGGGCTGGTCTGCACATTCGATGCGCCGTAACCCACGTTCCTCAGCCTGCCGTGCGCAAGGGCGTCGGCTTGCGAGTGCATCCAAGGCGAGTGGCTGGAGCCTGTCTGCTGGCTCGGCCCAGATTGGTGGTCCCCCGGTGGCTGCGTGTCGGGCAACTGCGAAGTGTTTTCCACGTCGCCATGGAATCCATTCGTCGCCTGAGTGCTCCAGTTGCTTGACGACTTGTTCGTCGATGGATCGTTGGTCGTGGAAGCCTCATTTAGCACAGCAGAAGGCGACACACCCTGAGGCAGCGATGTCAGTGCCGAGACCTGCGATACTTGAGATACCTGGGTCTCTCCCGCAGCATTTCTGACTGAAACAGTTGTGCTCGAGCGCTGTTGCACCACAGGTGGTGGCCCCATTTGCGAGAATGGCTGTGTTGCCTCATCACCGCCGCCCTCCTCCGGTAAACGGGAGGGTACCGAGTTGCCGTTGCTCATGTGAGAATCTCCGGCTTGGTCACGTTCCTCGGGGCTCATCACCCTGAACCGAGCCATCGTCGTGCTCTCAGGTGGCACTGGCGCGCCGATCCTTATTGGGCCGACCTGGGACTCGCTGTCTTCGATCATGCCTATGGCAGTTTGCATCGCGGCCTTCTTTTTCGCCTTCTCGGCAGCTTCGGCAGCACGTCGAAGCTGTCGTTCGTGCAGCGCCTCCCAAGGGCCTGGGCCGCCGAGGGCATTTTCAATTTCGCCCATGTCCACATCCACGTTGCTCTCCATTTCATTCGACTTGAGGATCTTGTCCTTGTCACCCACGTTCTTCGAATCATGAACAAGTGTCTTGATATCTCTGTAGAAATCCTTGGGTCGGGCATAGTATCCGTTGGAAAGTCGCTCTTCGATTGTGATGAGCTCAAGGTTGTAGTAGAACTTCCCGGTGTCGACTTCAAGCAGCCCATCTGTTCCATGGCTGTCCTTGGAGATTATGTACGGCCTGTGCTGCGGCACGTCGGGGCTGACATAATTGGGGTCGGCCTCTTCGAAGAGGTACCTGATCTTGTCATACGGAATTATCGGCTTGTAAAACACTCGGTATTTCCCCTTCTTCAGCTGGTCCATTACCGGCTGCAGCCTCATCTTTAGGTGGTTCAGCAGTTGCCGATCCCTCTTCAGCTCACTCTTAATTTCAGCCTTGGATTTGGGTTTCGGCGGCGGCGGTGGAGCCACAGGTAGTTCTTCGAGTACCCTTTTCTTCCTGGTAGACGGATCAGGGAACTCTGAAGGCGACTTCTTGACATGCATTGCCATGTTGGAGAAGAACTCCATGCGATTGTCCTATTCGGCAGTCAGTCGTGCTGAGAATGGGCAACGAAGGTGGTAAGCAACTTACACTATTAGGACGGGCTATTTCTACCCTGTTCTTCCTCGAGAATGGGAATAGAGCTCTCAAAATGTCCCGGTCGAGCTCGCTCGATTCACAATCTGCTGTGCCAAACAGCAGGACAGGCTCGTACGGCGGTATGTCCATGAGCATTGTTGTCAGGACCTTGAGAGCCGTAGCGCCCAGAGTCGCATACCATGTGTCTACATGAGGTATGTAAACCACGCTTGGCTTGTGGCGTTTTACCTCTGAGAACATTCCTGTTATGACCTGCTCGGGGGGCTGCAATGAGGATGTCAGCTGAGTCTTCACAAGCAAGGTGTCAAATAAAAACATACCCGCCCGTCACCAAGAATCGTCGCTAAGTCGCAACGCTGTACATGTACTCTTTCAAAATGGTGCAAGATGGCGGACGCGATGTAATTCTGGCCCATGCCGGGCTGGCCAGCAATCAGCAACCTGGGTCTGAACAACCGGGAGCGGTCGAAGTCTTGTTGCAAATTCTCTCGGCCAAAGCCATGATCAGAATCTTCGTAAGGTTCGAACATCGCCTCTTCCAGGGCCGTGATCTTTGGCTTCAACGGCAGTATCGTCTTCACGGTTTCCTCGATCGCCACGAATTGTTCGCGGAGCAGAGGTGCCACGGCCTTTGGCAGAGGTGCTGCGCCTGATGACGCAGATCGTTCAGAAGAGGGAACCATCTTCTTGATCGAGATCATGAAGTCTGTCGCGTGTATGCTGATCTTGCTGGGGTCCACGACAAGTTTCTGTTCAGAGGAGTATATCTGAGGGTATGTTCTCTGGATGGCGTTGAGAGCGGCTTCAGTGCAGAGTGCTCGGAGATCAGCGCCACCGTACCCCTTCGTATTCTCTGCCAGGCTATGCTTGAAGTCAGGTGCGAGACCCCAATCCTTTGTGTGAATATCAAGAATCGCCTTCCGGCCATCCACGTCCGGCAGGGGGAAGTAGAACTCTCGATCGAACCGACCCGGTCTCCTGAGCGCAGGATCAATATTGTCCGGTCGGTTGGTAGCACCAATGACGATGACCTGACCACGACCATCCATGCCGTCCATCAAGGCGAGCAAGGTTGACACAATTGAGGCATGAATCTGTTCTTGCTTACTAGACCGAACAGGTGCCAGGCCGTCAATCTCATCGAAGAAGATGATACTTGGTTGTGTCTTCCTGGCCTCCTCGAATAGCAGCCGCAGCTGCTTTTCGGCCTCACCCACCCACTTGCTGAGAGCGTCGGCTCCCTTGCGCATGTAGAACGTGATTTTCCGACCGCCACTACCGATCGAGTTCGCAAGGGCTCTTGCGAGGAGAGTTTTACCCGTACCAGGCGGTCCGTGAAACAGGACACCTCTTGGGGGTGTGACATGAAATTGTTGAAAGACCTCAGGGTAGAGCAACGGCAGCTGCACCATCTCTTTGAGCTGGTTTATGTGGCCCGCCAGACCGCCAACCTGGTTGAAGTCCACGGTCATGTCGACCCCGAGCGGGTCAGCATCTGCAAGTGCTTTCTGGTTCTTGACCTTGCCCACATTCGGGGTCGCACCGAGTCCAAGGTTCTCCAGGTGGGTAGCCGCCGCCCCTTGTGGTAATCCGGGACCGGCAGTCGCCGTAGGAGTCACACCCACAGCACCGGGGACACCATATCTCGCACCCATCTCGTCGTCGCTGCTGTCCGAGTCAACGCCTCCAGCAGCACCGGTGCCCCAGGGACCTCCCAGCAGAGAGCCCAGGCCACCGGCTCCACCAAACGGACCATAAGTCGTGTTGAGGTACCGATCTGAGCTCCCACCGTTGCCGCGCTTCCGGCGACCTGGTGTGGCGGCTGCTGGTGCTGGTTCCTCCTCCTCCTGTTCAACGTCCATTTGTTGGAACGGCCTTATCGTATAATCCACTTTGTTACGTTTTCTCTTGGAGGGAACCTCATAAGCAATCGGCGTAGATTGACGTCGATTTCGGGCAGCACGAGTCTGGGAGCGAGAGGTTCGGCGGAGATCATCTGCCTCCTCAGCCAACTCGTCGGGATCAATCTCGTCGTCCGTCTCTCGGGCCCGGCCCCGCTTTTGGCTCCTGGCCGCTGCCTTGCTTCTCCCGCGCGAGGGTCTCGAGCTAGAATACTCGCCATCGTCATCATCGTCATCGTGGGCGTTGGCGCCTTTTTCAGACCCGGAGCCTTCACCAGCGGACTCCTCTGGCTCGAAGTCACTGCTTTGATCCTGGCTATTCTTCTTGCCCTGGTCACTTCCCTTCCTCCTCAAACGAGTTGCGCGCCGCGGGCGCACATCAGACTCATCATCGCCATCTTCCGCAGCAGGAGCGTTGCCTTGGCGGGAGGACCGAGTCATTCTACGCCCGGTCAGGACGTCATCTGAGTCTTCTTCTGCGACTTGCTCTGGTGGTGCCGTACCATCCGCCTCGTCCATCACGATATCTCCTTGGACGGGGGTTGGTACATCCTCACCCTCGGCTTGATTTGCTGCAGCCTCCGGAGCGGAGTCCTCTACCACGTCGGCATCGGCATCGGCCTCCTCCACGGCCTGTTCGGCGGGCTCCTCGACCAGTTCCTCTTGAGGCTGGAAACTAGTCTCATGGGACGCCTCCTCGATGGGCTCTGTGGTCGGCTTTTTAACACCCTTTGCTGCACGAGTGTTGCGAGTGGCGCGGCTCAGGGTCTCTGGGCTCTTGCTCCTCGAGGAGGCTCGAGCTGACTGCTGATGCCTCCCCGATGTCGTGAGCTCGACGAGCTCCTCGCCCTCCTCTGTCTTTGCTCTAGTTCGACGGGTCGATGGCGCGGGTGGCAATGGCTCTTTTGCGCTTCGTCGACTGGCCTGATTGAGCTTCAAGGTAACAATCTTCCCCCTTACCTTCGGCTTTGGAGGTTCCTCTTCATCCGTGTTGGCGACGGAGTCGTTGACAACCTCATCCTCCTCGCTCTCCTCCCTGTAGCTTGGGTGATGGACGGCAGCTTTCCTTGCGCGCCGACCGGAGGCATTAACGGGAACTTCGTCGTCTTCGTCCTCAGAGTCAGCTCCGCCGAAGGAGTCTTCTCCAATGCTATCAGAGAGTTCCTCGTCATCTTCGTCGATGTCTGAGCCACGATACCTGTTCGTGCGGGTGCGGCCGCTGGCTTTGCGGGCTGCGCGGAGAGCCTTCTTTTGACGTCTTGGCCGGGCCTCGGACGGATCGAAGTTCTCGTCTTCGGGATCTGATTGGTTTGGATCGAAGCCTTCGAGGGGGTCCCTCTTCCTCTTACCCGGCGCCATGTCGTGCAAGCGGGCAAAATCGAGGCACGGCAGAGGAACAAAAGCTGTTGTTTGGACCAAGGTTGTTGAACGGCGTTGTTTTACAGGACGTAGCTGAGAATTAGTTCCGCTTGGAGACTATAGTGTATGGAGATCCAGGGGCATCGATGACTGCGTCACGGCCGGGGTCAGCTTCTCGTATGCGCGAGCTTGGTGCAGGAGGAGGGGAGTGCGCGTGGTGGACAGTAAAACATCTACAGTATGGTGTTTATGTGGTGCAGGAGACAGTAGGTGGGTTGCGAAGTTGGTATGGTATAGTCGGAACACATTCAGGATTCCATATTCAGGGGCACACACATTGCGATCTAGATGTAATGTCTGCGAAAAGTGGTTGATGGCAGGTGGTGGTGCTTGTGGTTGGCGTGCTGCCTGGTTGGTCGCCGGCGCGTCCTGGCTGCACTGCACGCACGGCGCTGCGCTGTGCTGCGCTGGGTTGGGCGGCGGTACGGGACAGGGCAGCGCGGCGAGGGGTGGTCGGGGGACGAGTGGGCAGGATGGACTATGGCGATGACCGGAGCATTGTGTGCACCATCAAGAAATGAAAAGATGCAGGAATGAGCATGCAGATGGATGAAGTGCAAAAGTTTGCTGTGATCGAGGAATGATGAGCGAGCAGCACCGCCTAGGCCTGACGGGAAGGTTGCAGCGGGCAGCGGGCAGTGGGCAAAGGGCAGTGACAGCAGGCCTTCTGCCTTCACGTTCACGGCTGCGACTGGCTGGGCGGGAAAATGGCAGCGACGCGTTCCCGGCGAAAAGCGGGTCCCACACAGCCCCTGACCCAATCACAGGCCGCAGGGCCCTCGCCTCAACCCGTAGCTCATTCACGTCCGGTGAATCACCAACGTCTGAGGCCTCGACAACAGGAACTACACACGAGCTGCAACGGCCGGCCAGGACAGCCGCAAGCACATCAGATCACCTGGGATGCACTGATGGCGACGCATCCTGGTGCATTGGGGTCATATTGGGTGCCAATTGAGCGCATGTGCGCGATAATAAGGGGGCATGGCTGTTGGCGGCACCACGATGGCTTCAAAAAAAGAAAATAGACTACTCGAATGGGAAAGTTGTTTTGGCATGTGTCGTCACGTCATCTGCTGCTAGGTTTTCTGGGGTAGGGTGCCGCGCTGTCGGGACCACTCCACATGGGAGATGGGGATGGAGATGGGGATGAGGCTCAAGAGCTTTCCCGACGTGGGCCACTCGCTGCTGAGAGGGGTCAGGATCTGGCAGATCGGCCTCGGCTCTGCCCGAACCCCTCGATGCCCGACGCGAGGTGCCAGATGCCATGCGCCTGGACCCAGGGTGACGACTGACAGACTGACGGGCTGCTCCAGGATGGATCGAATGGAGGGCAAAGGCGGCCCGGACGCCTGGGCAGCAAAGTGAGAGAGCGTCGAGCTTGGCCAGCTGGCTCCTTTGACGCCGGCCACCCAGTCACTCACTCCCTTGCTCAACTCACCCCCGATGGTCGAGATCCGCGGGGCACGCCGGTCCGCTCACAGAGAAACGTGTCCGGCTGCGTGTTCAGTGCCAGCCGATCGACGTCCACATCTCAAATGAGCAAGTTCTGACAGCTTAGTCGTGTGTCCAAGCTCTGGGCTTCTCCATTCTCGAGTGGCCTTTGTCTAGCAGAAAATGTGTGAGGCCCCTGGGATGTTTTGTAAAGTTGAGGTTCTGTGTGATGCTTGAAGACGTCGGGCGCGGGCATGCCAGGACCCGCCCGCTTCCCCTTTCGGGTGCTCCGGAGAAGCTGTTTGTGACGTCTGAAAACCTCCCCAGACTTGACATCTCAACATTAATCGCGAAGTTCCTGGCTGCTGCCCCATTTTTCAAGGGCGTCAAATCTTCAATAGCACCTTTGGTTTCTGCTCCGCCAGTGCGTTGGAGGAAAGACGCCACCCAAATCCCACCGATAATGCCGTGTCCATGGCATGCTTTACTTCAGTATAAACTTGACCGTGTGTCGGTTTGCAGGGGTTACGAGAGGGTTAGACCCTAAGACGGCTATTGAAGATCAGCCCCATTCACAGCTCTCCTGAGAGCCGGCATGCAGACACAACGATGACTACCTAGATATCACAGAGAATGAAGCATGTTTGATGACAGGTGATGCAGTGGAAAAGATTTCAACCTGAGACACAGACCGACACTCATCTCCGTCATTTCCCAAAGGGAATGACACTCTTGCGTTGAGCTCACTTCTGCGTATTGACAGCCTGCCCTTGGTTCCCGTGGGATTACATGGGTAAATTTGACTGCTGAGTGAAATCGGCCCAAGCTCCCAGTCGTGGGGTTCATCTGAGAGAGGCACAATGGAGAGTCGAGACTGCACTTCATAATAAGATCAGAAGTATGCTGGCCTAAAAGACGGAGAGCAGGCAGAAGACATAATCCAGCCGGCCAAGCTGTAGGGCACGGACGGCACACAGGATTAGCCACACAGTCAGTCCTGGGGACTGTACCTTGCCTTCAAATACACTGGGAGATGTGGAAATCAGGAAGGCTTATATGCGGCGTAGCCAGACGAATGCATAACAGGTACTTGTTTTGTGGTTCAGCAGGAGACTGCCCATTCTCCCATCAATTTTGCCCACCCTTGAGAGACAGACAGACTTGCCAGTACAAACTTCGAACTGGATAGCCAAACAGCTTGTACCGTCTTGCGAATGATCAAGAGCTAGCATTCGCCTAATCTACATGGCTCCATCCACCACTGACCATGGGAATATTCCACGAAATGCTATGATGAACTGCCTTCCTCCGTGGTGAATATGCAATTTTCCCAACCAAGCAATATGCCGCACTGCAAATGCCACAAAGATTGATGGCCCGCTGCCATATGTGAGTGAGCACGATGGGCAATGAATCCACACACCGTCCCCTCGCCCAGCCAGCCTCCTCTACCGCCTCATCTGCCTGATCTTGGGGAAGACCAGCGGCAGCTTAAGCCGCGCGATGCTGTCCGTCCTCCCCCTCGGCCTTGACCTTCTTCAACGTGGCGCCGATCTCCATGAAATACTGGTTCATCTGCTTCTGGTCGAGGCCAAGGTCCTCCTTGAGGTCCCACGTGTTGGTCTCGAAGTTGTCGAGGATGCACGCGAACGCGGCGCAGTGCGTCGCGAGCAGGTCCACGTGTTGCTTGCGCATGACGCCGTTATCCGAGAACTTGCGCCGGATGCTCTCCACCACCGGCGGCGGCGCGGGCGCCAGCTCCTCCGTGAGCTTGTCCTTCTTGAGAACTTCCCTGGTGCCGCGGTCCTTGCCCTTCTTGGACGTCAGGTACAGCAGCACCAGGAAGTAGAGGTACCGCAGCACCCGGAGCCGCAGCACCGCGCTCTCGCCCGACCCGATGCGGTTGATCCGGTGCGCGACGAACCGCGACCGCAGCTGGATGTCCTCGTTGTTCTTGACCGCCTCCGCCCAGTCGTTCACCTGTATCAGCTCAAGTATGTCCCTCCCGATGAGGTTCTCCGGCCGGTAGACGTCCTGGATCTCCTCGGCCTCGTAATTGCCCCGCGGTACCGGCTTGGCAGCGTCCATCGCGTTCTGCAGGTCCTCCTTGGTGGCAACGCTCATCGTGACGTCCTTGATGGTCGCCATGAGGGCCTTGTCCGACGCATCGAGCGCTTGTGGTGCGTCGCCGGCCTGGGGCTTTCGTGGGGAGATCGCGTTTTCGGTGATGGCTGCCAGCGCCTTCTTCGCCTTCTTCGTACCGAAAGTCTGGCCAAGATCGGCCTTCAGGTTCATCGTAGTCTGCGACAGGTTAGCTGCGGTGCGCAGAATGTGAGGTAGGGCGAGCCGTACCTGGCTCAGCTTCCGCGACTCCATATCCTCCTGCGGTGCCTGCTGAGCACGGACAGAGCCCCTTATTGACATCTTCTTCGCCTCAACCAGCTGCAATTGACCGCTGGCCGGGTCGAAAAGCCCGACGTAGTGTTTCAGAAGCGGCTGTCCAGCCCCAACGGAGGGCTTGTCCTCCCGGGCTGTGTAGTCGACAGTTCTGTGGCTCGAGGAGTGGAGTAAGAGATCGCCTGCGCCATGTTTGGACTTTTTCGTGGAGCGTCGGGAGTATGTGTTGTACTTGGTATCTTTCGAGATCGAAATGCCCGAGGCGGTGGCTATTACCGGGGGAGAAGCTGGTGTTTGAATGACAGAGCTGACTTTTATGGCCGCACTTTTTGACGGAGATTCCGAAGATTTTGTAGAGACCTTCTTCTTCTTCAGCTTGGTCTCGGCGCCTGCATCGTCTCTGTGCTTCCTCTTCTTGCTGCTATCCGCCATCGTGTAAAAGGTGCGGTCTCCGTAGGGGTTCGACTCTTTGAGGATCGGGTGTGGTATTGGGGAAAGTGTCACGGTTGGAGCAGGCAGAACTTTGAGTCACCCGTGCCCGAAATGGTGGTGGCCGCTGTAACTTCCGGTCGTTTGGTGGAAGCCGGGCTATTCAAAGAAAAGGTACCAGCGAAATCTGGACTTCGGGGACGGAAATCTTTGGGTGGATGCAAGATATCAAAGACAGAGAGGGTCTACCTTTTTTTTTCTGCCGCTTACCACCTTCCTAGCGCGTAAAGCTTGCGACCGGGCCCCACATCCGCACACCTACATCATCGCAAATAATGGTCGCATGCGCACAGCTACCTTTTCGGGCTGAGGCTGCTTGAAATCGAGCAATTGACAGTTAAGCCTGTTTAGATCCAGGCTTTTGCAAATCCGCCACGGGCAGACGAGCGCTGTTGCATGTGGGCGGAAGACCTGTACTAAAGCTTGCGGACGCTACTGGGTTCGTGCTAGACTGGGCGGGCAAACTTGGTTTTTGCAAACGGAGAGGAAACATGCGAGTAATGTGGAGTAGCATCACGAGGCAAGAGAAAGGCAAAAAATGAAGCGAACTTCTTTTTTTCATTGTCGTGTCTCTCTGTCTCGGACTCATGAGTATTTCCATGAGCGTATCAAGCTAGCGAGGTAGTTGGCTTCTGTCCTGCAAACACTGGACCGGTGTCGACCTCCAATTGACGTAGTCAGCTCTCCCAGAGTACATCAAAGGCCAGCCCTCGGGCGTCCTTCAAAAGCCCCTCCAAACTCCAGTCCTCCACAGTAACTTGGGTCCAGGAATCTCAGCAGATCCGATCCTCCCCAACACAGGCGAGTGGTGACTAGGCGGCATGGCTTGAGGCGAGTGATTACTCAATTGCTGGTGATAATCTGGGGTTGTCATGATGGCTCTGTGATGCTCAAGCTGGCGTAAGGTCGAGTGGTGCGAGTTGTTTACTTCCTGTGATGGGGGTCAGTTATCTCATTCACAGCAGCAGCGAGATCCTGTTTGTTTGTCAAGACTTACGATCTAGCCCTCATCTTTCTTCTCTTGCGCTTGAGGCGCCTGACGCGCTTCTTCCTCCACTTGGCTCTCATCGTGAACGATTGGGGCTGTTGGTGGGGTTAGCTTGCTGTTTGCATAGGGTGACGTCTGTAGTAGCAAGCCAGGCGACAGTGCCGCCACAAGAGCGTTGATCAATTGATTGGTTGGAAATCAACTGATCAAATGCTCAAGCAGACGACCGCAATAACCGTGGCCTGTTCGGGGTATAACTTACTTGGTTCTGTCGATGAGGTTGCGTTGGATGGTCGGGAGAGAAAGTTCAAGAGGGGAAAGCTGCGACTCGCCGCTTTTTGAGTTGTGGACTGTCGGAGCCGGGAGCAGCACCGTCACGTGACCAGTTATGTAATACTGCAGGGATCAGCCTTCGAGCTGGCGACGACCACCTTGGACGGCAGTCTGTGGCAGGCTCTGTGCTTGCGAAGTATTCATATTGCTTTCCAGGGGACCTGCTTTCGCGATTGAGACGTTTCACACACAAATCATCACAAATCATGAGTGTGCCGCCTTCAGAGTCCGCGATGCTGCCCCTAGAGCTCACCCTAGTCCTCGCAGCCACGAGAGACATGGGCATTGGCCTGCGAGGGACCCTCCCCTGGACCGGGTTGAAAAAGGAGATGGCCTACTTCGCCAGGGTCACAAAACGACTACCTCCTCCTGTAAGTCGGGAACCTCGCGGGCTGGGCTGTCCGATCACCCTTCTTCCCCGTAATATCACTTATACAGACACAGGGCGAACCCCCTGTCATGAATGCTGTGATCATGGGCCGCAAGACGTGGGAAAGCATACCGCCCAAGTTTAGACCGCTCAAGGGAAGGCTCAACGTCGTGATCAGCCGCTCCTTTGGCTCTTCACCAGAAGAGCCAGCCAGTGTGGAGACGGAACCAGTCAAGGCTTCTTCTCTGGAGCAAGCCATCGCATATGTTCAACGAAAGCCTCAGGGAGCCTTGGGGAGGGTTTTCGTAATAGGCGGTGGCCAGATATACGCTGCGGCACTGGAATTGAAGGAGGCAAAGAGGATCTTGCTGACAAAGGTGATATCCGACTTTGAATGCGATACATCCTTCTTACTGAAACTCAACGATGAGGGCGAGAGTTCTCCGGGTTGGGTGAAGAGGTCGAAGGAGGAACTGGACAGCTGGACTGGAGAGGTGGTTCCTGAAGGTGTTCAGGTGGAAAACGACACGTCTTATGAGTTTCAGATGTGGGAGAGGACGAGTTGATATCGCATGATACCAAAATAATACATAATCCAGCCAACTCCAATGTGCAGCCCTTTTCCCTTTACGCAGTCCACATTTTGTTGATACATACAGATTGACCAGCCCGTGAGGAAGCCTGTAGCTGCAATCTCACTTGAAACGGCTGGTAGGCTTAGCTTTCGTCGACTTGGCCTCCGGCGCAGCGCTCTGGGTGATCTGCTCGAGCGAGGCGGGCTCGTCAACCACCTTCAACTCCGCCGTAGGCTGCGTCTTGAACACGCTGCCCCCATGGTACAGCAGCGCAGGGTCGAGCATCTTGTCCAAGTTCCTCGAGACCGACCTCATCCAGCTGACGATGGCAGCGACATGCCTCATGTCGACGTTCTCGTCGGCCTTGAAGATGTTCCTCCACACCGCCGACGCCATGACGGCGTCGCCCTTGACCAGGCCCTCGTCGTACGCCAGTATCACGCCCCTCCACGTCTGGAACAGGTTCTGCAGGTGCCTCTGGCGGATCATGCGCGACGACATGCCGTGGTTCACCTCCATGACGTCCTCGGCGTTGTGGAAGAAGTGGTTCACCAGCTGGTTCTGCCACGCCTGCCACTGGGTCTTCTCGAGGCATCGTAATCGCACGACTATGAGGTAGAGGTGCAGCATGGTCACTTGCGACCATGTGCTAAATGTCGGGGGGAGACCAAATTCTGTGGGTCACGCTGTTAGCAGCTGCGGGCGCCTGGGGTCGACGGGTCAAGATTTGAGCGTACCATCATGCCAGACGCCCCCTCCAACACCAACCTCCTCCCCGTCCTCTGTCAATGGTACTTCCTCCTTCTTCCTCAACTCCGGTGCGATCTTGTACGTGGCCGGCGCAGCGCACGCCTTGTAGATGCTCTCAGTGGCGCCGAAGATTTGGTAGGGCTGGACCGCTTTCGATGGCAGGATCTTACTCGCGATGCCCAGCAAGGTCTGCGCAACGCCGGGTTGCTTTTCAGGCTGAGGTGAGCCTTGCGAGCGGCTCGATGTGGTCTGGTGGAACTGTCGCGTTGACGTCCTCGCGATCTCCGCGACAGCAGCACGCTGGCCGACGGATGGGCGATTGAGCTCGCGCAAGAGCCGTAGCTGTCGCCGCGCGACGTCGCGACATGGTCTGCAAAGCCGATCTGCCATTCTGCAATTGGACGGGGTGTGAATATGGAGGAGTTCCGGAAGGAGAGGAATTGGCTGCCCCGGCTCTCAGGTCTGGATTATAGATGTCATTGACGCTTAGCGCATCAGCGTCAAAAATATTGCTGCAGCTAATCCTTGTAAACGGGGACTGCCGAGCCGGCTCCGAACCATATGCGAGATATCCGGAGCTCAAATGGTCTGCACAAACTGCTTACCTTGGGACTGCCGTCTTTCTTTGGCAATACAATTGGTCTTGATGTGGGAGATGCGAAATTCTCTCTACGTTCTTTTCTGACATCTTTGTGGAAATGGAACTGAGTTTGAAAGTCCTGATCGACAGCAAAAAACCATGCCACTCCGCCGGCCTTCGCATTGCAAACCCGTCATTACAGATCACTTGGCTCAACGAGGCTTTTGATGATGCGCAAGGTATACAATGGTCGACTTTTGAAATTGACATACTGTATGGTGCTGAATGGCCCAACAAGAGCACCGTAGTAACGAGGGATCCTAGTGATGGTGATATTTCGCCTGAAATCCACTGGAGAACAACTGCTTCTTGCTCTGCGAATTGTGACATGTCCACCGTCCCAACCTTCCACCAGGCCATGTCCTGGGCCTACGAGAGTATTATTGGTAGAACACTGGCCCCAGATCCCTATCGCATGATTCTAGAATGTGAAGCAATGACAGGCGTTCATCGGTTGAGTCCAGTTATCATGATAGCTCAGCTACTGCTATTTGCCACTCCAGCCTATGACCATGCGTGTGACTTGTGTGAGGCGGAGCATCTGCCTTTACCTGTACCGTGAGAAGACCAGGGACGAATTGGTGCCACCAAAGCCGAAAGAGTTGGACATGGCAACATCGACCTGCCTGTCTTGCGACTGGAGAGGTACGAAGTTGAAGTCTGTGCCCACATTCGGGCTGTGCAGGTTCAGTGTTGGAGGAACGGCATTCTGGAAACATGTCAGCGTCATGCATGGTGGCAACAAGGTCTGTGAGGCGTTTTCTTACATCTGTGATTGCAAGCACACAAAACAAAGCCTCGATCGCACCAGCCGCACCAAGCAGGTGGCCGACCGCACCTTTCGTGCTGCTCACGGTGACCTGGCTGTCCTTCTCCACGCCTTCCTCGCCCAGCATCAGGGTACCGATGGCCCTAGCCTCTGCCGCGTCGCCAATGGGGGTGCTCGTCGCATGAGCGTTGATATAGTCGACCTGGCGTGGTTTGACATCTGCGTTCCTCAGGGCCCGTTTCATGGCCAGCAGGGCCCCTGAACCGTCCTCTCGGGGCGCTGTCATGTGGTGCGCGTCGCCACTGCAGCCGTAGCCGGCCAGTTCGGCCAGAATGTTTGCACCTCTGGCCCTGGCGTGCTCAAGCTCTTCCAGAACGAGGACAGCGGCGCCCTCAGCAACGACAAAACCGTCGCGGTCCTTATCGAAGGGGCGGCAGCTGGAGCTGGGATCATGGTTGAAGGCGGTGGATAGGGACCTCGACCTTCCGAAACCAGCGAAGGTCAGGGGGTGTATACAAGACTCCGCACCACCGGCGATCATGACATCCGCATCGCCAAAGGCAATAAAGCGGGAGGCGTCCCCAATGGAGTGGGCGCCGGTGGTACAGGCCGTGGTGGCGGAGTGATTGGGCCCCTGAAAGCCATACTTCATGGAAATGTGGCCGGCGGCGAGATTGATGAGGATCTTGGGGACAAACAACGGAGATACTTTCTTGTAACCCTACCTATAGTCTTAGCTTTTCCCCGGCCCAGTTGAGGTCCAGGAGGCCAGGCTCACATCTTTGTCGAAGGCGACGCTAGTCGAGTACATGTCGTCCAGGTTGCCTATCCCGCTCCCGAGGCACACTCCAGTAGCCTCAAGCTCAGCCTGGCTGGAGGGGTTCCAGCCAGCATGTTCAAGTGCCATGCTCGTAGCAGCGACGGCGTACTGGGCGAATCTGGACATGCGCCTCTGCTCCCCGGCATCGAGCCAGTCCGAGGGGCCCCACCTCCCGTCTGCTTTGCCAGTGCTGCCACTGGGCACGACCCCGGCAACAGAGCTGGGAAGACCTTTCCACTGGGTCTGAGGCTCGACTGCAGAGACATCAACAATGCCAGACTGGCCAGCCAGGAGGCGCTGCCATGTCCTGTGCGCGCCAACCCCCAGAGGGCTGATGGCGCCTAGACCTGTCACGACAACTCGTCGCATGCTTCCATTGCCCAAGCAGAATCTCGTCCTGGCTTGGTGTCTAGAACGTCGAGAGCCCACGGCTTGTGGATCGAAACAGTGGCTGGCAGCAAGTGGGTTTTCGCTTGAGACGAGGAAGCTTGGTTGAGTTCAGACGGGATACCGTGGAGGAATACCAGATGTTTAAGTTCTGGTGAAACTGACAGCTGGAGGTCGCCGAGTTTCCAAGTTGAGACTGGTGCTGGTACTGGTGCTGGTGCTGGCTCGAAGTCAGTTGGCGGTTTAGACGCTCGGTAGATCCGTCCGTACCGGGGCTAGTGCCTCTTTCTCAGAGCGCGCGTGTTTTTGGCAGTATGCTTCCGCAACGGGCAGGCGGTGGGCCTCGCTCGACGTTTGACGTTTCTAAATCTAGACCTGAATAGGCGCGGGCCAAGCCAGGGCCTGGCTGGGGGCGACGGCCCATGACTAGGACCTGGACCCTGACGACGACAAAGACGACGTAAGTCGCTCCAGACTGGGCGCTCCTGCTGGCCCCTGAGTAGTGTGAGGCGAAGGGGCCTCTTTCCCCAGATTTCCCAGGACATGTGTTTCTTCAATCCTGTCGACTACGGTGGATCGTGCTTCTTCTCCGTCTCTTCGAACTCTGCATGGGGGCCATTTGTTTCCTTATCTAGTGAGTCGTTCGTTCATTGAGCAGCCGCCGGGTAAGCAACGACTCAGCCGTGCCTTCTTCCTCAACCACTTGGCCTTCCTCCGCATCCTCTCGCGAAGCAGGATTGAAGTTGCTACACGAATCCCAACCACGGTAGAAGTCGACAACCTTTGGCAGTCGATTACTTCTGTTTCACTTGCACCGCATTTGGCAGCACGCAATCTATCTCAAAAAGCATCAAATTGAACAGAGGCAGCATCTTCCCGCCCTCGTCGTGGTTGCGCATGAGCGAGACCTGGGCCTATCGCAAGGGTGCATTCAGACTTCAGACAAGGACCATCGCGACTACACCGGCCTCTTGCAGCGTTGTATTGCTTCCCGAGCTGTTGGAACGACGAACCATCCAATATTTCGTGCAGTATTAGGCCTGCAGCACAGCGCAAACACTCGGAACCCCCAGTTTATGCAATCTGTGCTTGCCGCAAGTCAGTTTCAGCCTGCCCAGATTCTGTTTCTGGCCCCTTATCGGACGGCTTCCACAAGTTCTGCGGCTGTCCCATCCCAAAGCTTAGCGACAGGGAAACACCACCACCACAATCTGGAATTCTTGCCTTTGCATGAATCTACTAGCCGGCTCTCGATCGGCAGTGTGGTTTCCCATAAGCCCGCGCACCTCTGCACGGCAAGCTCACTCTCAACCACACTCTCTGTCCTCCCACAACCCGCATCTTGAGGTCCAACGCTAGGTTTCAGCATCCCGTTCCTCCATCTACCACCATCCATCCTGGAGATCACGCGTGGCAACCTTCGACTGACAGGCCTCCCCGGTTTTGCGATCTGCCGCCGCTGTCCAAGCATTCCCGGCGCTGTGGCTCCTGAGATACTGGTCACAGGCCAGGACATCGGTTGAAGGCCCGGAATACAAGCTTCCTTGTGCGGACGGCGAATCCCATCGCAGTTGCTTATCTGACGCTTCTTTTGGCGTTCTCGCGTGACGCTTCATGTCCGTCTGGGATCGACTGAGTTTGGGATCGACAGAGCGCTGGCTCTGAGCCGCACGTGGTACCGAGCCCGTCACGGCCGCAGTCGTCTGTTGGACAACCAGACAGCCCCTATATAGCACCCACCCCTCTCTCGCATCTACCCCTGAGCTCAATCACTTTGCCTCGTTCTCCCTGTTATCGGTCCGTACAACATGGGCCAGCCATATAGTGACAAGCCGTCTGGTACGGCATCGAAGTCCGATATGGCGGGAAGCGACAGCAACTCGAGCTCAAAGGTCGATGTGGTGGAGGTCAGTGGAAGGGAGGTGGAGGCATCAGGGTCGACATTCGACACCCCTCTGGGTCGTCGGATGAGTCCTGTCGATGACCTCAAGCACCGCCTCTCGCTATGGGGTGAGTCTAACCTCCAACCAGATGACAGTGATGAAGAAGGATCAGAATACGAACTTCTCTTAGATCCCAATCTGCCCGAGGAGTATACACGGCCGGCCCTGGGACCTCCCCGTAGCTCATCAGCCTCGACATATTCCGACGAGGAGAAGATTATGACTATCAACAAGGAGGGAGAGGAGGACTCGCCCTACCCCGAAGTCAGGGCTGCCGTCCGGAATTATGATGTCGACGCACCGTGCAACACGGTGAGTGCAACAAGTCTCGACAACGATACACGTATTTTTTTTTAACCACAAATAACAGGTTCGTGCTTGGACCATAGGACTGGTTCTTGTCGTCGTTGGCGCCTCCATGAATACCTTGTTCTCTCTCCGAAATCCAGCCATTGGCCTTGGTGCATTGATTGCTCAGATCATTGCCTGGCCTATGGGCCACGGTTGGGCCAAGGTCATGCCTACCCGGCAGTTCAACACATTTGGGCTTCGGTGGTCGCTGAATCCTGGACCTTTCAACATCAAGGAGCACTCCATCATCGTTGTGATGGCCAGTGTATCATTTTCTGTTGCTTATGCCACTGATATTATCCTGGCTCAGAAAGTGTTTTACAAGCAGGATTTTGGAATACCTTTCCAGCTAATGCTGACCATATCAACTCAGTCACTTGGTTATGGCATCGCTGGTATTATGAGGAAGTTCCTCGGTAAGCATGGCCGGCGTGCAGATGTTTATTCACACAAAACTAATGAGGACATAGTCTACCCTGCGGCCATGATCTGGCCTGGAAACCTGGTCTCCGTGACACTGATGAATGCCATGTACGAGGGCAACGAGAACCCGGATCCCACCGTGCTTGGTGGTAAAATGCCTCGTTACAGGTGGTTCGGACTCATTACTCTCGGTGCCTTCGTCTACTACTTCATTCCTGGCTACCTGGCCCAGTTCTTGAGCACCTTTGCCTTCGCCACTTGGATTGCTCCGCAGAACCCAGTCGTCAACCAGCTGTTTGGCTATACAACTGGCTTGTCCCTGGTTCCCATCACCTTCGACTGGTCGCAGATCGCGGGTTTTGTTGGCTCGCCTCTGATTCCACCTTTCCATGCCATTGCGAACACCCTTATTGGAGTCTTCACTTTCTTCATCATTGGAGCGTCAGTCTTCCACTACTCTGGTGTCTGGTTCGCCGAGTTCTTGCCCATGAGCGACTCTAGCACATACGACAACACGGGTTCGACCTACAACGTGTCGCGGATCTTGACGCCCGAGTTCACCCTGAACGAACAAGCTTACAGGGAGTACTCGCCTCTCTTCATCAGCACGACTTTCGCCATGTCCTACGGCCTGTCGTTTGCTGCTATTGCTTCCCTCATCGTGTACACGTATCTGCACCACGGCAAGATGATCTGGGCTCAGTGGAAGAACTCAAAGACCGAGGAGGACGACATCCACATGAAGCTGATGAGGAAGTACCCCGAGGCTCCGACCTGGTGGTACATGAGCTTGTTCGCTCTGGTGAGTTTGCCCTGATCTGACGCCAATGTCGCATCTCACTCTAACGAATGTGTCTCAGATGCTTGGCATCGGCTTCATCGCCGTGCTCGCATTCCCCACCAATCTGACGTGGTGGGCGTTCTTGCTGTCCGTAGCAATCTCGTTCTGCTTCTCGCTACCGATTGGAATCATCCAAGCCATCACCAATAACCAAATCGGCCTCAACGTCCTGACCGAATTTGTGTTTGGCTACATCCAGCCCGGGCGGCCTCTCGCTCTCATGATCTTCAAGACATTTGGGTATATCACCATGAGCCAGGCCCTCAGCTTCGTGGGGGATCTCAAATTTGGACACTACATGAAGATCCCGCCACGGACTATGTTCATGTCTCAGGTGGTCGCAACGACGTTCTCATGCTTCATCCAGATCGCCGTCCTCAACTCTGCACTGGCGGCCATCCCAGAGGTTTGCACAACGACTCAGCGCGAGCATTTCACCTGCCCAGGTGGTAAAGTCTTCTTCTCGGGTAAGATACATACCTACGTCAACCCAACCAGAGACACGTGATGCTAACCGTTTGTCCAGCCTCCGTCATCTGGGGTCTCATTGGGCCGGCCCGCATGTTCTCGCCCGGCCAGATCTACTCAGGTCTCTTCATCTTCTTCGGCATCGGCGCCGTCGTGCCCGTCATCATCTACTTTGCCGCCAAGAAATGGCCCAAGTCGCCTGTCAAGTACCTGATGGCTCCGCTCATTTTCGGCGGCGCGGGTTCCATCCCGCCGGCCACACCACTCAACTACCTGACCTGGGGCATTGTGGGCTTCGTGTTCCAGTACTACATCCGCAAGCGCTATTTCGCCTGGTGGAGCCGCCTCAACTTCCTGACGTCTTCTGGTCTCGACCTCGGCCTTGCCCTCAGCACCCTCACCATCTTCTTCGCCTTCACTCTGAATAGCATTGACCCTCCCAGCTGGTGGGGCAACAACGTTATCACCACCACCATGGACTTCCAGGACACGGCCATCCAGACAGTGCTCCCTCAAGGACAAACCTTTGGGCCGGCGAAGTGGACATGATACATGTCTAGATAGAGTAAGAGTGTATATCATTTTGGTCCACATGGTCCCTCGCGGGAGCGGGAAGGAGTTGGGGTTAATGGTTTGGTTACAAGGCATGTATGGGAGGTAGTTTACGGTGTTTGGTTGGGTTTAATGGAATTGTTGTTCAAGTCTTATCCTCTCTGTGAGCTCAGTACTGAGAAACATCCTGGTCCACTGTGTGCGTTCTCTGAGAAGCAAGTTGATTGCAGCCCGTCAAGTTCATCCAGGCATGACTGTGTATAATCTAGGCCGGGGTGGGCAGTACAGCCACTCAGGCTCCGCGCTATGCTTTAAGATAACCTGCCGCAAGGGCCAACTCGACAAGCCCGCCTGCAGTTTATATGGCCAATCTGTGCCACCCATTCTATCCAAACTCGTGCGATAAGGTCCAGTACCAGTGAGTTTCGAAGCACTTGTGGTGTAAGTAAACACGGCTGCGTACCGCGAACGTCGACCTCGTGGCGAGTAACGATCTCCGTAGTAGTGTTTGGTACGGACTCGCGGAGGCTCCGGGTTCAAATGCCCCCGCCGACAATATTGGGATCCAGCCTGTGCTCATATTTTTTAATTTTTTTTTTCTCTCTCTCTCTTTCCAGCTGTCGGTCGCTCATAGTCTTGTTCGATTGCTCCTCTTCTGGCCTTTATCTTTTCGTTAAGCACATTCTCACTGAGAAAGAAATCGGTAGGATTCCAGTACAGATTATACTACCACCATCGCCTTCCCCGTGTGCGTTCCCCACCTGGCTTCCATCCCTCCTTCACCTGCGCCAACCAAAGACTTTTTGCCCCTCCCTCCAAAGAACTTGAACTCGGCTAGCACCAACGCCATGCTGCGTTTCTTCTTTTTACCAATGACGTAAATACATACATACACATTCACACATACATACCATACTCGCTAGATCACCAAAGCTAAAAGGACATGGTCATGCCCATCATCCATCACTGCATTCCAACCCTCAGCCCACTGGAATCCACGGTGTTTTTTTTTACCGCAACACACCACGACCCCCCACGTAGTTACTCCGCAAACCGTATCATCGGGTAAAGCGGCACGTTCACCCCCCCGCCAGCCTGCTGCGTGCCCGGCAGCGGCGGTGTCGCGAACGCGGACCCCGGGCCGCCACCGCCGCCGCTGGGACCCGAGACGTCAAAGCCGCCCATAGCCGGATCTCCGAACAGGGCCGGGTCGGCCAGCTGCTGCTGCTGGTGCTGCTGGTGCTGCTGGGATGGCGCGCCGGCGGACGATGGCGGCTGCGGTTGCGCTGGTGGCGGCTGCGGCGTGGCGGCCCAGTTCTCCCACAGCGTGTCGAAGTGGAACCATTCCGCATCGATTAATGGGTCTCCACCGGTGGAGGAGGTCGTCGGCGTCAGCGCGGTGGGCATCATCCCCGGGGACGGTGAGGGCCCGCACGTCGGCGGGTTGTTGGTGTTGGCCGAGTCGCGTCTGTGGAGGCCGGGGGCCTGCGGCGCCTGCGGCTGGTGGTGGTGGTGAGGTGGCATGGAGAGGGACGGGTCGAAGGTGCTGCTGCTGCTGGAGGCGGGCGCCGGGGCGCTGGTGGGCGCGTGGTGCTGGGCCGCCGCCGTGGTGGGCGTCGAGTGCGAGAGGAAGAAGTTGGCCATGGGGTCCGGGGTGCTGACGAGCGTGCCACCGCTGGCTGCGCCGCCCGAGGGCGTGTTCGGTATGGAGGAGGGGTCGCGCAGGGACGAGGAGGCCGGGGCGCGGGAGACGATGACGTTGTGGAAGGTGGTCATGATGTAGACGAGCCTGCTGGCCTGGGGGTCCGTCTTGGCGCAGTAGGTCATGATGGAGAGGGCCTGTTGGTAGGTCTCGCCGTACGAGGGGTTCTTGTGGAGGGAGGCGAACTCGTTGCTCTGCACCACCAGGGCTGCGGCGAAGAGGAAGTGGCTGCTTCGTGGTCAGGGCCTGTAGATCGCGGCAAGGTGTCGCGATATCGACTACGAGACTTAGGGGCACACCACTTACATTATAAACGGGTCGCGCTGTGGCAGGTAGCTTCCCTCGTGGCCCATCTGCACCAGGGACACGGTGTGGTATGCCGCGTCGACGCAGGCCTCGGAGAATTTCTCCATCTTCGAGCCAGGCCGGATCGCCGCCCGTGGGACCCCGAGCCTCTCCTGCTGCATCCTGTTCATCAGAAAGAGAAAGAACGGCCTGGTCAGGAGGATGACCGCGTGACAGTAGAGCAGGTTGACGTGGATGACCGCCATGCCGCGGGCCGGGTCGATGCCCGTGTTCATGGCTTGTCGCCAGTGCAGGCCGGCGTGGTACTTCTGCGGGCCGCCCTTGCACTGCTCTGAGATCTCCTGGGCGAGCTTCGTCGATATCTTGCGCTGGGCGTAGATCTTCTTCAGTATAATGCCGATCACCTGGCAGCTCCGCACGGCGGCATTCAGGCCGCTCGACGAAGACGGATCTGTATTCGTGTCGGCGAGGTATTTCTCCTGTCCAAGGTATCTCCCAGGGGTGACAAGCGCCTCTGCTGAGCAGTCCTCTTCCGATATCGACGTTGGTCGTCCCAGTGCGGCTGCAAGGAAACGATCCAGGACGTAAAGGCTCCTCCACACATTCCTCCTCACAATTCGATCCGGGACCGGAAATATGACCATCGTCTCCTGCCTGTGAAGCCCAAGGGCGAAACCAGACCTCACCGCCATGCCTTGTAAATAATTAGCATTGGAAAAGAAATTCCCATGTGATCTCGAGTATCTTACCATGGTAAGCATATGCAGCATTGCGTTTTGTTCTCGCCAGCTTGAACAGCGACATGAGCAGGAGCGCCTGAACGCTCCAGAAATCGGCATCCTCGAATCCAGACGTCGGGTCACACAGGCACTTGGCGTTCAAGAAGAACATCTCGGCACGGTCCGCGGTGCTCATCTGCAAGTTCTTGATGACGCTATCGTCATGGCTGCCGGGGGCCGGCGTGGCGAGCACAAGGCCGATGGCAAAGACGAGGTAGAGCAGGCACAGGAACGTGGGCTCAGCTGCCAGCGGGTTTTGGTAGCAGACCTCGAGCCGCTGGTTGAAGATTTTCCTGTCGAAGACCTCGATCAGGCCGTTGGTCTGCTGAAGATTAGCATTCGTCCACCTCGGTTTTCAGCGGCTGAGGGTCGGGGAGAAATTAAGATAACTCAAGTGAGACTCACGTTGGTGAGGTATGACCTAATAAGAACATCTGCCGTTCTCCGGTCTGGCAGCAAAAGCGACGTGCGATAGTCCGGCGGGAGACTTGTCGTCAGCTCCATCAGCCGGTGGCGGCTGGGGTCCATTGTGAACTGTGAGGGCCCATCTACACTCTCGACTATCATGCGGATGAACTGCAGGTAGGAGAGTGTAGCAGAATCACCCAGGTATACTATTACCCGCCGTCAGCGAGACAGACTCGTGTGGGGAAGAAGTGGTGTTTTACGTACAAAGCCTCCCTGTGGGATCCTGAAGCATGCGTGTCTCGGTGTACACCTCGGCAACCTCGTCGGCACCGCTCACGGTGCTCTGTCTCGACTGGACCTCGGGTTCAGGCTCGGCCTCTGCCTCGCCATCCCGGCCGGGCTGGCCTGATAATGGGGGCGCAGGTATCGGCGTCGGGAGGCCCAGCAGCCTCGACGGCTCGGTCGCGTCCACGGTCTGCTGCGAGGAGGGGCCCGTCCGCACGTCGCCGCCGCCGAACCTCGCCCTCTTGGGGTCTGAACCCTCGTCCGACCCCATGGTGTCTGGCGTCGACTTCCTACGTTTGTTCGGGGACGAGCCCGACACCACGATCTCGCCCTGACCGCCATGGTGCGGCGTCGAGTGGCCATGCCCATGGCCTGAGAGGTAGTCGCAGACCAGGTTCCGCTTCGTGCAGGTGTTGCACGGCTTCAGCCCATTGCACTTTTTTATTTTACGTCGACTGTTAGCATTGACACTTATAGATATATATATATATATGTGTGTGTGTGTGTGTACGTATATATATATATATGTATGTATTCAGTTGATATACCCTGTCATGGGCCGGGAAACAATGCGTAGGGTCTAGCAGGGGCGTGATGTATTGCAGATCCGCGGCACGCGGGCATGCCTGCTCCCACGGCGAGTAGACGCAGGGAGCAAGCCCGGCTCTGGAGCGTCTTACAGCATGGGGACTGGCCCTGACGACACCGCAGGGTTGATGGAGAGGAGAGAGGCATTCTCATGGTGTCGGGGCGGGACACATCCATGCAGAGAAGAGACAAGACGAACGCATCAAGGGAGCTGATGTTCATGCACAGATGGTAGGAGAGAGATAGAGATAGACAGAGAGGCCGGGACCGCAAAACAGGTAGGTGATTGGCTCTAGATGCTAACATGATATAGCGAAGCGGACAAGACGAGGAAAGGCAGGCTCACCTTTTGCTTCCGGCGCTTGCAAGACTCGCAGGCCTGGGCGGTACGTATCCTCTTGTCATCAGGGACCTTGGGCCTTGTCATGGCGATAGGCTGGAGGCCACAGGCAGGGGGACTAAGGAGGGTACGGAGAACAGCGGGGACGAGAAGGGGGCTGCCGACGGGGGGAGAACAGGGTTCGGTGCCGCCATGGGCGGCCCGACGCCGGCTTTTCGGAAAGGGCTACCCCGGGGGCGAAGGTCAGGAGAGGAAGGTCAGGCCACCGGCGGGCGTAAGTGGACGGGATTATTAAGGTGGATCCGGGCAAATTCCCGGGGGTCTCGGCCTCGGAAGGGGTGGCGCGTGTCTCGTTCTCGGTGGGAGAGGGAGTCTGTCTGCCCGGCGGTGGGTGCTGCTGCTGCTAGCCTGCTGATGGAAGTGCCGGAATGGTCGGCTAAGGCCCCCCAGTGTGTGAGAGTCTCTCTTCCGCGTCAAGGCCGGTGTCGACAGGTGGGCAGGAAGCTATGTATTGCTATTCGGCTACGTCCCTTGACGGATAGAGGACAAGCAGCCAGTGTGTTGCGGTCTGGCTGGCCTGGCTGGCTGGCCTGGCTGGCTTGCCTCGCTGTCTGCCGTTGTGCTTGCTGCGGTTCGTTGTCTCAAATCCACAGGAGTGGGGTCGGCCTAGTGAGAGACCGTACTGTAGTTCAGTATGATTCGGCTTATCGACGAGGGACGGGACGGCTTCCAGGGAAACTGAGTTTTCGAACCGACCGACGAATGCGGTGAGCGCGGGTGAGAGGCTGGCTGGTGCGCGTGGCACGAGAAAGTGAGGAAGCAATTGCCGTTGGGCGAGGCGAGGCCCATCGGAAGAGGGGCAGATCCGCCGTGCAGGTATGGTTATGGTATTGTATGTATAGGGTGAGCTGAGAGTATAAATTGGGTTTCCCGGGAGAAGGCTGGGGGCCTGGCCTGGGGCTGGAATGGAACGTCCTGTCCTGTGCCCGAGCGCGGTGTGCTGCGTGATTGATCGATTGTTAGCTGGTTGATTGGTTTTGGTTTGGTTTGGTTTGGTTTGGTTTGATTTGATTTGATTGATTGATTGTTCGTGCGTTAGGCTCGAGTTGACGGGCGGGAGCAACAAGATGGCTCCTTCCTTCCAACCAACCAACTCTCTCAGCTGGGCCTTTGTTGCTACGCACGCACACACACTTGACTCTGGCCTCGAGTCTGGCAACCTCCAGCTCTGGACAGGAGAAGCTAGCATAGCACCAACAGTCGTCGCGTCCACGCTGCTCTCATTTCCCCTATTTGCTGGGCAAAGAGGCCCAAGGCACAAGACAACCAACGGGGTCGCGGATGCCCGGAAGCTTCCTGTTGCATTCCTCTGTTGACAGCTGACTCGCAGCTCGCTGAGGAATGCTACCCTCTAACCAACCCGACGTGCCCGATGGCCCAGGGGGGTTCGGTTTCGACGTTGCCTGCCCCTGCCAGCCTGCCACAGTCTGCCAGCGCGGGCGTCGACGGCCCATCTCGATCAAAGGGCCGCCGTGTCCTTACAGATTGTGATGTGGCCGGCTTGCCGATCTCGCTGGCATGCGGTCTAGACAGCGCGCACAGAGAGTTCAGGACTAGTATTTTAGTTACATTACTAACTAGGTATGCTTACGTAGCAAGCCATCGTGAGGAAAAAAGACGTCCGCGTAGCGTGTTACGTCGACAGCTGCCTGGGGTCTCCCAACATCATATGAAAAAAAATCGTGGTGCTGCCGTGCTGTCTGTGCTGGGCGCAGTTCCCGGTGGACGATCCAGTTTCGGTCCCCCATCGGATATGACACCTGGCTCCAAGGATCTATTTACACGGCTACAAACACGCCCTGACCGTCTCTAAACATCGCTGTGTGTGTGAATTAAATAAAAGGCAGGATCAGACCGGAACCCAATATTACATCTATATGTATAGCTCGCTGCAGCCCTCAGCCAAGGACTCGCTGTTAACTCAGACGGTGATCGAGTACGGCGCGATCCGCGGGTCAAGCGCCTGCCACACGAAAGGCATGCCCTGGCTCAACCCCTGGGCATCGAACCCTCGCGCGGCGACGCGGTCGCTGAACGCCTCCATGGCGCCCTTGAACACGCCCGCCGCCTGCTCTGTCGTCGGGTTCATCTTGGCAAGCATCTCCGGGTCGTCAAACATGTGCAAGAGGCTGCGGTTCGTGTTCTCCAGCAGCGGCCGCGCGAACAGGCCGGCGAAGCTGAGCTGCGTGATGACCTGGCTGAAGGGCGGCAGGAAGGCGGCCACGTCCGGGTTACCACCTTTCGTGGTCGGCACGGAGGAGTAGAGCGCGGGCGGGTGGAAAGGGAGCGTCGAGGACAGGGACAGCAGCTCGTTGGTGTTGACCGCGTGGTGCGCCGTCGAGCCGAGGTGGGCCACGTGCGTGAGGATGTCGATGACGGTCTCCCTGGTTACGATGGTCGAGGGGAAGTCGTGCGCCTTGGCCGGCCCGTTGGCCTCCTTTGCCCACGTCTGGAGCTCGACGTCGGCTTTGACGTCGGCGTCGGACGCGTAGTATGACCCTACGAAGGACGTCATGAATGTCCTGATCGCGTCATATATCACGGAGCCGTCCTCGTAGAATGGGAAGTGGGCAAGTGCGGGGCCGGACTTGGAGTTGATGAGACCCCTTTTCTCCAGGTCGGTCTTGAAGTAGTTGGCCTGGAAGGCACCGTGGCCACCGTTGTAAAGGCCAGTGGTATAGTTCTGCGCCGCCGCGCCTGTGAAGCCAAAGACCTGGTCCACCGCACCGCCGGGTTCGAACAGGATGGACGCCGCGAGCGGCTGAATACCAAAAGCCTGGGCCGTGACTATGATTACAACAGGTCAGTACAAGAGCCCAAACGCGTATTTCATGGGTCATACTCACGGCGATCAAGTAATGCGTAGACAGGATGCTCCACACTCAACGATCTGATGGCCGCAAGCCAGGTGATCTGCAGGGGATGGTGGGTGGCAGCAAGGTGGTTCCACTGAGCGAACCAGAAGTCGTTCGCGTTGTACATGATCTTTGCCAGGAGCCAGTCGGCGGCGTCATCTTCAGGCGTGTAGATGGTGCTCTGCCCGACACCGGTCCGGATGGCCAGGGGCAGGAAATCCCCCGAGGCTTTGTCGATGAAAAACAAGGCGTCGCAAGCCGCCGCGAACCTCTCAGTTCGGGGGAGGTTTGCCTGGTCCGAGTGGTCCGCGTAGAAGAGACGGCCTTCTAGGAAGAGAGCCCACAGGGGCGAGCCGGCAACTTTGAGCGTCACCGATTCGTCGACCCAGAATGGGATCCAGTCGGTTCCTGGGGTGAGCCGCCTGAGAGCGTACGGGCTGGTCGATAGTCGTTCCATCGAGAAGAGCAAGTCCTGGGTGTAGTTGGTGAGGACACCTGGCACGGGACCCTTTGGCAGTGTGTTGGTCCACTCGCCATCGTACAGCAGCTCATAGTCCTCGACAGTTCTCAAGCCATTGAACTAATACGGGCAGGTCAGTTGAAAAGGCCCCCAACGACAAGGCCGGGCGACGATTGCATGCATACCTTTCCAGCTGCGTTTGCAGCAGTTGCCGCTGCGGCGTCCTTTCCCACAAAGGCTTCTTGAGGTGTAAGATCGGCCTGAAGAGATGCCAGGTCTGCCGCGCCCTTTGCAGCCCCGAGCTCCCCAGAGGGATAGTAAGGCCCGCCAGCTACGGGTGGCCCATACTCGTACCCGGCTCGCGTCGCGTCGAGCTCTGCTGATCTCGCTGCTGGGTCACTTGAGTCCTGCGGCAGCGAGTACTTGACAACGGACGACTCGTTCCTCCTGGCTTTGCCAATTGATATCACAGCGCCAGCAGCACTCTGCACGAAGAGCAGCGCAACTGCACTCGCCAATGGCTGTGAGAAGTGCATGTTTAAACGAATGCAGCCAGTGTCTCAGGGCTGGGGACGAGTGAAAGAGAAGGTCAGCACTGCTGAATCCTTCCTGGGGAGGGGGGGCCATGCGGCGCATGGCGACTTTATGTGTGTCCATGTGTGTCCCCTCCAACGGGTAGGCTTACTGAGGCGCATTCCTGTGCAACCAACACCAATGCCCCCCCCAACATGATGTGTTCGTGCGGCTGAGGGGTGCCTCGTGGTGGGTGTTGGACGGTTGGGGGCTGATTGCTGCGCTGTCAGGCTGTTGGTGCAGCCGCGCCGCAAGGCGGCCTGCTCCTTCGCTGGGGCGGCGGAGTCAGCAGGATTGACATGCTCGCAATCAGGATCGCCAATTTACTTTTAGCTGCAGCCCGGTTCTGATGACCCACACGCCCGGCGCGAATTTGCTCTGCTGCCATGGCTGATGCCCCAATCTGTCTTGTTCTTGTTCCCGTTGCGGCCGTGTTATTACTCGGGAATCGAACTGTGGATACGAGACATCTGCGGTGACCGTGTGCACATCGAAACCACGAAGAAGCCGCTAGGGTGACCAGCTGAAAGGAATATCTTGCATTCGGAGAATTTTAATACCCCTTTAGAGAACATACCACGTTTTGCCAGGCTTCAATGATCCTGTATTGCAAGGACTGCACGTGGCCCAATTCATCAATTTTTCACCACAGCCAAACACCAGCGCGGGTAAATTTCTAGACGCGGTTGTCAATGGGTCGAGGATCAAATTGCTTCGCAGCAAATCGCTTGTAGCGCTTCGTATTCCGAGAGCGCCACAGTTTGCCTTTCCACAGGAAGGCAAAGGCGAATAGCAAGACGGAAAGACCAATAGCTCCAATCGTGTTGAACACATTGGCCATTCCGACGCGGCTGATCCACGGTGTCATGGAAAAGACAAAGACGGTGCTCATTGTGTTCCTCGAAAAAGTGAGCGCCACAAGGGCATCACCGATGATCTGGGCAAGATATTGTCAGCATCGTCCCCTGTGGCACGTGGGACTCGTCCGCCCCTCACCTCATTATAGGCATCCGTCATATAGGTCAAGGCGATGCTCGAGATCGGCGCGGACCCGAAGTTGCATATACCGAAGGCGAAGGCCACAGCGACCCAAGACTGGCCGCCCTGCAGAGCATAGCCTGTCTATGTCGTCAGTAAAATTTACTCCACACGGAAGGAAGAATTGAGCGCAGCATGGTCCATATATGAGAAGTGACAGAGCAACTCGCTTGTGAGGTGATTGGCTCTTGCAGATTGGGCTTGCGGCTCACAAGTAGGCCGAGGTCTCCCCTCAAGAGGCCCATCTGCCTGGAGACCAGGCTGCTCCGACCGAATGTGTGTTGAGGGTCACGAGTGCAAAAGGAAGACACGCCCAGGGAATTCTTACCAAACCAAAAGGCACCCGCCACCTGGAACGGGATAAACGGCACGAACACCCAAAGACGCATCTCGGGCTCATAAATGCCGTTGTTCCTCTTTGCCAGCCGCAGGATGGTCCAGTCGCTCAGAGGACCGCAGATCAAGGAACCCAGCGTGTTCCCAATGAAAGGGGCCAGGTTCATGAGCCCGATCTGGGTCGAGTTGAAATCATAAGGCGGCAGGATCATATACGTACTTGAAGCTGCTGACATGACCGTTGACCATGCCAGGAGCACAGCATAGACTAGGGACATGTACGCCACCCCGGGAACGGTGAACAGTATCTGAAAAGGCTGGTACGCATGCCGTGCGAACAACATGAACGGCCCTTGTGTTGTAGTCGCGAGGCTGAGTCTCTGCCAGTACGTCTTGCGAGGTATGGACGGGTCGATCTGAACAGACGTGAGGGGCTCCTCACCGGGAGACAGGTCTGACGGAGCTGCCTTCTCGGGGTCTGATGCCGGCTGCTTCTTATCGGCCTGACCTTCAGCATCACTTTTGGTGCTGGCCACGTCCGGCGACGGGGCGACGCCATGGATGACTGCTGCAGTCCAGTCGAATTTCGATTCCTCGAACCCGAAAATGAAAGCAATGAGTACGACACCGAAGAAGATGGCCATCCACCACCACACCCACCTCCACCCCTGGGAGGCGGTGATAAATCCGGCAGCAACGGGTGCCAGGCTGGAGCCGAAGTTGCTCGCCCAGATGTAAATCGAGTTCATCAGCCCTCTTTGGTGAACGAAGAATACGTCGGCGACCGTCATCTGCACCATGGTCTCGGCCAGCGACCCCACCCAGCACTGGAGGGCGTTCACGCCCCACCAGTCACCCCCAGTCACGGTGCGGGCAGCCCAGATCATGACTGCCATCTGGGCGGCACTGCTGAGGACGTAGATTGGCCGGAGTCCGTACTTGAGGGCAAAGGGGATGAGCATGAAACTGCCTAGGGCGAGTGTCGCACAGCCGATGGCATATGTGTTGTTCCTGCGCCGACGGTCAGCATGTGATCCCCCAGCAGCACCACAGAAGGTCGCTCGTTAAGCAACGGCCAGGTCAGCCCCTGGTGTAGGAGTTGTATGCTGGCAATGGAGCATAACAAAGACCACGTGCGGGTAAAGTTTATCAGGACTTACATGAGAACAGCGTCAAAGCCCAGCTCGTCCATCATTGGCCCCCAGGTAGGCGTGGTTGCATTAATTTGGCCGAAAGCCATCATGGCATAAAAGGTGGCCAGGCCGAAATTAAGGTACTTCCTCCATTTCGGCCAAGTCAAGGGGTCATTTGGGTCGCTGCTCGGGCGCGGTTGCAGGATGATCTCGGTCTGGGAGCCATTCCCACCTCCAAGCAATTTCTCGAGGCGAACGGTCCCGGGTGGCCACGCTGCTTCATCGGTCCAGTCTTGTCCTCCCATGGTTCTGCTGTAGCGCAAATGTCAGTCGCACTAATTTACAGTAGAATACAGAAGCAATTGGTCCTACAGTTCCCCCTCGCAACATAGGCCTACCAGGGCCTATATATTTCATGGTCCATTTTAGGACCGCCCATGGGTCGTTGCCCATGATACGGCTATCTCTTGTCACGCCTACCAAGAGATACTGATTGCGGGGAGTGACAATGGTGTGGTTATGATAGGTTCATGATAACGGTGCCGGACCGACTTGCTGCATATGATGAGGTAGGTCATGTCTTAGATTGGAGTCTTGATTGCAACCTTGATGACATGCCGGTGAGGGTTAGGGCTTGGTGTGCAATGGGGGTTATACCCTCGGGGAAGGGAGGGGGGAGTTCATCGGGTAGAAGTACCTGATGGAGAGAGGCTCAAGCAACGAAGGTTTCCGACACTAGCCGCGGGAATCTCCTGACTGGACATCGGACGAGAGATCAACAAGTCCAACATGGGATAATTCGACAAGGGACCAAAAGCATACAGTGAGCCGGGCGAGTCGGAATTGAAGCGAATGTTGAACCTTGCTTCCCCGGCGGGTTGTGGGCGCGCATGCAAAAAAACGAGGCCGTCGGAAGGCGCACCCAAGGTTGTCGATGCACATCCGATCGATTGCCTTTCACCGGCTGCTCGCACTACTATCTCAACCACCGACGGTGTTAGAGGAACCGCAGACGAAAAGTGCCGTGTAGACTACCTACCTTGGTGCAGCTGCACGCAGCAACCGTCTGAGCACCATGCAGTGGACTTCATACCCGCGCCAGTCCCGCGCTGTCTACGGAACGGGGAAAACGGGTAGCTAACGACCCAGACGTCTCACCATCGTCGACCTCTGATATACCCTCCTCCCCAGCTGCCGTCTGCACGTTATGAGACACTTTTATGTTGGACTTTCTCCATGGGAAAAAACAATCGGCTATCGTTAGCTCTCCTCCCTCCTCTCCTACCCACTCCGCTCCTATGATACCGCCTATTCTATGACGACGACGCTGCTGCTGCTGCTGCTGCTGCTGCTGCTCCTTGCTGGTCGCCGCCCTGGCCCTTATCCGGCCTCGTCACATAATTATGTAGACCCAGAAGTCCACCTCCCACCGCATCCCACACAAGTACCGACCCAACCCTTTCCCATGGTTTATTAAAAGACAGACACTAAGGTTGTTGATCGACCCCATAGTCTCTATTTGTCTACTTTGCTTTTTCATATTCCACGTGTGGTCTCCAATCTCCTCCCGTGCTCGTGGCCTGGGTACACGGCATACATTTACTTATACCTTTATACCCTACCTACGTCCTGGCGGCATTGGGCCCACCCGTGTTAGTCCACATACATGTTGCAGGCGCAACGCCCCTCCTCTGACACGCCCACATCCGACTGCCACCCATAACAATGGTCCAAGATGGCTTCCTGCTGCTAGTCGGCACCTTCAGATCACCAGAGGTCTACACGCTTCTGTTCAAGCCCGCATGCCGGGCCGGTGGCGACGCCTCCCTCACGGTGGCCAAGACCTCCCCGGCCGTTGGGGGCCACTCGTGGCTCGCCCTGTCCCGGGACAAGACGCGGCTGTACACGACGTGCTGGACGGACCCGCCCTCGGTGGCCTCGTACCGCATCCGCGACGACGCCTCGGTCGAGCTCCTGAACCAGAAGCCCGTCCGCGCCCTGAGCGGCTACGTCGCCGTCACGGGGAGGTACCTGTACTCGGCGGGCGGCCCCACGGGCGAGGTGTTCAGCCTGGCCGCCGACGGGAGCATCGGCGCCCTGGCGCAGGAGGTCTCGTTCCGCCGGCCCGAGGAGCTTGACGACGGGAAGCGCAACGGGGTCGCCCACGGCAGCTTCGGCGGCCTGCGCCACGGCTCGCACTCGGTCGACCTCTCGCCCGACGGCCGCAGCCTGTACGTCGCGGACATCGGCCACAACTGCATCTGGACGTACTCGGTCGACGAGTCCGAGGGGGGCGAGGGCAGCAAGGGCGGCAGCAGCGAGGCTCCCCGCCCGCCCTTGACACTTGGGTCCAAGCACATCTCCCCGCGCCCGCACGACGGGCCCCGCCACACGTGGCCGCACCCGAGCGGCCGCGTGCTGTACTGCGTGCAGGAGCACAGCAGCATGGTGGACGCGTTCCGCGTGGCCGCCGACGGCGTCACGCTCGAGCACATGCACGGCTTCGACATCCTGCCGGAGGGGAAGCGGTGCGAGGACTTCTGGGCCGACGAGGTGCGGCTCAGCAACACCTCCAAGGACGCGAGCAGGCCGCGGTACCTGTACGCCTCGACGCGCGGCCTGCAGCCCGGGACGAAGGGGTACGTGGCCGCCTACGAGCTGGGCCCAGACGGGGGCATCGCCGGCCCGGCCGTCGACATATTCGAGACGAGGACGAGCGGCGGGCTCGCTAACGCCATCGAGCCCGCGCCGGGCCCCATCTCGGACACGGGCGAGGAGTTTGTCGCCCTGACGGACAGCGAGCAAGGGTTCGTCGTCATACTTGGCTTCGACGGCACCAAGTTCAGGGAGGTCGCCGCGACGAAGCTGGAGCGCGAGGGCGGCGAGGTGGCACAGGCCGCGACGGCCGTCTGGCTGTGAGCAGCACTCATACGCGCATCCAGGTAGCTGGCTGGAAATGAATACCCGCGGAGGTCCTTAATTCAGGTCTGAATTTTCCGAGCGTCATCACGCAGGTAGGCAAGTGAGAGGATTATACAATATATTCTTAATCATTCGTCTAGTCTCCCTCTCCCGTGTCTTTTTCTTCAAGGCTGATGCCCGCCTAAACGGATTCTCCACAGGCCTCCAACACAAGGCCACTGTTTGATCGTCAGAGGGCTACGCAGCGACTTCAGTGCAGGGCTACAGAGCCCGTTCGTTCCGTCTATTTGTAAGCGTTGTTGCGGAGTCGCTGTCGGTGTGCATTTCCGGGTCCGGGCGTACCGATAGAAGGTGGTCTCTGAAAGCCTATATCCATGGTATCCGATGCTCTGCTGATGTGATTAAATAGGGTGGGGAACCAATAGCCAGAAACATCAGAAACACTTTTCCATTTCGTTATATTCAATTTCTTGCGTTTTGTTAAGAAAGACTGAAAACTAGTCATGTGTCTGTAGAACACTATTCTCTTCTACTAATGTGGGGACTGGAAAATAATATTCAAAACCACACCTGCGCGTCTATCACCAATTTACATCATCCGGGCTTGGCTGTGTCCGAAACAGTGGCGAAGATTCTTCTTACTGGGGCCACAGGGTATATTGGCGGCACTGTGCTCGACCACCTGGTCAGGAGGGAGGAGCCCAGCATCAAGGCCTTAACCATCGACGTCTTGATTCGGAATAATAAGGCGGCCGAGAAACTCAACAAGGCATACGGGAACCGTGTCAGGCCCATCTTGTGGACTGGTTTCACGGATATTCCCCTTGTCGCCGACATGGCTGCAAATTACGACATAATCATCAATGCCGGCACCGGCTTCGTCCCAGACGGGGCCAAGGCTCTCATCCACGGCCTGGCCCGCCCCACTTCGCCGGCCTTGCCTGTGCCGTGGATGCTCCATACCTCAGGGTGCTCGAACCTAGCCGACCGACCCCTGACCCAGACTGCCCACCCCGACAGAGCCCGGGACGACGCCGACAGCAAGGCGGTCTACGAGTTCCTCGCGGCCGAAGACGCCCGCGACCCGTACCCGCAGAGGACCACCGAGGTCAGCGTGCTCGCAAGCGCCGAGGTGGCAGGCGTGCAGGCGGTGAGCCTGAACTCGCCGTGCATATTCGGCACGGGCACCGGCCTCTTCAACCGGCAGGGCTTCATCGTCCCGCTCTTCACGCGCTACGTCGTCCGGCACGGGCACGGGTTCAAGCTCAATGAGACGGCCAGCTTCGACTGGGTGCACGTGCAGGACCTCGCCGGGGTCTACGTGCTGCTGGTGCGTGCCATTCTTGAGAGGGAGGACCACGGCGTGGGTTACATCCCCACCGGGAGACACGGCATTATCTCTACTGCCGTGGGGCGGGTCCTGCAGACGGGAATGATGCGGCTGTGCCTGGACGCTGCGTTTGACGCTGGCGTCTTGCCTCGCGAGGACACGCCTAAGGGGCGGAGGAGATCATGGGCGGCCTCGTGGATATGGCTGAGCGGAGTTGGGCAGGGCACAAGGTCATGAAAGGGACGGTGGCGAGGAAACTACTGGGGTGGAACCCACGAGGTTGGATGAGGCATGGAAGCAAGACTATCGGGACGTACTCGACGCATTGCAGAGCGGGATAAGCGGCAATAGCCTGGAAACATCTATTGGGAAGTAGAATGAATGTGCGTTGTTAGCACGTCACTCAAGGCGAATCAAAACAGATGCTACACAAGAGTGTTATCAAAGGTTTCAGCAAGCTGATATCGGCGCCGCGGTACGATAAGTTGAGATATCCTGTACCGCACGCCGCATTACTTGCAGCTTGCTTGATAGCGACGTGGATACAGTGCTGTGACTGTTTCGGTGATGAAAGATGCTCTGAGCTTAATTTCGGGGTAGATTTGCTGATATACTAATTGGATAAGACCTCTCTTCCTTTAGTATCGGGTGAGACACTAATGTTACTATAATAAAGTAACTTTGTGGCCCAGTAGCGGAGTCAAGAGCCGATTGGTCCGACTCAGGGGAATAGACTGTTGGTGATAACTCGCGCAAGGCATCGTCAGGGGGCGTTTATTCAGTCAATTCGACTCACTTAGACTTGGAACAGGACGAGTGCCTCACAGTGAATCACAATCACTCGTAGGAAAACTCTAGTCTGATACGTGCAAAGAACGCTTGCCACGATGTCTATTGAATGCAAATTGGTATTCGTACAGTGTGCCCAAGAAAACACCGCCTCGGCTGTCTGTGTACTGTATTAAATTTCATCAAAGTACCAACCGGCCAGGCTCATTCTCCAGGACCATCTTGACCCTCTCAAGGAACACCTTTGCCCTCTGCTCCTCGGTCTTGGGCACCTTGAGGGAGAATACGTTCAGCCCCGTAGAGAGGCCCGCCGGCCTGCTGGACGGGGTGGGCGCCTTCTTGCTGGCGGAGCCTCCCGTGAGAATATCATATATGTCGGGCTTGGCTGCGGTGAAGCTCTTCTGCGAGAGCGATGGCGGCGGTGGAAGCGCAGAGATCTGTGGGAGGTAGTGTCCCTTGGAGCCCTGGGGGCTCACGGTGTCCAGACCCAGCACTTGGTTGAACAGCTCGTCCGCGGAAGGCTTGTAATCGGCCGCCAGGGGCAACTCGTCGTTGGCGACCTCGGTGGCGCGCGCGATGAATGCCGATAGTGGGAGGAACGCGCCAAGGGTGTCCTGCACCTTGCTCTGCACCTCGATGACCTGCGCCAGGGAGATGGGTAGAGTGACCTGCAGGTCCTCCAACACGGGCGCAGCCGGCTTGGCTGGCTTCTCCTCTGCGCTCTTCTTCTCTGCTTTCTTCGCGGCCACCTTGATATTGCTGAGATCCAGGTGTGCCAGCTTGTTGTACCGCTCTTCTACGTCAGAGGCCGAGTTGGCCTTCGCCTTGCCAAGATAGACCAGAACGTCGCCCTTCACCAGACGGCCCTTGGGCCCTGTCGCAGGGATCTCATGGACCTTGGACTCGTCGATTCCGTTCTCGTGGAGCAGCTGGATGATCGAGGGAAACAGAGGGTAGGTCTGCTTCTGGGCCTTCCCGCTCCCTCTGGCGCCATGTGTGGCAGGCTCTGATGCGCTCCGCTCCTCCTGTGGTACCGGCTCTGGTTGAGAACTCTTCTCTGGTGCTTTGGGGGCAGATGCTTGCTTCGGGCCCTCATCGGCGGGGATCTCCAGCGAGCTGATGTCGTCTCCCTCCTCGGCGATGACGGCGATCCGCGTTCCGACCTGCACGCCCCTGGCGCCGTCGCCTGTGAGGACCTTCATCATGATACCGTCATCCTGGGCCTCCACGTCCATTGTCGCCTTATCGGTCTCGATCTCCAGAAGGACGTCACCGGCGGAGAACTTGTCGCCGTCCTTGACCTTCCAGGTCGCGATGTTGCCCTCGGTCATGGTGGGGGAGAGTGCGGGCATGGTGAAGTTTTGGGCGGCGAGGGAGGAAGCTGACGTCCGGAAGCCTGTACGCGCAAGATTTGGTATCAGCATGAGGCTCACTTTGAGTGGTGGTGTGATGCTCGGTGAGGGGCTTGGTAGCTGATTACGGACCCCGAGCAGCCGCCTCGTGAGGCAATTTGGACCGCGCCAGCCTGGCAGACAGGCGGCAAGCAGAGGCGAGGGAAGCCATCGTCGGCAACTCGTGACAGGCGCACCTCGTTATGGGAGTGCAGGTGGGCTGGCGACGTTTGCGAGGGCGAGGCAGGGTGTGGGCGGATGCGAAAGCGGAGGAAAGTCTGTCGCGGGCTGCGAGAAATAATTTGGCCCTCCAAGTCAGTTCCCGTTGGGAACCGCTCGGTGTCCGGGTCTCCCCAATTGATGAGCTTTGCCCGACAGGGATCCAGCCAGCTCAAGCTCCGATGCTTCCTGGCGCAGATCTGCCCGTTTCCGCAGAGGTACCTGGGCCTGGATACAGATTTTGGGAATTTTGGACATATTTTTGATCTTCTCTTTGGTCATTGTTAACGGGCATCCGTGGAGTTTCCATACAACGATTTGCAGCAACTGTGAATCAGTAATCCTGCCTGCCAAATCATGTTGACCTTTATCTGGACTAGGTACTTCCTTCACAGAGTCCCGCACTTGAAGCTCCAGTACGTACCAGAATTGAGAGTGAGCTCCAACCCAGCGCGAGCGACGCCACTGCTGAGACATGTGCAGCAACTGGAAAGAAGGTGATGAGAGTCGAAATGCATTTGCGGCATCTGCATCATCTGGGAAGTATCTGTCAACACAATAGTATGCCATTGGAATAGCTCGGGGGGGTTTGCCTCCTCTTATGCATCACCGCGCATCAAGAGCACAGGCGAATCCACACCCTAGTCCCTCTGTTTGACAAGCAGTCCAGTTGCTCTCGTAGTCACACATTCATTACATTACTACACAGTGGCTTGGGAGCTCAGGACAGAAACGAAGATCTATGCGGCCAGGGACCGGTCCAGACTTGCTGGGTGGGCAATTGGCCAATCAATGTAACCCCAACGCCGATTCCCGCATCCCTGTCGCCGGCCGATGATTTTTGGGAGCTCCCGGCGCATTTCGACTCCACATGATTCCAATCCAACTCAGTCACCGCTCGGCGTTTGCGGCTGCCCTTCCTTTTCTTTCCTTTTCCCCTTTTGCAGTGCTCTTCACGGTGGCTGTCCTTGTAGGTTGATTTCTAGAGCTACAGGACATCAGCATCTAGCCTTTTCTCTAAGTCGACACTGCGCCCCATGGCCTCCTGTACAAGGGGCTACGGCTTCGGCCATGACATGCTCCTCCTTCTCCCCCGATCCGCCACCAGCCATAGCTGTTTCCAACCCTGTGCAGCACGAACACTGCATGCGCGCCGGACAGTACGAGCGACGCGCACCTTCGAGACCTCCGCCTATCTCCGCGCTAAACAAAAATCCTCCGCCTTGCCCGTCAAACAGAAGCCAGCCCCCAAGAAGCCACCTCCGCCGACCCTCGCGCACCGCCCACAACCCAGAGCAACGCCTCCCACCCCAGCAGCACCTTCCGCCGCAAAACCAAGCTCCGCCGCCCTATCCGTCGCCGAGCGTCTCGCGAAGCGCGGCGGGCGAACCGTTCTCTACGAGGGACCCTCCCACTTCTGGCTGCGCGCCTCGGGGCTGTCGGCGTCGGTCTTCTGCATGGGCTACGTGGGCATCCACTACTGGAGCATAATGGTGCACCCGCCCGAGGGCCTCGCCTGGTGGGTGCCGCACGCCTTCGTGCCGATCCTGCTTGCCATGGGCTACTTCAGCGGGCACTTCGCGCTGAGCACCACCAACATCGTCAGCTCGATCACGGCGGTGCCGCGCGGCCTGCTGCCGCGCTCGTACCTGACCGGCGGAGTCGCCAAGAAGTCCAAGCAGGAGGAGAGGTCGCTGGTCGCGCTCAACGCGAGCCCCGTCGCGCTCGAGGTCGCCGTCACCCCGCTGGTCCCGCTGCTGCCGCCCAAGAAGGTCGTCGTCGCGCCCGAGGAGGTCGTGCTGCCGTTCAAGATGCAGTCCACGCCCGTGGGCAGGGGCGTCGTGGCCGGGGCGCAGGTCCCGAGGCGCGGCGGGGATGTGATGGACAGGATCGCGGCGCCGTTCGAGGCGCTCGGCAGGGCGGTGAAGGGTCCGTTTAGTGGGATCGCGAGGGGCCTGACGCGGGAGGGTTTCGCCAAGATTCAGGTCAAGGGCAATAAGTACAAGGTCGATGTCCTGGGTGGCAAGGTGCTGGACGAGGGCAAGATACTGGATCACCTTGTGGCCTACCGGCCCGACAGAATCTCGAGTGGGTCCAAGCTATGGTAGACTTGCAGCAAGAAAAATGTGGTATTGGCAACTATTACAGCATTGGAAAACAAGAACATCCTCTGAATGGTCGGAGATGCCCTCAACTTGGCAACTTCAGGAGGCGAGTTCTGTACCCAAATCACGGGGTATGGCCTGCCCGCGTCGACTTCTGAGTGCTTATGCGTACTTTATTCTCGGCTGTGGTCGCAGCCTCATTACCGCCACGCCCTGGCCAGCAGTCCTCTGGTGCATGGTGGACACGGTGGGCACTGTGGGCACCTTGGGCACCGTGGGCACGTCTCTCAAGTATGCCGCCTCTGGCCAAGGTGGTTGGTAACTTCCCATCATGTCCCACAGGCACATAGGGTCATTTTTCATTATCCATCCCGTGCCCGAGCAATCATTGTACAGATCGTCTTGAAGGGTTGTAATGGTCTGTCTGGCTGCAGCATCTGCTTCCCAATCTCGGTTTGCCTTTGCCTGCCCGATGAGGTTTGAGATGTGCGCGGTCAATGGCACGAATCGGTCAGTGAGGACTTGCTTGAAGTTGGGGGGCCTCCTGTTCCCCGATGTAGGAATGAAGTCGTACATAGCGACGAACTTGTCAATGAAGCCTATGACCTGAGGCCAGTCAACATTCCTGGCAATATCGTTACCATGCTTCGCTGCTCGTCAGGCACCGTCAGTCCAGATCCAGATCGTGGCATCTCTTCCGCAACCCTTGAGGGCTTCCTGGGTGCTTACCTAACCATAGTCCGTCGGCTATGCTTAGTTTATACATCTTCTGGAAGGCTGTTCTGATGTAACCATCGTACTGAGCATCGTGGTGCCGGTAGTAACCGAAATTGAGCGCGGCCATGAGAGCATCGACGCGTAGATTTCCACCGTGCATGCGAGCGTTGATCATCCGTGCACGGCCGTCGGCACCCCATGGCTCGGCTGGGTTGACCTCGAGATGCCTTTGATACGAGCGCAACTGTCTCAGCCTCGCGTCCATCCACAGCAGACACGCGTTCCACAGGATGTCGTACAGCCATGCCGCATCCTGAACCGGCTGTTCAAGGGCTTCGAGGTCGCTTGCGAGGTTTTGCTGTCCGACGTCGCTGATCGGGATCAGTTGCTGGAGTTGGGCGAGCGCGTTCTCTGCCTGTACCCTCTTGTCCGTCTCGTCGTCTAGGCTCCTCTGCATCTGGGCGAGCCTCTGTTCCCCGCCGTCGTCCACGATGCTCAGAAGTCCCGCCATCAGCTCCCCGGCTCCCCTGTTGCCGAAGACTGTCAGGTCTTGAAAACCGTAGCTCGAGAGATCTGCGACTGCTTCCGGTCCTACCACCGGGTCCAACGCGCCCGCGACTGCTGACGACAGCTTGCCTTGGAAGCTGTTTCCTGCGGGATTAGTCGCCTCCTCATCTGTGAGCTTCTGGAGGTACAATAAGACATTTTTGCGAATAGTCTCTTCTACAAGCTTCTTCCCCGCTGGTCCTCTGCGGATCTTGTTTCGACCTATTGGGACCTTTGCATGCTCGGCAACGCCCTTGCGTTTTGGAGGCATTTTCCAAGGATTGGTGGTTGCAATTTGTGGTGTGTATTCACGATCGCGTGCTTACGGAAATGAGTACAAGGAAAACGCGTTGGAGCGTCAAGCTGCTGCAGGAGACCCATGGAGCTATATACAAGGAGCACAACCTATGACTGAAAGAGACGCGTCCCAATCATTCGACTGATTGACAATCCTGTGATTCTGAATCTCAGCCATGCGTGGCTTTGTCAACTCCTGATGTTTGTTCAACAGCTTGTGTACGGTATCCAGTTGCCCGTTTCCGGCCAGTTCATAGATGATGTCTCCCGCGTGAGAATCTATTACACGGCAGCTGCTTTGTTCCAATCAACACGTGAGAGCCTTCTGAATGATATTGATATTTATGCATCACCGTAATATTCATCTGAGTCAAGAGGATAAGCGCGTTACTATTCCCCTAGTGTTGCTACATAGGTAATTACTTGGCTGCCTCGATGAATCCTACAGCTGTCGCAGAACGGAAACAACACTTGCAGCAGTCATGACCAGAATCAATTCCGTTTCCCCAAACTCTTGGTTTATACCGTACATAGACATACATGGTATATAGATACAATGTAGTCTAGCGAGATCCACTTAGTAGTTGAGACCTACAAAGAAATTCACCATCCCGGGAGATTAAAAAGTGCATTCCAGACCGTGCTCTACCCGGCCCTTTATTCACAACCACGTCAATTATTCTAGCATGGCCATTTTCGCCATTGCTTAACTACTCTCCAGTTTGAGATGTATTTCTTTTTAGGGACACGATAATACATGGGCTAGTGAGTCTTCGTGTACCAATACTGCCGCTCCTTCGCTGGGTGAGTCGTTGCTGTTAATGAGGCCACACGTACACGCGCTCTCAACCGGACAGCCCGGATAATATTTCACCTAGTATTCGCCATTATTGTTCCAACGCATATGTCTAACATGTTTCCCCATGACCCTGCTCTGTTCACCCATCAGATCTTTGCAGTCGAAAGTTGTTTCGACCAGCCACTATGGATAACGTACTGTTGAAGCCATCATGTTCCTAGCTAAAAGTGATCTCGTACCCTTGATTTTTTTAGGCCCATCAATTATTCATTGGATGGACTGGTCCGTACGCTATACGAAAATCGCTAGGTCATTACAGCAGTAGCATATTAATCTCTGCTGCTACCCCGGCAGCTGTTTAACCAAATATGTACCTTGAAAACAACAAGTCCACTCTTCTCTAGAGAGATTGCGTTAAGTATTTAGGGAATCATGCTAGTAAAGACGCACGTGAGCCAATTGCTTGTCCCAACCGTGCTGGAGTGCGAAGAAAAGTATAAGAGCTGGAACATAACTCTGAAATTAAAAGCATCAGCATTTGTGATGGTTATGATATGATCGAACCCTTCGAAACGTATCACATAAATTTGATCATCTGATTTGTGCATCGGTGGAGGAAGCTGATTTCAATGGCCATCAGTCCAGTAAGTGAAGGACAAAGTCTACCAGGACTGTTTCCAGAATGCCGATAGTCTCCAAAGCTATTATCCGGCACAACATTTAAGCAGTGGTCGATCGTTTGGTTGAAACTCCTACATTTTGTAACTGACACTAGATGAAGGGACAATGCTCACGAAACTTTCGGCAATCCTACGGTGTACATCTAGGGGAAGCTTCTAACGAGATATGAAAATGCCTGCGCATTTCCACAACCACGCGAAAATATGCCGAGACGTCTTGAAAAGAGATCATAGCCATTGTATGGAAGCAAAATGTTTTTACATTTCGCTATGTAATTAATGCGTGGCCGCTTCCAACAGAGGTTCGTGCATCCATCAACACATTTGCAAACACACCTCCCCAAAAGGTTAATTGTCTAGGTACTGAATTGCCGGGAGGAACGAAGTTCGAACAAATACTCCGATAAAAGCATAAAGAGGCCTGCCACAAGGAACGCAACAGATCCGATGCGCCTCCATAAAGACCCTCTCTATCTACCATCCAAGGACATTCTCAGTTGCTCATCAGACCTACCACCTCCGTGCTGGCTGCATCAGCTATGACATTGCTGAACAACTATTACGTGAAGAGTATCAAAATGATCCGGTTTCAGTGAATCACAGCACTCACTCGTGGGCGGAAAAGGAAAAACGTAATGCTCAGTCTCGGGCAGTGAACATCTACGCGGCACGAGAAAGTCCACTACACTGGCAAGTATCAGTCTCCGAGGCCTGGTATGCCAACAAAGTCTATCGGAGGTAACCTCAGGTTCCAGATCAATCGGTCGTGAAAGGCTGCCGCTGCTCATAATTCGTGGTGATTCTCTTGTCCTCCGCGGAATGATCGGTGGTGTCCACTAACATGATTCCGCATTGAATATTCTGGCCATCAGTACTATCTTCAGGTTTTTTTTTTTTTTCTTTATTGAGAATAATCTAGAACATCGAGCGTGATGCCTATGTAATAGACTCAAAACTTCTATCGTGAGAACTGAGCGCGGATCTCCGGAACTTTCTGTCCTAAGCTTGGCCCCAAACCGTATTAACCACGTAAGCTTAAATCTAGGATTTTCTCTTAAAGGGCATGCTATAATGATGAAACTATTGGAACGACACGTCACAGCCCAAGAACAAACCCCCAAGTCGTCCCATCATAAGCCGCCGCATATCCTGTCATCTTCCCGCCGTCAAAAACAGGCAAAGACGCCCGTGTCGACCGATATCAGCAAATAGGAACAGCCGTCTGCCAGGTTACAGCGGCTATGATTAAACAGACAGGATGGAAGGATTCGGGGGGAGGGAGGGGGGAGGCGCACGGGGAAACATGCGCGGGTGTCAGATCCGATCGAGATCCCACTCTCCGCCCCGGCCAGACAAACCTGCTCGTGATGATTGGAGCCCGCGCGGCCAGGTCCCGAGCTTCTCTCGAACGCGGCACCCCAGGCCACGCGCGCAAGGCACACAAAAAGAAGAAAAAAAGCTTCCCAGGGCTTCCATCCGCTTCGAAGCCTGCGCGGGCGGGAATGTCTGTTCTCCGTTCCAGGGTCATGCCTTGTCCGGAGCGATCCGCGAAGATCGAGGCCCTGCGACTGAGGCACCGAGAGCAGCGGGGCCGGGAGCCGTCTCTGCTCCAGTATCAGGCCATCAGAAGCACAAAAATGTACCACGAATCCCCTATCGGAACCGCCGCCGATCATCTTGAGGCATGAAGTTGTCCTGTTCGTGTCTCCGCTATGTGACTCACAATCCAAACATGTGGAGAAGGCCGTTCGCGAGGAACACAGCGGGGAGGAGAGCCCCCGAAGAGTCTCCAACCGCCGGGCCTGGCAGCTTTGGTAGGACGGCGTTGTAGCACGATAGCCTCATGGATCCTTGGACTGGCGGGGAGCCAGGAGGGGCCAGAGGGGGGAAGGGGGAGGGCAGAGTGTCCACACGTTCATCAACCCCTCCCTCCATCACTCTCTTCTGCCCTACACAACCACACAAAACCGCAAACCCCCCCCCCCACAAACCACGCCACGCACCCCGAAACCCAACCCAGCGGCATCTCGAACCCACTCTCGGTGTGAGGGGCGGGGACCGATGACCTCACACCCACAAACCCCCTCCACCACCACCCTCTTCGCACTTCCTGCCCCAGAAACGACCGGGTGTTCCTCGGGGCGGTAAGTCAGCCTCACAAATGGGACACCACGACTGTTGCACATGTGGGCTATAGATAGCTCTTGGACTTGGGTCCTCGAGTGGGACCATGGCGACCACTTCTCGGCACTTGCCAGTGCATGATGCTGTACCAAAAACAGCGAGGTCGAGTCTGGGGAAAGCTGTCACCATGCATGCATGCATGCAGCAGCAGCAGCGGTCAGGGATACTGTACGGTACATAGTGTAGGAACCTGGTGTAGAAGGGGGAAATAGAAGGTCAAAGGAAAAAAGGGCAAGGGAGGAGGGAAAGAATAGAAAATTTGCCGAGCGTGCCCTGTAGCACCTGCAAGCGAGTGGGGCCATGTCGGCGTGTGGAATTCCCCGTTTCGAGCACTTCGTTCGACGACGGCCGCCGTTGAAGGCGCCCGGGTCCCACAGGCCGTCGCGGCGCGTAGGGCGTGACAAGGCGAGCCACCCACTCGATGTCGATGCCCTTCGCTCACCTCATGCCATGGACAGACCGGTGCTACGAGTCTCTGGATCACGAGACACGGGTGAAGTCACGCAATGTACATGGAGGTTTCGAAACATGTTAATCTGGGACGGTGAGAAAGTATCCTCACCGTAGAACGAGGCTCCCTGGCTGCCCTACCTTGTGCGCAACAGTCGGGCTGGTTATTTGTGGCATGTCCGACTCATGGCCGGGAAACGTTCAGACGAACGATGACGACATTGTGGTACTCAGGGTAGGAGGGGGGGAAAGAGAGGAATGGGGTCATCTTCCTCGAGGGAGGTCTGCCTGCACGTCAGACGGCGGTGGGCACAAGCACGTACCCACCGACGACACGTCTGTCCACCACATGCATCATCACGTGTAGACCTAGCATGCACGCAGATAGTCAGGACCCCCTAACATCCCCAGCCCTACAGATAACGAGATATCACCACCATGCGTGTCATCATGCCCATCATCGAAAGATAGCCCACCAAGTCACACCAAGCCTTTCACGGCCGTCTGTGCTCCAGAAGGTTATGTAGAGGGAGAGAGGAAAAAGCATCCCGGCCGGTCTGGCGTCGCAGTACCGGCACGTCGGATTGCCGGTGCGAGAAAACACAACGCAACACAAACACAGACTTACACAATAAACACTCTCATTCGGGCGCAATCGGAACCGCGCGGCGAGTCATGTCCCGTCCGGATCGGGGTCGCAACCGACGAGAATCCTCCGCCCGCGGACACTCACGCCGAAGAGACCAGCAAAGACGCAGCGAGCGAATGCCACATCGCAGACACGCCACGAGGGGGAGCGGTGCACTATATGAGGCGGACGGGCGCTCGAGTTGCATCGTGTTGTTGTTGTTGTTGTTGTTGGTGTTGTTGTTGGTGGTGGTGATGGTTGCGCGACTCGGCGCCGGCAGAGGGCGGGAAACCATGGCACCTGCTGTGGCAGAAGGATGCCACATGTGACTCGCGCGGTGATTCGAGTCTTCCAAGGCCTTGGGCGTGCGAAGACATTCGATGGTGTCAGGGAAGGCGTGGAATAGAAAGTTCGAAAGGCGTGCATATCTCGGTTTGTGCTTGACCCATGACAGTAATGCCATGCAACAAAGAAGCGGTCCACACGTAAACAGCCGCGCCTGTTCACACCCTGTGCAGGCCAGTGATCAACCTCTCAGCGCAACAAAAGATACGATGTTTCAATTACCTCGAAATAGCCCTGGTCTTATACCAGAAACCAACCCCCAGGGAACCACTCCAGGAATATCAGTATTTCAGGTTCAGCCGTTGACCAGAAATAAGCATGTTTCCCAAGAGTTGGACTTTCAGCTGTGTCGGTTAAATCAAAACACTCGTTTATTCTCCCGGGATCCCTGCTGCTAGATCTGTAAGATCTCCGTTCAGCGAATGAGAATCCTTGACAGGTCCTGGAAAAGGAAACTCAATCCCTTGGTCTGGGACAGGGGGGTGTTCTTGCCTGGGATTTGTCAAAAAAAGAAGTCCAGCCACCGCTTCTTGGCACTGCCCGGGAAGTTTCCCTGGTGCATCGCAACCAACCTCGCCTCAGTGGCATCCGAATTAGAGAGGCCGACGATCCTGCAGATGATTGAGCACGCATTCAGCCCGTGAAACAGGCCCACAGGCCTGCGACGATTGAAATATATGGATTATGTGGGCTTCTTCAGCAGCCTGCAGGGCGTAGACAAGAAAGTACCTGCGGTGTAGAGAGGGTTAATTTTCGGGGTTGTAAGGTGAGCCAACGCCCATCAATATGTACCAGTTGATATTATTCGCGGTGCCTGGGCACCTCCCACCTCTCCTGAGAATAGCTTCCCAAACCCGCAGTGATTTGCGCGTGCTCGCGCAAGCTACACCCATCATTGCCCGGGACCGCCGCCCGCCTCCGCAGTCGGTTCTCCAGAGGTGTCCGTGTCCCCTCACCTTCTCCCTGGTCTTGGCTTCAGTCGGCGGCGCGCGGCAGTTAGCACTTGCGGGCCGACTCCGCGCGGATGTCTGTGTCTGTTCGCTGGCTGGCTGTTCTGGCGTGCACTGATAGGCGCCTGCAGGAGAGGCGACGCTCGCCGACCGAGAGAACAGAACCACAGGGCAATCCGTGCGCCAGAGATCTCCGGTCGATCTACGACGGAATGGTAACGCCGTCAAACTCTGAATTGCTCACCGCGAATCCTGACCCTCTCATTCTCCATCGTCCCCAGCCAAGAAAATTTCATGTACAGATGCCGAAGGCGAGGCAAACGAAGTCAGCAACTCGCGACGTCGAATGATCTTGCGGCAGAGCCTATGCGTAGGTGAGGCAAGCGTCAGCTGGTCTGAATGTCTCATGGCGGTGAGGACCCCCAATTGGCGTATCAGGAGGCCGGGTAGCCGTCCTGTGCTACTGTAAGTGTAGTGCAACACACTCTCCTGCCCATCGTAGCATTTCACTGCAACGCACAGCCGGGCAGTCTGATGTATGAGCCAAGCCAGCAGACTGTTTTTTGTCCCCGGCAAGTGTGGGGGGCTGTTTGCTGGGCGCTCGAATGAGCGGACGATGCACATGGTGATTCTGAGCAGCCCCTCCAAGAGTCAAAAGGGTTCTCGGGGTCAGGGACAGGGATCCATGCACTTCGCCGTCTTGGTTCGTCTTCCCAAATACGGTTAGAGCGCCAAGGCGCTGCTGAGTCCATTTTCTGGTACTGCCGCCGAGAGCGCCGCCCAACGGCCCTGCAACCATGTAACACAGTGATGACTATCCGGGGTCCAATATCAAATTCGTGCACGGTCCGGTACATGTTGAATCAAGTGCCATACATCGCCCACAGAGCTTCAAGGCTGCCATTCTGCTCTGCTTGTTCGCAAGACACTTTGGAAGGTTGCGTTGTTCTAGAAGAGCCCATGTAACCCTCGTCGCAGCGAGGCAGTGTCTCGGAACAGCTGGGGACTGATAAGATTTGTCCTAGCAGACGTGGTTCGCAGCTCACGCTAACATGCGTCCAACGGCACTTGGGCTTAGTGAAGCGTAGGTGTGGTGGTTTCCGGAGGCCGGAGGCTCCCAGCGTGGCGCCTAGGATCGCCGGGCTGCATGCAAACACTTAAGCAAGTAGTGCGTGTGTGCGCCATAATGCCCGTGTCATTGGCTCTGGGAAGGTGAGGTGATAGACCTGCATGGCCTCAATGCGGAGTGTCCTTTTTCGTGTCGCAGACATGTTGCGTCGGGTCTTGGGTGATGCCGAGCAGAATCGGAGGCGTAACACATCGTCGGCTGACAAGGTGTCCGTGCAGCATATGTCAATCGAAGCGTTCCGCAAGTCCATTTGGCTTCTGAACTCGACATCAGTCTGACAAGGGTTGCACCGGCCTTGCGATGACAGGTCAATGGCAGGAGATCATGCGGATAGCTGAGTGCCACCCCTTACACCATCTTTCATATTTATGGAGTGAACACCCACCCACAGGACACTATCCTGATTAGTCCCTTGAGCTAGTGTCGTAGTACTACGCCTGGGCATGCGCCACCCGTCGCTCTCTTAATAGACGAGGACACCATTGGCATGCTCCATCTGCGCAGGGTGCAGCACGACCCTGGGGCAATGTCTGGCAGATGGGTAGAGTGCATTACAGGAAATCATGACTTCGCCCATTTCTGTTGTGCCAGGTCGTTCGTGGGTGAGAATACTGAACGCTGATGACGAGCAAATCGACATCGTGATCACTATGCACCACACCTTGTGGGCGGAAGGTTCGGATGACTGACTGGCTTCTTTGATTTCTGGCCCCCTAACACGAGGCAGTAGACGCTAGTGAGGACCACTCGTGGTTGCATGGATGGACATAAAGCCACTGAGGCTGGCTGAAGGTGCTGCGGATTACGGTCAGCCTTGATGTCCACCTCCGCGAGGCTGAAAGTATAGAGCGCCAGTCCAAGAAAGGGGTAGAAGGTGCCGTCCTTTTTGGTCGATTGGTCGAATGGAAAGCCGTGAGGCTATGGCTATCCGGGGACTTGTGATTGTCAGTCTTGGTAATGGGATTGTGTGCGCATGACTTGTGCTTCAATTGTATTGCACGACACCCTACAGTGATGGAGTCTCGGTCATACCTACGCGTAAGCCACCAGTACGATACCACTTGAGTAGTTGTGCTCCGTTGGGGGGGGGGGGACGCGTCGGTTGTTGAGCCTGCAGTGCAAGTCTTCCGCAGTAGGGTCCACGTGCCCCTTGCCGGTCATCTTCAGACGTACGGCTGAGGAGTTCCACACCATGAGACTTCCCAAAGGCGGAAAAAATGATCAGATTTTGTTGATCAATTACTTAGACCAGCAAACCGCCAGTATCAGTAGATCAAGGGTGCGTGGGCATCATGACAAGTGAGGAAGCTGAGACAAATGCGATTGCGATATCCGCCGTTACACTGTTTCCTTGCTTGAGCCGGCATCGAGTCATGTATCTGGGAAAGGAGTCGATCCCGCTGGGGGGTTTCCGATCAGAGATAGGCACATAAGTACACTATTGCCCAGTGCACCTAAGCAACAGGCGGGGTAAATGATGGGCATGTTCGTACAGATTTGTTTTTGTCTTTGCCAGTTGTCCGCGTGGGCCGCTGGCAACGTGCCCTACAGGCAGGCCCTTGGAGTTTGCAGTCAAGGAGTTTCGGACGTCCCTGACTGGCCATTGATCCGGACGAAGAAGTTAAAGAGAAGGAACGACAAATGTCATCGGGGCAGGCCATGGGTTCCCTGGTCGCTCCCCGGCACACCACACAAGGTGGGGGGTTGCATGAGAGATCCATGGATGGCTCTCCCTGGCGCAATCGTGGGCCTTCGCACCACACGCTAGGTGCCATGCATTCTGGGTGCCGGCCATCCCAACCACGACCACCTGGTGGGTTTGGCTGTGTGGAGGCGATGACATAGTTGCGGAGCCAAGGACAATGTGCGTCGAGACTCGGAGGCAGCAATGATTGGGTTTCTGAGTATCCTTGGGAGCCATGTGGTCGGCTCACGGCCACCAGGTCGGCTTGTGGACCGTACAGGCCGCAAAGAAAGGACACATTCTCATGAGATCTGCGGTTTGGATGCACAGTGGCGTCGACGGTCCGATGCTGACTGCTTTCCCCAAAAATCGGCGGCTTATGGTGAGAGCTCTGTCCAACATAAGGAACATGGGGAAATGATTTGCGGACGCTGTTTCAGGGTCCATTCCAACCGTCCAGGCGACACAGAAGGGACGTGAGGCTTTGCTGAAACGGGCCAGCTCAAGGCCCGGCTAGGCGGCTTTCACGAGTGGCCGGTTGCCGGAAGAATAGCGCTGCCTGGAGTTCTAAAAGGTAGTCCGAGCCAACAGTCGGCCTACGGGCGCGAAAACCTGTCTTGTCTTTGCAAGGCGCTGGCCTGTACTGCCTGTCAGCATGTCGCCCGGTCGGCCAGCAGTTGGTGCTGGGTAGTGCCATCCATTGTCTTGGTGAAGAACACGGGCGCTAGAAGACTGGCGAATCGATGCAAGCAGACGCCAGTCAGGGTCTCCCGGAGGACAAGGTTGGCGCGGTTCATGGAGCGACCGTAGCAGATGGACCCCGTTTCCTCAGCTGCATTGAAGGAAGATCCGAAGGGATTTGTCGTGTCTGCGCGTCCCGGGGCCGGGGGCAGCGCAGCAATGAGACGAGATAACGAGATTGAGAGCGAGTCTGTGTGCACTCTCGGCACCTCGATCGTCCAGAAGAGTCGGGGTCCGTCCGTGCGAAGAGCCAATTGGACCATGAATTGTCGGAGAGGCCGTTGAAGAGCGGTCAGAGGCAGATTGATGTAATGGTAATGCCATTCTGTCGAGGGCGGCAACGACAGTTAACCTGCTATTTCAGCTGGCCCGACTGGCAGAGAGAAAAAGATTTTCTCGAGGGGCATGTGCAAGTCGGTGTAAGCCTTGATCGCATTCTGGCATCCTCTGGCATCCTGGCGCTCTGACCTGCACGAAGCCCTGGGGGCGTTGCCCACCTTTTTTTGTTCTTAGTCGCGCGTCCAGCTCCAAGGTTGCTTGCGGGCGGGGCGCTCATGGAAGGATCCCAGAAGCCGACTGACGCCATCAATCCCAAGTGGCACCGCAATTTGACGGGGGAGCCACTAACGGTTTCTGCATGAATTGCTCAGACGAGAAAGTAATGAGAAAAGACCAGGGAGCTCCGGAGCTCAATAACAACCAACAACGCCAGTGGCGTGTCAGTGAGCCGAGAGTAAACAAAAAACTTTGCTCGCGAGCCCCATTGCCTTGGTGATGAACAGTCCTATCTGGGGTGCACGTTTATTCTCCGGGGGGCAGTGCCTACATGTCAGCCCGTCTACAGGGTGACAGACAAGGAAGGCACGCAGGTTGGTTACCGCGGAAGGAGCCCACTGCTGATCGACCGACCACCAAACATCAAACGAAAAAAAAAAAAAAAAAAGAGGAAAAAAAAGAAAGGGCGGCAACGCCTGGGAAGGAAGGAGGAGGCTCTGGAGAGCTGCAGCCGCAGCCGCAGCCGCGGTCACAGATGCAGAGGCAGAAGTTGCATTGTGGGAATGGTGCGAGACTTCCCTGTCTGTTCAACGAGTTGTGGTGGAGAACGGGGAGACGGATATGGGTGGTCCAAGTTACCCTTGACGGCCAGGGACGGACAGCATACCCATTCTATCTACACTATCGTATTGAACAAGAAATGACCCATACGCATCCAATTGCCGTATTTGTCCCACCCGTCGAGTCGAGTCGAGTCGCGTTCCGTCGCGGTGTTGGCCGTTGCTATAGCTGCTGAGAGAGGCGCGGACGGGGCATCATAGCATGAAGACGGCACAACCGTTTGTGGCCATGGCTCGGTGTCAATGCCATGAAGACGCCGGCTGGGAGCTTCCTTGGCCGCTGATCTGATGTTCTCCTCGGCCTGAGTCCGATGCTGTTCCAACCGACTACCGCCTGTCCAGCCCGCCCTCGGCGCAAGTCTCAGTTGACCGCAACAAGACTGTTCGAGGCCGTAGTTAGCGAGCAAGACACATTGGCGGCAGCAGGAAGAGGATTCTGATGTGCATATTGCTGCAGCAGAGCAGAGGGAGACCAGAGGCTTGCCCTGCAGCATGCATAGGAGCAGCTCAAATTCAATCCGGTCCTGGCTGGTCTAGAGTCGAGACCGGCTGTCTACCGTCTTGTCAAAGACTCAGACATGCATATCATATGTACCCTGTGCGCCTGTGGCAGAGTCGGTTGACTCTGTGGTTGTGCACGAACCTGAGTCTGGCCTGGCTCAAGCCCCCAACGCTCAACCTACCACCCATCCCACCCACCCATTCACCCATCCACACACACTCTTACGCTGTAGCGTGATGCAACTGCTAATGCAGCCTCAACCTTCCCAGCGCCCTTCCACGATCGGATTGGACGGCTGACCTGCTCATGCTGCACAGCCAAACCTTTCCGGCCCTTGCGGCGGCAACGGGCCAGAGACAGGAAACTGTCGTGACCCACCTGGAAGGCCATCGAAATCAAAAGTCTGGTGGTCACTGGTCTATATGTAGGATTTTACTGCAAGCCTTTTCCGGACTGCGTGCTTCGCACTCCGTATGATCACAGGCCTGGCGATATTCTCCAGTTATCCGATGCGAACTGCGTGGAACTCGCCCGAGTCCGGGGAGGGTCACATCAAGTAGTAAACAAACGGCTGCTTTCTCAGGGAGGAGGGGGGCCGGGGAAGGAAGAGGAAAGGAAAGAGAGCAAAGAGAAAGACTAATGTACGATGGGAGATGAGAAGCCCCAGCATTCCCGCACCCGAGCCCGCCCGTACAGCAGGCGGCGAGCACAAGGCTGGAGGTTGAGCCAGAAGTTTTATCTCATTTGATTGATTGAATGGCTGTGACCGATGATTGTCGCCGGAAGATGGGCATGTAGGCACGCACCTACATGTATCCACAGCCCACCGCGGCTCGAGAACCCACAACATGTAGTGTATGCGTGTGTGCGAGTGGGTTGCTGTGGGCCGCGCAAGAAATATCACCGCTCACAACCCAGTCGAATAGTCGGCCAGACACAGGTCCTCGACGACAGAATCTCCAGAAGACGCGCCCCGTGCACTATCAGCTACCTGGCAGGTCCCGCTAGGCAGGGGGCCCCTGACCAGCTGCACCCTGAATCTTGACTGGGGATGCTGCTGGTGCAGACCCACCTGGACACCCTGCCACCTCCTGCACACACTGGCATAAGACTAGCTCGACGCCTACCAGCTGGGACGGAGGGCCTCTCACCACTTGCCCCTTCTCTTCTTTCCCGCCCCGTCGTCGCAACCGAAAGACCAACCACACAACACGGACGGCACGATCCTGTACACAGTAGCGACCGAACTAGCAAGGCGGTATACCCTAGCCCCTTGTTCGTCGACCCTCTGTGTCTCTCTGCCTCTGCCTTTCCCTCCTTCACCACCTCCGCCTCCGCCGCCGCCGACTGCTTGGATACGCTGTCGCTCCTCCCCGTCGTCCCCCTCCCTCCTGAATATCTGCATTCCTCTCTGCAGTCAGTCATTCTCGTCGCTTCTCCCAGTAGACGCCGCGGCCAGTCACTTCGACTTTGCACAGTCAGGCCAGTGACAGTAAGTCAACATTTGCTACCTCGTGTTTTCTTATCGCGGGCTCGCCGGTTGTCTTATCTCCGGTGTTTTGCTTTGTCTCTCCTCCCCTCACCCCTCCTCTGCCACCGTTGCCCGGATGATTCACATCGCCCGGCTGTCTCCGTCCGTCTTGCTTCGAACCGCGTGCCATGTGTGCCTTGAGAGGGAATTCCAGAGCCCAGCCAGTCCAACGAGAGCCTCGCGAGGAAGCAGGCTCTGAGAAAGAAACAAAAAACAAAATCGACACTTTCGAAACATCTTGCCGGCATCGTCCCATATGAAGCGTTCTGTCCCTGTATTGTCCTATCCCGGATGCCCAACCGTGTGCTGCTGGCCTTTATCCACTGCGTGCCGTGCCACAAGCACATTGCGGGTGTGTATGGAATCGAGCCTACTGCTGTGGCCTTGTCACTGAGGCGACTTGAGGCGTGTGTCTGCCCCGGTCCAACGTGCACCGCAACCTGGAGCCACAGGGCGCCTCGCACAAACAAAACAATCCTCCGGACTTGGGCCCTCAGCCTCTCGAAAGCCGACTGCCTGGCTGCTGGAAACATGCACTCGACACCGCTCTCGTGACAATAGCCGCCTTGAAACCTCGAGGGCACGCTTGAAACCCAACGGATCACGGTAGAAAAGCCACTACCGGGCCCTTCTCTCGCGGCCTCGTCCACCTCCAGCCCGCAACCATCGGCCGCGACCACGGCAGCAGCAGCAGCGCCCCACACCCTGAATCCTTTGAATCTTATATTACCGCAGCGCGCCACGACGACCCGCCCGGCTCTCTTGTTTCCAACGGTCGGACCCGAGGCTTAGGCACTGGACCGTTTCTGGAGCTGCATCTCGGTACACTCTTGCACAGCACACCATACCACGCTCCCCATCGCACCACTGCTCGGCTCCTCCAGTCGAGTCTCTCGCTTGCAATCGCCCTGCTTCACAGCCCCTTACTTGTTAAATAACTGTGCCGCCTCCTGTGTGCCGTACACTGACAATACCACCTCGCACAGGCTGCTTGCGACCAACCGCCGCCACACTTGCTCTACTGAGTCTCCCCCTTCATCTCCTCCGGGCCGGCCTTTAAAAATAACGAGGGCGCCCTCACCTTCTCTTGGCTTTTTGTCGCATCGACTTGCTGTCAAAGTGCTGTAACCGACCCATATCCGCCTCGCGACCCACCCGACTCCTTAACTGTTTGCTGGCTGTGTCCCCAATGCCTTCCAAGAAATAATCATGGACTCAGAAGACGGAGAGCTGTTCATAAAGGTACGCCTGGCCCGGACGTGCTTGTTCATGATTGTCACATACCCTGGCGAGGCACATGAGACTGACTTTACTCCCGTACCATAGCAACTGGCCACATTCGTGCGCACGCATGAAAAGGCTCTGGCCAACGCTTTGCAACTGCGCAGGCAGAACCCTCCTCGACATGGAGCTTCGCAAAGCGTTTCGTCGGTGCCGACCGCAGGGCTCACCACTCCGACGACCGTCCCCGAACGACCATCTACTGCTACGGCGTCCTCTTCCAATGGACTCGCTGCGGCGCTGTCCTTCGGCTCCCTGAACTTCACATCCCAGACGGCCAAATCAGCAAAGTTGGCTCTCACACCGCACCACCTCTTCTACCTTCTCTCGCGATTCGAGGAGCTCAAGATACCTGTCGGCCCCATGAAAGTGCGCCTCGAGAACTTGCACGATACGAGTACCTCGGCGAACTATGTGTCGTTCCTGGGCCAGTCCCAACGCACCAAGACTCGAGGCTCAGATGTTGGTTCCATCCGGTCCGTATCCAGCATCCGCAGTGTCATGTCTGGGATGTCTGCGCTCTGGTCGAATTTTGGCATCGGATCGAGCATGTCCGCCGCTCGCACCGAACGACAGAAAGCTGCCCTGGATGCTGACCTCAAGTACCTGTATTCCGCTTTCACCAAGGTACCGTGCCTTCGACTGGCCCCGGACTTCCGCGCTCGGCTCATCAAGGGTTATGAGGAATTCCCCTTCGATTCAGCAGTACCCCTGCACATTTTCAAGAACTGCCAGGCGCTCGAGGTTAGCGACATCGACTTTCGGCAATTCTTTGGTTGGGATCGCATGGCGGATCAGCTGAGGTCCCTGACGGTCAAGCGAGCCAGTCTTGCCGACCCCGCTGATATTCTCATCGACATTGTGCTTGACGACATGGATAAGAGGAGACGCCGAACATCAAAGTCGCATTCATCACCGACAACTACGCGGCCAGGGACTGCCAGCCCACGGAGGAGTATGACGTTGGCAACGCCTGCTGATTTGAAGAAGTCGACCTCGGCACCGGGATCGCCAGGCACACGGCCTACCGATTTGAATGTTGGCTCCATGGGGAGTGAGACGGCCGTCGATCATGAGCACGAGCTTGCCCTGCGGAATAGTAGGCGGGCCTCCGTCGCCGTCGTCGAGCCACCTAAATCACCGACAAAGAGTTCGCGCCCCAGAAGCCATTCTCCCAGGCGGCCTGCTAGCGCTCGACACGGTAACCATCATGTTCGCAGCTCTCACAAGGTTCATCGCTCAGGCTCAGGCAGCTCGCAGTCGAGCATGTCCGATTCTTGGCACCAGAACCGGGGCAGCACTTCGAACCTTCTCTCCACAGGTGCGCTTCCCGCATCAAAGTGGCGTTTCCTGAGGCATCTGAGTCTGGCAGAGAACGGCCTGGTGTCAATTCCTGAGGCGAGTCTTGCTCCCTTGGCCAACACGCTGTACTCGCTTGACCTGTCCTCGAACGAGTTCAACGAGATCCCTGACAGCTTGGCCTCCCTTACTGCGCTCCGGGCCCTCAACCTTTCAAAATGCACTATCGAGTCTCTCCATTCACTTACTCGCAACCCGCTGCCAGCGATCACGGCACTGAACCTTCGGGACAACCGCCTCCAATCTCTGGCCGGGGTCGAGAGATTGTACCCACTCGAGAGGTTGGATCTGAGGGACAACCGCCTGAAGGATCCTGTCGAGCTGGCCCGTCTGACGAGAATACCCGACATACGGGAAATCTGGGTCGAGGGAAATCCCTTTACGAGGACACACAAGGACTACCGCATCACAATCTTCAACCTGTTCAGGCAGTCGCCTGGCTACACCGAGGACGTTCTGATTGACATGACGGGCCCTACCTACTCGGAAAGGAAGCATCTCGTCGAACGCACCCAGGAGCCTGCTCCTGTTCCCGTCATCAAACCTCCGGTTCCAGAGCCGAAGGCGGTCGACGTCAGCAAGCCGGCGATCGTCTACGAAAACCCAAAGGAACCTGCGGTGCTTCGCAAAGAACGGCCTGCACCAAAAGTTACAGCCAGTGAGGTCAACACAAACTCCACTCGAAGCCGTCGCAGAGCGCCAAAAAGGCGAATTGTGGATCTGGCGGATTCTCAGGCTCACGTCGCCAGACAGCCAGATGAGAACGAGTCGATGGGGGCCATGACTGGCCTCGATAACAACTATCGTATATCACAAACCACGGAGGTACATCAAAATAACCCGGCCGTGCTAGAGGAAAGCCGCACCCAGGCGAGCCGTGGTGTGCCCCGTATCGATACATCCGTCATCCCCAAGTTACCACCTGTGACTCCTACACAGGAGATTGGAACTCCAACATCATGGACGGACTCCCAGAAATGGGACGTCGGAGGCGAGATGTATCGACGCAAGATTGAAGCCTTGCGAACCCAAGTTGGTGACGGCTATCTCAACGTTCTCAGTGAGGAGCACTGGGACGTCAACGGCACACCACACTTTCCAGGGTCGCGTTTTGGTCATCCCGACTCGCCTTTACACCCGAGTTCGGCCGTACATCGGCCAACTTTGCAACCTATTCATAGCGGTCGAACCCTTGGATGAGCGCCACACCCTAAAATCACTCAGCACTCAACATACTCGAATCCCCTGACAGCCGATCACGATGATACCCAAGCGTCCACGAATAGTGGGCAGTCTGGCTGTCACACACATATATCCCGAGTCCATTTCGAAATACCCAAGTGTTTTCTGTTTTACCTGCAAAAGAGTAGCGCGGCTTCATGGTTGGCTTTTTCAAGATTCATCATTTTCACCGGAGCATAGCGGAAAAGGCGTTTTTATGGTTCATCTCACTTTTCCTCACCGGCCTAAACTACAAAATCACAAGACTCTCAACCCGCCTACCACTGCGTCTCTATCGCCCCACGGAGACGACGATCTGCGTAATTACGAGGCTACGTACGACTTGGCAAACGATGTTCATGCCAGCACCATGACTCTTGAGTCATCAGCCTACTGGGCTGTGTATTTTGCGTTGTCTTATTGTTTGTATGGCACCGGTGTCATCCGGGGCCCAAGGTTGATGCAATATTTTTGGCGTGTTTTACATGGCACCGGTAGAAAATTGGGCACGAGTTAGTCCTGCGATTCGGCAATCTCTGGCCCAGGGCTTTTCTGGCTGGCGTCCAGGTTCTTCTCTTCGACAAAGATATCTCTTTATGACGGGATCTGGCGTTTGCGTCATGTTTGACGCTGTCCTGTTTCTGCATGTTGGCTTGACAAATCTTGCATCTTGAGTTTTTTCATTGCTCGAAGGTCCTCACGAACGTCTGCTTGAGTTTTGTCTGGTTGAGCATATTTCCTGAGCGCTGCGTTGTCTTATTGATTGCCTGGCGAAACGAGGACGGGTGGAAAGGGATGCCTGCGTGTCAGTTGAGTTGTGACTAGGCAGAGGACTGGTCGGTACCGTATTTACTGTACGGTATGGTCGGATGATAGATAATTGATCGGCCTTAGAGGCGGCCGATCTACGTGGCCTGGATGGCCCAAGAGAGAAATGATATCACGGCAGAAATATTCCATGTTCAATATCTTGACTTTGACGCCTCCTTCGTACTGTGACGTTGTCACGGCAATATGCATCCTCGCATGTTCCCAAGTGGGTTTGAAAGAACCCCAAGAGGGGACCGTACTGTAAATAAATTGCCAGTACACAGCACTGGGCAACACTTCGTTGCGTCCAATATTTGAGCATCAACCGAAGTCTGTTTGGCTGCCTGGCCTTGTTGGTGCCAACACCCAGATCCGCCGAGTGAGTCAGCATGCCACTGCCCTCGAGGCTCCCTCGCAATTGACTAACTATCACGTACCGTTCAGATCCTGATCCACCAATTCATTTGTATCCTTACGCCTGACCTCCAAGAACAAGAGAACACCCTGGCCTGGCACCCGTAACACCAATGTGCGAAAGTCAACATGGCCTCCCTCCTCGCCTGCCCGGCCGAGCTGCGGCAGCAGGTCCTAAGCCACTGCCTCCCAAACGACGTCCACAACGCAGGCGCCGCGCCCAGGACGGCCCCCCTCCTCCCGCTCCTCCTGACATGCAAGGTCATCCGGCTCGACGTCCTCCAGCTCCTGGGCACCTGGTCGCCGCTGTACCACATCGAGGACCCCGCCGCCATCATCACCACCACATCGCGCCGGCGCCTGGACGACGATGAGCCGCACATGCGCAGAATCAGCCTGCGCCTGTTCGCGGGGCTGGACCTGGCGCGGATGCACGGGGAAGCACCCATGGGTGCGGTCCAGGGCGTCTTTGACGTGGACCCGTGGCTCCGGTGCGTGGCCTCGCTGCCGCGGGCGGCCGTCGAGAGCGTCACCGTCGACCTGACGCCCGTCCCGGCGTGGATGGCCGCCCGCCGGCCCGACTGGGTGCGGTCGACTGTGCTGGACGCGCGGAACCGCGCCTTCCTGTGCGGGCGCTGTGCGGGTCCTACGGCGCCGGGGTGAGGGTCCAGCTCGGGGGCGCGGTGGCGCAGACGACGAGGCGGGCTGTCGACGACATGATGGTGTCCACGGGCGCGGCGGCCGGCCACGGCGCGGAATTCGCTGGGTTCACCGGCGAGTGGCTGAGCGGGTCGCGTGAGGTGCCGATGGAGTTGTCGCTGGGGCTCGTCTGTCGCTATTTGAAGGTCGAGGTGGTCGGGCCGGCGGCAAGGCCGTGGTGGGCCCGCTGCCAGGTGAGTTCTGTCTTTTATGAGAAAGTGCCACTCATCCCCGGTTGCGTAGTGCATAAGCTCTGAATATGCTCACACGGGACCGCAGGCGTCCAAGGCGCCCAAGGTGAAGGGCCTGACGACACCGGACCTGGACCTCGGAGACCTGGGCCCGGTGTGCTGGTCCAAGAACTCGTGCACGGCGTACTACGTCAACGCCCAGGAGGACGCGGAGCGCACGCGGGACGAGCTCGTCCGCCTGCTTGCTTTCGCGGTGGAGGTAAAAGCCGCGGGCGTGCCGCCCGACGCGGTCGTCGACTTCGCGCCGGCGGTCAGGGCGCGGCGGCTCCTGCTGCACTGCCTCACCAGGGACTTGGGGTTGGCGAGCGTGAGCGTCGGGGACGACGGGGAGAAGTTAGTCAGGGTGTCGCGTGCCACGGAGGCTGCTGCTGCTGCTGATCATTATGAACGCGAGTTGCTCGAGAGCAGTGGCGGCGGTGGTGAAGATCTCCATGAGTACGGGGACGAGAATCCGATATCTTCATTCTACTTGGTAGTCGGGTGACGAAACTGCGGCGGCCCTGCAGAAGCTGTTGTGCCTTTGCTCCAATCGAGCGATTCTTTCGCGCCCTAGGAACTGACCGTTGAGACTGGAGGCACGTGTACAACAGCTTGCTTTCCTGACCGTGGAGCGAAGCATCAGAGTTTTTGACGTGAGCACTAATTGAAACGGCCCAAACCGCCGACTGTTATAGGAACTGTACCTGAAATATATTAATTGGCTCGTCTTGAAATCGCGGATCAATACTTAAGAAATCCTCTGGGTACCTCAAATGACGTGTTTGCTTGGGCGCTTGACGCTGTACATGTCCAGTTTGGTCCCTGAACTCGTTCGATGCGGAAATACCTGAAGCCAAATTCATTAACTTGGACTCCCTAGGTTCATCCCCTTATAAACCAATCCATCCCATCCCATTTCAACAAAAGCCACTTGGCAGAGCGGTCAGGTCCCCGGGTTGCTTGCAGGTCAATAGTGGTCCAGTGAGGGATTGAGGTGGGCAAGCTGGAGGGTGACAACCAGGGTTCGATTCTCGTCTCTGGCAGGATTATTTTTTGTTTTCTTCCAGCGTGTCTTTCCTCAGCCATGCCTTCGTAGATCACGTCAAGGTTTGTGTGGTCGTGGCCAGCGACCCCGACGCAGACAAATGGAAGAGTTCTAGTAGTCAGGTTGTGTGACTGCTGGCACATGCTACCAACACTCGGTCAACTTCTTTTTCCTGTGTGAGGCTCTGGGCAATCCAAACAGGATATGCTCGCACTCTGAGAGTCTAAACCTGTGACACCTGACAAGGAGATGATTTGAATGACAAACCTGGTGTCGTGCTTGGGGCTTGAATTTTCGATGTTCTGCCCGTCAATTCGTCTGACACTGGATAACTCACCCGCTCCCAGTGGAATGCATGAGTACAAGGCCTGTATGCCATTTGATTGTCTAAATTGACAGTCGCATGAAGGGAAAAATGTCAACGGCATTTTCGGGGGAGAGGTGAAAGGCAAGGGACCAATAGTGGCACGGCAGGGCATCTCGAAGTATGCAAACTTGGGGACTGGCCGTGCTCGAATAAGAATGAACCTTCTCAGAGTTACTGTTGCCGAAAAGCCCGTGTAAATAGGGAGACAATTGATTTCTGGATTGGGGACGGTAGAAGACGTGGCGGCAGGACATCCATACCTGCCTCCCAAAAGAATACTCCGCCTTAATCATGAATCAGAAGTTCGAACGAGCGATTGAGCTCTAATGCAGTAATGCAAGAGTCAGCTTGGATGTGATGTAATGGGCATACTGTGCGGTCAGTGGAAGTGGGGATTTCGCGGGAAGCGCTCGAATCCTGCATGAACGGAGAGGAGAATAGACTGCGGGTTGTTGGGACAATCATTGGCTTCAGAGGTAAGCGGTGACTGAGATAGACGCTACTCTGGCCAGTGTCAATTGTTCGCTGCTCGGGAGGACGAATCATGGGGAGGCGGGCTGACGAAAAGGGCAATTCAGCCTCGAGGGCCACATTGGACGGCGTCAAGGCTGCTTGGCAAACGGTCAATCGCTGGTCCATGTGGACTCGAAGCTAGGAGGCATGTGGCAGGTGTATGGTCTAAACTGGGGAGGGTGTGGTAAGACTCTCGGGACGGGAGGAAGATGGCATGCGCACGGTAATGGTCCCGAGAGCTCGGGGAAGCTAACAAGAACAGGAAGAAGGTTCTTCGCCGCTGGTGTTGCAGATGCGGGTACGGATGTGGGTGCAGGTGCAGGTGGCTGACGCCCAGGTACAAACGAGAAAAGGGACGCGCTGTTTGTTGCGATTGGTGACGGCGGCAGAGGCAGAGGGACAGCGTTGGAATGCGCAGCAGTTGTGGGTCTGGGTCTGGATCTGGGACTGGGTCTTGGTCTTTCCGGGTCGACCACAAACCGACTGGCATCATCATCTGCAGTGCCATGTGGCGGCTGCTGTGGAGGGCAGGGGAGTAGCGAGGTGGTGACCTGCAGGAGGGCCCCCCCCCATGTCCTCCCCCTTCAGGTGTGTACAACACAGCACAGCAGAGTACAACCCTTTTGGTACCTCGGAAAGGTGCCGGGCCAATTGCTTGTTTGATGGGGCGCGAGTCGGATAGATCCAAGACGCACGTCACGATCCGGGAATCTGGGGTAAATCGGGAGGACCCCTGTGGAGAAGGTGTCGCTGATCGGCGTCAAGCACCCATCAAAGAGGCTCTTATTACTGACAGGTTGAGGTCATCGACATGCCATTGTCTACTCGATCGAAGACTGTATCTGCTCGGTCGCTGCTGCATCCTCCCGATAATGAGGGCGATTTCTCGGATCGCCTTGGGCGAGGACAGCGCTGCTTACGGACGTGTCTGGCTGTGCATGTGTTGAACCAGGGGACACATGGCAGGGACTGGTTGAAATTGTCATACCAATTGAAGAAGCTGAGGCTGAAGTTGAATGTGGCATTGGTGGAATGAGGGTGCATCATGGTTCAACGATCCCCTCTGTTACTATTGCGTTGCAGTTGCAGTGTGACTGACACCCACCCTTTTGTTGACCGTGGTAGGACTTGGTCGACATGGGGAAGTGACAGATGATTGACAGGGGGGGTAAGCTGTTCCTGACTACTGCACTCTGCACACTGCACAAAACGGAACAGTTACGTAAGCCGGCAAGGTGGGGACCCACCTCCCTGGCGGTTTTCCCACGCAGCTCGCGCCTTACCTAATTAGAGCTGCACGCGTTCGACCTCACCCCAATTCTCGCCCTTCGATTTGGCCATCTGTCGCACCGCATCCATCCTCCCACGCTCACCATATCCCGTCGGCCACATCGCGCTTCCCCTTGATCCGTTGCTGTCCTCAGCCAATATCGCCCCTGGCCACTCAGACACGCCGGACCCGATGCCCTTCCCGACCCATCCCCTCCCGCAGCCTCGCCCCCGCCACCCCTTGACGACGCGAACCCCCACACTGCGATACTCCCCCTACGTGTCTGCCTGATACGACACGTCCCCGACACAGCACAGGCGCCATGGCTTCCAGGCCTTCTACACCCCGGAGCTCACGCTCTGGCCGTGTGGCAGGTCGTGGTAGAGCAAGGGCCCCGCACGATCAAGAAGAGCCCCCTCTGAAGAAGAGAAAGTACGTCCCCGGCGGCCCTGGCGGCGGCGGCAGGTTTGTCCTCGACGATGGGAACACGGAGTCGCCAGCTGGCCCCTCGGCCATATCAACCCCACCGAGGCCCCGGAGCGCCGCCCGTAGGACCTCGAACCGTAATACCACCGTCCTTCCCCGAGAGAGAAGCACCCGCCTTGGCGCCGCTGCCAACCGTTCCGTACGGGTCGATGTCGAGTTCAGTTCTGCTGCCGCTGTAGCAGCAGCTGTAGCCCAGAGCGAAGGCTACAAGCCGCGAGAGGAGCGCGGCTGGGAGGAATTTCATCCAAATCTTGATATTGAGGGAACCTTCATCATGTTCCACTCTGAGGACGTAGACGGCACAAGGAAGTCTACACCACCTCCTGCGCCCACTCGCGCTTCCGTCAACGGCGTCAGCACACCGTCAAAGGATGCCGAAGCTACGGGTTCTGGCGTCGCAGGTGATTCGGCTGCCCAGCCAGAGGGTACAGCCGCGTCTTCTCAAAACCAGGTCCTCGAGACACCCTCGCGGCGGCGACCTCGCCCGACCAGAGATGCCGTATCTTTCTACGCCACGCGTTCCGACTTTGCGCTGACACCGAAGACACCAAAGGTGCTATCCACGCTGAATCAGACCCCAAAGGAGCGCCTCGACCTGAAGAACCCGTCGTACCGCAAGACAGATCGTATACTACTCTTCGAGAGCAAGACTTTCGGCCAGGCGAAATATGTCGAAAAGGCCATGATGAACGTGGGTTACCAGGAAAGCGACAATTTCATCAGGCCCGAACGCGGCCTTCTGAAGGCCAGTGACGCCCATATCGACGAGGATGTGGATCAGCTACTCGGCCAGAAGCCCGACGGCGAAGTTGTTGTCTCACACAGTGGTTCCAACCTCGGCCGTGTCGAATACGACATGGACGAGCAGGACGACATGTGGTTGGAGACCCTCAACAGCCAGCGAAAGGCTCATGGGCTTGAACTCGTCACCCGTGAGGTCTTTGAAATCACAATCACCAAGATCGAGAAAGAATGGCATGCCTTGGAGAAGAAGATACCGAAGCCAAATCCAAAGCCACCCCAGACTCACAGGCCACGGTCTAGCTCTGCTGCAGCCGTGAACGGCGAGACACAGGCTGGCGAGGAGCAAGACAGCAAGTGCGCCATCTGCGATGACGGTGACTGTGAAAACACTAATGCGATAGTATTTTGCGACGGATGCGACCTTGCGGTGCACCAAGATTGTTATGGCGTGCCATTCATTCCGGAGGGGCAATGGATGTGTCGGAAATGCCAACTCGCGGGTCGTGGCATCCCGGTAAGTGATAATCACTGTTGTGACTGTTCAATTTGAAGGACTTCGCTAATGGTGGGTCGTCAGACTTGCATTTTCTGCCCCAACACCGATGGCGCATTCAAGCAAACCAACTTTTCTAAATGGGCGCACCTTCTTTGTGCCATATGGATCCCTGAAGTCAATCTGGGAAACAATGTTTTCCTGGAACCAGTTATGGACGTTGACAAGGTCCCCAAGAACCGGTGGAAGCTTCAATGCTACATCTGCAACCAGAAGATGGGCGCTTGCATACAATGCAGCAACAAAGCCTGTTACCAGGCCTTCCACGTCACATGCGCAAGACGGGCGCATTTGTACTTGAAGATGAAGACTCCACAGGGCGCTCTCGCGCTGGATGGGGTCTTGAAGGCATTTTGTGATAAGCACTGCCCACCAGATTATGACAAGGAGCATGCCGTGGCCGCAGCTACCAAGGATGCAAAGAAGTTCTACAAACGCACAATGAAGGGGCGTATCTGGGCGGACAGCCAAGCCGTGGCTCAGGAACTCGCTGCCATTCACCGCAACGCCATCACAGAACATCCTCCCCAGGAGTCGCAAATGCTTGGCGACAAGCTCTCGGGAGCAGGCGACAAGAAAAAGGGCCAGTCAGGCAAGATATGGAAGTTGCCGTCTGGGGCGCCGGTCATTCCACAGGCGGTCTTCGACCTTGTTGACAGCGGGCTGGCTCGATTTGCTCTTCGCAAGAGAAAGGAGTATGTTGCCGAAGCCTGCCGTTATTGGACATTGAAGAGGGAATCCCGTCGTGGTGCTGCGCTCCTCAAGCGTCTGCAGCTGCAGATGGAGTCCTTCTCATCCATGGAGCTCACCAGGCGTGACTTCGCAGCAATGGGCCCATCGGGCAAGAATAGGCTCGCCAGACGTATTGATTTTGCGGAGACTTTGCTGAGGGACCTTGAGCAGCTGAAGTCTCTTGCGGATGATGTTGTCGCTCGGGAAGCATTCAAGCTGGAGGCCGCAGAGATGGAGCAAGATTTCGTCGACACGTGTTACTTTCCGATCTTCAAATTGCTCCTGCCTGTCATCGGCAAGGCTGAAGCGTGAGTACTGCCTGGCTCCTAGAATAAGAAGAGCCTATAGACTGACACATAACCCAATCAGGCTCGATAAGAATGTCTTCAAAGACGGCTTGTTACAATTAGAGGCGAAGTTCGAGAAGCGTTTCTACACCACGACCCTGGCATTTGCCCACGATCTCTGTGAGGTCATTCATGTTGGCATTAATGCCGAGACCAGGCCCTTGGCATCAGACCAACCCAGATTCGAACCGATTGATGTCTCACCTACCAAGAACAACCCATACTCGGAGGCGAGAGACCGCAAGAGACTCGGCAAGCGAATTCTCAAGTCAGTCCAGCCACAACTGGAGACTGCCCTCAAGGCGGAAGCCGATATCACCTCGAAACCCTTTGACAGCCTCCAGAAAGAGCTGGAGGGCATGATCGACGCGTCCTTGGAAATTCGAAAACCCTTTGGGTCGCAGCCTCAACCTGAGGCACCCGTGCAATCTAGCCAAGATGTCATCATGGTTGACGCCGCTGAAGAAGGCCACATTACAGTCGCGGCAACTGCGCAAGACCACGCTGGCGACGCTGCGGAGAGTGCTGACCAGATGGACATCGACGAGCAAAGCATAGAAGTCAAGGAAGGGAAATCTGCCCGGGTCAACGGTGGCATAGACCAAGAGACTACCGCCGTTGGCGAGGATGATGCAGATGCCAACGACAAGGATCTACCGAGCCTTGTGAAATCGGCGCCCACCCCGCCCGATACCAATGGCTACGTCCCTGTCTCCCAGCATTCGCAGCAACCCACACCTCTCACACCTCCACAGTCCAACGGAAGCCTTGGGCGAGGAGCAGACAACACCCTCACAGAAGGTGGTGTGCCATGGTATCTCAAGAACTTCGAACCCGACGGCACAACAGCCATCGAGGAGCAGTGGGCTGGCAGGGACGCCGTGCGCAGTCTTAGCGAGGAGCTGACTGACATGGACGAGGAGGAGCTCAACGATCTCGAGTTCAACGTGGAGGATAGCACCATCACCGCGTCGCCCGTTGACGCGCCGCTGGCTGTCCCGTCCGGGTCGTCGTCGGTCAGGAAGCTTCGCTACGGCGGCAGCACTGGGATCGGGAACCCGAGGAAGCGATTGCGGTCCTCGGGCAGAAGACGTTGAACGGGGTTGAAATGCCGTGGGAGTGTATAGATGAGGTGTACTTGTAGGCCGTCGCTTTGATATTTCGTGTCCTTCTTTCTGTCTTTCGCTGCTTACCGGAGAGACTGATTCCCCCTCCCCTGTCCCGGTGCTTACTTGGATGGCCTCAGTATACTGAATTTGTTTTATTTTTCTTCTTATTGGAACAGTGCGCGGAGTGGTATACATTTCTACGGCGTCAGGAGAATCGGCTCGGCATACAAAACACCCCCTTGTGTGTTATAATCGACCTCGGGGAAGTTTTTTGCAAATTGGTTTTCTTTTGAGAATGGTGTTCTCCCCACGGGGCCCATCACTTACTTCGGACGGAAAATGCAGCATCGCATGTTTTCTTTCTTTACAATTATCCTTTTATTATCGCGTGCAAGAGAAACTTTGTTTGGTCTGGTGCCAGTGAGTCTGGCGTAGCTAGTTCCGCAGCTGGTTGACTGCCTCATCACGGAGTGCTATGTGTTCCAATACAGAAGAGAGAGTTTGATTGTCCTGCGTAACACTCTTCCTTCTTCCAACTGCGTGTCATCCCCATCGGCGTGATATGAGCCAACCAGCGTGTCGTCAGTAGATCTGTCGTCAAGGAGTAATCGAACAGGCGTAAGATGATTGCTCGATCGGACTGTGTAGAAGGAAAGACATTCCGCCTGCTTGGAAAGGAGAGAGACTGAGACGAGATTGCAATGGGCGTCAGGGCAGTAGGCGACATCAGACAGGACGAGGGTGGGTTGTGCCGTCGTCGCCCTCGAAACCAAGGCAAATCTCGCCTCCCCCTTCAACCTTAAGAGAACATACTCCCCCCTGCTGTGGAGATGTCAAGGCAATTAGGACGAATTTGGTGAAAAGCTTCTTGTCGTTGAAAATTTGGCCGTTGGCGCCTGCATCGAGGAGGATGGTTGGGCGATCAATTGCAGCTCGTTGTTGGTGGAAAACACCTTGGCGGAAGCGTCCTGCCGGATGCTGGTAGCGAGGCGCTCCGAGAGTAAGGCTGCGATGGTCTCGTCATTAATGATGGTGGCACTTGTCGCTGCAAATCTAGGACGACGACGACGAGGAGACTCGTCCTCGTCTTCATTGTAGTCGCTGTCATCCCGTCGCCGGGGTAGCCTCTACCTCTTTACCCCTGGTGCCGTTGTCCTCGGCGCCCGGTATGGCGCCGGAGCGTTCCCACGGTGACGGTCTTTGCCCTCTTGAGCGCGGCCTGTGAGATGGATCTCTAAGGGCAACATGGTTAGCATACAGCATGCTTGGGTTTAGCCGTGTTGGCCGATTTCGCATGACATACTGATGCCCTGAATGCGACGAGGAAGTCGATGGAGGTGCTGACATCGGGTTTCGCAACAACGATGCCCCAGGGCGAGAGTCAGGAGCCTCGGCCTTGTGTGTGGTGGCTCAGCTCCTGCTCAATGACTTCAGATGGAACGTGGTATTCATATGTCACGTGGCTCCTCCTCGTCGTCGTTGTAGTCGTCGTCATCGGTCAAGGTCGCCTTGGGGGCAGGAGAGATGTGGTTGTTGCCCTTGAACTCCCTGGACCTGACGTTGAACCGGATTGTCGACCCGATTTCGTGGAATACAAAGCCCTTGGGTCTTTATTAAGCTGTACAATGTGTGCATATATAAGTATGTTCCCCCGTGGTGTGCAATATCAAGGTTGTCGATGTTCTTTCCCAGCATAATATACTGGCGAATGCCCACGATGAGCCCGTGCAGGTCAGCAGCCATTTCGCCTAGGACGAAAATGGTCAAGCCGCGTTCAACGCTGCCGATCTTCTCGATACCAGTCGCTTCCCTGATGCGTAATCCCCTCATGATAAACACCGTGGTGGTGTTCTCGTACCTTGAGAGCTCGTGCTGGCTCTCGGCAAGTTTTTCGTAAATCGGGACAGGGGTGTTTCTTGATCGTCAAAATCGTCGTCACCATAATATTGACCATCAGAATCCTCGTCCTCAAAGTCGCGATCATTGACTTCAGGCTCCTGGTAGGAGACCTGCCTATTGTCTCCACCGCCTGTCTCGCCTTTTCCGACTTGACGGTCTCAGGCGTGGCATTGCACACCTCGGGGTCCTTCTTTTTGAGGACTCGATCGAAGTTTTGTCGGAAACGGACGTAGTTGTGTTTACCGTCCAGCTTGTGTAGCTGGAGGCCAGTCTCTTCTTGCGAGGGAGCCATTGTGGGTGGCTGTTCCCAGTGCTGTGGGAGCGAACCCAGTAGGAGTTCGATGATGTGCTGGGTCTCAACCAGTCAAGAAATGTTGCTTAGTGAATGGCAACACGGGCTCATAACCAGTTGCAAAACCGAGGAAAATGGTTGTACCCACACCTCTGAGTGTGGTTTAGCCCTCATATGGTGACTGCCTAGATTTAACCATGTGCTCGTTTGCCAACACATTGAGAATGTTTCTTCGTTGATTCGTCAGCTTTGCCCAGCCCGAGTCTTGTGGAGGCTAGGCGTTCCCCAGAGTGGCGCCCGGTTATAGTCGAGGCTGGATTGCTTCTCGTCCTCGGAGCGCTTGGCTCAGACGGTATTTGTCTCTCGTTTGGTGGTGCTGAGTGGCCGGCTTCTCAGACACCAGATCGGGACTCTGTTGGTCCGCGCTACGTCCAAGAAGTTCCAGAGGATCGGTGGGTTGAGATATTAGGGACGGCTGCAACGTCTTCGATATTGTCAAAAATTCACATATATGTAATAGTTCTCCATGGTGAGAACTTCCTATGTGGTGTCCGGAGATCACTCCGCGATCGTCTTCCGCGGGTTCAGAGTCACTGGCGCCTGCAGTGGATATATCTCCCTGGTTTGTCTCTTTGGACATACCTGCTGCGCCGGACATGGCCAGTGGATGACTGCGAAACATCGGCCCTCTCTTGAAGAGCAGCTCCTTGAGCGTCTCGGTGTTGAGGGGCCTCAAGCATCTGTTTGTTGTTGTGCTCGGTTCTATCGACACAAAGGATGTCGCGCCAATTTAGCACGTGTTGGGTTGCGTAACGCTCAATTTCGAAGTAGCTGTGTCGACCCATGCCGCTGAAGTAACTGTCACGACAGAAGCACAAATGTGCTTCTCAAGGCCATTTCTGCTGGCGAAGGTGGCCGCGTCCAAGGGCGGTCGTCCACCTTGCGTGTAATTATGCCGTGTCGCAGAGCTCGACCATGTCGAATGCGCGGTACAAGGGCCGCGTGGGTTGGTCCTGGAAGCCACTATTCGATCAGTACAAGGCTATTACTAGTCCATACTCAAGCAGAGGCTTACATTCTTGCTTCAACACGGCCCTCAGGCTATGACTAGTGACCTGACACAGTATACCTCTGTGTAGATCGTGAAGTAGTCTTGCGGAGCGGCCACTCACATCAAAGGCTGGCCAGCCGTTCCTGGCCGGCTCCCTTCGCGTGCCGGCACGGGGGGTAGGTCTGGCTGCGTCGGAGCCTGGATCGGAACAGCCTGTGAGATTGTCACTAGTGATCTAGTACGGGTGGACAGTGTAGGTGGTGGGGAAGAGGCTGCGGGTTTGAGGAAGATGCGGTGTGCTAACAGAAGCAGGATGCACACAAGAAGAAATTAGAGGACTAGATCATCTGGAAGACCATCCTTGGGAGGACTCACTTCCAGGACTCCGGGATACCATCGCCACGCCTCCAAATGAACACAGTCCCACTCGCCCGTGGTCATTGACCAAGCAACTCTGGCCGCTCTCTCGATGCCGAGGGGCGGGCACTGAAGAAGAAGCATTTCTTCTGAAGGGAGTGGAACTGCCAGACATCTCGCGTACTCATCTTTGTGTCGATGGCATCCTGGCAGATGTCTATGAAAACGATATGGCTCCCAGACATGTCGTGGGTTCCAGGTGCCCACTCAGCCAGACGGATCCTGTCCTCCGATTTCCTCCCGTGGCAGCTGAGAACACGGGGCGCGACCTTCCAGCATGCTTCTGTGGATTGGTGTTTCTGCACACATATCATGGTGGACGACGGTCTTGGGGTCTCTAGATTGAGTGTTAGCTTTTGAGCTTCGAAGCACCGGACTCATCCATTTCCCTCGGAAGGAGATTTTTTGTACATGGCAGTGTTCAAGGGAATGACACCACCTCTCGTTCCCCTCTGGAAAAGCTAGTCTTGTGAGCCGACTACATGTGCTTGCCAGGAAACTTCAGTGTATGGCCCTTGGCGCTATCGGCTCGAGTCTGCACGGCTGGAGAATATGTAAACTGCACCTCGGATGCATCGACACACTGAGTGATGCGCCTTACTCAAAGATAATTGGTTTGATATGTAGGAGCGGAGTGTCACAATTGTCAAATTACGTGGACGATTCATTAGAAGGAGAGCTCAGTGGACTGTGGTTGAGTGCATATAAACCATAGTTGGAGGCTTGAAGAAAGATGACAGAAGGAAAATACTGTGTCGGCATCTCCTCATTTTATGCCTTTGCACTGCTGTTCCGATCATCTGAGCAGCGGCTTCCTTCAAAGGGTGTCCACGGTTCTGCGATCATCTTTCGTATTTGCTATCCGCTTTTGTTCTTGCGTTTGAAGTTGTCCACGTCGGATGCAACGACTGTGTCTGATTCCAGCCCAGCTGTTGCTATTGTTTGCCTTACAATTGGCCTCCATACCACATGTTTGTGTACATCCAAGGTGTGGTTTGATAATTGCCCTATTGATGGCTCAGGCGATTGAAGGACGACAATCGGTTTGTGTGATTAAATTATTCGTGAAAGCAAAAAATGGGCGTTAGGTTTGCCGCAAAACAATGAACAAGCAGCGTATGTGTGCTTTCCCCTCGAGACAAGCATGATGACACATATGGAGATGTCAAAGACTTGAGAGCTGATTCTGTTCAATGCTTGTGTGAGCTGCTTTGCGATTTGCTGATACTGGACTGTTCATGCAAAAGTTGGAAAGCAGAGTATTCCAGCCTGGAGTTGAAAAAGAAGTCACAGATATGGTCTCTTAGGGGAACTTCAGCCACTCCCTACCCCAGCCGAAAAGAAAAGGCGTTGAATCCATATTTACTTTCAAGGTAATTGCTTTCAGTCTTGGATTTGTTATCACCAGCAGGAAATTGTAGCTCTCTCGTAAGACACCATTCAGAAAACCAGGTTCATCGGTTGAACACCATTGGCTACCTGTGAACGAGACAACCAGTCATTCCATGGGGACAAGATTCTCAGCCTGTAGTCAGTTTCCCCGTAAGACAGCTCTTACTTAGATATCATGTGTGCCACTGATACTGTTGCGCTTCCATGTGCATGACGATGCGTTGGCGGTGACATGAACGGTCTCACTCGAGGATGACATGCGCGAAAGCTGTTGCCGCATCCATGAAACTGTAAGCGTTGTCACAAGATGTAAAAGAAGCGATGGATGCCCGTTTGGTACAGTGGGCGTTTTCGGTTTCAACGGCAAACGAAGCTCAGTGAGGTAAACTACAGGAAGTGTGATCTGAATAAGGTTTTCCGGGCTAGGCACTGCCGGACGAGACAGAGTAGACACCAATTCTGTCACCTCGTTTGAAACCTAGCCAACTGTATCCAAGCTTCATCATTTCACTGCGTCTATGGCCGCTCCTGTTACACCACGTCCCTGTCGTTGCCAGGTAACGAGCGCATTGTCTCACCCGCCTGGCTTGGAACTCAACCGCTTATTTGGCTTGATGCGAATTCGTTGACCATTTGGAGTGGAAGTTTGCTCGAGGGCCAGCGAGTGTAGAAGTTCAGTAAATGTGTACCTTTATGCAGTTATAATCATGATGGGTCTTCAAGATTGCTACCAAGATGAATTTCAAAATAGTCCACAAGCCACTGAAAGGTATCGTATCAAGAAATACTTTAGGCAATGGCACACCAAGCATTTTCTTTTTTTTAAATGAGATATGAATCAATGGTCATATGTATGTGTATGTGTGTGTCTCACGTATTTGCGACCATCTTCTCGTCACGGACACAAGGAATTAAGGAGGAGCGAAAGACCAGCAATTTCTGAATGGCCAGGAAGCAACCAAACGGGCTTGTTTTAATCCAGAATGCGGTTTTCAGAGTCTGCAAAGGATATTTAGTGGGTGAGCCTTGACTGTATTCAGAGGCTGACGACAAATTGTCTCTAGAGATGCCGACTTGGGAAACAGAATAGTTCAAGAATATCCGCAACCCTTCCCTGGGTATATACACCTATACATCATTGGAGAGGCTGGTCGCTCTCGGCATCCTCTTCAACTCGCCGTCCTCGACCCTGGGAAGTCTATTCTACCTCGTCCGGTAAGTACCGAGGCCGGTAAGTTAGACGCAAAAGCTTGTACGACGGTGATGGCGCTCAGACGTCCTGACACATACTCACATAGAAGGACCATGCATGCACTGCCAGCTTAGCAACCTGCCTGTGACGCTGATCTGCCTTGATAATGTGCGTTTTGATGCCTCGCCTTGATCCCACAGCTACTCTGGTGGTTTGTGCTCTTACCTTGGGTGTCACGTCACGTACCGCAAGAGCCCCTGCCTCTAGAACGACCGACTGAAATATTGGCTCGCGGGCGCACAGTAGAGCAGGATTAGGACGTGGAGATATCTTGCTTCACCATGGGACGCGCACATCGTCCTCGGCTCCGGCCGCCTCTGCACAGGCGGCTAGGGGCAGTATATTCAAGACTAATAAGGCCTGGATAGACTCGATTCTATGAATTGGCTGCTACTGAAGGGCCCAAAGAAAGGGGTAATATAGAAGCGGACAGTCTAAATCTCATCCTGATGGGCCCGATCTCTGGACAGACGCCGCCGTCACGGACGACGCGCCCCGTGTGAGTGACTAGCCCTCCCCGACAGCCACGACAGCATCTCTCCAGTCGCACCGGCGGGAGGGCCAGCGGATGCCCCCAGAGGAAAGCCAATTGTCATTCGCCCCGGCGGCCCGAACGCAGTGTGGCACATGTGAAAGAAGTAAACCCTTCCTTGACTCATGCCTGCGCCTCGACAGCCTGCATTGATGATGATGGGCTTTTTGGTCGTGGATGACTGCATGTTGATAGTAAGGCAGTCAGTCCTACGGTGGTGCACAGAAATTAGTTGCTTGGGGCTGAAGTGACAAGGGCCGCGTCAATCCATGGCTTACCCTACCACGAAGGGGAGTGTGAAGCTTGTGTGGTTTGCTCGGTCTCGGGGAGGGGCCAAGACCCTGCTACCGATGTTGGAGGAGTAGGCCGGCCCAGTCGTTGCGTGGGGAGGGATATTGGGGGACTGCCGTGAGCGGCGCAAGACAGTCTCAATGGTGTATGTGGCGGAGCCGGATTGAGAAACACAGCAACTTGCAGACCGCCTCTCCACGCAGATCCAGATTGTCGCATATCTAGGCAATCCGTGGTCACTTTTGGTGGCAAATGGTTTCGTCCTATCATCAGTATGCTGGCCTCACGGTATTGCATCTCGATGCAGGGGTTAGCAGACGACGCTTCCGGGAGAAGCTACAACACCTGAAAGATAAGTTCGCAGTCTCCTTGGATGCACGTCTAGCTAGATATCTAGAACGTAGCGGCCAGGCAGAAGCTATATTCAATCCGTCAGGGACACTACGAGGGTCCCGACCTTTGATCGCGCATAGTCGAGAACAGTCGAGACAGAAAAGACGCGTGGAACTTGGGGATCCACCAGTTGGCCTCTCTGGTCTGAGTGTTGCATTCTTAGCCTGTTTCGGCATGCAAATGTTGAATGTTTTGCAGGCGTACCCGCGATGATCACTCAGGGACACGCAGCAAGCAGAGCTGCTGTATGGCCCGTCAAGGAGGGAAACGGAGCACTGGGCGGAGCTCATTGCTGTCATACGGACCGGTCACACGGAGGAGAAAGCGGGATGGGGAGGCCGGGGTTTTGGGGTGAGGGGCAAGCCACTTGGCCTGGGGCAGGCAATCCTTTCGTGACGAGACTGCGCGACTACCAGCAGTTTCAGCGAGGGAGGTCAAGCGCAGGAGCCTTCAACGCGTCCCTTCTTGTGCCTGTCGACCAACGTTCGTTTTCTATGTGTTGTGCCACAGAAGCAGTTTTGACCCTGGTGTGAGCGGCGGGCTGCCGTGAGACCGCAAAAAACGACTCTGAAGCTTTGGAGTGGCTTCTCACCACCCACCCGAGCGTCCACAAGTCACTGGCCGCGCTAGTCTTGGAAACTTGGCAGTCTGACAAGCTCGCGCGTTAGACTGGCGTCAGGTCATGTCGGGTCTGGGATGTACTGCAGCTACGGTCGGCGGGCTGCGAATGAGACCGATCTATAGGCGGTCCGAGGTGACCATGAGGCTTTGGCAAGTGTCAATGAGGGTGCCGTCGTAATCTAAGTGTTAGTCCCATAGTTGCAAACCTGGGGGCGGCGAACGGAGCGGCTGGCCTAAACCCCCTCAGCTCTGTTGCGCGGACAGCCGCTCTACCATGAGGGAACGGCTGCTGCGAGAGCGACGAGGCAGAACACGCCCGGGCGGGCAGTCAGTCTCTAGGCTGCCCTGGCTGCTAGCCGTGCCCCATCAGTCCACGTGTGCCGTCGAGGCTTCATACGCAGTGGACATGCATCCGTGAGTGAATTTAGGGCGCTGCATTGCTCGAATCGACGGCCTGCAGATGATGGTGGGCAGGCCAGGCCGGCCGGCGCGCAAGCGGCCGTGGGGGAACCCGTCTTGTCAGTCGTGAGTGGATGATGACTTGGGATCTTGATCCTGAGGGAGCCGTCCCTAGTGGTGTCCAGGAGGGCTCCCCACGAGCATTTCCTGGTTCGGCGGGAGCATTTAACACGAGGCGTTGGACAAGCCAGCCGATTGAGGAAACCCGTAGCCTCTCAAGAATGATTCAGTGCTTTCGTCGAAGCCTATATCTAGGCGGGCGGCGGCTTTGTTACTGAAGTGCAGGTTGTCGAGTCGTAATTAGGTAAGTGAGACAAGTCTCAACGCCGAGCTTCCAGACTCTGGCCGGGCAGAGCAAAGCAAGTGGTTCGTCGCGCCTCGGCAGGAAATTTTAGGAGGTTGAGATATCCGCAGTTGGGCTTCTAGATCCCATGCAGGTGGAGACATATCACAGGTCCCGCAGTCGTGATCGATGATGGACACGAATTGTGCAGAACGGACTCCGTATTGCCACGCCCAGACCAGAAGCCGATGGGGTCTTGAGTTGGTGGCCCAGTGGCCAGATGTTGATCCCGCAAGAGCGGCAGAGACACATTCCAGAAGAGCAATAGTGCCTCGGCAGGTAACAAAGGACGGCAGCGACAGAAGAGACAGGAGTAAAGGAGGGAGCTGGGCTGCGTGAGGGGGATTGCTGCTCGCGGACATGTGCAGGTCTTTGTACTGCGGGCTGAGGCTCGAGTGCGATGACGACGATGTCAACTCGCCGCGCCCACCCAAACTCGCGCTGCTACTGCAACGACAAGGGAGCTTCTTAGTCCAGATGGAGGGGTGCCTCATCGGGATCCAGGGCAAAGGCACAATCTCCCGTTGTTGGGACCGTCGAGGCCGACCGTCGAGTGCCGGGAGTCGAGTGAGAGACTGAACCTTATTCGAGCCCTGGGAAGGGGTGGAGCCTGGTCGGGCAGTGCAAGCGGTGGGCTGTGATTGGGCACTATTCCGTATTCGCGCTAAAAGAGGGGGTAGTCTGCAACTGGCAACCGCGACATACCTCCCTCCAGGGCTGAGTGCCTCCCGTACGTACCCAATGCCCAGGCACACACCGTTCCCAGGTGGTAGATGCCGACCTCCTGCTAGGTACCTAGCCCAGGCACTTGCCCAAGGCCAGCCAGAGCCCCTAGGCAACCAGTCCACAGGTGCTACTGCTGCTGCCCAGCTCCCACAAGGTGAATGAAGGTGGATGGGCCCCTCACCAGCACTGACTCTGCTGCCATTCTTGGGCTGCCGTTCTACCAACCAGCCTAGCGTACAACCACGCCCCGAGCGTCGTAACCGCCCCCCGTCGCCTCCGAAACACCAGCGCACTGTTGTGGTAGGTGGCAGCCAGCAACGGGCAGCCCTTTGAGAATTTCCAAGCCCCCCCTCCCCCGTTTTGGCCTGACGGCCCCGATCTGCCATTTCCAATCCGACCTTGGGACCTGGGACTTTTTGTTGACCGACATCTCTTTCTCCCCCCCAAAACCAAGAGCGACCAGAGTCAACTGTCAATCAATCCATCCTTACGGCGACATCAAGACCCGATCGAGGCATATTCTTTGACGCTGCTCTTGACCACTGCGAAAGAGAACTGCATCTCCAGTTTTTCCATCCATACAACAACGCGACGAACCTCTGGCGACAGGCTTCTTAGCCCCATTCCCCATCCCCGGCGACCAAAGACGAAAAAAAATCCCACAGTCGTGGTCTCCTCCCTCAACCCCGTGCTTCCCGCCCTCGAACTGCCACGGCAAACAGGCGATCAACCCCTCCTCGAGGCGACGACGGTTCATCATCAGAGAACCATAGTGACTGCACACGTCTCTCCTCGCACTCACAAGAGGTAAATCTCTACGCGACTCACCCTGCAGCGAACCGCACCTGCGGACAGGCGATCCACCTCCGCCCCCCGCTGCTGCTGAAGCTGAAGCTGTCGCTGTCTCGACGCGACACTCTACGACGTCCGGCACCACAAAGACTCGTGCCCAGTCGACTCTCTCAAATCAAGTCATCTGGCCCTCATCACCGTCTGCAAAACAACACGCCCGCTGCAGACGCTTTCATTTTTGAAAGCCTACCACAGCTGAGATCACTTCCAAATAGTACGTACCTGTCTGTCCCGCCATGGCGCCCCCCCCCAGCCTTGTTGCCTCACCTTCTCCTTCCGATTGTCGATTCCATTGCCTTCCTCGCCTCCCCTTCTTCACCACCAGTGCACGGCGGAAATGCGTGGTCAACCTGGCTATTCTGGCTTGTGTACTCTTCAATCGCCGACATGATGGCAAATGCTAAATCTGCATCTCCAATCTAGCTACGAGAAGTGCATCAAACCACTGGCCTGCCTGATTGCGTAGAACCTCGTCCGGCCGCAGCGCACACCATCCCCTCCGGCGCGTCCGCTCCTCCTCCCTCCTCTGCCCCCTCCCGCCAGCTACCGGCGGCCCTCCGAATCCACCATGGCAGATCAACATGACGTTGATTTGGACTCCATAATCGACCGGCTCTTGGAGGTCCGTGGCAGCCGTCCGGGCAAGCAGGTCCAGCTGCTCGAGGCCGAGATCCGATACCTTTGCACCAAGGCCCGCGAGATCTTCATCTCCCAGCCCATCCTGCTCGAGCTCGAGGCTCCTATTAAGGTAAGCGACTCCCTGTGCAATTCTCTGGTCGTGGCAGGTCTACCCGGAGTCTGGGCGCTGTGTTGACCCCACCTCTTCCAACCCCCAACAGATCTGCGGCGACATCCACGGTCAATACTATGACCTCCTCCGCCTGTTCGAATACGGCGGTTTCCCCCCGGAGGCAAACTACCTGTTCCTTGGTGATTACGTCGACCGTGGCAAGCAATCTCTCGAGACGATCTGCCTTCTCCTGGCCTACAAGATCAAGTACCCCGAGAACTTCTTCATTTTGCGTGGCAACCACGAGTGCGCCTCTATTAACCGCATCTACGGTTTCTACGATGAGTGCAAGCGCCGGTACAACATCAAGTTGTGGAAGACATTTACGGACTGCTTCAACTGCCTGCCAATCGCGGCCATCATTGACGAGAAAATCTTCACCATGCACGGCGGTCTGAGTCCCGACTTGAACTCTATGGAGCAGATCCGCCGTGTCATGCGACCAACTGACGTAAGCCCCCCCTCGAGGGCAGCCTGCGATTCTTGTCGCGGCTTTTGGCCACTTCTTACCTTTCGCGACGTGTTGACTAAAGTACTGACGACATGTTGCAGATCCCTGACTGCGGCCTCCTTTGCGATCTCCTTTGGTCCGACCCCGACAAAGACATCACTGGCTGGAGTGAAAATGATCGAGGCGTCAGCTTCACCTTCGGTCCTGATGTGGTTTCCCGCTTCCTGCAAAAACACGACATGGACCTCATCTGTCGTGCCCATCAAGTGGTCGAAGATGGCTACGAGTTCTTTTCCAAACGTCAACTCGTCACCTTGTTTAGTGCACCGAACTACTGCGGAGAGTTTGACAATGCGGGTGCCATGATGAGCGTCGACGAGAGTTTGCTCTGCTCGTTCCAGGTTCGTACCAGGCCCAGACAACCGTGAGAAGGATTACTTGGATTCATGTGGCTAATTTCGACTCGTTGTGCAGATTCTCAAACCCGCTGAAAAGAAACAAAAGTACGTCCCCGGCCTCGGCGGCAGTAGATCCATCACTCCTCCCAAGAAATCGTCCAAAACCTAAGTTTGAATTCACGCACCAACACCTGGTAATTTTAGGTTCGGACGACGATGATTGCTTCATACATGAAGTGCCCGACAACAGTCATACTCGACTACCATCACAAACGGATTTTTGCTGGAAACCCCATGCCAGAACAACAAGGCCCTCTACTCCAGGCTCTCCTCGTGCCGAACCCTCGCCTCGATGTACACATCACTCTCCGCGTTGACTAGGGGACACGCCCTGACCCACCCGACTTGCCCTGGAGGGACCTCCACTTGCTCAACTGGCTCTGTGGTTGACGCATCTGAGGACCCGCCGTTGTCGAATATGCATTAATGGTAGTCTTTCGCTTCAGCTCATTCTAAAGACGAAAGGCGGTCGCACCGTATCATCAAGTGCACCAAAGCCCTTACCAGCTCCTGACTATCATACCAGACAACTACTTCACGCCCACCTTCTGCGATTCTGGTGCAGGGCATCCCTGACAATCTGGATCTTGCATCACATGGTTGTAGCCGGAGCGCGGTGGCAAGGTCGTTTCTTTCTGGTCGACGTCGTGGGATGGATGCCTGTGGAGAGATGCTTCTACAAAGACTCTTTTGAAGACCGAGATGGTAATAAGGGGGGGATACTTTGTGTCCTTTATTGAGGGGGTATTCTGATGCGTGGGTAGTTGACGGCGGATGGTACGGTTGTGCCGGGCCGGTCGGGTCAGGTCGGACCACTGAAGGGGAAAAGTGGGAAGAGGGGTTTTCTTAATCGCCATGTTTAAGTATTGTTACTGTCGAGTTTGCGGTTTCTTGCTGATTTGACCTGGCCGCGTCTGTTTGTGATTGTGCGTGACGGAGTCTCTTGTCAGAGGCCTTCCCACTCTGCAGCCCTCTTCGATATCCTGCACCATAAACCCCTCGCTTGTTTGGGCTGGGCGAGCATGGTGTTTAGGCTGGGGATGGAAAGCCTGGGCCAAACAGAACACTCCATTGCCTCGTCGGGACAATTGTGACGAGATACGATATACAATGACTATTCCGCACAACCCCTGATGATCGGGCCCGCAGGATGAAGGAAGCCAATCGTGATCCCAGCCAGCTCCGTGTAGACCGAAAGCAAAGTCAGAGGCCGCGTCTACCATGCCAGGCATAATAAGAGTTCGGGAGGGCGAGCCATGCCCGTTTCACGTCCCCAAGCAGTTCCCTGGGCCGTGTTCTGAGCCTGGCCAAACGCGGCTCGAGCAGTGAGTGATAGACTACCAGATCGCCACGGCTTCGAGTCCCTCGTCGCCATCCCCTCAGACATCCTGGGGATCGGCTCTAGTCGCAGTCCTCGCACTCTCGCTTGTTCTCACACGCGGCCCCTGCCTGCCCCGCCAGCTGCGTCGCCGCCGCCTCGCTCGCGCCCGGGTAGCCTGCGCCCGCGGGGCCCGCGGCCTCCAGCTCTGCCCTGGAGGGCTTGTCCTGCTGCTGGACCTGCGCCTCTCCGGCTCCTTGCTGCTGCTGCCCTCCGGAGCCTGCCTTGGCCTCACCGGCGGCAGGCCTCGCGTGGTTCCTGTCGACGTGGCCGAGGTCCCGGCCGGGCTCGATGACGTCCCGCACGCGGCGCTTCAGCTCCTTGGTCTCGGGGAAGCCGCCGTCGGCCTTGCGGTCCCAGAGGACGGTGCGGGCGGGGGAGATGCCTCCTCCGACTCCTCCTGATCCTGTTTGTGGTGGTGAGGTGCTGGTGGGGGAGTGGAAGATCTCTACTGTAAAGGTCCCGCCCGTGGATGGCTGGAGGGCAACCTCACCCAGGGAGGTTGAGAACGTTGAGAGGAGCTCTTGGGCGTACTGCGTGCGGGGGGGTTTGGTTTGGTTAGTCTTTCATGGTCGTCGTTGGGCTTAGTGTGGGTGGGGAGATGTGTGTGTTTGTGGCGGGTGAATAAGTGAGTGAGTAATGTGACAAGTGAGGCCTGTGCGTACATATGCTGCTCTTAGCATCCATTTGCACCTGGTGACGGGTCAGCATTTGTGGCGTGCGTTCTTACGGGGAGATGCGAGAGCCGATCTCTGTTCCCACTGGGAATGTCCAACTTACTGAGTGCAGAACTTGATGATCACTCGAGGCAGCGGGAAAGGAGCCCCGGCATCGACGCCGTCTGCCATTGCCGGATAGCTTTTATAGACGTTGACCGTTGGTGGTTTTGGTTAAGTGGTGCTTGTCGGCTGAAGTTCTCGGGTATGTAAAGTCACGACTGTTTCCTCGGGAGAGGATTGTTTCGAATACTACACTGACGTCGTTGACGAAGCGAAAGGTGTGGTTGCAGCCGGCCGGTCGTCACCGGGGAGCTTCTCCGAGGCCGTTGGTGGGGTTGGTGGGAGGGTGGGAAGCCCCTGAACCAAACCACCGGAGCCCAACCCCGGACCGTTTTTTGTTCACCTCGGGCCCGGACGGTCGGGGCGGACGGGCACCCGTTGTCAGCATTTTGAATTTGATCATGGCTTCAACGGTGTCTGAGCTAAATATTCAACGTTCAAGCTGCTCAATACCAAGACCTCTAAGTGTAGGAACGCGTGTAGAAGAGGCCGGCCATTTAGATCGTGGTCCACCAAAGACACCTGATATATCCACCCAGGGAATATCACACAGAAAGCTCCGAGGGCAGGCTTCTTCACGTCTATAGTTCATATGATATCAGGACCTATTTAAATTGTATGTGATGTCTCTCCTTCGTCCCAGTAGCCTTGCTTTGGCCATGCATGTACTGCCTGGCACATTTCCAGAGACCCGGGCAATGATCACTTCACCACACACCATGGTCACTTCTGACCTTCCAAAAGACCCAAGGGATTGAAGAAGATCATCGATTTTTGGCCTTCCCCAACTCCAAAAAGCAGTCGAGCTTTTGACCGAAACAAATCGGGGGTATCAATATGTGCAGCAAACCAGGCGGATATGTGATGGTCCACCATCTCTCACTACCGTCGATCCGTAGCCAATGTATCGACACTTCGAGCCTCTCCAAAGAAACCAGCTCATGCTGACCAACATCGAGCCCCCTCTCGGTCCTCAGTCCGTATAAACCTTCCACTCCACTCCCGCCGAGGAAGGATCCCGCTTGCAGCCCATCATGCCCCGTACCGATGGCAGCTTGTCAACACCGTCACCATACTGTGAGACTACGGACGTGATGATGTCGCTGACGTCCTGGTTGCCGATCCTGTGCGCACAGTGCCCTGGTCAGCAAAACATGACACAACCAATGAACCAAGCAGAGAGAAGAAGAGAGTAAAATAAGACGAAACAAAGACATGACATACGGGATGGTCCCAGTGGACGAGTCGGTATGCCGGACCGCGACGACGCACGACTCGACGCGCGAAAACTCCTCCCACGAGCCGGCCGAGCCGAACGCCGTCACCAGCCAGAAACCGTCCCTATCCTTGACCCAGTCGAGGAACGTCTTGCAGTGTGCCACCGAGGGGCCCTCGTCGTCATCGCTCGTCGCGAAGGTGCTGTCACCGCACAGGTCCTGCGGGGACTTGGAGTTGGTCCACGTGACTGCGCCGGGGGAACCGTGAGCTTTTCTTCACACTTCTCAGGGGCGTTAACACCGGGGGGAAAGGACGTTGGGGAAGGAAGTTGGCGGGGGGGGGGGGGGGCTAGGGGCGAGGGAAAGAGCTTACAGTCGCGCCGTTCTAGCCGGTCGTCCTCGCGGACGGTGTCCCTACCAAGACCGACGCTGCGGTGGACGAGGCTGAAGGTGGTGCGCGCGGCGAGGTTAGGGCTTGCGGGGAGGCCTGCTGCGAGGCCGGCGAGGGCCAGGAGGATGGTCGCGAGGATAGTTGTGAGCCGCGACATGGTGCTTGACGCTGAGAGGAGGGGGGTTCTTGCTCGTGACGGTGAGCTGTTCGAGGGTTGCTGCTTCGGTGCCCTGAGGGAAAGCAGGGCAGCCGCTAGGGCTTGGTTGTAAGTGCCTTATGTATCGTGAGCAAGAAACGCGTCGACCGGGAGATTGAATGGAGCTGGAGGCGTTGGAATGCGGTGTCTCGACGCCTCGGCAACTCGTGTTGGGGGGGAGAACAGAACCCCGGGAATCGCTGCTCCTCGACCAGGAGGGAGGCTATTTATTCCCCAGAGAGCTGTAAAGCAGGTGGTAGAAGGAGGCAAGGTTAGTGGGCGATCGACCCTTATCCGGACATTGTGCACAATGTAGCTTCAGGTCGTGCGCTTGGAAGCTGATGATGTTCGATTAGTCGCCCGTGCAGCAGATATCCCAAGTCTTTAACCACAGCAGACCAGAGACATTGACCCTGCCTTCTGCCGTCAAGCCTCCCCTTTCCCTACGAGCTGGGTCATGCCACTCGACAAGCCCACTCAATTTCCTTCCATTAGATGCCACCTCCCTCATCAATTGCCTCTCCTGGAGGACCGCCACCCTTATTTGCGAGGCGCTCTGGGAATGCGGATCGGTGCGCGGGCGGGAATGAGGGCGAGCACCGGGGCCCTGGACACCGGAATGCTGCTAAATTCCACCCACGTGCTGTTGCGTGAGACATCCTCACGAAAACGGACGAAGCATAACAGACTAGCGAACCCAAGAGAGACGGGAGGAGATAAGATTGTCATTCTCAGCGCCAAGAGCCCGCGCCGACGGTAGTCCCAAGAGCATCCTCCTGTCCTACACATGTGAAAGTGAGGCATGCGAGTGATTCATACCTAGTGATTGTGGCCCAGGGGTCCAGTCCGATTTAAAGTGGTGGAAGCCCCGTCAGTGCAGATGGAGAAGTCCGGGCAGTCAAGTCATACAGCGGCAGTCCACTCCACCCAATCCCATGCCGTCCCTGCTGTGTCCCCGCCCACCCACGAAAAGAAGAGAGGCCGAAGAGAGGGCCACGAAGCGGGCATGGAGGGCACGCCGGCCGGGCAGCGCGGCGCGGTCGCACCGTCACGAGGAGCCTTCCTCGGTGCCCGGAAGTGGTTACCTCTCCCTGGGCCCGTGCATGTGCATGTGCGCCTGCGTGGGAAAGTTGTCTCGGGAAGCCTTCAAGGTTATCTTCGGGCCGCACCGGACACATTGCACGAGGGAACACTTGAACCGCCGGCCTGTGTCGCGCAGCAGGTCAATGTGGCTAGAGACTGGGAGCGTTGGGGAGATGCGTAGATTCGTCTCTCTGGCTCGGAGACTGTGCGGCCCATAGCGCAAAGCCAACAATATTGAGGAGTTGCCAATACATGGTACGGTGTCCCAACTGGCTCGAAAAGCATGCAAGAGAACTTACCGTACAAGGTGACGCGATATATATGCGTTGCGGCGAAAGGATGCCACGGCAAGCACACCCACACCGCACCTGTGCCGCGCTCGAGCACAGATGCCCAAAAGTGTACGTCGTGACAGAGGTGGTATTCACGTTTTGGAGAGGCCTAGACTGACGAGGTACAAGTGAAGAAATAGTGTGACGCAGGTATTAATAGCATGCAGAATTATCCCTCTTGCCGGTATCCACAAAGCCCATAAGCAAGAGGTTTGTATGAAGAAATAAAAACAAGACCATTATCGTAACCGCCCCAGGTGAGAGGCTCTCCTCCCTCGGATTCCGCGGGCCGGGGCAAGTACGGCGGCGAAAGGTCGGGGAGGCAGGGGCGGGTATATCGGTGTTGGCCCATCTGTTTTCTCCCCCTGGGGGCCCAGTCGGCTCCCCTTTCGTCGTTCGTTCCGTGCTCGCTCCGTAGCCTTTCTCTGTCGCGTGGCCCTGATGGCCAGGGGTTCTCGCAGGGGTTCCGTTTTCCGCGTGTCAACGCCGGCCGAGCAAACAAATAAAGCACAAGGCAAAACGCAAGATGTCCTCCCCGGGATGTCGCCGTCGCCGTCGCCGTTCGTGTCTCGAAGATTGCCGCTCATCGTTCGGGCTTTTTATCGTTTCGAGATCCCTTAGAAGTATCGCATCCATCATTGATTTGTCGTCGCAGATATTACATGACCAAACAGCAGCCTCCGCTCTGTTGTGGTGCGTAAGGGTCCTCGCCCTTTGGCACCACACCCCAGACGGTGACGACCATGTAATCTCGAGTACTGTTGCAGTAGGCGATGATGCTGTAGGAGGCGCCTTGTGTCAGCGTGCGATGCCGCGTCACGTCCACTCGGTCGAGTCTTACCTTTTGCTTGCCTGGCTGACGGGGATACGTTCGCGTTCCAGGTCTTCACGGAGGCGGTTGTTGAGCTCGGTCAGGCGGCGCAGCTTCAGGTCCGCCATGCTCTGCTTGTTCTTCTTGATCTGGGTCGGGTCGCCGACATCACGGGAAGTGTACTGAGGCATGGTGGTAGCGTGAGACGAATTTGATGCCGAATTGGCCCGGTTGCGAGAAGGTCGTCGGGGAGGAGATGAAGAGTGTGCGGAGTCAGAGCCTCCAAGTGCGAGGTCGGGTCGGGCGGGCGACTGAGGGATTGCGTGATGGCGGAGTCGATCCTTGTCCCTGTCTTGGTCCTGCTGTTCGAACATCGAGAGGGTTAGCAATGCTTGGGTGGAAAGGGTTGCCGATTGAGGCGGGGGCTGGTTTGACGGAGGACGAGTGACGGGAGGGGGTGGGTGGATGATGTCTCTCGGTCGGAGGGTCGGGCGGGTTGGGCTGGACTGGGCTGGCGGATCACCAGTCTCTGTGACGGTGAGGTTTGACAAACGGTAGGACAGTAGGACGATTGGCAATCGATCGGATGTTGGGGCCGCAGGGCTGCACAAGGGGAGAAAAAAGGGTTTGACTTACGATTGAGGCTCGGCAAGAAGTGCGGGCAGGTATTGGTGGGCGATAAAAGGAGAGGACGGCGGGTTGGATTGGATTGGATTGGAATGTGCAAAGGAGGGAATGAGGAATTGGAGGACGACGACAACACGCTCTGATGAAGCTGTGCAGTGCAGTGAGAGTGCAGCGAGTAGCGGGTAGCGGGTTGGGAAGAGGAGAAGCCGGCCTGGGGGAGAGTAGCCGTGAGGTGCTGCGGCGATCAGGTAAGCAGGTGGACCCAGCCCCCGGGGAACAGACGAGTACGGTACATGGGGAGTGCCTACCTATCCTAGACCAGGTATCTACCTGAGGGGCTCTGGCTCCTGGCTTTGGTCGGGGTCGGGGGTTGCGGTGAGGACCTGCACACATCCACTGTCCACCTGGGCAGGTGAGGTGAGATGCGCTGCGCTGCACTGCAACACTGCAATCAAGGTTGGCCTGGCCGCGTGGGTGGGTGGTCAGGGGTCAGAGGCTACTGTCGCTGGGGCCGGGGCTTGGAGATGGGGCTGGAGCTGCAGTCAAGCAGGTAGCACTGATTCTTTCTCCCTTGACAGGCGTGCAGGCGTATTGAGCATGAGCCGACCTTGACACCACAGACACACGCACACAGACACACACACGGGAAGAGGAGACTGACTGACTGACTCTACAGGGCACGGAAGGGAGGAAAAGGAATAAATGGATAGAAAAGAAAATGGCGGCCGGGGTCTCGCCTTGGGAGATGTGCAGCAGCGAAAGGAGAATACGCGAATCAAGCCAGATTGGAGAGCGGCGATTGGCTCGGAAAATGGTCGATGAGATTACAGCTGGACATGGCTCCAACGGTAGGAGGGACCAAGGGCCCTTCCGCCGCCCTCCGCCTGCAACACTGCACCACTGGGTCAGTGGGCCACCAGCCCAGCCCAGCCCAGCGCTCCTGGGCCTCCTGCCAATTGCCAATTGCCCTCTTCGTCTTTCTCCCCACTTCCCACCCCATCACGGAAATGAGACTTTCTGTTGCCCATTTGTCTCACCGTTTGATTATGTTGTGGAAAGACTGAACGGCACGCACGCACGCACGCACACACACACACACACACACACACACGCACACATTATTACATTATCAGCCGTGGGACTCGGCAATTCTGTACTCTCAAGACCCCGTCTCCTCTTACGTGTGTATATACACCTGTAGATCAGCGTGCAGCCCCCAGACAGGAAACATAAAGGCGAGGAAGGTCTTGGCGAGGCCCTCGACCACTATGCATGGCAGTCGCACTTGTCATGTGCCTACCCATACTCAGATACTATATATACTTCAAAGCAACAAGTGTCTGGAGTCTGAAGTCTGGTCTCTGACATCTGGTGAAGCTTATCAAACTCTCAAGCTCGACTGTCGCGTCGGAGAAAAGCTTGGATCATCCGAGCGGGAGGCGGGAGAAGCAGCTCAGGAGTTTTTTTTCGTCAGGAGAAGCAGAGTGAGATGAGTGCACGTATTGCAATTATCAGGGATGTCTTTATCGAGGACTTCCTCCTCATGCGGATAGTACTGTAACCTCACATATGCTTGAATGGCGGGGTACTCGAACTCCCAGTCATACTCCCATGCCCATGCCCCTAAGGCTAGTTTAACTGACTGCCTGGTTGCCCGTGTCGCGCGTCCGTACCTCCTTCACCAGCAGCATCATCAACAGAACAGTCATTCCCGCCAAACTTAGTTTACAGTACAGTCATTTCAATCTCGCGAATGGAAAAGCCAGTTATCCAAAATCGATCTGTTCGACTGCCTCGTTTCCATGTCGGTGACTGTGAATCGTCGGATGCACGTGACTTGCGAATTTCCCCTTTGGGACTAGGCGTTTCGCACAACACACCAAGCAAACCCACTGGCCTCCCTCTCCAAGTTTTTTTGCAGCAGGCAGAGTTTTGAGTCGGCCGGGCCTTTTCGCTGTCTCTCACTGCCTCGACCTGACTGCCAGTCCGTCCGTCAGACAGGCAGATTTTCCAACGAGAATCAACAGAGCCAAAGTCCATCGACTTTCGGTCTTACAGCGAATTCTGTTGACTCTCGCGCCCTGGGAATCTCCCTCCTCCCATTCAACCACTTACCCACCCCTGAGAGGAGACAAGACACAGATTGCCCAGCATGCCGCCCCCGCCGCATCAAAAACCCGAGAATGTCCTCAAGCGCGCCCACGAGCTCATCGGCGTCGGCCAGGCCCCAGCCGCCCTGACCCTGCTGCACGAGCACATCACCTCGAAGCGATCACGAAATGTCCCCATCGCGTCGCTGGAGCCCGTCATGCTCTTGCTCGTCGAGCTGTCCGTCGAGCAGAAGAAGGGCAAGCTGACAAAAGACGCCATGTACCAGTACAAGAACATCGCCCAGAACAGCAACATCGGCACCATCGAGCTGGTCCTCAAGAAGTTCCTCGAGCTCGCTGCCGACAAGGTCACCGCCGCCCAGGCCAAGGCCGACGAGGTCCAGTCCAGCATCGAGGCGACCACCGGCGAGGCTGGCGTCGACGACCTGGAGGCCACGGAGACACCAGAGTCCATCCTGCTCGCCACCGTCTCTGGCGAGCAGTCCAAGGATCGCACCGACCGCGCCATCGTCACCCCATGGCTCAAGTTCCTCTGGGAGGCATACCGTACTGTCCTCGACATCCTCCGAAATAATGCTCGGCTCGAGATCCTCTACCAGAGCACTGCCATGCAGGCCTTCGACTTCTGCCTCAAGTACACCCGAAAAACCGAGTTCCGCCGCCTGTGCGAGCTGCTCCGCAACCATGTCCAGACAGCTGCCAAGTACTCCCAGCAGATGCACGCCATCAACCTGAACGACCCTGATACGCTGCAGCGTCACCTCGAGACACGCTTCCAGCAACTGAACGTGGCCGTCGAGCTGGAGCTGTGGCAGGAGGCCTTCCGCAGCGTGGAAGACATCCACACTCTTCTCAACCTGAGCAAGCGCCCACCAAAGAACATCATGATGGCCAACTACTACGAGAAGCTCACCCGCATCTTCCTCGTCGGCGAGAACTACCTGTTCCACGCCGCTGCCTGGTCCCGTTACTACCAGCTCCTCCGCCAGTCCGCCACCTCTGTCGCGACCGGCCAGAGCAAGAAGTCCGACAACCCGGCGGCTACCGAGGCCGACCTGCAGAAGGCTGCTTCATTTGTCCTGCTGTCGGCCCTGTCCATCCCAGTCATCAGCACTACGAGATCCCGTGGTGCCATGGTCGACTTTGACGAGGCCAGGAAGAACAAGAACTCCCGTCTGACTCATCTGCTGGGCATGAACTCGGCGCCCACCCGTGCTGTCCTCTTCCAGGACATCCGCGCTAAGCAGCTCATCCGCCGAGTCCGCCCGGAAATCCGAGACCTCTACAACATCCTTGAGGTTGATTTCCACCCGCTGTCTATCTGCGAGAAGATCTCGCCGATCCTGGCGCAGATAGGCGCAGACCCCGACATGCAGAAGTACGTGCTGCCTCTGCAGCAGGTCATCCTGACGCGGTTGTTCCAGCAGCTGTCCCAGGTATACGAGACTGTCGACCTGGCCTACGTGGAGGGCCTCGCCAAGTTCCCCGAACCCTTCCAGGTCACCCGTGCGACCATTGAGAAGTTCATCATGAACGGTAACAAGAAGGGCGATCTCGCCATTCGCATGGATCATGCAACCAGTGTGTTGAGCTTTGACAAGGACATTTTCTCGTCGGCCAAGGCTGCAAGTGCCGGTGCTGCGGGCGGATCTGCCGAGGCCGACGCCGGCATAGGGTCTGTCCAAAGACTGCAGAGCACTCCTGCAGAGATTGTGCGGACACAGTTGACCCGGCTGTTCAAGACACTCCACACCACCTGCTACTACATCGACCCCACGTTCAATGAGGACCGCATCAAGGCTCGCCAGGCCGCCCTGGCTCGGGCCAAGGCAGGCGCTGACGAGGAGCACCGGGACATCCTGGCCCGCAAGGAGATCATCCAGAAGCGTAAGGAGCACGCCTCTGAGATCCGTGCGCGCATCGAGCGGGAGAACGCAAACGCCAAGCGCCTCCGTGAGCAGCAGCTGCAGGAAGCCGAGGCGCAACGGCTGCAACAGGAGCTCAAGGAGCGTGAGCAGAGGAGACTGCAGAAGGAGCGCGAAGAGATCCACAAGATTGAGATCGAGAACACCATCAAGGAGCTCAAGATTGGAACCAAGCAACTCGGCATTGATCCTGATGACCTGGCCAACCTGGACAGCAGCCGTCTCCGCGCCATCAAGCTCGCCCAGCTTGAACGTGAGAAGAACGACGTCAACGAGAAGCTGCGCATCACTGGCAAGCGTATCGATCATCTTGAGCGTGCTTTTCGTAAGGAGGAGGCCAAGAAGCTGGGTGAGGACTACGAGAAGCAGCGTGCCGCGGATCTCGCCGCCTATGAGAAGACTAAGCAGGAGACACTCATCGAGGCCAAGCGTAAGCACGAAGAGGCCGTGGAGCTGAAGCATCGTGTGGAACGTCTTGTTCCCTTCTACGAGAGATTCAAGGAGAACCTGTATGAGCGTCGTCGCGACGAGTTTGACAAGAAGCGTCGTGACGCAGACAGGGAGATGGAGAAGGCAGTCGCTGCACGCAAGAAGGAGTTCCGGGACAAGAAGATCCGCGAGAAGAGAGAGCGCGAGGAGAAGGAGCAGGCTCTGCGGGAGGCCGAGGAGAGGGCTGCCCGCGAGAAGGAAGAGCGCGAGCAGCGCGAGGCCCAGCGTCGCGAGGAGATGGCACGAATCAAGGCCCAGCGCGACTCGGAGCGCCAGGAGGCCCTGGAGAAGGCGGCATTGCAGGCTCGCCGCGAGGAAGAGGCTCTTGCACGCCGCCAAAGGGAGAAGGAACAAGCTCGTGCCATCCCCGTCCGCTCAGCGGCACCCCTGGAGCGCTCCGACTCGGCCGATCGGCCGTCTGGCCCACCACGTCTGGCCCTCGCTGGTGGCAAGCCCAGCTGGCGTGAGCGCCAGGCTGCGAAGGAGGCGGCCGGTGAAGCAACTTCTACCGACGCACCTCCCGCGCGCGCCACTCCCCCACCATTCGAGCGCTCCGCGCCTGTGGAGCGTGCCCAACCTGCCGAGCGAGCCCCGCCAGTTGAGCGAGCTCCTCCTGTCGAGCGTACCGAGTCTGGCGACCGTTCTTCCGGACCTCCGCGTCTCAACCTCGCTGGGCGCGGTGGCAAGCCTGCCAGCAGCTGGCGTGACCGTGAAGCTGCCAAGCGTGAGACAGGTGGTGATGCTGTTGGAGACTCGGAGCGGAGCGCACCTCCACCGGCTCGCCAGGGCTCTGGCAGGGGCGAGAATGGAAGGGACACTCCCCCTGAGACTCTGACGGCGTCGCGTGCCCCCGGGAAGTGGGTTCCAAGGCACCTTCGGGACCAGGCTGGCCAGTAGACCGGTTCATGAAGTAATGTACCCCAGGAGTTATACAGGATTCAATCACAGTCTATTGCGGAGGGTTTCTGTGTTTTAGGTAGCAGCCGCGGTGAAGAGAATGAAGCGATGGTGCCTCACGATCGAGATCAGACCTGTAAATGTAAGAAGTCGCTGCGATGTGATTCCTCGCAGCCCTCTCGAATTTTGGTTTTGCCACTGTATTTCAACCCGATCTTTGACCAGAATGTTTGACCAGCCGCCTGGTGGATGGTGACAACAAATTCTATATGTGCAAGATCTCAACACTGGCACCTGGCCGAGGAGTGAGTCCGTCCCTAGATAGGATAGGCTGAATCTTTACAGGGCCTTGCGGCTAATGGTGGGACTGCCTTATCTTATCGGCGAGGCTGTATCTTTTTTCTTTTGTCGCCAGTCGCATTTCTTCCCCCGCCGGCCAGCAGCAGCAACTCACCAACGCCAAACGAACAGTCCTCGTTCGCTGCCGTACGGTCAGTCAGCCCAAGATGCGGCCCCTGACAGAAACCGAGACGCAGACGCTCTTCCAGAAGCTGGCGCATTACACCGGCAACTCGCTCAAGAACCTCATCGCGCCTCTGGACGACTCGCCCAACGCCGACCGCTATGTCTTCAGGATACACAAGGACAGGGTCTACTACGTGCGCCTGTCCATAGCCAATCTGGCCGTGTCTATTGGTGAGCCGCAGACCTACCTAAATCCCTCGCTCTTCCGTTCCCTTCTCAGTACACCCTTACTCTCCGAGGGCAAGAGAGAGGCGGAAGGGAGGGAAAGCAGAGGAAAACGCAGGGCAGAAAAGACTGACATCCTCTCCTCCGGAAACAGAACGCGACAAGCTCGTCTCCCTCGGCATCTGCCTCGGCAAGTTCACCAAGTCGGGCAAGTTCAGGCTGCACATCACGTCGCTGCCCATCCTGGCCGAGCACGCGCGGTACAAGATCTGGGTCAAGCCCAACGGCGAGATGCCCTTCCTGTACGGCGGCAACATCGTCAAGGCGCACGTGGGCCGCTGGTCCGAGGACTGCCCGGAGCACCAGGGCGTCATCGTCTACTCCATGAACGACACCCCGCTCGGCTTCGGCGTCACCGCCCGCTCCACCGCCGAGGCGCGCCGCCTCGACCCCACGGGCATCACTTGCTTCCGCCAGGCCGACTGCGGGGAGTACCTGCGCGATGAGGATAATCTGTTTGCGACGGGTTGAGCGTGTTTAGTAGTCTTGTCGAGGTGGATATTCGGTCTTGGGAAGGGAGGGCTTTGTTGCATGGCGAGGCTCTGACATCGACGTCCGAATCGACGTCCGAAGCGGGGGGGGGGGCTGCGTTCCAAGATGTCATGAGGCCAAGGTCGGCGAGGAAGGAATGCAGCAGCAGGCTGGACATGAAAGTGTCGCCAGAGGAGCACTCGCATATGGGAGTGAGCCCAAGCACAAACAAGCATGGTGGGAGGCGTTTTGGAGTTCAAAAAATCAACTCGGTTCGGAGGTGTCACCCCGAGGGCCTCCGCGAGTGAGCTTGGCTACTTTTGTCTAGATATCACAATCAAAAGAGTGTTGCTGTGCCCTGCTCAGGTGTCCCAACTTTCTCCTGGGCCACGGTACCTGTTCTGATATACAGCCAGTCTGCCCCTGATGTGTTGGTTTGAGCGTCATGGGCAACCCGTGGAGCGGGAAGCAGACTTTTTACGGCACCACTATTTTTGAAATATGCACATCTTCAGCCAGGACTTGATTCGTCCCGTTGATGCTGTGGAGTCGTTCGGTTGTTAGTAAGACAGATCATGATGTTAGAGCAGTCTACACATGTTCAAGTCAGATGGTATTTCATTCAGGGACCGAGAATCTAGACGGTGACCAAGGGAATGAATATTCGTCTTATTCAAGCCAAGGTCAATCATTATTAGGCTTTCGCCATGCATAGACACGTGAATCTCTTTTGAGCCGAGCTTCTAATCAAAAAAGCCTCTATCCTTTTTTAAATCCTTTTTAGTTGGGGTATCATGCCTGTTGAAACTCGACGAGACAGCCCCCACCACGCGCTATGTGGCGGGTATCGGCGTCTGCGGCCTACTGCTCATGAAGAAGGTGATGTGCTCGCGCTCGGCGACGTAGCCGCTGTCGGCGTAGCCGAGCAGGCCCTCGATCTCCTTGCTCTGGTGGCCCTTGATGAGGGCGACCTGGGTGGACGAGTAATTGACGAGGGCGCGGCCGACGTCGAGCGGCTCGCCGCGCCAGGGCCGGCCGCCCCCCTCGGCGCCCGCGTCGTCCCGCTCCACGACCAGCAGCCGCACCGACTCGTGCTGCCCAAAGTGCCCGTCGACGTCGACGATGCCCGCCGGCAGCAGGCCCGCCTTGTCGAGCAGGGCGCGGTAGCAGCCCGCGTCGATGTAGACGTCGCCGTGGGGCTTGAGCCCGTGCAGGAGCCAGAAGGAGCGGTCCCGGTAGGGGGACGGCGAGGGGAGGAAGCGTGTGTGCAGGGGCACGTCGGGCCAGTTGAGCTCGATGCTCTGGATGGAGGCCCTGGACTGCGCCAGGGGGTCCTCGGCGTGGTGATCGTCTCCGTTGGTGTGAGAGTGGTTCGACCCTGGCGACTTGATGGCCTGGATGTGCTGGGCGATCTTACTAATGTTGCCCGGGTTGGAGGCGCGGGTGATGACGGTGGTCACGCCGGCTGAGGTGGCCAGGCGGGCGGCGACGAGCTTGGTCGACATGCCCCCCGTGCCGAGGGATGAGCCGGCCGAGGAGGTGTCGGCGTGTATGGATGCTATGTCCTCTACTACCTCGATGGGCTGGGCGTCCGGGTGTGTGCGAGGGTTCTTGTCGTATAGACAGTCGACATCGGTCATGAGAAACAGGAGGTCCGCATGGACCATGCCTGCTGTGATGGCGGATAGTGTGTCGTTGTCTCCGAACTTGATCTCCGAGACTGCCAGGGTGTCGTTCTCATTCACGATGGGGATGACGCCCAGGTCCAACAGCTCGTTGAAAGTGTTTTGGGCGTTCAGGTACCGTGATCGCTAAGAAACAGTCAGTGATTCAGTCACTCGGTCAACTCACTAGGTGTGATCCAAGCAGGGATTGGCATCAGCAAGAACGGGCTCACATCTGCTATGTCGTTCCGGGTGAGGAGGATCTGAGCGACTGGCTGCTTCAGGTGGTTGAAGAGGCTGTCCCATATGTTCATCAGGCGGCACTGGCCGATGGCAGCGAGGGCCTGGAGCTGGGCAACGTGTTTTGGCCTCTTGTCCCTCTCCATGCGCCTCATGCCGACGCCGATGGCGCCGGACGAGACAATGACGACTCGGTGGCCATCTTCCCTGAGTTTGTGGGCAGTCTCAACTATGAGGGACAGGTTGGAGAGGAGGGGCTGGTGAGTCTTCTCATCTACTATGGAACTCGTTCCTGTATGTGTGTGTCTGTGAGTCAGTCTTGTGTACTTGAGTTTGCATGAGACTCAACTTTGAATCTCGTGGCCAGGACGGGGCAGATTCTCACCAAGTTTGATGACTATCCCAAGAGACTTTGGGCCCTTCATGACTGCCACGATTCATCAGCCAGACAGCCCAAGAAGTGAGCCAGAAATGACGAGTAAACGCCATGGAATAGAGACCAAGAGACAGCGTGGGGGACCTCGTCCCCTTTTCACCATTTTCACACTACTCACATTGCGACTCGTCGCCAGGATCCATGGTGTGATTCTGCAAGCACCCCTGGAGGCTCGGAGGGGGGAGCGAATTACAACGGGTAGCGAGTGCTGTATGCTGCCGAATAGCCTGGTTTTCCGCACCGCGCAAGTGAGCAGTCCGTAAGCGGTTTTGGCTGCGCAGAGGGCCTTGCAGGTTTCGATGACTACCGCCAAGGATCGAGGGCGCGGGACCCGGTGGGGCACCCAGGTGGTGTTCGGTCGCTGTTGGACCGCCCCAGCGCCGGCCGTTTTAAACGCGGAGAGCTACGGCGGTGGATCCCTGCCGATCCCTGTCCGTTCCGTTCCTGCCGCTCCTGTGCCAAATTTCTTGGAGGGTGAGCTCAGCTCAGCTCGGACCAGTCCAGTAGAACCTCGAGGACCGGCCTTGTGCATGCACGACAGGACAGGACAGTGCCACTCGAGCTGAGTAAAGCCTCGCGAACGCCCAATTCACCACACCACCGCCTGCCGAACAACGAACGACACACTTCAAGTACAACAGGCGGCTCAAGCACGCACGGTAGCTGCAGTAGCTGTAGCTTGGCCAGCCTGACGGCCTGAGTGCTTCGCAACCCGCGACCTCGATCTGATCATCAATCACGATGGCCTGGTGGACAACAACAGCCCCGAGCACGTCGGGCTCAGACCCAAAGACAGCATCCTCTCCCTCATCCACACCAATACCCACACCCACACCCAGCAGCTCCCCACAAGCACAACCACAAGCACAACCAGACCAAAAACCGCCCAACCTCTACCTCGAGAACAACCCAGCGCGCACCGGCTTCGACCCCAAGACGCAGTGGTGGGTGAACTACTTCAAGATCCTGACAGGGCAGGTGACGAACGAGGGCATCTTCCACTACCGCGAGCACCGCTACCGCGCCAACGAGGCCCGCGACGTGGCCCGGTGCGAGCAGTACCGCGACTGGCTGTTCGCCTACTCGCCCACGGTGCGCTTCCTCAACGACAAGATCGCCGAGCTCAACCACGGGCAGGGGATGACCCCGGCCAACGTCCTGTGCCGCCGCTGCCCGGCCCGCCTGACCGCGGGCCTGCAGGTCGAGCGCCAGAGCGGCGGGTTCGAGCCCGCGCACGGCATCCTCGTCTGCGCCAACGAGGTGCGCAACCGCGGACACCTCGAGGACACGCTCGCGCACGAGATGGTCCACGCCTATGACCAGTTGAGGTTTGAGGTCGACTTCCGCGGGGAGAGGGACCTGCGGCAGGCGGCTTGTACGGAGGTAGGTCGATTGATATTCGCTTCCCCCTAGGGTGTCCGACAGAAACAACGGGGAGTAAACAGTTGGCTGACATTGTCCTTTTTGCCCCCACAGATACGAGCCTCGATGCTGAGCGGCGAGTGCAGGTGGACGCGGGAAGTCCTGACGCGAGGCAACTACACCCTCACAGAGCAGTTCCAGAACTGCGTGCGGCGACGGGCGGTGCAGTCGATGATAGCGCGGCCGTGGGTCAAGGACGACGTGCAGGCCGTCAAGGTCGTCAACGAGGTCTGGGACTCGTGCTTCTCCGACACGCGGCCCTTTGACGAGGTGTATAGATGAAGGCCACGGGGCACATAAAAATGAAAACGGGCAGGGGATATACCATGATACCACTTAACGCTTTACAGAAATGTATTTGTACGGACGATGAAAATTTGTGAGCCCGCCTGTGTATATATGCTGTGGCCCCGTCGTGTTCGAGCTCACGATATTGCAGCGACTGGGCAGAATTGACAAGAAACGCTTAAATGCCAAAAAGAAGACTCCTGAACCCCTACACAATGTCCTATGCCTTTGCCCACACCATATCCTTGTGTGAGTACCTTGACGCCATACAAATGTAAACAAGCATGTCACTACGCACGGCGACGAGACACATCAAAGCCCGGGCACTTTGTGTGCGCCACCAATGCGTTCAGTCACCATCAATGCACTTTTGGATCATTTACTCTTCTCCCGGTCGGTGGCCCGTTCTCCCTTGACGCAGTGCTTCAGGATCCAAGGGTGGGTGTGGACGTCCTCGAGGGGCAGTCTCTTCTCCGGGTCCAGTACCAGCAACTGTAACTGACGGTTAGCTATATGCTTGAGAGATTCTGTGCACGTGTGAGTCCGTACCTTTTTGATAAGGTCCCTAGCCTCAGGGCTCACAAAGGACGGGATTGTCATGTCCGCTCGGGCAATACGTCGCTGGGTCATCACAGGGGTATCCTCAAATGGGGCCTCGCCGACCAGGAACTCGTACGTCAGAACACCCAGACTCCACAGGTCAACCTTCTCGTCGTACCAGTTGTCCTTGCTACCAGACTTGATCATCTCTGGCGGGAGATAATCCAGCGTACCGCAGAGGGTAGCCCGCCTGTGGGTGGGGGCGTGGACGCTCCAGCCGAAATCCGAGATCTTGATCTCATCGTGGATGCCAACAAGGATATTCTCAGGCTTGATGTCCCTGTGGATGACATGCTTGCGGTGCAGGTACCGCAGCGCCGAGGCCATCTGGGCGACGTACTGGGCGGCCTTCCACTCGGGGAAGCGGTTGGCCTTGCGCAGCAGCTTGTACAGCTCGCCCTGGCTGGCGTACTCGAGGATGAGGAAGATGCGCTTGGGGTCGTGGAAGTGCCCGTACAGCCGCAGGATGTTGGGGTGCCGCAGGTTGCTCTGGATCTCGATCTCGCGGCGCACCTGCTTCTCGACGCCCGACCCCTGCTGCAGCTCCGACTTGTACATGACCTTGAGCGCGCAGATGAAGCCGCTGCTGCGCTCCTTGACCAGGTACACCCGCCCGAACTTGCCCTTGCCCAGCGGCTTGCCGATCTCGAACATGCCGAGGTGGAAGATCCGGGGCTCGTCCAGCAGGGTCAGCTGTTGCGACTGCTGCTCGGACTCGGCCTCCTCTGATCTGCGAGAGACAGTCGTGCTGGCGTTGCTGGACTTGTCCTTCTTTGTGGGCGAGGGGGGGTTGCTGCTGGCCACCTGGGCTTTCCGCTGTACTGTCTGAGAAGGCAGAGTGACGGTAGTGGACTGGGCATTTTTCTTGGTGGGTGATGGGGGTAATGTCGAGGCGGCAGAAGAAGAGGCAGCTGCTTGGCCTTTCCGTTGTGCGGCTTGGGAAGGCAGAGTCACGGTTGTGACCGTGTTGGTGTTTTGAGACTGAAGAGCGACCTTGAACAGGCCTGGTCGGCTGATGGACTGGGAGAGCTGTGCGGAAGAAGAGGCGACAGTCTAAGCAATCATAGATTCATCAAAATGGGAATCTCACAGGCAATGAGAATTGATGCTCACCTTGGACTTTTGGTATATGCGACCAGCCTCACCAGGATCATTCTCATCTGTAATGGACATACGCTGGAGGCCAGTCTCCAGCGCTCGGGTGGCTGCCATCTTGTGGGGGAGGATGCCGTCGACGCTGCACTTCGCTGACGGTCTGGGGCTGTAGGGAGAGATTGAGAACGAGGTTGGTCTCAATTGTGCGTGATTGTATTACCTAGGTGGAAGGCGGATTGGAGGTGGTGGTATATTGCAGAGACGGAATGAGAGGATCTGACTGCCTGGGACTGGTTTGTAGAAGCGGGCAGCAGGTGGATTTCTTGGTGGCTGGACCTGGAAGCTCGTATTGATATTTGGACCAGTTGCCGAGCAACAGGGTGCGTGGTGGGGCACTTCCCTGGTTGCGGAGGCTACGGCCGGCATCCTTGTCAGTTGCGGCTCCCAACCTTCTTTTTTGACTTCATGGCAAAGTGACTGCATCTCTTACATGGTACTGTAAAATAAATTGGATTGCCGGCATTTTCGTGTCTGCGGACTCCAAGAAACAATTGTTCTGCGTTGAACAGTCTTCAGCAGCCCATGTTGGATGCAAGCCAGGCCGGAAATCAGTAACCAGGGAACCATGACCATTGCGAACCATCATTTGAGTACCTTGGTGAGAGTCAAACTAGAGGCCATACTTCATCAACGCATGTCGCCCAGGCATGCCCTTGAATAGGAAGACCCTGGCATGCACACCGTTCATGCCCGCCTCAAGCGTCCCGCCCACCTGTAATAGGCTCAGGATAAATGATCCAATTGGGCAGGGCTTGACTCGTTCATAGGAGCAATGCCTTGGCCATTTAGAGAAAGCGAATCAGTTGAATGCGAGCTGGGCATGTCCTGGATGCTTCAATATGTGGTTTAGTATTTGAGATTCGTAGAGTCGGTATCCGAGAGCTGAATATGTGATTGTGTTATCAAGGGGATGAGTGGCAACTGGTCGGACCCGAAATGGCTTTGATTTTCATCGCCGCAGCAGCGAATCCTTGATAGTCTATCCCGTCAATCCACCGGCTGGGTTCTCGTTTCTTCTCTTTTCTTCGTTTTCTCCTGGACTTTCCGATCCCATACGATCGCTGGACACATTTGGGAAGAAATGGACTGGTGGTTAATATCCGTGCAACAAATGGTCGATTCGAGTGTCAGGTCGTTGCACGCGGTTGTGACTGCTGCAATAAAGGCTGCCAAGCTACAACGAGCCAACTGATCTGACAAGCTAGCATGTTATAAGACCCGTATTTCACTGAATGCTCAGAAACGAAATACAGAAGGAGAAAAGAAACCACTCGTCTATATTGACTACGAGACATGGCTTCAATACATGCAGTGGTCAGGGCCAATGGACCGTAGCTTATATGCCAAGCGTACGTATAATACCCCACGCCCAACATCGATATAGGACGTGGCTCGGAGCTCTCACACCCCAAGTTTGGAACGTCAGTACAGTTTCACACCCTCCGCAACATCTTTCACTCTCGTCAAGTAACATACAATCGGGTTTCGTTCAGGCTTCAGGACATAAACAGCAGCAAACAAGCCATTGGAAAATCACTCACCATGAACCACATCAGCTCGCCCAACGAGCCCTTCCCCGCGCCGAACATGCTGGCGCAGGCGACGACGACGCACAAGCAGGGCAACTTTGAGATCTCGTCGCGCAAGCTGCCCATCTCCAAGTCGGGCCCCATCGACGACATGTCGCGGCGGCTGGGCATCCCCGTGCCCGAGATGATCTTCGGCGACAACCTGGTGGCGGTGCGGCACGCCCCCTCGGGCTGGGCCATCGAGTTCGCCGCCGAGCCCGCCCTCGACGCCGTCGACAAGACCGGCGCCAACATGCTGCAGGTCGCCTACGCCGGCGAGTGGTCCTCGTCGCGCGAGAAGTCCTCGGCCCACGACATCCGCGAGGTCGTCAAGCCCTACGACTGGAGCTACAGCACCACCTACCGCGGCTCCGAGACCCCGAGCCTGCGCGGGCCGGACCCCGGGCGCAGGCTGCTGCCCTCCCCGGCAGAGCAGATCCCGCTGGAGCTCCTCAAGAGGCGCGACCCCATCCTCTTCTTCGACGAGGTCGTGCTCTTCGAGTCCGAGCTCGACGACAACGGCGTCTCCGTCTTCAGCTGCAAGCTGCGCGTCATGGAGCAGCGCATGCTGCTGCTGTGCAGGCTGTACATGCGCCTCGACGGCGTCGTCGTCCGCATCCGTGACACCCGCGTCTACGTCGACTTCGGGGCCGACGAGGTCATCCGCGAGTACACGGCCAAGGAGGACAACCACGAGAACGTGACCAGGGTAAGTTGAGGTCCCACCCCCCTCCCCCTTTCCTGCAGGAACCAAACCTCACTCCTGCACGCCCTCTGAATTTCTGTGCCCGGGATGTCTGTGGCTGATATTTCTGACGCTGCTGCTGCTGTAGGCCTTGCGCATGTCTGGGCTGCACCCTGACGCCGTCACCGCTGCATTCCGGGATGCGAACCAGGTGGCACATCTATTGCCTGTCGTCGAGCAGCAGATAGACAGCGTTTCGCTCTCGGTATGATCCGTTGATCTCTGCGCGCGGGCTTGAACCTCGGCGGGAGGAATGAGATCTCAGCAGATGCTGTGGATGGCCGTAACACTTGACTAATATGATCACGCAACCACACGGACTGCTCACCATCGAAGATGGCACAGGGGCAAGCATGCCGGCCCCCGGGTGGAACAAAGTGTAGCTCACCCCAGTCGGCCAGCAAGCGGGCGGAAATGGCTTGACACTGGAGAAGACCAAACATGCGTCTGCAGACAGCTCGTGAGGTGACATTCCAACAGTCTTGAGTGGGTTGAAGGTTGACGACAGCTGCTGCTAGTGCGCGGCTCCTCAGCACACTCTGGGCCCCGGTGGTTGAGACAGACCAAAAGGGGCCGCATCGGCCACACCGGAACAGCACAGCTGTGGTCACCTCATCCTCCAAGTCGAACGACGCTGTGATCAGACGCGAGAGCACGAGCTGCCTGGAATCTGCTTGCGATCACTAATGATAGGAAGACTTTTATGGTCTCTACTTCTCAGGCTGGTGTCAGAACTGGGAACAACCGTTACAGTCAACTCCACGAATGCAAGAAGTCACAATCAAGTCTGTCATGGTAGGCAACCGTGGGTTCCCGTTCAAGCTAGAAAGGCTATCTAGCAAAAAAAGCCAAGTTCCATCGTGACCGCGCCTCCGCTGTCCATCCAAATTACCGCAAACCAGTCCACCCCGACACAGAACAAGCAAAAGGGGTATCCCAAACCTCGCATGTGCATGATACGAAAAGTGAAGAAAGCCCGGGCGCCCAAGCCTCAAACTAGCGCCCCTCCGGCAGCGGCGACGAGGACTCGACAACCTCCTCGTAGTCCAGCTCCCACTTGTCCACCTCCTTGAACTTCTTGGACGCGGCCCGCAGCTCCTCGCCCAGCTTCCCGGGTGCTGACTCCGTCCTGTCCGCGTCGAAGATGGTGTCATCGAGGGGCGTGGATGCGTCCTCGTCGGCCTCGATGGCGTCTCCATCGACAGTGTTCTCTTTGTCAAACCTCCGTGATCCGTACGTCCGTCTCGTTGAACGTTTTGCCGGTGCGGCCGTGGTTTTTGCTTGGTTCGTCTGGTTCGCTTTGGATGACGGGCCAGTCATTGGCCGGGCTGTCCTCTTTCTCGAGGCCCGGGGCTGGTTCACGACATCATACACATCTCGGTCCGACCCAGTCTCCTCGTTGTCTGACCCTTCGCCGTCCCGGCGAGCCTTGCGCCGCCGGCGTGGGAGAAGCGCGGCGAGATCAGCGGTGGACAGCTTTGGTGACTCCTTGCGTGCGGCAGTCTTGCCTTTGCCCTTGGGCACCGAGGTTGTTGCCTTGAGATTCGGCGAGTGTGTCAGGGAAGGCGGTTCTGACATGTCCGACATGTCGTCGTCCAGAGCTGGCGTCTTCGTGCCACGGTGTGCCGCACGACCACGGTGTCTCTTCCCCAGCGTGTTCAGCGCGGGCCATACCATCGGACTGCCAGCCTCGGACGAGCTCCTACTGGCTGGTGGGGCGAGGACACTGTCGTCATCTAGCTCCGGGGTGTGCGAGAGGATGCTGGGTGGCGAGGACCGGTCGTCCATCTCGATGGATTGGTGCAACGGCTCCTCGTCTGATTCGACCGCACGTCGCTTGGCGACCTCATCCTCGTGGCTTTCCGTCGACTTCCTCTTCCGCGAGCGCGTTCCACCCTCCACCGACTCAACCACGTCCTTCGCAGCACTAGTCCTGCCCCGCGACGGCCGCACGGGTGTCCCTTCTGCCTCGGGCAGGAAAGAGTCCTCCTCACCCTGAGAGTCGACCGCGTTCTCGCTAGCCTCGGACGCAGCCCTGGACCGCTGCACAGACATCGAGGCCTTCTGCGCAGACGACAGCAAGATACTTGGCTGCCGCGCGCGCCTCTTGAAGTTGCCCAGGTTGAAGGTCGAACTCAGGCCCGGCGTCGTCGGCCCCCGGCTGCTGGGGCGGATGGGCGCGTCGTCCCTCCCGACAATGCTAGACTGGCGGCGGCGGCGCGGCTGGCGCTTGAACACGTCGACGTTGAACGTCGACGTGTCAGCCGAGCGCGTGCCCGACTGCTGCCCCGTCGTGCCGCTGCTCTCGTCGGCCTTGCCGCCGTCCCCCGTGATGTCGAAGCTGCTGTCGAGGTGGCCAAAGATCTCGCTGTCGTTGATCTCCAGCCCGGACAGGTCGCGGTGCCGCGGGCCCAGGAGCGACGAACCCTCCATCGGCGCCGCGTTGCGGCCGGCCTCGACCACGGGGCTGACGACCATGTCGGAGCTGTCGCGCGGCTCGTTGGTCGTGGACGTCAGGTCCTCGAGCCTGCCCAGTGCGGCGTCGCGCCGGCCCCTCGAGCCCTGCAGGGCGGCTTGATTTATCGCGCTGCTGGCCACACTCGCTCGGCTGCGCGTGCTCCGCGTCGACGCCGTGGCAGATTGCTCTGACGCAGGCGTCGCGGCCTTCTTCTGCGCTTGGCGCTCGACTTCGCGATCGCTGACACCGTAGATGTTATCTGTCGAGTCGGATTGGATCGGCGCCTTGTCTCTCGCAGCGGGTGGTGCGGGCGCGGCATCGGACGAGGAGTCTGCCTTCCGCGACGCGGCGGCTCGAGACCGCGTTGGTCGGGGCATTGCGGTTCTTGGTTGTTGGTGTGTGTGTGTGTATGGTTACAAATGATGCTCGGTAGGTGTAGTAAATGAACACAATTCAGATGGTCAGATTGCGTCACTGAAGCCGAGAGTTCGTGCGCCGTGTTAACACATGTAAGGATCTCTCAATGGGAGGGAAGGGGCCAGCTCTGTGTTGGCGGTGGTGGAGGAAAAACAAGGGCGGCAAGCCGGACGCGCACCGCGTCGTGGTCCGTGCACCCCGGCACCTTTCAGACGGCGTCCACCTCCCCATCAGGTAGGTACCTAGCACTCAATTATACCGTTCAAGTCACCGGTGATGATTGGACTTGCCTAATTCAGGGTATTCACATACAGAAGATGCCACCGCCTCAAAGGGATCACCGAATTGTCGACATCTTGCCCTACTGGGCTTCGCCATTAAGAAATAGACTACAGTATAGCTAGCTGCCCTATAAGCAACAGGTATATACGCTGCTCTCAGGATCGATCAATTGCGAACGTCTGTATATACAAACAAAACTCTCTAGAGGCGTTCACAGGACGTATCCTCCTGTGTTAACACAATCCCACTCCCTCACACCGACCCCCTCCTCCAGCTCAACGCACCACCACAGTACGTCCTTGGCCTTGTCCAGCTGCCCGCTCTCCTCGTACGCCCTTGCGAGCGCAAACCACGCCTCTGAGTAGTTCCACCCGGTTCCTAGTTTCGTGAGGTTCGACAGCAGCCCGTAAGCTCTGTCACGGGAAGCGAGTCGGTCTACTTGCGGTATCGAAGCCGCCTTGTACGGCGGCTCAAGGTGGCTTTCGTGATGGAGCGAGGTCGGGCTCTTGGGCAGGCTGGGTTGCTTCGATGGCTCTTGCTTCTGTGGCCTGAAGGCGCCGAGACCCAGGGGCCCTGTGGGAAGAGGCTTGGGCGAGTCTGCTTGCTTTCGCTCTGGGAACACGACCTCTTCTGTGCTTTGATCCGTGCCAGGCATTGCGTCAGATCCGCCGACGAGATCAAGACGCGGGAAGGCCGGAGGTGGCACTGTCTTCTCGCAGTAGAGATCAAGCAAAATATTGGATAGTCCCACAATGGCGCCAGGGTGGTCAGGGAAATGCGTGAGAGCAGCTTCAAAGTCCTTGCGCGCGGCGTCTACGTCTCCCTTTTCGATCTGGAGACGGGCATTCTGCGTCGAGTTAGCATGTCATGTCTACTTTGAAGCACCATTAGGTCAGGGTCAACCCACCTCATTCCACACATCGGCCCACAGCTCCTCGATGGACTTTTGGCCGGCCCAACCGGGTTTTCTGAGTGATGAAGAGCCCGGTGACTTCTTGCCACTGTCTGACGAGGCCTTACCCATATCCGACTCCATCGCTTGGACAAGCTTCTGTGCTTCGTTGACAGCGCCCTTGGCATCATCATACATCTCAGCCCTGCGATAGAAGCCGGCGATCATGAGCCAAACCTTCAGCAGGATAGCACTTCTCCTCGCCTTCACCTGGTCTTTGTCAAACTGTATCACCGGCAATACCGCGCCAACAGGCTCTATGCCCTCCAGTGCGATCCCAGACATATCTGGAGCGGGCGGCCGGGCCGACCAGTCGGACATTTGCGAGTTTGCTCGGCTAGCAGACGACGGCCGCGACAGTGGGTTGCGCTTGTTGGCGAAGGTGAAGAAATCGGACGCCTGCAGGCCCTCAGGGCCGGGCATGGGCGTGTAAAATGTTTCCCCGTCAACGACTGTCGCGACATGCGGAGTCGGCCCCGTGCTCGCTGCGCGCCGTCTGGCCCCTTGGCTCTCTCGTTTACGCAGCGAGTTCCTTGTAGCAGACTCGCTCCGCTTCTCGTTGCTAGTCGATTTCCTGCGCGCCCGGGGACTGCCGTTTTCTTGCGTAACCTGAATCGTGGGTGCTCGGCTGATAGTTTGTATGGTCTGTTGTGTTTGTGGGCGTTGCTGAGTCGATTCCGTGTTCTCATCGGGTGCTCGTACTGTGCCGTTACTGTCTCGTCTGTCCGCGCGACTATTCCGATTACCAAAAATGCCACTCCTAATGCTCCGGAAAGTGCCCGAGGTCCTTGGTAGGACTGCCGGCTTTGGCGGTTCAAGACTTTGCTTCGACTGCACGCTGCCGAACAAGCGCGAAAACAAAGTCAACAGTTCCAGGCTGGCATTGACAGCAACTCTCGGCCCCTCAACGACCTCGACAATTGCCAGTTGGGTCATTTTGATTTCCAGAATATTCTCCTTTTCAAAATCATCCATCTCATCAACCAGGCCTTGGCTCGCATCAGGGTCCTTGTCAGCCTCATTTAGGTGGTCGCTCTTGAACTGAGCCTGGCGCCCGAAGAGCACAACAGGGTCTCTGAACTGTTCGAAGGCGCACTCGCAGGTCCTAGCTGCCAGCACATATTCCTGTCTGGCACTAAGCAACAGCGACAGGAGATGCCAGAGTGGGATGAGCGATCTTTCACGCCAGAATGGGCCGTTATGCAGAACCAGCATCTCGTCGCCCGGTGCTCTCGTTAGAAGAGCTGTCTTCACAAGCTCAATGGCGGTAGTGAGCTCCCTCTGCTCGGCAAGAAGCAGTCCAAGCGCAAACACACCCCGGACATCCGCAGAGGTGGCGAAGTCTGCTGACAGGGAGGTACGCAATGATCTTATGGCCTTCTTTTGTACATCTGTTCGAGATGACGGGTCGAAGGTTGTGCGAGCCCATTGCGCCTGGGCCAACCCGATAGACTGCCATGCCAGAGCCAGGATCTTGGCTGGCACGCGATCTCCAGTGGCCGAAGACCTACCTCCATCTTCTCTGACGGAAGCCATAGCACCACTCGGCACGGGCGACTCGATCTTTCCAAGCCAGTGCTCAAGTTCCAAGGCCAGATCTTTCGCCCTATCAGCTGCCTCCCTCTCACCAAAACGGCTCAGCACCGAGATGCACAAACATATTGTCTCGAGTACAGTCGCATCGTCATCGAGGGTCTTTTCTTCGTGCCCTGTTTTCTCAACCCGAGCCTTGCCTTTCTGGACAATGTCGAGGTACGAGTCAAATGCCTTCAGAGCCAGGTCGAACTCTGCCACGGAAAGATGAACCAGGAACAGGTTCCTTAGTATCGCAGTCGAATGAAATGTTTTCGTCGATGCGCGGTACAGCATCTCAAGAGTAGACGCACTTAGACCCGCCTTGCCTCCCTGGCCCAGATCCCTTTCGCTCCATCCACGACCGGTAAGAATGGTCCAGTTCCGCATAAACATCTCTACGAAGAGCTCGACCTCTTCTCTGTCCTCATCAGCCTTCGGGAAGGTTGTTTCGTTGAGCAAGAGGGCCTCGAATGCGGTCTCTGTCCTCTTCAACTCAACCAGCAGCTGGCCCCTTGTCGATGGCTCGCTTTCCGCAGGAAACATGTGTTTCGTAGGGTAGGCAAGGTCTTCCTGTAAGATTGTCGACAAGGCCTCGTAATATTCGAACCATATACGGCGTCGCGGTACCGATCCTTTGAAACCGAAGCCACCAGCCAGGGTTGACCCTTTCGATCCATCCCACCACCTCGCCCAAGACCGGAAGCCTGCCAGCGAATTATCGTCTTCCAGCGAGACGTCTCCCTTGCCACGACATCCGTTAGATAGCATGCAGTATTCCGTCAGGAACAGCTCAGACCAGTACCGAAGCTCTTTCTTGGCCGTCTGGCTGCTCCATGGAAAGGAGCTCGGTGGGATTGCAGCCTCGAAGACAGAGAGGGCGTCGACCTCCTTCCCGTTGCGCGCCAGGCAATTGGCCCGCAGGTAAGCGGACTTCAACATGCAGACCCTCGTCCACTCTGAGATATTGTCCAAGCTCTCCACCTGGTTCTCTTCGAGGCCCTCAGGCAGGCGCACGAATGCTAGGTTGTATTCTCCAACGACCCAGTGCAGCCACCCCACACAGACTTGGGCCTGGAACCTGTCCTCAGCGTATGTGTGCTCCTCGTCGATGAGAGTCAGAACCTTGGGCAGATGCGTTGCCACCTCAATCTCCGTGGCGGAAACATTGCCAGAGTCGGCAGTAGCAGGTCGTGCGGGCTTCTGGGACTTGGTGGACTTGACGATGCCGTGTTCAATTTCGGCGGTCAGGGCGAGGCAGGCGCGGTTTGGCGCATGCTTGCGCACCTTGCGGATTAGCTCTGGGACAGCCTCCCAGTCGCCCTCGCATCGTGCATTGTCGAGCTGGTCTAGGTAGTTTCTCCCCTTGGTGGCATTCGGAGCCATTGTGGCTTAGGCTCGATGATGAGCGTCAAAGAGGCCCAGGGGATGGGATGGTTCTCGATGGGTCGCACGACGTGGGCAGGGAGAATAGCCGGTCGGTAGCTGGGTAGTAATAAGTGATGACGAGCTGCTTCGGGTTTGGCACTGTCATGACATTGGGAAAGGAGCGTGTCGAAGTTGGGGCCGGGACGGTGTGGTGCGGTGGCTGCGCTGTGCGGTGCGGTGCGGTGCGGTGCGGTGCGGTGCGGTGCGTGCGATGCGGCGATGGTGGTCAATTGCTTAGGAGAAGCTGGGGCGCCAGCAGGGGGCCTCCACTTGAGCCACAGAGTGGAATCAGCGTGGAATTGGATCGTCTAAAGATGGAAACCGTGATTGGGGTCGGAATGTGGTGTGAAATGGGAATGCGCTTCATCAGCATTAGCATCGGCACCGGCATCAGCACCCGCAGCGCAACCCTCGACGTTTACGAGGTCGCAGTGCAAGAAACACACGCACTTCGAACGCCGCATTAGACAGTAGATCAGCTCAAAGGGGAACGAGATGACAGCTGCAGGGGAAGCTTCGCAGGGTCCTGCCTGCCGAGGCTCCGCCTGTAAACGGATGCCCCACACTGAATATTGTCTGCAGGACCCCTGTATACAGTACCCAGCACAAGGCGACGGGGATGCCTGTTGCTTTCTCTCTAACCCAAATTGGATTTTTTTCATGAAGCTCGTGAGAAGAGAGCAAAGACCTCAAGCTCAGTCTCGGGTCGCCGTTGCATTGTGTCGTATTCCTTTCACATGCGACTTGAGGAGAATTGTCGGCGTCATTGTCTCAGATACGCAGTGATTCAATTCTGTCCGAGACGCCAAAAGTCTTGAACAGCCTCGGGCAGCCGTTAAAGGCTGGATATCAAAAGGTTTCTTTCACACACGATTGAGCCGCAACACCAGGCATTCCCGAAATGAGCATGTCACTTCCTCCAGATCTTCAAGTTCTCTGTCGACGTCTGGCCTCGACAGATCCTGACGATCTGCTGCGCCTCTGTCCATCTCTGATAAAACAAATCCAGCGCTGTCAAGGCGTGCTCTCGCAGCCTTCAGACCAGAAGCCCAAGGAAGGATCCTCCGAATCCTCCGTCCTTGTACACAAGTTGAGGACACAGATCACAACACTATTGAACAACGGCAGAAGCCTACCTGGGCGCTTTTCTGCCGCAATTCTAATCAAAGCCGTTATCGATACTGGTGGTTGGGAATGCCTTCGAACATCGGAGCCGTGGGTTCGAGGATTGCTGTCCATACTCCAGGTACGTGGTGTGAATCTCAACAAGACTATTTATGGGCACTGACATGGCCAAGAAAAATGATCCATACCAGTCAAAGGAAATTGCAGTCATCACTCTCACGAGGATATATACGCTCCTGCATGAGTATCAAGCCTTGGTCAGGGAGATAGCAACTCCCACTCTCCGCGACTTTGTCACTGCGTGTTTGCAGATTCTCAAGTCTCCCGCGTTTTCCAAAGCCGGGCAACCGCCAGTACGACTTGTGGAGACCATAGCCAACGCTCTGTCTGCCATTACTCCTCTTTATCCAACGACTCTGCGCCCTTTTGGCGCCCAGGTCAAGGCGGCTTTCAGGGTGTACTTGGCTCCTACTGCATCAGACAAGCTGGCTGTCCCTCGAGCCCTGCGAACTGCGTCCCGACAACTTCTGGTTGTACAACACTACACCACTCCCAAGAATGGGAACGCAGATGAGTGGATCAAGACCATCGCAGGTTTCCTCAACGGCAGTCACGCCACCGCGGACCAGGTATTTCGTGCTGTCCAGGAGTCGTGGGAGTCGAACAGTGGCTACACCCGAAAGGCAGTCGACTACGATGAGGATCCGCAAGGTGGTAGTGATTCCGCTGATGAGCTTCCTCCATGGACGGGTGTGTCTAGCGGAGCGGAGCGGCTTGCAGGGCTCTTGGAGACCATTGCCGAGTCGCTGAGATGTCCTACCAAAACACCAGTGGCAATCCCCGTCTCCTCGTTCCTCGATTTAACCGCGCGGATTTCCATGGTGCTGCCACCTAAGAAAGGGTCAAGGGGGCATGACGACACGCAGCTCAACTCCGCTATTGGTAGAGAAGAAAAGGATGAGCTATGGAGTGCCCTTCCAGATGTCCACGTTGCCACCATGGACCTCTTGACAGCTCTGATACGGAGACTGGAAGATGGTACCGTTCCCATTGCAGCGGACGTCCTCCTTCAGGCTGTGCGAATCATCGAAGCGAACCAGCACATCCCCCTAGTGCGAGAGCGAGGCTATGTCCTCCTTAGAGAGCTGCTTCTCGTCCACGGACCCACCATGCCCAAGTTCAGCGTCAACTCTCTTGATCGCGTCGTCCAGGGCTGCTCTCGGGACCTGTTATTGGCGTCGGGCCACGCCGCGTCTAAGCCGCCCGGAGGAAACGACGCCCAGAAACAGGGCGGCAACAGCAAGCCATCATCGGCAAAGGCATCCACCAACGCCGATGCCTATCTCAGCACGCAAGACAAGGCAAACAGTGCTGCGTCTGACCTGCCTGCGACTCACATCGAGGCAGCGTCGGCACTGCTCGAGACACTGCTGTCTCATCTTCCCCAGCAGCACCTGAAGCAGACTCTTCGCGCGCTGATCGACCGCACAGCCGTCCTGTCACACAACCGGGACGCCATGATCTCCAGCGTCTTGAGTCCGTACAGGACACACACAGGAAAGGCGCTAGCAAGTGTGTTCCCGTTCCTGGCGAGGGACTTCCCGCGCGACCAGGCTGTGGAGGTGCTGAGGTCCAACCTACGCACTGGATCTGGGCCCCCACTCGTGGATGCCGAGGGTGGAGATGACGAGGCGATACTTGCACAACTCCAGGGTGAGGACGGGGATCAGGAGGACGTGGACGACACGGCGGCAGGTGAGAAGCAAGGCTGGGGAAACGGCTGGACTGCTGGCAAAGCGGAAGATGAGGAGATGGCGGATGCTGCTTCTGCGCCCCCGGCGGGCTTCGACCTGGGAGCGAAGGCAGGCGCTTCAGTCGTCACCACAACTGAGACCACCACGGTGCTATCCGAGACCGCTTCGGGTGCGTCCAAGCAGACTGTCATGCTGTCATCCACACTGAAACGCAAGAGCGAGGAGTTGGAGGAGCCCCCCGCGAAGCGCATCGATACGGGCAAGGCGCCTGAAGTGTTCGGCGGTCCTGCTGAGGTCGCGGCCAAGATGGATGTTGACAAGGGTGGGGATGACGATAGTGACAGCGATAGTGACGGTAGTGTGCATCTGAATGCAGCCCTGGACGAGGATTCAGACGAAGAGGATGAGGAATAGATTAGAAATGAGATCATCCAAAATGCGACAGATCTGTTAGCAAAAGCTCTTGCAAACGAAAGCAATAGGCCATCGAGGTCATCACTCGTAAATTCCACAGTTCCGATTCAAGCATGTCCTCTCCATAGGGTCAGCTGCAGAGTAATGACCTACTCGCTACCCACCAAACGTTCTACCGGGCTTTATTGTTCCAGCAGTCTTCTGCACAACATGATAAAGTGCCCTCCGATGAAGCCTTCCATGAGAGCGTGAGTATCTTGCAATATTCTTCAAGAGCTGATCACCATTGGGAAAAGGGCCAACACCACTGTCGAATACTCCAAGATGCCAGTATCACCGGGACAATGCTATGCCGTCGTAAATGAAATGCGCTTTTAGCATCGAGAATCAGGGTATACAAAGTCTGGTCATCTCTTCGCCAGAACCTAGCCTGACGGGGGTTTAGAACCAATGCGGCATAAAAACTTCGAGCCATCTCGGGTATTCCGCCAACCACAACGTAGCCAAACCAATATCGGCCCTTCTATGTGTCCCCGGCAGACCTGCTTTCTTTCTTCAAGCGGTCCCGGGGTTTCCCAACGCCAAATCGATCCACGTAAATGCACTTAAGCCTCAAACCCCGTGGCCCCCTCTCCCCATACGGACGAGAGGTTGGGCAAAGGGTGAGAATGGACCATCTAGTCCCTCAGCCACGCCCGCCTCTTCTCCTCCTTCCTGGCCTTCCTCTTCTCCTTCCACTGCGCCAGCTCCTTCTTGGTGGGCTGCTTGCCCCTCCTCTCGGCCTTGAGGCTGCGCCCGTCGTGAGAGTTGGCGGCGCGGTCCACGTCGAAGTAGGCGTTCATCTGCCGCTGCGACTTGGCCGCGTCCGAGAAGTGGTCCGGGTTCATGTCCGCCGCCTGGAACCGACCCGTCCGGCTGTTGAACGCCGCCGCCTGCGCGTAGGGGTCTGCGCCCTCCAGTCCCATCTCTCCTCCTGCTGCTGCGGTGTACGGCGCGGCGGCGGTGTCTTCGTCCGCTGCGTCGGCTTGCTTGTAGGCCTGCGCGTAGGGCGCATTGGGGTCCCAGGACCCGTGGATCGCGGGGTTGTAGCCACCTGCTACGGAGGAGGGCTGTGATATTGTTGCTGTCGCGGCGGTGGAAGATGACGGTTGGGCGGAGGCTGTTGCGGTCTGGACTCGTGGGTTGTCCCATTGTGACAGGCCCGTAAATCTATTGTAGAAATACCACGCCTGTCTCGCGGCGTCCCACATCGCATCCCAGCCATCGTCTTCCTGCTGAGGAGGTGCCTCGGTCGGTAGAGGGGGGGCGTCCCCGTCGCTTGCGCCGCTGTGGGCTTGCTCTTGTGTAGAACTTTGGCCTGGGAGCGGTTCGTCGGGTAATGGCGGTGCGTCGCCGTGGTCTGCAGCTGAGTGTGATTCTCGTGGTGATGTGTCGGCCGAGTGAGGTCTGCCGTGGCTCTTGCCTCCGGAGCTATCGCCTTCACTGGCCTCTCCTTCTTCTGAGTGCGCATCAGACCCGGGAGCCACTGCCACCGGGGGCACCTCGTCCTTGGCGCCGACCGTCTCGCTGTCCGACGGCATGGAGGCTAGACTTGCTGCTGGACCTTATAGATGGCAAGATATGGGAGTCGAGGTTTGCTTGGCGGTAGCTGCTGGTTGATGTTAGTATGCATGTCAGGGCCAGCCTGGGTATTTACGTGCTTTGTCGGGTGTAAATGGTTTGATTGTTGCGGGTGAGGAGAAAAGTTGGCGACGTCAAGGCCGAGGCTGCGGTATTCAAATAGTCCAGGTACGGGCGGCAGGGCTGCAGGGCGTGGGTTGCGGTAGCACCTCCCCGTAACAATGACTCGACCCAATCCAACTGAGGCAGTGTGGGGAAAGTGTGGGGGGGACACCTCCAGCCCTGTCAACTGGTGTCTGTGAGCTTTAAGGTCAAGCTTCACATGAACGCCAGGCTAGGATCAGCTCTCTAAACCTTGGAAGTCACTTTGGCTGTCTAGAAGTGATATTTGCCCGTATGTCCCTCTGGATCAACTGTAGAGCGTACGGCATTAGTGGAGAGTGAGTTCCAAGGTGAACACCGTAATTGGCCAAGTTGCTACGAATTCGACAAAGTGATGGGATGTCTGCGGACTGCGTGGTCCTCCTGCATGTAAAAGGCATGAAGGTTCTCTTGAATCTTGCCCATCTTTGACCCAGAAGGAGCAGATATCTTTGCCAGAGCTTTTTCCTGGCTGAATTTGTTCTTCAACTTCATGAGGCTCAGATCTTGGTCGAGTTCCCGGGTCCGATCGATACGCCCTTGTTGTTCCACTGGTTCCTTTCCAGACCTGACAAAGCAATCTGGAAGCAGTGCGACATTTTGTAGGAGAACGATTTGTATGTCGGTCTTGATGCTATTTCTCTAGGTCAAAGGTAAGTGACTGCAACCAGAGCATGACCACAGACCAACTCGCATGGAAACCAGTTTGAGTGAGTACGAGACAGTCGACCGCAAGACTGCACATCAGCTCAGGTTTGACACCAGGACACCTTCTCGCCATTCTCAATTCTTATCTTGCCAGAGTAATTGTGGGACTATGACACATCTCTATACGGTACTTCAGAGATCGTATAAGGGCAATCTTTCTAGATGCGCTCTATACATTCATGGGAATGGTTTGCCGTAGGGAAAGCTACCGAGCGATAGACTTGTCGCTTTTTATATACTAATAGATAACCGCCCACCTCAAAAACATTCGGTTTCTGTTTCTGTTAGTCTGGTTCGTAAAGACTCCCTGCCTCTATAGGTTACCATATCACCGGCTTGGCCACCCCAAAGCACTGACGGATATGATCCGAGCATTTCCTTTGTTTTCAAAGGCTTCAACTGACATTGCCTCAGTAATTGGTACTCCAAATCAAGTCACGATGGCCCACGTGGTCTCCAAAAATGTATGATAAAGCTGAGTCGTCTCGGTCTCTCCAGCGTCATCCACTCATGTCCACGAGCGGTGGCTGTTGCCAATGCGAACAAATTACGCGCGCATCCACATCAAGCTTGTCCAGGTGAGGCCAATTCCTGCCATTCTACATCAAAATTCACGAAAGCCATTCGAAGCTGAGGCGTTTCGTCGCTACAAGTTGCCCCATTAGCTTCGGGCTGGGTCACGGTGCACGGTTTCGCTGGTTAGAATGTGGTCACATTCATTGCGTAGTATCCATGAGCGAGTGACAAGGATTGCAACTTTGGATCCGAGTAACTTGTTGAGTGTCTTACTCAGGTAAATTGTGAGTTGTTCCACATCTCATCTTATGAAGTACTCGTCAGGACGACCGGAGGGCAAAGCACGTGCATCTGTAGCACGTGTGCATGGACGAGCGACTCTCTACTTAGAGCAGTGCACTTGATGAATTATGCGTCTGTTTGGAAGAAATTTAAAACCGCAGCAATAGGTCTGTAGAGTCAATTCAAACATGTCGTGATGAATTGCTTCAACTTAGTGCCTGGTGGATCGAGATGGCAATCAAGTAAATTGAAACAGTTTCGCCATCGATCGATACAACCGTAGAAATCAAGTACTGGGCATGGCTGCTATAGAGGAGACTAAATGGATGAAAACCTGCTACACGAAATATAACATGACTGCTCCACAGCCGTGCTCTGTCGCGTGGTGCTGGGAAGGCTTAGACTTGTGGTGGGGAGGCTGCCGGTTGCATGTTTCCAAGCATCGTCATAGTGATATGCGGCCAGTCTGCTGAAGCGAAATAAGGTTTCCCGCTCGTGATAGAGTTTGAGACAGGACGGACTTCAAATTCAAGTAGGCATCTCTTGGTCCTCCAAGATTTAATTGAGGATTGACGTGGCAAAGTCCAGGCTGACTTAGGGTATGTCCAGAACGATGAGTGCAGGACTGGGGCCGAATCCATAAGATCTGTAAAGGCTGACAGGTAATCAGGGCATTTACCAGTACGTAGCATGGCACCGACATAGCTAATCGTCAGGCTGTCCCACTCGAGGATATCCTGTTCGAGACTGGTTATCCTACTATCCACAGGAGAGTGTATTGTATGCGAGTATCCCTTAGCAGGATATCCCAGAGGAGAGTATCCCGTAGGAGGGAGGAGGTTATTCTATAGGTGGTTGTCTTGCGGGAAGCTATCCCATGGGAGGTTATCATATATGCCAGTTATCCTAACGGAAGTTATCCAACCGGAGGTTATTCTTATGGAGGTTGAAGTGGACTGGGGGCGAGGCTGCCAGGGGGTTTAATGAGTGACAGGGATCGGCAGCAGATGCAGTTCGTCCAGAGCTGTGGGTGCCCCGGCGGCCCCTGTCACTCCCCAATTATGAGGTCAGCGGCCCCACGGTTGGCTCACTGCGCACCTGCCCGTTCTCCGGGCGTCGGGGCCAATGGTCACTCTCGCAATGCATCATCCACCACGACAAGTGACCGTTGTTGTAGTTAGTGCTGAAGCCTCGAAGCCCATCTTACCTTCCTCCTCTCGCCAGCCAGCCTGCGACCATAACTTGTCCTTCCCTACTCTGCTATCAAGTGTCACCTGCCTCTGTCCGGTCTCCCTATCTTGCCCAAAGGACAATCTAGAAGGTAAGCCTAGCCTGCTGGACCTCGGGCCAACCGTGAGCCTCGAGCCTCGACCAGGGCCGCCGCTTCTGCGCCCGCACCTGCACCTTGGAGTGACCGAGTTCCTCTCTATTCCTCTTGTTCTGGCGATCCGGCCTCCGCCCACCCTGAACACTCGATTCCGTGACCTCAGCGAGTAGAGACGAGCACCTGCTCGTGCACCAACACCCAGACTACTTACAACTCCCCTTGACCCATCGCGCCACAGTACAGACACGCCGCCATGGGTCTGCGATACAACACTTACCTCAACGGCAACAAAATCTACGGCTGTCACAACTGCAAGGCACACCTTGCCGATCACGATGACATCCTCAGCCGGGTAAGTGTACACTATACTACGGGGTATAGCCGAGGTTGAGGAGAGACAGATCGACTGACCTGCCTGTTTGCCTACCAGAACTTCCGCGGCCAACACGGTAAAGCCTACCTCTTCAACAACGTCGTCAACGTCGACAACTCCGAACCCAACGAGCGTAATATGACCACGGGCCGGCACGTCGTGCGGGACATCCACTGCCGCGGCTGCAACACTTGCGTCGGGTGGAAGTACGATAAGGCGTACGAGTCCAGCGAGAAGTACAAGGAGGGCAAGTTCATCCTTGAGGCGGAGCTGCTGTGCATCGTCAGCTAGGTGCCCATCAGTCGTCGGCAGGCACGCAGGGTGTTAGAGTACGGTCTACATATGTCACTCGACAAGATGACCGCTGCGATGAGGGAACAGCTTGGCTTGCTGTAGCCGGTGAGGGGGCTCATGTCCATTTGCATAGATACTTAGGATTTTGGCGTTTACAGGACGGAGTGGACAACCAGGCATCAGGGCAGGACGGCGAACAGGTTTGGATTGTATCAGAGCAATGGTATTTTCTTTGACCATAAACGCGGGACTGCGGGCTATGGCTTTGCTTGAGCAGCCGCAGCAATCATCATCATCATTATAATTGCACTGCTAATTGACCTCTGTTCTGCGCTCTGTTTGCCCAACGGACATCAAGAAAGGCGGACGTGCACCCGTCTCTCTTTCACAAGCTTCCAACGGGCGATGAAACCTTGACATGACAGGAGATACAGTTCCTGTGTTCTCAGCTGATCGATATTCGCTCGTCATGGGGCGAGTCAGCCGTCTGCTGTTTAAGTGCAGGCCAGAATGGCACGAGGACAGCACTTGGGCCATCCTACAGGTACTTAGGCACCCGCCCGCTGCCCGCTGCTCCTTATCAGAACGGCCGTTCCGTCCTCGGTACCTTTCCCCATCAAGAAGGACTTACACCGTCCAGCCACCATCTTTAACACAAAGACCGGGCTGCACTGTCGCCTTTACGATATCGGGTCATGAATAGAAATTGATCTTTCATTCTTTTTCCTAATTTAGGGTTTTCAGGAAGGGCTATACTTGTACATCCGCGCTGCTACTGCTACTTTTTCGAGAGCTGCTGGGTTTCAGCCATTTCTCGCTTGCGCCCGATAAGGAACGGACCGCGAAACGTCACAGGACCATCTCGGAAACCACCTCGGCTGACGACGCCAATATTCCTAGAACATACAACAACACAACTTCCATAATCCCACAGCATTGCACTCCAGCCAACGGTGCAGCTTCAAGGCGACAGATCCAAAATGGCCTCCAAGGCCGTGATCCCCTTCCTCGTGGGGATGATGTTGCTCACTGGAGTGTGCAACACCCTCCTCACCAAGTACCAGGTACGTGCATCCCATGCGCATCTCATTCCCCATTAGCAGCATCATCGTCCACGGGCACTGCAACCCGCGCGATCCTCCCGGAGAGCAGAGGGCTGACCTCGGAATCACATCCCACAGGACAACCAGTGCGTCCGGAATTGCGACGATCCCGACCCCAAGAAGCGCGCCCACTTCGAGCAGCCCGTCATCCAGACCGCCCAGATGTTCGTCGGCGAGATGGGCTGCTGGCTCGTCGTCGGGCTCATGGCCCTCTGGAGGCGCTACGTCTCCAAGGACTCGTCCGCCGCCGGCTATGAGGCTGTCCACGCCTCCGAGGCGGACGCCGACGCCGACGCCGCGAGCATCCGCTCCACCGAGCCCCTGAACCCGACCGCCGACGCCAATTCCAACGGGGGCTCGAGAAGCCATTCCAAGCCCGCCGCCAGCGACGCCACGCTCCGCGGCTTCCGCGTGCTGCTTCTCTCGCTGCCGGCCATCTGCGACATCCTCGGCACGACGCTCATGAACGCGGGCCTGCTGCTGGTGGCGGCCTCCATCTACCAGATGACGCGGGGCGCGCTCGTGCTCTTCGTGGGGCTGTTCAGCGTGCTGTTCCTCAAGCGGCGCCTGCACCTGTTCCAGTGGATCTCCCTGGTCGGCGTGGTGCTGGGCGTGGCGGTCGTCGGGCTCGCGGGCGCCATCTGGCCTGACCAGCAGAAGAAGAAGATCCCTGGCGACGATGGTGCGCACGCCGAGGAGGTCGGCGCTGACGCCCTCCTCGCCATCGTGGGTGTTCTGATGATCGCCGGCGCGCAGATCTTCACCGCCACGCAGTTCGTCCTCGAGGAGTACCTTCTTGAGCGGTCCACCATCGACCCCATCCGCGTCGTCGGCTGGGAGGGCATCTTCGGCTTCACAGTCACGCTGCTGGGCATGATCGTCCTTCACCATGCCATCGGCCGCACTGACCAGGGCCGCTACGGGCCCTTCGACATGGTCGAGGGCTGGAGGCAGTGGACCCAGAACCCGCAGGTGTTGCTGTCGAGCTTCCTGATCATGATCAGCATCGGGTAAGACCTGTTTTCCGAGGTGGAAGAATCAAAGAAAGAAGAAAATCTGCTAACTAGACGACAAAAACAGCGGCTTTAACTTCTTCGGCCTCTCCGTCACGCGGACCGTCAGCGCCACCTCCCGCTCGACCATCGACACCTGCAGGACCCTCTTCATCTGGGTCGTCTCGCTCGGCCTCGGCTGGGAGACGTTCAAGTGGCTGCAGGTCGCCGGTTTTGCCCTGCTTGTCTACTTCACTTTCCTGTTCAACGGCATCGTCCAGCCGCCCTTCGAGTTCTTGCGGCCCAAGGAGGAGGTGGAGGAGCTGCTGCCCGAGGAGCCCGTGGAGCATATCTAAGTAGACCTATCGGATATACATAGATAAGTGTGTAGACGGATGAAGAGGGCGGGAGAGGCGAGGCGCAGATGGGGCTATATCCTTCTCGTAGGACTACAGATTGCATAGGGCGGCGGCTGGCGTTATGGGCATTTGGGAGGGCAACAGGTACGAAAGGGTTTCGGCGTTGTGTGATTTTGCTCTGTAGTAACTAGTACTGCAGACCTGATTCATTAAAGTCCCTCATATTCTCCAGACGTCTCATGAACCGATATGATCTAGTGCCTTCGCTTGTTTGACACAGAGTGCGTGGATCCATACATACACATACACACTACAGTTCAGGCTGGTGAACATACACCCGCTGCTTTTACACCTATGTCAGGCCCACCAGGCTCGTTCCTCATAACGAGTCACATCGTGCATACCACATAGGCTCTTGACATTATCGCCAAAGCAAGTAACGCTCGCTGCCGACAAGTGCAGTCGAACAAGCCGGCCAAGGCAACATTGCGCAAAAGCCGGTGAGAATATTATGTGCTGCGTATTTCAGGGTCGGCCACTGCCGTAATATGTACTCTTGGAAGACGATTACAAAATCGTATACAAACACTGTTCGCGTAGCCTCATGCCTTTTTTGCTCGTAACCGCACATGTGTAAGAACGCCACAATCCCCCGTCTCGTGTGTACCGCAAAACTCCAAAAACGGACACGCATCCCTATCTCTCCTCTCAGGAGCCCGCCTTCTCCTTGGCGTCGCCGTTCTCGCTCTCGCTCTTCTTGCTCCACTTGCTCTTCTTACTCTTCTTCTTCTTCTCCTCGAGCGGCTTGTCCTTGATGTTGTTGTAGTGGGTGATCCCGAGCTCCTGGTCCCTCTCCAGCCTGGCCCTGTCGCGGTCGGTCAGGGGCACGCCCTCGATGCTCTTCACGTTCTTGCCCTCGAAGAACATGACAAGGCCGCCTACGGCGGCGACGATGCAGCCCAGCGCCACGAAAAGCCCCGTCGACCAGCTGGGGCGGTCGTAGCGGTTCATGCCCCACATGACGCCGGACAGGACACACTGGAACAGCGTGTTCCATACCATCATCCAGATCATGAAGTCCATCTTCCAGACCTTGGTGGCCGGGGCACGGATGCCAGTGGGCGGCGCCTCGGAAATCTTGCTCGGCGGGACGGGGACCACGGCCTCCTGCACGGCGCCGGCGCGGAGCTGCTCCTCCACATTGGCGGGGCCGACATCGACGGGGATGTCTTGGGTGCCAGGCATGCGGAACCAGCCACGATGGATGCCGGCGAGGCGGCGGAGACCGTCGTGGCGACCCTGCAGGCGAAACTTCATGAGGTAGTAGAGATCGCGGAAGCGCCAGGGGGCGAGCCCGAAACCCGTCAAGCTGAAGAGCGCGGTGAGGACTTGCGAGTCGTACTCGACCCATTTGCGGCGGGGGGAGTTGATGTCGTTGCAGTTCGGGTAGCACATGGCGGGCGAGGCGTTGCAGAGCAGCAGGAAGAGCATGCCGCCCCAGGCGACCACGTTCAGGCCGTACAGCACGACGCAGAAGCCCACGGGCGTGATCGAGTAGCGCAGGAAGGCCACCGTGCCGTGTTTGAAGGCCTCACGCTTGGGGTACGACGGCGGGAAGTGGTAGCCGTTGTCGAAGGGCTCGGTGAGCGGCACCGGCTTGCCCTCGTGGTCGTGGGACTCCTGCTCGCTTTTGGCGGCGATCGTAGCCTCGTCCGACGTGGCTTTAGAGGGGTCCTTCTCGACTGGGCCCGATGTGGCCACCGCCGTGTCTGGCGCTGCTACTGTGTCGTCGTCCTTTGGTGTTGTCTTGACGTACTCGGCGCTCTCGCGGGGAGCTGGGTCGACGGACTGATCAGACATGGTGGTGCGCCGCCGGGGGAGGGATTGGGCGCTGTTGGTATAACTGCTTCTCCTGGGGGATTCTGCACCGGCGACGGCTGATGAGGCAAACTCGCTGGTGGCTGCCATGAAGCCGCCGGGTGGGTTGGACTCCTCAAAGTCCTTGGACAGGCTGCGGACCTTGTATGATATCCTGGAGGCGACGGACGGTCGCCTGGGGCGCTCATGGTCCGCTGGAGAAGGAGACTCGGGTCCTGGGGTGGTGGCAGCCTGGTTTGGCCCGTCGGATTCGGCCATGGTGTTGACCGTAGCCGTGCCCGGTACCCAATTTAAAGTGGTGCTGACTGTCTAGACGGGCATGTATATAGCAGTAGGTTTGTCTATTGAAGGTGAAGTGACTGAGCAAGAGCAAGAGCAAAGGCAAGACGGGACGATGGTCAATTAGTGCTTGCGATGGCAACGTTACTGTTGTCGTGAGAAGGATTATGATGGTTAAGAAGATGTTTGGAGAAGAAATGGGAATTAGGCTCGAGGCTTGGAATGATGAGAAAGGAGAAACAGTGAGGTCGAATGGGATTATTTTGGTACGGTAACAATACAATCAAACAAGCAAGCAAAGCAGACAAGGGTGCATGGGAGGCGGGAGGGAACGAGCTGATGAGTGTGGCGCAAAAGGCAGGGGCGGGTCATACCTTCCAGCTAGCATCCCCCAATGCCTTGGCCGGAGGTGGCAGAGCTGCAGTGGCCACTCAGAAGCGCCCCGGCGCCCAGAGGCCGCGTCTACATGGATGGCAAGCGTCATCAATGTTGGCAGCAACGGCAGCATTGGTCGAGGCCCTGGCCGCCAATTGTGACCACAGCCGTGTGCTGTAACAGCCGTGCTCAACATGCTGCATGGCTAGGATTCTCCGGTCGCGGATGATGTCATGTCATCTGTGTGCTGTGTGAGCTCAAGACAATACATAGTATGGATGCGTGAGAGTGATAGTGAGTGCAGCTCTTGTTAGGCATGTGAAACCGGTAGATAGGCCTACATACCTTAGTCTACCCTATGCCAGCCCTGGAGATCGTTTCAGGGACCTCTGTAGATTTGACAGCACGGTCTAGATTTCATGCGGGTCTGGAAAAGTGGCTCACTCGCGTCGGTGGAGCTGCCGAACAGCAAGATGCGTATTTGCAAACGATTTTGACTTTGCTCCAGTGCAGTCAGTCGTATTCGTTCTCTCGTTCCCTCGATACGTCGTTGCCGTATTCCGTGGCCTTCGAGTGGCCTGTTGCTGGGCTGCGTCCTATCTCGTCGCACTACCTGCATGTAGACATTCGAGCATCTGCCATCCTGCAGGACTCACAAAGTCTCGTCTCCTTGATGTTGTGGTCAGCATCAGGTTCCTAATTTTATTTGCTAATGTTGGCCAGATTGAGGACGAGGGCTCTCACTACCCAGATTCTACATCAGGGTTAAACCCTGGAAATGGGTCCACCAACGGCCATCAAGGGACTTGCGTTTTTAGTAGAATATTTCAATACGACCAGCATCTTATGAGTCTGAGGCTCAACACTCACCAGACATACACACTGTCCCTCACACAGACCTTTTCTACCAACAGCCAATACTCACTCACTCACCCGCTCACATACACACTCGCAGTATACAGTCAACACAGGTACACACGTCCTGTCAAAATGCAGTTCCCGCCTCACCTGGAGGGCCTGGCCAAGGTCGTCCGCAACAACCTGGAGAACCAACAGGACTGGAAGCAAGTCACATCGCACGCCGAGCCCTCGCAGCCCAGGCCCCTGCTCTCGGGCCTGCCCCCGCGCCGCATGTACATCCACCCGGACGAGCAGATCGACATCATCAAGGCCGAGAAGGCCCTGGGCGAGTCTGTCCCGCAGGAGCCCGACTACGAGTGGGTCCTGCCCGTCCACATCTCCGAGAAGCCCACCATGCGCGCCTTCGCCGCCGTCTTCGACGCCCTCGACGCCCTGCCGCCCGCCACCAGGCTGGCAGAGGCCGAGGGGGACGCCGCGCCCGACTGGAGGAAGTGGAGGGGCTCCTGGCGCGGGAAGAGGGTGCTCCTTGCTACGGTCCACGACGACTCTACCGTGGTCTACTACATGATGCACGATGGCATCGTCAAGCCGAGACAGAATTAGGGGCCAAGTAGTTGTACTATCTGGAACTCAGCTTATTCCAACGCACCGACTGGGACCCTTAAAGCCTTACAGCCTAGAGACTAAGAGGATGGCTACCTTGTGGTGTCATGAGGCAACAGCTGCCCAAGTTCTCGCAGGGCTTACGGCTTGAAGACGACCTTCTGAACCTTCATCTTATCGAACAGGTCGTATCCTTCTACCGCCTCCGACAGGGGCATGATCTTGTCGAACATGAAGCTACGGTGGCCGTCAGACAAGGCGCTTCGAAATGACACGGGTGGCTACGGGAGGAAGGTGTGGTCAACTCACCTCAACTTGTCCTGGTGCCTCGCAAGCAAGGCCAGAGCTTCGGGGAACAACGACCTCACCGGGCACCGGCCCATTTGAAGTTTGACGTTTTTGCTGCTCGGGAGTTAGTACAGAGAAAGCAAGATCACACCAAAGGGCCGACTTACTTATAGCCCTCGGTACCACTCCATGGGATCTGTCCAGAGTGTCAGCAAATCAGCCCCTAGGGTTCCCTCCAGACCCGAATGAGTACCTACCTCGGCATTGTGCACACCAATACTCGAGATGACTCCCCAAGGCCTCAAGAGGTCAAAGGCCGTCCTCAGCGCCGGGCTCAGCCCAACAACTTCAATCACCGCATCCGCGCCCCTGCCCTCTGTGACACTCTTCACCTTCTCAAACATGCCCTCCTTGTCCTTGACGAAGTTCAGCGGCTCCGCGCCCAGCTTCCTCGCCTCCTCCAGGCGGCTCTCCACGCTGTCCACGGCGAAGAGGTGCTTCGGCTTGTACTCGAGCGCGGCAATGATGGCGCACAGGCCGACGGGCCCGCAGCCGACGACCACGACCGTGCCGTTGGCGATCTCGCTGGCAGAAAGCCGGCTGAAGGCATTCTTGGCGCCGAAGTAGCCCGTCGGGAAGATGTCCGCCATGAGCACGAGAGATTGGTCCTGGATCTCGGGGGGTGCCTTCACCACCGTGCCGTCGGCGTTGGGCACCCGCACGTACTCGGCCTGCGCTCCGTCTCTGTTTCACGTCGTCAGTCTGGGGAGCTCCTCTCAGACACACGCTCTTGGAAGGAGGGCAAAAAGCCGGGCTTACAGCTTTGGGCAGCCAAAGAGCAGGCTCTCTACGCAGCGGGAAGAGTAGCCATTCGCGCAATAGAAACATTTCCCACTGTGCCATCGCGCGAAGCGTCAGCCGGGGTTTCAAGTCTCATAAGTTCTTGCTTGAACTCGTCACTTGGCTGCGTGGGCGGGGCTTACCAGGTAGTTGTGAAAGGAGAGACGATCTTGTCCCCTTCCTTAACCGTCTTCACGTCTGAGCCAGCCTCGACTACTACCCCAGTGAACTCGTGGCCCATGATGAAGCCCGCGTCGGACTTGGCGTGCCCGCGGAAAGTATGGAGCTCACTTCGGGTATGTTAGCAACGGCAATGTCTGAAGCAAGCCTGAAGCCTGTTCATGATTGGAAAGGAGGAGGTGCGTACGAGCCACACAGCGCCGCTGCTTGGACCTTGACGATGATGTCCCCACCATGTTGCACTGAGGGAATCTAGTTAGTAAGCGTAGAAAGACACGAAGAAGAGGAGGAGAAATCCAAAGGCCCATCTCGAAAGCATGCAGTGTACCTCGACGAAGCCAACAGGGCGGCTCAGGTGTGGGACTAACGTTTAGGAACCGGCCGGTCCTGAACCGACACCTTATGCGGCCCGTCAAAGACGACGGCCTTCATGGTCTTCTGGGCCATTTCTGTACAGGGAGCGCGCTTCTTAGTAAGGGGGTTATCGGAGGGCTATCTGGTGGACAGTAACTGTTTGTGAATTGAGAACCTTGATGGGAGGGGGGCGGGCTGTACCGATCTTGACGAACACAACTTTTTGCCTTTTGAGATCAACCGAGCCTCGGGACGTCCTGCCCGCCTTGTGGTCGGTTTTTGCGGGGAAAGGGTGGGAACCAGGTCCCGGTAGCGCGGGCGTCCCATCATGCCGGTTCTCGGCGGCCTCGACGGGGTCTATCTACCTACTGATGGGCTGGATGTGTGGGGTACAGACAGAGTGTGTCTGTTGTATTACTTGAGACTATCTTCCCATAGGCCGCATAATGCGTCCCAGGAAACAAAGCCCCAACGATGGTCCTCGTTACTCGTTTACAGAAGCAATTTCAAGGTCTTGGATTTGGGTATTACGGGTTCCGGGCGTTGATCCACACGAGGACCGCAAGACGGAGGCGGTCTCAGAGCTTCCGTGGCTGACCAATGGTATTACACGGACCGTCCGAGGTCTAGTTCTCAAGAGCTCCCACCACCACGCGCTATGAGAATTTCCATCATTCTGGTCGAGGTACCGGCATGAACAAGCCTGGTAGCATTCGGGATGGGATTCGAAAATATATCTACAAAGATATAGAAGTATAGAAGTCGAAGGAACACGAAAGAATTAGATGCAACATGATGGCCAACCTCGTAATATCTATGTCTCACAGAAGGAACAGATCGTCTGCCAGTAGAATCTGTGATAGATCCAATGACCACATGCAGAAAGAAGAAGAGAAAAAAGAAAAAAACATAGCCGAAGCTATGGCATTATTCACGCTCGCCTTGGATACTTCCCAGTGACCTGTATCTCGGGAGTCTTGAAGATGTCCCAACCGTCGGTGACACTTGGGTCCCCAAAAGGCCGAAGGGTAGCAAAGCGCATCCTGTGTTTTCAAAGGCCACATTAGCATGCCATATATGTGAGCCGGTATCCCGCAGCAGATAGATACAGGTAGGACGAGCGGGGAGAGGGGTCGAAGCTAGACTCACGTGTAGTTCCCGAGCTCGATCTGGCTCCCGTTGCCCAGCTTGCCGAACCACCAGAACTGATGATACGAGTTCTGCGTCTGGGCGTTGCGGAACAAGTCCACCGCTGGATAGGTGAAGGTGTCGTCCGGGTCATACAGGTCCGGATCGAAGTAGCTTGCGCTTTCGGCGATGACGTGGCTCGTCGCCGGGCCGATGTAGCCGTTCTCGCCTGGCACCGGTGGATATTCCCATTGCTCCTCTGTCCAACCTGGCTCGTAGATCTGGGTTGGTCTTGTTAGCTAGGATGTCACGTTTGTACGAAAATGTGTTCTGTGGGCTACTTACGTCCCACCGGACCTCCTTGCTTCCCCAGATAAGCTTGGAATAAATTGTTGGGAAGTCTTGGCTCGATTTGCTCAGGTTGAAAGAGTAGACACTGTTTTGTTTGTTAGAAGGTGAGGACTCTAACTATTCACATGCTCGACTCACTAGTCTCTTTGATTGGTGAAGGGGTATGTAGGCCGGTAGATGGGGCTGATCTCAGCGTTCAAGTCCGCCGCAAGCCCTATAAATCATGATCAGCTCGGATCTAATCATCAATGTGCCGGCTGGCTTATGAAAAACCTACCCAGGTAAGGAACCGAGACTTGCTCCCCATTGTTGCCAGAGACGATGACCTTGCCGCTGTAGACGGGAAGGGCAGAGGAGTTCCAGCCCAGGCCATCCGGGTTGGGGAAGTTCACACTGCCAGAGTCAGCAAGCCATTGTTTAGACCTGGATTTGTTGGCGAATACTCACGTTACAGTCTTGCTTTCGCCTGGACCCAGCGTGAACTCGTCCGGCACAGCCACCTCGATCGGCAGGCTCGTAGGCTTCAACTCCGAGAAACTCTTGAGTCTCTTCTCACCCGCGTAAGGCTCAACAAACGAGTACCAGCCTAGGGTTTCCACCCCAGCGGCATCCTCAAAGGAGAACTTGTAGCTCACGTCCTTGCCTCCGGTGTTAGTGATGGTGAGGTCGTGGTCTCCGCTGAAGAATTTGGTGTCGTTGAGAGCGATCTTCTCAAAGGAGACATCCGTGGTATAATTTACGACCTTGAAGGCATTGACCAACCCATTGCCGACTTGGGCGACTGAAGCAGCAAACCCGTAGTCGGTGGCAGTCCCATCCGACCAAGGGAGCGAGGTCCCGCTCGCGATGATGCGCTGGTGCAACGTCCTAGCGAAGCCCTTGCCTGTAGCGTATTGTCAACCCACGAACGAGGCATTTTCCTAGAAGACAAATTTCCAAGTAAACTCACCATGCACAGATCGGCCGCCGTGAACACTGATGTAAAGAGCTGCGACACCGGCAACATAAGGGGTTGCCATAGATGTACCAGAGAGCAGGGCATACGTGTTGTCAAGGTAAGTGCTGAAGATCTACGGCGAAATTAGTGAGACAATAATAGACTGGACATAGTTCACCTTACCTGACCGCCAGGGGCAGCAATATCGGGCTTGATCTGCAGGTCATTCGAGGCACCCCAGGAGGTGAACGTGTTGGGGCGACCACCAGCAGGGTATTCCAAGCCAACAACTTGCTCCGGGTTGAGGGAGAAGTCCGCAGTGACGTTGCCCCCAGCTTTTACAGTCTCAATGATAGCCTCACCGGCGTCTGCGGTGATGAGTCCAATGAGGCCAACATCGTCATCAGTACCGGGCGTGATCAGAGGACTCTCGTTGTTGTAAAATAGAATGTACTCGGCACCGAGGGCAACCAGGTTCTGCTGCTTGATAGCGAACGTGCAGGTGCCTCTCCTGACCAAGGGGATCACGCCTTCCAGTCTTCGCGTGCCGTTGGGGTAGGGCTGGCAGCCATCGGCAGGGTCGGTGGTGTTGAAGTTCAGGGGTACCACCGGCCAGTCCGTGACGTTGGATGAGAAGTAGAAAGTCGATGGTAGATATCCAGCCTGTGAAGCATTAGAATGCCCTTCCTTTATCGATCCGTGGTAACGGGAAGAGAGACGTACCTTGATAAACTCAGTTTGGCCATCAAGAGTCGAGGTGAGCTCAAAGGGCGACGCCGGATAAGTCTCGGTCTCGACTGAAGCGACGGCAAGCACGTTCGTGCCAGCGGACCCGGTGCTCCCAAAGAAGGCCCCAGCAGCACCCGAGTTGCCGTTTGCAATAGTGACGACAACTCCCTCGTCGACGAGGCGAGAAGAGACCTCAGCCCAGGCGCCCGTAGACCAGCCTCCTGGGCTACCGATGCTAGCAGTGATGATGTCGACCTATTTGGTGTTTGAGTGACACAGCTTCAGGATCTTGGACGAGAAGGGGTCACATACACCATCAGTATATGCTCTGAGGAAAGCCTCAATGAGTGTGGCCTCATCCGTTCCGTCCTATTCCATATTAGCAAGCCGGCATATAGCAACATTGGTTGACTACAAGACTCACGACTTGAGAAAAGACCTTGTATGAATAAAGTTCCGCCTCAGGCGCCACTCCGGTCCAGCTGTGGAATGCCAAAAGTCAGCGCGATGACTGGCTCAGAGGGATCACTGCCGGATTAATCTTACAAGTCATTTTTGCCAGCGATTATTCCAGCAACGTGAGTGCCTTCAACACTGTCAGCCTTCTTGTACTTGTCTTTGGCATTTTGGGGATTCTTGCCGTGTCCAAGTTGATCCTCTGGGTCGTCATCAGGTACTTTGTCCCCGACCACGGTCGGCCACACTATGACATTGTCAATCCCATCCTTCACATTTTCGTGTGCTGAAATTCAACTTACGCCCGTTGCCAACCAGGTCATAGCCACCGGCAACCTTAAAGCCAGGCCCAAAGCCTCCGCCCAGCTACCAAAGGTCAGGATCACCACGCTTCTTCTCGTTCAAGAGGGATCTCATACCGCGGGATGCTTATACCACGTGCCAGAGTCCACGACTCCCACCTTGACCCCCTGACCAAAGATGCCCCTGTCGTGAAGCTTGCTGACGCCCGTGGCATTATGCGTCGTATAATTGCCAGCGGCCGCGGCGTCCCCGATAGACGAGAGACCCTCGACGGGCGAGAGGGCCACGCGCTTGTTGGGCCAGGCGCGAACGACACCGGCGAGGCTCAGCAGGCTGTCGATGCTGTGGTTGTCGGTCTCGATGCTCGCGCCCGAGAATACGTCCGTCTCAAAGTCTCTAACGACCTTGATATCGGCAGCCAGCGCGACATCGCGGCGGGCCTTGGCCGAGCCCTGGGAACAGCCATGAGTATTGCTGGAGGTTCTCGGATGAGTGAGCGCGGGGTGGAAAGACTCACCGCAGCGTACTCGATAATGTAGCTCCGGGGGACGGCGGAAGTCACGTTAGTCTCTTCGGGGGCCTGGTGAGCAGCAAAAGGCTGGGCGCTCCCCGGGGAGGGAAGCGCACAGAGGAGGAGACCGGCGATGCTGAGCAGGTGCATCTTGGGGGACAAGCGAACAAGACGTCCAAGACCCCGCGTCGCGTGTGAAGCTACGGCGATGTCCACGAGAATGCGCGCCGGCGGGCTGTCATTTTAAAGTATTCCGGCTATTTCTCCCATGTGCCTCACAGCTACGGCGGTGGATCCTCTTCTGCGAGACCCCGGGTTGCGACTCTCCAATGCAGCGTTGCATTGCGGATACGGGCGTGGCCAAGAGATTCCATGGGCGGTCTCGCAATTGCTCCCCCTTTGAGCTTCCTTCTTGGGAAGACTGACCCGCTGCCCTCGCGCGGGGACTGGACGATGCAGAGGAATGGTCAATGAGGCCAGTCTCCTCTACAAACTTTAGGGGACCGGTCTTTCGGCACGCAACAGCACGAGGAAACGGCTCTTCATGGTTTCTCGTATCCCAATCCGTCCTCTTCCAGAAATGCGCATGTGACTTCCGTTGAATGTCCATCAACCCGCGTCGAAGCCCATTCTGCACTGCATATACGACGACCAGTGTTTCCGTGAAGAGCTGCCATATACAGTGTACAGGGTGACCTGGGAAAGATTATCCATGCCGATACAACCCCCCCAGGCAATGTGACGCTATTCTAACCAATCACAACTTTTAATTTATCCTTTTTCAATTAAACTTACACCGTTGCAGCGAGTTCAGGATGTAATGTTACAAAAAAGCTACTTTTTTTTTTACACTTAATTTTGTCTTAAAAAGCTGGTATTGTTATTGTGATACGCACAGACAAGACGGGAGAGTCAAGAGACCCTTTCCCAACGCCGCAGAGGTCACGAATTAGGCTTCTTTTTCAGGAAACCCTGTAATTACCTAGGTGTCTGTGTTGCGTGATTCCGCGGCTATCTTCATCGGCCGGATACTTGTTAGGTGACATTGCCGAGACTATGCCCCTGGCAGATTGCAGCATGCTCGATAACGTCGTATTGCGCAACAGAGTTCCTCGTATTCCCCCAATGGCGACCATCTTCCTGATAAAGGCGTAATATGGGCTACACTTACATATGCATTTGCGGAAATAAGCAGGCTGCTTTTGAAAGTACTACATTGCCTGGCTTATACCGCTCTTCTTCCCACCAGCTGCATGAATATAACGAATCAAGGCAGGTATATAGACTCTCTGTACGAAAATAAACCATTGTTCATCAAATGAGCGGATGATTTATAGGCTAAAATGAAGCATCCACGAGCCTTGATGTGCTCACCCAGCTGTTGTGGTTGGCCCAGATGATAAATTCGTACCGTAGAGTAGGACCAGCAGTAGCCTCAGTGAATTTAGTTGCTGTTAGTGTGCAGCATTCCTGAAAAGATCGTGCGCGCCTTGGGGAGTTATTCTGTTGTCTATCGGTGATGGGACCCTGTTAACTTATGGAGACTAAGTAAACTTGAGATGTCATGTCGCACGACCCTGCTCGAATCCGACTTCGCTGGTTTCTTAGATGACTGCTACAAGGGTGCGAGGAGTCCGGCCTCTATTGGATCGAAGACCACACAGAGATGTATCGTGTACAGAGAGCGGGTGCTATGTCGCTGGCTTTCACCAATGCTCGTCATTCTGAATTTGAGAAGCCACGTCTTTGTAGCTTGAAGGAATCCGCGCCAACGCGTTTTCTGGAGCGGCAGCCTCTTGAGAAGAGGCGAGTCCGACTTGATTCTTCTGAGCTTGACAAATTTCTCGATGAATTCATCTCTGGGTCTCTTTCTTGCAGTTTGTACACATTCCGCAGGCCATAGTCCAACGTAGCAGAGTAATTGTCAACAAGTACCCCGGCTGGACAAACATGGACACACTTCCCACCAAGGTGAGGCACCGTGATCTGTAGCAGAGAGTGCAAACACAGCAGTGCAGCTAGTTCAGCTGATGCCTGCATCAGAGTGATAGTGCTGAATCTCGAAACTGGTAACCTACCTTGCGTGGGTATTTGCCACCTTTCATGTTCGGTAGCGACCGGCGGGCATGGGAAGTACAAATGCGGAAACTGGTGTACGTATATACGTGTGGCAGAGTAGAATTTGATATTTCCTCGGACCGCGCGCAGACGCAAGAGAAAGCCCATGATATCAACAATCGGAAATAAAGGAGTGCGCTTGCACGCACTGCTGATATTTTTCCAAGTCTAAGAGGAGGTAACTAAGTTTTTGAGCCTGAGTTCAAGATCGGCCTCAACCACATTCTCAGCAGAAATGCTAATTATGTGAGATTCTATTTCGACCACTTCCTGGTACGGACAGACTCGGAGATCGGTCTTTCGAAAAAGTCCGCAGCCTATGGTAGAACTCTAGCACGAAGCATATACAAAGACATTTTCCAGCAATAAAGCCGTATGAAATTTTGTTAAATGTGTGGGGGCTCTCCGTAGTTGGGTGCAGCACTGGCAATGCCTTCGGACAACTTAAGGTTTGCGGTTGAAACATCTCCCGCCGAAGCGACGAAGCTATGGGGCAAATGCGTTTGCCCTGCTACGGTACATAGACTATGCCATGGAGTCAGTTCATCTGAAAAGCTTTTGCTCCACGATAAGGTTTTGTTTCGAAACAAGGCCCCTGAATGTGCTACGTCAGGACCCTCGTGTCGATCAATTTGAGCCGACTATGTGCAGGCCTCCTTTCACAATGATCTGCTACCACATTTGAAAAGGATAATAACACAAGTTATATCTCTCTTGAAAACAAACAGGAGCAACTGAAACCAAGTATTCTATCAGTTGGCAGCCTGAGGTTCTCTTCTCAGGGAGCAGTGACGAGTATGTAAGCATGGTTGCATGACTCTTTCTGTCATGGTCATGAAAATAGTTTTGGCCTTGCTCATTTCGGAGGGCTTGGCGGGGAGGCTCAGGGTCCGGCTGGCCCGTGAGAAGGAGACGCGTGCAGGAACGGCGACTGAGTCTATTCATGACAATTTATGTATAAAGTGCACCGAGATACTTTGTCCCCCACACCGACTCCTACTCGGTTTCGCATCTGCGAGTAGCCTTCTTCCCCCCACAGACTTGTCTGTTTCCACTCTTTACACATTTGCGGCAACTGAGTTGTCTTTTTCGCTCTTTACCCTTCGATCGCACATATATATCTTTTTCACATTTAGCTATGCGCTCCCTGATTACCCTGTCCGCCGTGCTAGCGGTGGCCAAGGCCCAGGCATACAACGTCTCCTCGCCCAACGCGACTGATGCGCTGACAGTCGATGTCGGATACGGCAAGTACCGGGGATTCGAAGACGGCGGGGCTCGCAAGTGGTACGGCGTCCGTTTTGCCGCTCCCCCTACTGGCAACAACCGTTTCCGGGACCCTCAAGACCCGGAGCCATTCGAAGGCGTCCAGGATGCCACCAAGTTCGGTGCCATCTGCCCTCCCCAGCAAGCGAGTGACTACACTGTGAGTGGGCAGTCTGACCGGTTCTTCGTGGACGAGGACTGCCTCTTCCTCAGTGTCACGGCCCCGGCCAGCACCACCGATCTCAAGCCGGTCCATGTGTTCATCCAGGGCGGTGGCTTCAGCTCCAATTCCAACTCAAACTACAACGCCAGCGATGTGGTCACGGACGCTGAGATTGTCTCTGTGCAATTCGTAAGCCACACCCACAGCCTGAAACCTAGCAGAACAATTGTCTCCCGATGTTTTCATGTGTCGTACTGACTCTCGAGCACAGAACTACCGTGTTGGTATGACCGGCTTCCTCTTCAGCGAGGAGGCTGTCACGGACGGCAGCCCCAACGCCGGAATCAAGGACATGATCAAGTGCCTGGAATGGATCCAGGAACACATCTCGAAGTTTGGCGGAGACCCGAGCCGCGTGATCATCGACGGTGTCAGCGCCGGAGGGAGTTCCGTTGCCCTGCTTCTGGCTGCCAACAAGGGGGCGCTGGGAGGAACCCTCCTCCACGGTGGGATCGTCGAGTCGGGAGGCTGGGTCACCATGCGCAAGGTCGAGCAGGGACAGAAGGAGTACGACTGCCTGACGGCACAGACCAGCTGTAACGGAACTGCTGATAGCCTGCAGTGCCTGCGCGAGGTACCGCTGGAGGACCTTTACAGCAGCACCTGCTGGTTCGGCCCCAATGTTGACGGCGACCTGTTCAACGACCGCCTCGTGGAGATGTACGAGGCCGGGGATGTTGCGGACGTCCCGAGCATCATGGGAGCCTGCGCCAACGAGGGCACGCTCTACAGCTTCGACAGCTCCGCCAACACGACTGAGGCGTTCGACAGCTACATGACTGGACAGGTTCCCACCCTGACCAACTCCTCACTCGCAATCCTCAACGACCTCTACGCATACCAGCCGGCACCCCACTTCCCAGACAAAGGGAACCTGTACCGCCAGGGAGCCAACGCCATAGCCGACCTTGGCACCCACTGCCCGTACGTATAGCCTTGCCCTATATCGCTTTCTCCTTCCTCTGAAGGCGTCCAAGACATACCTAACACATCCCAGAATCAAATTCCTGCAGAACGCCCTCGCAGCCAAGGGCACCCCAACCTACCACTACAAGTACGCCGTCCGGGACGCCGAGGACGAGGCCGCCGGCCTGGGCGCCTGGCACGTCGTGAACAACTACGCCTTCTACGGCGTCAACAGCACCGACATGGACGCCCCCGCCAGCTACGTCGACGGCAGCCGCGCCGCCGCCCTCAGGCAGGCCCGCGACTACTGGACCAGCTTCGTGCGCAACCTCGACCCCAACACGGACCGCGCGGCGGGGTCCCCGGAGTGGGCGGCGTGGTCGGGCCCCGGGGCGGACCAGCGCGAGAGGCTCGTCATCGCCACGGCCGCCAACGCCACCCGCGTCGAGCACATGACCGACGCCCAGAGCCTGCGCTGCGACGCCGCGCGGAACTTCACCCTCGGCCTCGGCGCGGGGTGGCCCGTCGACCTCAAGGACCCGGCCAGCGCCGTCAACCTCGACGCCGGGATCGCGCGTGAGGCGCTCGGGGCTGCGGACTGCGGCTTCGACGAGGGCTGCCGCGCGCCTGACTGCTCGATCGTTCCGCCCACGAGCGGGACCTTCCCCGAGCAGGTTCCTAACGCCGAGTTGGTCTGCCCCGCGACGTCAGGCCTGGCAGCGACCAAGTCTCGGCGCTCCAAGCGCGCGTTCGTTGCATAGGGTGTCCAGGATGCTCGTGGTGTTAGGAAGCTAGAAGAATTATAAAGAACGTGGGTGATTGATTCTGAAGGACATGTGTTTCAGAAGATCACCTCACTAGTTTGCGTCATACTATCGTCTGACCCAAATCCAGCTTTTGTAAATAATACATTTGGTCTTCAACATGGTGACTCGAGCCCATCCCAGGACCAGTCCGCACATGTATCGAGCGATACTGAGTTGTTGTTTCCACGAGAACCACGAGTAATATGTGAATTGATTGCGAAGGGCTTGAGGCACTGTGCCAATCCCATGGTTTCAGTATCTTCTCGTGAATCATCGAAACCAATGTTCCGTCCCCTCAGAAAGACGGATGATGAGCCTCCAGCGTACAGGGAGAGAACCTGGTGCACCGCTAAAAACAACCTCTGCACGAACACTTCGCAGTAGGCAGGCTGAAGGAGCTCATCGTACATGTATCGTGCGATGGGGAGCCAAGATCCAAATTTGTACACACAACTTTAGGCGGAGTCAGTCAAGGGGGTTCTTGGGGCTCGTATCCTGTTTCGCAACAAGAGTGGACCATAAGATTTCCCCGGTGTCGTCGGCGCTTGAGACACACCAACTTTGTGGCTTGTTTCCCCGTCTCTCCCCCTCGGACTGCCGGTAAACCCAATGAGAGGGCGGCATAGAGCATATGCAAATTAAGCAGTGACATTGAAGGCGAACACTGGTAGTTACCTGCTCCCACAGCGTTGATCGAGGCGACCGAGATGTTGCACATATACCCCCTGTATTACGCGGCTCTCTGCAAGCATTGTGAGCTTATTTTGGTACGCTCAATTCACACTGAGTCCTCGGAGATCCACAGGGCGATATATTGTGGAGGCAAGATGCATGGGCTGATCTATGACACACGTCTGTTCCTATGGAGCAGCCGCAAATTGAACCACAGTGGAGAGGGTGGCGAAGAAGGTGCGATGGAATTCGAGAACAGATATTATTTTGGGAATTGCCTGATTCATTGCTGGGCACAGTTCGTGTTGTCGGTGAACGCGGTCCGTATTTGACCATGATGATATGGCTCTCTGAACCCTTCCCTCCTCCTGCTTGCCTCTTCGTGGACGATGCACATGTAAGCTTCACTGGGAGCCGTACACTTGGGACTGCTCTAGATGCTGCGCAAGCAGTTCTGCTGGCCTCTGCATCGTATTTCCCCCTCCGTTGTCTCGCGGGAAATCCCACGCCTACGACGGGCCAATCCGCCGCCAGTTGGCCAACGACTGATTGGCGCCAGGTCTGAAGAACTGGGACATACAGCACCAGACGCTAGTTCTCAGACTTTGTTGTAGTGTAGAAGCATAATCTGCTTATCAGTGGCAGGTATTGGGTGCCTCGCACGAGGTTTGCTGACATTTCCGGTTCGGCCGGCGAATTTCGGCCGGCTGACAGAAGCCACGACGGCAGCAGTGACTGAGAGCCCAAGAAAATTCTTGACGCCACTGACCCCTCGAACAAAACAACCCGTCGCGGAGCTTGTGACTGACTTACTCAATGCGCAATAGACGGCCTCATGATCTGGCTACTGGAGGAGCTTCACTTGAAGGGCTTACTGGCTATCGACTCCTTTGGGGCGAGCAGAAAAGAGTACCACGATCCTCCCAATGCTTTATCAAAGGCATACTAATATTTCTGACTGCTCACTTCGCTTCCGTTCCACAGATACATCATTCGGACCACAGGTAGCTCCAGGCCGAACCTGCTGGCATCTGTGTGTGATGAGTCACTTGAAAGCCTTGGATGAGTAGCAGCCCGCCTAGCCATGTCCAGCCTCGACATGGATGAGACGGGGACCATCTTTTCGGTGAAGAATCCCCGGCATGGAATCCAAAGCGGCACAGCAGTCGACCGAAACATTTCCGGAGATGCTCGATGAGGAGGATCCAGGGCCGTGGCCATTAATAACAGGCCATCACCGCCACTGAGCGGCTGAAGGTCTTTCATGGTACCGCCTGCATGACTGTGGATGACGAGACCGCCCTAGGTCCGTTTTCTCCTCGACCTCTGGCCATCCTCGACGGGTAGGATCAAGTGCAGCGGCATTGGGCGCCTAGGTTTGCCCAGGTGCCAGAGAGCTGCATAGCACACCGCTGTGGTCCCCCGCGGAGCTAGCTGAGAACTCTCACCTGCTTGCATTGGCAACGGATGCAAGTCAGACGCTCACGTGGTGCAGGTCTCGTCCATCCCGCGGGCGACAAGTTGGCAGCAACTGCCTCGGGCGAATGACAAGCCATTCACGGCGATGATCTGTCAAGACGAAGGAAACCCCCCCCCCCCTTTCGCGCCTGTCCGTGGTGCCATAGCCACTTTAGCAACGAGAAGACCCAGGCTGGTGATCTCTGACCCCACCCAAAGGGTTGGCCGGCAAGGAAGTCGAAGATAGCGAGCTGTGGTCGGTTGCACAGCGTCAGCCGAGGTGGTGCCAAAATCGGCAGCTCACAAAATGAGATTGTCTTGTTTGGCAGTGCTAGCAGCGAGCTAGCCAGCCGCCATGCTCAGAGCCTCAATTTTCATAGGCGGGTGTGTGCATGCTAGTGCGTGTTCTTCTTCTGCAGCAGTCAGCACACTGGGGGCGATCGTCAAGGCGGGAAAGCCAGGAGGGATCCTCCACGACCCGTGCCGATTGACGTCAGCTCCTGATCGGCCTTTGATATTCGATAAGTCGACAGTCATCGAGGCCTGAGGTGGGCTCCGCGGGTTATTTTGTTTAAACCCGGGTCGCGAAGAAGTATAGGGCAGAGTGAAAACCTTGTCGGCCCATCGGCAAAATGGACCCAGCAGCGAGAAAGGTTGCGATTCATCAGTAGCGCTGCTGGCCGCGTGCGAAACCCAGCGTATTTCTGGTAGCAGTACCGCTGTATCCGGACGAGTTCGCGGGAATCTTGGGCGATTTGCTGGTTGGCTAAAATCTATTGGGCCGGGCCATTTTTGAGGCTGAGCGAGCGTGTGCGACGTTGGCGGCGCTATTCCCGTCACGACACTTGTGCGTGTTCGAGACATTTAGCAACGCCTGGTCGAGCTCAGCCACCATCTTATTTGAAAGCGTTCTCATCTCCGGGGACCCCATAGCTCCAAGGTCGGAAGGCATCCCGCTGTCGGGAGCGCGGGGGCTTCGACGGTAAGCACGTTACTGTGTGTAAGCGCTTTCACCATCTCCGGGACCTGTTCCTGTCTGGTACAGCACATGTACCAGGTAGACTACTTGGTAGACACCAACAAGCAGGCCTGTGGCACCAAGTGTCGGTCGTCGGTCGTTCAAGCTTTAGCCTCAACAGGCCAGGTCTTCTCCGCACTCGAGAGTTAGGCCACGCGACGTCTCATCAGTCCCACATGGAGTCATGCGATGAGCGGACGCACACGACGAAAAGCGACAAGCGTGCTCGGGACGGGCATCGAGAAGCTGGACGCAGATAGGCCGCCCGGGACGAGCATGATCTAACCAGGGGGCCAAGCAGGCCGGTGAGTGGGAGGTTCATTTTAGCAATTCCCTCATCGGGTCTCAGTGCTGCAGGCGTGATAATCCGTGGTGTTATAGTCGCCGAGAGCAGAGTGAGAGGGATTCAAAGGGGGGGGGGGTTGGCAGGGACGCGGCAACGGGGGAACGGGATGGTGGAATCAGGTGCCGTAGACTCCCAGGGTCCTTCCTCCCTCAATCTTCTCATTAGCAAATCTGGGCAAATTGGACCATGACAGTCGCGCATGATGGTCATCTCCCACTGTAATGGCTGCCATTGTGTGTGGAAGTCGAGTGAGGAGGAGACGCCGTGCGACTGGACTGGACTGGGGAAAGCGTGGGGAGAAGGTCGTGCAAGAGGTGGGGGCTAGGTCACCCTGTGTCCAATGGCAGGCGTGCCTTCCCCCACTTGGAGATGGTGGATGGAAGGCTCACCACGCAAACGGTCCAGACGGCCTGGGCGCCGTTACGTTTCAGCACGTTACTGTACCCACGCGTCGGCTGCAACCAACCGTTACCGGCGACGAGGTGAAATTTGAGTCTCGGGGCATATGGCACAAGTAAAACGCAGCTAGCCCTCGTACATCAACCAGCGCCAGTGGGAACGGTGAGTGAGATAGTATGCTGGGTCCGTCCTCGGTGTCCGCCGTGGCAAAGCGTAGAGCAAGTATATGGGATGGGATATCATTGGGGTGGATGAGACGGGACGGGATGGGACAACCGTGCATACTTCCAAGGTTGTCCTTGTGCAAAGGGTGAGCGGATTAGGTTTCCTTGGAGGCCGTCGAAGGATCGATCCCGTTGCGAATCGCCAGCGCAAGATTGGGCAATCTGGCGCCGTTCCCACGGCCATGAGCGACGAACGCCCCGATTCGACAGCGGGTGAGGGTTTGGATGTCCCGAAGACCCCGACCAAATCTCACCGACCGACACGAAACGAACCTGCCAGGCCTGCGAGGCCTGACTGGAGCCTTCAGTGTCACAGGACAGATGCAGCAAAAACGTAGGTACTAACTAAGCAGGCGTTGGGCATCCACGGGGCTGTGGTTGTCGCCGAATAAAGACTGGCTGCTGGTTGCTGGGAGCGTGCTGTCGCTGCCAGGCACGGGCTGCATGTATAGCAGATAGACATGTCTATCACGATGCCCAAGCCGTGCAGGACAGGAGCCCCTTCTCGTGAAGCATCATTCATGGTAGGTAGGTAAGCAGCATGCCTGGGCATGCGTGTGAGGGTGTGTGGCCTGCGCAGTAATGGAGGACACCCTCTCATCAAGCCTCAACCGTTGGCTCTGTCAGTATGCACCTGGCATGGTGGTGTCCGGTAGTGAGTCTACTGGGTTTTTTTTTTTTTTTTTTTTTTTTTTTTTAAATTGTTTATACGCAGACTTGATTCATCTGCATGTGCATCTGCCGCACCACGATGGCTCTCCAAAGGGTCTCGAGGCGGGCTCGAGTGGTGCAGGTGACGAAGGGAGCGGCCGTCGCGAGGACGGGTCGGCAAGCACATGAGCTGAACAGCACCACTGCAACGCTGTGCGGGCATTTCCAAGTCATGTCGTTGGCAGCTGGCAGGCGTGAGGTGGCCTGAGTGGTTGGCTCTTCATGCGGCTTAATGTGGTGACGGGGGTCTCCCCCGCCCCAGCTCGCTTGCGTAACGGGCTTCCCCGTCGTCGGGTACAGGTACAGTCAGACACCCAGACAGTCGAGGAACCGGTTGTGCCCCCCAGCGTCGTACTGGGAGAGGGAGGGGAGGGGGGAGGGGGGTTTGTAAAAATTGGGGGGAGGAGCAGGGTCCGAGATGTTCTGGCGATCGTTTTGTTTGACAGTCACGTCCGGCTTAAATTGGGACATTGAATTGTGGTCTGGGTACTCTACACAGCACTCTGTTATGTAGCTAGGAGCTAAATGCGGCATACAATGGCCCGCGTCGGGAAGGGAAGGCATGACAGGTTTGTTTCTCGTTTCCTCCGCCTAGCTCAGTTTCAAAGAGCACTGGCTGTTCGTCGGTGTGCTGCATGAAAGTACTAAAATAAGACTGGCTTACCAAGTGCGTTGATAATATACCCGACGAAAGGAAGGGAAGGCGGGAAATGCATAATACGCAGCTGTTATTCGACAATGAGGCTTAATTGGGGCTGAGGCGGGACACACAGACAGACAGACGTCAAGTGCTGCTGGGTGTTCCGAGAACTTCCTCCTGTTCCCCACCACACCCGGCGTGTTGAGCACGTTGAGCATGTTGTTTGTCGTCGCAATCCGTTTCTGCAATCCCGCTTGCATTAGAATTTTGGCCAACGACTCAGCAGGCCCCCGAGTCTTGCGAGTCTTGACGCCGCTGACAGGCCCTGCCGCCCACTTTTGATTTCCATCCACCCCTCCCGAGGCGCCCTGCACCCACAATGCCCTGGCCGCCCACATCTCAAGGTTTCTCCAGGGGGCGGAACGAACCTACAGTATGCCACAGCAGAGCACGCACAGCTCAGCCCGGCCCAACACAGCTTAAGTTGGGAGGGACGGTGCGACCTCCCCGAGCCCGAGGCCACACTGTATTCCTTCTATCTTTCTCCACCCCTTTGCGCTCGTGCCTGAATCATTCGGTCCCTTCCTGCCTGGCGTGTGTGTGCCCTATCCCAAGATTGTGCCTGTTTCTACACTGTACAAAGCCTGCCTGCCTGCCTGCCTGCTGCCTACCTGCCTGCTGCCTACCTGTGCGTGCGTGTTCGAGTGCGTGTGCGTTGTGTGTGTGTGTGTGTGTGCTGTGCTGAACTGTAGTCCACATTTATTACTCCGTACCGGAAGCGCGCCACTGAGCCCCAGGAGCAAGAGGAAGAATGACTGAATGAGTCGACAGGCAGGCAGGCAGAATGCACAGACGGACAGCTTCAGCCTGGCCCGTCCCATCATCAGCTGCGAAATGACCCGAGAATCAGCCCAAATCCGCTCCCTTCCAATCTCACCAGCTTTCATCCTCGACTTCCTTTTGCTCCATGACGTGACACATGGCATGCATCGACCACGGCCGACCATTTTTCCTTTGCCCGTTAGGAAATGGTACCAAGTAAACAGCACTGCAGTAGTGACGGCGAAGGCGCGTCGGCGTCGCGGGTGACGTGTGCCACTAGGGAACTTTGACTCTTGCGTTTTGCTTTTTTTATGAGTCCCCACGGCTTCTCAGCCTCAAAGTTTGGGCCTGCCCAGACAGCCAGACCGACTCGATTCTAGATTCGGTAGATTCGGCCCTCGCTGCTCATTGTGCAGCAGCTGCAGCAGCAGCAGCAGCAGCACAGCAGCGCTCTCTCTCTCGCACTCAGGCACCTCTCACTGCACCCGGAATACCACCGTACCCAAAAACTAAACTACGGTCCTCGCGCTTCCCTGACACCCCCCAATCTATACCTGACCGACACCACCTCACCCGCCCCCCCGTCCCACCTCCCTTGTCCCGTCCAATCTTATTGCTTGTCTTGTCTTGTCTTGTCGACCAGACCTGGCCTGCCTGACCCGGCTCGGCTGGGTGGCTAACACCAGACGCCAACGGCCAGCTCCCTGTCGCCTGCTCCGCCTTGTTTTCCCAGGTTACCTTAGCTGCCAGCTTTGACGACGATTGCGAGCCAGCCAAACCAACCTGCCAACTCCAGCCCGGGAACGGAGAAACGCACAAGGAAGAAGCAGCAGACTGCATTGCATTGGCGTTGCATTTGCTCTCTCCCGCGCCCGCCTCCAGGCGATCCACCTAGAGCCTCGCCTCGCCTCGCCTCGCCCTCCTGGCCTGCCTCCCTCCACCTCCCGGGCTTGCTGATCAACCGTCTCGATCCCAACCTCGTCAGTCTGCCATTCTGTCAGTCAGCCAGGCAGGCTCCCAGCCCCCAAGGCACGCAGTCAGGTCAGCGAGGCTCCGTCTATTCAACTTGCAATCTACCGCTTGACTGGGAGATATTGCGTCCCCACGCGATCCGTCATCCTAGCGTAGCGCAGTATAGCGCATCGCATCGCGTCGCATCACATCGCATCGCATCCATCACAGCATCCACCACATCACATCATATTCGGTCTGAAGCGCCGTCCGCAAGCACGGTTGGGTGGGCACGGGTTGGGTCCTGCTGGATCGGATTGGACTGTGACTAGTTCTCTCCCAACAGCGGCCCCACGACAGAACGGCGCTGGTGCCTTGGTCGGTCGCCAGTCGGTGTCGGTGTCAGTGTCAGTGTCAGTGGACAGCGCACAGTTAATTACCTGGTGGTACGCTGTCGGCTCGGGTCTGGGTCTGGGTCTGGTCTGGAGCAAGAGCAAGAGTCGCCCATCCCTCCCGACCCCAGGTCGTAACCCCCTCACCAGGGACCCGTGGACAAAGCACCCATCGCCTCCCTCTCTTCCTCCCCCCATCATCCTTGCCGCCCGGCGTGTTCCCCCGGTTTTTGCTCCCAGCAGTTTGTTTGCCCCGCTCAGCCTGTCGCTTTTGGGACTGGACTTGGGGGACCCGGTCACGCGCCAAGCATTTCCCCATATCATTAAGAGGCTCTGTTTCGCCGCATTCCTAGGCTTGGGGCTCTGCGGGCTACTTCGTTTACACCGTCCTGGACACCTCCACTCCCCAACCTTCTCGCCTTACCCTCACCCTCACGGGCTACCGCTGCCTGGGCCACAACACCCACCAACTCTCCCTTGGATGACCACGACCCCGGCGCAACAAAGGCGTATTCGCCCATTGTTCTAGCTTCCGTCTTGCCGATTTCGTACCAACAGGCGCAGAGGTGCCAAGGGAAACGAGAGTGGAGAGGTAGAGAAACACACACGCGCTCACACACATCTCCGCATATACAGCACACCAACCCACACGCACGAACAAAGGGGCACAAGAGCTAGGAAGGCAATACGCAAGAGTGGGCTTGGATACTGTGTGAGGGACTGGTCGTCTCCAAGGAAGGATTCTTGCTGGCGCCTACACAAGGACGACACCATCGGTGGAGCCCTGCGCCAACGGCCGTTCCATCAGCCCCGGCCTTATGACCCAGCCTCCTTCTCTCATGGCGAGTTGACCACACACGTACGCAAAGCTGCGAGCACATCTGAAGCAATGACTACAGCCGCTGCCCCGGCTTCTGCCCACGACGTATACGACCCCGATGCTGTGGTGCCTCAGAATAGCCCCTTGCTGGTCCCGAAAAAGGTAACTTTCCGACCGAGCATAAGTCCTCCACCAGACATTCCGCTGGTTCAAGTCAGTCCACCTCCCAGTCCTGGTAGCAGGAAAACTAAGCGACCAAAGGTACGTCCAAGTCAAGGCGATGCCGTTCTGATAGGAATCATGGACAATGGAAGGCATCCGGACATCGCTACCATGGCTGGTCAAGAGGCGTTGCCAAGCGATTCGGAGGAAGGCTTTAGCAGCCCCGAAACGGACAGCTCGATGGACGAGTCAGAGATCATGGCCGATTCCGAGGAGCTGGCAGCAAACGGGGTCGGCAAGCCACCTGCACGTGGCAGTGAAAAGGGTGGTGGCCAGCCAGGCTCTCCTTCCGACCTACAGTCGCTGGCTGGAGGTGCTCTGGCGGCTCTGGCCTTGGGCGACCACAAGTCCCCAAGCGAAGATGGGCGGACATCAACCACCGTCGGGGACACGGATACAGAGGCGTCGCGTCCTTCAGATTCATCACCTCCCCCCGCCATAACTCGACCCGAAACCGCCATCCGGAGAGATGAGAGGCCACAGCCTGTCATCCCAGCTCCGTACAGTCCTACCGACTACTACTCGCCTCGAACCGGGACCTTCACCTCGCCCACGGGCAGTCTCGCGGGCCCCGGCCCTGGCGAACTTCCGCCGATTCAAAATGCCTCGCCAAGGTCGGAGTCAAACGCTGGGATCGCGCTGCCGTCCATCAGAGACCATCTGGGGCCGGAGGCGCTGTCTCCCGCATCTTTTCAGCAATCTCCTCCCGCTATACCTGGCCCCGGTATGACTCGGTTGCCGTCCATAAGCCATGCTTCTCCGCCTATTTCACCGCACGAGCTCTATACCCGCGATCCTCGCTCGCCGCACTCTGTTCTGTTACCACCCAGTCCGTTCTATCCTTTCCCGCCGAGCGGTATGACGCACCGACCCAGCCTCGACTACAACAGCGGTAGCACGCCAAGCACCGACCACTCGGCTTCTACGCCTGCGACCTCGACTCACTCGGTCGCGGATAGAATGAGCCTGGACGGCATGGCTTTCTCAAATCCTCAAGATGTTGGCCAGTATGTCTGTAAATTTGAGGGTTGCAGAGCCCCTCCTTTCCAGACTCAGTACCTTCTGAACTCTCACGCCAATGTTCACTCCCAATCCCGACCGCATTATTGTCCGGTGAAGGGGTGTCCTCGATCGGAAGGCGGCAAGGGTTTCAAGCGGAAGAACGAAATGATCCGTCATGGACTAGTCCATGAGTCTCCTGGATATGTCTGTCCGTTTTGCCCAGATCGGGAACACAAATATCCCAGACCGGACAACTTGCAGAGGTTTGTGGTCAATCCAGAATGCATTCAGACTTGACTGGTTTTGCTCACAAATTGTAGACACGTTCGAGTTCACCATGTGGACAAAGACAAAGACGACCCGGAACTACGCGATGTTCTGTCACAGAGACCAGACGGCCCAAGCCGTGGTCGAAGGCGACGAGGCGGACCGATTTGATCAACATCGAAGAAGAAAGTCGTCCTATTCATAAACCCTTCAACTTTCAATTCATACTTCTCCTGTACATATTCGACATTTTGACGATACCCCTCCCCAACGCGGCTTCGTAAAACGATAGCCTGACAACATCCACTTCTCGCTCGCTGTACATACTTTTTCGGCTTCACTTTTTCCCTTTGTCTTCATGATGTTTCGACAAGAAACGACAGCGCAACCCCGGGGGTAGTCTTCAAATCAGGCCGTGCCACTTCAATTGCTGTTGGGCAGCTTCTGGCGTTGGCTGTTTTGGAAGAGTCGGCTCAGAAAATGGGATGGACGGTCAATTCTTTTCGCAGGCGGAGCTTCAATGCCCGCGTGGTACCTGGAGGCTACGGTACAGCTTGAGCGGGCAGGAAATTGGAACTATGTTCCCCCAGGCGACTTTTGGGTTTCGAAGTGACGGGATTAGGGTGGGTTACCAGAGCTCCTCTCGGCGGAGATGGATTGCAATGTGTACAGCAGATGACATTAAGCTAGCTGAATGCCTTGACCGCTTTACCTTGCAAACACATGGTTCAACATGATACTATGGTTCGTGACGCTGGCTAGAAATAGACTGCTGAAGTGTATACATGCACGAGCAGAATTAACATACCTCACAGAAATTATGTGCATTACCGGCAGATTACCATCACAATCCGTGTTAGAAAATAACATGAATCAAGTGAATTGCGCTAGGTAAAGGCAGGGTGGATACACTGGTCTATAAGTGTACTGTGGATGAGCGCGTCGAGGATGCTGCAACAAAACCATCTGTCGGCAGTACGGCATAATATAAGACACAGTCCCCCAAGAGAAGGAAAAAAAAAAAGGAAAAAAAGGAAAGCAGACTCCCATCCATGCCAGTTTATGTAAATAACAACGCAAACAGAAAAGACAACCAGGCGCAATCGACCCGCAGGTCGGGAAGCCAAAGCAGCCGACCGGCCAAGCAAGTTTCAATCGTCCACGCTCTCCCAGGGCCCGACGCCGATCCTCCCGTCGCTGAGCACGTCGACCTGGATGCCCTGGCCCTCGCGGTGCACGCCCATCTGCTCGACGACGAGCCACAGCCCCCCGGCGCGCCGCGCGGCGTCCGGGTCGAGGTCGACGTCGCCCGTGCGAAGGCCCATGCTCGCGTCCGCGAACTCGCCGTCCGCCGTGACGGCCGCGGCGCGCGCGTGCGGGCCGGACCCGTACTCGAAGGACACGCGCACCGAGCACGGGATGCTGATCGGGCTCGCGGTGCCGGAGGACGCGGGCGGGGGTGCCTGGTGGTGGTGGTGATCCTGATGTGATGCTGATGCTGTGGCTGCTGCGTTGGCGCTGCTGCTCGTGATGCCCAGGGCGGCCACCGAGCCGCTGAGGGAGAATGGAAGCCCGCCGAGGGAGGAGGAGGAGGAGGCCGAGGGCCCGCCGTCGAGGGTCCCCGAGCGCGCGACGACGCTGGCGCGCGCAGGCGGGTGATGGTGACGGGGGCGCGCTGGCGCTCGCTCTCGCCCTCGCGGAAGACGACGGGGTCGAGCTCGGAGCGCAGCCGGCCCGCGGCGTCGGAGAGCACGGGACGCAGCTGGACGGGGACGTCGGAGCCGACGCGCAGGGCGAAGCAGGCCAGCTGGCCCGGCTCGAAGGTCGAGGCGACGACGGTGTAGGTCCCCGCGTCGATGGTCTGCGGGCGGCGGATCTCGGCGAGCGCGCAGCCCCGGCGGTACTCGCCCGAGGAGCAGACGATGTCGCGCACCGTCAGGGCGGTCACGCGGCGCCCTCCCTGAGACCACACCAGGTCCACGTGCACGGGGACGTCGTCTGCATCCGTGGCCAGGTGCAGCGAGATGGGCGTGGGGTGCGGCACCACGAGGGCGAACTGGGGGTTGTGGAAGAAGGAGACGGTGCGGGCGTTGCCGCCCGCCGTGCGCCGCGTCCACGCCGACTCGAGCTCGGTGTAGTGCTTCAGGGGCGGCGTGGCCGGGCTGATGGTGAGGGGCGAGCGGCTGAAGAAGGACAGGGTGGACGGGTACTTTGGCAGCGGCAGGCCCTCCTGCGCCACGACGACGGTGTAGGCGGTGCCGGCCTGGGCCTCGAAGCGCAGGAGGGTCTGCGGGCTGTCGACGAAGGGGGACTGCTGCGCCGGCCTGTCCGGGAGCTGGACGCAGTGGCCGTCGGCGTTGTCGAAGAGGTAGATGGACATGAAGCCGAGGCTGTAGGACGCGGCGTTGGGCTGCCTCGTGTGCCGGCTGCGCGCGATGGGCAGCTCGCCGTCCTGGAAGTGCCGCGACAGCAGGATCCAGACGGCGCCCGACGTCGGGGACGTGAACGAGTACTGCGGGTTGTGCGCGAACGAGCGCTGCATGGCCCGGCTAGGGAGCGTCCACGTGAAGTGGTGGTCCTGGCGGTCGGTGAACAGGCTTGGGTTCCAATTCAGGTAGAGCGACTCGAAGTTCTGGACGACGTCCTCGATGGAGATCCAGAAGGTCCCCGTCAGCTCGGCATATGGCGACGGGGCTGTGACGTCCGAGTTGGAGCGCTGGGCTGGGCGCGACAAAGTCGGTGATGGCGGTGGGTATACCTCCGCGTCGACTGTGGTGGTGGAGCCGAAGCCTTTCCACACGAGCCCGTCGCACCAAGGGTTCTTCAGGAGCATCCGGCGCTCGCCCGTGGCCTGGACTTTGAGGTCCATGACGGCGTAGTCGTGCTCGCCCGCCAGCCCGAGCGTCTCTTCCTCCTGGCGGGAGAGACGCCCTGTGCCCAGAGTGACCACCACGTCGCCGTACTCGAATGCGTTCTTGATGCGCTTCCAAGTCTGATCGAGCTCAATGTCGTCGCTGTTTAGACCCGCATCAGCACTTTGCATCTAGTGATTCCTGAGTACAATGGATATTACCTCTGTAAAAAGATCTGTTCTGGTATCCATCCGGTGAGTACCCAAAGATCTGTGCCAGAATTACTGCCCGGGAAATCATAACCACCGCGTATCTTCAAGTAAGCCTTCTCCATAAGAGCAGGCCACACAAGCTCTGGATTCCTCCGGTCTACGACGAAGAATGTCCGAGACGTCTTGGAGGTGGGCAGGCGATCGTCAACGACCACCTGGCGGAAACAGCCGTTGAAGTTGAGGCGGAACATGTATTTTCCATTTTGCGAAGCTATAGGCCGGCCCTTGGAGTAGTCGAAGGGGTACAGTAACGTTGGTAGCAGCTTGCACGTTGTTAGAGGAGAACAGTGAGGAATCACTGGGCAGAAGGTTTCTGGACGGGCTTACCGAGTCCTTCTTATTGGGATTTAAATGGCGCATCACCGCACATAGACTGGCCACCACAGAGCAGTCTGTCGTGATGTCCTGCACGAGGTCGCTGTTCGTCTTGGCAACCATGATGTTCTCGAACAACTCCGGGCCCGAGTCGTTGAAGATCTCGGCGGGACGCTTCCAGCCGTCAAAGATCTCATTTTGCTTCTTGGAGAAGGAGAACTCTGAGGGGTCACTTTGCCGAATATCATTATTAGACAATCCAGATATCTCCATGAGAGAACAGGAGGTGAGGGTTGGGGTGTGAGCGCAAACTCACGTGAAAAGCGGCTCGTCCAGCTTCTTGCTCCGGAAGACGGCCGGGTCAGGGTCGGCCTCCCAGGGCGGGAAGACGCTGCCATGCAGCTTGGAGGACCGCCACAAGATGGTCTTCTCAGCCGTCGGGAGCTCGCGACTCTGGCGAGGACCCCTGGGCTTCGGGGCCTTGGGCGGCGCGGCAGTGGGGCCCGACGTCTTGAGGGTCTCGGCCTGCGCAATAAGGTCGCGGCACCTGGCCTTGAGGCGGGACTTCTCAGCAGCCGTGGGGGCCTCCTTGACGGCCTTCATGTACAGCTCGGCCGCCTGGATGGCATTCTTGAAGGCCTCCTGGCCAGAGGTCCGGCTGATCTTGGCCTCATATTCCTGCGTGCCGCGTGGGGTCAGCGACGGTGTGCTACTGCTGTACGAGAGGGGGTGACAAGGCAGCTCACTCTAGCCTGGGCCTCCATGGCGATGACACGGTTGAAAAGGCAGACAGCAAGGCGGTCGGTCCAAAGCGACTACTCATACATGCGGCACGGAGTAATTGAGCCTCCATTCATGGCCACGCTGGCCGGAGACTCGAGGTGGCAGGGTCAAGGAAACGCTTGGCAATGAGGGCTGGCGGGTGTGGTGACCTCACAGAACATCGCAGCATGCTCGATATCTCGGGGTTTCTTGTCCGGTGCAGGAAGCTGGTGCATTTGCGAGGCGCAGGACGGGTGGATCCCGCAGATGATGAGGCCTGGTCAAGCGAATCCAGACGAGAAGCAGCAGGGCCAAGGCTGCGGTTTCAAGAGGCGGACATGACGGTCAAATCGAGTCAGCCGAGAGACGCATGCGCATATCTCGACATCCAAGCGTGGTACTGGGTAGTGGCACCGGTAGTGCGAGAATGGACGGTGGACGGTGGACGTTTCAAGAGTCAAGCTTGCACAGCCGCAGGCCATAATCCCAAGTCGGTGGTCTAACCCAGCCGCGAACTGGTGGACCGGCCTGGTATATGGGAGAGAGAAAGAGAGATGCTACAACGGATGACAGCTTACCCCGGCCAGACTCCCCCAGTTCCAACATACGCAGGTAGTATTGACTTGGTATCGATGTTTGAGGGGTTGATAGAGTCTATTTCAGTACTGGTGAAATCGTGCCAAGTCCGATGCGTGCCTCAAGAAACAGATTCCTTCTATCTTTAGACGCTTTGAGATTCGTCAACCGTGCTTTGCCAAGTCTTGTCTGACGGGGGTTGAACCCTCTATTCCCCAGCTCGGAATTAATTCACAGAGGATCGCTGTACTGTGGAGGTCCGCTCGTTGTTTGCGACCTTGCAACTGAACAGCTCAGACCAGTTCCTGCGCTTTCAGCCTCAATTACCCGGTTCATATTAATCCGTAGCAGTGGTACATCCGGCAGAGATCGGATGGACACATAATGGTGCACGTACTTCGAGTAGCGGGTTGGAGCACACAACCGTTGGCCGACGTCACCTGGCACGCACAAACGGGGAGCGGCAGGCCGGCTCCACATGGGAACCAGCCCGACGACCGAGGTTCACGGTTATCACCGATCTGCCGTGCTGGGTCTCGATAACGCCTTCGTCTTTGACCACCACGTCGGCTCGTTTTTCTGTCATTCCACGCCAGTGCTTTGTATCTACATCCGTCGTATTACGATAATAACTTTTTACCGTGTCTTATATACACCAAATAAGTTTTTCTTTCTTCATGGAATAGAACTCCACGCATTGTTTCTCTAAGCCCCACGACGGCCGCCGGTGTTCGGCGAGCTAGAGACCGCCGATTAAACGGTTTGTGCCTCGGTCTACCTAGGTGACCACCTCACCTTTCCCACGGCCTTCTCGCTTGAAACGAAGTCCAGTACTTGTGCAATACCAAACAAATCATGGCCATTCAGTCCAAATCTGCCCCAATTGGGCCGTGGGGCAAGGCGACAGCAGGCGCCACGGGCGCAGTGCTCGCCAATGCCCTGGTCTACCCGCTGGACATGTACGTTCCTCGATCTGTCCCCACATGACAGCATTCTATAAGTCTCGTCCTAACACGTTCTCGTTGCAGAGTCAAGACTAGGCTCCAAGTCCAAGAAGTGCGCAAGCCCGGCGACACTCCCGACCCGACCTCCATCACACCACACTACAACTCCACCTGGGATGCCCTCAGCAAGATGTTCGACGAGGAGGGCCTGGCCGGCCTGTACGCCGGCATGAGCGGCTCGCTCCTCGGCGTCGCCTCCACCAACTTCGCCTACTTCTACTGGTACAGCACCGTCAGGACGCTGTACTTCAAGGGCGCGAGCGTCACGGCCCCGCCGTCCACGGCGGTGGAGCTGGCGCTCGGTGCCGTCGCCGGCGCCCTGGCCCAGCTGTTCACCATCCCCGTCGCCGTGGTCACCACGCGGCAGCAGACACAGAGCAAGTCGGAGAGGAAGGGCATGCTGGAGACGGCCAGGGAGGTCATCGACGGCCCGGACGGCGTGACCGGCCTGTGGAGGGGCCTCAAGGCCAGTCTGGTGCTGGTGGTGAACCCGTCCATCACGTACGGGGCCTATGAGAGGTTAAAGCCGCTGCTGTTCCCTGGCGGCAAGCCCTTGAGCGCGTGGCAGGCCTTTGGTGAGTGCTGCCCCTCGAAAAGCTACTTGTCGACACGATGTTTGTGGTTATCGAATCTCTGTGCTAATCGACCACCGATCCACAGTTTTGGGGGCTCTGTCCAAAGCATTAGCAACCGTTGCCACGCAGCCACTCATCGTCGCCAAGGTCGGGTTGCAGTCCAAGCCCCCACCGTCGAGGAAGGGCAAGCCCTTCAAGAGTTTCGGCGAGGTGATGCAGTTCATTATCAAGAACGAGGGTCCCCTGGGACTGTTCAAGGGCATCGGTCCCCAGATACTGAAGGGGATCCTGGTGCAGGGCATTCTTATGATGACCAAAGAACGGTAAGTTTTACCCTCCAAGGCTGAAGCCCCAGAGACGATGTGTCACTGTGCTGACACTATTGTGATTTCTCAGAGTCGAGATCATGTTCATCCTCTTCATCCGCTACCTGCAGAAGCTGCGGTCACAGCAACTGGCAAAGGCTGCACAACTGGTTGCTGCGAGGAATGCCACGGTTCCGATTACAACAAAATAGATTCGCGAAAAAGATCTCTCTCTCTTTGGCATGAGCGTTATTGATTTCGGGGTGGTCTCTGGTCTCTTAACGCGGTCGGTGTTTAGTTGTCTGACACGGCTTTAGAAAGACACTTTCGTGGGTTTCGCAACACTGGAAGAAGGAACCGTCTCCTGGGGCCTGCATTCCGTTACAGTGCCGGTGGGTTTTGGAGTTGCAAGTTAGCATGGCACATCACATACTGGTGACAGGGCTAGAAGAGCAACGCAAGAATATGAATGGTTAAGTGAATAGCATCTGTTCTGAATTCTTTTAAACTCGCGCATATATTCAATTGTTCCACTGTCAGTTTGAGTGGTGTGAGATTCACAGGGGAAAGGGCGGGATGGCGAAGTCCGTCATAAGATTTCGGGCCCGTGCGTCTGACGCACCGAAACGGTCACTTTAACGGAAGACTCTGATTTTCACTGGGTGGCCACAGACACACACAAACTTCCAAAACTCTGCAACCCGCGCCGAAATTGACCCAACATCCATCAACACCATTGACCAACCGACGAACCCCCAGATCGCGGCAAATCAGTCACAATGGCCAGTATGTGGAACTGTTTGCCCCCGAACGATGCGATTCTCGCTCTTTAGATTACTGACGGCTTTTTGCAAACAGAGTCGAAGAACTCATCTCAGCACAACCAGAGCAAGAAGGCTCACCGTAACGGGTACGTTCGACCGCACCAGCGACGCACCTCAACCTCTCCCACGCCGCACCACATCACGACATGAGGACGACCGGAAGACACTCGGCATAAGGGTGTGCGGTGATTAGGAACTAGTCATACTGATGGAGCGTTTGCAAACAGTATCAAGAAGCCCAAGACCAACCGTTACCCCTCCTTGAAGGGTACCGACCCCAAGTTCCGACGAAACCACAGATATGCCCTGCACGGCACCATGCGGGCTCTGGTGAGCAGCCCCGGCCCTGACATCCGACCTGTCCACCCCCGGGCTCGGTGAGACGCCGATTGTGAAGCTGACAGCCATTACAGAAGGAGAAGGCGGAGGGCAAGCGTGAGACGGTTTAGGGGACGCAACACGAACCAAAGCGAAACCGAAAACTAGATTCGATGACGAGGGATTTGGCTTGCGACAGGGCATCATACCATCATCATGACGGTCGGGAACAAACTACAGGGGCGTCTCTTGTGCTTATATCACCCGGGCTCTGAGCATCACCGCTAGGGATGCCACCACGGCTGTGACTCCTCAAATTCGAAGGCATCAACGACACGTCCTGCGCACCCCGCCCAGGCCATTTTGTGCTCGCTCCCACGAGTGACATGCTCCTCCATCCAAGCCCTGGCCGCCGGCTTGACGAGCAATCTCTCAAGCATGCGGCCCTGGATGGAGATGATGGTAACTGACCATGAGATCGCTCATCGGAGCACCTCTCCCTACCCCCGATCAATGACAACCCCAAACGAAAGGCATTAGTGTGTACAGCATTGAACTTCATCTCCATGTTCAAAATGACTGAAGGATTAAACGTGCCAAGATTGATCTCTTGCCTGTCTATTACCAAAGGCCTGCGTATCTTCGCTGCTCAAGCGGCCTGGGCCCATGAAAGACCGGCTACATCTCCACGTCTAGATGACGAACCATTTCCCTGTCTGATTGATTCCAGACATCTGTTTGAGGACTCTCGGGCAGGAGGACCTGTTCCTCGCCGAACCAGCCCCAAGATGTCTCATTTGTGGTGTGGCGAGACATCAGCTCATAATCTTCGTCGAGGAAGCCCGCTTCAATTTCAGATAGCCGAAAACATTCACTGATTCTCGAGCTGGGCGTGTTCGTTCATCAAGCCGCAATAATTGTTCTGATATGATATTGTGATAGTCGAGCCTCATCTAGGGCTGCATGCAACGCGCGCACACACTAGTGTCTGAAACGTGGGCTTCGAACGACTATTCCTCACCTTATCTGCCAAGGACTAATCGGCATCGGATCCGAGGTGTGAACGCAAAGAAGGTTTCCCTCGAATCGTGCTCGGGATCTAGACCCATGGCCTCTACAGAAGATTCCGAGTTTTTTCTATTTGTTCACCCGGCTGCCCCGGGATACCTGGCTAACTCGTGGCCTCGTGGGGAGCATGACGAAAAAGAGTCAGGTACTGCCCACAAGGGGCGATCGTCTGCGGAATATATGTGCTATCTTTAGCAAAACCAGATGGGAGGGATAGGGAGCCTCGTGTGTGGGCGGGCGGCTCAAAAAGCCGTGGATCGAAGCGTGCAGCGGCCGTGGTACAGCAGGTCCAACCTAGCAGGCCTAGACTTAATCGTAGGGGATTTTGCGGGGCCAGGCCGCATAGCATGGGACCAACGGAGCTCGTGTGCCCTCTCTGATGGATCCCGAGTGAGATTTCAGGAGCTGAGCAGATTTCTCAACTCGCGCAAGCTCTGGGTACAAAAGAGAAAAACGGACGCTTCCTCGGCCGGGAATTACATCGGAGAGGGTCTGTCGGAATATCTGTGCCTGGTGGTCAGGCGATGGGGCCTCTGGAGGGCGAGGGGGATAGGGGAGCAGCCGACGGCTTAGACACATGTGGCCGTAGCCTGTCTGTCTCTATGCGAGTTGAGACTAGCGCCCACTGCCAAACTGCACAATGACTCGCAGTTGACTGGAAGAAGTGCAGCTGCCGAGACCTCTTGTGGAATGGATGGCGTTCCTGGATCAATCAATAAATCAATCCCCAGGTTCCTGAAGCGAAAGGCGTCCCAGTAAGCGTGCCTTCGGCCACGAGTGTGTGGGAGGGATTCTTGGGGGTTTCTAAGGTTAGCCAGGCGGCCCTGCCAGCCAGGTCTCACGTTGCCCACCCAGTCGGCGCTAGTGGGCCACTGTAGCACATCCGCCTGGGGCTAAGGTACCACGAGGTACCTGCTCACCCAATCCCCGTGGCCGTGTTCTTCACACAGCTCAGCACCTGGGACTGGATATGGGGAGCTGGTTTATTATAGTCGTTCGTTATTGTTATTATCATCATCATGAGTGCAATCAAGAACAGCATCATTATCACCCGTTCACCTCTTGCGCAATCAGCCACCGGCGCCAGCGAGTGAGGCCAGCGAACGAGACGAGAGAAGCCCTCTGAACCCCTCCGGCCAGCTGCTTTCCAGCTTCCTCCTGGGTATCTGTCCCTGGTATTGATTGACTTGGTCACGTCTGTGAGTTAGAACGTACCCAGGTAGGCTGATGGATCCCCTCCATTCCTCATTCCTACCCTCCGCCCGTCCTGTGCGGTGCACACAGACATCACACCCCCGCCGCCAGGGAGGCTGAAAGGCTTCTCCGGCATCCAGCTTCCCATTTGGGGGACCTTGCTGGTGGGGCGAAACTCTGCTCCAAACGTTTTCTGGTGCCATATCTCCTTTTCGTGCCCCTTGCTAACCGGTGCTGTCCCCGTCGGCGAGCTACCGTGTGATCTCGAATCGCAAATCTTACCTTGCCGTCGATCTCCCCCGAGTGGCCCCCAGCAGCCCAAATTCATCTCAACTTCTTGCTCCCCGCCCCTGCTTTCGTCCTTTCACCCAAAAACCTTAAGGCAGTTGCCAATATAAACTCCCCGGGCAAACTACCTGGTCTCTGGTGCAAGTGACCCAAAGTTGAGCTGCAGCGGTTCCGAGGTTTCTCTTGCACTCGGCCCATCTCAACCCTGCCCAGCCCTGTCGTCGTCGTCGCCGCATATCAGACCCACCTTGGCGCGGGATCCACTGCCACACGCCCCCAATCCATTTCCAGAAGGCTCGCCTCTAGGAGCAGCCCCATAGCACCATCCACGCCTGCCGATTCGCTGACACGGCAATCCTGCAGCCCTCCAAGTATTTCATACTAGACCACCAGAACCCCTTATTTTCCATGCCTGCTCGCCTCACCACTCCCCAACTGTGCTCGGTCGCCTTCTTTCGACTCGGCTTCACTCCTCTTTTTCGACATCTCCTTTGAGGTCAGCCGGTCACTGCAGGAGCCTACGAAAAGTGCGCATCTCTTTGTCTTCCCATTCGTGAGACCACTTTCCTCGGCCACAGCCTTTAATCCTGCAAACGACAAGAGACGAGAGCCTGAGCCTGAGCCGCAGCCCGAGCCGCAGCCCGAGCCTGCCTGAGAGCCTGAGCCGAAGCCCCACCCGCATCGTAATATCTATTCGAAAGGGAAGAGCACTCTCCCAAACCCCCATCCCCTTTTAGCATAGCCGCACGGTTTTGGGGAAAACTGTCAGGTCGAAAAATCTACGAAACGCTACATAGCTTGTCACGGGCCACTCGTCGCCCCCGACACCTCCTCCGTCCGATTCCTCGAACAGCCTTCCAGTCTTGTTTCAGGTCCCATGCGACACGGCCCTGTCCACTCGCAGACCGGCAGGCCAGGACTCACTTTTAATACAACCACGTACCCATCTTTCACTTTCCGGTCTCCGCTCCATCGAGCACCTGTCTCGGCTACCATCATCGACTCGACTTCGCCTTTGTTGATTGGTTAGCTCACAATGTCCAACATCATGAGCAACCGCAACAGCACCCCCGAGGCTGGCAACGCCTCCTCCCTGCGACCGCCTTCCTCGAGGGCCATCGGCGCCGGCCACCAGCTTCGTGCCTCTGCCGACATGGCCTCCCTCACCGGCACGCCCCAGTCCAAGCAGATCCGTCCCAGCTCCGATTTCTACGGCCAGCCGCAACACGGCCACGGCCAGGGCCAGGGCGAGCTCGACCCCCAGGACAAGCTCGCCCAGCAGTGGATCGCCGACATCGACCAGTATGAGACTACCTTGGAGGAGATGGCAGCCGCTACCCTGGACCAGGACTTTAAGGATGAACTGAGTGCTATTGAACAATGGTTTCGGGTTCTGAGCGAGGCCGAGCGGACTGCCGCTCTGTACGCCTTGCTGCAGCAGACAACCCAGGTGCAGATTCGCTTCTTCATCCAGGTCCTGCAGCAGATGGGCAAGGGGCACCCGATGTCGGGCGTTCTGTCGCCTGCCAACTTTGACAAAGGCAAGACCTCCACCGTATGGCCAGGTGTGACGTAGCTAACACCTGGAGAAGCAGACCCCCTATCGAGCCGCCTCAGTGACGCCATGGGCAAGCTGAGTGTCGATTCCGCCAGGAACTCTCTCGCCCGCGCGCCCTCCACGAACAAACGCCAGTCCGGCCTCGATTCAAGCACTATCAATGCGATGTTCCCTGATGCCGCCGCTGCTATTGCCACCGAGAAGGCCAAGTACACGCAATCTACGGGCACTGCCCCTCCCTCGAATCGAAACAGCACTGTCGACAACCGATCATCCCTCGTCGCACCTACAATCTCGGCGCCCGATGACTCCAACGGCCAGAGCCCATCTCCGTGGGGCCAGGACCAGAGACCCAAGTCATCCACTGGGCAGACGCCTATGGGGCAGTTCGTCCAGCCTCCTCCATCTGCCGGGCTTCGTTCTCCCCGGCCACCACAGATCTCAGGCAACCAGCAAATCAAGAGCCAGACAATCACCACCGGCGGCGATAAACAGGCTGGTGACCTTCCTCTGCTCTCGCCGTACGGCCCTAGTGGTGGAAACTGGGCCTCGATGGTGAACACCCCCATGGTTGCCAACTTTAACCCTCAGCAACAAGGCAACAACCAGGCGGATATGGTTGCCAACGCCACGGCGATGAAGCTTGCTGCGCTATCTACGGTTAACAATCGTTTTGCCCTCGACGACGTGCGCAAGTACCGCCGTGCTCGATCTAACGATGCGCCGGGCGCCCCGCTTTCGCCTCTGCCCCCTGGAATGGCCATGCCTGGCCAGTTGAATATTGTTATGAGCAATGAGCGCGGACAAGTCCTGACGCCCGAGCAGATGATGGCCATCCAGCAGCATCAGCAGCAGCTCGCGGGTGGTGGCGACAGGTCGCGACCCAACTCTCCCGGCATCGCGATGCAAGGCGGCTTCCAGCCGATGGGCAACTTCGCCTCCCCACAAGCCAACGGTTTCTTAAACCCGTACAGCAGTGCTTCACCCCTACTCAACAATGGCATGGGTTCGTTGAACCTTGGAGGGATGTCAATGGGAGGACACCACGAGGGGTATCTGTCAGACCATTCTGACATGAACCGGGGCCGCTCTCCGCGTGGTCGCAGGGGAACTAGCAAGCCCCCTGAGGACCCGACCGATCCGACCCTTTTGCAAGACATTCCAGCTTGGCTGCGCAGCCTCCGCCTGCACAAGTACACCGATAATCTCAAGGACTTGAAGTGGACCGAGCTGGTTGAGTTGGATGATGCACAGCTCGAGGCTCGTGGGGTTAACGCACTCGGTGCCAGAAGAAAGATGCTCAAGGTGTTTGAACAAGTCAAGGGTAAGTAGTGACGGACATCCTGCCTGGGCTCCGAGTGAAGACTAACAACCTGCACAGAAGCCAAGGTCACGGGCAAGCTCCCATAGAGAACTTACTTAATACCTGTCTCGACTGGTCGAAACGCTGCACTTGCATTTCATCACGACGTGAGTTGACCTCACTTTTGCGGACAGAGATACGTACATCATTTTCCTCCCCGCACAGAGGTCTCTAGGGATGGCAAAAGTCGGTGGCAGCATTCTTCATCAGTATGATTTCTGGCTCGGCCGACATCTGGATACGCAATCTGGTATAATCATGGGAGTTGTCCCGACAGATGAACCACAAACAATTTCAGGCACAAAGTAGTTTTGGGGAAGAAAGAATGCAGGGTGGATCACCCTCGAAATGAAGAGAAACGAGGATCTCGGGGAAGGACAGAAAACCAGGTAGCTCTTGCAGAAGAGCAGTTGGCGAGAAGGTGCCAGTACTTTCTCAGGAGTGGGAGACGATATGCCTTCGTAGTCTAGTTGGGAGAAACGGCAAGACAATACGATTTCTTGGAGCATGATCACAACTGAAAATGATTGTCCACAAGAGTCCAGGCGAAGCTCAGAAGGCATTTATCTGTGTAGGCGTGTAGTGACATGTTCAACATGAACAAGGAACAGCCAACTAGTCGATCAGTTGGTCAGGGCGGGATGGGGGAACCATGAGAAGCCATTCGCAGGAACTTGGTCGGAGACAGTTGCTATCAAGACTGACTGAGGGCATTTGCAGTTGAATTGGCTAGCTTTGAGATCATCAGAAAGTTGCGTGTGTATCCGGCAGGACGCAATTCTGTCGAAGGTGTGTTGCGTCGTACCGTATTAAACGCCATGCGTATATTTGAAACTGCAAATGTACCTAGGTATCTCGCAGCCAAACTAGCGCATGGAGGGTACGAAGTACTTTGAGAGTAGTGGGGCAACCTTCACTTGTACGTCCGTACATACAATAGTCTACTCACTCCCATTGCAAGCTCAACCTTCAAGAACTGTGACCAACTTTCTCACAAAGAGCGTCTCATCACATGGATTGAGAATACGTCGCACCAGAAGCATCAGTAAATTGGCCCAGGATGGAGGCAGACTTCCGAGATCTGCTGGTGCCGCCACCTGAGCCGCCTGAAATCTCGAACATCAACAATGTGCTCTCCATTCAGCCCCTGCCGCAAGCCTCTCTTGCTGCCGATGAGTATGTCTCAAATTATCGCCCACCTCACCTCAATTTTCCTGGCGTGCTTATTCGGCATCGCTAACACCTCGATAGCTATCTGGATGAGGGTGACGACATAGACGTGGTGGGCCACCAGGAACAAGACGAGGAGCTCGAGGTTTCGGACGCCGACTCCGACGACTTCCGCCTGAAAGCCGACATTGCCAAGCTCGATGCCGACGTCGCTGCCTTCAAGGCCTCCATGGCTGCCGAGTCATCGGATGAGGATGAGGATGTTCTGGACCCACGACTGGCTATGGGCTCAGGCCTGCCTCGTAAGCGGAAGGCCAAGCGGCCGAGGCTGGACATTGCGCCGGGATCCAAACGCCGTACGGCCGTCCTCAAAGGCAGCAACATTGCCGCCCCTTCTGCAGACATCATGGTACAGCTGTCCAAGGCATCCGATGCCTGGGGCCATGCGCGCTTCGAGGAGGCGCTGGAGATCACCCTGGAGATCATCCGGGTCAACGCGGAGACCTGGGACGCGTGGGTCATGCTGTCGTCCATCTACGAGGAGACAGGGCGGATGACCGAGGCAATCATGGCCAAGTGCTTCGCTGCGCATCTGCGGCCCAGGGACTTCGACGGGTGGATGAACTGTGCGTCCTACGCTCTCGACGACGTCACGCCGGGGCAGCGCGAGACCAACCTCGGCACCGCGCAGCTGTGTTACTCCGCCGCCATCAGGGCCAACCCCAAGAGCCTCAAGGCTCGCGTCGGCAAGGCGAACTGCGCGCTGGAGGCGGGGAACTCGAACGTCGCCGCCGCGGAGTACTCCAAGGTGCTGAAGAGGAGGCCGTACGACATGGTCCTGCTGCGAAACATGGCGGAGGCGGCGTTCGACGCGAGGAATGCCAAGAGATACGTCGAGCAGGCTAGGGGATACTACGAGAACTTGATCAAGTGGACTCGTTCTGGCGGGCAGCCCTTGAGGGGGAGTTTTGAGTGGTCGGATGTCATCATCTTTGTCGAGATGTGTGCGTTCCTGGAGAAGTACTCCGATGCCGCATTGGCTCTGCGGTCCCTGGCGCGGATGCTGATTGGCAGGGCGGCCGAGGAGTTCTGGGACAGGTATGAAGACGACCGGGAATGGGACCAGGAGGAGGACCGCCGTAAGGAGGTCGCTGAATACGATCCCAACAAATATCCACATGAAATGTATGGACCGGCGCTGCCACTGGACCTTCGAGCCAAGCTGTCCATTCTACGACTCAAGCTCCAGCAGGAAGAGGAGGCTACCCGGCACATGCAGTGGCTAAACCCTCAGGATGCAGACATCTACACCATCTTCATGGATACCCCTTTCGTCATCAAGGATCTGGCAAATGAGCTCTTTGAGGCTCGGAGGATCACAACCGCTCTGGAGTTTTACGACTTGTACCGGCGGTTGACAGGAGACCTCGATGCAGAAATACTTGTCCAACAAGGGAAATGCCACCTAGAAATGGAGGACCAGGCCACGGCGGAGGAGTGCTTTATCGCCGCGATTGAGATCGACGACGACAATATTGAAGCGCGGTACGAGCTCGCCCAGATGTATGAGACGAATCAGGAGCAAGAAGAGGCCTTCCTTCTCGTGAACGAGGCTCTGCAGCTCGAGCGCGACCAAAAGCGAGATGCTCGGAACAATGGTGAAGAGGACGGGGGCGAGCAGACAAAGACGAGACAAAAGAGAGTCCGACAGAAAGTCCTTCGCGACAGGGCCGCCAGGCCGAAGCGCGCGAGGCGTGTGTACATCCGCCGCATGGCGAACAAGGCGCAGCGGGAGAAGTACGAGGAGAGCGTCACCAATAACTTCAAGGAGAAATACCAGCGGGTGTTGGATCTGCGTGAGCAGGTGAAAAGCGGAAACAGGGACGCCGAGGACGAGTGGATGACGGCGGCTCAGGACTTGGTCGATGACTTCCGGTCTTTCAAAGAGTTCTACCCCTGGGACAAGTACCTCAACTTCATGGGGTATGGGTCATTCTTCCAGGAGAACAGAAGGAAGAGAGAGCAGCTGCAACAGCAACAGCAGGAGCAGGAAACGCAACAGCGGGAGGAGGCCGACGGTGACCAGGATGCGGCGGATACCGCTGAGCCGAACAATGAGCTCGAGGCTATGGCGGAGCGATTGCAGCAGAGTAAGTTCCGGGCATGTCCCCAGATCCCCTTGTGAGTCAAGCTGACTGGCAATGTCCAGACCTGGCGCCTGATGAAGGTGATGGCTCCTTGCAGCCCACCTTGAAGCGCAGTGAGCATCGCGGCATCCCCTTCGACGAGTGGCTCGACCTCTTCCTCGAGTACGCTATCAGCCTGGCCAGACACCAAAAGGCAAAGGAAGCCTACCTCGTCTGCCAGTCGGCTCGCGATTCCATCGTCTACAAGTCCAGCGACAACACCTTCCTCATCCACGTGGCATGGGCCGCGTGCGCGGTGTACGCGGCGGACGAGGAGACGTGCGTGGCGGTGGCGCGGTTCTTCATGCGCAACAACGTAGCTGCTACGGATAGCTACCGTGTGTTCAGCGCGCTGTGCCGCGTGTGCCAGTCGCCCGTGTCATGGTACGCGAGCGGGCCGGCGCAAAAGTACATCCTGCGGCAGATCAAGGCGATGGACCGGACGCTGCTCCCGCACGACATCGCCGAGTCGGCGATGGGGACGTGGGACCGGGCGATCCCGCGGGAGGAGGGCCAGGGCCCCCGCCACGAGGCGCTGGACGTGGCGCTGCTGATGCTGTACGGGCACATCCTGCTGACGAGCACGAGCTACACGTACGCGCTCAACTACTTCCTGCGGGCGGCGGCGCTGGACCCGGGCAACCCGATGGTCAACCTCAGCACGGGCATCGCGTACGTGCACTACGCCATGAAGCGCCAGGCCGAGAACAGGCAGTTCATCATCGCGCAGGGCATGCACTACATGTTCGAGTACTACGGCGCCCGGTCCGGCTCGGCCGACGTCGTCGAGCGCCTCGAGGCCCATTACAACGTCGCGCGGTGCTACCACCTGCTGGGCATCTACCACCTTGCCGTCGAGTTCTACGGCCGCGCCCTCACCGAGGCGAGGGAGCACCGGGAGAAGAACGGGGGCGGCGGGGACGGCAATGAGGGGATGATCAAGGACTTTGTGTACGAGTCTGCCGTCAACCTGAGGACGTACTCGCTCACGAATGGGGACTATGAGAGTGCCAGGGCGTTGACGGAAGGGTGGCTGGTTTTGTGAGAGAAAAGCTGGTGGGAGAGGGGTGTTCTTTCCGGGACGCGGGATCATAGAGGAATAGAGGCCTTGCAAAAGGACGTTTCAGGTGTATAATTCTTTTCCCAGAGGCTCAATTGGCCAAGACATACGGTCTTGTCAATTATGACTTACGTTCAAGGACTTGCGCATACTCTCCAATGCGAGGGAAGCTCAGGAATCTCAAAAGGGTATCGAGAAAATCCATCTAGGGAGGGGACCTCGGCCTGTGGATTCATGATTGTGAAATAGATCATTCTGCGAAATATTTCAGATTAGCCCACATTAAAGCTTTGCGGTGCAGCTGTACGCCTGGACCAGCCAGAAGACGTGTGTAGTGATTTAATGGTATGAGCGAAGGCGGACCTGGGTTACATGTAAGGCGGACCTGGGTTACATGTAAGACGGAGCAATGTTGTAGTGCAGATCTCCTGGAGCTGATCCCTGCCAACCACAAGGTATAAGTAATAGCTCAGCGAGTAGAATACAAGAGGCAACGGAGCTTGCCCCTGGGATGAGCTCCGTTCTACTCCATCATCGTCACCTTCCGAACTCCGACTCCGAGTTCTCTGTACCGTGTCGTCAGTTTCCCAACACGGGCACGCGTTATTGCCGCCTGGAGAAAATAACCAGAGCCAGTCATGGCTTGTTATCTGTGGTTTGGGCTGTTTCAGTAGATAACCAGCAACCAACCACGTCGCATCTCCGCTCTCCGGCTGCCGCTGGGGTCGCCACCAACACTTACACGCATCACGTCTCGAGCTTGGCAGCTCCTCCAGACATCAATTGCGGTCAATTGGAGGTCCCCCTGAGCCTTATTGGGACCAATTGGTCTACCAGCACTTAACATCATGGATATTCCAAGTGACCGGGGAGATATGGCGCCCAAGCAGCCCAAGACTGAACCTGAAGCTGGCTCCTCGCCTCCGCCCTACGAAGCATCCGCATATCCCAAGGCACAGCCAAGAAGACGGTTGCACCGGATCTTCTCCTTCCGCGCCGGTGTTGCTGTTCTAGCCTCTATATTCCTGTTATGCTTGAACATATTCCTGAGCCTTTCATCCCGCCCCGCCTTGTCCGCCCTGGATGAGAAGAGGTTCCAGGCCGGCTTAGCCTCGTGCGCTGCCGTCGCGAAGCTGCCGACCAGGTCCGACCCCAGGGACCGCAAGGAGAACCCGAGGTGGAATGCCGCCAGCGGGCAGAACCAGACCGTGGTCCTGCGCAACGCGACGCTCTTCGACGGCGCGGACATTAGCGAGGGCGCCGTGGACATCGTCTTCACCAAGGGGCTCATCACCTCCGTCACGCCCTCGCACGGGGCTGTCCCCGCGCCGGCCGGCGCCGAGGAGGTCCAGCTACACGGCGCGCACGTCACGCCCGGGCTCGTGGACATGCACTCGCACCATCTCGTCGAGGACTGGCCTGCCGTGAGCGACATTGCTGACGGCAACGAGATGCTCGGCGGGCTGGGCCCGCTGACGCCGTTCGTGCGGGCGCTGGACTCGATGAAGGCGTACGACGTGGCGACGAAGCTGGTCGCGAGCGGCGGCGTCACCTCGAGCCTGATCATCCCGGGAAGCGCCAACATAATGGGCGGTGAGGGTACTGTCGTCAAGAACGCCTGGCGGCCGGGCCCCAACGCCGAGTTCGTGGTCGAGGAGATGCTCCTGGAGCACGGCCTCCCCGCGGCGGGGAGGCGGAGGTACATGAAGATGGCGTGCGGCGAGAACCCCATCGGCGTCTACAAGCACACGCGCATGGGCAACGCGTGGGTGCTGAGGAAGTGGCTGGCCCGGGCGAGGGAGCTGGTCGACAGGCAGGACGGGTGGTGCGAGGCCGCGAGGGGCGCGGCCTCTGCGAGGGAGAGGGCCATCCTCCTGGCGGAGAAGGGGGGATACCCCGAGGAGCTGGAGCTCGACAGCACGGCGGGCATGCTCAGGGGCCTGGTGGCGATGCACAACCACTGCTACGAGCCTGAGGACTTTGAGACCATGCTCCGCATCTCGCACGAGTTTGGGTTCCGCGTTAGGGCGTTCCACCACGCCATCTCGGCCTGGCAGGTCCCGGAGATGCTCAAGGAATACGGCGAGTGAGTTGCGGTTTTTCCCTGCCTCCTCGACAGTCACCCTTTTCCGAAAGGACAATATCTATTCGTGCAGACACTGACCGAGACCCTCAGAAATCTCACAATCGCCACGTTCGCTGAGTTCGCCCTCTATAAAAAGGAGGCATACGCGGCAAGCCTCTCGGCGGGCAAGATCCTCAACGACCACGACATACCCGTCGCCTACAAATCCGACCACGCGATGGAGGACACGAGCTCCAAGTACCTGCTGCTCCAGTCGGCGGTCGGGCACAGCTTTGGGCTGCCGGCGGACAAGGCCCTACAGGCTGTCACCTCCGTACCCGCCGCCTCGCTGGAGATCGATGACCGGGTGGGGTATGTAAGAGCCGGCTACGACGCCGACATCGTGGTCTGGGACTCCCACCCGCTCTCCGTCGGCGCAACACCTAAACAGGTCTTCATCGACGGCGTTGCCACGCTGGACCCTGCCAAGGTCGCGGCGAGCTCGGCACATGTGGTTGTTGCTCAAGGGGTGGATGCACACATCGGGGCCGGAAAGCCCGCGATGCGCGCCACGATAGCCCACGAGGAGAGGAAGAGGCTGTGCTCCGGGTCCCGGGACCAGGGCAGGGGGTTTGTGATCAGCGGTATCACCAGATCTTTCCTGGACGAGTTCCCCGAGGTCCTCACGAGCGTCGTCGGCGGAGCACCCGCACAGGACAATCTCACCATGGTCATCGCTGACGGCGAGATCGCCTGCCTCGGCACCGGCGTGGACTGCCGTGCGGCAGCCACCAAGCTGCGAGGCAGCCACGACGACGAGCATGTCACCTCCATCAAGCTACAGAACGGCCACCTCAGCCGCGGGCTGATCGCGGTGACGTCCTCCCTGGGCATCGCTGAGATCGGCATGCTCCCGGTCACAGGGGACGGGCTCGTCAAGACGGCCGGGTCAGAGGGCGCCGCCGCCGGCGACGCTCCCACTATCGACCATGCAAAGTACGGCGTCAGCCTCGGCGGTGGGAAGGCCAGGTCCAAGACCTTCGCGAGGGCGCGGCTGGGCGGCGTCACGCGGGCGGTGCAGGCGCCCATAACGGAGGGTGGCCTGGTGGTGGGGGTATCGACTGGGATGCGGACGGGCGTGGACAGCACGCTTCTGAATGGGGGGTTGTTCCAGGAGGATGTAGCGATGCATGTTGCTCTGGGGGAGGACGCGAAGGTGAATGTTGGGGCTGTGAGTGTGGCTATTGAGAGGCTGAGGAGCCTGATCAGGGCGGGTGGTAAGAAGGGTTCGAAGGAGAGTGATGAGGGTGAGGAAGACCCGTGGGTGTTGGTTGCGAATGGGTCTCTGCCCTTGGTCGTCAAGGCTGACAGCAATGTGAGTCGCCCTGTCCTTGTGGAATCGGCTGAGGAAATGATGAGGCTAACTATCCATTCTCACGCAGCATGATATCCAGCAGGTAATTCTGCTAAAGAAGGACTACCCGAATGTCCACACGGTCATCCTGGGAGGCCACGAGGCGCCTCTGGTAAGTTACACAGCTTTTCTCGTCGACCCAGCTACCAATGGAAACCATTCTGTAACAATGGCCAGCTGACTCGGACTTTTCTATCGTCTAGCTCGCGGAGGAGATCGCCAAGGCGAAGATACCACTGATCTTCACGGCCACCAGGCCCGGGCCGGACATGTGGACCAAGAAGGACTCGCCTCCCGGCCCGCCACTGGGTCGAAGCCCGGCGGATATCCTCAGCGAGGCCGGGGTTTTCTATGCGGTGGCCATCAACACCGACGGCGGTAAGTCCTTTTCTTGTCTCTATTGCGTGCCACACCTCGATGACATATTGACATGGCTTACAAAAGGACCCCCAGGAGACGCCCGCATCCAGTCGCTGGCGCTGGAGGCCTCGTGGACCGCCAAGTACGCGGGTCTGTCCGACCACGAGGCGCTGCGGCTCGTGTCGAGCAACGTGGAGGAGATCCTGGGCCTGGGGAAGAGCGGGGGTGACGTGGTGGTGTGGGAGGGCAGCCCGCTGCAGTTCGGGACGCCGGTGCTGGCGTTCCAGGCGCAGAGGGGCGGGAGGCTGGAGGTGGGCAGTTGCTGGCCAAACGAGGCGGATGAGTGAGTCTGAGAGTTGAGGCTGGCAAAGGAAGTCTGGGTGTAGATCACTGCATGTACGAGTATTGGTGTTGGTGTGATGATCTATCTATAACACTGAAAGTATGCAGTCTATGTGGATTAGCAGCAACCGGAATTCGAATGCACGAATGACACTCCATTGAGGTGCGAAAAGAAGAGACTGGTCGGCGCTGAGCTCCCTAGTATATGCACAAGGCCACCGCCACGGCGCACGGAATGCAGGCGAGCACCAGAAGACCACACTCGGACACAGGCAGCTGTCATGGCGCGTTGCACGACCCCTTCCAGCTGGGTGTAATTGCCAGCGGGTGGCAGAGGGTAGCTGCATACGGACTCCCGGAGGCTTTTTTGCAGCTGGGACGGGGATTGGGCGAGATTCCCGAGGAGCTGGCCCTGTGCGAGTATGATCTGTCGTCTCTTGTCCTGAAGCTCGCACCCTGGTGTTGTCACGGCGTCGGGGAAGGAAAACCGACATCTTCTGCGTATCTGCAGTATGCAATGCAAACACCCACCATCCCGTAGGCCACCAGCCGGATCAAGGTTCACCTTTTTTTCCTTTTCCCCCGGCCATCACCGGCAACTTCTATATGCAGCAAGTACTATCGGCGCAAGCCGAGTGGGAGGGGAGAGCAGAATGCCTGAATGCGCAGACGAGCAGTCGGAATCCGTGCCGATCAGGAACAAGCAAATAGATAAGCATAAGCATTTGGGTGCACACGGAGTTTTCTTCCTTTCCACTCAACAAGTGCTCTGTCAGACCCCCTGAGCTGCACGTGCAAGGGGGAAAGGATCAGGTACGCGAAGGTTCTGGTTGGTCAACCAAAGTTTGGCTGATGATCCTACCCTCTCAGGGCGTTAGCAACTCTTTGAAACAGATTCCTTCCGAGGGTTCGGCTTGACTGTTGCAGCGGACTAGACGGGCGGTAAAGTTGAGGGCAGAGCGGCAGCCAGAGGTGGGTGACCAGGTGGTCGCTGCTGAGCCGCGCGCCTTGAGGACCAGCATCATGAGAGGCTCATGCATCCGTGTGTAGAATTTACGGCGCTGTCAGGGGTAGGGGACGAGATTGAAAGGGAGGAGAGAGGCGCCTGAAAACAAGCATTCCGTCCTGCAGTCTGAACCGTCATGGTGCATACAGTAGCCAGCCATGTCGAATGAAGCAGTGTGAGTAGAAGGGTGACAGATCAGGTCAACCCATCAGATGGAAAGCCGCAGTAAAATAAACAAAACATGATCCGCGCTGTCAAAAACGGGTGAGTTGCTCGGAGGTTTTAATTTGGGGCGTGTTTCACCAAACGAACAGATCGCCAGGCTGGCACTGCAACTTTGCAAGAGTTGGGACGAACCCCTCCAAGGATGCTCTTCCCACCCTGACACCCTTCCTTCTGGACAACGTGCGACGATTCTTGTTGTGCGGCGCAGCCCTCCTCCTAAAAAAAAGGAATTTTCCTTCGTGCTCAAGCTTTGTTGGTTGTCAATGCCCGCGTCCAGGCTTGATCCCGTTTTCATCTGCTGTTGAATGCCGAGATCACGGAGATGGCGTTCTGCGCAGTGGCTGAGCCTAATGTATTGCCAGGTCAGAGCTCTGCTTGGCCTGCCTCATAGACTGGGCCTTGTGTACAGCCCACAGGGATGATCCGGCCGGCACACAATTTCCTGCAATAATTTTTTTTCTTTTCTTTTTTTTCCCCGTTTTCTGAGTTACTTGAGATCTATGATGGCTGTGTTGGATAGAGTCCCACAGGAGTCCACTGAATTAAGTTGACCTCGGCCAGATCCACAGTGGGGGCGCTGGTGGTAAGCCACAGATCACAGAGCATCAAAGAATGGTCTGGACGTTGAGCCTCCTCGCGTGGTGTGCCCCTCTCTCACCTGCTCACGCGGACGCTTGTGGACTCCGATGGTGATTGGATGCCACATGCCCTTGTCTGCCCTCCTCTTCCTTCGGCACGGTGGGACAGGGAGGGAGGCATCTCGGACACCACACCATAGTGGACTTCTAGACAGGCCAGATTCTGGTGTCGTTCCTCGTGCCCAAGGCGTACCTGACCGGACTAGACGGCGAGACCTGATGGCCGCCTCATCAATGGCAAAGAACCCGGAGAGGGACTGGACTGGACATGGGCACGGCATCAACAACACTCATCAGCCCTTGAAACAACCGGCCTGCCTCTTGGAGCGCCTGTCAGCCAGCCACCGCCGGTTACTGTGTGTGTGTGTGTGTGTGTGTGTGTGTGTGTGTATAGGACCAGGACGAAGACTGGGTAGAACTTGTTCCTGACGACGCTGACGACAGATGCAACATGGGCACAAACAACGCTCATCTCACCGTTGAGCATGTGCCCCTCGATATACTATAACTGACAGTGTGCATGCTGCAGCAATCCTTCTGGCAAGATGATTCCGCCATTCATCCATATGACTGGTCTATCTATCAATCATCAACCCTCACTCCTCGACCGCTTCGAATTCCGGGCAAACCAGGGTGGACCCTTGCAACACCGAGGGGCCCATCTGCAGGGGCACCACCACCATCTCGGCTTGCATGGGCCTAACCACCTTGATTTGCAGCCGCCAACAGCAAGAATAAACATTTCTCCTCGTCTTGTTTTCTCCGCGGCTGCCACCTCTGCCAGCGCGAGCATGGTGGCCCGGGCCTCTTTTTTCTTCTTGTCGGAGCCCCCCTGCCGCATGCATCTGCGTCTAGGCGAGAGCCTTCGCTCTGCCGCCTCGCCCACCCTGGAATTCCTCAACACCAAGGCCCCGGCGGCTTGGGGCCCAGAATCCCCTCTATATGACCCTCTCGTTCCCCTTCTGGGCACATTTCCTGCTGCCCGGGCTGTTCCTGTCTCTCTCTCTCTCTTGCTCTGTTTCCCCAGCCCTATCCCGCCTTCCACCCCCCTCCACTTAGACTGGTTTGCCCTTGTGCCAGTCACTTGCTGGTTTTCTTCTTCTCCAGTCCACTCATTGACAATTCAAACCACTCTCATTTGCAAAGCTGCTGAGCACTTTCGTTCTTTGACAAGCCAGTCAACTTGCTCCCTCGACACTTGTGTCCGTCCCGTTCTTTCGAAAACCAGACGTTACTATCGTCAAACAACATCAACCCAAGTGGAAAGAAACTCTTATCCGTTGGGGAAATCTTGTCATTCATTCTGCTTGCCCTGGTTCAAGCATCACCAATTACAGAACTCCAGTGGAAACTACCTTCTCTCGGAACCATACAAACAACCATCCTTTAGACTACCGCCCAAGGAACGCTTACCTGCCAAGATATCGAAATGAGGTACTCAGCCGCTGTCTTGGCTGCGCTTGCAGTCACTGTGCAAGCAGCAAAGGACTCCAGGACCTTCGCCGTCCTGCGCTTCTATGGAGATGGACCACTGCTGGAGGACCTCGTCGATCCGATCGTGTCGCCTGGCAAGGCCTCCTCCCACATGCACACTCTTATGGGGGGTAGCAACATCGGCATTTCCGCCACCGGCGAGACCATGATGGAGTCCAACTGCAGCAACGCCCTCATCGTTGGAGACAACTCAGGATACTGGGTGCCCAAGTTGTATTTCCATGACAATGCTGCTGGTACCGTCGAGCCGGTCGACATGTTCTACATGAACGTCTACTACTTCTTCGAGCCCACCGACGACGACCTCAAGGCCTTCCCAGTCGGTCTGCAGATGGTCGCCGGAGATGCTTCCCTCCGATCGTGCCCGGACTTTGGCGGAGAGCTCCAACTCGACGGCTCCAGCACCATCCAGCCTGCGCAGTTCACCTGCCCACGTTCCGACTACAACGTCCCGGCCTGGCCCTCGGCCGCCGAATCCGACGGCTCCAAGGCCGGAATCCAGGACCCCAACAACCAGGGCGCCGGCCAGGGCTTCCCTTTTGCCGAGTGCGACGGCTATGCCTCTCCGCTGCGCCAGGACGTGCACATGCCGTCGTGCTACGACCCGTCCAAGGACCTGACCGACTACAAAAACAACATGGTCTTCCCCACCACCAACAAGGCGACAGGCAAGCAGAACTGTCCCGAGGGCTTCATTCACACACCCCACCTCTTCTACGAGATGTACTGGAACACGCCTCCCTTCAAGGATAGGTGGACGCCCGGCCAGGGATCTCAGCCTTTCGTCCTTGCCAATGGTGACCTCACGGGCTGCTCCTCCCACGCGGATTTCCTGGCAGCCTGGGAGCCTGATGTTCTGCAGCATGTCATTGACACCTGCAACGCTGGTGATGAGGGCATGGACAAGTGCGGGGGCGTCACTGTCAGGGACAGGAGCTCAACTTGCGATGCTGGCTCATCTCCAGCCCAGAAACTCGCTAGTACAGCTATGACTGCCCTCCCTGGCAACAACCCTCTGGCCGGTTGGGGAGTGGGCAGCTCGGCGAACGTGCCATCATCTGGATCTGGGTCTGGGTCGGGCTCGGGCTCCGGATCAGGCTCCGGCTCCTCTGGCGGTGGCGATAGCGCCGCCAGCAGTGTCAAGCAGCCCGCCAGCTCGTCCTCTTCTTCGTCAGCCCCCATCGTCCTCGCCACCGGCAACACCGAGAACGAGGAAGTCGCAGCCACCCCCAAGGAGAACAGCGCCCCAGCGGCACAGGTCACGCCCGCGCCCGAGCTCTCGCCGCCAGCCAACGCCGCAGCGGTAGCTCCTCAGAACCCGCCGGCCGTCTCGTCCTCAGTCGTGACGCTACCCAATGGTGACGTCCAAACTATCTGGGAGACGCTCTGGGTGACCGTCACTCAGACCGTGTACGAGGGGAGCAAGGAGACGGACGCCCCCTACGCGCGTGAGAAGAGGGACGTTGGACACGGGCACGGGCACGCCCATGCCCACGAGCACCTGCTCAGGCACCGCTCACCTCACGCGAGGCGGGTCAGGCGGTAGATTGCGGGAAGGGAACCTTCCATTCCCCGCATGGAAACGCATGAATATGCGCAAGACTTCACTTCTCATTGGGCATGTGCGCAAGCCGATGCCATTACGGTAGACGATTAGGGCGGACCCTTTCAGTTCTTGTACGCGCCGGGCGACTTAGGGCAAGATTAGCTAGGTATAACTGGCTGGGATAGAAACTGGAGTTTATGTATGACATGGCTGAGTGTGCAGGGTGGCTGGGTGAAGGAGAAAAGTGCACGGCGCTGGGATTGAGCATCTGGGACAGGTGTGGTATTTCATCTGACGACTTTATGATCGATGCTTGTATCCTTGTCTAAGTGGCATTTGCCAGTGTGTATACATCGACTTACAATACAAACAAACCGAACGCCCTTTTTTTGGCGGTGGTATCTCTTGTGCGCTACAGCGGGGCAGATTCCATCTGACACATTTTTGTGTGGCAGCCCTCTCCATTGTGGTCCAGCCCTCAGAATGTAGCAGGCATGAACTACAAGATTGTAGATCCTTTTTTCCCCTTCAGAATTGATCAAAACAAAGAGCAATACGCAAGGGTTTGCTCTACACTTCGGCAGAGGTGACCTGGCTACCCTGAAAGCTAGGGGTTGGACCCCTGTCATACTTGAAGTTTTTAGCGCGAGCCGTGGGGCGGAAGCTGCGTTTTCTCTCGGGCAGTGTCAATATCATCGTCAGATTTGCTACACCTCACACTTGCGGATCAGATACCACCAATGCTCATATCAAGGGCCCGGGCCCGCGAGGCATCCCTTACTGATTGTGACAGCCAGCCTTGATTTTGATCATGTCTCTCTACCATGAGGCTGCGTATGTCTTGCAGCAAGACTCCTCTTCAGGTGGGAATCTGCGGTCCCGAGTCTTCAATAAGAAAGACCTGAAGTCGCCGCCAAACCAGGTCTACGCTCTTGCTCTCGAGACATGCAAATGGTCTGCAGTCCTGGCCGAGGTCATTGATCACTCTCAGGTACTGAAACATGAGAAAAAGGCAAGCCCCTCTGCCTGTTTGGTCTGTGCACCCGCTGACCTACTCACACAGCTCACGCCGGTCCTCTCACTCCTCCTGGTGCATGATTTCCTTCTTGCAAAGGGCGGCATTGCCCTACCAGCCTCGCATGGCCTTAGAGCAACCATTGACCGCCACAAGTCTCGCCTTAACGCCGAGTTCACGCGAGCCAAGATACGCAGAAAGTGTTCGGCCGTCGATGCTCTCACGGAGCAGGTGGAAGCCAGCCTGTACGCCAACAGCCAGCATCCCCGTTGGATCCGGGTCAACGCCCTCAAGACAACTCTCGATAAACAGCTATCCACCACATTCAAGGACCATCAGAAAGCAGAATCCGTACAAAAAGTACTGACTGGCACTGGCAAGCTCATCTACATCGACGAGCATATTCCTAACCTTGTGGCTGTCTCGCCCAGATTTGACTTTGCACGATCCCCTGCCTACAAATCCGGTCAAATCATACTGCAAGACAAGGCCTCTTGCTTCCCAGCCTATCTCCTTGATCCAAAACCCTCTGAAGGAGACGTTATTGATGGATGCGCGGCCCCGGGCAACAAGACGACACATGCTGCCGCGATCATCAAGTCACACAGTCATGACCAGGAGCCGCCAGAAGGTGGCATACATGCCTTTGAGAAAGACGCCAGGAGGGCAAAGACCCTCGACAAAATGGTCAAGTTGGCTGGGTCGGATGATTTTACCCAGATCCACCAGGGCCAGGACTTTCTGAAGGTCGATCCGTTGGACGCCAGATTTTCCAACACTGGAGCAATACTCCTCGACCCAAGCTGTTCGGGGAGCGGTATAGTTGGGCGAGACGACATGCCAGAATTGCACTTACCAACAGCTGACGGCGCCTCCCCCGCGGGTAAATCATCAAACAAGGCAGCGTTATCTTCCAAGAAGCGAAAGCGTCCGGTCGAGGATCCGGACCCAGAGCACGTCCTCATCGACGATGATGGCAATGCCACTGTTGTTTCTTCTGAAAAGGATCTCGAAGCCCGGCTCGAGGCACTGTCCTCTTTCCAGCTGACGCTGCTACTACACGCATTCAGTTTCCCCGCGGCACGCAAGATCACATATTCGACATGCTCCGTCCATGCCGAGGAGAATGAGCAGGTTGTCCTCAAGGCATTACAGTCAGACGTCGGGAAAAGGCGAGGATGGCGCGTCTTGCCTCGTGAGGCGCAAGTCAGCGGGATGAAAGCATGGCCCGTCCGGGGGCAAATCGACGCCTGCGACGGTGATGAGCAGGTGGCCGAGTCCTGCATACGCGCTTACAAGGACGATGGAAGAGGTGTCATGGGATTCTTTGTGGCTGCCTTTGTACGTGTCCCTGACCTTGACGCGTCTTCTCCGCCGCCTACCAAAAAAAAGAAATCCAAAAAGGGGAAGGCTGCTACGACCAACCAAAAGGGCCAGAAGGAAGTCCAGACCCACCACGATATTCCGTTGGAAGCATCCCAAAGTCCGAATGCCATCGGCCACGGGATTGACGGGATTGAAGCGACGAATACCGAGGATGATGAGTCGGACTCATGGAGTGGTTTTGAAGACTAGGCCGGAATCTGGCCGTCCCGCCACTCGGCCGTCGGTGGCTCGTTCGGAGCCGTGGTCTAGTGGCTCGAATTGAATCTCGCCTAGCCGTCACCAATGCTGCGGATCCCAGAATTTGCCGGTGTTGCTGACGACAGACCTAAAAAGGCGGAAACCGAATAGTGCAATGTCCGTGTCATAATTCCCTCCCAACCAACGACCGGCCTTGTGGACACGAATGTTCCCGTGCTCACAGAGCTGTGCATGAGCTCACCGGCGGACAATGTGGACTGGGCTTTGCCATGATGATGAGCTGTCAACGGCTGTGTCGGTGAAATGGGCCTGGTCCTCGTCATCAGCAGGATTTGAAGCTAGTGCCATCAGAACGGGGTGTCATCTGATGATCCGTGTTCTCCGTGTGACGCCTCGACCAGCAAAACCGGCGCAGTTGGGCAATTGCAGAGCGCAGGGATTCCAAATACTAGGTCAAGAATTGCTGGGACTCACTTTCATGTAGGAGACCGGGACAGCGTCTTATCGGATAACATTTTATGGGATAACCACAGGTATTGTGGGGGATGTTCTATGAGATAATACCTAGGTACGTTTTGTTTGCCCCAGTCTACAACAGGCTCTCAACACCTGTTGAAAAAAAAAACTGGAGCCCCTGCCAGCCTCGAGATCTTCACCCGGGCGGCTTCAGACGCGATCTCATCGAAAATCCATCCGTGCTCACAAATGATGAATCTGTCAGCCAAAGAAAACACAGCCAGGATACCCCACGGATTTGGAACCCAAAAGCTTCTGGATTCCCGAGTAGGTGGGACGAGATTATGAAGTATTCATTTTGAAAGAGGCGTGAGCCGAGGTACCACAGCCGGCTGAGCTTGGCGTTGATCATCTTGACCTTAGCCAGGGCGGTGGTGGGACCCGCAGAGTAAGTCAGAAACCACGCTGTGATCCGTGGTCCGGCCCGATATTTCTGGGCAGAGCCTGCAAGGAATTTGCCGCTCTGCCATGTTGTGCCATTGGGTAGTCGTTTCCCGCCATACCAGGACCTCGGCATCCCACTTTCATCGCCCTGCCTTACCAATCACTGCGCCCGGGTGGGGACATCTCGGCCGCTGCCCCTTAATCGCGAACCGACCAAATGGGTGTGTGTGGAGCTCAGGAAGCAGACCACCCGATGGAGGAAGCGGGACGGTTTTTTATCAAATGGCCGGCCTCTCCTACCTCGCCATGGGCTCAGTCCTCCTCTTCCAGCCTCACTCCCGCCTCCTGGTGCGCCGTCGAACAATAACCTAGGTCCCAGAATCCAAAATGACGAACTCACCATCGAGCACGTCCCTGGAGAGCTCAGTCACCGCGACTGAGGCCGACGTCCAGTCGCAGAACGCCGGAATGACGCGCGTGAACCACTTCAAGATCGTCTTCGACCGTGCGGGCGTAACGAGGGAGGCCCTGCAGTGGAGATATCCCGGAAACGGAACCGAGGAGAGCCCCTACGCCGTCGACTTCACGCCATGCGACCCGTACAACCCCCAGGAATGGACAAAAACCAAGAAGTGGTGCATGACGATCCTGACCGCCATCTCCACCCTCGCCGTCGCTTTCGTGAGCAGTGCCTTCTCCGGGGGGCTGGCGTACATCATCGCCGAGTTCAAGGTGTCCCAGGAGCTGTCCATCCTCGGCCTGTCCCTCTTCGTCGTCGGGTTCGCTGTTGGTCCCCTGCTCTGGGCGCCGGCGAGTGAGTTTTACGGCCGGCAGATATTGTTCACCATTACGTATGCGGCTCTGACGGCGTTCAATGCCGGTGCTGCTGGCGTCAAGTCCTTCGCTGGCCTCGTCGTCCTCCGTTTCTTTGCAGGCGCTTTCGGATCGTCGCCCCTGACGAACTCGGGTGGTGTCATTGCGGATATGTTCTCGCAGAAGGAGAGAGGGTTCGCGACGGCTTGCTTCGCAGCTGCCCCTTTCTTGGGCCCATCGCTAGGTAAGCTTCTTCGCATGCCAGCTCACTGCCGTTACCATGGCTAATAATCATGTGTGTGAAGGACCCATTGTGAGCGGCTTTCTTGGCGAGGCTGAGGGCTGGAGGTGGATCGAAGGCCTCATGGCCATCTTTACCGGTGTCCTCTGGATTGCGTGCTCCCTCCTCGTCCCCGAGACCTACGCCCCAGTCCTCCTCCGGATCCGCGCCGCCAAACTCTCCAAGCTCACCGGCAAGGTGTACGTCTCGAAGATGGACTTCAACAAGAAGCACCACACGATGGCGCAGCAATTCAAGATCGCCCTCTCCCGGCCGTGGATGCTTCTGTTCCGGGAGCCTATCGTCTTTCTTACCAGTGTTTTCATGGCAATCATCTATGGTACTCTGTACATGATGTTTCCGGCGTTCCCCATCGTGTTCCAGGCGTCCAAGGGGTGGGGTCCCGGCGAGGCTGGTCTCGCTTTCCTGGGTATCACCGTTGGTATGGTGTTTGCGGTAGCGTATGCCATGTTCGATAACGTGAGATACGCAAAGGTGGCCGAGGAACATGACGGCATGGCTCCCCCCGAGGCTCGCCTGCCTATGGCGATTGTGGGCTCAGCTTTCATTCCTGTCGGCCTCTTCTGGTTCGCCTGGACCAACGGAAACAGCGTCCACTGGATCGTCCCTATCGTCGGCAGTGCCTTCTTCGCGGTGGGCATCGTCCTGGTGTTCTTGTCACTGCTGAACTACCTCATCGATTCGTGTAAGTTTTGCTGCCCAGCTCCTGGCTGTCGATATTCCATCATTCATTAGCGTACTGACACTGCTCCACCTTAGATGTCGTTTTCGCAGCCTCAGTTCTGGCAGCGAACTCTGTCCTGCGGTCCCTCTTCGGCGCCGCCTTCCCGCTCTTCACGAAGCAGATGTACACGAACCTCGGCCTCCACTGGGCAGCCTCGATCCCTGCCTTCCTTTCCGTGGCGTGCATACCGTTCCCCATCATCTTCTACGTCTACGGGCCCAAGATCCGGGCCAAGTGCAAGTTCGCCGCCGAGGCCGCACGGGTCCTCGAGGAGATGCGCGGCCGCGTCGGCGCCGAGGAGGAGGACCCTGAGCTTGCGGAGGACGAGGCCATGGAGGAGGTCGAGCGCGGGGATAGGATGGAGAAGCTGGTCAAGAAGATGAGCCGCGCCTCCGGGAAGAGCCGCACGCGCGGCCTCAGCCGGGTCGAGAGCGGCGCCGCGGGCCCGGGCCCGGCGACGCAAGCTGCGCCCAAGGAGGTCGATAACGAGAAGGCGGAGGCTTGAAGAATCGAGTTCGTGAACCTCTGTGTTGCGGGCTCGCGTGGTGGATTTGGCAGGCGCGCACCCCTCTCACCACCCCAGTACGGCGGTTCTGCATTATTTTGGCTTTATTGTTTGGGTACCTCAGCATTGTAAGGCGTTGCATTTAGAAGGGGAGGGAGGTAGGGATGGTATGTTATGACATCCTGAAGAGCCCATGAGTTTCCGAGCCCCCTCCGAGGAATGGGTTAAAGATTTAATGTATAGAGCGCCGTTTTTAGAATTACGAGTCACCTGATATACCCATCAATCAGACTTTTGACGATCTCACCTCCTGATCAACTTTGTCTGATGTGAAGGACGTGCCAAGCCGATCTCCCGGAAAGTATGGGCCCTGTGCAGGGTTGTCCTTGTCCCTCTTTCGGTTACCCTAGCCGGCCTGGATGAGGCTTGTTTACCACACGGATGTCCACTCTGGTCGGTCGTCGCTCCGTACGGTGCAGCTCGCACAACTCAGGCCAGAGCTTATCCCACTGGAGACTATCCAACTGGAGACTATCCAACTGGAGACTATCCAACTGGAGACTATCCAACTAACAGGTTAGACAAGACGGTATCCCATTCCAAGTTATCCCATCTGAGGCTTTCCCTTTCGTGGTTATCCTATTTTGGGTTTGTCCTGGGCTTGTCCTCGTGGAGGTGTCCAATTGAAACCATCCAACTGGAAATTGAGTCAACCGTAAGTGTTTGTGACCGGCCTCTCGAAGCTGTATGGCCTCGGTGGCTGTGGAGACCAGAAAGGCTTGTCGTCGGTGTTTCCTCGAGACAAACAGAAGGCTATTCCGCCTGCCTTTGGTACTCGGTTCCCTTCTCTCTGGCGGACGATTGCACTCCTTATTCGCAAGCATGACCCTGCCAGAAAGCCTATCCTCGCGCCGGCAGATTGCGGGCATTCCTGTGGGAGCGCAAAGTGAAGAGGTATTCTCGGTGACCGGAAGGTGGAGAGGATATTTGCGCTCGCTTGAAGGACATCGGCGTCCAGGACCAGGCCGCGGTGGCTGGTCTCTAGCGATGTGACCCGCACGTCCCTCGGACCTGTTAAACTCGAAACTCGAGCGGCCATGTTGTCCTGAGACGCGAGGTGCCTCAACCATCTCATGGTTTGTTCCTCCCTCAAATCCGCTCAACAGAGGCCTACCCAGCCGCTACCAGGATCAAGACGGCACAAGCAAGCAATGCTGCGATCTGGACCGATGGTGCTGCTCGGCCGTCGCCTCGCGAGGATGTGCTCCCGGGCGCCGCAGTTTGCGTCGCAGATCCGGTTCCGGCCCCGGTCCCCGTGCCGTTGCCAGCTGGGGAAGAGGCGGCGTTACCTGGCGTCCCGCTCACGGTCGTGCTAGGGATAAACGGCACATCGTTCATCGCAGCCTGCACAGCCATGCCGTCGCCGACGCTCATCCAGTCAAGCTGTGCACACGCACACATGATGTCAGCCAGCGGCTCACCGAGTAAGGAAGGCACACGCGAAGAGGTGTGATTTGCATCCCAGATTAACCTACCAGAATAAAGTTCGGTTTGCTCCCATAGAGGCCCACGCAGATGTTCGCCTGCGCGGTGATGGACGCGGCCGAGTTGGTCACATTTGCGGCCGCACGGTTTGGGATGAGAATTCCCGAGATATTCGTGTCGAGGAAGTGATTCACGAGGACCATGCGGCCTTGCGGAGATGCCCCCGGCGGTCGGTCGATGGAACATTGTGCGAACGCCGGATCGGTGAAGCTGTCAGGGAGAAGGATGTCAGTTCACGGTGCAGATCCCTCTGAGGATGATGCTATGCCCGGCAGACGTACTCGAATGGGGTTTCTCTGTTTTCAGTAGTGAGATTAGCCTCTGATATTCCAAATACTGTGCAGACATGTTTATGCATGCATTTCCGCGGACAGTCGAGACTTACATGATATAGGGATCGAACTCGTTGAGAATATACGGCACCGGGTCTCCAGCCGGGAAGTCTGCAGCACCAAGTTAGTCCACGATGCCTGCACAGTCTCTCTCCTCGAGATTTCCCACGCACCCATAAAGACAACAAGCCGTTGTCCATTTTCGATCATCTGCCCCAGCGTAGGCCACTGATCCAGGGTCAAGTTCCTCCCCGGCACAAACCCATACCCCTGGATCCCCGCGGCCCTGAACACGGCATCAAATGACGACCCAGGCATCCCGTCTTGGTTGGTGATCAGCAGCGTGACGACCTCGCGCGGGTTGGCATCCAGGAAGGCCTTGACGCCACCCAGGTAGGCCTCGAGCGGGCCCGCGTCCTCGAGCGCGCACAGCGTGTGGCAGAGCTTGATTGTGTTGTTGTCGAGGTGCGTCTGGGCCTGCAGGAAGCGCACGCCCTGCGCCAGCTGCGCGGCCACGTCGGTCTCCTGATTATCTGCGGGCCCCGTGCCCACAAAGGCGCTGTTGTGCGAGCCCACGAGCGTGATGTTGCTGTAGCGCCGGGCGCAGAGCTCGGCGTGGCCGTTGCAGGCCGCTGGTGCTTGCTGCGCGAGGGAGAGGCCCAGGCCCAGGAGGAGGGGTGGAGGGAACCTCATCATCGGCGTCCGCGGTGGTGTTGAGAGATTTCCGTGTGTCAGATCATGAGATATGTTTTGTTCCGCGGGACGATTACTGACACCAACTGCTTTTTTTGGCTGCTGCAAGAATTCAGCAGACGTCCTTGGTTCTCCTGGCGGACGGGAATGAAATGTTCAAGTGTCATTCAATGTGGCATTGCTCTTAGCCGGAGCCGGTTGATACGTCGTCCCGCCATCTTGAAACACTGCGAGCCTTGACCCCGAGCGCCAGAACACAGCCACTTGGCATCATTGGGGAGAGTCAGTGGCGAAAATAATGGATCATCCCAAGACTTCAAGACAGCAAATAAAGTTCAGGCCATCTAGACTCACTAAATCAAGAGTCCTTCGCGGCTCACTCACGTATGGTCCGAACACATGCTGTACGGTTCGCAGGGATACCCAGCGCCTGCATGTGCTTTACCTGCATGTCTCCGTATTGAAATGACATCAAGTGGAAGCGCCTTTAGTAGGATAAGCTCTAGAAGGATAATTCTCAGCGGTATAAGCCATTTTAGTGGTCAACTTCCTAACTGTTTCGACTTGTGGTTCAGTTCTAGTTCATTGGTAGGAGTTTTGGATACTCGACAGAGCCAACGCCTTGGATGTATAAGCGATCGATATGATCGTCTGAATGAGTCAATGTCTTTTGGTCCCTTAGAATCTGGACAGGATAACTGATCAAGCATCATATCTACCCTAAGAAGAACCGGCGTATTCAGAAATGACAGCTTGTTACTGCACGGGTCTATCAGGAGTAAGAGAAAAATGCAAAGACTTTCCACGACTGAACGTGTTCACAGATTGACTGGGGGTATTCGTTCAGAATCTCAATTCAACGTGACAGAGAGCTGCAGTGTCATCAACTGCAGTAATTTGGTCCTCAGAAAGATCCAAGATGACGTGGAAAATACGTCCATTGTCGCTTTGCGCCCAACCTGGATGAGGGATCCACCCTTTCGACCTATCTACCTGTGTCTTGCGCTCCTTCCTTGCGCTGACATTAGAAGCATTCAGCCTCTAGGACACTCACCATCTTCCAATAATCTAAATGTCTCGAGCTCGGGATCCGCAACGTTAACGTTGTTGTGGAAACTTTGTGCCCAAGTCAGGTCACTGTCATCACGGTGGGCCGTAGGCTTCGGTATAAGATGGATGTCTTGAAGCTGTCTCTACCTAGAGCACTCTGACATTTATTCTATTCCATCTTAAAGCCGCACATGCTTATTTAAACATGCTTCTATCTCCTTAGCCACGTGCTTTCTTAAAGCTTTCCTGAAGTTCGTTGGCGTTGCGCTCCGCTGAGCGACTCACCAATTTGACCGTTTCAAGTTCCGGAGCATGGAGGCCATCTGACCAGACCTCTTGCAAATACGAATACTTTTATCATTTATGACCAAGAACAGAAAGATACCAAACAGAACTTTGGCCCCATACGGTGTAAGTTTGGTGTCAACAATGGACCAGGTTTCCAGCCGTAGAGCGGTCTGTCTGACAGCACAGCACCTACACTAGGGTAAGAGCCCTACTGTGCCTCTTCCGTTGCAACGAAATACCTAGACAGTTTTTTGAAAGGCTGTCAGCACCATTAGTTCTTAACTTGATTACGTGCACAGGAAGGTCGGGAGCTGCATGTGCTACTCGCATCAGTCCAACAAATCCTATTTCGCCCAAGCACGTCAAGTTTTCCCTTTGCAGTAGTTCTAGTATCAACATACCATTCTTAAGAAACACAAGTCTCTGACCTTAGAAACCACTGTGTGTCACTGACCCACTCGGGCTTGGGGCTTTCCGATATCTGTAATTCTCAAGTGCGAAACCGGAGAGCAGCGATCCTTGATAAATCAGCGGACGCCCCCAGTATAAGACAGGATTCACAATTGTGTGTATACATTTGAAAATGGACGGATAAAACCATCAAAGAGAGAAAAGAACCTCAAAGACCAGTCTCCCGTGATATTCAACTCCCCGTGGATCCCCCAAATGGCACTACTCAATGCACTGCTAGCTACCTGGTAGCCACATCGCGCCTTCCGATATGTTCTCCACATCTGAAAATAATGTAGAATTGCCGGGCTTCAGCTGAAGCGCATTTCGCACGTGAGTGCGTACTGTTCGAAAAACCACAGAACGGGATGTCTCTCGCCTGAAAGGAGTTCCAAGACCCTGCAAAGCCTGGTTTACACTAGAGACTACGTTTCCCTGAATTTCAATACCTAGATAGCTTTCAAACGAGACAAGTAGCTGGCTTCTGTGTAGTTCTCACACTGACACCCTCCAGGTGTGCCCGTCATGAAGTGGCTTCTACTCTCATTTTCGTATCTCTCTTTGGCCCCTTCCAAAACGAGTAGTGCAAGCATCCTTGAACTGAGTATACCGCTTTTTCGGCAGTGACTTGGGGGCACGGTTAACATGAGGTACGCACGTGTGGAAAAGGTGCCCTCTGGGCCCTTCTGCAGTCAGAATTCTTTCCATCACGCCCACTCTGAGTACAAACATCGTAAGTTTGCCAGACCCAGTGGGCCCTTCTACAGTTTCTGAACTGCACAGTTCATCCTAATATCTTTAATCAGATGGTATTCGTTTCAGGGTAACTTCAATGATGCATGGTTATATGGCTTGTCCGTTTGCCTCAGCTATTTCGTTAGCAGGCGCTCACGGACTTCGACAGCCAGACCGACTTGGGATTTTCACCTAGAGACCTTGACCTAGATGCATAGAAATCATCTGTAGCATTCGAAATCTAGGGAGGCAATACAATGTCAATGATATGAAGGAGTGATTTTGAACATTGTCAGGGCTGATTGTAGTGCCAGGGGCCGTAGCAGCACGCAGTGAGGATAACTTGCCTCACCACAGATTGCGATCATTCGGTGCTCCGAGTCTTTCCGAATCGTGGACAGAATAATGCAGACCGCGTGTACCGTGAGAAAGACAGCGAGTTTGCTCCTACTGGTAAATCCCAAAGGCCGTCATAACATGGTAACAGTCCATCCTGAGAGGACATGTAACAATCGCATGTACACCAGAGCTTTCTCCATTATCTATTCTACACTTCTGTACAATTGTAATGCCAGAAAGCACCTCCTCTAGGTTATTGACAAGCCAAGACGTCAAGGCTGCCATATCATGGGGAGAATTGGATAGCTTCGAGACGGCCACGCTCTGAATGTTGACGTTTGTGTTCCACCTTGAATCTCAATCTGTATTTTCCCAGACCCCTAAATTGATTCAGAATCATTGGACATGTTGGGGAGAATCTGTTCCAGGAGGAAACACAGACTGTGTGCAAGCAAGTGGTGAAAAGTGCCCAGTAGGTACGTACCGGTGCACGGTTCACCACGTGCGGACGGGGAGGGCATGCTCCTCACCTCCAGAACAGGACGTCACGACAATCATCAAACAACAGGGCACCTAATCCGACTTTGCAACCTTTGACCTCAAACCCACTCAATTAGACGCTAGTTATGTGAGTCACACTGCACCTCATCTTGGCCTACCATTTTCATTTATAGCCCGTCGATGTGGTCAGGGTAGTCAACGACAGAAGGCCAGGGGCATCAATCACACAGCAACTCAAGACCATGCCCTTTCCGAAGATCGTCAGGGCACAGCTAGGCTCAAGACGGATGGCGGCCCGTCATTTGTCCCAGCGGTCAACTGGTGCTCCACATGAAAGGCCGCCATGGCTACAGTCAGTCCTTGACGACGCAACGAGCCCGCCCAGACCTTTCGCCTGGACTTTGGAGAACCTGGAGAACAACAAGAGGACGAAGTCACCTGAGAATCAGAGGGTCCACAGTCGAAGCGACACTGAGCAGCGTCGTATCTACGTCCTGGGTGTGGGTAACCTCGGGCGCCTTTACGCGGCGTGTCTTGCGCAGCTTTCGAATCCACCTCCCATCACAATTGTTGTTCACCGACGTAGCCTCCTTGAGCATTGGGCAACCGACCCCGGGATCGAGATCACTCGGTATGGCACACCAGAGCGCGTATCCAACCTCGACATAGAATGGTGGACCACGGAAAAGCCGACCATTGGTCCCGTGAGAGAAATTGCCGATGGAGACCGGCTCGGCAATCTGATAGTTGCAACCAAGGCGCCAGATGCCATGCCACAGCTCGACTCTCTGCGTCGATATCTGGGCAGCTCATCCAACGTGCTGTTTGTCCAGAACGGGGTGAACAGACTATGGCCTCCTCACGGCCCTCCTTACAACGACCATCGCTATCCAGGCGGCCAACATCCAAATTGGTTGCATGGAGTGACCATGCATGGCGTCTACTCTGAAGGGCCTTTCAAGAGCGTCCACGCTGCCCCGGCTGACATCACGATCGGCCCTGTGTGCTCGAGCGAGAAGCACCCAGAAAAGGCCAGCTATCTTACCGAGATGATCACCAAGGCCCCGCATCTTGCAGCGCGAGCGGTATCGAAACCCCAACTATGGTTACTCCAGTTGGAGAAGCTTGTCATTAACTCAATCCTTAATCCACTCAGCGCGATTCTACGTGTCAAGAATGGCGACCTGTTTGCCGATAAGGACGGCGAGGTTGTCAAGATCATGGATGCACTCCTGAACGAAACAAGCAATGTACTCCAGGCCCTGGTGAGACACGAGAGTAGCACGCCGATCCTACAGGGTGACGACGCGTCTGAAGAAGCCTTGACACAGCGTCTCTCTGCCACGAGGCTGCGAGAAATGTTACATCAGGTCGGAGAGAAAGTCAAGCACAACAAGAGCTCTATGTTTCAAGACATCGAAGCCGGCAAGCAGACTGAAATCGGAGAATTCAACGGCTGGCTGGTTGAAACAGCCGAAATGCTAGACCAGGGCCTAGACGTCAGCAGTCACAAGATCGTGATCGGTCTGGTAGAACAGAGAGTGAAGCTCGATAAGGCCGAGCTTGGCAGACATGTGCTTCTGCGGCGTTGATAGAGAATTATTAATACAACCGCATTAATCGAAGCGTGTCAAGATCGAGACGGGAAACAAGGCATTGGAAACGGCTTCAGGGATGAGCTCCTCAGCCTGGACAGTTCATCGCAGCATTGGCATCCGGCCGAATCTTACCCGGCCAACTCTTCGACTTCGTTATGATGGTGCCATGATACTGATGAAACTCATGTTGGCTCACACAGGATCCGGGAAGCCAACCGAGTTCGCACCTGGCAAAGCATGGCTCCAAGGGCCGGCTTTGCAGCTTTGCGTGCATAGCCGCGAGCCTTGCCCCAGAGGCACAACTAGCATTTCGGTACCAACAGTTTGGAGAGGAGGGGGCCCGCTTCGAATACCAACTTGCGCTCCGATTGATCCTTTCGGAGGCCTTGAGCAGCTCGCGCAGACGCTGGCACACCGCTCTCCCCATCTCGCGTCTGATGGCTGCACTACCTCGATGCCTCCATCGGCCCCCCACAAACCGCCCAGTCAGATCATCGAAGCGCATGGACATGTATATTGTCGGCTCGGATCATTCTTGTTACAGTAGCGGCTGCTGAGCTTTCGGTGCTCTTGTCCAGTCCTACAGGTGTTCGGTGTGTCTTAACCGAGCGACGTATAGCCCCTATAAATCGCCCTTTTATACGTGTATAAAGCAGCTGTTATTGCAGTGCACCAGCTGCAACTATTCGTCCCGGCCACCACATCTGGAAAGTCTGATCCACTGGCGCGGTCGGAAGAGGAATCTCTGCTCCCTGCACGTACAGAAGGCTCCACAATGCCTTCCAACGCCTCTTCTTGGTCGCCTCTGGTGGTGGTTGGCGCATATCGCGCACCAAGCCGTTCCAGCCCAAACCTGAGGCGCGCCTTCGCAAGACACGGTTGATTGGATGCACTTTCTTCACTCGCATGTCTTGGGTGAATTACGGCGTGTTTCAGGCGCGTTCTCCAGGAGCTACGCGGTAGATGGTCAGCAGCAGTCGTCTCGTGCAATAGCGGCGCATGCCAAATCGCGCGATCTTCACCCCAGGCCGAAACTGGGTACTGAACCAATTAGAAAGTAACGAAACCGACGCACTTGGGACAGTGCTGGAACCTGCGATTAGCAACCGGTGTGAACTCTAGCATGCGCTCACGGTGACTGACTTCGTACAAAATTTCGATTTGCACGATGGTACCAGACTGGACCCTGTCGTCGTCGAAGGTTGTCGCCCGGGCTTGGGGTAAATGCGCAAAGCCGAGAGTGGTGTATTTCTACACAGGCAGGATCCGTTAAATCAAGGTCCGTCTGATGATTCGAAAGACTCGAGAGCCTAGCAGCTCATCTCCGTCTACAGCGGCAACCTACCCATGTCGAGTTGTTCAGTCCGACAACATTTCGCTCAGACACTGCGCAGCGTTGCATTCCCATACGCTTCCATCCCTTTGTCAGGGTCCCGCGCACGACCTCAGCAGAGGTACATGTACCTCGAAGCTAGGCAGTACAAGGCTGGTACATGAGCCAAGCAACGAGTACTTGGGTGGCCCGGTCAGGCATGCGTCTTAAGCTGGGCTCCAACAAAAAAGCTGGGTAGCTGGAGCCTGGCAGATGGTCACAAATCCCCGATTGGCCGGCCAGAGGGCACCAGGCACAGTAGGGATGTCGCGACCCGTTCTCGCTTGAGCAGGCTTGACAGACGGTCACTTTGTGGGCCGCCTGACCCCAGGCCTGGGCCGGCCGCGTCGGAGATTTCCCAGCTTCGATATTCCGGAGGATTGCAGTCGATAAAGAATGGGACAAATGACCAAAAGCTTTCGTCCTTGGCAGGGCGACCAACTCATCTTGATGCTAGCCAGTCAGCGCACCTCAGCTCTCGGGCACCACCCAAGAGAAGCAAAGACCGACTCCACGGCGGAAGGCCTGGCGCAAGCATCTGTCGGCTAGCTGGCAGATGATCCCGGAGGGCTCCTGCAGATCGCGGCAATGGCCGTGGGGATTTAACTCCAGCCAGTTGGCAGTCACCCATCTTGTCTTGCAAGACTGGAGAGCCATAAGAGGAGGGCATGCCAAAGAAGAAGCTGTTGTGGCCGACCCAACTGATCTTTATCAAGTCAATGCTGCTGTGGGCTAAAGGAAACAAGTAAAGTGACCAGAACCACAGAGCGAGCTCTTCCCCCAACCACAGTGTATCACCTTGGGGGACCTTGGGGGATGGAGAAGTGCCCAACAACGGCCAAGACGCAGTCCAATACATACGTGGAGCACACCGAGATTTGGGAGCTGATCAAGTAGGTAAGGCGCAGATAAGCTTCAATGTCCCCGTCAGTGCAACATCCCGCACTGCCCATGGCCGACCGGGGTTAGCAACAACGGCGGATCGACCGGGTCAAGAAGGTCTATCCGCTGGCCACTGGCTGCTGGCAGCTTGTGCCGAACATTTGCTTTTTTTCTTCACCTGGTCGGAAGGAACCCCCGTCACCACCAGCTTTCGCGATCACGACGCAACGTGCTCCTTCGGCAGGTCTCGAGCTGACTCGCGTGCTCAACCTGTTTCGATGCCCACGATCTCACACATATCCCGAGGTAACCTTGGCCCTGCAGCTCCTCCTGCAGCTCACCCCGCAGCTGCGAGCTTGCGGCCTATTGTGCTGAGGCACCGCGGGCCTAGATGGCTGCAGGAGCTCGCGCCGATACTCGACTTAAGGCAAGCCTTATCACATCCAGGCGACCAGAGGCGGATCGATGGTGAAGGCCCAGGCCTGGCAATCGCCTGTGTCGACGGGCGAGGCCCCAAAGACCGCAGTGGGCCTTGTGTGCCCAGGGTTTTACACAGTACTCTCGTTACCGTGGGAGGGTTCCCGGTCAAGGCCTCGTGCAGCATAACAGCGACAAGGAGATCCTGACTGCATCGAAACCCCGCGACATGTCGTCGAACCACACGCACGGCAGTTGCAGACGCACCCATCATCGAGAGTCCCACCCCATCACAGGGGGTTTCGGCAGGTCTGGACCGCCCACGTAGCTGGGCACGCGTGTTTCATGTTGAGGGCTGTCGAGCTGTAGCACAGCTCTGTCAGCTGTGGTGCGGCAACGCGACACCACGTGGGCACGCTTCGAGTCACGTCTTGACAACTCATAGCCCCGGAGCCCATTGGAGCGCCAGCGGGCGCGACTGCGTGGGTGGGAGCGGCTGCAGTGTGGCTCGCGCATCTGGAAGCTGGCTCCCGCGCCTCACGGCTCGTCCTTTCATGCGGCGCCAACGCCCGCCGCGGCGCCCAGGTGACTGTCCAGCGTCCTGCAGGACAAGAAACCCGGCGACGCCGGAGGCCGGGAACCAATGAAAACCGCCGGGGGTTGGCATCGACACGCCAAACCACCCCCGGCCCTTTTCCTGCTGTCTCTGTCTGTCCCTGCCGGGCGCTAGCCACACACGACCCGATTTCTGGTGCCGTCAAGTCGACATGCCAAATCCAGCCGGCTCGTCCTACCGTGGGAGCAATACCACGTAGGGTGTTCCTCGACACTGTCGCGGCCGAAGCGGAGACTTTCTACATCACATCCCACGTATGATTGCCTGTGCCTACGGTAACTCTCGATGTATCAACGCCTCGCTGGGTACGCCGCGTATCGAGGGGCATCAGGGGTTCGCTGCCTCGATTGTACCCATCGCTTGGGGGGGGGAGGAGGGTAGCGCGCAGCTGCATATGCACGATGTCTCTCATGCACGCACGCGCGCACGCACACTCAATACCATGTCACGGTGGTACAGTACGCTGCCTGCCCAAGCCTACAGAACGGCATCACCACAGCAATGGGCGAGGGGGTCCCGCGCTTGCGCGCGAAGGGTTGCAGTACGCTCTTGAGACGCACGCAGCAGATCAGATGAGTAGTGGCAGGTAGACGTGCGTGCCCCTTCGTCCCAAGCTTCGGCATGTTTTCTATGCTGTCGCGACGAGGAGCGGTCGATCGGCAATCTCTCCCGTGGAAGATACGCTTTGAACCGTGGGTCGCATAAGATCTGGTATCTGCAAACTGACTTTTTTCACGGCGAACGCCGTGCTTTCCCGCCGCAGTTCCTCTGCAAACACTCCTTGATGATGACAGACTTTCTTTATTTCTCTGCCTCTGTCTGTTCCCTCTCTAAGAGGCAGAGAAGAGGGAAAAGGAATCATCCGCGAAGGACCGCGCCGTCTGCAAATATGGTAGCATTATTGCTCGGATGTACCCTCGCCACCTCGGAACCAAGTCGCCCTGGTACCGAAAAAGTATCCGTCCTCACCTGATGACCGCGCAATACCCCCTCCCCCCCATCCGTGCGTCAAAGTCTTTTTCTTTCTTCCTTTCCCTCCTTTCCGAGGGAAAAACGCCGTCGCATCCATACCACGGTAGATAGAAGGGAGGGCAGGCCAGAAGGGCGGCCGGTTCAGCCTTTCGGCAACCCTAAATAAATTGAGATCATTAAGCTACATCACATCTGGTAGACATTTGGAAACAGGGCCGGGCGGGAGGTCACACGGGTGACAAGGCCCGACATGTCGGTTCGGTACTCTGTTGCCCATTTCTCTGGAACGGGTGGCCACGGATAGGAGGACGAGGTGGGGGGGGGGATGGGGGGTGTCTGGTTGGTGCGAGCGGGGAGAAGGGAGACAGGGGGAGTGCAAGCCTTGGCTTCGACCAAGTTTGGTTGCCCTGGTATGTGTCACCTCATTTTTTGACGGTGACGGCATGGCACGGTGGGAACGCCCTTGGTGTGTGTGTGTGTGCGTGTGTGCGTGTGTGGCGCGTTCGATGGGACGGACGGGCTGACGGGCAGAACAGGCTGGCGAAGAAGGGAGTCCGGCCGAGAGAGGAAAACGGGGAAGAGGCCCGACGATCAGTCCTTGCTCCCTCCCGCCAGCCCCCTGTGGAAATGATCTGAAGGAATGCTGCGAAGAGCAAGGCATCGAGGCATTCCTAGGCCGTTCCATTTTCTTTTTTGTGAATTCACACGAGGCGATCGGCAACACTCCACACCTGGTTTGTTGCCCGCCACCTGTGGCTGCAGCACTGCCTGTTGGTTACATGCCTGGTGGGTGCCGGGCGGGCTACGATATACCACAATCTTCCCAAAATGGCACATTGATCTGTCCTCGTATTTTCAAATATGAGCTCCAGGGTCCTGGCAAGCATTGTAACTTGAATTCTACATAGATGAGTTACACAGAGCCAGGAAGATCAAGGGCAAATTCAACAGATGCATGTTTAAACCATTTTAAGGATTATGTACTCATCCACGGGTGAGAATATGTATGTGGTAGAAGCAGAGGAGCTCGAACAAAGAAAACACACGGTGGTGATGATATGTCCAAGTATGTGCCTTGCGAAGATGCCAATCTCCAGGCCAACAATGGTGTTGCTCTTGCAATCCCTGTCCCGACCTTTATGATTTTCCTGACGCCTTACAAGATGTGCAAAAGTGGTATTTTAACCGAAAAGGACAGCCCCCCCCCCCTGGTGAAGTCGTCAAAACCTCATCCCTGCTCGGCCGCATAATTCCCACAATTCCAAACATTACTGACGTCCAGGGGAGGATGAGGTCCAGCCCGGCGCCAGCCCGGAATCAGCAAGCAAATCGTCGATGCGTCGTTGCTGCTGAAGAATCGTAGAGTTGCCCGAGAGAGCTGCCGAATGTATCGTTAGACGGGCCGTGACGCGTATACCAAGCCGACCCTTCCCCCGTGTATACGTGTCTGCCCTGAAAGGCCCAAATGAACCGTGAAAGCTGCCAATCTATCGTGGTGAAAGCGTGGGAAAGTATAACAAAGAAAAACCCCACAAATCGAAAAATGTAGGGCAAGTTATCCACAAGGATCGGGTATCTCTTAACATTATATTCCGTCTGAGCTTGCTCCTCCTAGCTGATATGAAGACATGGAAAAATCGTTGTTGATGTTGAGAAAGCCCTCCACAGTCGTTAGAACCACAAGCCAAGGTGTAATCCTGAAGACTGACAATGGTCTTGCACTCGTTTCGACGGACGGGGCCCCTTCGGTTTGGTGTGGGTGACCCAACACCCGTAACGTGTAATACGCGCCGACAATGCAGTAGCATAATAAGAGATAACACCCTTGACACACTGATTGTCGCGAGATGGTAGGAAGTTCAGCCAACAGTCGGCTGGTGACAGATGCGTTGTGATTGTTGCCGGCACTCTTGGCGCTTCCTACGCAGCCGGTCCCCCGCTACTGCTGGAGATGCTGCGTGTAGACCGTATTCGATGGCTGAGCAGGCTGGTGGGTGTAGACAGGATTCGAAGACTCAGCGTGTGGCTGAGAGTAGACGCTTGTGTCCCCTTCAGGAGCCGAGACTCCTGGAGAGGACGCTGATTGCTATAAGTTCTCGTCAATGAGCTGCGCAGCTCTCTCTCGACATGCAGCGGGAGTAAAGCCGGTGCCAACTTTATTCGCTACGATGCGCCACTTCTCGTTCTCATAATCCTGGAGAGCAGTACGAAGCTTCAAATCCTGCGTGCGAAGGTATTAGCATTGCTGACTCCCAACCACAACCGCTGCCTCTTTTTAGAAGCCAAGTAAAACGGCGCAAAAGACTGTGCAGATGCGGAGTGAATATGTAACCGGCACTTACCGTCTCGTCCGTCCATTGCGTTGTCTTGGCCTTGAGTTTTGTGCAGTATCGAACCTGAAGCGTGCCGCTGGAGCGTCCGGGAAAGAAGTCGGCGATTTGCTTCCACGTGAGGCTTTTGTTTTCCTTCAAGTCTATGAGCAGCTGATCATCCTCGGGTGTAAACTTGAGTTTAGGTCCCCTTGGCCTCGGTGCTGGTTCTGGCATTCCCTCTTGTCCCACAACGCTAGGAGCACCTCCTCCCAGATTTTCGTCTCGACGCATCAGTTTCGAAGGCGGTCCCGTATCTGGAAGACGGTGATGGTGATGGGTCGGGTGGGACGACCCTCCCGCGGCTTGGGCATAGGCGGCACCAAGAGGGGTCTGCTGCATCGAATCCATGTCTCCTTGTTCAAGGTCCGGCATGCCATGTACTGACAGATCAAGGTCGTCCGGCCTGGAACGCTTGACGCCAGGGCTTGGACCTGGGGCCATAGACGGATAAAGAGGAGCGACTACTGAGTGCGGAGATGGACCGGGCCCGCCAAAATGCGAAGGCCCAGGATAGGACTGCCGATGCGCTCCTGGGTGCCCTCCCAACTGCCCCGGGTCCATGAGGACCGGAAGCGGTCGGTGTGCAGACTGGTGGTGATGATGCTGCTGCTGCTGCTGCATGGTCGTATAGTGCGGCTCTGTTGGACTCTCATGGAGGATCGAGGGGCCCGTGTGATGGATGGATGGCCGGTGATGCTGCGAGCTGTACCCATGAGGCTGTTGGCTCTGGTCGCCCGGATGCGAGTCCTGTGGTGAGTAGTCGACATTGTAGTCCCCTCCTATTCGGTAGTTGCCCGCCAGCGTGTCTCCGCCGCATGGGGTCCGCCAGAGCGAACCGCCCTGGCCGGGAGCCGGAATCTGGATGGAAAGAATTTGTCTGACTGGAGCCCCGTAGGGCTGCCTTGGGTAGTTTGGGGGTGAGTCTGCTGCTTAGTAGGCGCGGATCACGCCTCGCTGTCGATGGTACCCGCCGCGGACTGTGCAGTGGTTGCGCCGTTGATGGTAAGACAGCAACCGAGTTCATGTGTCGACGGCAAGGTGATGGAGGAGGAGTAGTGGCGGCTGTCACCGAGAGGTGTGTTGAGTACAAATCGGGAAATTGACGTGGTTGGCTATTAAAGCTTCCTTGGAGTTTGGCGTCAGATACCTCGGCGGTGGTGGTAGTGACTCGATGGCATCCCTCGACAGCTCACAGCCACCAGACCAACATCCCTTCAACGAGACTGTCTGGAATTTTCCAGTGAGGGTGTGGTTCTTATACTCGACGGCAAAAAAACCGTCGGGCTAGGGAGAGATAATATAGACACGTTGTGAGGACTTTTTTGTCGTCTGATGTTTGGTGTCGTGTGGAAGGGTAAAAGTCTAGCAAGGTGTGGATGCCGAGGGGAGGTACCTTCTTTAAGGCTCTCTGCAGGCCAACGGTAGAGCAGACATGCGGTCGGCCAGCCATGTGCGAAACAGGTACTGTTCCTGAGATGGTGCGGAGACTTGATTTACCTCTGCTGAGCAGGGACGGTAGCATAATTTGGGGATCTTATGCCATGGCCTTACCCACTGGGTATAGAAACGAGACCCCGGCATCGAGGCGTGATGCAACGGGAATACAATGGTACTCCGTCGACAGGCTCCAGACTGATGGACAGGGGCCCCCTTCCCTCGAGGTTCTCCAGCACACTAAGCCAAAACAAGGGGAGAGTGGTATTGTGGTAGCATGGGTTGGAGGAGTACCAGCGCTCCCGCCCACGGTGTGGGAGACAGAGAGAGAGCCGCGAACAAACGAGGCAGCAGGACGGCCAGTGCACGCGAGCGCGAGGATCAAGCTCCAGACAACGATCGGGCCTGCTTGGAGAGGCTGTGACTGTGGAAAATGGCCCCCGAACCCGCGAGGGAGGCGAGAGCCGACAGGGGACTCCGCTGCTCTTTTCTGTGCGTGGGAGGGGATGAACAACAGGGCGTGAAGGTACTCGAGAGTACGGCAGAGAGCCCAAGGTACTTTGCTGGCACCCTGTTCCAAGGCGAAGCGGGGTCTCTGATGATGGAGAAACAGGGCAGCGGCGATTATGGAAGTCAGAGCTTCCGTTGTTCTGCACCGGAGGATGGGGTATATCTCGACTGGGGGCCCTATATCAGACATCAGAGAAAGCGCGGTTCTCAAACGCCATAGGGCGAGGTGCACTGCAGGGTCGTTGCAACCGAAGAATTAGTGACCCAGATTGCCGAAGCGCAAATGTCAAGGAGCTGGCCGAGTCGAGGGTGACACGGGTCACATAGGCGCACATAGTTGGTAGTTCACAGCGGCCTCATGTCGTTTCTGTGGGGATTTGTTAATAGTCAACCATATGTGTCCAAGCAGCAGGAACGTCGAGCTTGCCTACTGAGAACACAGGCCCGAAAGTTGCGCCGCACTGCCCAGGCCCGCAATCTCAGACGCCGATGCCGTAATGATGCGCCGGAAGAGACCGACAAATCCAGATGCGGGAGGAGACGACATCGCGAGTGGCTCGAGGGGCTGGGTATGGAGCAGCTCGATGGAATGGTGATCAAGGATGGGTCCTATCTAGCCGGTGGTCTGGGAATAATGCAGCCGCTGTCAAGAAGATAATGCAGCACCGCAGATGGGCTGCGCCGATTGACTACCAGGTAGCACAGAGCAGGTCCCGCAGCATCTGAGCGTCGTTTCTTTTGTGGGCAACATGGGATGACACCGCGCTCGGTTGCAAGTATTTGTTCATCCCCCCGCCGCTCCAGGGGTGTCTAGCTGGTAGCAATGCCAGATCGGTATCGCAATGGCATTGCCAACAGCTGCAAGTGTTGTGACACTTCAGTATGCGTTGCAACTTGTTCTTGTAATTCCGGGAACCCTGTGCTTTCGCCTCCAGCAGCATTGGTGGTAGCAGTTGCAGGGGCAGCAGTTGCAGGGGCAGCAGCGGCGGCGGCGGCAGCAATGTGAAAATCCGTCACACTGCACCTTCGACCCGGCGAACAGAGTTCTGGCCGAGGAACGCAGGGGGGGTCTCATCTGAGTGCTGCAGGGGCATCGTAACCCCTGCTTGTCGGCGTCTCCAAAATTGCGCGATTCAATGCTGCCAGATCCGCAGTGGACAGTTTGATCCTCCAGGGGCCCATTTCGTGAACAGCCGATGATGGCAGCGTACTGCGGGAGGAGAGATATTCGTCGCGCGCCTGCAGGCTTGTGATTGGCATTGGCCCGCCGAGGGCGACTGGGCTCCTGAGCGACTGGGCGAGTGCGGCGCGGGCTGAGGCAAGGAGCGGTTTTGGGGTCAGAGGCAGGGATCTGCATGAAGGAAACGCGTTTCACGGGACCTGGCAATTAAAAGCTGGATTATGCGGGACTGCAAATAGGCAGATTCGACGAGGTGTGTTGATTGTTCTGGAAGGCGAGGCAGCTTCTAGCGCCGACCAGGGGAGCAGCAGGAGGCTGGGGCCGTGGGTAGGGAGCAGTTCCACAGACACCGGCGTGCTGGATTATCATCGTCAGTTTCGCCGGCCTGCGCATGAGAACATGATGGTGGACGAACCATGGGATGCCCTCAAAGGGGAAGTTGGCCCGGTATTGGCATCCATTGCCCCGTCGCCAGGACAGCGAGGGGTCCGGCCCGATGTCTGGCATGTGGCTCCCAGGAGCTTTCTGCTGCTGCTGCTGCTGAGGCGCGGCAGGTGATGTCAAAAGGAGGTCTTGTCAGGGACTGGGACTGGGCTCGGTGGGATATGTTTCAGGAGAAGGAGGAATGGGACAAAACTGTCTACAGGACGAGGTTTTGGCACTCGGGCAACGCGGCAGTCGTCCGAGTAAACGGCCAGCCAGGCGGCCAGCCAGCGTGGCCGAGTGTTTCTCTGCCTGCTCGTGTTGGGAAGTCGGGAAGCTGATCCGTTTCGCGAGGCCACGACCCCTCGAAAATGGCAACATCAGCCCCGAATGCACCGGCTACTGCAACTGCAATTGCAACTGCAACTGCAACTGCAACTGCACCCGCATCCGCACCTGCATCTTCGTGTCTTTTCAGGGTGGCTGCCATGTATCCACCTACCACCAACTTAGGGCCTTGCCTGGGGAGGCGCGATGGGCAGGTACCAGTGTGAGGCAGGTGCAAGACAAGGAAGGCAGGCAGGGCAGGGCAGGGCAGGGCAGGGCAGGTACACGATATGCATGACGCAACCTGCTGTGCATATAGATAGCAGCCAAAGTCCAGTCTAGTAGCAGGCTATCCACCGTATCTGCACACGGGAACTACTAATACGGTCTTGTTGGACCAAACAGGAAGCCGCGCGAGGACAGGGCACAGGACATTGATGCACAGAGCACCAGAGGACAGAGGTGTCGTCTGTTGCTCATCACTGACTGTCGACAGATTGACAGGCTGTGCTCGCAGATCGCAACGACCAATTGCTCCGGAGACGCGGCAAGATGCAATGCTACCTCAGCCTGCTGTGAACCGCCATATGGGGCCAGCAACTAGTCTACCGGCGTACTGTAACATGGATCATCAAGTCCGGCTGACAGGTTCGACTCGACAATGGCATCATGACAGCCAGGGGCGGGACGGATCATCGCAAGATCCAACTCTATCTGGCACCAACTCCCGTGCCCCCATTGGCAGCCCCCTTGAGCATGCGAGATCAGGCCAGCAGGCGCCTGCCGTATTTTCGTCCGGACACGAGGGCTGAGCTGGGCATTGCCGACACTCTGGGCGAGCTATTGCCCGCATCACCATTGCCCTCACCCTGGCCACGAACCCCTCCCTGCCTCCCTCCCGACCGCGACCAGCTGTGGTGGCGGCATCCCCGCGGTCTAGCACGGGGTTCGCAATGTAGGTCTGCCCGTTGATGGGGTCCCGCCGGTCGATAGTCGAAGATCCCACAGAACGGGGCCGGGCCCCATGTTCCCAACCGAAGAGGGGCCCGGAAGAGCTGATCACCGACCACCAAAAATAGTTCGCGCAGGGGAATGATGCATCATCCTTCCAACGTTAAACAAATACGTCACGCACTGCTGCTGTCCCCTAACAGCAGAAACCCCAGGGCGGGCTGGCCAGGGATGACAGGGCAGGGCAGGGCAGGACAGCTTTCTTCAGCCCTACAGGAGCGCCCCCAGGCCCGGAGGATTGCCACAGACCCCCTGCGATCTACCCGCCCACATCCCAGAGAGGGCTCTGGCGATGGCATCACCTGCCAGAACACAAGAGACGCGAGGCAAAGCAAAACGGCGGAGCCTCGTGACAACCTTCTCCCCCAGGCTGGTCCCCGTCGTCTCAGTCACCCGCTTGCCCACCGCAGTGCTTGCCGACTTGCGTCGACATTCTGACACATGCACCAGCGCATCAAACACATTCACAAATACTCTGCAGATCATCCGAGATGGTCCAACCCTGCTCACAGAGCAAGCGACGCCGTCAATAGGGTGAACCCACCAAGCCGTCACCTTGGTCAATTCCCCGGAGCCCCCGTCCCAGCATTCAACAACCAGCACTCAGCACCCAGCCTCAGGAACAGCTCAGCCCGACGAATTTGCCAATGGGGCCCGGCACTTGGGCCGTGTCAGACCCTCACCAGCACCAACAGCTTCGCCGAGCTGGTTCGTCACGACTCAATCTTGAAGCGGCCCTCAGAGAAGCGGAGAATTACCTCGAAAGAGGCCCAATAGGTCGGATTACTCCGTTCGTCCCACCGGGCAAGAGGCTTGACCCAGAGCGCCATTTATGTTCCAGGCATCTCGTGAACGGTGCGCTGGCAAGTAAGCTTAAATCTTCAAACAGGAACGACAGTCCCCTACGCCCCTTAACCCAAGAATGGCGCCCAGGGAACGAGGCGGCCCCTTTTCTCTCGGGTCTTGGGACGATGTGTCGTTCGCATTAATCCGGAAGCAACGAGGAGTCTCTATACTGCTGAAACTCCGGCTGCTCCTCAACTGAACAAGGGGCGCCCGTTACATGTTCTGATCGCCGCCTATACCTCTGCGGCGCCCAGATCACTCGGGGCCCTGGAGCTAATCGAGAATTGTCTGCCCATATTTGCCTTGCCATGGAGGCTTGACAAGACAAGGTTTGCCTTCGAAACCAAATGCAAGTCCTTTTGACACGCACGTGGGTGCAGAAACCTTGAGGCTGGCCGGCGCTTCGAGGTTAACTTGTCAGAATGCCGTGCACGGCGTCGCGGAATCGGCCCCTTGCATGAGTACCTGGTTGCGCCCACTCGCATTCCACTGCGTAAGGGTCTCGCCGACTTCCTTCTAGAAGGCAGATCAGAATCGAAATTGCTCAATTAGAGTGTACTGGGCTGTACTCAGCCCGATCCGCGTACGCCCCCGACTGACATGCGTCCGTGCGGATCGCTACCGGACTGCTGACAGCCAAGGCAAGGATATTCAGGCACCGAGGCAGGGGGCCGAGGGCAGAAATAAACTTTCGAATCTGACCGAGGCGACCGAAATGCAAGATGCCTCCCATGTCCAGCATGCTTTCTACATGTCAGCGCGTCAAGCGGGTACCGGCAAGGGGAGCCCAGCGTGGTGTTGGATCGCTTGGCTGACGGACGCGGGATGATCTCGACGGCCTCCAACACCCAACGACGACGACAAAGCAACGTGCCCACCTCTCTCAACACCATCGCCGCCGCCGCCGCCACAACACCACTACCCATCACACCAGCACAGGGGTAGAGATTACCCGCAGGCCATGTAATCAGAGACAATCTATGCAAGTTGAACAATATGGAGTTGAGCCACCGAGTGCGCCCGCACTCGCGCCCCTAACTGTAAACCGTCCCTGGTACTCGGGAGGGTGCGCTGCGGCTGTGAGTTTGCAGCGTGGGGAAATTCGGCGATGATCGCTTTTATCCTTGCCTGCACCTCAGCCACACACACACACTCACTCACACACGCATGCATGCTATGTATGTATGTACGTATGTACTTGCGCACGTACACGCCATCCCGACACCGCGGCGGATACCAATATTCAAGCAGGCTGGTGGTTAGTATCCAGCCCTGTGGGAAGCAAGCGGGCGGTCGCGGCGGCACGGGTATGGATCGGCCGCATGCCCACCTCTCATTCCACCCCCGATGTCCCCTCTTTTAGGTTCAGCCTCAGAGGAAAAGCCGTTGCGGCTAACTCAGGAACGCGCTGACGCCCGTTCTTATTGCTGCTAGACGCCGCCACCGCAGCGGGAGGGGTGAGGAGATGGGAAGACGCCAAAACATGGGCACCCTCCCTTGGTGCTGATTTTGGACCACGAAGCACGGCTTGCGACTGGACAGCCAAGTTCGTCCTAAAGCCAATTACAAATTTCGAGGTAATGGGAGCTAAGTCTTGACAGCTCCCACCAGGTGAGCTACCAAGAAATGCTTGACGCTGAGCGTGCAACGTTGTCCCCCGGAATAGCAGCAGAAACCCTGGGGAACCACAAGAGGTACACAGCCATGCTAGCCGGATGAGGAATCGTCGACGTCGACCATCATCCTTATCCCAAGCGAGAACAGACTACTGGAGACCAGGCGACTGTGCTATTAGGGAGCTAGGACCCCAGCTACTGCACGGGTACACATTTGCGCGCATCTAGACTACAGACTGTCCAAGGTGCAGCAGAAAAACGCCCGAAGAGGCATTGATGCATGAAGCTCTGCAATTTCAAATCAACCACGACAAATGATTACATACGCCAGACAGCTTCTCTTCTGGGGAGAGCTCTCCTGCTGTCCGCCATGTCTGACCCCCTCTACGGCTCAAACCTGCGCCCGGCGTGCCTCCGGATCCCCACAGGAAGCCAATCGCTTCCTCGACGGTATACCCGCCTCCCCCGTCGCCTGACAAAGACCGGACAAGGTGACAGGCCAAAAGGGCGCCAAATAGCTAGCTCTCCGGAGCAAATCAAAGAAAGCTACAGGGCAGAATGGGGACACCGAGCCCGGGCACCACACTTCCAAGCTACCAAGAAGCGAAAAGATGAAGAAACAAAAAAAATCAAGGTCAGAAAAGAGACGGACCCGTTTGGCAAACACGCGCCGGTGCGACGGGAGCGGGGCACGTGCCCGCCACCCAGGCCAGAGGGCTACCTAACCCCCGAACAGGATCTGCTTGAATGCTTCTGGAAAGCTCATGCGGCCATCCGCCGTCGCTTATGTGTTATTCCTGTGCGATCGTCCCAAGCCCCACGCCACGCCAATGCAGGTACAAGTATATACTTACAGAGCTCGTCCTTTTAACTATGGGCCCGGTGCCCACAGGCTAAGGCGTGTGGAATCCAACGTCATGCCGGGGCGCAACGGGGCAGCCGTGGCACGCGCCTTTGATGATGGCTGGACAACGAGTGGTCAATAGACGGCACACGACACTGCACTTTTTTCGTGGCGTGGATCACGGCTGTTGGTGTAGGTGTACAGGCCAAATTGAATTATTGCATGGCTTTTTGCAGGCTGCTTCCTCTCCCTTTTCGAGTATATCACATCGCATACATCTTGTACAGTACAATCTCGGCTCTTCTCCCTCGACACAAGGGAACCGAAAACACAGCCTCGCCGATGCCCTCGGAAACGCCGCGTCACCAACTACCCCTATTACCAACCCCAGAATTCTGCCTCCGAACAACAAGGGATGCGAGCCGCGGGCATTGGAATGCAAGGCCGGTCAGACTCAACCCTCGTGAATTTGTGTTCTCGCCTTGGAGCCCAAGCTCGCGTGTCCACGCGGAGCATCCCTTTCCGCGCTTCTTCCCCTGAGGACGTGCCCCTAGAAATCGAGACGCCTGGACAATTTTCTCCGTCCCATTCGCACTCGCGGCCCCAGAGGGCCGCTGTTCCAAACCAATCGTGAATGGCCGCAGCCTTGGCCAAAAAGTCAGCACTCCACTCGCTTATGCAAAGTTGTCGCTCCTGTCCACTCCAATGTCCTCAAGCTCTGCGAAGCTCTGGAAGTGCACCGGCCGGTGCGCGTCACTGTAGAAGGGCAGCGGGGTGTCGAGCTTGACACGGACGGGTTTCTTCTCCAGCCCGGCGAACGCCGAGCCCATGAAGCTGTAGTTCCACTGGCTGGTCTCGGGCACCAGGAAGAATCCTCTGTAGCGCGGGCTCAGCAACAGCTTGCGCTTCTCGCCCATCGTCGTGGTGAAGCCCTGCGGCTGGTCGCTCTGCAGGTCCTTGTTCTCCAGGCCCCACTTATAGCCCTGAGGACTGAGTGCCCATGCGGAAAGAGAGACACTGCCCGGCGTGAAGGACACCGACACTGTGAGCGTCTTGTCCTGTCCCATCTCGGCGTGGGCGTCGAGCAATTTGGCGTGTTCCGTGACGTCTGCTGCAGACATGTAGGGCAGCTCGTTGCCTGACATGGTGTGAATCAAGCCGAGGGGCTCCAAGTCCTTCAACAACTCATGCTGAGGAAGTTGGTGGGGCAGCTGAACATTTCGGAGGCCACCAATCTGGGGGACCAAGACGATACACTTGATTTCCTTCACCTGGTCGTACTTTGGCGGTGAGGATCCGTACAGATACCCTGCCACCTGCACACGCAGATCCGCAATCTGGATGAACCGCTTGAGGATGTTGTTCGGCATGACGTAAGTGATCTCCTCCGCATCATTGTCCACAGGGGAGACATAGATGTTGTTGGCGCGAGTACGCAGGTTTGAGCTGGCGATGGCCCGAGTGCGCCACTCGGTCTTGGATGCAAACGTCTGCTGTTCAAACTGAGACGTCGTCGTGACAATAATCTCTTCCCCGTGAACGTTCTGCGTCTTGGTCGTGACAGCAGTGAGTTGTTGCTGCTCTTGCTGCTGCTTCTCGATTTCCGCAGCTTGCTGTCTCTGCAGTGATGGAGCAGAAATCTCCATACCAAGAATGATGTCACGAACTTCGCTGCTTGTCAAACTGGACACGTTGACGTTGTTCTTCTTTCCGTAGTCGTTCAAGATCAGGTCTCTTAGTTGCGTTTCGACCTTGATCCAGTCTTCATCCGACAGAGTTGGCCAGATGTGATGTTCTTGAGTGACGACTGTCTTATCGGGGCGCAAGACAAGCTTTGTCTTGTCCATATTGACATGCAAGGCGCGCAGAATCAGGATCAGACGTGAGAAGGCGGTGTAAGATGAGATGCTCTTGAGCCACTCATCATAGAGGTTGAACAGCACCATCTGGGGCTCCGTCGCTCTGAGGATCATGTCGCCGAGCTTTTCGACCTTCATTGCAGCCTGGAATGGCAATTGCAACTCGGAAGCCCGAATGGAAATGTTGGGGAAGTCAAGCAGGTTCACTTCCAAAGGATCGAGAAGACCTTTGCGAGTGACGATGAGCTGTTTCGGCTGCTCTTCCACAGGGAGGGATCGAATAAGAGCAGCAACTTCTTCAGCTGTCTTCCACTTCGCCAGCTGACCGAGACGTTTCTGTCCAGCCCACACGCTCGTGTGGATGATCTTCAAGAACAACTGGCCGGTTCTCGGGTTGAAGATGAAGATGGCTCCGTTGATCGGTTTGGTCGTCAAGTTGCCTTCAAAGGTCTTGTGGATGGTCACACGGTACACGTTGGTGTCGTCAATGAACAGCTGGGTCTGGTTGCTGAACAGTTCGGAGTAGTTCTGCGAGTTCAAAAACTCCTGGTTGCTCTCGGAGGCGTACAGCTGGAGGCCCTTTCGGATACGCTCACGAAGAACATAAAGAGCAGGGTTCGCTTTCATGATCTTGGCCATGGCTTGTTGAATGAGCATCTTCAAACCTGGGAAATAGTGACCGTACGCTGAGTAGAGGTTGTATGCGAGCTGAGATGTGTTAGTCACCTGCTACAGGGCTAAAGAGGTGCATTCTGGTTCGTGCTTACATCGATCCCAATCATCAAGCCTGTCGCCGACGGGTATAGACTCATGCTGTCGGTCGTGTAGTCGAGGTACTTGGCACGAACGTAGCGTTCGATGTCGTGCGAGTCGTAGTCTCCGTAGCGTAACTGAACGTCAAGCCAGAACTTGTTGGTGGTGTGCGGCTCAATGACGTCTTTTGTGTCGAACAACATCGAGGGTCGAGTAACGTTCCACTTGTGACTGGCGAACAGCTGGATGTCAGAGGCGCTCGAATTCATCTTGTAACTCTTTCGAGGATGAATCCTAAATTGAGGTCAGCTCGCGATCCCAAAGGTGCGGAGAGTGATGACCCACGTTTCCTTCTGTACAGTTTCTATCGCTAGCGACTCCAGTTCGGTGTCGAAAACCTGGCACTGCCGAAGTTGTTAGTGATTGAAACCCATAGACGGGGAAATATGTGCTTACCAAGTCCATGACGACGCTCTCATGGATCTTCTGCCACAAATGAGCCCGGAAGATCTGAATGAGCGAGATCTTGAGGGTCGGGATTTTGCCGTGTAGGAAGATGCCCGTCAAGTCCAGTTGCACTGTAGACATGTTAGCATCACTCGTGGATGATCCACGTGGCTCAAGAAGGCCAAAAACCACGGCAAGGACCCGTACCTTGAAATCCCACATACACATTAGCGCGGTTAATCGTGGGAGACCACCACAGTGTGAATCGTCTGTTGAACATGTTAGGACGTCGTCCAAAGTGTGAGGAAGGTTTTCACCGTTTACCTGTTCGGAATTTGATTCAGACCGCTCCGTTGCGCATTGGTGAGCTTCTTGAATTTCTGTGACGACGCATGTCAGTATACTTTATTCCACGTGGATTAAAGGGGCGAACGTCGACTTGTCAACGAGTCGATACTTCGTCGACAAGTCGTCTCGAGTCGATAGTTCACCAACTCGTTGACCTGTCGACGATCTATCGACTCGTTGACTTTGTTGACTCTTCGTCGAACTATCAACTCGTCGACTCGTCGTCGAACAATCGACTTGTCGACTCGTCGTCGAGGACGTCGACAAAGACAGATTAGGACAGAGATTAGGACGTCGTCCGAGTACTCACCATCGACTCTTCGAAACCGCTGTTGTGAAGCACGAGATGGTCGTGACGCAGGTAGAGCTGATCTTTGTCGACGCGGAAGCCGAACCACTCAGTCTCCTCCTCTTCGAGCTCGATGGATATGATCTGGTGGTTTCGAGCAGGCGTGAGCAGATTTTCCAGGGCGATCTTGCGGTGAAGTAGCGTGGGAATCTCTTTCAGGTCGCCGTAGATCCGTGCTGACATCATCGGGTTCGACGTTTTGACGAAGTTGTCTGGTCTCGACATGTACTCTCGTGTCGTGACAGTGAAGCCCAGAGACCGCGCGAGCATCACAGTATCTTGAAACAGCCTCGAATGCCACCTCTTGCTCTGAGCGAACACAAAATACCCATTTCCCTTCCTGCTCATCCAATAGCTTCCGTCGGTATCGATCAATCCTGCCAGTACAGCCAGGCGGACAGCTCGCGAATTTTTCATGTACGCTTCGGGAATGTGCTTCGTGTCACCGGCAGGACCCTTTGGACCCCTGTAGATCAAACCCAGACTATCCATTTGGCGGAGGAGCGTATTCACGTTGGGCCTCTGATTCTCTTGTGCAGGCATTATCTGCTCCGCGATAACATCCTCTTCCTCAGGATCGAGGTCGCCGTAGACTCGTCGACCAGAGCGTGGTCGACATTGTCGCGGGCCTTGAACCTGGCTCTCCTCATCGATGTCATCAGAATCAGAGTCGGACTCCGATTGGACGTCGTCCAATTCCACTGCCTCGTCCATGTCAAATCCGATCATGTCAACGATTTGGTTGAACTGCGACTCCTCCTCAGAATCGATTGGAATATCCGGACCGCCAATCTGAGACATAAACTCTTGATCCGACATGAGTTCAGAAAGAGGATCATCAGGGATGAATTCGGAGCCCTGGGATTCCTGGCGAGACTGTGACTGGGAACTGTCAAGGGTAAGGTCCACGATTGGCTGCTGTAGATCATCTATGGCGGACTGTTGGGGCGGGCTGCTTCCAGTGAGATCAATGACTGCTGGATCTCCCGACGCCGTGCTGACCTGAGACGCACGAATCTCATCCTGCACAGCTGGTGGAGGCGGTGTAGACTCGATGTCCGAAGAAAATGCAACAATCTTCTTCCTGAGCGCCTGAGCATTGGGAATAGCCTCAGGTTCGGCAGCAACCTGTCTCTCGGGAGTGGCACCGTAGATATCCTCTTCAGGCTCCCATGCTGCGTCGACGTTTTGACGGATCGGAAGACTTGAAAAACTGTGCGACGAGTCGAATTCTTGCGAGTCAGGAATAAAACTGGAGCTGCGATGCCTCTGACGCCTGGGCTGGTCCGGGCTGGCATTACCAGGCCGCTTCACAGTCGTGTAGGCGGCGCGCATGGGCTGCGCATCGTGAAGGAGGCTCTGGATCTTCGTGGCGACGATCTCACTAGGAGCGTGCCAGGTGGATGTTCCACTCCCATCCTTGCTGGGGAGGACCTTCCAGCCAGCGTCAAGTCGTCGGCCAAGGATGGTTAGACGACGAATCATTTCATCTCGTTGATTCTGGTGCAGATGGGGTGCCGTCGACTCTGGCATTGGACGCTGTCCAACTGAAGTCCTGCCGACGATTGCGTAGGTGAGACTTGCATGGTTCCCGTGGTGAACGAAGTGCAGATCGAGCTCAGCAGCATAGGCGGCGAGGAACTCGCGAATCTCCTTTTCGTGGTTGTTGGCGATTGTCGTATTCCTTCGATTACCATCACCAAGCCATAGCCCCAGGAAGTATGGATTGACGGTAATATCCTGCTCAGGATAGTCAAATGGAGGTGGCCGGTACAGCAGGTATCGAGCCTGGGACCCTTTGTCGAGAGCTGCAAACTCGGCGGCTGTCATCTCGACGGGCTCGTATAGATCACCTGCGGAGACATCAGGAATGACGTCCTCTGAAATGACACCCTCGAGCTCCTCATCGGGGAATCCTGGAAATTCGAAGATCCGACCATGGTCAACGCGGTTTTTTGTTGCTGTGACACGAATCCTCGGGTTGCGTCCTTCGTAGTTCCAAGTGAGATACATCCGTGGCAAGCCCTCGTCGACTCTGCAAGCACCACGCTTTTTGTTGGCAGTAGACTGCTCGAGGTATCGCTGTCGCAGATTGTACAGTGTCACTGAGCCGGTTCTGCGAGCCTCCCGAGCCTTTGCGACAGCGGCAGCATAAGCTTCCTCCCTTGACGCATAGAAGACCGGAGAATGATCGGGATGTCCGTGAATCTTTTCCCGAGATGGATTGCCCCATGCAAAGGTGTACCACTCGCGGATGTCGTTTTTGCCATTGGGTATGTCAAGGCTGAAATGACCGAAGTGTTGTCTGATTGCCGTTGTGCCGTTGAAAAAGTTCCGCAGTCGACGTCGACCCTGGTCGCTATGCTCGAAATCGAGCATCCAGCGAACAGATTTTTTGAGCGCGCTCAAAAAATCAGGCACCACATGGGTCTTATAATGGGGACGCGTAGTGTCACCGGCTTCAGAGTCAAGCATAGGTAGAGGTCCGAGTCGATCTTCAAAAGCCTGGCGTTGATCATCCGCTGATGGTCCATGGTAATTGTCATGGTGCGTTTTGGCCTTATGCAAGGCCAAGATATGGTTGGGCGTCACACGAAGAACGTCCTTGCTGCGGCCAACTTTGATGCGGTATAGACGTTCCTTGCCGCTGACGATGTTGAAAGCTTTGCGTGTACCTCCGTCGGGTCCAAGGAGGAGGTCGCCCTTCTTGACATCTTCAACTTTGATTTCAGAGCCGTCGTAGAGAGCCAGTCGGGTTCCTTTGGCTAGGCAGGCCTGTGAATGAGAAGTTAGAATGGTTATTACATGGTTATTACCGCAGTGGTATGTGATTAGGACAGTGATTAGGACAGGTTGGTGCTCTTAAACCACGTGGCTTAAGAAAAGTGACATGAACAGGAATACGAGACAAGCGGTGACTCATCTACGAACTACTCACCTTCTCCCAGAAGAGCCCTTCCCAGCTAGCGAAACCTGTTGCTTTGCTGCTGCCTGTCAGCATCTCCACAGATGGACTGTAAGTGGATGGGAGTCCTGTAACTTACAAAAGAGTGTGCTCCAGGATCGTCTCGACACCTCCAAGAGCTTGGATCACATCAGTGCGGTATGCGTTCACTTGCGCTGGTCAGTAGAGTATTACATTCATGAAGGGAAAGGAAGTCTCACAATTCCACAATTTTCCATCATGCCGGGCAGATGTCCACCAGAATGGATTCTGTTTCATCTGCTGGAACTGCTTGAAAATTTCCCTCGCGCGGAATCCTTTGTCGAAACTCAGTGTGCTTCTGTCCTTTTGGAAGAGTGTGTTGATACGCGGCAGACCACGGTCCCAGCTGTCTTCGAGGTCTTCCAAGGTCAGACGACGGTTTTGTTGGTTGGCTTCGAGTCGCTTCTGAGAATACTCTGTCCACACTCTCTGGGAATCAATGAACTCTGACTCCCAGGGGATGATGTACCTGAAGATGTTGGGGATCAAGGTTTCCTCATCGTGGGTCATTCCTGCTCTGAAGTGGCTCACTCTGTGCCACCAGTCACAGTCAGTCAGCTAGCTTTGAAGGCAGGAAGGAGCGGAGGTGTGGAAGCGCTTACCCTGTGTCCGTCTGCTTAGACCATCGCTTGTCGCTTGCTGGAATCAGGATGTGTGATCCCGAAATCATACCAAGACCTCCGAGTTCCTTCGGCGTGTAGAAGACAGCTGGCGGGAATCGAGAAGGCATCTTCGAATTTAGGCCGATCTTGACTCTCGTCTGAATCTTGGTCTCGCACTTGACGATGGTGTCGAGAAGGGTAATCGTCGACACCGCTGCCTCGCGATAATAAGTGAACAAAGCGATGAGTGCGGTGTTCCACTTGTTGGCAATCTTGGTGAAAGTTGTGGATCCAGAAGACATGAGTATCTGCCTGATTCGGTTGTTGAACTTCTGGACATCTTCCTCAGTCACCTGCAAGAAGGCGTGTGCTGTTCTCTCCTTGCTTTCATTGTCGACCAAGGACCAGACGCTGTCCTTGACTGGGAACTCTTCGTTCTGATTCCGGATCTTTGGCAAGATTCGAACCTCGAACCCAGACATTGAAAAGAGCAGATTGGGATTGTCTCGGCTGTAGACACTAGCAAATGTCTCATCCCATTCGATGGTGGTGATAGAGCGTGGCAGTCGGTTCTTCAGATCCCAGAAAACAGCTCGCCCGAGGTTGACGTCGTGCCTCATTAGTCTCATACGCGAGTCTTTCGGCCAGCACTTCTTGCTCTTATACCCGATAACGTTCTCAAAGTTGGGATCAGGCTGTTCGGTCAAGAATCTCTGGATCAGATCCCTCGACTCGTCAGCTGTGAATCTCAAGAACATCCAGATCTTGTCAATGTAGCGGGTGTAGAGGCGGATGGGATGCTTCGTCTCAGTCTCACGATCACTGAACTGAAGGAAGTCATTGGGCTTTTGAGGAGGACCGGCAATCTCGGTCGCCCGCTGAGGCCCCAAGAGCAACAAGTCGAGAACCAGGCCGTAGTACTGGAAGACAAATGCGGAGAACTGAAGACCACGAATCATGCCGTAGCTGTTTACGTGGTTCATATCCTTGTAGGTCAGCGTGACGTTGTTCTTTGCGGTGATGTAGTCTGCCAGATTGTGATCCATGATCAGCCGAAGGAGAGAGTTGAGAAGGGTCAGTTCGATCTTCTCATAGATCTTGGACAGTTGCGTCTCGATCATGACGTTACACTCTCCATCCTCGGTAACCCAAACATTCTGCAGATTGTTGATGCCTTGGGCCCACTTGTAAGTCAGAAGGGGTGGCACTTCTGAATCTGATGGCTTGATCCACGCGGGGAACAAATGCCGCTGGTCTGCCTGATACCAGAGGTATTGGTCTAGATACGCGTCGCTGATCTTCTCGATGGGCTCAATATCATAGACAGGATTGATCGTGCTGTAATTGTCGTTCATGTCGATGCCGACCTCCTTGAAAGCTCTCTGAGTGAGCAAGAACCGCTTGATGCGTTCCAAAGTCGTGCCAGGGCTATCATAAGCCTGCTCAATGAGAGCCAGTTCTTCGCGTTGGCTCTGGTTGAGACGACCCTTAGTGGAATATGCCTCACGTAGTCGTTCGAGAGCCAAAATCAGGATCTTGGTGTCATGCTTGTAGGAGACGCTTGGGAACGGAATGGGAGAGAACTTGCGCGATTCCAACCAGTGCACCATAGTTGTGTAAATCGCAACGGCTTCCTCAGAAGAGACGTAAGGACCATCCTTCATGTGGTTGTGTTGCCGTTCCTGCTCAGCCTTGAGCCAGAGACGTGTGAGACGGCCAACGTTCTTCTTGGCAACTGTCTTGTCGACTGTAGCACCTCTCCTGATCCGCTCACGATTGTAATGCGCCACCGAAATCCACCAGTCCGCCTTCGACTTGACATATCGCAAGATGATGTTCTCGATGGCGGCGGGTAAGCCAGGAACCTTCCATGGAATGTTGCTCTTCCAGCATCTCCATGCCTCGGAAAGATGTTGCAGCACCGTGTTCACCTTGTTCTGCTTGATGCCTTCAGGCATCATATCCATGAGGTCTGCCATGACGGATGCTCGGAGCTCCAGATCAAAGTGAGACTCAACACGCTGCTTCGTCACTGTCTTGGCGACGCCCTTGGAGTGACGACCCTCAAATTGACGCGACAGCAGGTTTCCTAGCCAGCGCTCGAGCAGAGGGATGATTCCGCGCATGAAAAAGAGCCAGACTCTCCAGGCCGGGGCCCAGAAACCACAACCAGGCCCCTTGCCGACCGGCCCAGCATTGAAGCGGTAATAGATCAGATGCTTCAAATCTTTGCAAGTTCGAATTTGGTGCATCAGCTTGTACTTGTAGCGGTACATTCCTGTGAGTTGACCAACGTGATTGAAGGCGTAAAGAATACCATCGGCGAGCTGGAAGGCATCAATGTTGCCCAGACGGTACTGCACTTGAGCATCCACAATGAGTTTTGTCAGACGCAGGATCTCACGCATGAGATGGAACGCATTGCCAAAACGAGACTTCTTCCGCTCCTTCGTTGTAAGGGTCTTGACAGGCTTCAGGTTGAAGTTGTAGTCCAGATGGAGATAGGTGAGGTTCTTGCGGTGGATGAGGAGATTGAGCATGTTGAAGCCCTGCCGGCAGACCTGAAGACCTGCTTCAACCCAGTCGATGGTTGTCTGCTGGAAGAACTTGGTAGCCTTGAGCGTCCTAAGCAGGTTCTGCCTTTGGAGCGCTTTCGGCTTCTTTTTGTGGAGTTCATTCAGGACATAGGTCTTCAGCATCTTTTGGTATGACACTCGAACCTTGACAGGCTGCTTCGGCGGGCAGTGCTCAAGATACCACTGCTTGATTAGTGGGACATCTTGCGCCCGAACCATGCGGCCTGAGCGACGGTCGAAGGGGAACGGGGCCCACCACAGCTCAATCGCTGAGGCAGTGTCATCGTTGTAAAGGTCCTCGTCAGCTAGGAATGGTTCCACTCCAGCCGGAAGGGTGAAGGCCTCTTCCTCGTCCTCTTCGATATTGCCCTTCCCAAAGAGCTCATCCTCGTGGGTGATGCTGAGATTCTTGGGAGCGACATCACGCGATGAGATTGGGTTGATGGACTTGTCGAAGTAAAATGCGGGCAAGCTCGGGTCATCCGTCCTGCTATAGACTGTCTGAGGATGAGAGTGCCATGATAGATGAACGCTTCGCGGCAAAGAATTGTACAGGAAAGGAAATGCGACCCTGTCCTCGGTGCGGACGGGGTTTCTGAAGATGATTCGATCAATCGCGTTGAACTCGCCAAAGTCCTCGTCATTGGGATCGATGTCCTTGTATAAGGGCTCAAACCGCGGACCACCAGGAAGGGCAACATTCAGGGCCTTTGCCGACAACAAGCTCTTCAGTTCGAAGAGGTAGAAGTAGTTCTTGTCGAAGACATCTGATATGAGAGGCCGACTGAGACGATACAAATTGGCCATCTGTTGTAATGTAAGGTTCCACGTCTTGTAGCTAGGGCCGTTCACGTGAGGCGTGTCATCGAGTGGCCTGTGGTCATAGAACCATTCCTGGATGGCCTCATCGTCGTCTTCGTCCAACTCCATCTGGACAGGCTCCAAGGGATCGACGTCTTCGAGGTTTTCGGACCACGACAGAGGAGGCTCCTCGTCATCGAAAGGTGGGAATCGCATCCGCTTGAACAGGCGCCGGTCACTCTTCTCTTTTCGCATGATCACCCACATCGCACCCCACTGTGCAACGAAGACAGGTTCGATGACCCGGGGTATCTCGTTGACAAGCGTCAAGCACCCGTTGACATGGTAGAGAACCTTCACTTCTCTCGCGGATTCCCAAGGCATCGGCATGTTTTCCAACAGCTTCATGACAGCATGGGGCATGAACTTCAGGGCACCCAGGTAACTCCTCTTGTCGGCGGTGTATTTCTTCTGTGACACGTCGCCGATGTCTTTGACGATCTTCCGGAGATGCTCGGGAGGCATGTCAGCCTTCTGCGTCTCCACGAACCCACCCTTGCGCTTCTCGCCAAAACGATTCCGTTGCAGTCGAAGCCATTCCTTCTTCTTCTGCTCAAATTTTGCGGTATGGGGGTCCGCGCTTGGTCGGAAACCGGGTGGAGGAGGTGGTGGTGGCGCGCCAGGAGGGGGAGGCAGCTGGGAAGGCGGAGGAGGCATGGCCGAGTCGGGAGGAGGGGGAGGAGGGGGGCCCCAGCCGGGGGGAGGCGGCGGAGGAAGCTGAGACATGTCGAGATTATCAAGCCGCGACGGCCAGTGTCAAAGTTGGCCGGAAGAGACTCAGACTCGCGTGTGTTCGCGGTCCGCGGTCGCGAACGCGGGACAGGTTTCACCTATGCGCGTGACTTTAGCAGTGAGTTCGGAGACTGTCGTAATAGTGTTGTGGTTCGTACAGCCGTCTATGAGAAACTGCATTCATCGATGGTGTGCCTGCGACAACCAGAGCTCAGTTGCTGATGGGGTGGCGAGGGTGTCGCAGCTCGTCGCTGTAGCTGGATGGACTCAACGGCGGTCGTTGACGAGGCGATAAAAAAGTTCCCGCCTGAAAAGCACCATGCTGTAGCTCGAACTGGGAGCACGGGCCAAGTCTTGCAGTTGGATGGGTCCCTTCTCCTGACCCCTGCCACCTCAAGCTGCACTGCACCTACTCACTCTGCTCTGCTGCCTTCACTCAGTGAGAATACCCGCACCGCGGCAGCACTTCTGCCTCGATACTGGTCAATGCTTTATCCCACTGGCATGTTAAATGGCCAAATTACCCAAATAGATCATTTTCTAGGCAACAAACCCGAGTGACTCACATATTGGCGGCCAAACGCGTTGACAGCTGGCATCGACCGACACTCACCAATCTGCCGGCCCGTCTTTTTTCCCCCACTTCTTCAAAGGACTGCCTGGAAAATTCATCTCTCTCACCTCCCAAGGACCCCTCCATCAGGAATTACTGACAACCCGCGAAGCGACTCGGCTGCACCACATCAAACTGGTCGATACCTCCTACGAACGGACCATCGATCAAATAAGTCAGCAATCAAGACACCATGTCTCGCTTTTTCCGCGGTGGTAACGACAGCTCTTCGGAGAGCAGCTCCGACGAGGAGGACCTCTACGAGTCCGAGGAGGAGGAACAGGAGGAGCAGAAGGACGAGTCTGAAGAGGAGGACGAGGACGAGGAGGAAGAAGCATCCGACGCCGAGTCCAGCGACAGCGATGCAGGCAAAGCCAAAGGTGCTTCTCGTTTCTTGGAGGGGTGGTCCGAAAGCGAAGAGAGCGACACGGAGCAGACGACGAAGGTCAAGTCCGCCAAGGACAAGCGACACGACGAGCTCGAAGCCACCATCACCGCCATCACAAACGCACAAAAGATCAACGACTGGAACATCATCTCCAATGGTACGTCCTGGCTCGCTCGGATCCTACGCACGTGTCTTCCTGCCTGTGGTGCGATGCTAACCGGCCGCAGAGTTCGACAAGCTCAACCGCCAGGCTGAGAAGCTTAAGGTGGCCGGCAAGGCCCCTAAGCCTTATGTGAAATGTATCGCCGAGCTCGAGGACTACATGAATGAGTCCATCGCCAAGCAGAAGGTCACTCCCAAGAAGATGAGCAAGCAGAACGCCCAAGGTCTCAACGCTGTCAAGCAAAAGATCAAGAAGACAAACAAGGAGTACCAGAGCCAGATCGAGGAGTACAAGGAGGACAAGGATGGATACTTGTGGGAGTCGGAGGAGGAGGAGCCGGTGCCCAAGTCCAAGAAGGTCCGACTTGCTGACGCCTTCACCGCATCTACTGACGACGTCGACGACGAGGGTTTCGCGACGGTTGGGAAAGGAGGCAAGACTCTTCTGTTCACACCTGAGAGCATCCTGAAGCACCTGCGCACGATTATGGAGTCTCGTGGCAAGAAGAACACCGACAAGCAGGAGCAGATCAAGATTATGGAGAAGCTCAACGAGATTGCCAACACGCCCTACCAACGAATCCGCGTCCTTCTCACACTCATCTCCACCCGTTTCGATCTGGGCTCTGGCGCAACTACGTCCATGCCGCTGGACCATTGGAAGGCGGCTGAGAAGGAGATCGGCCAGCTGCTGACAACCCTGAACGAGAACCGCGACTACGTCGTGATTGAAAACGCAGAGGAATGGGAGGATGATGAGAAGCCTCCAACCCTGGAGAAGGACCAGAAGTATATCAAGGTTCCCGGCAGCATCGTGTCCTACATTGAGCGCCTGGACGACGAGATGACAAGGTCTCTGCAGAACATCGACCCTCACACGTCGGAGTACATCGACCGCCTCACGGATGCGGCTGCTCTGTACAACCTCATCTTCCGAGCCCTTCTGTACTACGAACTGCTGCAAAAGGACGAGGCTCTGGCGATCGAGCAGGATAACATCAACCGAATCGTGAGCCGTCGTCTCGAGCATGTCTACTTCAAGCCCGCACAGGTCGTCAAGACCCTGGAGGAGAACTCATGGAAGTCCGTTGCTGCGGACGTCGATTCAGCAATCACACCACGAGCCAAGACCGTCGAGGCTTTGGATCTCGTCAACATCCTCAGCACCTATCTCTTTGCCAACAGCGAGGGCATCCACCGAGCACGTGCTATGCTTTGCCAGATCTACTTCCTCGCACTCCACGATGATTACTACAAGGCTCGTGATATGATGCTCATGTCCCACTTGCAAGAGACAATCAGCAGCTTCAACGTCTCGACACAGATCTTGTTCAACCGCACGCTCGTTCAAGTGGGACTTTGCGCGTTCCGCAAGGGCCTCGTCTACGATGCCCAAAACACGCTCCAAGAGATCTGCGGAAGTGGACGGCAAAAGGAGCTCTTGGCTCAAGGTGTTATGATCCAGCGCTATAGCCAAGTCACACCAGAGCAAGAGCGACTAGAGAGACAACGACAGCTGCCCTTCCACCTGCACATCAACCTCGAGCTCCTCGAGTGCGTGTACCTCACCTGCAGCATGCTTCTGGAGATTCCACTTCTGGCTCAGATTGGCTCTTCGCCCGATGTCAAGAAGCGAGTGATCAGCAAGACTTACCGCCGCATGTTGGAGTACCATGAGCGACAAATCTTCACCGGCCCCCCTGAGAACACCAGGGACCACGTCATGCAGGCTTCGAAGGCACTGGCTGCCGGCGAGTGGAAGAAGGCGACTGAGTTCATTCACGCCATCAAGATCTGGGAGCTGATGCCAGACACCGACAGCATCAAGGAGATGCTCGCCAAGCAGATCCAGGAGGAGGGCCTGCGGACATATTTGTTCACGTACGCACCCTTCTACGACACGTTGGCTGTCGAGACTCTCAGCAGCATGTTTGAGCTGGATGCGACCAAGACGGCTGCTATCGTAAGCAAGATGATCAGCCACGAGGAGCTTGCCGCCGCTCTCGACCAGGTCACCAAGACGGTCATCTTCCGCAAGGGCGTGGAGCTCAGCAGGCTCCAAAGCTTGGCCCTGGCCCTGTCCGACAAGGCCAGTGCCCTTATGGAGTCAAACGAGAGAACACTGGAGCACCGCACACAGGGCACAGCCAACGCCTTCGAGAGGACAACGCGACACGGCGGCCGCGGTGGCCGCGGTGGACGTGGTGGCGGAGGCAGGGGCCGTGGCGGAGCAAGAACAGACGGTGGCCCAAGGCAATCGCAGGGCTTCACAGGTGGCGCCCTGGGAGTCCGTGGTTAGGAGGTCGATGTGTTCTGCTCTGGGTGACTTATTTTATTCGGCCTTAATTGCATGGTACCGGTCCTGCTTGTATGAATGAGTGGAAAAAAGGGATAGGCAGCAGACAGACTCGTGTCAGTAGAAATAGCGAGTTTAGACGGCTGGAATTGATGACCTGAATTTTACGAAAACAAACTCCTCAACATGCACAAATTGATGTGAATTCCGATCAATGGCCAAAGAAACCTTTCTATTACACTGCTTTCATAGTGTGTTTCTGGTGGGCGAGTACTTACATGTGGCAGGTCAGGGTGGCTCCGATTAGATAAGATCCTCCACTAGCGGTTGGCAGCTTCAAAATTGTAAGAGCTTCCGGAGCGCGGTCGCTATGTCGACCCGTATCCTCCCCCGCAGAGACACCCACAATGCCTCCCAGAATACCAATCTCGCAGGTCACAAGATGCTGCCGGACCTCAATTGAGCGACGGGGCGTCCCAGGGACCGCGAGCACCCCGCTCGCTTCACTGTTCGCTGCGCTCTCGATACAGCAGGTGCCCGCACAACCGGCGAGGTCGCAAGCACGGAGCGCATCCATCCTCGCCAACCTCCGCGACAACAAAGGGGCATACAACAAGCGTATCCGAAAAGGTCGTGGTCCATCCTCCGGCTACGGCAAGACGTCCGGCCGCGGTCACAAGGGTCAGGGTCAGCATGGCCACGTGAAGCCTTGGTTCCAGGGTGGGCAGACGCCCTTGATCTTCAAGCATGGTTCAAGGGGCTTCGTGAACCAGTACGTTCTACATACATCCCTCGTCCCGGAAAACTACAGTCGAGGGCAGGACCGGAAATGCTAACCACTGCCGTGCCACTCCAGCCGCAAAGAAGTAATGTCCGAAGTCAACCTCGACCGCCTGCAAGCCTGGATCGACGCGGGCCGCATCGACCCGACAAAGCCCATCACGCCTAAGGAGATCATCCAGTCGGGCCTGCTGGGGCGCGCAAAGGACGGCGTGAAGCTACTGGCGCGCGGGTCGACGGAGCTCCGCTCCCCGCTCGAGATCGTGGTGTCGCGCGCGTCCGCGTCCGCGATCGAGGCCGTGGAGCGCGCGGGCGGCAAGATCGTCACGCGGTACTACACCAAGGACTCGATCAGGCGGCTGCTAAAGGGCCGGAGCGTCAACACGGCGGAGCCGCTGCCCGTGGGAGAGCACCACGTCCAGGAGGTGCTGGAGAGGGCGAGGGCGAGCCCGTTCACTTACAGGCTGCCGGACCCGACGAGCCGGTGGGACATCGAGTACTACCGCGACCCGGCGCACAGGGGTTACCTGAGCCACCGCCTGAAGCCGGGTGAGAGTCCGTCGCTGTACTTTAAGGTGCCGGGCGAGCAGGTCGCGAAGAGGGCTGCTAAGGCGGAGAAGGAGGAGGAGGGTGATACGACGCTGTTCTGATCGCGAGTGGTGGCGGGTTGAGGATGGGTGCATCTTCTCGGGCAAGCGTGTGGTAGAAGCTCGATATGTCAATGCATGCTTCAGCATCTAGGGCCTACTAGTCTGGGGCAGATTCAAGATCGAGAACAGAACGGCCGTTACTTGGGTTATGTGAGTTCAAAGAAGAGCTTCTCGTCCATTCACGGTTCAGTGAATTACTACATCCACTGTGTACTGGCAACCATTTCACCGCGGTGGCTTGATATAGGAGCATGTTAAAGAGTGGTCAAGCACACAATGAAGCCTTGCTCTTGTCTCCCGCATATGGAGCTGGAGGCCGAGTACTCAAGAGAACTGCCTGAGTGTTCGTGCCCAACTCATTCAATCTTGGGCAAAGACATCTCAGCCACGCTGGCGAGCAGGCGCAACATGATGTGTATGTCAGGCTCAGTGCGAAAAGAATCCCACCTGGACGTGACACTGCAGAGCAACATCTCTAAGAATAAGCATTCAAGGTAGGAATCCCAGACGCGCACTCTCAGGCTGGGCAAGGGCCGCCTGTCGCTGAGACGGGCAAGTCGCTTAGCGCTGTGCCTCCTATTGGGTGGGGAATCGCATCCTGGAGCTTCCCATGCACATGTTCCAGGTTGGAGCTTCGATGCCACCGTCTCGTACTGTGCACTTCTAGGAGTTATCTAGGTCACGTCCCCAAGTCAGTGACGACTATCACGATCGTTCTTGCTAAAGCGCCCCTCGCTACGTTCTGGTTTTTGTCGTCGCATCGGTTCGCTCTCGTCGCTGGTGTTCCAAGCGTCTGCCGCCCGCGCCCAGGATCCTCGGCGCAACTTAACGGCACGAATCGATTACGTCGCTTGCAGTTGATCCTACTCGTGCTTCTCCGCTGATCAGGACTCGAGGCTGCATTGCGCAAACGTCGTCCTGAGACCTGTCTCGACTCCAGCCAAGTACAACCAACCTACCCTGAACAAGAAGCAATGTCGCTATTCGGAGAGCCCGAGGCGGACGAGAGTCCGTCCATGACCTCGTCGTTCGCCCGCTCTCGGCAGTCGCTGTTCGACGAGGAGGACTCGAACAACCCGTCCAACTCGAACTCCCTCTTCCAGGACGACGACGTAGCCCGCAGCGGGACAGCGTCGCCATGGGACATGCCCACGCCGCGCAAGCAGCACTCGAGGGCCGAAATCGTCCGCAACCTCCTGCCCGCCTCCGACGTGCCGGATAGCTACATCGAGACGTTCGACAGCGTGGTACGCGAGAATGGCAGCGGGGGCAAGGTCGCGTCCGGGGGCGTTATGCGCGTCCTCGCTGCTGCCAAGATGGGCGCGGACGATCAAGCCAGAATAATGGGTATAATTGCGGCGGGCGGCGGGGAGGTCGCTCTTGGGAGGAACGAGTTCAACGTGTTCCTGGGCCTCATTGGCCTCGCCCAGGAGCACGAGACGATCAGCCTGGACGGCATCGACGAACGCCGAAGAAGTGAGTGTCCTGCTCCGTCCTGCTCCGTCTGCCAATCCATCAATCCACACTTTGCCCACCTCGCCCACGCAAGCGCCTGTACCGCGGTCCGCAGCATCCATCACAGTGCCCTCTATCTCTTATCTGTGACCGCCATTGGCACCATGTCCTGCAGGTGGATGCGCTGTTCGCCCGGCTGTGTTGTCAATTGGCCCGCCCACCCCCAATACCCATCTCGAAAGTCTCAGAGCTCCTGTGGGGCCCCCGGCCCCCTGCTGTGTGCCCTGCTTTACCCTACCTGACGACACGCATCTTACGTGCTTGGGTGTTTATAGCCCGCTTGCGTTTCTTTTCCATCGTCATTGCTGCTAACAGTCCTATCTCCTCGTACTAGACCTCCCAATCCCAAGCCTCCCAGGCATTCTAGGAACGCCCGCTGCAGAACTCTTTGCTCGTACCAGTGAACTCTCCGCGAAACCTCCACAGCGGCCGATAACTCCACCAGCCAAGGATACCGCACCCACACAGCCGTCGATGGAATACTCAGATGATCCCTGGAACACACCCGATGTTCACAAGCACCATAAACACGCAACAGAGGCCGCGCCTCCTCAGACACATGTCCCTGAAGAGCATCCTGCAGAGATCAACCCACCCTTGAATGGCCATGGCGATAGCAATGGCGCCCGCGAACCCACCGGACCGCCTGCACGCACAACCTCGACCTTCACCACAGCTTCAATAGAGTCTGTAGGAGAGCCCGTCCCGGCCCCGACGCGTCAGGACTCGTTCCCGCCGGCTACTTCTCCAGGAGCCGGCTGGGGTACCGGTGATTTCTTTGGCGGCACCCCGGTGGGCAATCCTGTGGCGTCGAACCCGGTGACAAGTCCTTTCGGAGCACCAGCGGGTATCAGCGTGGGTAGGGAGCATGCCGACCCACGGGCTGGCCCTATCTCAAATAGGACGATAGGTAGCGGCAGGACCGGCAGCGGCATCGAGGAGCATATTGTTGTGAACCTGCTGCCCGAGAAAGAGGGCATGTTCATGTTCCAACACCACAACTATGAAGTAGGAAGCGCCAGGAGGGGAAGCAAGGTAATCCGGAGATACAGTGATTTCGTGTGGTTACTGGACTGCTTGCACAAGAGGTATCCTTTCAGGGTGTTGCCGCTCCTCCCTCCAAAGAGAGTTGCCGGTAAGTCCAACGTGCCCAAGCCGGGGCACAATACATTCAGGCACTCGAAGCTGACCCCTCACAGTCAATGGGAACCACCTGTCGAACGATGGTGCCTTTATCGAGAAACGACGCCGAGGCCTTGCCCGGTTCCTAAACGCGGTGTCGAGGCATCCCATCCTCAGTCAAGAGCAGCTGGTCATCATGTTCCTGACGGTGCCCACCGAGCTCGCCGTCTGGCGGAAGCAAGCCACCATCTCCGTGCAGGACGAGTTCGCCGGCCGTGCTCTCCCGCCAGGGCTGGAGGACTCGCTCCCCGCCGAGCTCGAGGAGCTCTTCCTGCGCACGCGCTCTGGCGTGCGGCGGAGCGCCGAACTGTACATTGGCGTCTGCAGCGTTATGGACCGCCTCGTCAAGCGCAGCGAGGGCGTCGCGGCTGACCACGCCAGGATCGCCCTCTCGCTGACCTCCCTGACAGAGGCCACCGCCGACACGTACGCCACCGACACGAACGAGGTGCCGCTGGTCAACGACGGCCTGATCGCCATGAGCAAGCACCTGCGTACGTCGCAGACCCTCATGGAGGACGAGGCGCGCGCGTGGGACGAGGGCGTGCTGGAGGACCTCAAGAGGCAGCGAGACGCGCTGGTGAGCGTGCGTGACCTATTTGACCGACGGGAGCGCCTGGACCGGGACAACATCCCCGCCCTGGAGAGGCGCATCGACAACAACGAGACAAAGCTGGCGAACCTGAGGGCCAAGCCCGATGGCCTGATCAAGCCGGGCGAGATCGAGAGGGTCGTGGAGGCTATCATCAAGGTAAGTTTCAAAATGCCTCCACCATTGTTCTTCTTTTTTCACCCCCGCCCTCTACAGTGAATGCTAACCCGGGGCCACCGCAACAGGACAAGGAGTCCATTGTCAACCAGCACAACCGCTCTGTGTTCGTCAAGGAGTGCATCCGAGACGAGCTCATCACCTTCCAGTCCACGCAGTACCACGTCTCGCGGTGGAACCAGGACTGGGCCCAGGAGCGCGTCAAGTACGCGGAGATGCTGGCGGATAACTGGCGCCGGCTCCTCGACGAGCTTGAGGGCATGCCCCTGGGAGACTAGACCGCGGGCTGAAGGTATGGGACGTAAGATGGGGTGCAGCGGGCCGGTTTCGGTCAACGTTGGGGCATGCATTGGTGCTTCAACCAGAGGATATATAACGTCGGCAACGGCAGGGGAGCGTGTGGAAGAAGCTGAAATGATCACGAGAATGAGAACAGGAGATAAAGAACATATCAAAGGTGTGCACAATTTTTACTGCATCGGGGTGAGAGCGGGGAGGGGATGGGATGGAAGGATGTGTCCTGGGATGTACTACTGTATACTTTTTGTTGCCGCAGAAGCGTATAACTTAGCAGAGAGTGCCGATTCCATAGCGATACCCATTCATTGTGTTGCTTCTGGAAGACGGTCCACCGCGTGCTTGCGACCCCTCGACCACGCAAAACTCTCAACACTTCGGCCTGGGAGTCCAAAATCAAATCTGTGGTTCCACCAGAATACGATTGCGAGGGGGAGGCAGCATAACACAATTAGACGAATGCAACCTGACAATTGGTATTCCCTGTGGTATTCGCTTGCCAGACCCTTCATGTCCTTTAGAAGGCGGCGAGGAGGAGTAGGAGGCAGTACATAGACGCGTGACATCAACGTCCGTCCGTCCGTCCACTTTCACCAGCCAGTCCATTCCCAACCCCGCAACCTGGGCCTCTGCGAAGCATGCCTCAAAATGTCTCTCGATAAAGCACAATCTGCGATGCGGCTCTGTCTTCCTGGATGTCGACCAAGCCCGATCGCAGCCGTGATCCGTATTACGCCGTCGCTCAATGAGTTCAAGTCTTTGTTTCCCCCTTCCGCCGCCGAATGGTGACTGCTTTACATGTCTCCCCTCAAAATATGCTCACTCAATGCCTAATCTGAGAGCATTCTTGCAGGTCCTTTGTGCCCAGAGTGGACACATTTACTCAGTAGTAAAACCAATGCCATGCCGTTCGCGATGGACGTGGAGACTGAGGATTTCTCGCTCTTGTCACCTCGGCCATGAGTCTGCTGAGAGCCTGCAAGGGTCGCTCAATTAGTTGACGTCCATGGCCTCCGACTGCTCCCGCTTGCGGTGCCAAGCCACGAATTCATCGACGACGGCGGGCCACGAGTCTTCCTCGCTATAGAAGCTCAGAGCCTCGTCATCGATCGTTTTGTTGGCGAACTCAAGCGTCATGTTCCACATGTCCTTGTTGACGGAGCGGGTCCACTTCTCAGTCAGGAAATCCTCCCACAGCTTGGCCCAGTCGCGGTTGGCAGACTTCCAGGGGCGGCCTGGGGGCGCGAAGAGCAGCTGCCAGTAGACGATGGCGTGCTCGAGGGGGATGGACTTCTGGCTGGCCTCCTTGCCGGCGATGAAGGAGTGGCGGTAGACCTTCTTGAAGAGGGCGGGGTCGGTAGAGAGCTGGTTGATGAGGCGACGGACGTGGTTCTTCTGGGCGGTCTTGCCGAAGGTGGTAAGGTCGGTAGTAGACCATCCGTTGACGAAACCGTTGCGTGTGATCTCACCAATGCTGGGTGACTGAACGAGTTCCATCACGACGAACTGCTCGGCGTTCTCCATGTTGACGCCCAGGGCTTCGAGGTACTCTTGGGTTGTCTCAGCGGAGAGGGACTCCTTGGTGTCACCTCGAGCTGGGGTGACGAGGTCATCGTACGCCTTCTCGATGGCTGCGACACGTCCACTGTCTGCGCCGCCACCGCTGCTGAGGTAACTGTAAACAACCAAATGTTAGCCACCATTCGTTGCACTCGCAAGAACAAGAGAAGAATGCAAACAGATTCAAGCGCAGGTCCTCCATATCCTCCATGTTTGACGTTTTGTAGCGAGCAACGCGTTGGATGATGATGTGAGGTGCTGTGGGGGAATTTGTGGCTCCGTCAGATGTTTCCTCCTGACAAGTCCAGTGGCATACCGTGCAGTGTCTCTGGCGCCTTGCGCAGCCTGCCTTCTTTTAGCCATGGTTGATGGGGTATGCAGGGGCTCCTGGAGTTGAAGTGTGGTGGCAGGTATCGTGGGCACCGGGGTTGAAGGCGAGGGTTTCGGGTGGTCACTCCGACTCAGCTTGGGCTCCCGACGCGTGATCTTCTTCAAGAGCTCCCTGAGCATGTTGACACATGCCACAACCCAAATACACAATATATGCTTCTTCCTCGTTCAAGGGTCTTTTGTTCACCACTTTCAGGGAGTGGTCCCGTTGCAGTGAAGCATCCAATTCCAAGTAGGAAGACCAGGAACACACGCAAAAGTGGCACTAGCGCCAGCCCCTTGGGCTCGCACTCTAGGCTTCCGTTTTTGTAGTTTGCTCCACATATAGCACGCCCTGCTGACCTTTGTCCAAATAGCAGTCGCCTGGGCAAACTTCGAGCGAGGATTCGATTCGAGTCGGTAGGGCGTCCGGGGCAGAGCGTCGAGAACAACAGGGCAGGTAGGTAGGCAGCAGCCCCACTCAGCCGAAAACAATTGGAAAAGTGTCGTCAAGGCAAGTCAACCTAGAACTTACGTATCGGCGGCGAGGTCCAGCCTGTAGTTGGCATTCTTGAGGAACTGTCCCGCCCAAGAAATCAGCTCAAAGTCCAGACAAAAGAGGGAGGGGAAATTGCCCGGTCACAACAGTTGGATATACAAGTGAAGTGAGGTGAGGAGAGTTGATAGAGAGCCATTCCGGAACACAAGGGACTTCTCAGGGCGGTGTAAAGACACAGGATGGGACAGGACTGGACGGCAGGGGGCACGCATGACATGACATGGTACGCAAGGCAACGTTAACGTACCCGTTGTGCAGTCTTCTCATTGGCCCCCGTAGCTGCAACAAACTGCGCAACGAGCGCCTTCTGAGCGCTGTTGAGAGGAGGCATCTCGGAGTACCAGAGGGTGGTCGAGTGGTCGCAAAGTGTCGTCGTGTGCCAGGGGTCGGGCCGAATGTTTCGGAGCGGTCTCCCGCGTCGATATGACGAGCGCGTCGATCGGAGTAGGTGGTCACAGGGAGGACAGACTCGCTAAGGCCGGCGGGACAGAGACAGGCGGAGGGTTCTCTTTATCTTGTGCACAGGTGCTGCCAGGTTCGCCGGAGGGCAGTGGGTGGTTTTGTGCAAGGGAGGCAGATGGTGAACGGGGACCGAAGCCTGGGCTTAAAAAAGGTCTTGGGCACGCAATGGGAAGTGACGACAAGGCTGATGCGGGCGGACCGTCAAGTCCTGGTGGGGTAGTATCTGAGGAGTCTAGGTGGGGCGCCACGGGACGGCAAGTCTCCAAAGCGATTCTTTGCATGGGGTCTCGATACGGCACGAGTACCCATCCGCATAGCGACGGCAATTCTCTCATGCTCATGTAGACTGTGGGCATATTACATAGACATAATAGATTGTTACCCTTACCAAAGCCAACACAGAAATTCTGAGGGACCCAGGTATCCCTCTCAGGCTGTTGAGAAACCTCACGCTGGAGACAGCCCCCCAAAATTAAAAAAAGTTTTCGGTGCTGGGAAATAATCGTCATATACGTCAAGCCGTTCAGACACACCGTACAACTCCGAAGAGGCAAAGGACGCAAGGATCAGGATACATGAATTGCCAATGTCAGTATCAGGCCAGAGTCTACTGGAAGCACGGGCACTCCAAAGCACCAGAGCAAGAACAAGGTTGAGGCAAACAAGAGCCTAATAGATTAGTATCAAGAACGGGAGCCGGTACTCAAGCCCGAGTCTGTCAACGGTTGACTACTTGGTGCCACCCGAACTACCATTTTTCACATCACCACAGTGCGTCAATCTACAATAGATTGTCTTAAAGAGCTGTACTCCCTTGATTCCAGTTTCTTCCTGCGCGTCTACTCCGCGCGGTTGTATGGCAATGCCCGGTCTCCAACCTGTCTATCTGGTATGCAATCGAGTAGAGCCTCTGGAATATTGAACATCGTACACAGGCCGGACGTAGCATTCCAACTCGTTGTGTCCTTTTAGCCGCCGTCTAGTCCGTATGTGTCTTCAATGCTGTCGTCTCACACCCATGGCGTCGTGATTTCTCTCGGCCAACATTCCGGCACAGATATTGTACCGGTCCTTGGATTTCGCCTCCGCACAGTGGAATCCAAGATCATCTCCAAGCATCCCCTCAACCCACCTCCCAAGCCCCAAAACCTCTCGCTCTCAACATCCCTCCCCTATGCAACAACAGCCCAACTACAGCGCAGAGTTGGCCCAGCTGATCTGGCCGAACCGGCTGAGCGACTCGAGCTTGCCGTCGCCGAGCTTGACGCTGGTGGAGCGGATGACGCGAGGGTCGAGGCTGATGGTGCTGCGGACGATCCCTTGCGCCGCCGTCGACGCGTCGTACCGCATCGCGAAGTAGTGCCCGTTGTGGTGCAGCTGTTGGTTCTTGGACACCGCCCGCGGCAGCGCGAACACGCCCCAGTTGTCCACCGACCGCACGACGCCGCCGTTGCGGAGCACCAGCTGGCCCGCGGCGAGGACGATCCTGTTCGTGTGCGCGCCAAGTCAGTCGCCTCGTCTTGTGTCAAGGTAGGGTTCGGTCTCGCTCGTTGCGTTTCGTTTTTTGTCATTCAAGTCTGGGGGACGCGGGGAGGGAGCGCATACTCTTTGACCTCGGCGAGGTTGCCGGGTCGTACCTGCAAGCGGCGCAGGGCGCGTCAGCAAAATTGTCCGCAGAATTCAACTCCAGTGTTGCCCCAGACGTGGCAGGAAGGTGTTACTCACTATTCCAATCATCTCATACAGCATTGTGGCGGTTTGCGATGCGGCGACATCGACGAAGGAGAGTAGCTGCAAAGTAGAAAGGCTGGCAGGCAAAGCCACTGTAGAAGGCTTCGTCCGTCGCAAAAGCCCGCCCAAACGGCGAATGAGCTAAGGGCGGAACCTGCCGCTGGGAATTTTTGGGTGGGGCCCGGGGCGGAAACTGGATGCTCTTGGCGGACCCGACCCCGGTCGCCTGGCCCCCTTCCAACAGCCGAGCAGCCAGTCGACTACACACGAGTGTTGTGTTTGGGCGAAAGCCTTGTGACGGTTATCACGATCCAGATCCAATAAATACACAAAAATACAGAGCCGTAATCATAAGGTTTCAGATCTCGTCACCCTGATGCCCAGCCTCTGAAAACCAAGCCCCTACACTCCTCTGGCGAGTAGACGCTTGAGTTATCAATAGAATATTCTTCCTTTTTCTTTTATCTTCATCATGCAGTATTAATGGATCTATGAGGACCTAATCGAGCCAGTATGAACCTGAAACCCCAGGATTGCGCGCGACCATGTCCCGGCGCGGAAAACTCCCAGGCAAAACGATGCCAAACGCAGAGCCAGAAAATGCAAGCCCACCACCACACACACATGTAAAAGAAAAATTTTGGTGCGTCCTTGATCCGATATGATGGCAGTAAAGGGAAAGCAGTGGAACGAATGAAACAAAGAGGCACAGAACCCAGAAGTGCCCCGCCGCCAAACTCCTGTCCCTCGCGAGAAATGCCTTTGCCTCCCGTCTGCAATGTGAGCTTCCATTCCATAACGCCGCCTCCGTGCCAGCGATTTTTTTTCATTCCGTCCCTCCTTCCTTCTTCGATGTGGTGATTGGAGGAGGGGCCTCATTATGGTGTGAGGGGCCACTGAAGATGTGACCCTTCCAAAAAAGAATTTTGACGCCTCTGTCAGGTGTAAGATATTAGAACACTGTTCGAAAACATGTGCGCGAGCTTGCCAGCTCGCGCAACCCTCAGAAGGGCCTAAAACGAAAAGGGTTGGTCGACCTGAGCGGAGCTTCCCTCTCTGAAACTGGAATTCTTGAGAAATTGGAATAGCCATGCCGCGCGGGTGAGATCTCCTGGTAGAGCTCCGGCATCACTCGTAGCGACTCGAAGGTGAAGGTGTAGATTTGGGTGAAAAGAGGCGCTGCATCAAAAACTCTGATGAGCTCTCGGTGAGCGTCTACTCGTCATCCTCGCTGCGAGGGAGCACAGCGGACTCCATAGCGTTCCACTGGTTCTCGATGTACTCACTGTCGCCACCAAAAGTCAGCCCGATGTTCTCTCAAAACAACAGTAGTTAGACCATAAAGGGGAGTACTCACGCGGGTCGCTTCACCAGAGGGATACCCTTCTTGTCCAGGAAGCACAGGAACCGCTTCAGGGTCCTCTGCCGCTTGAAGTACGCCATCACAATGCCCCTGTGCTCGACCTTGGCGACGGGCCGCGTGTGCACGACGATCTTGGTGCAGTCGCTTCCGGGCTCGAGGCTGTACTCGACCAGCTCGAGCTCGTGCAGCCGCAGGTGGAAGTCCAGCGGCTCCTTGTACACGCCCCACGAGGCCGAAGGCTCGACCGTGCGCAGGACCTGGTGCTCGAAGTGCGGGCTGGTCTTGTCGCTGATCCAGTGCCAGTACTGCGTGTGGCTCATGTTAGTCGTGTGCTGCGCAGTCTTGAGCTGCATGACGCGGAAGTCGATCGACATGATGTGGTCGCCACTATACGAGTCTGTCGAGGTGTAGCCGTCGTGCGCGAACTCGTCCTGGGCCGTACCGCCGTACTTTGTCTGGGGGTAGTAGGCGAGGGATGGAGAGACTACGGCGCTTGTCTCGGCGTCCTGCTTGCCCGATGAGTTGGGCCTGCTGCCCGACCGCTGCTTCTTGGCGCTGCGCGGCGACATGGCGAAGCCTATAGGGCTGGCCTGATCCTCCTGCTTGAGCTCCTGCTTCAGGCTTCCACTGGACTGGCGTCTCCGCTTCCTAGACGGAGTTCCATTCGCAGCATCCTTATCCTTGGCCTTTGCCTTCGCGTCCTTGGTGGTCATGCCCTTCTTCACTCCCGAAGGTCGTCCAATGTTGCCGACACCCGCCTTGGTACGGAGGGCTCTCAGCTTCGGGTCGTGGTAAAGTTCGTGAACCGTCTTGGCCAGGCTAAAGTCCTCACCCTGCTCCATGTAGAGCTCATGCATGCGCTGACGGACCCATGCGACGGGCGTCACATCGACTCCGAGTTTAGGAAGCTCGTCGATCACCTGGGCCAGACGGAAAATGGTGTCGTAGCTGACAAGTCCCTTAGTGATCCACTTCTTGCCGACGAGCTGGTAGGGGTGGAAATCGGTCTTCTGGAGGAAGGTCATGATAGTGTTGCCACGGTTAACCTGCCTACCGGCCAGGAAGCGGTTCTTGTTAAGAGCCAGGCATTCCTCGAGTTTCCGCTTCCAGCTATCCAGCTTCTGCTGAGTGACCTGGTCCAGTTCCTCCCACTTAGGGTCCCAGTAGGGGTGATCTGGTGTGATGCGATCGAGCGGCACGCCGCGCATGATCTCAGGCTCTGTGAATTCGACGCCGTTGTCCCGCAGGAGGAGAGTCTCCTTAGAAATCTCAGGGCCTGGGTCGGCGGGCTCGACAGACTGAGCATCCTCTCCATCCACGTTGCCCAAGATCGAGTCCTCCATCGGCTCGGCGTCCTCCTTGCCCCTGATCGCCATGCTGGGGAGCGACTTCCTGCCGCCCTTCTTGCTCGGCAGGGACTTGCGCTTGGACGGCACGCTCGAAGGGCCATCGAGGGGATCTGCGACGGGGGGCCTGTATAGACCACTATTGACAGGCGTAAATCCGCCAAAAGAGCTTCCCTCACGGGAGGGCAGCACAGAGTGCTCCCCGAGAGACGGTGAGTTGTGGTCTTTCCGGGTCGTCTGCAGGTCTTCGTCCCGTGCACGTATCTGGTGATATGACGAGCCTGTGCATCCCTGCCGGTTCCACTCGCAGTTGGCACACCGCGGAAAGTCCTCGCCGCCGACGATGACGCAGCCGACCCAGGTCCCCGCCCGGTTAATACAAGCCGAGCAGGGTGACTCTTGCTCCTCGCCAGTTGCCTGGATCATACAGCTCAGCCACTTCGCTCCCTTGGCGTCGCTCGGCTCATAGATGCTATCTATGGTCTCTTGCGTGAACTTGCGACCGGGACGCACGACAATGTGGCGTTGGATGGGGATCTGCATGATCTGGCGGGTGAATTTGTTCTCGCGAGCGATACGCTTGATGGGGACGATGCGGTTGCCCTCATGGTCGTAGATCTCGGCGCCTGTTAGGTCCTTGTCCAGCGGGGACACATCGCGTGGCTCTGACAGCGGCGAGCTGTCCGCCGAAGCAGGCTGGCCGGCGTGGCCGTTGCCGTTCTCGTTGACCGCAGTGAAGCTTCCCCGAGCGGGCGTGTCACCATTGACCCTGCTATCCCGTCTGCCCCTGGCCTTCGTGTGTCCGTTCTGCCGTGGGCCTGCACCGTTTTGCTGAGGCTGGGGCTGCGCCGTCCTCGACTTGTTGTAGTTGAACCAGGCCCGCGCGCTCTCGTCCTTGCGCTCCCGGTCGGCCGCGGTGATCTGCTTTGCCTCTTCGAACTGAAGAGAAACGCCGTCAAGGTCGGCCTCCACAGCGTCACACTGTCTCTTGATCTCCTGAAGCTGCCTGGTCAGCTCCTCCCGCTGGTCAAAGAGCAGGGCAAGCTGCCGCCTCATAGGTGACGTCCTGGCCTCGAACTTGCCAACCATGATCCGGTCCTCTTCGGCCCGGGCCTTGATCGTGTCGGACCAGTAGGTGGCCTCGATCTCGGCCCAGTCCTGGACGTCGTTGTCCGCCATGGCTGATCCCATTCAGCTCGCTTGCAAGTTGCGCATGCGAGGCTTGACTGATGCTAGCACCGGGCAAGGTACTCAACAGGCAGCCGTGTCCTCCTGGCTCTCGCTCTGCTGCGGTCTGATCCTACTTTGCAGACCGGTGACAGAAGTTCATTCCTGTGCGACCATCAGCAATGCATACAAGAGAACAAAAAAAAACCTGCTCAAGGTGTGCTGGTGTTTAGTGCGGGCAGAGACTTACGGATGAACATGGGACGAACGTTTGTGACTGGCTGTGCACGCAGTTGCGTAAATACCCCAAACGGTCGACAGGTGGAGAGCAGCAAAGCTGTGGTGGGGGTTTTTGCAAAACAAGGGAAAAAAGCAGTAAAGGGCGCCGTGGTCGTGGCGGTGGTGATGAGAGGGTTGGTCGGTGGTACGAGACGGAGATACGTCGGTCGCTTAGTTGAGCGGATACGGTTTCATCGGAGGGAAATGAAAGAGCTGATGTGAGTGTCAGACTAGGTCGTTTTCTGGCAAGAAAATAAAAGCATTGCGTATTTTAAAACATGTCGGGCGGGGCGGAAGGGCAGGCAGGGCAGGGCAGGCAGGCAAAAACCAGAGAAAGTAAAGCATGTAACATGTAGCATGTATGTAATAATAATAGTCTCTCGGCCGTTGATACTAGCTAGAGACGGGCGGCACCAAAATCTTGGGAAGGAAGGGGGAGGCAGTTTGAGTGGAGGGAGAAAGGGGGGGGGCGTTTACCTAGTATGGTTTGACGGAAATCAAAAGGTTGTTTAGACGTTCGTGACGGTTGTCGGCGAGAAGGACGGACAGGGGCGGGTCTGCAAAGCTCCGGGCGTCAGCAACGGGCAAGGAAAAGGAAGGGCAGTGAATGCGCTTTGCTTAGCATAGTCGAATATTCATGCGCTGACGCAGCGGGCTGGCTGGGTTGGGTAATGCAGCAAGTAGCAATGCAGTACTGACCGAGATTGTCGATGGCACGCGAGACACGACTCAAGCTGACGTGCCGATAGACCCCAAAAGTATTTTGCTCCAACCGAGTGGAAATAGACCGGTCCTGGCGTTGGGGTACTGCGGTCGGTCGGTGCAGCGCGGGCCAGGTAAGGGCGTCCAGGGTGCAGATGCGATGCGATGCAGATGCAGATGGAGAAGGAAGATGCGGGTGCGGGCTGTGGACGTAGGTGTGGATGTACGTCGGTGCAGGCCGTGGCGCGAGTATCAAAAAGGGGAAAGGAAGCACGAACACGCTCGCTCGCACGTACTCTGTCGCACGCACGCACTCGCAACACACGTATACACACCAGTGACGTTGGCGCTGGTGATGGGGTTGTGGAAGTTGGCGTCCGTGGGTAAGTTGAGTAAGTAGGTAGATAGATAGGAAGGCAGGCAAGGTATGTCAAGAGGACCAGGGAGAAAATAAAGGAACGGGGAAAACGACGGGCGTTTGAGATAGGCAGAAGTATTTTGGGGCTGCGCAAGAATACTTGGTCCCTCAAGTAACTTGAGAGTAGGTAATGTCAGGGAAAGTAGATAAGTCAGTCGTTCAGTCAGGTAGTCGGGCCAGTCACCGGCTAACCTGTTACCTTACCAAACAACCCTCAGTCGGGGTGGGCCGGTCGTAGACGTAAACTCTCTCTCTCGCAGACTGGAACGGGAAAGGGATCAAAACCCTCCAAGCCAGGAGGGCGCCAGCGTTGGGAAGGCACGGGGCAACTAGTTTGTTAAGTATTATTTTTTGCACAAACGGCCTCGCCCATGGGGCCCTCCCTCGCCCTTCGCTGCACATGTCACTACACAGCGCTGCGCTGGACGCTCTGGAACGGCTGGACGCCGGACACTGGGCGTTGGCAAAGATGAATTTCGGGGCTTAGGGAAGCTAATAATACTGCGACCAACAGATGGACGGATTTCTCAAGATAGCAGCTGGACTAGGTGGGTCCGAACCAGCAGCGTAAACGGCAAAGTGCTGTCCTGTACGGATACCCGGTTAGTTAGTCAGGAAATCATCAGGTTGGGCCCCGGGGGTTGGTCATTTATTACAGTGCAAAGCAGGGAAAGTACATGGCCCATGTAGCTATACTTGGGTCCAGGGGTGGGGCCTCCTGGATGGACTATCTTCCCTCTCCCAACCCCAGCATGAGCAGTACGCAAGTAGCTGCACTATCGTCATCCATCGTGAATCCTCCCTCTCTCTTTTTTTTTGTGCACAAGATGCAGCAAGCCAGACATAGGCCATGATCTTGCTCATTTCCCCCATGTTCCAGAGGCATCATTAGACGAGAACCCATCCGTGCTCCCTTTCCGTCTGATCAGCAACACACACCCACACTCTCGCTCGCACATTTGAAGCAGCCAAAACCTTGGGATGAAAGGGTTCTGTGACCCGATGGGTCAAACTAGAATACTATGGGTACACAGCACCAGGGTTTGTCTCGGGCCTAAAACCATCACCCACCTGCACCTCACTATAGTGGCACTTAACTATCACTTGCTAACCTGTGTCTACCTGTACAGCCTGCCCGGGTGCACCGCAGTAATGAAATCCCCTTCTCCCCACCCCCCTGTCAGCCAACATGTCTCTCTCTCACTTCGACTTCCGTGCATAGACTGCATCTGCTCATTACCAACAAATCCGAGCATGCAATCCGTCACATCCATCCATCCATCCTCTCCATCCTTCCTCCCACCTTCCACCAACAGCCAGCCCGTGCAGCCAGCCAAGATATGACGAGAGATTGAGAGAGAAGGGAAAATATTAGATACCCCCCATCTACTAGTGAATCACCTAGGCCACCACCCCAAGCTCGATCCGCAAATCCGCAACAATAGAGTCGCACTACCCGCCCTTAGGCAGGAGCCTTCCGGTCTGCCTATAGCCTGAAAGGACAAGGACGGGATTGCGAAACGCAGGTAGTCTATCATCTATTACTGTACACTCTGTCTAGGTTTTTTTTTTTTTTTTTTTTTTTCTCCCTCTCTCCTTGGTAGGGTACTTTTAATTGCCAAACCGGCCATCTAACAGCAACCTAACGTATAGGGGAGGCCCAGCACCACCCCCCGGCCTGTCCGACCCCCTGACGGATGATGAGATATTGAGACTCTTTCTTCCTCTCTTGTCTTGCTCTACTCTCTCCCTCTGTCTGTCTGGCTGTCTGTCGGGCTCGGCTCGCATGCTCGGTCGGTCGTATCAACATTCTGCCCGTTTCCACCCACATCTGCCCGCCCGTCCCATCCGGGCCTGCTCAGGAAACCAAGCTTCGATCCGCGACGCCAATACCGTCCATTCATCCCTCGGTCCATCCCCCCTATACATCGACCCCCCTCCCCACTCTACCACAACCACACGCTCACTCCTATCTGGCGCCGGGGGTTCCCAAACCACGCCACGTAATCCCAGGGAGTGCATTGCACATGGATGGGTGATTTCGATTTAGGCTCGGAATTATATACGATTAGTTTTTTACTACTAGAACGGCAGCCTCTTGGACCACCACATCAAAAGCCACTCCAGGCCAGTCCGGTCCTCTTCGGCTGCGCCATGCACACCGCTTTCCCGTCCTCGATAACCTTGGAACGCCGTTTACCCCCTTTCGAAACAGTCGCTGACAACGTGACCTATTATTTCCCCTCCATATCTGCAGCACAAGGCCACTTGGTAGTCGTAGCATCATGTCGACGAGACAGGGCCTTCGAACTGTGTGACCCACTCCGTTTCCACCAATTATGTTGCCCCATGACGTCTCCGTCCGTGCCGGCCTCCATTGCCCGTATGGCGTAGTGGCCTAGTATTTTGATGAGTATCGGTGCGCAGTCGCGTTTGGTGACGGTGAATATCCGTGATCGTATGTGCTGGATTGGGCGTATGGGTCATCCTGGTAGACGGTGCCCCGGCGCTCCTCCTCGGGCAGCAACTCCTTCACCTCCCAGTTGTTCATCCTAGTTCCAACCGAGAACTCGAGGTCTTCCTTGGTGATGGAGTCCCAGTACTGCAGACCATGCTGTTAGTAAATATGCTCCAGCACGGGGCAGCACGCAGTGCGTGAGGCGGGCGGGCGGGCGGTGACATACCTTGTAGACCATCATCACTGCCAGTAGGTTGCAGATGGTGGCAAAGAACAGGCCATCCACGTAGTGACTCACGGCGTCACAGATCTTGTCGCTGAAGGCGTACAGAATGACCTGGCCAAGGACGAAGAAGAAGACGCCAAAGGCAATGTCTCCCATCGGCCAGCGGTCCTGCAGCGTCTGGGTCACCAATATTATCTGCATGGCCAGATATATAAGCAGCTGCACCCCGTTCAGCAGGTACAACACCACAAACAGCCCCACGGTGTTCGTCGGTCCCAGGCCGGCCCAGCTTTTGAAGGTTGCCAGAGACACCAGGAAGGAAATGGCAAAAGCGACGAGACAAGATAGTCTCAGCATCCACAGTGATAGCGGTGTGCCGTCCTCGTATAGTTGGAAGCCGACGAAGCCGTTGATCATCAAGCAGGTGATGAGGGCGGATGAAAGGCCATTCTGCACGGCGACAAAGTACGGGTAAGGGTCCGATCCTGGGGGAACGACACCAGCATCGACGCACAGGGAGATGAACGTCAGGAGCATATAAATGTAGAAGCAGTTGATGATTTCCTTGCGGCCTGCAACACGAGCCTGGTCAGTTTCCGTGCGACAACAAAGAGCATCAAGTATTGAGGGGGTACATACCAACGGCAGTGAACTTGCCGCGCACGTGGAGGATCATAATGACGGTCATGGCTAGTGCAACGATGTGTATGGCGCTTGTGGCCATCTGGAAGATGATTGTGTTGGCCAGCTCGATGTTGCGAGCATAGCAGTTCGTCTCGATGCCGACGCCGCTGTGTATGGAGGTGATGGGGCCGACGGCCGCGCACAAGGGCAGCGGTGCCGTCTGGCAGAAGGACGTGAAGTCGCCGAAAGGCATCTTGTCGGTCTGGCGCCTGATCGGCCGGGAGCGCCTGATCGCGTCGCAGTCGTGCTCGACGCTCCGAGGCTTGAGAATTTCGGCAAGGCTGAGGGCCGAGTCGAGTTCAGGAAAGCCGGAGGCGAGCCCAGCTGGTGCGAGAGGGCCCGCAACGGTCCAATCCAGAACCGGCTCGATCCTTCCTCAGGGGGGCGATTTCTCCCTCGACGCTCAACGCTCCTTTTCCAGCCTCTCCCTCGAAACAGGTCTGGGCAGTGTGCCTCGCGAAGTGATTGAAGCCCAACAGGGTCGAACTTGTCGGCTGTCCTTCTTGTATCGTCGTCGAGCGAGCGCGATAGTGGAGTCCAACTATCAGTCGGAGTCGTGGGTACCGGTAGTGGCAATGATACGAGCCAGGGGGGAATACGAGGCCGGCGGCAACAAGATGGTGCAGAGGCGGGTGCTGGTGCAGATGGGCAGGTGCGAGGAGTCAGATGCAAGATGCGAGAGATGGGAACTGGACTAGACTGATTCGATCGATGCAATTTGGCAGGCCGTATGTATGTGCTGTCTGGGTACTAACGAGTGCAACAAAGACCGTGATATTAATAGTGCGTGTAGTAAAAGCGAAGGTCGGGACACAACGAGCGAGTGTGTGTGTGTTTATTCGACGGCGCAGCATATGCCTGCTCCCCTGCCCGCCTCGACTAGACAACGAGCGTCCTGATCTGACGTTGCGATGGGGACATGGGGCAGTTGACGCTGCAAAAAAGCGCTGGCTGGGCTGGGCTGGCTTGCAGGTTGTGCTGCTTGCTGCTCCTGCTGGTTGCCGTGGAAAAGAGGGCGGATGGACGGGACGGGGCTGGACTGGAATTGCGGGCTCTCGCGTCAAGAAATAGCATCCAAGCACCTGAGGGCTGGGAATGCGAGAGCTGGGGTCGGGCTCCTTTCCTCATCCCTGGTGCACCGGTTCCCATTGGCTGTGGCCCACTGCTCCCGCTGCTCCCCTCCCTGGGCCGCTGGGCTGGGCCTGCAGAATTTAGACTTTGCATGTTCCTCCGATATGCAGGTCATGCCTGCTTTGTCGCTCGGGTGATCTTCGACTCCACTGCCGGCGTCATGTCACGGAAACGCAGGTGTAGACATCCTACGCTACATGAATGTGTATATTGCGCCCCTCCGGCTTGAAACCGCGCAAGATACATTGTACATGTAGGACAAACCTGCTTGTTTTCTCGACCCAAGGCTCCATTGTATGTATGGGCCTCGAACAGTTGATGAACATCCTGTCAAAGTGCCGCTGTACGCAGGATGTGGGAATTCAGGTGGCCATGGCAACGCCCGCATAATGCCCAGTTCAATCAGTTGCTAGAACCGGTTCATCGCATCTCTACTGTTGGCCTGGTCCCGTCAGAGCGTCTATGCACACTAGAGATCATCACAGAACAGCCAAAGCGGTGAATAAATTGTCGAGTCATCCTCAAATTGATGCTGTGCTCATCATAACGACTTGCTGCCCTCCCACTCACTCATCGTCGGATCCATCAGCCATGGCGGTATCTGCCTGGCCCGCATCCGCCTCTGGAGAGGCCTTCTCCTTCTCCTGCGCCGGCGCCCCATCTTCGTCGTCGCCCTCGTCGTCGCTCTCAAGCACCCGGCCCCTCCTCGCACGCTTGCGTCGCTGCACGCCGCCCTCATCGTCCTCATCATCATCGCCCCCCGCCTCACCAGGAGATGCTGCCTTGTCGACGTCCATCCGACTCGCACCACCCTCGTCGTCCGAGTCGGGCAGCGGCTCCGGCGATGAGATCGCCGACGCCGGTGAGTCCTCCTTCCGCGACGGGGCCGCAGAGTCCGCGTCACTATCGTTGATGAATTCCGCCGACTTGTACTTGCTGTTCTCCTTCTTGGTGAGGCGCCTCTTCTTCTTGGGCTGCCTCTCGCGCTGCTGCACCTCGTCCGATTCGTCGCCTTCGCCCTCATCTCCGCCCTCTTCCTCGTCTCTTCTCTTCTTCGACCGGCGTTTGCGGTCACCGCCTTCGCCCTTCGACCGTGCCGCTGGCTTGCGCTTTCGCTTCACCCGCTCGCCCGCGCTGTCTTCAGTCATCTCGGCCTCGAGCCTCTCACGCTCCTCGCGCGCACGGCGCTCAGCGATCTCTCGGTCGCGTGCCGCGATTTCCTCACGCTCTTTACGGATCTTCTCCTTACGCTCACGCTCTGCTTCTTCGACCTTGCGCCTCTCTTCGTCACGACGCCGCTGCTCAGCTTGCCGCTGCTCCAGAGCTGCTTGGATTTTCTCCTTGTTCTTCTCCTCATATTGCTTCTGTTGGTCAATCGCACGCTGCAGCTGGTTCCTCTGAGTGTTCTGGGCCATATTGGCACGCTGTTCTAACTCGTGCTTCGGGAAGGGAGTGTCAGGGCGGTTGGCGACTTCGCCTAGCGTCGTGATTGCAGATTCCAACCCCTCAGCTGCCTCCTGAAGTTGCTGCAACGTTCTGTCCGTCTCTCCCATGTCCCTCAACGTCATGGCCAGCTGGATCTGGACGTATGCCACGTTAAACTTGAAATGAACCTGTTCCGGCGCAATTTCCAAGGCCTTTCAAATCTGGTCAGCTGGAACTTCTTCTCGTGCATCTAGACTAGCCCACTTACTCTCTTCGCGAGCTCCAGCGCCTTGTAGTAGGCATTGATCTCAGGTGGGATCTTCTGACCGTGCGCAGCGGATATGCTAGCTTTTCCTCTGCTCAGCCAGGTGCGGCCCAGGCAGGAGATGAGCATGGTGTCCTTGGATTTGCCCTCCTTGGACAGGGCCATCTCATAACTCTCGATCGCTTTGGGATATTGCTTCAGCTCGTGGTAGGTGTGGCCGAGATTCATGTACACGTTCGCGTCCTTGATCGTCTCGCGCACCTGGAGCAGAATTGACAGGGCGGTCCTGTAGTCCTTCTTTGCTTCCGCCAGTGCGATGGCCATACCTTGCGCGGCGTATGCGTTGTTCGGGTCCAGCTGCAGGGCTTTGTCGAAGAATTCCACTGATTTGTTGTACTCCTTCTCGCGCCTCTGCTTATCGGCCTCGGTGTGCACCCGCGTCTCTCTGGCATGCGAAAGGTGCATGTTACCCATGGAGACCAAGGCATAACGGTCATGCTTGTCAAGTTGCTGTAGGGTCCGCTTGAATGTGCGATACTCATGGTCTTCGTTCAAGTTCTGCGGTCTCTTCTTGGAGGTGACCTTGCTGAGGTACCAACCGTAAAGCGCCCTGACTTCGGTGTCAGACGGCTGCTCATTGTAAAGCTTCGAAACAGCTTCAGGTCCTTCTTTGTTTGGATTCTTCCGCAGCTTAATATATGCCAAACGAGTCCGGGCATCGGTGTAGTCATCATGGCGTTTGAGAAGACGCTCATAGACATCGACGGCCTTCTCGGTAAGTCCTCTGGATTCGTAGCTCCGGCCGAGGTTGAAACTAATTGTAGTAACAAGGGCATCTGTATCCATGTCCTCGTTGTCACCAGTCTCCTCGATTCTCATGCAAGAGTCCAGGGCGACCTCAAACAATTCGCTTCCAAACTCGTGTTTCTCAGCTTGGGAGTAGAAACAGCCAATGTTGTTGAGAAGTTGAGGAGAAAGCAGCCTTCGCTTGGCTGCTTTCTTTGCACCTTCATCAGTGATATCATCGGGTATAGCAGAGTCAGAGATCTGGTCGAGCTCCATCTGCTCCACCTGTTGCAAGCATTGCAGTGCTTTGTCCGGGTGGTCAGTCTCATACAGGCGAGCGAGGTTTAGAAGTACCGAGGCATCGGGAGCAACATTCTTCTGAGGATCCTTCCACGCAGATCTGACGCCTTCTAGCAAGATCACGGCTTGCTTGGCTTCGTTCGTCTTGTTGTCTTTAACAGTGGCGGCCTCGTTTGCAAAAACTTCCTCGGCGTAGATCGTCCCAAGCAGCGTCATGGTTTCGTGGTTCCGGACCTGTTTGTTCATCTTCTCGAGGTGGTATCTTGCTCCAGGGAGATCATTCTTCATGACCAAAAGTTGGGCCTGACCGAACTTGGCTGGCAAGTACCCACGCTGATCACCACCCCTCGCATCATCGGCGCGTTTGTAGTGGTCGCTCGCGCGATCCGCGTCACCCGCGTAGTGTTCCTTGCGCGCCAGTAAATACCAGCCATCGCTGGCAATGGCGTTCACGTCAGTGTACTGGATGGCCTTGTGTGCCAGGCTATCCACGTTTGCGTAATTCTTCCTGGACAAGAAGTATCCAGCAAAGGTGGCGCAAGTGAGCGGGAAATCCTTGTCGAGCTTGAAGGATCGCTGTGTGTATTCCGTCATCGCCTTCTTGTAAAGCCGAATGAAATCGGGGCTATTGGTGGGTACGTGCCCGCTGCTGTCGAGGTAAAAGAGTCCAAGAAGGATATTCCCAACTTTAGAGTCAGGATTAATCTCCAATGCTCGCTCCCAAGCAGCTTTCGCATCGTCCTTGAATCCGAGCTGCCAGAAGCAGCATCCGATACCAATTCTGGGGTCAGGGTCGACCATGTCTGGCATCTTTTGCAGTACATCCTGGTACGCCGACAGCGCCTCTGGGTACTTCGCCATAGAGAACAAGGCCCTGGCCTTGCCCATGACGGCCAGCATGTTCTTGCCGAATGACACTCGGATAGCATCCTCGAAAGATTTGAGAGCGGACCGCAACAGCTCTGCCTTTTCTGGGTCGATGGAACCTGTGCCGCCTGATTTTGAAGGTGCTTGCAGAGAAGCTCGAAGGAGGTAAAGGACGCCACGCGCAAGGAAGAGTGGTGGGAACGCTGGGTTGATTCGCGAAGCCTCGTTGAGGGTCGCCGTTGCTTGTTGTAGGTAGTATTCTTTTGTCTTGGCCTCGGACGCGAGCTGTCCCTCGGGCGCGACTCGAGGAGCCTCTCGACTCTTCCACAGGTACATCCAGCAGAGACAACTGACCAAACTCAGCTTGTCACGCTGGCTGATAGTCTGAAGAGCATTCCCACGGATGAGTGTCTCAATGGCATAGTCGACCTTCTTCTGTTTCGCATAAGCCAGTGCCACTGCCATCCAATAAGTTCGAGCGGCATGTTCAGCTTCAAATAGGTCGCACAGATCGGAGGGGTCGTCCATCAAGTTCGTCAGATCGATCTCGACGGCCTCATCTTCTTGGTCTTGTACTGGAATGTCGAGCGTCGCGGGCACGTCTGCGAATCGCTTGCTCGTGTACACGCCGTCTGAGGAGCCGTTGACCCCGTTGAGGTGGCCATTCTGATGCGCCGACGCCATGACTGTCTGTAAGGACTCGCCGAGCCAGGGAAATTCGGGAAGGAGTATTCTCGTGTTGGCGACTTCGTGTGCTATCGGGTCGAGACTCGCCGAGAAGCGGAATTAGAGGCGAGGCGAGGTTCGAATCGCAGGATCGCGCTCGTTGCGCGCTGCTGTCGAGAAAAGCTGCCGGGAAGGTAAGTCCAGTACCTGCATTAGAAGCTCATGCTGGATCGAGAATTGACGTCAACGAAAAGCAACGTCAGCAGCTGCGAGCTGTGATGGCATTCGTTTGGGAGGGGAGAGGTAAGGAAAGAGACGTCTGGGATGGGGGAGCTTGGTTGTCGAAATTCATTTGGCCAAAGTATGAGGCTGAATGGCAGCTCGCGGGTCCCTGCTGGCAGCCCACCAGGGTACATGGGTCCACGCCCGTGCTTGCGTTCCGCCAGAGCCAAGTACCAAGGTACCTTTCTGCCATTGTTCAGAAATGGAGCTGCCCTCTCCACTCAGCCTTCCCAATTGACTTCAATTGGGACGGTTCTCTTTCTTTTTTTGGATTTTGTTTTGGGGCAGCTACCATTATGCACTTCCTCTACCATGTCTAATATCCATTTCCTCTTTTACTGAATAACAAAAAAGAAGAAGATGAAAACGAATTCATCCAAGAGCGATTGCCGGATGGCGAGCATGAGCTTAGGTCCATGTGTTTAAGGGTGCACGAAGTATTCGACATCCTCGAGACATCCTTGCTTTAACATTACTCGAAGTGTGCTCCATGGTTTGCCCTATACTTAAAAAATCTACAACAATCTTGCAGTAAAAGCAGTCCAGCTCACAGAGACAATGCATTGGTCCAAGATTACAATAGCTATATGAAATACCTCTAATAATGTAGTGTGGCTGTCAAAGTCTCCGGCTATAGAGGATCAGCTTGGGAGGAGATAGAAACGGCATTGAAATTTTTCTCGTCTTTCTGGACACCGTGTGTAATCGCAAAGGGTTGTCGTATTTCCATACCCTCCAGAAGCTCTCACAGGACTGATCCGTCGAATACAGCAGAATGTTGAGATATGAGTTATGCAGTCCTGTGTCCCAGCTAGATACTATCACTTGTTACTCTGCTCCTAAATTTAATCATTGAGGCAGGGAGGTCAACAGCAAGAGGAACTCTTCGCCGAAGTCTGGAGGTCTAGGAATGTCCTGAGGTACAACTTGTGATACTGGAACACAGCAGCTTGTTCAGAAACGAGTGAATATGAGCATCAATCATGCAGTTGTGGACCTCAAATCCTCACCAAAATTTATGTCTATCCTTCTAGCATTGAGTACAGCAACAAAGCAGTCCCTTCATTTCATATACAGGAGCAACAATTATGACCTGGAAAATTAGGAACAGATATCTGCGGCATGTAAGCAGCAATGCGTGTGCTCAAGGTCAATTCCACTATCTCTTCGAGAATCATATGGACATGGAGATCATCAATGAGGTTGTTTGGCACCAGCTAAAAAAACCAAAGTGAAGTCTGATAGAGGTATAGCAAAGGAAGGCACTGGAATGCAAATCATTTACTCAATTATTTTCAATCCACTACATCAATGCCGTGCCTTTCTAAGACGTAATGCACCTTCCGTAGCTCTGGAACAAAAACGTACCCAGCAAATGCATGTCCGTCTATGAGATCTTGGTGATGTTGAATGGATGATATTTATTTGAGGCCATGGGCATTGCTCCATCACGTTCTATTCCACATCTAGACAAGTAGCACTGATGACGATACAATAGCATGAGACCACGATCTTTTGGAGCCGATTCTACCTTGTCGACTTCCAACCAGCTTCACTGGGCGCCGTGGCTCTATTTTCGACTTTGTGACCTGAAAAAGCAGGCAGACCTTCAAATCTTCTACAGCAAGGTCCCCCGTCACGGCCACCGTTTTTAGCAAGTCGCGTTTTATCTCGACACTCGTAGACCTCTCTGATCTCTGGCCCCTCTACACTCTTCCAGCCCTTTCAGCCTTGCCTCTGTCACAGTCCTGGTCTCGACGCCGTGACCTATGTACAACTCACACCAGCTTGTCAGCCAGCCGCCCAAACGTGTCGCGCCGTTGCGCAGATCGAAAACAGATCGAAAGCCATGCCGCCTCTTCAATCCCACATCAAGCAAGTCGACGTACTCGCCAGGCGCGAGGTGCCAGGCAACTACGGCACTTCGTGCTCCAACAACGCCTGGGACTGCCTGAACACGCCGGCCCAGTTCGGCATCATTTTCAGCGTCGTCGTCGTCGTCATAGCCATCGTATGGATCTACTGGTACACGGTCATCCGACCAAGGCAGGAGAGGATCAAGGAGTCTGGCGAGGACATCGAGCTGGATCTTGGCGATGGCCGCACCGTCATCGTCTCGTCTGGGCCACACCAGAGGACTGTGGTGTTTCGAGACCATCGGTCGCCTACTTCGCCCCCGCCAGCATACAGACCTCCCACGCCTGGTGGTGGTTTCGTTGGACCGTCAGGGTCTGCCGTGACTACTGAGTCTTCGCAGCCCTCTCCACGAGAATCTCATGTACAGATATGGCCACCGCAGGCTCCTCCGCAACGGCCTCAAACTCCCCAGCAAGCCCCACTACCGCCGATGAGTGCTCCTGGATTGGTCCAAGGACACCCAATTCATGGGCCCTACCCACAGCCGATGCCATTTGCGACGTACCCTCCCCAGTTGGCGGTACCAGGCCCGCCTCCACCTCCGCCAGCGGTGATGTACCCTCGAGCACAGCCGCAGACACACTTTGTCATACCGCCTCCTCCACCACAACCTCCCCCAGCAACAGGTATGCCAGCCCAAAGACTGATTCCTCCACCACCGCCGCCACCGCCGCCGCCGCCGCCCTTGGGTCAGCAACCAAGTGGTGTGTTCTACCAACAGCCACCAGGGACTAATAGCCAGCCACGAACCCGTCCTCCTTCTCCAGGTCACGCATCCACTATCGAAGACGACGACTCCGATCGTGGCGGCTCTTTACCTCCAGCAAGCCGTCGAGGACAGAGCCAACCACGGGGCCGTAGCCCGCCACCAGGCGGTTCGCAATTCACACGTAGCCGCACCCCATCGCCTAGCGAGCGGCGACGCCAGCACGCCCGCCGCCATACACTTCCCATTCCCAGCCGCTCCCCGCCACAAGGACGACAGCGCGGTCGTGGCCGACAGGGAAATCAGGACGGCAGTACACTTCCTCAGCGGGACGGACCGAGCTCTGACAGCCCCAAGTCAAGCGACACGAGCTACAGGTCATCTACCAGTCTTGACTCCGAGCTACGCACCGATCTGGCCAGCCTCCTTGTAGAGGCAGGTGGCCGTCAGCGAGCCCGTGAGGCTGAGCGTCTACAGGCACTGGTTGACCGGTACGACAAGGAGGAAGAGGAAGAACGAGCACACCACAATGGCAGTGAGAAAGCGGGCGGAGGAGACAAAATGCCTCGACTTCCAGGGCAACCTATGCGGCCCGCTACCCATCAAGCTCAGACGGCCGAAACTGTCGCAGCCGCGAGCGCTCCGCAACGAGATCCTCAAGGCAGTCGCCAGAGAGAAGAAGCATGTCACACTGACAACGAGGGCCTATCCGACCCTCCAAGACGACGAGTCGCATTCCATGAGCCATCTCTTGAAGTCCTGGAGTCCCGAGTTGGGCGTCCTTCCAGACCATCACAGAGCCCGACCAGGATCCCGACCCGCGAAGACCTCCATCACGGCGAATCTCGAGTGGGACGTCGTCGGCGCACTCCCAGCCCGGACGAGAGAATAGTCCAGAGACCAGTGGCCCAAGCCTCAGGCGGTGCCGAGTCTCGCATCGGCAGGCCTCAGCCTTCATTGCCACCTCGAGAGCATCCAGCCCGGCGCAGAGACAGCCACGGAATTCCCGGTGTTGGTGAATCACGGGTTGGCCACCACCAGGGCAGGAAGCGTCGCGGAACACACCCTCCGGAGACATTTTCCTCGAGTAGAGGCCCAAATTACTACAATACACACGATGGAACCCACAATGGGCATCCAGCGGCCGACAACAGCATCCTCCTCAACGTAGCTCAATCCGACGATCCGCCTTCGAGCGCTGGGGCCACCTGCGCAACGAGGAGTCAGGCTTCGAGTGATAGCAACGACCCACGACGGAGAATGCGTATGACCCCAAGTGTGTTCAATCGTGATCAGAACCGGCGAGACCACGAAGGCATGCGTCCCCGCTTGAGGTCACCGTCAACAGCAGAGTGAGTGATGAGGAGATTCTCCAAGCGGTTTACGATGCTGACCAGAGAAACTTGTCATCCAGATCTAGTGACGACAAAGGCGAGAAGCATAGCCTTAAATCCAGCTGGGGTTCAAAGCTCGCGTCCTTCCTCCCCACAATCGCGAGGCTCGCGACCAACAACCCAGTGGTGCAAGAGGTAGCAGACAACATCGCGGACGAGGTCAGAACTCGGGATAGAAGAGAGGAAGGCGACGGGCGCAGGCGGTCCGCTGGCCACGAGTCACACGACAACCACCAAGCCTATCCTCGTCCGCGACCTCCCCAGCGCTTCCCTGACCCCCGCCAGCGACGCGATGCTCGCCGCCCGCACTCGCAGAGCCCTCGCCAGGGAGCATCACGGCAGCCGAGGTGAGCAACCCGACACGCACGTGTCCACCCGCCAGGCAGCTGACCGTCACGCCCGCAGGTCCTCCAACGACCGCTATCGCAGCCACGGCCGACGCCCGAGCACGATTCCCGAGGAGCCACGCCAAAGCGTGCAGCTCGCCCTTGAGCACGCCGCTGAGCGTCTCGCAGAAGAGGTTGTCGAGCCGGCACTGGACCGAGCCCGTCGCCGCGAGGCAGGATCGGGTGGCCACGCTGATGTCATGCCAGGCCAAGATGACCGACGTCGTAGGCGGCCGCGCAGGAGCAGGGAAACGGAGTCCTAGCAGCAGGGCGGACGACTGCACCGCAGACGCGCGCCTCGAGGGTCACAACAGAAGTGGCGACGACCAGAAACATATGAACCAACACCAACGGAACCCCATCTCACCGAGACTGGCAGCATTTATTCCTGGTCGGGGTCCATCACGGCCCTGGTCCCAATACTACCGAGCCAGGGCGTTGATCTCCACAATCTAAGAATGACAACAGATCAATCTCAAACCCCAAGGCACAATGATCGCTGCGAGAGACAATGTAGCTGCACAAGCCCCCAAATAGAACTCGGTTGGCTATAATGCCGGGCGGGGCCAGATACAGCTTTGTATCTCACGTAGCCCAAAAATAGTATATAATTGTCAAGCAAAAGTATGAGTGAGGCGCGCGCCCGCACCAACAGCAGCTGTGCCATGAACGGCCGCAGCAGGCCGGTACTACTAACAGCAGCAGGGCGTTCCAACCCTCCAAAAACTCCGAACCCGATGCTTGTTGCGGAAGCCATGATAAGATAGATGAGGTGTCAATGTGTGACTCCAATTGGCTTCCCACCCAGAGAATCAGGCGTCTGGCTTCTTCCCAAGAGTTGAGCCGTGCCATGGACGCGCAGTGGTGCCCCGGGACTTTGGTGCCTCTGGGGGCCAGCCATATCGCTGGTGGGTGGCATGCCGGGCAGTTATGAGCCGTCCGTAGTGACCACTCGATTATCAGTCCACCTTGGCTTTCGAGATCTGGCAACCGTCCGAGCTGTCCATGGGATAGGAATGGTTAGCAATCATCTGACTTCTGACGAGGGTGTGTGTGGCTCGTCCGTAGAGTCCCCGCCTAGAGGGCCGCTAGCCTGTTTTCCTTTTGGCCCTCGCTCTGTGCGACAATGAGGGCAGAAGGCGTTACTTTTGCGCGAGCAGTCAGAAATGCAGATGCCGTGTCATTGCTGTCACGTCGTGAACAGAATCCCGATGATGGTGCCGCATGGTGCAGTAGGCAAGGGCGACGTCCACTGCATCACAGGCCATTGCCCACCCTTGATTGGAAAAGCAACAGAGCCGGAATTATGGGCCCGACACACATACGTCGTGATTCTAGTCTCGCTGTATTGTACGTAGAGTATCGTTGACAACGTAGAGTTCTCGCGGGTTCACGGCGGCCCCCGTCCCATGAGCCCCTTATTAAGGCTGTTGCACTGTACAGGATGGAACCATGATTGTTGAATTTATACTAAAGTGGCATCGTGGCGTTGCCGCAAGCAAGTGTGCGCCCTTTCATTGCAGGCTCCCGCAGGACCAGGGGTGGTTGTGAGAGGTGGTCACTCCTAATCTATCTGGCTTCAGTCGGGAAGGGACCGCGGCAGGAGACAGACGGGCTTGGGGGGGGGGGGGGCGCACTGAAGCTGCTGATTGTCGCTTGTGGCCCGCTGACGGCCGGGCGTAGTTCGATGGGAGGGGGTTTTCCGATGTGAGGCTGTTCGAGAGGCTTGGACAACAAAGCCGCCGCTCCTAGGTCCACCTGGGCACCCCGGTGGATGGGTGGCTCTAGTCCACCCAAGGGAAGTGCAGTGGGCGGGTAGGACCACAACCTAGTCTGTCGTCGTGGGCAAAAATGCACTAAAACGAGAAAATAATCGCGAATATATGGTTGGTTTCCTCGGCCTGCATTAACCACATCCATCAACGTGGGTTTGGGGTCAGGCAGTCATGCACTTTGAACTTGGCTTACGAGGCGTGGCGTGGCCCGTCGTACTTTGGCTGAGGGGGTATCGCCCGAATAAGAGGCCGGTTGTATCCCCATCCGCACAGTTGCCCAACTAGCCTCGGTGGACGTAGCCAATGTGACCGTGGTCAAGAGTGCCACACTAGGGGTGCAACATTTGGGTCGAGTGAGGACTTGCACGAACCCCATATCTCGCACCTCATCCTCTTAGCGCCATCAGCAGTCGCTTGAACCCAGATCTGGGAGTCGGAACCTCCTCGCCTATCAAGTAGATTAACTGTCCTTTGGACCATAGGCGGCGAGAGGACGCGGACTTGTGCACAGATGGCAACCCGTGTCAGATTGCTGTAACCATGGTGCAGACCTCTGCGGACTGAGGAGGCAAACGAGAAAGCCACACGGCCAAGACATTCGGTCGGCACGGTCACTTCGTGTCTCTGGTCCAAGATTCTGGGGGCGGGCAACAGTCATTGACTTTCACAGTCGGACCTGCTGCACAAACCAAGGCCGCGGCACGAGTAAGTCCAATGTGGCCTTGTCAAGTCGTCTCTCGAGGGGGCGCGCGAGGGCTGGTCATCCGGCCGATGGCATCAGCTCGTGCTCTGCCGAGAGACAGACGATAGAGTCCTTGATAGAAAGCCCGTAACCGGACTGTGGGACTCGGTCAGAGCGGGGTCAGCATGGCACTCACGCGCAAATCATGATGTCCAAGACGACAGGGTTCCAGTGTCAAGATTAGACCGACAGGAGGATTTCAACGTCTCGTGGAGTCCCGCAGAAACCTTCTTTCAGCCTGAGTTGCGACTCGCAGTGACGGGCAGAGCTGGGGGCATGTCACTGCAATCCGGCAGGGTACCGTAGCTGGGTGGATGACAGTTTCGACGAAGCTTGACCAAGGTCAGGAGTCAGACAGTACTCCCGAGTGCTCATAGACCGCCGTGACCAAAGTCTGTTAATCTCTGTGTTTGATAAGCTGACCTTGGAGGAGCGTCGTCGTGTCGTCTTGTCGTATGCGAACTTGCCACCACGCAGGGAGGGCCTGCGTTGGTGTGAGGCTCACAGGCGCACCGCCAGACGACTCATGAGCCCTGATGAGCCAACTTCCGACGATCCTAAAAATTGCAAGCGCGCCAGTCCATTACGGGCCAACCTGACGGGTCTGAGCGAAGCAAGCGATGCCTTGGGCGTGTTGGCCCGCTGGCCGGCTGTTGCACAGGCTGCGCGAATCATGGCGGTGATTGCTGCCTCCAAGGTACTACGCGACGTGACGCTGGGGCCATTTCAGGTCTGGGTCTGGGTCTGGGTCCTGGTCCATTTGGTCTGGCCCGGGTCTGAACATAAATGCAATATCTGGTTGTGGGAAGGAGTGAGATCGCCAGTGAGGCGGTCTCACTTTGCGGCGGTCGTCTGTCCCACTGGCCGGGTTGAGTGGTTGTGCGAGAGGACGGCAATTTTGGTGATCCTGATGGCTCTGATGATGAGTGCCCAGTGGAATCGGAATTGTCTGGGCCTGCCCTGGCCGGCCTTGTCAAGCTGACAAGAAAGTCAAGGCCACCACGGATGATGGCTTGGACTACCTATGCCTGGGCCTTCGGATCTGCATTAGCCGGCCCTTTAGATTGACAGCGGTTTCGACATAGCCTTGGGAAAGTTTGTCTACTCAACCTGCAGAGGCAGGCCTATGTTGCCGATAGAGCGAGAGCTGGGCCGAACATGAACAAGCTGATGTCCCTGCAGGGCACGACCGCGGGCACTGTGCACTGTGCAGTCCTGCGTGTAGACTACCTACTTTGGATCTCATCCCCAGAACCTTGCTCGTGAAGAAGCGGGTGTGGGTGTGGGTGGCTGTAACGTGTGGGTGGGTGGTTGTGTCACGGCACACCGTAGAGTGATATGACCGGGAGCTTGGGGGTTGCCGTGGATGAGGATGGGGAAGGGGGCACGGGGTTGCTTGGGAGGATGATGAGATCAGGCTTTTGGTCAAGTATGGTCGACCCGGAGGTGCGGTGGGATGGGATGAGATGGATGCAAGGGGTGGTGATGAAGGGAGCAAAAAAAAGGCGGCGACGCATCATCTCACAATTAATCAGGAGGGCGTAAGAAACCAGCAGTTGATTTCTCAGGGGGGCAGGTACGTAAGGAAGGTGCTGCTGCCCTTGACGCTTGACTGCCAGTGCGCAGTGCCCATGTGGGTGAGAAGAGCGAGTGTGTAATGTAGCTGCCTGCCCTGCCCACCTGGGCACCTAAAGCTACCTACCCACGTACAGATACGCAGATAGTAGGCATCCTGGCGGGCCTGGTCCATATGGTACAGTGCGAGACACCAGAGCGGAGTGCTCTTGATGATCTTGGTTTTGGGTTAGCAGCCACGGCACTGGGCAGAGGCGCTTTGCATGGACGACGTGATCAAGTCGATTCATTGCCCCGACATGCGACATGCGACATGCGCCATGCTTCGACCAAAAAAGGCTGTGTAAGAGGTTTGTCTCCACTCGTTTGCCTGCTGTACTTCTAGGCCCGAACCTAACGTGACCGGCAGCCTTGGAAGCGCTTCGTGTACACGCACGCAGGCTTACCTGCTTGCCCCTTGAGCGCCGCTACCAACACCGTCACGAACTCTGATGAACGCCCGCTCGATCGTCGCTCAAGTCAACTAGCTCCTGGTCCCGCCCAGACATGAATCGCCCTCTCCCTTCCCGGACGGGCTCGGCGGAGCCTCTCGATCATGACGGCCGCCATCGAAACTGGATCCACCGGCCCAGACATGGCGAGCAAGGCGAACAAAACATGCACAAAGGCAAAGGTGGGCACGACAAGAAAAATCCAATTTACGCGCGATTCTGTCGCGTCACCCTGCTGCAAGCTCTTAATTAGTCTGAACCTTGCAAGAGCATGGGAGCTAGCTCCAATTCCACAATCCTGCCTGGCCCGCGTCTCATCCAATCCAACAAGACGAGACCTGTCTCTGCCCACATTGTTCAACAATGAGCGGTACCCGGGGGCTCAACAACTCCCACCTGGTCAGTGCTGGTGCCTGGTCGCTTCGGGTCAGATCAGGTTGGAGTGGTCTCGGACTCAGAGCCGACTATCTCATGACGAGACCGACGTCGAGGGGCCCATGTGCGCTCCGACCGATGGAGGCGCCTCTTTTGTCCCCCGGGGGCCCGTCAAGGATGGATACATAGTCTATGTCATCACGAGATACAGCTCGCTGCTGTCGGTGACAGGGGTCGGGCACGTCGACGTCGTTTGATGGAGCTTCTGTTATCCCGACCGACACTTCCGGCCCTTTATGCCCGGCTGCCCGCCCTTTGGCATCGAGGCACGGTTGTGACTGGTCTTGCCTGCGTATCAGCTCAGCTCGGCTGCTTCAACACGGTTCGAGACGGCTCGCATCTGCCGCCATCCAAGGGGCAGTCCATGCTCGCCTTGCCTTAGTTGAGCATGACTAAATGTGCAGCACTGCACCGACGCCGATCCTAAGCACACAGCCTTTCTGGTGTTGCGCGGTCAAAGTCGGGCGACGAGACGGCTGCAACCTGACGCGGGAAAGAGGAATAAAGGACGATGCACTACAGCCACTCACCTCCCGAGCACCTCCTGCTGCAAGCGCTGCGAGCAATCACATCACACCCTTTCGTCTTCGGTCCAAGGCCGACAGGGCTGCCTGCTTCGGCCAACGCCCCTGACTATGATATGAACTCGCCGGCAGCACGGATACGTGGGCCTGACGAGACCGCCGTCCGCTGGCTAATAAGGACACAAGTATCAGGCTTGCTGACCGGGTTTCTCCCATACCGCCTTTGAAAATAGGGAGGGGAAAAAAAGCCCGAGCCCCTTGCCAGCGAGCTACATATGTGGGCGAGTATTGATGCCCTCAACCCTGCTCCAGGCTCGCGCGCCCGGGGACGCATTTCAAATTATTGCCAGACCACTGCGGTCGCGCACCGCTGCGTCCAAAAAGAAAAGGGGGTCTCGTCAGATAGGTATCGATCATGCAGACTTCTCGTCGCACCACCACCACTATCAGACAGAAGGGGACCGCGATGCCCGATTCCACACACATCCCACAAAGGCTGAACCCCGGCCATTGATTGTCTCTATGCTGCCCCACCCAGCCTGCCGCCCAGGCCGCTTCGAATCTCGCAAACAGCCAGCCAGAAATCCGTCCCGACTTGATGATATGCCCGCACCCCTGCCTCGCTTGGTGGTGTGTCACACGTTTGCACCTTTTGCGAAAACGGTTGCTTCGGGGCCTGTCTGAGGGGGATGGCCGTCGGGATGCAGGAGGCACCAATCAGAGACAAGTTGTACAGTTTTGTAGTGCATTTTTCCGCAAGCCTTGCGCAAGCTCTCACGGAGCGTCCACTCAGCAGGGAATGATGCCTGGTGCAGCATAACGCGGCGTCAAGCCAAATTCCTCTTGCGTCTTTCCTGGTCTGATGTGAGCAGTCTGAGAGCGCCCAGATGATTGCGACTAGGCCCAGCTGGCTAGCTCTGCGCCCAAGTCGAGCATCGATCCTGTCATCCAGCAGTCGCCAACCGAGCCAACCAGACGGCTAGAGGCCCAGGCCTGTAACCGGGGCCTGACAAGCAGACCAGCTGGAGTTGGAGCCACGATGCTTTCTACTGCCATTAATAACTCGGCAGCTCAGCAGCACGCAGGTGGCGCGAGCCAATGGCGGGCGCCCTGGCAGACCAACCGGTTATCTAGGCATTGTACATGTGCTTGCGCGTAGCGAAGGCGAAGCAGGAAAGCCAAAGCAAGACGAGTGAGCTCACGATCCCAGCCGCAACGCAATCAACCCCGATCGCCAGTGCCCATGGAGCGAGCTGTTCGGCGTTGCGGTTGCGTTGCGTCGCGTTGCGTGGCGACACAGCGTCACAGCCTGTCTCGATTGACGGAGCCCCTTTGGGTCGCATCGGCACCGCAAGAGCACGCAGCACTCAGCGCTGCGCCGGTTCTTTTCGGTATCTTACGCCGAAAAAGGGCAAGGCTGGCTACCAAGTCTCAAACAAACCTTTTGGCTCCCCGGGGAGGGGGGGAACATACGGAGATGTGACACGAGAGACCATGTCATCTCCTTTCTTCAGACTGTCAGAGGTGATCCTGTCGCCTGTGCCCCTTCCTTGAAACCCCGACGGACCAATATGGGGTGCATTCAGCCTCGTCACAGTGGCCTCGATGCGCCGTGTTGGGCGCTCCGAAATTTCGTGCCCACTAGCATGTTTCTTTGGGGGGGGGGGGGTCAGATGCCTCGGCGGGATTGCCGTCAGAGACGCTCCCCATCCCAGAATGTGAACCCTGCAGCATCGTGACTTGACTGCATCCGTTCCCACAATAGCGGTCATTGAATGGTGCATTTCTGATATGAGTGATGCGTGGATGATGGCTGATGGAACAGGGTCAAAACGCGCACTCTCGGATACGCAATCTAGCAGCGGCGGCGGCATTCGATAGCCCTTTCATCTGATCAGCACCCCTTGGATCCATTCCCCATTCCACCTCCTCGCGGCTGGGGATTGAAGATATGGACCCGGTCCCGCGCGGTGGTGGTGAGGGTTCTCTGGATGTGGAACGCAGCAGGATCCAGGCTTTGGCCCGGCAGACATCGCCATCCCTCCAGCCCTCTTGATCCTTGTCCTGCTGGTCATCTCTCCTTGCCTTGGTCACGGTCTCCCTTCAACCCCTGAGCCATGCCGAAACCTACAGATCCGTATTAGATCCCCCCCTCATACGAGACCCAGCCACGTGCCGACTCCGATGAGGTGGGAAAAGAGGATGCGCCTCTAGGAACGAGATGACGAACGTCAGAAGGAGATGGGAGACGTCAGGGCAACGGGCTTAGATTCCTGGACGACCGTGGCTCCGTCGGCCTACATGTCCAAAGTTGGAATTCCAGCTTGGGATCGGCCAGCAACCAACAACGGAGTCGTTTCCCACGCCTACGCAACCCGACCCACACCCGCAGGCTTGCTGACCACTTTCTATTCAGGACGGCCTCCAGGAACGGGCACAGCCCGCGCTAATAGAGGCGACAACGGGCGCGGTTCTGCCGACAAAGTTTCACCTGTTTCCACGGGAAAGACAGCCTGATGAAGCAGGAGAAAGCAGAGGCCGCTAAGCCAAAGGTTGAGGCCCGTCCTAGAGCAAAATGACCCGCCAACAATCGGTACCACGGCCGGGGTAAAATACGACAAGCCCAACGGAGTACCCTTTTTTTTCTCTCTCTCTTTATTGTGCCCCTCCCCCACCCAGGCTTTGGCCTTGTCCAGAGTCGGCAACGCACTGTCTTTGCGCCCTCCCTTGTTCACACATTTTTGATGCTGTGCATCCTTGTTCAATACTATGTATATCCAACGAAACGCATTCGGCAGAGTCAACCTGGCTGGGCCGTCCGTGGTCTCTAATGAGCCTGGAGTTTGGAGTTTGATTCTGATTGAAATAGGGTTGGTGTGGATGGGTACAGACTTCCTTTCATTACTTTTTTTTTTTTTTTTTGAGAAGCGTCTACTGTGTAAGAGCCAGGCCAACAGGTGTACCCAAGTATCCCTGGCAAACTTGACGCCATTCCGCCAGGCATATTGGGGTCAATGACAGGTCAATGTCTGACTGACTGGACAACGACAGTTGCCCTGCAGTCAGTCCCTCAGGCCACACTCATCACTGAGCCCAGTCAGTGGGTACTATACCGAATCAGATGCCCATGTGCCACAAAGAATCTTGGTAGCGTTCGTCAATGCTGACCTTTCTGCCCATTGCCATGATCTTCGTCAATCAATCAGCCTATGGCCGTAGGTTTCTGGATCAGACAGCGTCCATTGGCTTGAGATCCATGGGATCGCCCGGTGGGCACAGTGTCAGCCACTCGATCCGGACCTCTCCTCGGCTTGCACCGTCGAAGTCAGCTCGGTCCACCGTCTCCTCTCCTCTCCTCCCCTCCCCTGGCCCCCCCCCCTTCTGACACCTCCAGCTCCCTCGGCCAAAGTGTGTATGTGTGTATGTGTGTAGTGTGTACGTACTTTCCGCATGGGTAGCGAACCGTAGCCTGTCCTGTGCTGTCCCGAGGTCTATAGTAGTATGCCCCGTTCAATGTACATGTGCAGGCGACAGGACGACGGGTGGTGACTGCCAAGAAGAACAAGAGCAACCCACCCCAGGGCACAAGCACACGGGATCGGTTGTCCCTTGTCCAGAAAAGACCAATCCGTTCCATATAGACCATGTACTGTGCATATGTATCGAGGCTTGCAACCGGCCCGAGAAGGCTGGACTGCTGTCCTGCCCTGTCCTGCCCTGTCCCCTACGGCATCCGGGTAGGTTGAGACCTGGCGGCACACGAAAGCAGCAAGGCAAATGAATGAGGCGCCCCCGTCCAAGTGGAGGAAGTCAGTTCAGTCAAAGTGACAATCGCAGCATCAGCATCAGACCAGCACAAGCACCCGGGACCGGCAACGGCACCGCCAGCAGCAGCAGCTGGACGAATGCATGCAGGCATGGCCGGGAAGGGGAAGCGATGTCTCTTGATTGTCTGTCTGGTCTGTTGTGCTTGCCCGTTCGTTTCGTAGCTCGTTCTTTCTCTCCCTCCACTCCACTCCCACCCCCACCCCCCGGCACATGCAGGGGAGGGGTCGCAGGCCAGAGCGAGCGAAAAAGGGAAACCACAGCAGCAGAAAGGGCCACTGCCACGGCCCCCCGATCCCGATCACCACCCAGTCGGAGCGCCAGAGTCAAAGCGGACAGGGCAGCAGGGACATTGTGGAGGAGGCACAGAGGGCGAACGGAGGGGGTCCGGCCTGGGCAGGGCCCCAGAAAAAGGTACTTGGCGCAAACGTAGGTCAGAGTACGTACATACACATCCGTCCAGCCCAACCCAATCCAATCCAGGCCGTGCCTCGTTCCTTCCTTTCCACATCCACATTCCCTGTCGAACTGGAACTGGTCCTGGAACTGGCACCACACTTGACAGAGAGTGAAGAATGAAGCAAATATACGGACTAATGTGTACGGTAATGGCTAATCTCTCTTTTAATCTTTCGAGCTGCTTCAATTGTGACGCTTCCCTTCGTCTTTCCCTCCTCTGGTGACAAGACTCCAGAGCTGTCGTCGAGCTAGCCCTTTTCCCTCCCCATCCCAGCTCTACCTACCTGCTCGCCATCCACCACCACCATCCACTCTTGACTTCGTGTTGAAGAAGTCAAGCTTCTCGCCCGCCTCGACCGCACTTCGTGTCTGGCCCGTCCAGACCTTTTCTTTACTGTCCTCCCGAACCTATTGTGGCTCTAGTAGAGCTGCTGCACGGCTCGCCCTTAATTGAAGACCAAGCTCTCGTCCGCCAGGGCAGACCGACCTTCCGAACCTCACTCCACTCGAACGAAGCCCTCCTCGAACCGAGGAGGTTTCTTGAGCGTGAAGCTCGATCGAACCGACGGTCCATTCCAGCAAATACCACACACAGACAGACACCAAGGCTCTCGTGAAGGGGACGGCTTGTCGTGGTGGGGCACGGAAGTTGGTGAAAAAAGGTCACCTGGTCACCTGGTGTGCTGCTGGCTCCCACCCGATAACCAGCTGCTCTGTCGCTGTCTCCAGAAAGTGCAAACCGTGAACAGCCCCGTGGGGATGTCAGTGGTTCCCTCTGACTGGGCATTGACTCAAAGTGAACAATAGGAAGCGGTGCAGAGAAACTTTGGACTTCGGTCCACTGGTGATTAGGCCGCCAGACCGTGTCGACGCTACCCTCGAATGACCAACCGCGATCGATAAGACAATACGAACGGGAAACACTCGAATTTTTGACAATGGTCGATCGACTCGGAAACTTCTATACCACTTAACCCACCGGACCCCTCAAGCCATCAAGGCCCCTTGAAAACCAAACGAGCGATTTCACCCAATTTTGTCGACTTCTTTTTTGCACATAAATCCATGTCTTCGACTTTGACTGCGACCATTTTAAACAACGGCTTCCGTTCCTCCCCTCCCCGATCTTCGAGTTGCCAGAAGCGAACACCACTTTCTTCACATCGATCTGCAGGCAGGGTTGCTCATCGCGTGACGAGCAGCCTCGGAACGCACCCTGGTTACAAAATGAGTGCCGTTTACCATGGACCTCAGGCGGTAGCATACGAAAGCCGCCTGCCAACCCATGAGCATCACACGCTGGACCAGATTGAGAGATCTCGGCCGTATGCACAAGAGGCTCACAACGGCATGGAGAACTACGAGAGACACCCTGCACAGAGTCACTTTCAGCAGTATCAACCACAGGTCCCTCCACAAGCACGACATCTGGTCAGTTCGGCATCACACCCTGGATCGAGACTCCCAACCCGACCTTCGACACCGAATTCGACCCATTCCAGTCACCCAGCCTCAGGTACAAATTCTGCGAATGGGGATGTCCAGTCTATGGTCCTTCACAGCCTGCAGGTACCCGTTTGCATAAGCCCAAAAGGAGGAAACTTGGCAGACTTCGCTGCGCAGGTAAATTTGGCCCAAGACCTACCAACGAGACCAGCCCTGATAGCTAACTTACCGTTTTAGTTGACGTGTCTTTTCTGGTTCGAGTCGCCCAAGATACTGGAAACTGCTGAGACAATCCGATCTACCCCCAAGGAAACACCGTTGCCACATCTGGCTAAGACTGCTTTCCCAGCTGAGGCTTTCAAGAAATGGGTTCAAACAGTCCTGTCCACTACGCAAGTCACACAAAATGTGATACTGCTAGCTTTGATGTTTGTTTACCGACTGAAGATGACAAACCCTTCTGTGAGAGGGCGGCCTGGGAGTGAGTATAGGCTGCTGACTGTGGCATTAATGTTGGGCAACAAATGTAAGTGAAACTGTGAAGGCTGGCTATATTGAATCGATGGGCTCGGGCAGCTGCTGACTTGGCGAATAGTCTTGGACGATAACACATACACCAACAAAACCTGGGCCGAGGTGTCGGGCATCTCTGTGCAGGAAATCCACGTTATGGAGGTCGAGTTTTTGAGCAACATGAGATATGCTTTGCTTGCATCGAAGGAACAGTGGGAGGAATGGCTCGACAAGCTGGGTGCCTATTTCGAGTTCTGGGCGCGTGTGACCAGGCCGGCATCTCCTGCAATGATACCACCATCGCCGACGCTCTTCATTCCGTCACCCACGATTGGGAAGGGCTACTCGCCTTTGCCGTCCCCGACAAGTTCTCTCCAGCCCACGCAAGCCCTCTTCACAACGAGGTCTCCGAAGTATTCGCCCCCTACCCTCTCGTCGAATCACAACTTGGGTTACCACCAGCCTCTTTTCATGTCGAGCAGCAACGGGAACAATGTCTCGCCCCTGGCGAACAGGCCCGACCTTGGCAACAACAGGAAGAGGTCCTGGGACGAGGAGGCTGTCGATCCTCCAGCGAAGCGTGCTTACAGGGCACCTCCGCAGTTGACAGGCCCCTTGATGTCATCTTCGACGCCGAACACGAAACCGCCTCCGGACCCTCGACGGTTACCCATTCCAAACCTTACTCTAAACACAGCACATCACGCACCACCGGTGACTCAGTCTCAGTACCCGCCTGCAGCGTACTCCATGCCACAGACCGTCACGCTTTCCTTGCCTCCCCTGGAGCCTGGAATGCGAGCCATGTCGACAGTCTATGCACCCCCGACGACTTCTTGGGCACCCCCGAACAGTGGCTCGTCACAGCCGAACATGCCCTCCGCCCCAATTCTTACCACGCCGACCTCGCATTATCCGCCCACCTCGAACGCAACGTATGGCACTCCCACGAAGCGCCTCAGTCCGATCAGCACCCTGGGCAACGCGAATTACAACGGATCTTCTCCGCTGCACGAGCAATACCCTCACAATGGTTTCGCAACCCCAATTTCTCACTCTCCGTCTGTCTACCTGCAGCAGCGTGACAGTCCTTACCGACCCATCCGGCACGTCCACACTCTACTGAACCCGCCACCGTCTTCCAGCTTGCAGGGCTACCATCTACCAGCAATTGCACCAAGCCAGATGCATTACCAGCCGATTGGCAGGAGGGATGATTATCGTACTGGAATTGTGCCCGAGTACCGAAACCAGGCTGCTTACGCTGCTAACCCACGGAACCAGGGCATGACACCTGTGCCGTCCGTGCCTAGCCAGCAGCGATATCCGAATCTGGTTAATTAGAAGTATACCGGATCTCGCGATTTGAGGCAGCTAAGCTATTGGAAGCCATGGACCCCATGGGAGACCATTGGTAGCCGGCCTACGTGGCCACCTTATTATGGTCCCGTACCTTAGTGAGTTGGCTTGTAATTTTACACGATCACATGATGATCAAGACTTTCCGCATCCGCATTCGCATTGGATCAGGCGTTCATATGGAAGGGAATCATGCGCAGCAGCAAAACTTGCATCGGAAGCGCAGCGCGTGGGAATCGCGCTCGCATGAGCAGCATAGCATTGTGAGCTTTGCAAACGATCTTTATCCGAGTACCACGGCTGGATCAGTTCATGATGGCTCAATGAAAGGATGAAGAAAAAGGATCGTTTTACATTTAGGGACACGAGCCCTCAGATAGAATCCCACCCAGCCCTCATGAAAGTTGGGCTGGTACAGTCTACATCAAGGCTGGACCCTAGTGAAGGGAAATACAATGTTATTCAGCCAGAATTGCACGGCGTCGCTCCCTTAGGTCTATTGTATGATTTTTGTCCTTGAATGAGCCGAAAGCTGCCCTGCGTGCCGGAGAGAAGTCGTGTATATAATTGAGTATAAACGGTTTGTAAACACTGGTTACCCATCTGCTGACACTCCCAGTCCAATGCCTTCGGCCTGCGGTCTCCAAAGTCTTCTACAGCGCCTCGTCCACTGGTCGGCCTACCGACCTAATGCCACCAATACATAAGGGCCTTGGTGTAGAACAAGGCTTTCGTGCCTGTGACGCCACTGGGCGATACCTATCTTGCGATTCTGGACACAACTGGGTGACTAGATGTCTGTCACGAACACCAATGCATTTGTCCCCGTCTGCGCCTTCAACCCTTCTTTTCAAAGTCCAGTTTGCTCGCTTGCTCACTACATCCGGTTGTTTGACGTGAGATGGTTAGCTTGATATTGCGTGGAATCGTGTTGACAGGATAGTGCTCTGGTACTGGCATTCTAGGCCCAGTTCTGAAAAGACAAAAGTGACTTCAGTTGCGTTTCCTGGCCTATCAAACTTTCACACTCTCAAGTTCTTCATTCTGACCCCGGGTAGGTTCCCAACAGCTGCAGTCATGCTTGATGCGCATTGGACGTTTCAATCTTCTCATGTGCGATTATTTGCCACATCAGGCCATCATATAGATCACCACTTGACGTCCCTTACCTGCGGTCCCGCTTCTGTCGCCGTCTTGCACAGGCATGTCCACTTCCTACTCGACCGGCGAACTTTTCTTTTTGTCGGTGTCAGCGGAAGAGACACGCCACTTTCGATGTATTGATTTTGTGCGTTTCCCGAGACATGTGGCTTCCAGAAATGACATAGGAGATGCCCCAAGTCTTTGCACTTGCTTTTGCCGTCGCTTGTGAGACCTGTCAGCTGTCAAAGTCGCCCGAGACAACTGGTTCTTTTCTGGAGGATCTATTTAGCGCGAGGCCCTTGACTGTCTTCGGCAAGTACTGAAATCGAAGACCCTGGTGACTTGCATTCATGGCGATGAAGAGCACATGTATGTCTGAGGTTCCTACCCTAGTATATCCTACTTCTTCAATAACACAACCGACTAACAAGAATGGAGTAAGTCTGAAGAGAACGGCAAAGCACAGATTACAATTGCCTTGAATATCTGACAGGAACCAAGGCCATGAAAAGCCTACCGAGAGTGATATACGCCCCTGAGAGGACGCTAGGCACAATTCCTTTCACAGCTATGTTGGTGGTTAGATACTCAAGACCTCCGGGTTCTCTTCCGAGTCAAACGAACGCATCGTAGGAGGAGATGTTCTAACGAAACAAGCCTATAGAAATTGCTTGTCGTACTAGGTATATTGACATGTTCCCCAGTCCATGAGCGTCTGCTCAAACCCAAACTCATATCTTATCCTTATACCTAGTTTATACATATGTAGATGCTAATAACAGGGCTTGTTGTACCAAGGCAGGGGATTCGGAATGCGAACTAGCAGGTTGTTTCCAAGCGCTCGTGGTACCACTCCTTTATAATATGGGATCCATGAGCAAGTTCTTCAGCAGCAGCAGCAGCTGGCACCATATTGTTTGTCATCAGGGTTCATCTCTCCCCAGCTGTAACAAATCAACCGTCGGCGAAGCCTGAGACTGTGCACCATTCCTTAATAACGGTTCCTCCGCCGAACCCTCCTGATTTTCTTCAAGCTGCAGACTGTCCAAGAAATCTGGCCTCCACTGCCCATACCATTTACCCAGGTCCGCGACAAAAGTCAGAACGCACAACGCACTGCTCACAGAGTACAATTAGTCATCCGATGCCAATATACATCAGAAAGACGATGATCAGCGGAGAGAGGGGGATCTATTACGCAGCAATAGTGGCCATGACGGCTGCGAACTCATATGAAGAGAGAACTTCATAACGCTTAGCCGCGCCGGAGTAGTTGACAGCCAGAGCCAGATCACCAACGCAGAAGAAGGACAGAACACAAAAGCCCCCAAGCATGACCATCTGTCGTCTATGGTATAGCTGGCGAGGGGACTGGAGCGCAGTGACCTGGTTCAGCTTCGCAAGCATGCCATAAAGACCAAAGTTGAACATTGTCCCCGCTACACCCTGGAATTCTGAATCAGTGTCTTCCCGAACAGCACAGCGATTGAATGGTGGGTATCGACTCACAAAAGGAATCGTGGCCCAGGGCAGTATTGCCGCTTTTTCGAACGGCGCATCAAAACCCTTGTACCCGAAAATGAAGAAGAAAACTCCAGTAAGAGCTAGGCCGACATGGCTGAGCGCGGCAAGAAGGTGTGCACCCGCCCACTTGGTGTCGTCCAGCATCTTCGCTACCCAGTGGTGATGATATTCTTGCTAAGGTGTCAGGAACTAGCTCGATTGCGTGAAGAAGTCCAGAATGAACAGGGAATGATGCGCTTGTGGGAGGGTCAGGCTTCATATATAGCTGAAGAGCTCGGAATGCTACTGTAGCTCAAGGCGGCTCGAGCTGGCTGTGCATTCATTAGCGCTTACGACGTTCAACCGTCACTGTCGTACCAAGGCGAACTTTCCTCCTTTCGCGTCATCGGAATCAGTTTTGTGGCCTGACCTGAGAGTATTGCAGTTAGCCTGACGCCTTTTACACAACAGCGCGCCAAGTGCCCAGGCTCAACCGGTCACTTGTCATTTCCCAGAGTGGGAGAACTCCACCATCGAGGCTTCACGCAGATCATAGGTGCCTTGCTCCTCATGAGCCAATCCCAGAACACGCTCGACGGGCGGCCTGTCGCTCCGCCAAGGGTCGGTTTCTGTCGGATACAACAGGGCCTCGATCATCAACCCAAGTGCGGCGGGTGCAAAAGAATCGAGGCTCTGATACAATACTGGACCACCAGTCAAGACTCAAGGAGGGATGGCCGAAGAACAACAGCTCAGTCCAGGCCGGAGCTGATCCATAACAGCTATCAGGAATTGGACTTCTGTTCACAACGGTGCAGTACCTGTCGCGTTATCCGCCGAGGACTGCTGCTGAACCAGCCGATGATAAATGAAGTCACCAGCCTCGCAATAGATCCACATAAGGTATGGGCGACGATGGTAGGAGTTGAGGTGGATGCTATGACGCTTGATATCAGTATACGCCATTCCCAACTCCCAACGGAGCACTCTTACATCAAGCATAACCTTCTGTGCCAAAGGGGAAACACCTCCGGCGGAGGCATCACTCGCAACAAGAGCAGACACAAAAGCGGTCTATGACCAGGTGAGAACCTGGGCAGAGCCCTGCCACCGAGGCCACCCGGAGTGTGGAAACCTCAATTGGTCCGTCAGCAACCCGACGCGGCTTCTGCACATCACATCTCCCTCGGAAGTCCAGCTGGTCGATGCCCGACAGGAGATGGCGCTCGTCAGATACACCGCGCTGAGTTACTGCTGGGGCAGCCCTGACGACGAGCAGACCCAGCGGGGCAGGACGACGGATGGCAACTTTGCCTCTCGGCACAACCAGCCCTTCCTCATTGCAGAGCTGCCAGCCACGATCCGAGATGCAATCACCATGACGCGGGGCTGCGGCCTCGAGTATATCTGGGTCGACTCGGTCTGTATCATCCAGGGAAACGTGGACGACTGGTTCACCGAGGCGAATCGCATGCACGAGGTGTACGCCAACGCGTACTTTACTATCTGTGCGGCTTCGGTCGACAGTGCCTCAGCGGGGCTATTCCACACACGACAGGCATGGAAGTACAGTACCGAGCCTTGTAAGCTGGCAACACAGCGAATGTCACTCCGCGGCTCGTCGTTCAAGGAGCTGATCGATGGCTCAGCCTGGTCGAGCCGGGCCTGGACCTTGCAGGAGGAGTACTTGTCGCCGAGAATAATGTACTGGACGCCGCAGAGAATGTACTGGTCGTGTTCCAGATGCTTTATAACCGAGGGAGAACCATTGGGCGCCCCTAGTCCTCCCTCTGTTCCTCTTCTGTCGCAGTCCTCCTTCCTGGTTGCGTCCCGATCTGGCCAAGACTTGCATGAGAGATGGTATGACCTGGTTGAATCTTTTACGAAGAGAAACCTGACCAACCCGGACGATAAGTTTCCTGCGATATCGGGGATTGCCATGAGATATCGTCGCTGCCGGCCTAGCGATGAATATCTGGCTGGATTGTGGCGAGACACATTTGCTAGGGATCTAGCTTGGAGGACGCCGGTGTACCTATTTGAAGTCCAGAAATCACTCCACGACGCCAAGATCGCCCCGTCCTGGTCGTGGGCCTCTTTACCTGGCGGACATCCAGCCATTATGAGGCGTCATCGTGAGAGCAATGACGAAAATCAAGGCAGGTTTGTATTGGTCGAACCCCGGTCTGAACATTTAGAGGAAGGGACTATGGCCGATTTAGCAACCAAGGGCATCCAGGTGACAGGGCGTATGCGGCCGCTCTTGAGTGGCCACTCACAGAGGCAAGACTGGTCGGACGTCAGTGTGCCATGCGCAGACGGACAAGAGAAATTCTCCTTCAAAAGCTATGTTGACGACGATACTCACTGTGTCGACCTAAGTCGCGGACTCATACTAGTCTATGAGGCCCACCGAGAAGAGACGTTAGGACATGTCGATTACCTGGCTGATGCAGATAGCCTGTATCGGGGTGTTGCTGATGTCCAGTGTCTCGAAATAGGCCAGTCAGCGATGCTGCTTCTTGAGCAATGCGGGGAGGATGATAATGTGACAGGTCGACTGAAAAGTTACCGCCGTATCGGCGTGTCCTGGAGATTCAGGGACGATTTCTTTCGAGGAGACGTACGGATGAGAATAAGGCTTGTGTAGCTGTGGTTGGACAACACATCAACAGATTTTGGTATAGTAGTACTGGAAGGGAGGCATAATCCAGTCAGTCTCGGTTGGAGAACGTGCCACAAGCTGAGATTAATAATATCGAACGGCTCATAATGGGAGCGTCAGTGTGTGCTTCAGGATTTTGACCAAGCAGGATACAAAACTTGATGACCATGTGACTGACTCGTAAATGCCTAGAACTTCCACCACCTGACAAGGCCAGGATTCACTAGCCACATGAACTACCAAGAAATGTTGAAGACCACTAATTCACCATCCACATTGTGCATTCTTCGATTCTGTCTGAAAGCACAGGTGCCGCCCCGGGAAGCTGGGCCTCGCGGAGAAAACATCGTTCCGTCATCACGTGTGCTGTGTGACACGATGCCGGCTCTGTTTTTTGGCCCCTTTTCCTTCTTCAAGGAGGTTCGGGACAGACATTTTTATGATCTCAGTGAAACCACAAGCAATTATCTGTCAGGAAGGTCTATAATCCCAGGACAGAAGCCCGGTAAGTTGCGTTACTCATGACTACTTCCTCGAATCTGTTTAAGGTCAGAGTTCTCAATGTCCAGTTTTCAAGGCACATAACCCGGACACGTCGTCTCAATTCGTAACAGCCCGCTAGGGCACAAAATACAACCGGCACAGCCTATTCAAGCACAGGGAAATCTTTGATATCTTCCACTGAAATAGGTGATTGGAATCTCGTCCGCCCACTGGGACATTTTCAAGATGCTATGCCTAGATCCATGAACCGATTTTATATGTCTAAGCTGACGACTCAAAAGGCTCGCCTGTGGGATGTGTGGGGATGACATGCAGATGACTCTTCTTCCAACAAGGCGTTAGGTACCCACGCCTGGCATCGTTGCCTGGACGAACCCCCCCCCCCCAACATCCCAGAATGCTGTCTAGAAAGCCCGAAACCTCCCATCAGTTCCGTTCCTTTTCGAAACGTCTCTTGTCTAGCAAACGAAAATTGCTCGTTTCCTTCCCACAACTCTATTACGTATTCAGTCGAGCATGCTGATCATCAGAAGGGCCAGCCAATACTTCCATATGTACAAACGAGCCATAACTAATCACGGGAACGGAACAGGATTTGGAGCGCCGGCGTCTCCTTCTGCTTGGTCAGGCCATCGTGCCTTATCATTATGTTGTTCTTCCGACTGGACGCTTCCGCCTCGAACGGCCTTCTGAGTTGTCACTGTAACTCAACTTCTGTTTGCCGCACCCGGGATGATACGGCTCAATCAACCGCCTGGCCGATACCGCCGCTGTCTCGATGCCCCATTTCCCGACGTTGTATATCGTCGTAAATGTATCCGATCTCATCCTTCGACCCCTCTATCACCAATTAAGTGGGGGTAGCAGGCTGCGGGCTGCGATGCCGAGAGGGCGTGATGTGATGCCGAGACGGCGCGCTGCTATATCGAGAGGTCGGGCTGAGAGGTCGAGAGGGCGGGCGGCCACGTGGAGAGGGAGATCTGCGAAAGTCTTCAGAAGGACCCCCGTCAGAGGCAACCGACCTGATTTCATCCGCTCCAAGAGCCAGGTCCGTAACTTGAGGGGAAGACTGTGATCAGTGCCGACAATCATGTCAAAACCAAAGCCAGCCTGAGTAGCCGCTGTCTCGTCGATCACATGGAAACAGGTCTTCTGCACAGTTTGGTCGCTGTTGCGAGTCGGTCCCAAGCTCTTCCAGTCGAGATTGATTGTAGGTCCCTTGCACTTGATCTTTCTTTTATTCAATGTCGAGGCTTGGATGTAGCTCTCGGGGAGCGAGCTTTCAATTCTGTTCACGGCTACCGAGCGATGGACTGGGTGGCCAGGAAGTAAAAGACCTGTTATGGCCCCGTCCTTCCATGGCCACTACTTTACAAGTCAGCAAGAGTGGATCATGGGCCATTGAAAGCGGTGGGCTGTTGTGACTGACGTCTGGATCGATGCTCTCGAGAGCCTGCTCCAACATTTCCACGATCGTGGCCGTCGGAGCATCATCTTCTTGGGGAGGGGGCAGTGCTGCTTGCGGGGGGAACGACTCAGGGGTCTGCGGGCTCGTGAGCATTTGTTGTTGACGGTCGTTGGTGTGTTCTGCTTCGAAGCCCGTACGCCAGTCCAAAAAGAGTGCATCTATTAACCCGTGGTGCTGATCTAGGTCATCATCACAGAGTATTTCCTTCGCTACCAGGTCGTTTTGGAATCCACGGAAGTTGATGGCAGTTTCTCTAGAGTAGAGAAATCGGTTGACCTTGTGCCTGGTTCTGTGCTCCCCCAGAACGTCCTCCGCGGGGATCCCCATGCCAACCTCTGGGCGTCGTGTGGACGCGTCACAGTGCCCAGCCCGCGTGGCTACTTCGAAGGTTCCCAGTCACCAGGCCAGAGGCTGTTGGGACGCGAGGAACCCTGGCGTGTTGATGCAGGTTGCTGGGCAATAGTGTATTGACATGCTAGGTTCGGGCCGGGAGGCCTAGATGTTCGGGTGGGAAGGAACCAGCCAGACAGTGGAAGCAGGCGGAATCAACTTGTCGTGGTGGATGGAGAGTGTGGGAGCTGGAGACGAGGGATAGAGGGGCAAGCTGAATACCTATGCAGGTAGGTGGGATGCTGAGTTGGCTGCATGGCCAGTCCTGCGCGGCAAGATGGTAAGGGCAGACAGACCAATAAAGGACGGAGATTCGGCACAGAAATGCGGTGAGCAACCACCTGGCAGTGACGAATAGGAATCAGCAGGCCGAGAATTGCACGTATGGAGGGTTTTGTATCATCGTGTTGTGAAGAAGAATACGTCAGTCACGAGCCAATGAACCCATGTGCCATGGGATGGCCAACTCAGGTCCAACAAGAAACCAGCTTTAGCATGTCTGGGGAAGATACCCGAGGAGACGAACCTAATTGACGGCTGGTCTCAGTCAAGCGGTATCTACCTGCAGGTGGGTATGCCGCTATGTCCGTTAAATACCCATCTTCAGGCCGCCCATTAAGAAAATGCAAGCCCATTAGGTCTGGATTAGAGGTGCAAGTTGACCAGAGCTGAGACTCAACAACGTGCACTGATATCAAGAATAGTCGTATACTTGTGTGAATATAGATCGAACCTTAGTCGCCTGCCTGAGTTGAAGGAATATACCACGTGATGATGGATTGTGAGTACCATTCGGTAAAACATCAAGGGTTCTAGTGAGCGAACAATGCGCGGTGTTCCTCACCGCCTTGATTCGCAATCACAAATTCCTCCCACAGGTGCTATTACTGGTTTTGACCGTCAATCGGCCGACGAACATGTCAGGGGATTAGAAGGTTGGACGACTCTGATATTCAGGTCACTTTTGCAACCATCAATGCTGCGAAATTTTAAAAATTGGTCCGATTGTATGAGATGGTGATAAAGAGTCATTTTTGTTCGTATTCTCACTGGGCTTTTCTTTCTACACAGTATGTTGACAAAAGGTATGGGGGGATGGTGGACGGCGGTTCTAGTGGCATTGTCTAGCTCTACGTCTGTCTGTTGCTTCACTGGCCGTCAGTTGGCCCCCATGACCACTTGGTGTGGGAGTAAGGCGGTTTAGCTTATTTGTGTTGGGAAAACGGCAAGGCTTTAATAGGCTCTCCGGATCGGCCCGTGGTGCCATCCTGAACATTCGTGCCCTTGCTCTTCAGACAGTCTATCTGATTGTGGTTGTGGGAACGTTTGCCCTCTTTCTCAATCGCAATTTTGTCTGAATCGTTATCTGGCATACTTGCCGCATGGACTGCTTCCTTTCCAATGAACACCACCATACTCCATGGACAAGAGTTACTTAAGCGGCCAAGAACATAATGTAACAAGAGAGACATGTGTCACAGTGTTAGAGTGTAGGAACGCACAGAGCACAAAGTGTGGTCTACCATAACACTGCATCATGCGTATTCCCCGTTATACACTGCCAGATCGCCAAGTACTGACACGGGTCTACTTGCCTTGCTCATTTTGTGTACCCGATGAGCTACCCCTATTGGGTTGGTTCTGGTCTTCGCCGTCTTGTTTTTTCCAAGCCGCATCCCTGCTCCGAGCGGCATTGGCTTGATACTTCTGAACCTTTGCTGCTTCCTGCTTGCTTTGCTCTTTCATATACGCCTGAGAATGTGTGAGCTCGCACCATTGCCCTCAGGCTTTCCAAATGGGAGACTTACACTCTCTTGTCCCATCTTGATTGGCCGGACTGGCTCATCCGGGTTTTTGGTTAGCAGCAGGTGTTTGGCTTCCTGCTTGAGATGACGCCCGACCAGGGGCTTGGTGATCCGAGGGTCATTGGGTGGCTTATTGGACGGGAGGACATAAAATTTCGCCACGACAGGTTTGTGCTCTTTGCCAACAAGGGTCAACTCGACATATTCCCAACATTGGAAATCTGTATTGATGGTCTGGCCCTGGAAAGGCTCGGATTTGAGAGACTGAACCTCGCACCCGTAGTCGAGCGCCATTCCGCGGGTGAGGAAATTGGCGACAGAACCCTCATCAACCTCAATTTCTATAGAGCGCTGGGATCCATGCCGAGCGTCGTATATGGTCATCCAGCGAATGTACTTCTGTGCTCCTGATTTGCGTTCCTCGGTCTTCCTTTTTTCGGATTCAGTTGTCTGGGGGAACACCAGATGATGTTAGCACGTGCAGTTGCACAACAGTGGATAACAACCCTCTCCTGGACAAACATACCTCTGTTATTCTCGCCACCTTGACATCTTCCGTTCGTGTTGGACGATTCTTCCAAAGACTGACTAAGTCTCGAAAGCTTTCCCTGTCCAATTCTTCTGCTTTATTTCATCCATCCTCTCTCTATACCTGTCCACCGACATCCCTTCATCCTCGATGATCCTCCTCTCCGCATCTTCACTGAGAGGCTCAGCCATGGTGCTGAACTAGGAAGTCGGTTGAGACGAACTTTTTCAGTAATATCAGCCCAGGAAAAGCGTGTCCTGTTGGTTGATGGGGGAGAAAGAGATGGATCAGGCTCTCGGGCTGGGGGTAAGGGGAGCCCCTCATGTGTATCAGTGAAAGCAGCAGGCTCCGAGGCGGGAATGAGGCTCCTAAAGGGGTGTGCGAGTCCAGTAATCAGGGATCCAGGCCGTCTGCAGCCAAGGATAGCTGTAGAGCCGAGGCCAATTGCGGAGGAGGGTGTGGTTGCACCAGAGGCGACATCGAGCCCGGTGCGTCTGATTTTCAAGCCCGAAGTAAGCATGCTTAATGCAGGCTCTGCTCCTAGATCTTTCCTCATTAGGTGTGTATAAGGCCTAGAACATGCGTTCATCATGATGAGCCTTCGGGGGCTATGCCCGGGCTCAGCCTCAACAAGGCGGTCCGAGGCAGACAAATCACTACCATTCAAGCGCGTAAGCCTTGTACAGCAGCGTTACCTGAGACGTTCTTGAGGCTCTGGCTTCTTTTGCCACAATACATGCCCACGTTGGAAGTGGGCAATATGCCTCATCTCAGCCCTTAAATACTGACATGACACCTTCCCATCATACGTCGGAAAGGGTGTCCAGGTAGAAGCTGTCACAACTATCCGTGGCCATGGACGGGTACGTCAAAGTTGCACATTTGATGTCCAAGTACGAGGAATTCGCTATCCTCAAACGATTCAAGGCTCTCAACTACCCGAGTCTACTCTACCGTCAAGCCGAAATAACATATTTGCAAGAAGATCTCGAGAAGTTGGCGGAGAGGGATGCCACCGAACCAGCTAGACAGTATTACACGAAAGACTGGTGGGCTTTAGCTCACACCGCAACAGAGCAGGAGGGGGGTGAACAGTGGCGAAAGGTACAGCAGATCAGGGAAAAGCTTGATGATTACAGTACGATGTACGAAAATCTTGGATATGATTGAAATACTGACAAGAGAATGATAGATGACCAACTCGTTAAGCTCGCCACACTTGCAAAGCTCGACGCACCGGCTTCACCTGACGTGAGGTTCCTCAAAGATTGGTTTGAGAGACGAGATATGGGTTCTTTCCCCATTTGGGGTTGAGACAAGCAGTCCTTGGATGACAAAGACGACTTGATTGCCATCAAGCCTCGCTTGCTTCAAGACCGGGTCATATGCTTGTTCGAATCACTGATCTCCTTGTTCCACAGATTTCTTGGGGAGAAGCTAAAGGTTAGAGACAAAAGTAATCAAGGCAGTCCAGAGTGATCATGAAATTCTAATGCACGAGTACTAATCAGGACCCTGAAAGCCCTGAGCTCGGCGACTCGATTTATCATTACAAGAAATCGCTCCTCTTCGGCGCCGCTGATATTTTCACTACAGTGGTCGCGTCATTGCTTCCAATGTTGTCAATTATAGTGCTATTTTTCGTGTCGTCTAACGCACTGAAATTGATCATAATCACTTTGTTCTCGGCGCCTTTCTCACTTGCGCTCGCTCTGATGACGACTGCGCGGCGAATCGAGATTTTTGCGGCTACAGCGGCGTAGGTTATACCAATTCATCTCGCAAACGTTAAATTGAGCGTTCACGATGGACCCGAGAAAGGAAGCATGTAGTGTTCAAGCTGCAGACAAAGATTCATTACAGATTTGCAGCGGTAAATGTGGTGTTTTTGACAAGCGGCACAACGGCTCTTTGACTTCGAAGGCAGCAGTACTGGAAATGAAAAGTACTTAGTCACTTGGAGTTTCTTCTGGTCTGAAATATACGGAGTCTTTCCAATTGACCTTACTGGCTGTCGGCAGAGCTCCATCCATCCAAACCGAAATGTACTTGAGTACGTGCATGTACTGCAGTGTTTGCGGTGAGGCAGCTCCAGGCAGTGAGCAGCAGCTGCAGGTATATAAGCGAGTTGACTCCCCGCAACCGCTCTTGCCCTTTTGACCCATACAACGTTTCCAGGCTCTCTGACGTATTGTCATATCCCGACTGACCGGCTCCTGCATAATACAATGAATCAATGTCTGCATCGCTCTCTACTATGCATCGCGGATTTGGTTCCTAGGTATCCCAGCGCCAATCAAGAATTTCCCGACGACTCCACGCGTTTCCCACTCCACTCCTCCTTCGAAGAGCTCGAACAGGCGGCAGAAGGTGGTTGTGAGCTTTGTGGGTTAATAGTGAATATTTTCAAATCAGTCGACGGGCGAGACACCTACTCCTGGGAATGGCCGAAGGAGCTGCTCGAGAAGCAAGGCGATGGCGACATCTCCGTACATCATATGGTCAAACGGCTTCCAGATTCGACTGACACCAAAGTACGCGTGTATATTGGTACCAGTGGCATGTACGGCGCTGGCACTAAGGGGGAACCTCCCGTGCTCGATATCTTGATGGTTCACGTGGGCCCTCAATTTAAACACGACAGAATATTACCCACGCTCAAGTTGAAGTTGAGGACACGTCATCGCTCAAGAAGTGTGTCCATTTACCCGTCGTGGCCGCTAGGCAGAGTTACAGGACTGACTCTTTGTTTGCAGGTCGAGTTATGCAGGCTGGAGGTTACCGTATCGGCAGTCTCCCCATCGATCCTTACACTGGATCGCAAAGAAACTTCAAGCTCGCCAGAAGGTGGTTGAGGACATGCAAGCAACACCACGACAACTGCTTGTCTGAACCGGTTCCCAATCTCCCAACCAGAGTCATCTATGTTGGCGACGACCCTGAGTATAAAGACGTCCATCTGAAGGTGCCTAAGCAAGGGTCGGAAGCAGAGTATGTCGCTCTCAGCCACTGTTGGGGAGGCGATGTTGAAATTAAGCTTGTGGAGGGTAATTTGGAGAAATTCCAGCTCAGCCTTCCGTTCGATGATCTTGCTGCGAACTTTCAAGATGCCATCGAGGTGACGCGGAAGCTCGGGATCCGCTATCTGTGGATCGACTCTCTATGCATTATCCAGGACTCGACAGCAGACTGGGAAGAAGAGTCGAAAATGATGACAACCGTCTATCGTGACTGTACACTCACTGTGTCAGCCATGTCGTCCGAGAAAAGCGAAGATGGTTTCCTGACGTGCAGGCCAGATGACGGTGGGGCCATCAATTGGGAGGCTGCTCACGTGAAATCCCTGTCAGACCGTGATGAGGATGTGCAGGCGAGGGTAGGAAGGTTTGATCCAAGGCAAGAGGAGTCACTATGGGATTTGGAGGAAAATCCGAAGAAGAAAGGCCCTTTGGCTCGTCGAGGATGGACGCTGCAAGAAAACGTGTTGTCGCCACGACACTTATACTACGGCGCCAACCTAATCCATTGGACCTGTCCATCTGCTCGTCTAAGTGCAAACGGAATGCGTGGAATGCACAAGCTTGATAAGCGGTACCCGGCGGCATCGGCTGTCATCTTCGGTGATATCCTCAGACAGCAGAACCAGGTTTCGGCTTATGGTGTTGAAGAGGTCCTCATGGATTACTATGTTTTCGTCGAGAACTACTCTGCGAGGAACCTGACGAAAGCCTCAGACAAATTTCCCGCATTCTCAGGCATCGTGCAACGCCTCCAGCCGGTACTTGGTGACTATATGGCAGGCCTCTGGCGCCGTGACATCGTCCGCGGCCTATGGTGGGTCAAAGAGGTCGAGGGAGGCCCTGTCTCAAAATACCGAGCACCGTCTTGGTCTTGGGCTTCGGTTGACGGCCCCGTGTCATGTGCGACATGTTCGAAAGACGAAGGACCCTTCGACGTTCAGATGTTGGATTATGCTATTCGCCTCGCTGACCATGACAACCCGTTCGGCCAAGTCCGGTCGGCCTCTCTTACCTTACGTGGGTGGACAAAGCGACTGGTTCGTCCACTGAGGTACCGTGAAAATCCTAGCGAGGACATCGACGACCTATTCGACGTCGTAATTGACGAGGCCCTGTGTTTGCAAGATGGAATCGACCTTGAGAAACATGCGTGGTCAGAAACCCGCAGCGTGTTCTTGCCTGGTACCGATTCACGGGAACAAAATGATAATATCGCCGGGGAGGGACACACGCCATGGATCAGGCTAGGAAGCTACTTCATACTCTCTGGGAAGTATGTGGTACTTCTTCTTCGTGCACTTCCAGATGGAGAAGGGCCGCTGATGAGATTCTGGTGCCTCCTCTTGGAAAGCGTGCACGGGCTGCGCCACGAAGTCTTCAAACGAGTCGGTACACTTGAGGGTAGTGCATCAGCAGCAAGCTTGAATAATTGGCAGCAGCGGACGGTCATTATCAGATGAGAATTTTCTGTGGAAATCATGGCCGAAAGGCGTTGCCCATTCCAGCTGGCTCTGGATGCCAGCCGCATATATGCCGGCCACTGGACCGATGACTGCCACCAGAAATAAGAGATGGTAAGGGTAGATGAGAAACCATGGGCATTCAGATGATTTGGTGACAATTTGTTGAGAATTAAGGGGTTGACTTGCATTGGTTTCCTAAAGAGAGAAAGCTGAGGGCATTCCGACTGTGACGGCGCAGCTATACAAGACTGTACCACATTCCGGTGCATTCTAGAAATTCCGACCCTTTGGGGCTCTACGCTTCAGTGACAAGGCGTAGGTAGCCACCTGACAGACGGCTAATGTTCAAATGTGCTCGCCATGGTGCACGGATAAGCAACTCCCATTAATGGCATGTGCTCTTGCAAACCTGTACTACTTGGATTGGCCATGTATGACTCATTCTCGTAAGAGCAATAGTCAATAGTATGTGTGGACAGCACAGCTGTGTAGACTACACTGTATTCTCCAGAGTGTTCTAGAGCATTCCAATATTTGGGCAATCTGAGGCTATAGCATAGCGGTTGCAAAGCGCCGTCTCAGTAGGTAGTCTTGTGAGGGGTTGTTGGTTGCCAGGAAGGCTATGAAGTGTGAGCTATCTAGTTAGCCAGCAACTAGTAGCTCTAGGCTGATTATGTACCTGACTGCCTGCTATGGTATGACTCAAAGCGGTGGCCTTTGACCTTGATGGCTTCGATCTTGACGGCTTGATGGACCGGCTTGGTGTCTAGCTTCACAGCTTGTGAACAGCGCCGCCACAAGTTGACTTAACCACTACTCAACGGTAAGACCACGAATACAAAAAAGTGGTTTCTGACTCGACACTGGTGAAGATCAAATAGATACTATCTTAAGCCTTATGTGGCAGAGTAATTGTAATTGTCTGTGAAGTACTCTGTCTCTTGTCCTATTGGAACTGACAGAAAGCAAAGACCCTGTACCAGAGGTCAGTATCTGATAGGAGTTCGTGCATAGGAGCTGATGCTGTGCAAATCACTTTGACCCCGTCTTCTACGGCATGCACTTTCATGCATCATACAATTTCATTTCTTAGTGCCCATGATGCTCATTCAAGGTGATAGTGCTCATTCAGGTGCCCATTAATGGTACTAATCTGTACTAAGTGTGTTTACTGGTCTCTCAAGTTGACTCATTGTGAATGCTCATCAGGGTGCCCATCAGCATTCTGGGGAGTATATAAAGGCCCATCCCATCCCACATTCACATTTCCCAGACGTCCACTCTCCACCTCCAAAACAAACCAAAATCTACCACATTACAAACACAACTACAAACACCACCACTCTACAACAACTCTTCAAACACCACTCTACTAGTACAGAGACAACTCCCTTCTCTCGCAAACATACTTTCTCATACACATCTGTGTCAACACAGCTCTGTCATACAAGACGTAAGTATCCTTCTTCTCCTCCTGCACAGAACCTTCATACTAACATACATCACAGACTACTCTCAAAATGTGTCAGAAGAACAAATCCGCGAAGCAACTGTCTGAGCGCAGCCGAAAGGCCGCTCGCAGCAACGCAAACCAAAAAATCAACAAGAAAGAGGCGCGCCACCAAGCCTACATCCAAAACAAGAACGTGCGTGACACATGGGTCGAGGACATGAACCTCCAGTTCGCGGGGGCCATCAATGTCCCGGCCACAGAAGAAAAGGCCATTGAGATAGCCACCGAGGCATCCGAGGCAGCTTTCGACGCCTCCAATCTTTTTTTCTTCACCCACGGCTCCAGTGTCCCCAACAAAAACACACAACCAAAGGAGGAAACATCACCCAAGCATGAGATGAAGAGGCTGGCAGGCGCCGCCGTCATCTTCAAGCAACCCGCTGCCGACAACACTAGCAGCTGGCGTGGCAGGCAGTGGGGACTAGGACACTGTGAAACAACCAGCGGCGCTGAGGCTGGCTTTTTCGCCATCTCAAAGTGTCTGACCCTCGCTGCCGAGCACCTCCACCACGCCCCACAACAGGACACTGAGCCCACCGTCACAATCTTCGTGCACGACCAAGACGAGATCAACAAAATTAGCAGGGTCCGCTACATCGACTCCACACAGGAGCGCTCGGACGCGAAGCCTGTCCTACTCGACATCGTCAAAAAATCAAGAAAGCTTCGCGACAACTTCGGCGCCGCCATCGAGCTGTATTGCATCCCAAGGCACGCTGCCGTCAGGGGCAACCAGCTCGCCGAAGCTGCATCTCGGAAGGCAGCCTCAGATCAAGACCTTCCAGCAGCTTCTGATTGAGCACAACATCTCAAGTCTCAATCACCCAGCCTCTACATCAACATCACAAACATCACCAGCTTGCCTTCGCTGGAACAACCACCACCAAGGCAACAGAGGCATCAGCGTTCCTTTCTTTTCTCCCCAGATGTGGGTTAATTTTTTCGGTGGTACAACACAAACTTTAGTGTGGTTTTGGGCTTTTTTCCCAGAAATGGGTTTTTTTCAGGTTTTGGTGGAAATTTTCAAATTAGAGAGAACTAGGGGAGACTAGGCAGAAACACTCAGCTTAGAATAAATGAAGAGTACTTAAAAACCAAATGTTCCAAATGCCTAGTGCCATGCTATGCTTCTTAGCCCCTAACTACTGTATCACGTCCTGTATATGTCTGTGTCGTTATCATAATATTACCGCTCGGGGAGCATCTAACGTGCCGCCACGGGAAGAACAAAAGCCGCTGCAATCCAGATAGGATCAAGATTCCCGAGAAACAACAGGGCTCATTTCCTCTTTTCTTACCCCGGAATAATTATCTCCTTACTTAAGCTTGAATGTTCTCATCTTCTCATCGCCGTGCGGCAGCAGCATGAAGAAGCTCTTGGTCGTCATCAGCCCGATCCGGTAGTAGGATGAGCGGTACCGCTTCACGAGCAGCAGGTATACGTCATCACCGAGTGTGACGAGGCGGATGGCCTCGTAACGGCCAGAATGGAGCCGCTTGAAGGCTTTTGAGGGCGTGAGCCCTTCCTTGCTGGGATGGAGCCTGATGTCGCCGCCGCTCTGGAATCTCAGCAGATCTGAGCCCTGGTCGAAGACCAGCGCGTCCCGTGGCAGAGCCACTGTGTCCAGAAACAACGCCCGGGGCTGCCGAAGTGCCTGATCATCAGTCCGGAAGTCTAGGTCTGAAATCTGCGCAACGCTGCCGTCCCGGAACTGTAACCCCACGGCGTCGAGCCCAGCTGCCGTCCCTTCCTTCAGTATGGAGGCGTAGTAAGTCCTCGACGGCCAGACCACCGGCCCAGCCCACCCTGCCCACGACCAGGACGGAAATTCCTGCCGCCTGCGTGGGACCGAGCCGTGCATGGGCTGATGCCTCCATGATAGCCCTGCCAACAACATTTGTAAGTAGTTGCAACTCGGGGTGGCAACGTCCCTGGGGTGCAGAAACGGTATGCCGCAGATGTTCCGCACAGGAGGCATTCTCGACTTCTCGAGGCTTCTAGTCACACCGGTGAACGCGTTGAGGGAATCTTCGTCAAAGGTGAGTGACCTTGTCGAGTATTCCTCAGCGCAATGGATATAAGTCAGAATTCCGGCCGTCTGATGTCCGAACCCGAAGAGCTTCGGCTTGATGAAATCGTTGTGTGCATCCGAGTGTCGACTGTTCGTAGCATGTAGCATATCAAACGAGACGCAGAGGCTCTCATAGCAGTGCATGGAATCGCACTCAAAATATAACTGGTCCTCCGTAAAGACCAGCCGCCTGCGAGAAAGTACGGCCTCCTGGAACGTCCATGCGCGACTGGCCCATTTCGACCCGACGATCTGATGCACCGGTGATGGAAGCGTGGATAAGATGCTTACTTCGTCTGTCTGAATAGAGGTCTGTTTCGCTAGCCGGTCTTGCGTAACTCCCGGTAGACCAGTGCTCTCATCGGTACCAGCGGCAGCGATGATAGTAAGAGAAGCGTGCTTATAAACAGCGTCCATATGGAAAATCTGCTTGTGTTTCGTGGCTTGATTCTTCTGATCAATGCAGTATTTGTCCACCCAGAGGTATTGGAATCCCAGAGCCAGCGTGACTTTGATGGCGTCTCCTATGACAGCTGGGGTATTTTCAGGCAAAGCGTTGCCTGGCCGAATGCTTGTTTCTGGTCCTGCCTTTGCGGGAGTCTTGATGCCCCAAACATAACTCAAAGCCACATACTTCGCGGCAGAAGGCAGGTCCAAACCGGATACCACACTCCGCGTCTGGCAGTTGATGAAGTGGACGTCCGGTGCCGTTTCTTTGCCCTCCGATGCCGTGCATAACGGGTGATGTGTGTCACAGGCTGACAGCCAAGTCGTGATCAGTTCTGGATCAAACCTCTTGCCGACCATCCGGGGTGAGAACAATTGAGGTTACCCTCTTCAATCCTAGGGCAGCATATCAACTGCCCGCTCTTAGAGGCGACACGGTACAGGTTTCGCCTCTGGTCTTCTCTTTCACCCACTCTCACAGACGTCCCAAAATTCCAGGGTACCACAGCCATGAACGACGGCACATCTGTATCGACATTCAAGCCCGAAGTCATGATAAGAGGGAATTCGCGGAGCTCCCAGCCCAGAGCCCCGTCCTGAGTGCTGCCCGATAGTGTTGTCAGAGCTCGACAGAGGTCACAGGCTTCCGACTGCAGCATGGTGATCTTAGCGATGGTCAACCCCAATACAGGGTAAGTGCTGCGGTTCGCGAAGCGCCGGCCTCTTGACCAGGAACCTGGTGTATAGACCAACTCGTAACAGTTGTCGCACAGTTCAGGCATGGCCTTGATGGAGGCGAGCGACACTTGGCGCATCCTGGCAGACAATGACCGGCCGAGCGGTTTCTTAAAAACACGCAGCAGCGATGTTGAGGTCTTGCTCTGTGCTGAAATATTAGTAACAGTCTTGCAGTGCGGAAAATGCGATCGCTTACCGTGAGACTTGTGGATCGACCAAGGGCGCCTGAAGCTTCACCAGGTCTGTCCACCCCAACGATGTCATTGTTTGACGCCATGGTTCTGCTGAGACTATCCAACGCACTGGAGTCGAGGTGGATACTTGCGGGAAAGGAGAAAGAAAGGTCAAGTGAGAAACACCCTTGCTATCGGATGCCTCAGCCGCACCTGTCTGCAGTCATCCTGCAGGATGCCAACCTCGGCAGGCGCTGCGACCCTTGTACAGCCTAGGTTAGAGATACAATTCTGAGGACGTGGAAGTGGCTTTAATGCTCTTTCAATGCTATAATTTCGCCCCGAAAGTGCGTCCATCTTCGAGTACACGATTAGCGAGTGTACTGGGAACACACAGGACTATTGTGCACCACGGGCCAGTGTGAACAAGAGGAAAGCCACATGCTACAATACATGGAATCAGAAGTGTGATTACAACAGAGCCGCCTGATCTGTACAATCAGAAAACATCTGCCGCATATCTATCCCGCAGGATCTCAACCCACCACCCTTCAACTTCAGCATCGGTCTTGCTCTCGCACCTCTCCTCCGCCTGCTCTCTGTAAATCCTCTGCACCACATCTCGAACGCCGTGGCTGACGGCCCGGCTGCCGCAGACATAGACCTTCGCGCCGTCTTCCCATATCTGCACAAGCTCGTCTCGGTCCGCCCAGACCCGGTCCCGCACATAGCCCAGGTGGTCATCCGGCCGAGCCCCTTGTCGCGAGTACGCATGGCGTATATCCACGGCGCCGGAGTCCTGCCAGCCTTGCAGCTCGGCGGCGTACAACGCGTGCTCCGGGGCGCGGCAGCCGATGTATAGCAGCGCGGGGGCCACCTTGCTGGCGAGGTCCGGGTTTTGGCGCAATCTTTCTGCGCGGTCTTGTACGAAGCCCCGGAATGGTGCCAGGCCGGCACCGGCACAGATCATGATTGTGGGTGTCAAGATTGGGTCTGCTGGCGGACTGAATCGAGGCTGGCCGGGCCGTACCGAGCAATTCAGAGTATCTCCTGCTTTGAGGCTGGCCAGGAAGTGTGACGCCAGACCGGGAGTTGGATCTTGCCCTGGCAAGGCTGCCGGGGTGGCGTGCGTGATCAGAGACCAGGTGATGGTAAGAGACGTGGGAAGCGCTCGCGGCGACGACGAGATGGAGTACTGCCGAGGCCGGATAGGTGGAAGCATGCTTGCAAGCTGCTGTCGTGGGAGAGTAATGATGTGGTATCTCTTAAGCAGCTGGAGGACAGATGGTCGCCGCTCTGTTGCTGAGATTGCTTGAGCCATAGCCTCAAGTGATGCCCTCTCTTCTCGGTGGTCAGTCACACAGGTCGATTAAGAGTTCAATTTGCTACAACTTTATTAGCCGATTTGTTCACATTCTCCAGGATTCAGACGGAGAGCAGAGTGAACAAAGTTTACCTTGGAACTTGCTTGTTGATGTAGCTCGAGGCGGGTATGGACCGCAGAGATCAAAGGGTCAGCCAAGTCATGGCCCTGTACCCGGAGGACGTCCCTCAAACTCTCTAGATCCTCAGGTCTGTTTTTTTGGATAGACTTCCAGATAATCGCCGACCTTGTATTGGATGTTCTCAGGGACCTGTATCCCCATGTGATATTTCGGTCTGTCTTCAGAGGCTGTTAGAGCTGCGACTTCAACAATCTTCGCATCGAACGCGTGAGCATTGTCTTTTGCAATGTGAGCCGGGAATTGAGTGATGCCGATCAGGTCTTTTGTGGTGGTTCCGACAATAGAAAGTGGCATAAGCTTTGGATATTCCAGGCCAAGATGATCTGCTTGCCACGTATCAAAGTCAGAGAGAATGTTGCCTTCGGTAACGTCTGCCACACCCCTTGGTGCCAGGGCTTCAGCGCCCTTCATCTGCATGAGTTTGTTCACGATGATGGCAACACGCTGGAATGTATCTTTCCAGTCCCCTTGATATTGAGATCAGTTTTTGACTTTCAAACACAATGATATGGGTTCCTTACTGCTGCCGCAACCGAAAACTGCGCAGTTGACACCGTCGAGGGTGTTGTCCTCATCCTCCAGCCACTTCACGAACTTGGCCCCGTTGTCCGGAGCTTGCCCCTCCTACATTGTAGAAGTGATCAGCACCACCGGTCTGTCCTTTAGAAGGTTGCCTTTGGCCTCATCGAGTGGCAGCACTGTGGCCTGGAACCCACGTTGTGGCGCCGTCATTGCCAGCCAGTCAGCGAGACCCTGACAAGTTCCTGTATTCGACCCGTAGAAAATGGACAAAGGCTTCAGTCCAATAGGAGTCTCCCCTATAGCGTCTCGGTTGTGTTCATGGGACGCAGTAACTGGTTTGTTGCCACTTGGACCGTGTACCATATCTCGCTGCAGAGTCAAGACGTCGATACCTGGACGAAGCTTGGCGCGTATGAATAGGTCCCGTGGTTTAAGTGTCAGGGTTTTCTTGACAGTAAGCTTGTATGCTGGGTCGACAAAGTTGAAATCGAACTTCTGGAACAGCATAGCCGCTGCCAAGATGGACTCTTGCATGGCAAATTCACTCCCTTTGCAACCCCCAAATCAGCACCAGGTGGCTTATAGTAAGGGGAGACTTCGGGATTTGTCTTACCAATACATGCTCTCTGTCCGTTTCCGAAGGGTTTATAGCAGCCAGGGGGCAGGTTCTTGAAGTTTTCATCTAGCATTCTCTCCGGCCTGAACTCATCCACATCAGAACCCCAGACACTAGGGTCTCGATGGACACCCGGAACGAGAATGAAGATTGCTTGTCTGCGTTTTATAGGCCATTTTCCTCCCACGATGGCCGGGCCGTCGGTCAATTCATCTCCCGTCGGGGTCGGAGAAAACCCAGCTGAAGGGGGATACAATCGTAGGGCCTCCCTCAGACATGCTTTGATATATGGGAGTCGACTGACATCATCAGCTTTGATAGGCCATTGTCCAACGACAGAATCGACTTCTTTCTGTACACTCTCATAAGCCTCTGGGTGTTGCACGATAAGCGCAAAGAAGAAGCCCAACAGGCAGGCCGTTGTTTCGTGCCCTGTGGTGTCCCAGTCAGCGCTTAGTGGCTCTCGGAAGGGCGAGGATGCTGACCAGCAATCAAAAAAGTGATCATGTTATTCGTAATAGTCTGATCTGTCAAGCTTTTGCCAGTTGCTGGATCTTTGCCGTTCAGCATGGCGTCTTGGAGGTCCTTCTTCTCGGATTGGCCAACTCTGCGTCTTCTGTCCACAACCTCCCTGGCAACCTGGTGAACGGTATCACTGTCCTCGTCAAACCTCCTGTTCGTTCTCCGATACAGCGCTGTCAACCAGCCCGGTCTTCCAGATCTATTGGCTGTCTCGATGAGCAAGTTCGTCATGGCATCGATGAAAGGATGGAGGTTGTCTTTGTAGAAAGAGTTTAGATGCGTATCCATGGTGCAACTGAATGTCAAACTACATCAGCTCGTGGATCACTAGGAGATGGTGCCTCTCGAGGCAGCTTACAGAGACAAGGTGTCTATCGTCAGTCTCGTGAAGTCAGACATCGGACAACCCTAGAGCCAAATATCAAATCACCATATTCCTTGCCAATTTCTACAATACTCTTGATACTGTTTGCCAGGTCGATGTTGGGTAGGTTGCCCACCAAGGGCCAAGGCCGAGGCCCGGGGATTTCTGAAGCCATACGGGCTGGGTATCTATGAATTGGTCTAAAACCAGGCGTCACTGCGCAAGATGGAGGACAAAAAGAAAGAAAGAAAAGAAAAAGGAAAGCGGAATGGGACGGTACAGCATACCCTCGAATACCACGGAGGAGCATTGCGTTGAATTGTGGCTCTTATCGGCCGAGTCTGTCAGAATCCCGGCGCAAAAAATTGCTTGCCTTTCGATTGACTCTGCGACCACCAACATACACGTCAGGGGCATCCAGCTTGCTAACCAACGCGCTGGAAGGAACATAGGCCCAGAACAATCATACGTGCCGCGTTGGCTTAGCCAATAGGGCTCAACGCAATTCGCCGTTGGTTTTAGTGGAAGCACTTGGAGAACAGGGGCAGAATCCTTTTCCTTCCTGTTGGTAGGTCTCTCGTACGTACGATAGTCATATGGGAAGCAATCGTGTATTGGTGTTGTTCTGTCTAAGTTTTAAGAGGCTATATACCCTAAAGGGGATAACTAAAGTAGCCTTTTAAGTGCAAAAGTTATACTTGCTAATACTTACAATTTTTCTCTTCTTTTAATAAGTATATATAATTCTTATTATAATTAGCTTAAAATTATAATTTATTATATATTAAGTATATATAATTTTTATTATAAAAAAGCATTATTAAAAAGGCTTAAAATTATAACTTATAAGTTTTAAAGTAAATTTTAGCAATCCTTGCTATTATATTATTCCTTAAACTTATAACTTTTATTATTATATTATTCTTTAAATATTATATTTATTATTTTTAATATTTAGCTTTTAAGGTTACTTTTTTATAAAAATTATTAACTTTTATATAAAAGCCTTAATTTTAAATTTCTTTTTTATAAAGAAAGTTAATGCTTATAAAGTTAATATTAAACTCTTTAGCTTATATTTATTTTTATTATATATTTTTATAATATAAATATTATTATTTTTATTCTTATTCTTATTATTAAAATATACTTAATATTACTTTAAATTAATCTTTTTAGCTATTTTTTATTTTCTTAAAATTAAGTATTATAAATAGCTTAATTATTTATTAGCTTCTTTTCTTACTTTTTATTATTTTTTTTAATTTTCTTAATAATTATTTTTTGCTTAAATTACTTAAATAATAATATATATTTCTTAATAAATCTTTTTATATATAAGCCTTATATATGCTTATTAATAATTTAATATAAAAAATTTTAAATTTAAATTAATATAATAATTTAATCCTTTAATAGCTTAATCTTTTTAATTTAATATATATAAAAAATATTTAAAATTAAAATTCTTATTAAATTATTTATTATAAAGATTATAATAATTTAACATTTAAAATAATAATTATTTTAATAATTCTCATTATTAAGGATATTATATATAATGCAGTATGGATGGGTTACGGTGAATTTACGGTAAATTCGCCGTAAATTCACAGGCACCCATAAATTCATGGTACTTTTATAGTAAATTCACTATAAATATATAGTTTTACGGTAAATTTACCATATATATATTTAAATAAAGAAATTCCCTGCGAATTTACCTTAAATTTACAAGAAACATTAAATTTTAAACCTTTATTCCTATTATTATAATAGCTATAACTACATGCTTTAGCTATATAATTACCTTATAAAAGAATTAAGTAAATTATAATTACCATTGCTATAATATTATAATATTTATAGATTAAGTTGCAAAATTCTTAGTAATTAATAAGTTAAATAAGCATTAACTTAAGCCCTTTTAAACTATTAAGAAAAGATAGGGCTTATTATAAATTTATAGTAAATATACCACGAATAAGATATAAACTTAATGCATAATTTCCTTTTATATTCCCGCTACCGCCTCTTAACTTTTAGCTAATAAAAGAACATTAGCGATTACTTTAATTATAAGCAATAATTTTTAAGTAAGCAAATATCTTCTTATTTATTATATTTAAAAAAATGCAAAGTTTATTAAATATTATAGCAATATTTACTGCTTAATAAATCCTTTATAATTATTATATTACTATATATAATTTATTAAAGCTGCAAAATCTTTAATTTAAAGCAGCTAAAAATTAAATAATAGCAAAAGGAAATATCTTAATTTTAAGGAATTAAGTATTAAGCTTAATTCCCTTAAAGGTATTTTAAAATAATCTTTAAGTTTAGCGTTTAATAAATGCGGATTTAGCTAATAATTATAATTATTACTATTAATTATATTAATTAATAAAATATAAAAGCTTAACTATTTATTAAAAATTACTAAATAAAATTTACTTAAGCTAATCTTAATTAAAATATATTAAGTTCCTATATAAGCTTTAATAAGCCGTTATTTACTTAAATTATAAAGTATTAATTAAACATTATTTTTAACTATTAAGCTATATATATTATGCTTTATTAGCTTATAATATATAAAATCTATATTTTATAAATTAGCATTTTTATTATATAATTAAGAAAACTTAAAAGGGAATTAAAATTATAAGGCCTGCTAAAAACCCTTAAAATCCCTTAAAATTAAGTTTAATACTTAAGTTATATTTAAGACTTTAATCCCTGCGCTTAAATTTAAGAAGTTATAAGGAAACTTAAAGTATTAGCATTATATATACTTATATAAAGCCTTTTTTAGCTTTTTATAAAACCTTAAAATTTACAGCCCTTAATTTAATTAAGAAATACCTTTATTTATATAAGGTATAAAACCTCTTAAAGGGGATGAAGTTAAATTAATAGGTAATTATATAAGTAATATTATCTTAAGCCTTTTAAGCTAGCTAAGCCGGCCTTAAAGCTAATTAAGATACTTATAAATTTATTAAAGCCGAATTATTGCATCCTTCGCGGCCATTTAATACAAGATTAGGCTAAGTAATGGATTTAATTCCGCTTAAAGTATTTAGTTAAGAAGACGCCCCCTTTATTAATAAGGCTCTTTTAGCTAAAAAACCATAAGATAAAAACTTAATAATAAAAACCCCTTAATTAAATAACTATTATGTTTACTTAAAATATTAATTAAAAAATAATAAAAAAGATTAGCTATATAATTATAGCCAAGGGCATTAAGATTTACCAAATAATAACTACTTACTTAAGCTTAATAGTTTTTATAATAATTAAAACTTTAAAGATATTATTATTAAGTAATTTAAATTATATAAAAATTAAAATAACTTCCAAGATTTAATTTAAGTATCCTAAGTTAATGAAAAGGTTGTTATTTAAAAAGATTCTTAAAGCTTTATTAATTAATGCAAAATATACTTGCAAAATAATATTTATTAAAAGGCTTAGCTAAGTTATAATTTGCCTTTTTACTTATTAAGCATTGCCTATTTATAGTTTTAAATGATATTTAATAAGAATAAGCATTATAAATTAACTTAAGGAAGTTTAAAGACTTGGATTTTATAAGAAAGCTACTTATTAAATAACTTTTGCATCCCATAAAATACCGCTAAAACCCTATTAAACTGTTATGGGCTGGCCCTAAAGGGGCTGCAAGCTGGCTAGCGCCTTCTTTCATAAGTTATAAAAGTAGTAACTAATTAAGCTAAAAGGTATGTAATAATTTAAGCTCCCTTAGATTACTTAGCTAGTTATTATAAGGCTTAAGCTTTTAGCTTAAGCCTATTATATAGCCCCTTAATTACTAGTGGCATATAATTACCCCCAAGGCTTACTCATAATATTGCCTTTTTAAGCCAAGGTTTTTCTTTATAAAAGAGGTGCCTACATATTGCAGTAAACGTAACTTAAACCTTTAACCCTAAAGCTTGAATTATTTATTATAAGCTAGCCTTAAAGGAGCTATAGGCTAGCTAGCGCTTTCTTTTATAAGCTGCAAAAGCAGTAATTAATTAAGCCAAAAGGTACGTAATAATTTAAGCTTCCTTGGATTACTTAGCCAGCCACTATAAGGCTTGGGCTTTTAGCCCAAGCCCATTACATAAACCAGCAATATTATTCTTAAATAAATACATTTAATAATTAAAACATTTAAGAATATACTTAATAAATCCATTAATTTATAATACTAGCTAAATAATTAGCTTCCTTTATAACTTAAAATATATAAAATTAAATTAATAAAGCATTAATTATCCCTTACTTTAATTACCCTTTTATTAATAAAGACTCCTATAAATTTAAAACTAAACTATAAGAAAAGTAAGAAACTTAGCACTTATAGTAAAAAGATTAAATAATAGCGAAAAGATCTCTTTAAAAGATATAGTCATTATTTTACCCTTTAGCCTTAACTAAGCTTACTTGCTTAACGCTTCCATTAATATATATTAATATATTAAACCTTTACCCTTAAGCGCTAAAGATAAGCCAGCTGCGTTAATAAATTTAACTACTTTATTTTAAAAATTACATTTTAAACTTTATATTTTAAAATATAACTTTAAAATAACGCTAAAAGTTATTTAATGCTTATTAGTAAATTTAAAACGGCTAAAATAAGCAAGCAAGCCTACCTTAAGCTTAAAAATTATTAATTAATAACCTGCAGCAAAGCTAGGATTAATTGCAATGACTTTAGCAAGGTATGCAATTAGATTTACAGCTCCGCCAACACTTTAACTAATAAAATAATATTAAAAACTTCTTAAACGCTATTATTTAAATATTTAATATAAATAATAATAAGTTTTAATATAATCCTTATTATAAAGATAAACTAGCTGTTAAAGGTTATTTCCTTATAAATAATAAGCTAAAAGTTATA